CCCTGTACATTTATGAACCATCGAGGTCATCGCGAAGAAATCCTCCTCGCCTCGGCGAAGGCGGGAAAATTTGAAAATCGAGCGGCAACCACTTCTCGGCGGACGTAATTTCGCGGATTTGGACAACAAAAGCATACTTCTCTGCAACCGTGGGAATTATATTCATGGTTGCTATGTCTTTCCCTGAACCATTGAGATGAAATAAAAACATTATACGGAATAAGTCATCTTCAATTGATTTTACGTCCGTTTACGCCGCGACGCTTAGCGGTGGGGCTTGGCAGAACAATACATAACACGTCATATTTATAAACTCCCGAAATTTCAAGACCTCCATTAGGACCCTCCACGAAGACGTGTTGGAGTTTGAAATTATTTGGTAGATCCACTTTGTAGAAAAGTTTTACAAATGTATCGACTTTCTGTTACACACATATGACACCTTAGGGCCTCCGCCATAGCGTGAAATTTCCGACGATTTGATACGCACCCCCTGCGAGAAATCTCGGGGTTAAAAAATGAAAGTCGTTAAAATTAGACTTCTCATCCCTGCTCGAAAAGTTTCAGATGAACGAGACGAGAGAACGTCCGCAAAGCCGGAGCTGCGTCCATCTCGAGCCGTCGGAATTGGCTTCAGAGGGCCGAAAGAGTTTCAACGACATCCAGACCGGAAGAGGAAGTTCTTTTTTAAGAGGCTTTCTCTGCGATCCAGCTTCGATGATCGCGGGGCGTGAATCTCTTTATCTACGATCCAACAAGGTGCCTCGTCCCGATCGCGTCCTGCGTCGGAAGTCGATTCCTGGACCTCCGGTACCGACAGCAGCGCCAAAGCGGACAGTCGGAGAACAAACGGGAATTCGTCGCTTGGAGCATATCAGGGGGACGTCGCCGAGGAGTTTCCCCGTCTTCCCCAGCGTTAATCAGGGGGTTCTTGTACAAAGTTTCACCCTGGCCAAGAAAGACCCTTAATACCCCGGACAAAAAGAAGCCCGTCCCTCGGCCACGAGATTTGGAATCGCATTGTTAAAAATTAAGAGGCGCGCTCACAACTTATTATTTTTCGCAAAATTACTTCCCACTATACAACATTATTTCCTGCGAGCAGGAAGAAATCTACGTTCCTCCCCCTCACCAAGAAACTCGGCAGAGTTGCGAGCCAAATACATTTGAGCGATCCTTAATTAATTTATCATCTCTTATCTCCTTTATCAAAAAGGACACCGGTGTTAATATCAGCTCTAACACTCTTTCGTAAAAATGTTCAAACTTCTCGCCCACCTATTCTTAATCTATTGTTGTATCGCCCTCCTTCCTTTTAAACAGATAAAAGAAAACGCGCGCAATTCAAATCGTTCTCGTCTGATACTTCTAAATTGAATAGCGGTTAATCTCAATCCTTTTGATAATTACATAATCTTTGAATAATCGATATCTATGAAACACGGTTAAATAAATCTCAGAAATTAAATCATATAATTAAAGTGATTAATTTTTAACAATGATCGACCTCGCCGTAAAAATTCGGGAAAGCCTTCGACGATATCGCACGCACGCAGCTTCGGCCGGATCGAGCTGAACCTCTCTGGAAATCAATTATTCCTTATCCTTTCCATTAACGTTAATGCGGCATGGCACGACGTGGTATACGCCACTGTAAAATCGGATTCCTACTAATTAGCTTGATGCACGATTCCAGAGAGGCAATTACGCGCGCATACGCCATTGGAAATGCGTTATTAGCACTTGGTGAGCATCCACCATGGTAACTCTCTTACTCAACCTATATTCCCTGTTATCCCCCATAACATATACTCAGGTAGCAGATATCTGAACAGGACATGACGGACTCGTGATCTCGCCGCGCAAGATTTATCGACAACCGAACACTGAGATAAATTAATTACAATTAGCGTATTAAAGGTAAAAAGGTCCTGGATCAAATATCAAAACGACTAGAAACCCTTCCTTTTACCCTGGCCATACAATCCGCCTTAAATAAGAAAGAACATTAAAAAAAAAAACTCATAATTTGATAATTAACCTTACTCTACCTAGATTCGCTGTTATCAATCACAACATAAATTCATACATAACATAAATTCGAACAGGTGTACGGCCTAAGGAAGAACGTGGCGCTCATGAAATGTCATTTTCCAAAAAGAAGGAAAAGAAAAAATAAATGTCATCAATGTCGAAAAGAAATCAAGTCCAAATCTCGTGCGCCGGATCGCGGGGCGAAGGACCCATTTCTTTTCTTACCTTCTTTTTCATTAAAAGAAACACCGAGCGTTTAGATAGTAATCGATGAATAAGGGAGGAGGTAAGCTACGTTTACGAGTGGGAGTTTCTGCCTGGTACTGGGACTTTTTTAAAAGCGATTTACCAAAGAGCATTCGTAGCGTACGACATGTCCGTGCAAGCTTACTAGTGCCGTGTAAAGTTTATTTATTCCCGCCTCCCGCGCCCTAAACGAGCGACTAGACGGAAGGATTAATAGTCGAAAAGTCGCGACCGATACGTCCCGATACGGATATTCCGAATCGAGGACGTCGCCGAGATGTCCCAGGAAGCCCCAAACAGTCGGGACGGAGTCCCACCTACGAGCGCGTCGGGTGTCACACACGGCGCGGCGCCTCGACTCCGTTGCAGTGGTCCAAAACGAATTTTCAAAGCGACAAAAATATGCCATACGCTTTGTCAATTACCGTTTTACACACATTTGCCACATATATACATATATATGTATATACAGACCGTACTACCCTAATGTCGCACACGGCGCGGCGCCTCGACTCCGTTGCAGTGGTAAAATTAAAAGCATGCGCGAACGGCACTAGTATACTGTACTCTATTAATGCAAAAATGTCAGAAAATATGTATAAACTTGAAATGTATGATCAGAAAGCGTATAGAATTTTTGTCGTCCTGAGAATTCACTTTGGACCACTGCGCGCCGCGCTCCGTGTGACGCTCGACGCGCTCAATGTGACTCCGGTCTTCGGCGGGGAGTCCGTCCGAGGCGCGCGGAGAGAGATAGAACTCGTCGGCTTGATTATCGTAGTTAACTCGCAAAATTTCATTTCCTCGCAAACAGTGGGGGGATTCGGCAATTATCTAGGGACTCTCAGCAAGTCGACTGATCTCGCAAGTATACACCTCCGTCGTTTCCACGAGGCGCCATTGCGAACTAGCGCGAGAAACAATCGTCCTGCGCACACTTTGTAAATGTATTTTTCGAGACTGAAGATTCGTGATTCTACGCAACGGGAAGATCCTTTGGTAGAGTTAGTCATTTTGGCTTAGGAAGGGGTTAATCGTAGAATTTCGACGGAGTCCGCCCTGTACAGAGTGAATTGAAAACTTAGGCTAGAAGTAAACCACAGTCGCTTTGCTATTTCAAAAAGAACCATTGAATGTTTGCGAATTTACTATCACTTATCACCCTGTACAGGCGTTAAGGCGACATGAAAGTGGCATCTAATAAGTCAATTGTTTACGTAAGTTTTCCCTGAACCACGTGTACCGAATCGCTCCTAACTTTACAATATGAATATGGAGTCTATAAGAAAGGTTCTAACAACCATACAATATGTTAAAAGAGTTCATAAACAAACTTACGAATGTATTGAGTTGACGCATAAGTAATGTCATTATTTTATCCCGATATATGGCATTAAAGGAGGCCATTACTTATGCATCATATTCGTAAGTTTGTTAATGAACGCTTTTAAAATATTATAAAATCCTATAAAAACGTAATTGTATGGGTGTCAGGACCTTCCTTGTAGCCTCCACGTTAACATTGTCAATTTGCATACGATTCGGTAAACCCAGTTAGGAGAAAAGTTACACGAACGAGACTTCTTCCTGTCGCTCTCGCATCGCCTTAAAGTCTCCCGAAATCTCCGAGGCCTTGATGGTAAAGTGTCTCTCGACTCCATGTAAATCAAACTTGGCTTTTCGATATTGGTGAATAATGGTATGATAAATGCATACTCTGAGGACAGCGACTGGGAGGAGGACGTAAGTCCAGAGAATTTCGTTTGAAAGTAACGCCCTTCCTAAAATTTCATTTCATTCGCAGTGTCGAGTGATACTGCGGACCCAAAGACCATGAGCGTAGCTTATATTACGGTTTAAGTTTAAGTTATTCTACGCTTCTTAAATTAACTATCCACATTCACCAATGATATCAATTGAAATGCATTTGCAGGGTAACAAGAAGATATTTACTTCATTTATACCTCAAATTGTCAGTCGAAGCAGTCGAAGGCTTTCATAAGTTTGTTTATCGTACAGATGTCATCGATACTTTTCTTTCTTTGATGAGGTGCATTTCTCATGGCAACCTTGGCTTTATAGAATGCAAAGTTCAAGAACTACTTGTCTACTTAGATGCAAGGTAGATACACTTGTCGATGACCGAATCGTCAAGGTATCTGTAATTTTTTACATTCTTTTTATAATCCTTACTTGTTATTAGACCCTGCGTTGTCTTTCTTGCCAGTCGGCTTGGAAATAGAGACGTCGTTTCTCGGAGGAATTCGTTCGATGGTTGAGAAAATATGTACAAGGATTACAGCGAGCTTATCGCAAGTGATTAGAAATGCATCACGCTCTTCGGCGTTTATAAGTCAACAATGTTCTCATCACGCCGCGCAAATCGTACAGAGATCATTCATTCTAGTCCTGTCCTACTTGCTTTGCTGTCATGTAAAATAATCGAATCCCTGTGTTACATGTAATGGTCAATTATGTTCTAATAAAATCAGTCGAAATCCAAACCGACCTCTCACAATTCACTATCCTTCCCTTAGCTACACTAAGAATTATTAAATTATTTCTCAACGTAAAGAATATATTATACACTGAAATTAACTCTTAATGAAACAATTAATTCTACTTATAATAATTTTCCGTACCTACATGCCTCACAATGATTGTGGCTCTTGTAATTTAGACTACATTAGAAGAAATCATTCATAAAAATAGGCACCTTGTATTTTGTATGGTAAAAAAATATATTTATAGAAAATTGTACTCTAAACGCCACTATTCGTTACCTCTAAAAGAGCATATTCAATTAAATGCTAGAAAACTATTAATACAAAATGGTTCACATAATTTTAAATCTAATGCTTCAAGTTAGCTCAAACAGATTGTTCTTAACGATACAGATAAATAAATAACACAAAATTTGTTCCACTTCGATCGACTAGTGAAATGATGGTACTAAAATTGAATTCACTTTAAAACATCAGGTAGTTGAGAAATAATTTGCATGTACAAAGAAATTCCAGAAATATTGAATTAACCATGCCATTCAGTTAAGTATTCTTATAACTAACTATAGTATCCATTTTATGAATAGACGTAGAAAAGGATCTAAGTTGCACTTCTTGGCTGTTCGCGATAAACACTGGCTGCGTCTCGTCCCATTCTTTAGGAATGCCACAGTCCGGCACGGTGTAAGTTAAAATATCAAAGGAACATAAGCAGTCCAATAATGGTAGAAAACTGACAGTGCCTTGAAACAAAACAAGATAATTTAAACATTAAAAATTTCGTCTAAGATGTTCAAAGGCAAAAATACATTCTGCATTCTAGAATGTAAAAACATAAATGCCTTCTGCATATGAACTGAATGCATGGCCTCATTTTTATTTACCAGTAATTTGCCGGATAACTTCACGAATTTCTTTCTGGATCGACTTAACGTCTTTTGTTCCAACATCGGGCAGGGACGAAGTACTATCGGTAGCACCGTTAGACTTAGTACCCTCATAATCTACTTTGAAATCCCACTTTTCCAGAACTTCTTTGGTGTTAACATCTGTAATTACCAACGTGACTTTCTGTACCTTACGTTGAACGAGCCATTCTTGAACCTGACCAAGAACCGTGTCAAGAAACGATTTGATCTTTTCATCCGTTGACATTAGAATAAACAATCCAAAATGCTCAGCTGGCTCAAAAGTTTCAGGTGGATAAATCCCTCTTTGATAAAGTATACTATTAACTCCATAATCTGTAGGGAGTGAAAAATATCATAACCCAATAACATATATTGCGTTCGCGAATGCCACTTACGTAAATACTGTTTAACCAATTCCGCCGATCCTTTTAGCGTGATACATTTCGCCTTTTGTTGAGTTTCTGTCATAATGCCGGTAACATAAAATAACTTTGGTGGATTCCTTCACGATGTTAGCTCAAATACGAGGTTATGGATACAGCGGTTCGTCCAATTTTAAACGGACCAATCCCATTAACGATAACGTTTGAGCCAATCACGATTCTCCATTGAGGTTATGATCGACAGAGACTCACCTCTGCCAACTCAGAGATGAGTTGAGAGATTCACGGGAAGGATCGAGCGACCGCGTCCTGTGCGACCTCCGGTGGAGGATGCAGACGGCTAATGCACTTGCCACATGTTACAACTCTGGGTAGCCCGCGAACCGGCTGAAAAAGTGATGAACTCCTGACAAAAACTCCAAAACCCTGTATCTCCTCCGAAAAAAATCGCATGTAAAATTAATCTCTCGAGTCGAGGTCGTATTAACGGGAACTTTGTATTGAGTGGGATCCTCGATAAAGGAGACTTCATCGTAAGGCTATGTTCACGCAGAAAAAAAGAAACGGCAATGCAAACAGAGCGCTGTATTAATTTTATTAACTCCACTTGTCTGACGTCGCAAAAATGGGCGATCTATAAGTTTCTCTTTCAGTACCTGAGATCTCGGATCACGACGGAAATGTGCGATTCGTTCGGTTCCGGTGCACTGGAAAGAAAAGCAAACTCATTTAACCAAAGAAATGATTCTTTGAATAGTACCAAAGAATATATCCCGTTAATTCAAAGGATAAAATATTCTATGCAAATGAATTCCAATAAATTGCATGTATGATTTCTTCGGAATGGTAACAATACATCCGAGTCGAATAATTATTCTTTGAATGAAGGAAATCTTTCATTGGTTGAATGACATTTTTTTCTTTTATTTCCCCAGTGTACAAAGAAAAGATTCATCGAACCAAAAAAATATTTCTTTGTGTTGTACCATACCTCGATATTTGCAGACAACATTTATGCTTGTGCACTTAAGGCTCGCTTGTGATAAGGAGAGGAAAAGGGGTAACGGAAGATATACTATGACAAATAGGTCGTATAAGGTGATATGAAAGGATTTAATAAATATTTTGACGTTTCATATATATAGAATGGCCCTTTCATATCACCTAATCTTTACACTCTGCATTAACGGTAGAAACGGCTTAAGTTACTCCACTTGAAAAAAAAAAAAAGAAAAACAGCTAGCAGGTTACTAAGTCATTCCAATAATAATCGAAATCGACTTGGACGTTATCGATAGTCCAGGTTTGGCCTTCCCAGGATTTCCATCTTGCATTGTCGCACTTGCGGTGCAGTCTTAATTAAAAGCTCAATGACCTGCGATTATTTACACTCTCACTTCGATGTACATCGTGTCTTTGTACGCCCTAACTATTATCTCTCATTGAGCTTTATACAATATATATATGTGTAATAAATATAAATGTGTAAACCTTTAAAAGCAATCCTACGCTCTTTTATCTATCCGTGTCGATTATCGCGCAGGAAATATTGTAGAAAATAAGAATTTACTTCACGCCGAGGTAACGTGTTTTAATTCGTTTTAGACCTTGCGGCATGATTAAGGAGACTACAGAGAAGGTCCTGACATCCGTGAGATTAAATTTTTTAAATAACCACTGTAAACAATTGATGAAACTTTCAAAGAATTGAAGTTCCATGGGTGTCCGGACCTTCCTTAGAGCCTTCCTATTCCCGTAGTGGAGTTTGAAACTAATCGGCACACCCGTTCAGGGAAAAGTTTCATAAACGAGACCTCTTTGACGGCACTTTCATGTCACCTTAAATATTAAGGCTGGCCAGAATGGGAGCCAAAACGCGGTCCTGGCTCCTCGTCATCCTCGAGGCAAGGCGGTAGCACTTCAGGGCGAAGCTGGAACGTAAAAGTTGAAGTCCGTTTATGGGAATCTCTCTCGTGGAGAGTTTCGTCGCCGTCTTATCGCCGGACAACGACGACGGGGTCCTTTGTACAGAAATTCCGAATTGCACTAGGTGGTAGAGGTTCGGATTGGCCGTTCCTCAAGATCGTTTCTGGGCCCATTTCATGTCGTCCGCCCTGGGCTTGCAGCCTGTGAGCTTCTCGATCATTGTCTCTAAAATTGACCAGAAGCACAACTTTTCTAGCGGCCAGTTCAGCCAGCCTGTCGTTATGCAAAAGTAGGTCTCGTGAGGCGCCACGTGGTGGACCCTGTGGTGTCTCCTTGGCAAAATGACTCGGTGCTCTTGTAGCCACACCACCCATCCGGGGAGGCCGAAATACGTGTGGGACCACTTGTGGATCTGCAAGGAGAAAACAGAGAGGTTGCAATTGTTTCGCACAAAGTACGTCCGAATATGTACAGGCATTAAGGGGACGTAAAAGTGCTTGCGGATTGTAATGCTTACTTGATTGGTCATTGCGACGAAAATGGCGAGTAGGAACCAATAACAAGTCCAAAGAAATTTCTGTTGGACCTCCGGCTCTGGCAGGATCAAAAAGTCCCAGGTGAGCTTGCAGAGGAAAGGTATGGTCACCATAAAATTGTCGCCATTAGTCTCTATGAAGTCGTGCCTCGTTATGCTCGTTGGATCTATGTGGTGTTCTCGAAATGGCCTCAGGAAATTCTGAAAGCAACCGGCCACCCCTTTTAGTTTATTTTTCCTCCTCGTTACTTTCCTCTAATTATTCCTGGTCGTAACGAGTTCCCTGCAGCAAGGGATATTGGCAATATATTTGCGTAACTTGGTAACAATTTATTACTACATGGGTTACTATTTTCCTCCAATTCTTCGTGTTCGTAACGAGTCAATCTCATTATTTCTCCCGCTCGTTATCGCATGGATTATAGGGAATTCATGCTCTAAGGAAACGTCGATATTCCGTACATTAGTGAAAGTTAAACGCGATTCCGTGCCTATAACAAAATCAATAAATTCCAGGGCTCGGATGACACAATAGGTCGACGAAATTAAGGCTCGAATTCATGATTGCCGTCCGTCCTCGAGGGTCCCTCTTTTTATCGTTTTGTCCAATCAAGGGACATCCAGGGACCCCTTGACAATCTCTCGATATAAAGGAACAATCCCAGAAATTTGGACCCATGAAAGGCTCGGATAAACTCCTGGTGGGATGCCAAAAAGAAAGGAACTATCGAAACCTCGTACGTGATTAATAATTCATGTACAAGAGACATTTCAAATCCACGCGCCATATAATGTCGCATCGATGTTTCAAAAAGTTCACGCAGAGAAATCTTTGGTAGAATCGATAACATTATCATTGGTTCCACGATAAAACGTGGTTATTACATGGCAACCACAAATTTAGTTACCATGGTAACATCCTTTGAGTTTTAAATTTCCTGTCAAATATTAAAGTGTCATATACATATACACACCAAAAAGTTAAAGTATGACTCGGGAAATTTAAATCCTAAAGATTTGCAATTAATCTCGGAGAAGAACGGAAAAATTCATCTTTCGTCGGGACTTTTTATAATCACGTGTCAATGTTTAAGAGTATCCACTACACCCAGGTTGGAGTGAAGTTTCATATATTTTCAATTATCCAGATATATATGTGACACTTTCATAATATCTTAACGATTTTTACGCTAATCTTGGTGCAACTGGAGTACTTAAATGTTGTAAATTTATTTATCCTCACCTTCCCAAGAACTGGCATTTCGACGGATCCCCAGGTGTCGGCTGCCCAATGCACCAAACCAGAGCCAAAGTCAGCGGTGACGATACCGCATAATGCAGCTATTGCTATCGAATTCATGTTTTCTAACCTTACCCGAATAATAATTAACACGAAGTTCACCGCCATAAGCGTAATGCAGATACCGACGCAGATGCATTCTTGCGTCCGCTTTCCTGAAACATTAATAATAAGAAGGTGAAATGCCAAATGGGAAATTAAATTCGACGAGGAATATTTCCCCAACCGATTGTTACAGGAGAACAAATAATGAAAAGCTGCTCGACAGTGTTAGGAATATTCAAAAGCTGATATTTAAGGTTCGCCTAGGTGGTCGATCATCTCAAAGGAAATGTCTCACTTTGGCAAAGTAATTGTTTAAGTAATGGCTGGGGAGCCGGAAGGAATCCGAAGGTGTTATTAAAGTTTAATCGATTCCAAGTGGAAATTGACGGCATGCCGTCATGCTGTAAAGGGAGCAGGATATTGCATTAATGCTTCAACATATTTCCAGAGAGCCTGTCATTTTGATTCTCGAGAATCATGCCGAAAGTCGACTCCATTATGGTCACGCGAATCCTGATGCAAATGTCGAAAAGAGTTGCTCTTATCCTTAATAACTCGAAACTCGGTGATTGTAAGCTGTCGGAAACGCCGAATCCAGATATTACCCTGAATATGTAAATATCAAAAGCCTATCGATTCAATCTTAATTACTGAATTATTCCAATTGAATATTAAAAGTGCCCATTTTTCAGTAATGTACAGGAGAAAAAGCGAAACACATTTGCCAAGCGTGTTATTAACATCATTTTTACGTATACTGAATTAATACAATTATATATAATTTTACATTAAAACACTGTATAAACATTTTCTTATCTGAAAGATTTTATTTATTTTCCTAAGGGAACCGAAATTCTCGGACTTTGCATATTAGTCGTGACGGTTTTGCATCTTTTTTAATAAATTAGGAACTGCGCAATGCATATAAAGGGAGCGTTAAAATTGGACGGCAATTACTGTGGGTGTCGATTACAAGAAACAGCTATAAAATTTCATTGAGAAAAACGTGAATTCATTGTCGGGGTTTATTTTTATTCGTTTAAATCCGCCAGAGAAGAGAATTAGCCTTAAAACGCGTCGGGTTTTCAAGGCAAAGGTATTAAGGGTTTTCCGCGGAATCGACGGCCTTAATCGAATGAAGACATTTAAATACGACGTTAATCGAATGTCGACTAGATGCCTATTGATTATCGATTTGTAGAGCCCATGAGTAGGGATATTCGCGGCTTCGCTTTCCCGCTAACCGACCCAACTATTTTCTGACAGATTAATAATAAGGTGCCGTGATAAAGAGAGTAAACTCTCCATATCGCTTTTTCTTCCTGACACATGACGCTGAATCATAAATTAAAAGTAGTATCATTGAAATATTTTGTTAATTCAATGGATGATCAATTTTTCCCATCCATTTTATTCGAATCTATTCCAGTTAAATAATAGGTAATTTAATATAGCAGAGAAAATCCGTTCCAGGATCGATGATGAGCAAAATCGATCTCGGTGTTACAGTCTTGGGCTTGTAAATATAAAAAAGAAAAAGATCACTGGAGCTTAGTCTCGCGAATATGGTCAGGATTGATCTTGGTCTTTCGGCAATTTTTTTAAAGCGTTTTTCAGGACCAGGAGTGGAAGAGACCAACACCGATTCCGCTCATTGTCCAAGATTCACCTGTGCTGTAGAGGTTGGCCAGCTCCTGGGCCCCCTTGTGGTTAGGACCCCACCTGGGGACGGTCCTATCTTCCGGGGAGGTCGTCACCACGGAATTGGCATTAGGGTCGTCCTCCAACATGGAGTTCTCGTAGATCTGCCTCTCGGTCTTTACGGGGGCCAGGAAATTCGTCGCCATCGAGCAGGCGGCCGAAGCCGCCTGTTCAAGATGAGGAACAGCTGATCCCTCCATGAGGAGCACTCTATCTTCGAATGCGAGACAAACCAGGATGCATCCTTTGTTCAAGAGCGTCTTCTAAGCACCTGTACTTGTTACCTTGCATCGAGTTATCTATCTTTGAGCTTTTTAGTAGCTGAACCCCTTCGTTGCATCGCATAGAGCTGCCTATCTTCGAGGCTGAACCAAACCCAGATGCATTCTTTGAGATCAGCAGCTGCATTTCTTTGTCATCGATCATCGATCATCGATCCTGGCTTCCTGTCTGGACCCAGATGGACGCCGAAGTCTTCTTCACGACTAGGTCTTCTCTTTAAAGCACGACTTCCGAGATTCCCACTAAGGGATGAACAGAGAAGGGAACGTTCCGACTCGAAGATCAGCTCTTCATCTTTCTGATGGTGGTGACAAAATCCGAGGTAAAAAGTTAGGCTTCTTGAAATACGACTTCAGAAATTCCCACCATCTATGAGTTGAAGAGAGAAGGGAACGTTCCGACTCGAAGATCTTCCTGGGGCTGGTGAAAAATCCAGCATAGGGAAAGACACCCTGGGGAATTCTTCCCGGTCTTCCTCTCATCGAGTCAGGTGCAAGAGCTGTGAGAGATGCTCTCTATTTTCGACTCCTCGAGGAAACTAAAAGCGGCTTAGCTCCGATGTATTGTCGACTCTCATCGATCTTCTCTATCCCTGAATCTTGGGATGTCAAACGACGATCTCGAAATCCGATCCCCGGATGAATATCTCTCCGGGTTCCCTTCTGCGTCAGGTTTTATTTCCACGACGGACTTAGTCGAGACTGGGAAAAAATCTATGACAGGTTGTTGGCTCCTTCAAAGGGTTGAAAGCTGGGTTAAAAACTGAGGAGTTCAATTCCCTGCTACTTCTCCATATTTTTTCTTCGATGAAGAGCTTCGGTTGAAGAAACTCTTCTGATGTTTTCTTTCTTTTTTTTTTCGGAATACCAGCGTCTGATTTTATTCCGAGGAGCAGTTTCGATCGGGGGAAAATTATTTCCCGACAAATTCTAGACTCCTTCGAAGGATTGCGTTAAACTAATTCAGGCGTTTAGTTGTGTCGTTGTTTCTCCGAAGTGTCTGGTTACATTTCGAGGATCAGTTTCGAGGCAATCTGCCGTTGTTGGCTAAAGGGTTGAAAAATGCTCGGACAAGTTGAGCCGTTTAATTCCTCGCCACGTATCCAGAGCATCTGCATACGATTTTATTTCGATGATAAGCTCCGATTGGAGGAAATCTCGCGACAGGTTGATGCCTCCCTCTAAGAGTTAGGAGCAGCCCCGAAAATCAGAGGCGTTTCATTCCTGGCTATCTCTCCAAAGTCAACATACCGAATTGCGCGATTTACGTTCACTCCCGTCCCAGAATTTCCTTGGAACGTCAAGCTGCCCTCTCGAAATTCTCTCCAAGAGATAATCTCCCTCTTTCTCGGTCTCTCCGTCTTCCGAATGTGCTCTTGGATGGCCAACTTCCGCCATCGGTCGAAATTCCAAAAGCTTCCCTCCTCTGCTAAAACCCGGCATTACGAAAATAGTTCCAGGCCCCTCGAAGAGTGCCCCGGAACCCATTATGTGCGATTAACAATGTCGAATATATTAAATAGACATTTTTTAATGACTAATCTATGGCGGAGCGATGGCTGGATAAAATTTATACGGCGGTCTCTTTGATATCTCGTTTTTGTCAAGATCGACTGGGGGGTCGAAAGGGGTGAACAACACTTGGCTTTAATTTCGGTTTAATCCTCCTTTTGAATTACTGCAAAAAGCGTCTTCTGGCATGAATTCTCTCCATTCCGAAAGTCTCTTTGCATGGTCTTGAAGGATCCATTGACATCGATGTCGATACACGCACGACACACATCTTCAGGTTCTTCTTCTTTGCATTGTCTCTTCTCCTTTTCGGTCAAAAGTCTCCGAATTTCATTTTCTTGCCTTCCTCGCTCTCGTTGACACTTGTCTCGGTAGAAGTTACAGCTGAAACAAGAACAGCGACATTACCACAAGGCATCGATATACATATTTCCCTGAATGGTACCAAAGAAATGTTGAAATGAAATGATATAGAGAATAATGTTTTTAATTAGCGGTGCAATGATTTTCGGGATCAGTTTTTGTCTTTGGTAATAATTCGAAGCGGCATTTCGCTTCCGAGCGTTCGATGATCCTCGGCCAAGTTTCTACCTATAAATACGAGTTCTCGTCTCCGACTGGACTGCACCTCTCGAGCTTGTCTTTTGACTCGAAGTGCGAAAAACCATCTTCTGCTATTACGGCACGATGTACGCCAGAAGGCCGTATTGATGTCACCCGATGGTGACGGACTAAAAGTAGACAAGCCGCACATAACTCGCGAGCCTACGTCAGCTGTAATTATTGTTTAACACGTAAGAAGGCCCAGCAATTTTACGACCGGTACCAATTGAAGATTTATTAATAAACTCCAATTATAGTATGTAACAAAAGTCACCGAGCAGCGAAGTACACTGTTAAATTATTTATTAATGTCCACTGGTTCTTCTAACGACGAAGGTTTATTTATAAAAAAAAAATTTAATCACTGCGTGTAGAAAAGTCACCGAGCGGTGAAGTAACAATGAAGTTTCTTTGTTTCAATGTAATTTTTTTCCTCACTGGGGGATCGCAGAAATCCCAGAAATCGCAAAGATGGCGGATGGCCCTAGATTCGGTGTAACGATTGTTTAACATGTGAGGAATGCCTTATAGCCGGCATGGTTTCAGGATCGTTAACTCTCGGCATGATTGAACACTGTGATCCATGTTTTTCCAATGGCGTGACGGGGTTTATATCCCTCAGAAACGAAAAGGAGTAGTTTTGTATCGATCTGCAAGACGATCGATCGAAACCGAACGTGAGTTCTGCGTTTCCATGTCCTGCCCTCTTCGGGATTTCCCTTTAAAGATACTCGAATGGTATTATTTTTATTTCATTTAGAGCATTATAACAAACTTCTGAGGTATCAAATCCCCGATTGACTACAAGCTTTATCAAAATTCACTTCCTTCAAATACTGTTAATAGAAGGTAGAATAATTTCCTGACACCTTTCTAACAGCATTCAAACGTGGCGTACTAATTTTATCATATTTCCAAATTTTACATTATAAAATTTATCATTATAACCCGCTGTTATCAGGTTATAATTTTCTTTAGAACTTATAGCGAAGGTTCATTAACTCAGTTCGGAGGTATCACATTCAGGATTATCTGACAATCTGTGGTGTGCAAATGGTGTGTAAATTTTATGAATATGATTAGCACTGTGCATTACAGTTTCGAGGAAACCGCGTTATGGAAAATCCTCGTTATCGAAATCGTCACAAGGCGGATCGAGAAAAGGCACATCGCGCGAGCCGATGTCGCTCGCTCCGCAGCTCGCGAGGCACTGAAGGGGAAAGAGACGGACTGTGTCAGACATAGTCTGGCCGCGGAGGCGCTAGCCTCGCCTTTCTCCACCACTACCATTTCTACTGTCCACCGATTGTGAGTCACATGCGTGCGGACGCGTGCACTCCGGTCTGGCCAACTCGGACTCTTTCTCCTAGAGCTCGCGGTACTCGCTTTCTCTCTCCAACACCCGCGGCGCGCCGCTCGCCCTCTCTCTCCCACCAATGGCCGCGCGCCATTGGTCCCCGGCGCACGTGACGTCACGTGCGCCGCCGCGATGCGCAGTGCCGGCCTATGTACTCGAAAACGGAATTTGTTGTGCCCGTTGCCAGGCTCGGCAACGAGATACCTTGTTGAAAATTCTTTTGATATTTCCAACACCTTAGAATATAGATGTATGATAAGATTTGCGACGTGGCTGTTAAAAAGACACTAGACAAGGGTCCCATGATTCTTCTTGCGCGCGACGTTTCTATGATTTAAACCTTTAAATCTTTTTTTTTTTCACTGAAAAATGCATTTGGAAATTCTACCGGGTTTCTTGATAACCTTTTCATAAAAGCTTAGCTGTTATGGGTATCATGGTTGCTTTTTGCAAAGTGTGTACGAAGGCCTTATGTAGACCTTATCGTCAGTTTTCTCGAAGCATGATTCTGATTCGTAAGTGAAATCGAATCTATTGCAGGAATTCATCTCCGAGAGTTCTCCGAGGTGGACCAGTAATCTCTTCTTTGAATCAATGAGCATATCTTTGCGAGGACGATTAGATATCAAAATTGTACGTGTCGTTCACAGAAACACGAGATACCGATTTCAGTCTCAACTCTGATCTTCCTGCCCTGAGGAAATAATTCCATTTAACCGGAGCAATGCGTTGTCAACTCGAGGAATAATGACTTGATTACAAAATGAACCCGAATAAATTCGCTGCAACGTTTCTTCGTAACCGCGACAATTTATTTGCGGTTCGAGTGAATGTTATTTTATTCTTCGAATTGGCAAAACATGTCCCTCCCTCAATTTATTTTTACGCGAGTCTCCTTTTTACCCGGTAAAATGAAATACAATTTACGCGGTTTTGAAACGCCAATATTTTCCTTTTTTTTTTATAAGCTAATTGAAATGAATATGTATTTATTAAACTTGTGCGTACTAGCTTTTATTTCCAACATTTTCCCTTTCGTCCTGGCAGTCTTTATTTACGCGTTTTTCATTCGCGTAAAGCGAATCCACGTGGAACGAGTACTCGTAAATTGAGGTACTATTCAAAGAAATATTTCTTTGGTTAAATGAATTTTTTTATCTCGGTGTACAGACGCGAAGGCCTCTGGACGATCGAGTTGCGCTCTGGAAATCTTTCAAATTTGCAGATTTATGTAAATTATTAGGTGCTATTATCGCCTCGACGGTCATAAATCTGGAAGCTTTAAACTTCTTATCTGCGCGGCTAGCTCATTGTCGAGTACACTCTACATGTAGATTTGTTGCTCGGCACTTGTGCAAGAGACCCTTGTAAACTTACTGCGTTTACTTTGGTACATCCTGTTTAGTGTTGGGAGCTCGGCGAGTGCAATGTGTCAGCTAAGTCGAGTGCAAAGTGTCAGCTAAGTCGAGCTAAATGACAAAAGTACACGAGACAAGGTGTGTTAAAAAGGCGGTGTCTTTTGACTCGACCGACGCGACGCCGTTGACACTCGACGCCTCGTTAAGGCGACCTGAAAGCTCCGGTGTTCGTCTCCGAAAAGTGTCACCAAGCTGCTTCTTTTTTAAGATAGTTCATTCGGTGGGGAAGTACTTGCCGAATTTTTCCGTTAAACGGGGACGAAAGTGGACCCTTGAGGAGCAATTTATTTACACAACTTTTCTCGAAATTAGGCGCACCGAATTAATTGAAACTTTATCACGGGATTGTGGAGGCCCTAAGGAAGATCCCGACACTCATGAAATTTAACATGTTATACAAAATTCGTTTATAAACAAGGTTATAAGAAAATGAAATTTCACGAGTGTCAGAACCTTTTCTAAAGTCTTCATATTGAAGAGGTGAAATTGCAAACGGCTCGGTACACCCAGTCCGTGGAAAAGTGTTATAAATAATTCTACGCCTGAGTGGTCACTTTCATGCGACCTAAAATGAAGTGACGTCAAATTATTCATAACGCTTATCTTCGAAAAAGGAGCACTGAATCGCATGAAATTCTCCCAAGTGGACATGGGAGCTCCAAGAAAGGTCTCGGCACTCCTCAAAATTTCAATTGAATAAAAATCTCTTTACAGACGTTCAAGAAATGTGCTATAGAAAAGTTAAAGTTTCATGAGGGTCAGGACCTTACTTATAGCCTCGACATTCGCGAGGTAGAGTACGAAACGATTCGAAAGACGAAGTTCGTTGAAAAGTTTCACGATCGATTGACTCCTCAGATGTCACTTTCATGTCACCGCGAAGTCCTTTGATCGACTCAACTTTTCTATAGCCCGGTTCCACAACTCTAGTTAACCGGAGTTTATCTGTCTTACACCTGTTGTAAACCAATTAAACTCCGGTTAACTCGATTAACCGGGCTTGAGAGGTTAGGATCGCTCGAAGTCACGATCGGTCTCGACTAAGAGGTAACGGGCACCTATCAATTTCCAGATCATCGTTCTTTAGGGAACATCCGGTTCGTGTGCCGGCACGGCATAAGAAGCGTAAATGTACTTCCTGGACGGCCACGTGGTACACGGACACTATACGCTTCATAGAAGGGGTATACTTTATTTAACGACGATCGACCGGAACCCTGAACCGAGTAAGTCCGGCTCGTCGCTGCCCTCTTTCGACTAACCGGTCAGTCTACGTGCCGCCCTCCGAATTTCACTTAATTATTCATCCGCCGGAATTATTAAGGCCGTGCGAAATGCCACGTGGTACCCCCGAAGGGACCTGCTCCTCCATGAGCAGAGAATCCTTTGTTTGAAACGAACCAAAATTGTGTTCGCATATTTCGATAGATTTATAATCATTTAAGACTCTGATATGATAAATCAAAGTGTCAGGACAATTATACGAGAATTTGGAACACTCTAGTGGAAGGAGGAACGAAATGCTTGACCGACGCTGATCAATTTTCTTGAATTCTTGTCTTATCGATCTAGAGAAAGCGGAGGGAGCGATTATTTCTCGCCATTTTCGGAATTTCAATTCTTTTACTAACTGGAATTCCGGGCAGACCGTGGAGAAGGTTTCTTCATCGCGTCGAGCCTGTCTCCAGGTCGACAGGTGGAACATAACCTGTATCGATCAATGGCTGGGCGTCACTCCACGTAACGAAGCCTCGAGGCATTTTCCCGCATCGTAAACGCCTCGTAATCGCGAAATTACGATCGGTCGAGGAGACCGGGAACCGTTCCCTCCGATGCTAGTCAGATTTCGGGTGGATAGGTGTGAAATCTGCGAAGGGATCGAACTCGAGCGGCGCTTTTACGACGCTTTTTGCCGACCTGAGAGTTGAGCTCTGAGTCAGACCGAGACCTTCCGGTCCCTCCCTCGGTTTTACGGTTTCAAAAGCCCGATAAAAGGGACAAAAGTCCTGGAGAACGTTAGGAAAAAGTCCTAGACAAATGCGAATCTTCCTGTCGCTAGAATCTGTTGTTAAAGATAAATCAAAAGGATTATTAACAATTAACCGAAGTGAGAGGTTCGAGACAGGAATCACAAAAGACGATTCAAGGATCAATTCCTTGACTTGATGAGGTAAAATAAATTGTTATAATTCCGAAGGAATGTTGCATCCTAATTATTCCAGTTTATTCCTCGAATTAATGTAATACTTCTTTGGTTCGATGAAATATCGACTAGTGAAAATCGACGGCGAGGAGGCACTAACTTTTTTACTTCTGCAAATGTTACGTCCACTCGTTCGTGCATTGCGCCGGCGAAATGTCAGGAGGTCGTAGGAGAGATATTGTTCACGTCAATTATCGTTCTTACGATAGTGTACAGAGAATTGTAGCGGTCGATGATAACGGGACATGTACTTGATGCTTTAACAATTGAAAGAAGTCCACGGACGAGGACAAAAGGATTACTCAACGTTTACCTATTACGTTCTAAACGACTGCTTCAACGTGTTCTTTCATAGCCACGTAACCGAAGTACGATAAAAAATAAAAAAGTATATACGTGTATTCAATCATACATCGCCATTTCGTAAGAGCTGGATTTTTTGCTCCCATTGTTCCTCATGTTCCCCATTGTCACTGTTTATCACTTAACGTACAAGAAACAATTAGTAACGTTCGATACAGATACGCACAATTTTTTACGTTATGTCGCTATGAGTTCCCTTAAGGTGATGTGAAAGTGTATCGATGACAATGTACGTGGCGGTCATACGCGTAATCGTCCATGAGAAATACCGGCTGTTGGCACTACAGAATGAACCTGGAAACGAAACAATGCTGACGAAACAGAGTACTGTTTCGAGAAAGACATTATCCGCCCGGACTAACAAGCGTTTTTCTTTCCTCGTCCTTTTTTTAACACGAGGAAGAATACGCGCAAATTGCGACGAACAAGGAATGAACAAGTCGAAAAGTGCTGCCACGTCTTGCCAAAAATCGTTCTTTGTTCAGGGATAATGGATAAGGGCGAAAAATTGCGAAGACTAGTGTCGAATGGTGTTTCGAGATTGACAACGCTCGAGTACGATGAGTAACAACGAATAATAAGCTCCTTCCTCGTTACTTTCGGACGTTAACGGAGCAATGTGGAGGTTGTAATGTTGTTGTTGGATTAAGCTCGTCGTTATGGGAATTATGTAGGACGAGTGATGAGCTACTTTCAGTCCGCCATGGCAATTTGGAAAATGAAGTCTCTTCCGATGAAACATTAAGTGGCTGCTCGCCTTATCGGATAGTGATTTATTGCAAGGAATCATGCACAATCAATTTGCACCACTCCGGGAATAATTGAACGCAACTGGTGCTAAGCCTGTGTGCAGGATAAAGTCCTCTGCGGCTGAATAAATCAATCCTCTCCGAATAAACAGAACGTTTCTTCTCTGCTCTACTTCTGGCGAGCGCCATTTTCTCTATTAGCTAATGTTAAACTATTGCAAACATTTCCAGCGTCATCCCCTCTGGCAGCGAATATTGGAAATATGTCGGTATAATATTTGTCCAATATTTACTATCGGCTGAATTGGGTAATTATTTCAATTGAATTCATTTGAGATAGGTATCTTAATTGCGGCAATTTACAGCGATTTCTCCTTGCGATTTATGGATTATTTTTGTGATTTCGAGCAATAAGATCCAGGATTTCCTGAGTGAATATCCTCTAGCGCGACAATGTACATGACAAATCGATCGGAGTTACTTTCTTCGTAACATCCGTTTCCATGTTGATCAACGATCCGTGGATCGCAGTTTCATTGCGGCACATTACCTCATTTAAATTCCAGGTTCGTTTCTGCGATCATGAGTAGTCGCTATTTCTTGCCGATACGTAAGCGCGCTTACGCATAGTTCGTTATGTATCGGTACCCTCTTTGAAGAGCTACACTGCTGAACATATCTTTATTATGCGAAGGTTAACATCCGAGATGGCCTTCGCCTATATCCACGCAAATTATTCTCATTTTATCTCATAAGGTGTTTGGCCTCTAATGAGGAAATATCGATCCGAAGAGCAGAAAACGAAATGACCGCCCTCCATATATAGTAGTTTTCAGAAGTGGACCGGGGTTAAGGCGGTTCTAAAATCACTCATTGAAATAATTCTGCTGATCCTGGTTGGATAGAGATAAATGAAAAGATTCGGTTAATTCGCTGACGATGTTGCGACGCAGTGTACGTGCGTAAAGAGTTACGTAAACGCAAGTTAAAAGCGCCGACGTCTGTCGTCAAGAATCCTTGAGTAATTCGAAAATAGTTTCATTCATTCATTCCTACCCGGAACCTTGCACTCGATAGTAGGCAACTGCTTGGCCAAGCAGCATTCGACATGTAGCATGCACCGCTTTTATAGTCGAGTCCTTCAGCTTTTGGCGACAATTCAACGTTCTCTCGTGCGGAACATCCAGAGAGAAAGAGCCTAAAGAGAGCCGGAATAAGACGCGCGGAAATGACAATCTGTAGTGACAATTATGTGTATAGTATCTCATAATTTCACGACATTAGTCTAACGTGATACGGACTTGGCAGACATCCTCCTACCAAAGGAAGCAGCGACATGAAAACGTAAGACCAACGACTTCGAAGCTGTTCAAACCCGACAATTTGTCGCATTATGTAATTAATAATATGAGCCGGCCGTCTATAAAGGCGTTACACAATGGCGAATATCTCGGGACGCGGCGTATTGTACAAAGATATTGTCACATAAAATATTACGTCGATAACGTTTGTGATACAAGCGCTATTCACGTTTTCACGTGGGAATTGTCCTGTTTGCAACGGATCCGCATTCAATGTTTAACCGAAGGTCTCCCTCTCCCATGGGCCGAAAGAATTTCTTCACCGGTTTCTTGCGGCATTAAATAAAACGTAACCATGAATTTACAAGCTGTAGGTCTGATGTACACATCAGAATTTGTCCTCACTTTTAAATAGACTTTTAATTACTTTTAATCACCACCACGCGATACGTAATTATGATTTTATAAGGATAACAATATGTCTCGAAATGGGAAATATGTCCTCACCTCGGCTGAATTCGAGTACCTTCACGAGCAACGAATGCGTCTTCTCTGTCGGACTTACTCGTTTTTATGTCTCGAGAAATGTTTCTCCGCGACACGGTGATAGTATCCGAGGAAAAAGGGACTCGCGGTGGCGAAATACAAGCACGGCTTCACTGCTGAAAGTCACGCGTACGTTCAATTGAACGGAAACTCGAGACTCGCGAGGCGCCGTCAGTCGTTCTGGCGCCAAGGATGGCTATTGTTCCGTTCGAACTGACTCGAAATCGAATTCAACGGTTACGGCGCGAGCCTCGCCACCTAGCGGAGATCCGCGGAAACTGCTACTCGACGCGCTCGCCGCTGTGTCGGCAACGACGGTTGTGTACTGGTGGTAATTTCTGTATCGAAAATCACTGACCACTAAATTGCCATTCCTTCCCCGCATGAAACTACATTAACAGGTCGGGGGTTCAGTAAGTATGCACAGTCGCGTACTTTATTTTTAAACACCAAAAGTGACGTCTTCAACGTCTCGGTATACAATCCTAAGATAATCATTATTCGACAACTCCAAGCGTCGTTAAAGTGATGTGAACTCTGCCGGGGCATTAACCGAGATTAGTGATTCAAAATCCGATATAATCTGTCATTTCGCGGACTGTTAAAAAAGTGCGCCATTTTTCAAAACGTCAAGCCTCCGTTTAAGGTCCTAGACCGAAGAAGGACGCACTTTTCAAGGGAGAACATCTGTACATCCGTAAATTCCCTAGGAGATCTCACATCACCTTAAGGAGGTTAGGTGACCATTTACCACGCGAATTTACCGACGACCTTAATCCCTCGTTATTTCTCGAAACTCAGGGAACTTAACGAAACATAAAGGCATGAACATCAGCACAAAGGGACTCGTTTATTAACTAACAGGAAAACTCGGTAGAAACACTAATATACACGATGATTCGAATCAGGGTTGTGCAGCGACGCGTCATTCGATATTTTTTTACGTAAAATACTTAAGGGCAATACTTTTACATAAAATCCGTGTAAAATACCTAACAAATTCCACGACAAAGATAGCAGTACCGTAACCTCACTTTTTCAAAGTGGTCAAACCATACGTCACTTACGAATAAACATTTTAATCAAGAAAAGAAAAGAACAAAGAATAATGGCAAGTAGAAGCGAACCATAGAAAACGATCTAGGCTTCGAAATTCCACTTTTCCATACAATCCAGGGAAAACGTTGAATTTTAAGCGCATCAGGAATAGCAACTGCAAAAACATAAGTCATATAATTTCCATCACGTACGAAATTTGTAATTTAAAATACCTAGTAACTTACAGTAAAAAAACCTACGTAAATTACCTAGGGTATTTCGCTTACCCAACCCTAATTCGAGCGCGTGTAACATACCATATCTAGTTCCCTAGGCGGGAATTTTCGGGTGTTTCCTCGATGGAAGTTGTCACTAGACCGATTGATCGAATGCTAGTTCTTTCAGCGGTAGGAATAGAGGGCGCCAAGAGGGTTTCGGCATCCATTTGTGCCCGAATTAACAGAAAATCTAGAAATCGGTAGACTGGCATGGTAAGGATTCCCCTTGGGGCCTTTCCTAGGGAAAGCTCTTCGTTCGGACCCGCGCTTTCGATTGGGAGCTAATCGGGATCGATCGATCGATTCGATTGGCCGCCTCGGGCTACTGGTTACTTTTAGGCGACTAGAACTCGTACGGGATGGCGAGACGGGATATGTCGATGGGATATGTCGATGGGTGGCCATGGGGTGACTTATCTCGTTAGAGGAAACGTCGAGGAGGACGGCGCTGCGAGGGGCTACTCTTATCGTTAGAGGGCAAAGACGATACGAGGGGGAGGCGAGAAGCGAAGCATCCTCCCCCGCGTGGCTTCTTCATCGCGGCGAGATTTCCCTCCCTTTCCTCTAGCTCTCTCCTCTGCTCGTCGTCTCGGTAGAAAACACCTCAGCCGGTCGAGATTCGCTCGGGAAACAGAAGCGAACGACCGCGCAGCGTTCACCGTGGCCAGATAGCTGGCAAAATAAGAGAGAAGAGGCCGACGCCGTGGAGGAGCGTTGCACAACCCAAGATGGCGGACCCGCGGTTCGACCCTGCCCCTCGAGCTGCCTCGGCCAGACCTGGAAATACGCGTTTATTATGAGTTAGAAGGGGGAAAAAAAAAAACCTAATCGTTTCAAACTTTACCACCTGAATATGGAGGTTATGAAGAAGGGCCTGATCCCCATGAAATTTCAATTCTATGAAAATTTATGTATAGAGGTTCTCGTGATTTTTTTTTTTTTTTAAATCTCCCGAGTTTCAGGACCTACCTTAAGGTCTCCGTATTCACGTTGTAAAGTTTGAAACGACACCTCGGATCCCACTTTCGCACCCCCTTAATTTCAGTTGATCTTTTGTCGATAGCAGCCAGAAGGGATCTATTCGATCTATTTTTTTTTCCCCAGAGTGTATTTTTATCTAGAATATGACTTCTTTCACTGAGTGCGAGTTTCTTCACTCTAACGCAGTAATCAAGGGGCTATTCACTTTGAAATTTCCTTCTTCGAGAGTCGATTGCCTTTGACTTTGTATGATAAAGAACAATGCCATCCGATAAGTGACGGTCGGCCTTAAAATCGGGACAGTGTTTGGTGATTTGCAACGATTTTCAGGGATTTCCAGACTGATTTGCATACGACTTCGACCGTTAAGATTCATGATTTCCTGAGTGAATACCCCCTCGTAATTAATATTCACCGCCGATGAAGGATATGTGGTCCTTCCCGCGGGTCGCTCCGTCCAAGTCATTGGTCATCCCAATTGCTGCAACGAGAAGAAACTAGTTAACGAAATCCACGAGGGGGGGAAAAAAATGAAGGAAAAAAATATTTAACCCCTTGATACGTACCGTATAATCTAATGGTGCCGTCGGCTTTGCCAAGGCTGTTGGTGGAGACGCACTTGTAGCTACTCTCGTCGTCTTTCGTGAACTTCTTAATGACGAGCGACATCTGTACGGTGTACTTGGTCTTCACCTCGTTGAGGATATATTTAGGGCTGTAAAAGAAATTATTGTCATCTGTCGTCTATACAGATTTTAAATATTTAACCTTAAGAGGTTTTGCTAATTTCCCCCTAGCACATTAAATTATATCTCTTGGAATTTATCTTCACCTCGGTTTAATACTATTTCCCTTGCGACACGTTGCTGCAAACAATTGTTAAATACGGCTGATCCTTCGGACGCCACTTGCACATCCCCTTAAGGTCTTGCAATAGAAGGAGTTGCCCTCCACCCACTTTCTTTTTTTTTTTTTTGTAATCGCGATACGCGTTTTCTCTATTGGGGTAGCAGTACATATCTGTATGTCTATGTCGAAGGTGTCTCACCTGGTAAGGATCATTCCCTCGTCGTTTTTCACCCAGAAATTGATGGTGTTGGGAAAGGCTTCGACGAAACACTCCAAATGAACGTTTGTGCCGACAGGTGCGCCAAGAAGCTGATTGGGTACCTTGACGACCGGAGCGACTGGATGTCAGATCGATCAAAATGCATGCCATTGTGTTACAAGTCAATGCGTCATCACCTTAAGGCGTTACGAAAGGGTCATCCAATATATATATATAAACGTTAAAATATTTATAAAACTCTTCGCGTGTTAAAGTTGCCGAAAAAAATCCTCCGACTAAATATGCCCAATGAAATGTCAGATTGAATGGACGAAATTCCTATCGGTCAACGATGTCATTTTTCGTCTGGACAAATTAATTGTTCCTTGCGATTATGTACGACTCAGGCAACAATTTACGCATATTTCTTAAAGGTCTGCATATATGAACTATATATATTTGTTTATGTCAATTAATCTTCTTTCTCGCCTTTTGTTTCTAAAATGACCCTTTTGTATCACCTTAACGGACATTGGATAATTATGCGTGCATATTCAATTTTATGTCACGTCGTACAGTTAACGGCGAGCATGACTCGTTTGCTGACGGTGGGTGGAACATTGTTGCTCGCTATGCAGAGGTACATGCCCATCTGCGCCCTGTCGATCCGATAGAAATGAAGGACCGACCCGTTGTAGACGTCCGTCTCTCGCCGAGCGATGCTTCCTTGGGAGGAGGAAGAGGGCACTTTTATCACGATGGACTCGCCATCTTCCCTCTTCCACGAGATTTTCGGCGTCGGTTTTCCAGTGGCCCGACAGCTCAGGGTGGCGTTGTCGCCTTCGGAAACGGCTAAATCCGTACTCGTGTCGCTTCCGTCGATGATCTGGGGCGGAACTGCGGAAGAAATTTGCGATTCGTTAACCAAAGTCGATCACCCGAATTCAATTAATCAAATTCCTTCCCTACGTGTACTGACGCAAAAATATTAATCTAAATACGAAGAAAGTCAGTGCTTCACTTGTCGTTGCGTTGCAATTAATCGCACGCGACTTACATCGTATACTGTTAAATATATTCACGTCACGCTATTAAATAAACTCACGTGGAAGCATTTTGAATTTCCCGGCGAAGCGCGAGTGGGTGGGTGGGGGTAGACGGGCGGTGATTGGCGCGCGCCGCAAGAGTGGGGAAAAGGGGCGGGGCCATGGCTAGCCCGACGCTATATAAGGAGCGCCGTCCGCTTATAACTCAATTAATTAGATCAAGCGACTGTTGGCCGCTTGGATGGCGCAGCGCAGAGGTCGTTACGGGGAAAGGCGAAGTTCCATATCCCCGGTAAGCCGAGTTATGCGAGAGAAATTTTCGAGTCCATGTGCTCATTAAACGTAAATATCATTAGGCGATAATATCCTTATGGAACTGTTCGGGTAAAGCGTTTCGAATGTTCCGATATAACGCTAAACGGGGACGGCGAGAGCTGATTGGCGCGCGCGGAGGAGTGGGGGGCGCGGACCAGCGGAAGGCTATAAAAGGCCGGCGATCTGTTCACCGTCCGTCAGTCGGCGCGGCGCAGGGGGCGCTGCAGGGGAGAGTAAAGTCTCCTAATCCGCGCCTAATCCGCGAAGCGTAAAAAGCTTAACAAGCGCATTCGCCAGTCCTAGGAATTCATTGGTATGTTCTAAACGAGTCTACTAGTATTAGATTGGTCCTTTTGCCCAAATTTTGGAAGGCAGGTGTTTTAAAACGGCAGTTTACCGAGGATGTCCAGACATCCCAGGTTGGAGATCATCGGACTCGTGTTGATCTGGCACATGTAGCAGTCCTTGTCGGACTCCTTCAGCTGGCGAATGTGGAGTTGCCAGGTTCCGATAGTGGATTCCTCCGTGGACGTGCTACTTCCAGTTACATTTGTACCGTGAGCTCCGACCTCGTAGGTCACCGATATCCGGGGATTGTGAGTGACCGTCCTCTTGTGGATCGAGAGTATCGTCTGGTCCGAAGCTCGCAGCCATCCGACCTGGGAGAGAAGACTAGTTTTAGTTAATTTTACGCACACCTTTGATGTACACATCAAGCACACTTTGTAACAGTCACAAAAAAAATTTCATTGAACCAAAGAAATGTTTTCACTTATTGGTACCAATGAAATATTTCATTGAACAATACTAAAACCAAGTGCATTTATCTTTACTCGATTAATTGCGGAGGTAGCTCAAGCTGCCTCTTTCCCATGAAAAGCTCAAATCAACTATTCTTGCCAAATGTGGTAGAACGTTTAGTCAACTAAAATCCCAGGTGAAATCTTTTGGTCAGGTGTCACGGTACATTTTGTTTCGCCTATGTTGCGTGAACATGATTATCTAATTCCTCATATCACGAGGGGTTATTTATTGGTAACTCGAAGACGAAACGATGAGGCCCGTTTATAAACGCTGCGGCCGGATCGGCAAAGAAACATTGCGAGTACACGATCGAATAATTGTACCGAATGAGCTTACCCAATATGCACCGAGTGCATACTCATTGCTCGTACCGAGTCAACGTACTGAATAATTATACCGAATGCGCATGAAGCGCGCGCACCGAATACACAGTCGGATAATTGCATCGCGAGGCGAATTTAATAGAAGGAATTACTGTCTCTATTCTATATAATCTGTGGTAATTTAAGCGTGTACAGGATATCGGGGAAAATGATTAGAACGTGTCGTTACGTTTCCCGGTCTCCTGGAAAGAGAAGAAATCGATCTTCCTCGAGCTCGAATCGTAATCACGGCGTCCCAGTGATTTCCCTTAAAATGTGCGTTTTGCAATTACGCGATGCAAGCTTAAGGTGACGTCGAAGTGGCATCTGAGGCGTAAATCAAGCTTTTCACCGAGCTGGGTGTACCGAATCGTTAGACATTTTACCACGTGAATGTGGAGACCCTAAAGAAGGTCCTGAGACCAGAGAATTTAATTTCTTAGCTCTAATGTGAGAAACGAAATTGTCAGGACAATTGTCCAAGGATTTAGGAGACTCTGGTAATCAAGAGACTCGCATTTGACCGGGATAAAGGCAAAAAAGTGACTCATGAGCTACTATGCTAATTGTAAGGCGAAGGTAACACCAGGTCCCGGGGAGGAAATCTCATTGGCACCGAAATCACAGATGGCGCAGGGTGGCACTCTGCAGTCAATTAGGGTATCAAAAACCACGAATGTGGAGTGTTTTTTCGATTTATTTTTAATTATCGTACGGAAACGACGCATGGTGTATTTAATAAGGTACCCGACATAATTCCACTCAGCTGTCCGATATAAATACCAACGTCAGCAACGTGGGTATTTAGAGGAATCTTTTTTAATAACGGAAACGACACATGGAGTATGCTTTTTGACCGACGTCAAATCTCGCGACGTGTTTCATTTTACCTTAAGCCTTGCAAATCTGGGAAATCGGAGCCGGAATCCGGCTTTTCGCACAAACCTGGTACTTTCCGATGTTGCGTACGCTGCACGAGAAGACCGTCTCTCGACCAATCGCGGCGGTCTGATTTCCCATGGGCGCAGCGAACGAAGGGGGCGTGATGCCGACTGCCGAATCTGCAAAATAAACGGACTTTGACGGTTCGGGGATGGAAATCGGCGGATTCGTTGCCGGGCATCTCCGACAACGGGCCTCTATTTTATAGACCCCCTCGCGACAGATCGATCCTGTTCCCTCAGCCGAAAGAAACGGAATGCCAAGACCGTTTCCAAGGCGCTCGTCCGCAGACCCTTTCGGACACCCGTGACTCTAAAGTCGGGTTATACACCTTTAAGGTGATGCGAAAGTGAACGAAGGGTCCCCATGATACTTTTCTCTAAACTAGACGCACCGATCCCTCTGAAACTTTACCAAGTGAATTGTCAGACTCTAATTAACGGCCTTAACACCCGTGAAAATGTCTAATTTTCAGAATTAATGTTTATAAATCACAATTATCTTTATAAATGTCTCTGTACTCTTTATGGATAATTAATGTTTCGTAGACGTCGGGGCCTTTTTTTAAGACCACTCCGGTAGAACTATAATTTCATACACCCAGTTCGCAGGGAAGTCTGCTTAAACGGCTGACGCCGTTTTCACATCACCTTAAGCCATAAAACTGCCGTGTAAAGTGATGTTACTACGGTAAATCCGTTTTTAACGCCTTAACAAACGCATCGTATAACAAGTTTACCGGGATAAAGTGCCTAGGCGATTCATTGTGTCGCAAGGAAGGGGCTGTATATGTTTTCCGACTTCTAACTGGCGAACTTTCGACGCCGTAAAGAAAGGGGGAAAAAAATCGGATAAGTGGGACTCGGTTCACTCTTCCTGATTACCCATTAAAGATGTCATTTCTTTACGGATAATCAGCCTCCAAGGTCCCCTTAACTTGCGGGTGCTCTTCTTACCGTAATGTAACCGCACGTACACCGAGTAAGCCATTAATCCCTGTACATATCCCCTACGGGGTCTTTGATTAGTTGACCAGGGGTGTTAACGATACGGCTGCTGCAACTTGCGAGTATGGAACAACAATTGCACCGGATGTTGCCTTTCGAGAGCGACTAGGCAGGGAATTTGTTCGAACCGATCGGACGAACAATTCGCCTTCCACTTAACGAAGCGACAATTGTAACTCGTATTACCCTAAGTTAAGGTAAACTTGTTAAACGGAAGAATTCCACTCGTGGAAAAGTTTGCAAACGGCGAGCCTCGCGATCGCCACGCTACTCGTCGAGATGCTTCTTAATTATTTCTACAACTCGTTTAAGGTGTTATGAAAGTGTTATATATAAGTAAAAGTAAATCGTTAATTGACCGTGTTTTTAATATGGGTATACCTAATTATTCGACATGTTACCACGTGAGTATAGAGGCACTAAGGAAGGTCCTGAGATCCATGAAATCCCATTTTTTAAATAGGTTTCAAATTGTTTATGATGAAATTCTGGAAAACGACGAAAAATAGAATTTCACGGGTGTTAAGACCTCCCTTAGAGCCTCCAAGTTCACTTGGTGAAGTTTCAAACGAATCGGTGCATCCAGTTTAGCGAAAAGTTTTACAAACGAGAGCCCTCCGACGGCACTTTCATATCGCCTTAAAGTGGAATTCCCCCCACTGGTGGAAAAGTTTGCCACCGAGAGTCGCGATCGTCACGCTTTTCGCCGAGGTCCTTTTTAATTATTTCTACAACTCTTTTAAGTCATACTCTAGGAAAGTAACGTCGAGGTACATGCGCCGAGCTCGTCCGAATCCAGAGGTCAGACAGCCAACGAGGTTAATTCCCAGTCGTGTTAACAATTAGACCGGGCCAATTTGAAAGTGCAACACCAGAGTTACGTTTAAGGTGGAACAGAATCGCCAAACCGTGTTGCGAGGTCGCTGTAAAGTTGCAAGTTACTCATCTATTTTTACGACGTCCGTCACCTACTCTTACAATGGAGCCAACGCGACCTAGACTGAAAGTCTGGCTATTCATAAACGTCTTTTTAACGAGGATCGAACCGAGGTGCGGAATACCGAATGATCGTAACAACCTACCCGCTATTGTAGCCCGGTACAGTCGTTGAAGATTTTAGTGCCCATACAATGCAACGTTTGCAGCACCGACAGGGATTGTTTGGTACCGAAGTCAGCCGACAGAAATTCGGGGCACGTTCTTTGCGGCGGTTCCTGGGAAACTTCCTAAGGTCCCGGACGACTTCGGCAAAGAGAAGTCCTCCCACGTGCACCCGGTAAATGGCTAACCACGTATGGAGGACTAATTGGGCAGCGATAACTACTCATGATAGTGGTACGGCACAGTAGTTACGTTGGTAAATTCGTTTGATGGACTTGAACCTTGGTTGAACCCGTGGAAACTATATGACCGTGAATTTTGACGTAGAAAAGTATTGCGGCACGTTTGCTGTTTCGTTTCCTAGTCACGAGCTGAAACCACGGAGAGAGGACTAATTGGGTTGTGGAAACTACTCGTGGTACTAGTATGGCACAGTAGTTAGATTGGTATGTTCATCGGATGAACTTGAACCTTGGTTGAACCCGTGGGAACGATATGACCGTGAATTTTGATGTAGAAAAGTGTTGCGGCACGTTTGCTGTTTCGTTTCCTAGTCACGAGCTGAAACCACGGAGAGAGGAAACTACTCGTGGTACTAGTATGGCACAGTAGTTAGATTGGTATGTTCATCGGATGAACTTGAACCTTGGTTGAACCCGTGGGAACTATATGACCGTGAATTTTGATATAGAAAAGTGTCGCGGTACGTTTGCCGTTTCAATGCCCGTTGGAACTAAAACCACGGAACCGGAGTCAATTGACCAGAGAGGTACTCAAAATGCTATTGGGTCGTTTCACAAGTTTACGGAGAAATTTGTACATTCAGAAATTTATTCTTTCGCAACGAAACGAAATAGGTATTTCTTCACTTCTTGCCATCTCGTTTAATCCGAGCGTGGAATTATTTATAATATAAAAAAAAAACATTCGATCACGAACTTACGAATCATCCCAATGGTATGTCACAGTAGTTACAGGAGAAAATTCAACGGATGAAACTACACCTTGACCGAACCGTTGTAGAAAAGATACGACCTTGTATTCTTACGTATAAAAGTCTTTCACATATGCAAATTCGACAATAATCTAATCTAAAGACCCGGAGTCACGATCAATCGATCAAGGAGAACCACACAAACTACTTGGGCACAGTAGTTCCAACGTTAACTTAAATCGCTAAGGCCAGCACCAAAGTTCCTCGGTCGTGAAAAAAAACTACGACCCGATGACCTGATAACCTGATACCGAAAGTGTAGCATCAAGTTCGGTGTATCGGCAGTCATCAAATCTAAAACCCCGGAGCGAGGACCAACCGACCAAAGCGAACTACACAAACTACGGCACAGTAGTTCCATCATTTACATAAACCGCCAAGACCAGCACCAGAGTTCCCTGATAATTAAACAGAAAATACTACAAATCCTGATACCGAAAACAATGGCATCAAGATTGCCGTCTCCCCAGTCATCAAATCCGAAACCTCAAAACCAGACCGAGGACCAACCGACCAAGAACTACCCAAAATCCTACGGCACAGTAGTTCCAAGTGTTCCGAGATTCGCCGGAGTTCCCGGATCCCGGGAAGACCCGATCCACCGTTCGATGGATCAGAGAGAGACCGTTGGATCGGGATCAGAGAGAACATTGGCAGCGGGAGGGAAGCAACCGCGGCGCCGCAATTACAAGCCGCGCCGGCCGTGGAGGTCCCGTCGGTACACAATCGGAACCCACCGAAGTTGAGGATCAGGAGCGCGATCGGCACGATCGCCCCGAGCCTCGAGCACATTCCTCGGGGTGGTTTCTACAGCTGGCGGACGTGCCCGTCGCGAGGGCTCATGTCCGAGGGTCCGTTCCGGAGAGCGGCTAGCCAGGAGCGGAGGTCCCGGCAGATCCCGGTAGATCCCGGCGCGTCCCGGGACGAACTGCCCGGAGCCCTCGGAGGACTCCCCTCTCCTCGCCGCCCTCTTTGCCGCACTTTTTCTACCCTCGGCCGGGACCCGGGGAGCGCCTGCGCCGGGAATCCCGGAGCGCCGAGCGCCCTGATGCCCGGGATACCCGGCGCTAGCCCGGCGTCCCGGCGCCCCGGCGCCGGCCAGGCTAGCTACGCGCCACCAGCTACGCCGCTAGCTACGGCCCGGCTACCTCGCCAGCTACGCCACCAAATCTACCGCGCAACGTTGTAACGAGTTTCGTTACGCGCGGACGCGCCGGGCGTCGCGCGCCGACCCGGCTGCCCAGGTCGAGGAGAGCGGGCTGCTTCCCCGCCGGGACTGCCGACGGGGTCGCGGGATGCGACCGTGAGAGGGGCTGCAGCGCGATTTCAAGGCTGGAGAGCAAAGGTTTGGGTGATGGGGAAGGGAACCCCGACGTTTTGGCACCGATGCCGGTTAAGAGGATGTCGAAATTTAGGTAGCGACGCTGGTTACGTCGAAAGGATCGAACCGATTTAAGCGCAATTTGGGTGACTAAATGAAAAAGTGTCCTGGCTCCCAAACTAAGACGGGGATCGCTTCTTGCGATCTTTTGCAGGGATGGAAAATGATTTCAAGGGTGGAGAGGAAGGGCTTGGATGACGAACCGATTTAAGCGCAATTTGGGTAACGAAACGAAAAAGTGTCCTGGCTCCGGAACTAAGACGGGGATCGCTTCTTGCGATCTTTTGCAGGGATGGAGAATGATTTCAAGGGTGGAGAGGAAGGGCTTGGATGACGAACCGATTTAAGCGCAATTTGGGTAACGAAACGAAAAAGTGTCCTGGCTCCCAAACTAAGACGGGGATCGCTTCTTGCGATCTTTTGCAGGGATGGAGAACGATTTCAAGGGTGGAGAGCAAGGGTTTGGATGACGAACCGATTTAAGCGCAATTTGGGTAACGAAATGAAAAAGTGTCCTGGCTCCGGAACTAAGACGGGGATCGCTTCTTGCGATCTTTTGCAGGGATGGAGAACGATTTCAAGGGTGGAGAGGAAGGGTTTGGATGACGAACCGATTTAAGCGCAATTTGGGTAACGAAACGAAAAAGAGTCTTGGCTCCCAAACTATGTGGGAGGTTGCTCCTTGCGATCGTTTGCAGAGCTGGAGAACGATTTCAAGGGTGGATAACAACCGTGTTCCGTTTTGGACGCTGGTTAAAGGGACGTAAAAATGTTTGGTACTGACGCCGAGGAAGAGGATGCTTAAGTCGATCGTGAAGATTGAATCGGAGCAATTTAGGTAGCGAAAGAAAAAAGTGTCCTGGCTCCCAAACTACGACGGGGATCGCTTCTCGAGACCGTTCGCAGAAGTGGACCGTGATTTTAAGGATGAAGCGTAATGGTATTCCGTTTCACACCCAGGTTAAGGGGATGTCGAAATTTTCCTAGCGACCCTGATTAACGGGACGCTTAAGTCGATCGAATGGATCGAATCGATCCAAAGTAAATTTAGGTAACGAAATGAAAAAAGGACCCAGGATGTTGTAAGGGAGACCAGACGATAGGGAATCGCTTATCGTGACCGTTAACGGAACACGCTGTGCGACCTCGTATGTAGAGCATAATGTCGTCCATTTTGGATGCCGATTAAGAGGACGCCGAAATTTGACTAACGACACCTCTTAGGAGGACCCTCTTGTGGATCGAAAGGATCTAATTGATCCGAGGGAAATTTGGGTAACGAAGCAAAATCGATGCCCGGGCTGCTGCGCCGGGAAATTTCGACTCCCACTCGATGATAGGGAATCACTTCTTATGCCCGTTGATGGGGTTTGAAGCACGACATCATATGTGGAGCATAAAGGTCTATTCACACACATCTGCACCGTGTCTGTAACCTATCTGTGAAGTGCACGCCGGTGCACCGATAGGAATAACGTCTACATAGATTTATATTGAGGTATTCATACATTTCCGTATCCATACTGATAAGGAACTGATACGGAAATGCATGAATACTTCGATATAGAGCTCTCACTTCCATGTAAAAGTTACCCTATATTTCGTCGCCAAGAAAACCGGCGACTCTTCCGGGAACATCCGACAGTTTTAAATGTTCATAAACGGCCGTTATGACGTCCTCTAGGAGACAGTTACATGATAATTAACCATTGAGACTTACCACTTAACATTTTACGATTATAAATAAATTTAAGCCCTTGTGTTTACGTATTTGGCGTGAAACTCTACCACACCACGTGACATCTTAACCGCCGCCATATTGCAAAATCGAGTTTCAACCTTTTTCCGCATTTGGAGGTAATTAATAGGGTATTACATGCAAATTATACATGTAATACATACTTTTTCCAGAAAAACCCACCGAGGGAGAACTTGTAATATTTCAGGTACAAATCTAAGACGACATTTCCATATATGCACGTATACGTCATGAACACGGTATGGATATATCTGAATCGGCCTTAAGGTTCCTGGTTAGTCCATGGGGGAGGAAATGTGGAACCTAAGGCGTATTTAATGGGGGATGGAGTCATCGAGCTGGGATTACCCCGTGTGTTTTCAGAGGATGTGAAATTCCCAGATGGTATGGGTTTTCGGAGCCTTAAGGTGGCTACACGCCTGGCGATAAATTCTGAACATTTCAGATTTCTACAGTCAAGTCGATATTCCATTTCTTCGTTTCGTCGGTTTGCAGAGATTCGCCGATGGGTTTTTAGCAAGATTTGCCAGTGGGAGCTCTGTTTCTTAAATTGATTCGCTTATGGGGAATGAAAACTCGTCATTCGAGGTTGTTGCGATTTTCGTTGCATGCGGATGCGCCATGAGGACCGACGAAGACCTGGATCTTGGGGGAATTTTTCCTTACCTACCTTGATAGGACTTCGAGGCAAATGTGATATGCAGATGGGGATAATATTATACCATTTTGAGGAGGTAAGATTCTTCGCGCGGGGGGAGGGATTCCCAGCTAAACGGGAAATAAATACAGCACCGAGACGAAGTAATCTCTGCCGTGCAGACGCTTCTTACGACTCTTTCCGGAATGGAGAAATATTCAGAATGAGAGTATATAACCTGCGTATATACCTTCCGCCCAACAATTAATGGATGGACGAATAAGGCAATTAATGAGGATTAGCAGTAACGAAGATAAATGATATTTATTTTGCCCGAGTTTCGTTATGCCGGGTACTCCCTTGCGGGACGAGGACGAGGACGAGGAAAAGTGGGAAACTGATTCTTATGCTGATGGAAATTCGAGGAGGGGAAAATCTCCGACATCTACGATTACGGCGGTGGACATTTTTCCGGAAAATCTTATATGCTACATCAAGAGACAGGAAGTTATTCCAGCGGAAATACAGACGATATCATTCTCCGAGAACGGATTACTAGTGATTTCCTAGATACGAGAATGCGATCCAGTGATAAGCGATATCTATATATTTTACACGATTTCCAATGACTCTCTAATATCTCTATCATACATTTCTCTTACATATTTATACGTTTCTATTACTGATTTCTTGTCTGAAGAATTTCAGACCTTACAATTACGTTTAGTTAACGTCACATCAATGACACGTAAATCATTTGACATAAATGCATGTTCCCCCGGATAAAAAATCCCAATACCCGAAACATCACTCTCTAACCGAGAGTAATTGTTTATGATTTATTTTACACCAAACGATTTTTTTTTTTATTGATTTTCAATGATTCCTAACGATTTCCACTGTCGTCGTTGCTTGTAAGGGATTTCGAAACGTTGTACGATAATGCTCTTGATTTACAGATAATGATTTCCATCATTGAAGTACGTGGTTTCTGGAGGTTGGAGTTAAAGAAGAATCGGATTGGAAAAATGTTATGGGGAGATACGGAGCCATCGAACCTCATGGGGTTCAAGAAACGTCCCCGTCCTCTGATCGGATAGTCATCGCGATATTAGTTAGGATCAGGGCTGTCCGCCAAGATTGGTATCGAGGATTCTGCCGCCTTGTAGAGATTCGTACTGGATTTGTACCCAGATTATGCCGAATCTGTACGTGGTTCGCACCTAGATTGTACCGAATCTACATGGATTGGACGTGTCTATGAACAATTCGTCCAGAGTATGTCAAATCTTAGTACCATATCGAATCCGTTCTGGGTCTCGATAAGTCATTACTGGGCGAAAAATCCAATTTCTAAGGGAAATTAATTACTTGCAACAATCTAAATGTTCCTTGCTAAAGGTACCGAATCTACATGGATTGGACGTGTCTATGAACAATTCGTACAGAGTATGTCAAATCTTAGTACCATATCGAATCCTTTCTCGGTCTCGATAAGTCATTACTGGGCGAAAAATCCACTTTCTAAGAGAAATTAATTACTTGCAACAATCTAAATGTTCCTTGCTGAAGATATTCCTTGACTCCAGTAAAACGCAACATTTCGTCGTTGCCCGCGATCGATGAAAACGGCCTCGATCGTTGCGTTTCTTCCCATCGATTTTTCTTCATCATTAGTTAATGTAGATCTATTGACGCAAAATTTATCTTATGAATTTCTTTTTTCGTGGATTGTGATTTTATATCAACCAACTTGCTCCTCTCGTCGGTAAGCCTGGCGGTGTAACATTTTGTCGTTGTCCGCGATTGATGGAAACAGCCTTGATCGCTGCGATGCTTTCTTCCCTTCGACGTTTCTTCATCGATATTAGCCAACAAAAAATCTATTAACGCAAAATTCAATATAAGAATTTCTTTTTTTCTAGAATGTGATTTTATGATATCAACCAATTGTACTCCTCTCATCAAGATTACCGCAAACCTGGCGACGCAACATTTCGTCGCTGCCCGCGATTGATGGAAACAGCCTCAACCGTTGCGATGCTTTCTTCCCTTCGACGTATAACCTGGGTGTGCGTGCCCTCGAGGTATAAGCAGGGTATGCGTGCTCTTTAAATCAGGCTCCGGTTGGCGCGTGGGGGAAATTCCTGGTCCTGGATGTGTATATCGCCGATCGCGGAGCCATCGACTCGCCGCTTTGCCTCGGCCCGGCATCGGCCGTGTGCCGACAGCGAACGTGCCCGGACATCGATACAGCTCCTGCGCCGCTTCCTCTTCTTCCTCCTCCTTCTCTATCTCCACCGACCACCTCCATGGCCGCCTTTTCCCGGCTCCGCACGTGCGTCCGACCAAATACCCAGGTGAACACGCACGGCATGAAATTAACTGCCTCGTTACTCCCTTTTCTGTTTAAGATGATGGAAGATCCAAGACCGGTTAATTCGATCGAGACCACTAGAAATTCTGTCCGAAGTTTTCCCGCGTGAGAAGGGTCCCAATATTTTCACAATCGTCTTCGAATGAAATATCGACAATGTAGGGACGTTTTTTAGGCGCGAGCGAGTCAGGTGGTAGAATTTCAGCCAGTTCGGTGGGATAGTTTCCGGGAAATGTGATTTATTCGGATCGACTGGTTTTGGGACTGTTTAAGGTGATATGAAAGAGTATATAGCTGAGAAGTCACATCGTCGGCGAAAGTATTCTCCAAATTGGGTGCACCGTTTGAAATTTCACCACGTGAATGTGGAGGCCCTAAGGTAGGTCCTGATAATCCTGAAATTTCATTTTTCGTTACAAATTTATTTATTCATCACGGAGTACGTTTTCGATGTTTTACGCTTCCAGAGGCTCGCAATCGCATAAGACCTACATAAATATAAATGTCGGTAACGGGACGCGCCAGCTTATGTTACCTGTTGAGTATTCAAACGACGTTACCCCGAAAAAGGGTATAGATGAGTTTTAATTTATCGACGTCGATTAAATTTCTCAGCGCCTTTCTTATCATCTCAACCCTGTGTAACCGTTTAAGAAACGGGTTCATTCGCGTTATAGTTCACCCTGCGTCGCAGAGATGGCACCATGAGGTAGAGCTAGCTATCTCACTCCTTCTCATCTACCGCTCATCCTATTCTCTCTTTCTCTCTTGGAGCCTGACGCTCTCAGGTAGATGCTCCATCCCTGTCACTCTTACTGGCCTTGCATAAGCTATTGGGTTTCTTTGTCTCTCACATAAGGTTCTGCGGACGGCATATGTATATACTTACACACGCGTGCGCGTCTTTCTTTACGAGGATGTCTCTCTCGTCTCTCTCCCTGTCTCTCTCTCCCAAACCATCCGTTGACGTCCCATAACGCGCCAGCGGTCGACTTCGCCCGTTTGAGACTCGCACGGCAGGCCTTGGCCCGAAGTGGGGTCTGTCTCGATTCAAATAGCATTCTGGCCTTGATGTTGACATTTTCAAGCATGCCTAAAGAGGGGACTTTTTAACCGAGGACCATGATTTAGCAAACGGCAAGTCTGACCAGTGGCAATTGGTCTCGATGCGATGTCAAAGGTGAGTCCACGCTGCGCGCTTCCCGAAGCCACTTCGCACCTGCAAGTTCACTCGAGTATTTCCGTAACATGTGAGAAAACCGACCACGTGCTACGAAACTGTGATGCGCAATCATTCTATAGTGCTCCCCGAGGTGATTCTATCGTTTGTAAGTATGATACGATATATCTCATCCTTATCAAGTTCTTGTTTACGTTCCTGCTTTTTTTTCCCCTTTTGTTTTGCAGCATCGGCTGCTGGGTCATGTGCCTGCGTTCCTGGTTTTTTCCCTTTTGCTTTCGCAGCATCGACTGCGTGGTTGAGTGCTTACGTTCCTGTTTACTGGCCACTGTAAAGTGTAGCGTTTGATTGTTCGTTACCCTTTGGATAGTTATATCGTAATTATTTTATATATTTCATCTTATTATATTAGTTCATTTAAGGCTCACCCGAAAGTGTTTATTTGTTCAATTTGGTGTCGATCAAATGACTCATTTTGATATTCGAGTCATTTGCTTGGACGATATAAATGTCACGTTGGGAATCGATTGGATTGAATTATCTTTTGGATCTGTATCTGCGATGTTTACTTGGTGATACATTTGGTCTTTCATATTGATTTATCAGTGTTTTTTTTTCTGATATGGGAATCTGTTAGATATAAGTTCTTTACCGTTTTCGTAAATTGCTAATGTTATTCTTGAGGGTTTTATCGAGTAATTTATTTCTACTTCTGACTTGAATGGTGTACCTGAATTTGAGAAATAATACAGATAAGAAATCTAATGGGTACGGTGTAGTGCGCGAAAAGAAATTACGCCTTATGATGGTTTTATTTAGGATAATGAGCTGTCATGCTAAGTATATTCAACAATGACTTGGAAAGCATTGCGTAAAGATCAAAGATCAAATTTTATGTGTGAACATAGTATGCTTGACTAAAGGCTAAAATACGCTCAAGAAAGGGAAGAACGTCAAAGTCTTCAGTGTTGAATCTGGTGATAAGAAGGCGCTTTGGAATTATTAAAAATATTCCGAGCTGTTAGATACACTTATTTAATCTTAACGTGTCTTATCGATGCACGCTTACTTGGAGACAATCATTCACTACTACGCAGGCTATCAGTAAACTACATTAGCAATTAATAAAACATTGATAATAGTTCTTGACCATGGTCAACGAATTATAAAGTTGCTTGATAATGACTCAGTGAAACATTGATAAGACTGATTTATGCTTTCTCGAGGGTTAAAGTCGATGTGTACAAAGCAATACCGTGTTATAATTTCTTTATTGAGAAAATATTTTAACAATTCGATATTCTTGCAGATCTGACAACTTCGCATGTTTTTTAAGAAGCGCACAAGCTAGTGTAACTAAACGGCACAATGGAAGTCTTGAAATATCTAAAAGGATTGACAGTGATGCATCTTATGTTCGCCATTGCATTCTTTACATCCGGTGTGATTATTAATTTCTTCCAATGCGTTTTATATCTTGGATTGAGGCCTTTCTCGAGGTATCTTTACCGGAAGATCAATTATTATCTCTGTTATTCCATTAACTGCCGTAAGTAAATTTATATGAGACATTTCAATATAAAGTATGAGTCAGCATTTAATGAAATCATTTGCTTTCCGTTTTCTTTCCACAGAGCTAATATTCTTGACAGAGTGGTGGTCAGACTCGGAGATTGTGCTCTACATAGATAAAGAAGACTTCAAAAAGTATTATGGAAAAGAGCACGGTTACATTATAATGAATCATTCTTATGAAATTGACTGGCTAATGGGATGGTTACTTTGCGATCGAATAGGAGTATTAGGGGTAAGCATATTTCTATTCAATGACTGCAGTACGACACTCTATAATTACGATTAGGGTCTTTCTTACGAGATGTTATATAAATGTAATCCTTACATAATCAGAACGTGGGTACGGATCCACACTGATTAATCTAATTGGCTTACAGAATTGCAAGGCATATGCTAAGAAGTCTGTACAGTACATTCCACCCTTAGGATGGGCCTGGAAATTTGCCGAAAGCGTCTTCCTCGAAAGGAATTGGGATAAGGACAGAGAAATTATTGGAAGACAAATTAAGGAGCTGATAAATCATCCAGATCCGATTTGGGTCAGTATGGTTTTGCTTTCGATATAAATATTTTCATCGAATTAATATGGTCGTAACAAATATTTGGTTTCACTTTCGACTTTTGCCAAAATTTAAGTCGCTATCATGAGTACAAACATATGTATCTACTTCATCGTAAACCGATTATTATACATTATGCGTTTCAAATGAGATGAATAGTTTTGAAACTTCGATTCATATAAGAGATGGGACTATTTTAATTAACTTTATATGACACAACAAGAACTACGGAATTTATTGAGATAATTTTTCAGCTTTTACTATATGCCGAAGGGACTCGATTCACTCCGGAGAAGCGAGAGGCAAGTCAAAGGTTCGCCAGGGAGAAAGGATTACCAGTATTGAAGTACCATTTAACACCCCGAACCAAAGGATTTACTGCTAGCGTACCTTACATGAAGGGAAAGATACCAGCGGTGTATGATGTGCAACTAGCATTCAAGACATCGGATACTGTGAACCCCAGTATAACGAATCTTCTCTTCGGCAAGAAGGTTGTGGGCCATTTATATTTTAATAGAATACCAATGGAGGAAATTCCGGATGACGAAACTGGAGCTGCAGAGTGGCTTCACAAACACTACCAACAGAAGGTTAACACCTTAACATGACCGAGCTCAGTTTTATCACCGAGCTTACATTTACTAATGACATTATGTACTTTTCTACCGGTAGGATCGAATGGCGGAGAGCTTTTTCGAGACGAATGATTTCTTTGCGACGAGCGGCGTACCAAGAGTAGAACCGTTCAAGCTTAAAAAGAGATATTATGCCGCAATTAATACTTTGGGCTGGGCAGTCATCGTCCTTGTCCCAATGCTCTACTATTTAGTTAACTTATTCCTCTCGGGCTCCACTGTTTACTTCTCCATTGGCGTGGGAATCCTTGTTTTATGTGAGTATCACTTAACCAGGAAGTAGTATAAGGAGATCCAACGCCATGTATTGAAATCGTTCCCACTTCAGATTTTTTCCGATTTAGTGCCTCGATCAAATTTTGCAATTAACAATTATCGTCCGCTGGTCTTTGTCGCGTAAAAAAATATCACATTCTGTATATCATCCGCGGATTATCGTTTCACTTTCCGTACTTTAATATAAAAATTAAAAACTTTGGGTAATCCAAGTCGGTAGGAAATGTTTTGGTCATTTAGTTTCCTCATTTTCCGCAAGTAGAGCTCGCATCGTTAGATCGACGAAAATCTGAGATCATGGGTCCCGATTTTGGAGTCACTTTTTTACTACTACTTAATGCACTTAACGTAACTGCTTTGTCTTTTTCATTCTTCCTTTTATTATATCACGTAGAGATCGAGCTATATGTTACGTATGTTTCGCAGTTTATCTTTTAATGAAGAAGACGATCGGGATGTCCGAAATAAGCAACAGTTCTTCATACGGTTCTACCGAGACGAAGAGAGTCAAGTCATGAGATTAGGTTTGACCCTCTGAGATTATCAGCAACGAGATCTTGAGCAGCACAAAGAAGAACGTTATCCGAATGGAGGAAAGCTAGTATTGTACGGTGACCTCTTTTAATTTATACCTCAATGCAAGTCGATGATGTACTTGAGTTTCCAGTGGCGCCAACTCGGTTACGAAATGCTACCGCCTAGCCTATGACTAATTATTATGTATGTACTTAGTATTATTGCATAAGATTTATGACATACTTTTCTGTTTATACTCCTTTTCATATCTATAATAATTGTTATTGTTGAATATACGACTGTTTAACTCCATTGGCGCTGTACTGGGTCACAGCCTGTTTTTTATGGTTGTACGTAATATTTGTCCAAATCGTGTTATATATTAACATTTATCTCGTACTCTATATTTGTTTAGTTTTTCTAGGGAAAGGATGACGTCCGTTTTCCGTTACAGTATCACAATATCAGTCAGGTGGATGGAATAGAAGTTTAATTTTCCGGTCTTCGTCCATTTGATTCGTGATGTTTCTCTTGGTAACCATCGATTGGTTTCGCTGTGTATTGGACAGTTCTCAATTTGCCTCTTGCATCGTAAAAGCCATAATGTCCTTTCACGGTTCCATCACTTAGGCGTTCTTCCAGTCGAAACTGTCTGTTTTTCCTGAAAGAATACAGGCTTATCAAAACACATCGAACCATTCGATACGTAAGGATGTGACTGCACTTACCCATCTCCGGTGTCGAAACCAAAGATGTAACTTTTGGGACCGCCATGACCATGGACTTGAAATTCTACTCTGTCACCGTCAGGAGACAACTCCAATCCCTTTTCTGTGTTCTCTTCTAAAGAAGCGTTCTCCTCTTCTAGTGATTTCTAAAAATGCGTAGCTTATTAGTTAAAAACTGATCAAATTCTCTAATTTGTAAGTGGGGACAATACATTATTTTCTTATGATCATCGATAGCAATTGGTGATCGCATAGTTCATCGGATCTTACCTCTGCATGATTCACCGGAGCATGGTCCCTGATATACTTCGGTCCATCATTGGTCACCTCTTCACTCGAAATCTCTTTTTCATTTTCTCTGTTATTCATCGAGTGATTTTTCAGCCTATCCTCTTCTACATTCTCCTTGGAGTCATTTTTCAGTCTCTTTTCTAAATTCTCCTCGGAGTCATTTTTCAGTCTCTCTTCTAAATTCTCCTCGGAGTCATTTTTCAGTCCCTCTTCTAAATTCTCCTCGGAGTCATTTTTCAGTCTCTTTTTTTCTAAATTCTGCTTAGACTGACCCTTCAGTCTATTATCATCCAAAGTCTCCTCGGAGCTGTCTTCGTTGAATGATTCTACGGGCTTCTTGTAAAATCTGTAATCTTCGGTTTCTGCCCGAGGTACTTCTAAGTGCTGAGCTGGTATCTTCGAGGACAAGTAAGTGGGACTTCCACTTGTCAATGGATGTTGAATGTCGTAATAATCTTCTTTATTCCATTTTGCAAATTTCGCAGAAGGAGTAACTTCTTTCGGAGTGGATTTTCTCTTGAACGAAGCATCATCACTGATATAGGATTTCTTCGATGTCTCTGTACGAGGGTGTAAGTAGTAATACAGATTGTTATTTATGTCGTGAGGTATGACTGGCGAGTAAACTTTTGGCAATCTCTTCGCAGGTGGTTTGGAATACTCTGTGTATGGGTCTTGGGCATATGTGGCTGGTGGGACATTTGGTGGAGGTGGTACTTCGTACTCATCGATGCTTTGCACATGTCCTGATGCGATGAACAAAGTTACAGTCAATGTTAACTGCAAAACAAAAAAATACATGCAACGAAAGTGGCCTCCGAAGCATCAGAATATTTATAAATCTTTCCTCCGTAGTGGGTGCATCAAATTATTTGATGAAAAAATTTAGTTGCGTTTCGATATCTTTCATGTCACCTTAAAGAGGGTAATAACAATTAATAGTTTAGGATCTAATATTAGAATTATAGTCCACTAATTGCCAATGATGAATGCTTTCGTAGGATAAATATGTGGCCTTCGATGAACAGTACATTGTCAGTCTCGATAGTCATTGTCGAGGGAACCGAAAGGTCAGATCAGAGCAAGGATGACCCGATTCTTCCCTGATTTCTCCTTGTTTGTTAGTGTACCGCTACTTTTTCACTGTTCTTTTATTTAAGTTACGTGCTCTCCACTATCACTTTCATAAGAGCGCTCGGTCGAGCGAGTCGAATCGAATCCGGCGTTACTAATGCCTCCGTGCACGAGGGCTTGGATACACGCCTTGGGAAATACCGATCGCTTTCACTGAAACCCTGTCGAAAATATCCATAGAACAATGCGAGGGAAAAGGAAAAAGAACGGCTAAGCAAAACAAGCGCTTGGAAACTTCCCTGAAGAGGAACTTGAGATCAGAATTCACCTTATGGGAAGAATGGGATATCCACTACCGATGACCAGCAATATTTTTCATTCACCCATTTGCGTATTAGTATGTGTAAAAATAGCACGACTGTTTCTATTTAATATCTTGTCCTTATACATCATTGTGTACATGATAGATGAACGATTTACATTTACTTTGACGCACTTTTAATATTTCTCCTTATATATGATCATGTGCAATGGCGGACATGAATGCCTCCCCTGCAGATACGACATCGCTTGTGCAAGATGGGAGGGCATTGATGTCTCCCAGTGTGCACATAGTATATTAGCGATTTAAATTTACTTCCATAGAAGCTTTCACCGATTACATGTGTATATTTTTTACAGATCTTCACAATTTGGATCGAAACGAGGGTGTGTCTGAATGAATACGTAACAATGGCATCGTCAAGAAAGAAAAAAAAAAGTATGCGTTTAATGTGTTAATCTGGATCGAAGGGTTTTGCTGTTCAGTTCTTATAGTAATGCGGGATTATGACGTTTCGTTTGTTCGCAACAGGTCTTCGGGCAAGGTTCTAAGGTGCAGTCCTTCAATGAAATGGGATTATTACGTGTTCCGTCTGTTTACTGCAGACCTTGGACCAAGATAAGCCAAGACCTTCCGAGGCCAAGGACAAGCCAAAGAAAAGCAAGAGTCACTGGCCGCGGTTTACCGACTATTTATCCCTCCCCGGTGGCAGAAAGGTAGGTGGATCTTTAGTCGTGGATCAATTTGATAAATAGAATCAGCTTACCAATCTTCCGATGGCCATCACGCGATCGGCAAGGAGCTCCGGATCGGACTAAGCCAATTTCTAGGCTGACATGCATCTATGAGCATACTCTCTCTTTCTCATAGCAGGACGATGTTTTACTCCCCGTCGACGTCTTAACCGGCAATTTGTCTACGTTACGAGCTGCGGACTCGTTGCGAAAATTACGCAAAAACAAACCCTGGACCCCCCGCGAATAGGTAAACCTTTATAAACTAAGAAATATTAAGGGTGCAACGAAACCCCCCGTCAAATCAGTCGATTCTAATAAGACAATTAAAATCCAAAATGGCGCCATCGGCAACCCTAAAAAAGGGATGAAATACTTCATTTATCTTTATCTATGATTTAATTAACTCTATCTTTTTTTTCTCTCTCCAGAGGTGGAAAGCTTTTGTGAAATCAAATTTCCACGTTGCTCCGGAGTATCTAATGGATGCGAGAATTAGAGTTTGACGTTCATTTTATCGCTTCCTCCGGGAACTTTTATTTCCAGTGTATCGCTACATGGTCAAATTTTCAGGAAACAATGGGAAGGGAGTTTGATGTCCGACTCGCCGTTAAATGAACCACATCTCCAGTCTCATTGTTACTCCAGACAATGACAACAATGAGCGTGGCAGTTAAATTGTCATTTCATTCATGATGTTTCGACATGGCCACCCCATTTTTCTCCTATTATATCGCGGCAAGGTAAACACTCCGGATTTTTCGAGAGCTCGCCAGACATTCTGCGAACGTGGACTCATCGAGGCAAGATGAAAACCCCCGGTGGATACTTCTTCTGTTGTGTCTTTCTCCTGGCTCTGGACCAGGGACTGGTACGTGCGCTTTGAATTCGTAATTATTTAAGAGTAACTACCTTTAATTAAAAAAAAAGGAGGCCCCTAGGAAGGTCTCGACGACCATAACGTTCCCATTTCTCGTTTTAATTCCCTTATAAAAATGATTTCTTTATTTTTTTACCCAAAGTGAAATTTTCAAGGGCGCCAGGCCATTCCTTAGACCTTCCACATTCGTGATTAAATCTCAGGCATGTTAACTCTGTTAGTTTTTGTTAACAAAAAAAGAAAATGGTTTTTCCATTCAGTCCTTGAGATGCCGGACGGGCAATCAGCAGTCTGGTGAACATTTCCACAAAGTCATGGAATTGTGCCGAAAACGTCACAGTGGGAGGAACTACCATTCGGATGAGAGCGACTCTTCCGACGAGTCCTCCGACTCGAGCGAAAATGTTTTCGGAAACAAATTGCTGGCTACCAACAACACCTACGGGAAGAACCCCGATGAGAACAGAAACACCGAGGCTGGGTAATTGACTCACTTGTTAGAAAAATGATATACAGGGTGCAGCAGAAATGGTGGGCACGGTGGGTTCATAACCTTATTTTCCATCTTCCGTAGGGATAACCAGGGTCACGAAGAGAACCATCGAAGGCTCTTGAACAGTCGATTCCATTCGTCCGATGTCAGATACGATGGCACAGAGACGAGAATGAAGAACGTGTCCATTAATTCATCTGCCACAAATTCCAGTTTTAGTAAGACAAGGAACGATGGGATGAATAACACCAACGATGATCAGGACCCAGACCAGAGTGTACGTCTCCATATTTTGTCGATTACCTAAATACATTGGTGATAATTAAATTCTGTTCGCAGTGTGTTATCCAATGTTTCTTCGATGAACTTAACTTGGTGAGTCTGAATACTAAAAGCTGTTTACTCTTTCGAGTCTGATGTGTGTTATTTATAATTCATTGATTCCCTGGTATTCGTAGGTTGATCATCGAGGATTTCCAGACAGAAGTTCCGTTACTGCCATAATGGTGCAGAATATTCAGGACCCGGAATTGCGGGATTTCGTGGAGGAATCTGTGACAAGTTGCTTCCAGTTTCTGGAATCGGACGCGCATAAAGAGAAGTGCAAGTTCTCGCAGAATCTGCTGAGATGCCTAGCCGACAAAGGCAAAGAGGTTAGTTCAGCTAATTTATCTTCAATATTCGATACAAATTTATCAATCTTAACGGAAGATAACTTCTAGAAATGCGACGACTGGGATGAACCACAGTAAATTTTGCATGTTGACTTCCTACTCTCTACGATAAGAACAATTTAATTGCAAAATGGAAGTACGTAAGGGCTGTATCGTAGACTGTGCACATAGGGTGTAGTTGCAAACAAATAAGGACAGATTGTGTAGATGTTAACAATATAAATTCCAATCGTAGATACGTTTGAATATTTAATTCTTGTTAACTATAAGAAGTGTTTATTAACCCATGAACATTACAAGAAAAATAATTTTCGTGATCCTCGGTTCACAGAACCTTTCTATAATACTAAGGCTTATACACGCTTTATATACATAATAGGATAAGCTTCGCATACTGGTTTTGAACTGCCTATAAAGTATGCTCGACATACCGACTTACATCAGTTATTTTTTTTTTTATCCGCACTGAATGAATGCGTTTGTATCTTGTTACAAAACCTTGCTACGTTATCTTTTTGAGCGATGCTGTTAATACGACGCAAGCAATTGTTATAAAATGGTGAAGGAAATTAATCTCCGTCTTCATGTAGAAAGCTGCTGAAAGCAGTCGAGGTGACGTGTAGGAGATAGTACCGTTTCGAAGACACGTGGTTACTTTCGTTTCTTCAAGTCCTCAAAGCGTTTCATTAAGTCGTCAAAATCGATATCGTCGCCATCCTTTGAACTGCTGGATGGTTCGTTGTCAGTTGGTACAGTTGGTAATTCAGGAAGGTTGAAATCGTTCATCGGCATCTTCGATCTTGGCTGCGGTTTTGGTGTCTGATCCGACTAAATAAAAAAAAAAGGTAAACCATTGAGGTGAAATAAAAGTGGCGTCTTATTTATAAAACTCTTCTTCAAAGTGGACGAATCGAACCGTTTGATATTTTACCATTTGATTCAAAGATATCTGATGGTAACATTTTATGTTTATTTATAGCAATATGTTTCTATTACCTGTTTATTTATGTCGGGTGAAAAAGAACTGTAAGGAGGAGGTAGGTCATCCTGAAATTGACACTTACGTTAACAATTGAGAACTGGTATTACGTCACTATCAATCTGGACCTGTACTCACAGGTTTGTTTATATTGCCATTGTCTAAAGGTATATTGTATGAAAAAGCAGCAGGATTGAATGAGCCTGCACTAGTAGCTGGTGGATTTAAAGGAGCAATAAATCCCATTGCCGGTCCATTACTTTTCTCAGGAGTCTGAAAATATAGCTCGCGTAAAAAATGTATTCTCGCATAGAAATTATTGAAATAATGGGTGTAGAGTTTTACCGTAATATTAAATTCAGGCCCAGTTTGTGGTAAGAGTGGAGGTTGTGGAAACCCAATGAATCCTGGCGGTTGTGGCGGACCATTACCACCCATTGCTAAATCAAAGTTATTGGGCAGTTCCCCACCGCTGTTTCCAACATCGATCAGCAATGCATCTTCACCTTCAGCCATGATCTGAGGATCCGGCTCGTAGGGCACGTCATAATTCTTTGCTATCTCAATCAAATACTTCTCTACGAGCAACTTTGACGGGGACTGGACTCCCAGTTTATGTTTTAGTTTTTCAGAAATTGATTGCACGGCTTCTTCTCTACAAGCATCGGTGTACTGTCTGCCATATTTTGCCGTAAGAATGTCGGATATCACTTTCATCTCTTGAACGTCCGTCTGTATGCGAGGAGCTGCCCAAATAATAGTCGATATCGCTTCGGCCAGTCCGTCGTCTAAATTCCTAGAACAAAGTTTATAAATTTGTTACGCTCTCAAACATTGCAGGTTACTTTTGAGTATTTACATTATTACAGGAACAAGGATTAACGTGAAATACTTAAACAAGGCTCAAAGAATACTAACTTCATCTGTTGAATCAGTCCGAATCGAGCAAGCAGGAGATCGCAGTACATCTCAAGGAGTTCCATCGCTTCGACCATGTAATCTTCCCTTATAATGTGCTCGACCCTGATTCTAGCCCTTTCAACTTTTCCACCGGCTATGTAATCCGCGATCTCCTTCCTTGCCTTTTGAGCCAATTCAGTCTTCTTCTTCTCCAGGAGTTTTAACCTATTAATCGCCAGTCTCAGATGAGTTTTCAATTTCGTATAATTCGGCCCGTTGGAGAACATTATTGAACACTTTATAGAGCCGAACGGTCATAAAAAAGCGTCGCTTCAAATGCCTGCTGCCGCGCACTTTGTAATTCGGTTTTCCTAGTGAATTAACCGAGTTATCACAGAATTATCAGGTGACTAATCGGCAAGAATACGAATTACAACTGCGGAAGATGGGGTGGAATCACGGAAAATTTGAGGTTACCCACAGAGATGAGTTGGGAGATTGCTCACGGGCAGGATCGTGCGATCGCATCCTGTGCTGCCCTCTGGTTTCGTACGTTAGCTTTCACCGCAGCACAGGATGCGATCGCACGATCCTGCCCGTGAGCAATCTCCCAACTCATCTCTGTTGATACCTACCAGGTCGGTAATACCGATCCCTAATTGAGCCAGAATCGAAAATAAATAATAACGTTTTCAAAATCAAGATGAGAATCAAGGGATTCGGTACACACAATTGAATAAATATTGAATGTATTTTTTTCTGACATTTCCGGATTTTTATATATCATATATACAGAGAAAGTATAATAACTTAGGCAAGTGTTCACCGGATGGATTTCGAACGACTTGTCAGGATAATTCTAATTTTGGAAAGTTCCCTCAAAGTGTTCGCAATATTTTCATTATCATACGCAGCGTAGAGAGAACGTCAAACGATGCAAAATCATCGATTAAGTACTATACTTTAAGGAGAATCACGAATACCACCATCTTGCACAGTACAAGTCTCGTTGGAACTCATCGACGTTATTTTGGTCACAGATGGATATTTCCTGGTTAAGTCAGAGGATTTTATTTCTTTTTTCTTCATCGATGATATCATTACTGTGCAAAATGGTGCAGAAGCTGCTCGATTACTGATTTGATGCAAGTCCGATGACTCGCGAAACTGAAAGAAATTCCTAGTCGGACTTTTTTTATCGATAGCCTAATTAATATTAGAAAGAGTTAGGCATTTGTTAATAAGCTCGGAAGAATTGTGTAACGCTAGAGAGTATATATATATATGTATGCAGAAGTGCGAATCACACATGAGTTCGTGTACAAAGTGTTCCGAAAGGCTCTTCGCTGTATAAACATTTGGCTGGGAAGATGAGGAAGACCGAAATTTAGGTTAAACAGGAAGATCAAATTTTCAACGCAGTGAATTAGTTGACTGCGATTTGTGATAATCTAGAAAGACAGAATTTTGGAAGGAAAGAATGACTCGGTCCACTCCTTTGTTTTACGTGCAATGTGTAAAGTCGAAAGTAAGTTCAAATGACGCAGTTGCCTAGCAGTGGTTCCCGCAGAATAACTGCTTTAAGTACAGAGCATCGTTTTAAGTATTCGTTATTTATAAATATTCATCCGATACTCTCTTTCAGATTTCCATCCAAATTTGTTGAATGAGCGAATCGTTATATTGCGGACGGATGGAACAGTGTGATCGAGGCTTTTGAGAAAGCGATGTGGGGTATTGCGTCCCCTTAACTTTGTCTAGAAAAAGTGCCTACTTATCTATGCTTAGAATTTAAACGCCATTACAGGGTACTTTCATGGAAGATTGTTAGCCTCTATTCATTAACGGTAGCAGCAATAGTCTATTAATTAAATAGTATAGTCTGATAGGATTACTGGAGGCTCCGTTAGATTATGTTGCAAAGGCGATAAGTGTCTCAATGACAAGATCGGAGGTTTACAAAGGAGACTTATTCCCACTTGATTCATTTCATCTTGCATCACAAAAACAATTTGATCTGCACAACATCTTAGACTCACATGTCATAGCAATTTACATACAAATCAAAACATTGTTAACAAAAATAAAATAATACATTGCGAAAGCAATGATTGTTAATTAAATTAAATTAAATAAGTTAAATTACATTAAATCTATATATCAGACAAGTAACGTGGAACGTTTTCACCAGTGTAAAAGAATAGCAGATAATTCTTGTTTTACAGAATTACACTCGTGTCTCCCTTGTCACCTTCGGAACGCTAAGGAAGTTCCCTAAAATTTTAGTAATAGTAATCTCGATAGTTGTAGTTAATAGTAATAGTAGTAAAGTCTGTACAGGCGAGCGCGACATTAAAAAGAGGACCAACGATAAAACTCGAAGTAACTTATACGTTACTTAATCGTTAAGTTCGTTCGAACCGATCCGTAGGCATTGCAAATGAACACCTAGGAGAAGTATCACAACATTGTTTGTGCCAGAGAGCAGAAATCACAGAACAGAACAATATTAATATATACTGAGTTTCGCACAAGTAGGTATCATTTTAAATATCACATATTTTTTAACGAAGTTTGAACGATAGTATTTGAAAGGTGACGTATAAGGATTATTTGTGAAAATACACGATACAAAAAGAAATGTTATGTATATCTGACAGTGTACACGCAAAAAAGTTATGGAAAACATTGTCGAGTGATTTCATAATTCTCACTTAACCTCAATGTACTTTTGATCGAGGGTTAAAATGTCAGGACTTTTTCAAAATGAATTGCAGTGTTTCTGATATTTAAAATGCTACTTACTTTTTCTTTGTTCTGTATTTTCTGCTCAGCTTGTGCGAAATGAAATGAGCAAATCGACGAACGAGTAATAAGTAAGGGCTGATTAGGTTACGTCGACTCCCTTGGAAGAGTTTCAATCAACGTCCAAGTTAATCACGGAAATAGATTATTGTATTCATCGAGAATGTCTGCAATTTATACCGCAATGAGAAACTCACTGCAGAGATGAACTCTTCAGCCTGTGATTATAAACAGTAAAAGGAAAAACGGTAAAAACGTTCGTTTATTCAGGACTTGAAATTCTGGCTACGTGAAATCGCAATGTCCTTTCTGCGTTTGGTTCCTACATTGCGGATCTCGTTAATCTTTTTCATTATTCGTTGTTAATTCTACTGATCGATGGATCAGAATTCGATAATTTGCTCCCCTGTATGTTTCGAGTCGGAATATCAATCAATATATATTATAATGAATTTATCCCTAAGAAAAGTTTCGTTAATTTCCAGATTTGCCGGAATCCTCGGCGTTTGCAACTTGCAGAAGGATCCCCGGGAATTCCCTCTGCGCGTTATTTAGAGAGCGAAAAAGAGACCCAGGCTTTGAATAAATAACCAGGCGACACGTTAAGCTGGATCGACATGACCATTGTCAAAAGTGAAGTCCAGACATTCCGTCTCAGGCAAGTCCAAATTCGTTTGAGCTCTGGGTACGTCATACAAATCTCCGTGGAGGAAACACGTCACCAGCAATTAGGACATTTACGGATGATGTGTTTCGATGAAACGATATAACGATTAATGACTAAACACTCTGGACCGTACATTAATCCTCGTTCTTCGGGGTCATCTTCATTCTTCAGGATCATCATTCTCCAGGATCCTCCTCTCTAGGTTTCCGGATAGGACCCCGTGGAATTAGCTGGGCATCGCCGGGACCACGGTCGCTTTCTTGGGGACGCTTCTCTCCGGACTTGGACTAGGACTTGGACTGGGCGACGAGCTCGGCGACCTCGAGCTGCTGGAACTGTCCCTGTTCTGCCGCTTCTGCTCCAGGATCTGCTTCTTCTCGTGGAGGGGTCCTCGCAGGATCTTCAACATGGTCTCCAGCTCGTAGGCCTGATCCTTCAAGTCGTTGTAGTAGTTCAGGTCCAGGCCCTCCTTCTTCGCCTTCTTGTGGAGCACCAGCAAGTGCCGCCTGTTCAGCACGTCCGGCATCATGTATTCCTGCGGAGAATCGTAAGCGTTACGTATGACATCGTTTATTAACACTGATAGAGAATCTCTGAAGCAGCTGTTTGTCATGCCAGAGGTCGGCCTAACTCTCGTCGCTCTTTTTCCAGGACCCCGGAACCTCGTTCGGAAAGTTCCTCCAGGCTCAAACTTCCAAAGTCGTTCCCGGCCGCGCGGAATCACCGCAATCTCGCGGAATCTTATGTCACCTTGAAAGCTCCGGGACGCGACGAACAAGGTAATGGCCTTCGAGCACCGCAACGAGATTTCCTCAAGTTCTTAAAGCGGTACAACTTACTTCCCGCGTCAGGAGGAAGTATATGTAGTACGCCATGGCGGTGCCATAAGTCACGAAGTAGGTAATCGGCTCCATGATGTCCCAGGAATATTCCCACCAGGTCAACCTGGCCAGGATCCCGAACTGCACCGACATCAGGAACAACCCTATCCACGTCGAGAACGTCGCTCTTCTCTCGGCGGTGACCTCGAGCTCTGCGCGCTTCTGCAAGGCGGGGGACACTTTTTATTCGTAAAAATATACCTTTATGTAAGTATGGAGTCAAGGTGATATGAAAGGTTCATTATATGTAAATATGAAACAGGATATTTATGAAACTTTTCTCCAAATTGGGTGCTACGAATTATTTAGAACTTCAGTACGCGGTTATGGAACCCCTAAAGAAAAGCGGCACCAGTGAAATGACTTTTTTGATGAAACAATTTTTCTGTTTATCTCAGAGTAGAACCGAGAATACATACTTCTTTGGAAAAATTATAATTTACTCGCGATATGTACAAGTTGAATATTTAATCTTTCTCATCTTCCCTTTTCAACCCTTTAGAGGTTGGTTGGAGCAGAGTAATGGAATTGGTCTTTAGTATATATGTATAGATGGACCCTCTCATAACTCCTTTTAATTCCCTGATTAATTTCATCTCCACCTGCTCCAGGGGTTCCAGTTCCAGACGAAGCTCCTCCAGCTGGCTGACCACCTGTTTCTCCAGGTCGGCGTTGTGCTCGCGCACGTGGAGGTGGTCGTAAAGCTGGCTCACGAGGGTGCGCACTTCGTTCAGCTTTTCCAGCTCCTCCTGGAAGATATTAAGCTCCGGTTGAGCGTTTTAGGAGACGTCGAAGAGCCAAGAGCTTCCGGAAGAGGCATGCATCTTACCATTGTGTGCCTCTCTAGCCTAGGTGGAGTTACGACGTACTCCACGTCGTTCACCACCAACCGGAAGTCCTCCTCCAGCAGGCACTCTATCGTTGTCCCTGCAGATATTCTCGTCCCATCTGCGGATTAATCCCGCAAATTGTACACTCTATCCCTTTCATTCATTTACATTTTCATATTAATGTCGATAAATTCAAGCTATGTGTCCAAAGACACGAGTGAACCGATTCTGTAACGAAGAGAGATCATTGTTCGATTAGTTCCTATCTCTTAAAGTGATATGAAAGTCTGGTTTATGAACCTTTTCTCAGAACTGGGTGTATCGCATCTTTTGAATCCTTCATCATGCAAATGTAGGGGCCCTGAGGGGAAGGTCATGATAGGCATAAAATTAAAAACTGCTTAAATTTGTTTAAATATTTTTAGAAATGAAATCTCATGGGTATCAGAACCTTCCTGAGGGCCTTCATGTTCACGTAGGAACATTTCAAACGATTCGGTACACCCAGTTCAGAGAAATGTTTCATGAAGAATCCTTTGTGGGGGATCAATCGATCCCTCTAATGTCACCTTATCACCTTTCATATCAACTTGGATATCTTGGTGACCTTACTTATCGTGTACACGGTGGCTCGGTCGATCCCTGGATCCTCCTTCTTCAACATATCCAAGAAGTCGCCGACCGTGTGCGTGATGGGCTTCAGGTTGAAGACGCATTTCTCCTTCCTGGACGTCAACGGAACAGTGATCCTGGGCAATCCTCGGTAGTAGGACACAGCCACCTCTGGAAAGAGGAATGATTCATCCAGATAAGAATTCTTCATTTTCAAAGTAATGCACAATGCCAGATATTAATACCTTCCTTATGATTTTTAAATACAAAAGCCAAGTGATCAAAATTGTCGATATTAATCCTGACTTTTAGAGAGAAAAATCAGCCGGTCACAGTCGATGATTTTCAAAGTTAAAAAAAATCAGCTGATCAAAGTCGATGATCCTTAACAACAAAAGTCAGCTGATCCAAATCCACCATATTGATCGTGGCTTTTTGGAAGATAAAAATCAGTCGATCGCATCGAGATATCAAACTGGCAAGTACTTGTGCTGTACAGCTCGCCCGTTAATTGTATAATCCTTGCAGGAGAGTTCTCCTGGAGAAGGGAGGAGACCATGACGCCCACGAGAGGCACGTGGGCGGCTTCCATGAAGAAGCTCGCGTGCGATCGAGAGCTGGGTCGTAACCTGATTAGCAGCCGTTGATATCAAGGAGGTATCAGACTGTGGAGAGCGGAATGAGAGACGGAACGAGAAGCAGGACGGAACCGAACGCGATGCCAAGTGGTGGGTCCGCTTCGATCATGGACTACGTGGGAGCGAGAAAAAAAAAATAAACACACCTCCTTGGAAAGGAAGAAATTTTAGGAAAGGAAAATCGTCGAACAGGTGCTTGATGGAGGGAGAACAAAACATTTTTCTCTCCTACGAAAATTATTATCCATGCCAAGTGGTGGGTCCACTTCGATCATGGACTACGTGGGAGCGAGAGAAAAAAAGAAAAAACACCTTCTCGGAAAAGAAGAAATTTTACCTGTTTCTTCAAGGTAGTGATCTTTTATATATGTATATTTTTATATACGAGACCCTATCATGACACTTTAATCGGAGGTGCTTAGAGGTCTGAGACGGCGTTGCGAAATTACCGAAGTGGGGTCTTAGGCAAGAGCCAGTGGAGGGTGCAGGAGAGGACATCGATCCGAGGTACACTGGAGAACTTATTCATATGTTTGGGGGCCAAGAAATAAAGGAGGTGTCCCCAGTTGGCGAGGAAAAGTCTCCAACGCCCTCCAACAATGCAAAGCCACCCTCTGTTAACGATTTGGCCAGCCCGCAAGCGATTTCTTACATTCCAGACGAAAAGGCTCAAGTGGAGTATTCAGGAAGAACCAGGGGAGGGTGCCCGAGGTAGAGTACAGAATTTATTTAGTTGTACATTTAGTAGGGGATGATAAGGAAAAGGCCTCCACGGATGCATCCCTAGGGATGGAACTCCTCGGGGTGTCTCGTTGATGCAAGACCTTATCGACCTTGTCAACGACTTGGCCACCTAGATAGGGAGGAAAATCCCTAGGGCCTCCACAGATGTAAGACCTCGTTGGATCAACGACTTGACTGACCCTAAGAGATACCTTACATCCCGAGTCACGTAACCGAAATGAAGTTTCAGATGAGAGCTGGTACTAGGTTGATCCTCGGTGGAACGGAGAATTTATTGAATCATACATTTACACTAAAAAAAAAAAAAGAAGAAAATGCTTCAAGCATCCCCAGTCAGCAAGGAACATCTTCAAAGCCCTCCACCGATGCGAAACCTCGTTACGTGGACAACTTGTCAACCCCTAAGAGGCTCTTTACATCTCAAGTGACGCGAAGAAGTTGAAGTGCAGTTTTAGGCGTGAAACAGCGGAGGGTGCTCGAATTGCGTTAATCCTTCTTCGCGGTCGAGAACTCGGTCTTCGGGTAATCGTGCCTCCTCGAGCGGCAACAACAGGATTGGCAATTAGCAGGTGTGTCCGACGTCTAGGTGCCTCTTCCCCTGCCGGAAGTCGCTGGAGGAACTCCTCTCCCCGCCCAATCTTCCCAACGGGGAACTTTCCTCGAAACTTCGCCTCGTCAGTCTGCTCCGAGATATCGTACCACTGATATAAACGAGTCCTCGCGACTTATCGGCACCCCGCCCTCAATTAGTACGTACACGTTTCTCCCCAAGATTACGAAACGGTCCTCCGAGTCTCCAAAGACGTCTGCCCTTGTTGCGAACTTCTCTCTTCACGTGCTTCACCGCTTATCTTCTATTAAACTTAACTTAACTAACTTAAAATTGTAACGTTTCGGTGATTGTCGACTTACACATAATTACAAACTAAGTGTGCTTGAGGACCTCGGTACGATGATCGAGTATCGCTGATAGTGAGAAGTGAACTTCACTTTGATAAGATAACTGGGGTCGAAGTCAAGCGACTAAGACCCTTTCCGGAGAAAATGTACGTAAGGAACACCTTTGATTCGCAATATCAAGCCCTCTTTCCTCGAGAATATCACCTTGCCGGGGGTAGAACTCGCTTTTGAGAAAAGGTCACCCTCGCCGCCATCTGTGAGGGACTCTGCGAATCAAAGTTGGCGCCATTTTAGCCCGGCAATTTCAAACCTGCGGAACGCGTTTCGCCGACACGGATGCACGTTGGATAAATACCTTATTTGATAGTTGCAATATCACAAGGTATATTAGTACACTGGTACTTGTTTTCTCGTTTCTTTTCTCACGTTTCCTTTCTATTATATTCATTTTCTACACACGTGCGGCCATTTTGGGAGAACTCGAAGCGTCGCTTTCGCCGTCGCCGCGTCGAATTTGCCCGAGAGAGTTTCTGATTTGTTCGGGGAGATTTATCGCGAAAGTTTGTCGGGAGGATGTATATATACATATAAAAAGTGGAAAAAAACGTTTATCCTGCAGGAGTGGTCGAGATGGGCGGCGTGCAAAGCGGAGCTCACAACCTCGGCGACGCTTTGTGGGTGCAAGAAAGACAGCGTCAAAAATGGCGGTAAGCGAGTTTTCATGTCCGTTCCATTAACTGCGACAAATGTTTATTTCAGATAGGAGAACGCCGTATTTCGTTTCCCCCATTTTAGAAACTAGGACGCAGTTCCCATATTGGATAGAAAAATGTCGCGATTTAAGGATTATATTTTTCCAACTAAGCTATTCATTAAGGACCATTTCAAGAACGACATAGGCAAATAGTGATTTTGGATAAGAAAACGCTGTACATTAAGGACCACCTTAAGAACATTATATTGGATAAGGAAACGCCACACATCAAGAAGCATCTCTAGAATTAGACAGGCCATTTTTTTTTATTTTGGATAAGAGAACATCGCACATTAAGGACCACTTCGGATCGAGGCAGGAAAAAGGGGCGACCTTAATCCGATGAGGTTGAATTATGAAGCGAAAGCCCACTCGATATTCCGGCATGGTTTCGGCCTTCTATTTTTAATCTTCGATTTCCACGGAAGCGGAGACGGAACGCGAGGGTAATGCGGGGGGAAAGTTGGAAAAGGGATGAAAACGGCCACTCGATTAAAACGTCCTCAAACAGTCGCTCAGGCACTTCATTATCGAGGAGCTTTCGACTTTTCGTTTGATTTTCGAGAATCTCCCTGACGACGGAGGAGGGAAAGCGGAAATTGCCCGGGGAACGTGCCTCGCCCCGTTTCCATTGAACATATCCATCGGAGTGATCGGAAACGCGAGGGATCAAATAGAATTCCACCGGGAAGTATTAAGGCGATATCCAAGGGGATTAAACTATTTAACAAGGGGAACTTTTCACGGGATTTCCGAGGAGTTCGTTACCTCCGGGCGCGTAATTTGCACATCGAGGCTTCCATCTGTAACGAGGTGGAAAAAGTGCAGTAATGGCGTCGCGGGTCTTGAAAAATTGAGAGAAGACCCCCGCGACACCGTTACAGCTGGGAAAGGACGAGCTTTCGGCTGGCATTCGTGATCCCGTTTACGAGGTAATCGCTAATCGCTAATTGAGGCACATTAGTGCGCCGGTCGAGGCGCTCGTTAGCGGTCCCGGTCTACTTCCTTCGTATACAACTAGAACTCCCTTCCGAGGCGACGTTCGTTTCGAGATTTCTTCGTTAACGCCGTGGATAATTAAATCGAGACACAGATGAGGTATACACCTCGAAATACTGCTAAATAAAACGAAGGAAACGTCCTTGGGGGGGCTCGTCTCGGTCGCCGTGGCCGCCATCTTGGACGCGCCATCTTTCGCCGGGCTTAAAATGTCCTTTCACTAGCTGCATTTCTGGAAAAATTCACCCAGCGAAACGTTCCCTTGTTTTATCCTATTTTAATTCTGCTGTTTTCATAGTCCGATCAGGGTGTAAAGTCTATATACTCCACGACTATAGACTCTCTACACGACCATAGATCTCCGGTGACGCGGCCGCCATCTTGTTCGGGCGTCGGAATCGCGAGCCCACGCTCAAACCGGCCAAAATGTGGGGAAAACGACTCGGTTCACGTCGGGCTTCAGTCTAGTTGCGATACTTCCGTTAAGCCTCGGCCGCAAAACGCGGTTGGAACGCCCCGAACGAGCCGCGTGAAAGGAGAGAGAGGGCTAATTAGCGCAGGTGGGGACGCGACCGGGCACCGGAACACCGGATATCCCTTTGAGAGCGATCGCGCGCCGCGAACAAAACCCCTTTTGCCGCTCTCGGAAAGGCTCGCGACGAATCGCAGGCGACAGGATGGCGCATGGCGAGCGGAACCATCGGAAATTCATGAAAAACCCGCTCGACAAACGCGCAGTGCGCGGTAGGACACCGAAGTGCCGCCATGTTTGCCGTCAAGATCGTCTACCTTCAGGTCACCATGGAATTTGCCAAGGAAGACGAAAGGTAAAAAAGAAAGTAATCGAGAGGAAATTATATCTAATCCCTCCGGCCATGATCTGAAGGAGACAAGCTGGTCCCTTTGACAGGCCAGCCATAGTATATTTCTTAAAGGTAGCTATGTTTGACTATTTTAATAGATTCCAATATGGCGGCCTTTTGGAAGGCGCTGAACGAGCCAGAAATAAGACCTCCGTGGGAACACCCCTCTTGTCTCTTTTATATCATGATTCGGATGGTATTTTTTGTCGTGGTTTGTTTTAATTGTGGATTTAAAAAGAAAGGGATGCAAGGGTCCATTACGAAGTGAAGCTCAAAGTGCACAATGAAGGAACTAATGGCGGCCATCTTTCGTTGAGTGTTCCCGCTGTTTCTTAAGGTGAAGTGAAAGTGACGTTGGAGGTCTCGTTTATGAAAATTTTTCCAACGGGGGTACCAAATATTGTGAAATAATAATTAACCATGCAAGTACAACATTTAAACAATTGTATTGTCGATACTACTGAGGATAATGCCAGTGCAGCATAGCTACTTTCAACGTGAAAATTTTTTAATATCTTCTAATTTAGTACTAATTAGGTGCTAGTTAGTACTAAATTAGCGAATTTGGTGCGAACAGTAAAAGAAAGCCGTTGCGAAAGTAGTAAAAGAGGTCATTTTTTAGTGGTCGTCGCAATATTACGCGAATCTAACACGTATAAAAATTAAAAACTGCTGCATTAAGGAACAAACAAAAGGCTCTACAATTAGGTGGTAATTTAATGCACCGAGCATGAAATAAAAACATTCTCATTGCATCCCCTGAAACTGAAACTGAATTCGGTACTCAAGGATAACAACCTTTGTAACCTTTTACATTCATATAAACCTCTTTTTTTTTTCTTTTTACAAAGACGTGAATTATCGTCTCCCAAAATATTTCCCTCTCTACCTACCTCACTCTTTATTTTCCATAATTTATTATAACGAGGTAATGCATGTGCAAAGGCACCTTTAAAAATGCTAATGCGATGTTTCTTGCAAAATTGGGATATACAAGAAGTAGAAACTTCGTTTCTCCCCGAGGGAAAAACATTCAAAGTGCGGCATTAATTTCCCTTGGCGAGCGAAATGTGTATGAAAAGTCATTGTTATTTTATGTCCCCGACTTTTGTCCAATTCTTTCCGTTTGGATTATCTGCGAAATATGAACAGTCGAGGCGAAGGTCGAGGCGCCGCATTCATGCATAATTCTTCAAGGAAACGTTTCCATATCATACGTGCAGCTTTTTCTTACGAGGTATTGCAAACGCGAAAAAATAAAAAAAAAGGTCGTACGTAAATGTAACAAAGAATGGATAATGGGATCCGCAGACCGTGACAAATCTCACACCGTATTGACTCCACACTCGACAATTATTTCTGTCAACTAAGGAAATCTGTGTTCGGATAAAAGCGTCACACCTTTTACATAACAAATTTAGCAAAGGCTGAAAAAAAATCATGCCACGTGTCTTCGGTAAATCCGTGATTATTCAATTTATCATTTACCTATTTAATAACAACTCCATTCTGAAGAAATGAAATTTCCCGATTTTCTAAATTTAATTTTTTTTATACAAAACTCTTTTACTTAGCCTAGACTAGTACCAAGAATACATATATACCTTTTTTTAAGTAAAATTTCATGAGCACCACGTTCTTCCTTAGAGCCTCTATAATCACGTGTTAAAGTGTCAAACGATTCGGTGTCCCCAGTTTTGGTCAATATTTTATAAATATTTTATAAATATTTTGACGTTTAGTATCCCTTTCATATCGCCTTAAATGTTTGACCAGCTTTGATTAATATAGAAAAAAAATCGAAATTCGGCTTGGAGTGACTCGGAGCGATTTGCCAGATTAAACGAGAAGGGATGAAAATCGTTCCTTAAATTGATTATTAAAAAAAAAAATTGTCCCACGTGACCAGATGGAATCGCGATTAAGTTCCTTATTCAGGTACTTGCCCTGTCGGGTGTAAACACTCGGTGCTATTGCCATTGCCTTTCACTGTTTGTGGTCGAAGACGTATCGGTGACCGCGAAACTCTCGCTTTAAGTCGGTTTCCAATCCCCATGGTTAAGACTCGGCCTTAACCCGAGCTCGAGTTACGTCTTTCTCTTGTTACGTCTCGCTTTCACGGCCACCGACCTCGGAATTTCACTGCAGGTTGCAAATCTTTCAAAATAAAGGGTAAGGGTGGGGTGCGCACACAAGTACACACAAAAACGTACGCAATTCGAGGACAGTCGCAGAGAAGGGTGCGATAGGGAAACACATGAATATATAGAAGTATTCCTGCTATGTGGAGGGCTGGAAACGTATAGGGTAACCACGTGTACATTAAAATGTACGCAATGTGACAAGCAGGGTCGAGGACAAGAGTAAGGTGGGGGTGCAAGTAGGAAACGTTCACCATGTACTCGAGGCCCGAGTAGTCCGAGCAGTTCTTCGGTAGAGTCTCGACCGAGTGCGTGTCGGTGTTCTTCAAAGACTTCTAACCGAGTGGAACGAGTACCGAGAGGTGCGAATTGACAGGAAAACAGGATAGGTATAATGTCGACAATTATCCTTACTTCCAATGCCAACCCGTGCCTATAATTCGAATCATATTTTACGTCACGATTATTGAAACATTTTTTAAAATTAATACGTAACATCGCATCGACTGTTTCATTGTTGGGTTAGTGGATGTTTCATGTAATATGAGGAAAAGCGAGGAAATGGACGCTTTATTTTCTATGTTTCTCCTTTTTTTTTTTATCAGACCAGGGTGAGGATTTCATACATTCGACGTACGTGGTCCAGGGGGAGGTTAGTTCTGGGTGGAGGTGGCGATAAAAAATGAAATGGGCTCACGCGATTACGTACGATTGTCGTGGCGCTTTTTACGCTTGCGTTCCTTTATCGGGTCACTGCGTGTCGGGCTTTCTGGAAAAAGAAAAGAATACCGCGAAAATGCGTAAAAGTGGTTCGAATCTTCATTTTTCGAGTAGGGGAGCGAATTTCTTGGACTGTTTTTTTCTTTTTTTTTTTTTAAAGCCATTACATCTTTCGAAATGTTTCCCAATGTTATTCATGTATTTATGTATGCGAGGCATTTGATGTGGCGATTTAAATAATGACGTTTGTGTGTGTACGAGTAAATGTCGAATTTCTCAGTCTTTCGGAAACTTTTTACACGACAAAAGGCACCCGTTATTTCGAAATTTCCTCATACGTTTATGGCCATTGTGCAATGATTTACATCATCGTATCAAGTTTATAATTCTCGTATGACCTTGTATACTCCAATTGCGCGGAATTTGAAAATGTTTTTCACTGTTGCATTTCATGCCACTCGAGCTTTTAACGTACTTGCAAATTTAATACGTATTTAGTATGCAAAATATTTAACGCTACGATTTAAATTAGTACGCACCCCGTATGTGAACGTACGGACAAATTCAGAATTTCGTAATGTCCATTAAAATTATTTTATTCGACAAAATTCCCGACAATGTGTGTTCACGATAATTGAGTACCGATTTAAGTCGCCTGGAGTTTGTATGCTTTGTGTACTTCAATTGCATATATCATTTGGAAATGTTTTAATTGTTGTAACTGTATAACATTTCGTGCCACCCGAGCTCGTGTCCTCGGAAGGAATATTTCTGGAACGCTTTCGAGTTGACTGTCAATTAACATTGTTTAGAGCGCCTTCTGCGGTTACTGCCAATCCCGTTGCAAATCACTCGAGGACTGACAGAATCGATCAGCTGATCGGCGAGTAAACCGCGCAATTTCGGTTAACCAGGGTCGTCTGATAATTTTCCTGGGAAAAAGATAAATAGTTCCAAGGCTTCATCGACGACATTTTTCCGCACTCATTTTGCCTGCGGTTATTATACGCTGTTAACATTTTTTGTTGTTGTCAATTTAGTGCATTTTAACCGGGTTGGTGTGTTGCAAAATGCGTTTTATTCAAACTAAGTTCAATAGAGAACGTATAAAAAATATATAGTACACAGTATCTGAGTAAAACTTCTGGTACACATGTTTAGAATTCGTTGAAGGCATTATTAACAGTACGATTAGTCGGAATAATAGTCTTGGTACATTTTCATAATTCTCTTGAAATTGTCGTCGAGTTTCAAGATTATACATTTAATTCCAGAGCCGTCCTTTGAATTTCAGGTCAAGGTTTAACCCTCGATTTACCTCGAAAAACTTCAACGAGTCGACCTCGCTCTCGAAGCATTACAAATTTCATTTTCAGTTTTGGACCATAATCATAGTAATTATTTATATTTAAGACTTCCCTCGTCTTACCTTCAAATTAATTGGAATTATTTCAATTAGGCTGGAGTCCTTAAATACCGTATGGATTTACATCCACTGAAAAAGTCTCGAATCATTGACATTAAAATTAATTTAATATCCGTCAAGTTAATTTGACATCTAATGCAATATCTAATAAATCAATTCTAAATCGCGGAATTATTTGTCGAGAGATCTCGAATCGACCTTACGTCAAAACCGGCATTACAAATTATTATGAAAATTCAATTGGGCCAATTTCGCCGATGATGACCCCGCCATGTACTTCCGTGACCATTATCCAGTACGTAATGACTATCGTCATGCAGCGTACAATTTCGACGACAATGGACGTCGGAAATTCGATCGCGGGATAACCGCGTGCGAAAAGACATCTTTTTTTTTCTCTCTCTCTTACTTTGCGTTTTGCCGTTTATTCTCTCGGTGCGATCGAAGGCCGGAATGACCGAATGATTTCCAAAGCTCTTATGCGAGAAGTGTCATTGCGCCGCGAAAAACGCAGCCTCGTTATGCCCGACGACCAGCCTTGACACACTGTGTCAAAAGTCTTTTGTCACGTGGAAATCACGGAACGTGTCCCGAAATACGAAACGGCGGATTTCTACTTGACGACCGTTTTGAGATTTCGAGCCATGACTAGAAGTGATTACTCGGATGAAGGCCACGTGCAAACGTCATTTGTTGACACGTTTAGTTGACATCGTCGAGTGAAGGTCGGACTTTTTATTTCACCCATTGAGATTTTCATCGAGGTATTTTTCCATCCTCCACGGTAGAATTGAAAATCCCCCAAATGGAATTAGTCCGATTTCTCTGTAACTAATTTCCAATTTTTAGGCAATTGTACGTGTACTTTTTTTAAGGTAAAAGCCAAATCGATGTCTCGGCGGGCTTGAGAGATATTAAGAAATTCCTAAAAGTACATTTTTACCTCCTTTTGCCATTTTAGGGGTCGAATTTTTCGAAAAATCCCTTAGTGAGCATATAATGAATAAAATAAAAATAAAATACGAAAGGGACATAACTTTCGTATTTGGCTTTTAAGTACATAGATTATGAACTGAAGTTCATCAATATCGCGCCAATTGATATCAGTACAAGGGCTGATTGCATCGGAGAGTCTCTCTCGATGGGGTTGAAAATCCTGGAGAAATGATTTTCCGGGAAATTGCAGAACGGCCAGAAATTTCCCGAGCTCGATCACCATTAAACGTGGGTACGCTATTTTCCAAAATACTCGGAGGAGAATCCAGTCCATCTGGCTCAATGAGAGAGCAGCCGTTTGCGAAAGGCTTATCGGGTGACCGCGTTATCAGATATCGGGGATCGTGAGCAATCGACTAGCGTTCGATCAGCGAACGACGTTTACGGGCAACCTGGCTTTTCGTTTGGCCATGGCCCCTGAATGTAGAATGCACGTCCCGGTACGCGAATAAAAAACGAATCGGTAAAGGGAACTCGGATCAGGGACGTTTCCGGTCCGGTCGTTTCCGCCCTAGAGGGGGGTTGAAAAAAGGTAAATCCAGGAAAAAGGAAATACGGCACGCGTATTCCGGACTTTTTATATTCATTTTTTATTCCCCCCTTTTCTGCGGAAAAAGAACTACGTTGGTGAAAAAAAGAGAATGCCGTAAAAATTCAGAAAAAATATCAAGAGTAATCTAATTCTCTTATCAGGCATATCTTTTACTAGGAGAGACATGTGTATCGATTGATAAACACTGATATGTTGTGATCAGGAATATCCAGGGAAATCCGATTTCGATGTCACTTATATCTCCTCTACACCAGGAGAGACAGATGTCGAGCAGATATCCACCGATATGCGGTAATCACCAAAGTGCACCGAAATCTGTCCGTGATACGCGTTAATAAAAAAAATCCCTCGATATCATATAGAGACAGGGCTCTCCTCCACCAAGAGAAAAGCGTTTCGATAGACACACGTCGATCGCGAAAGTCCACCGAAATCCGAGTCGGATATCGGCGGTCTCACTTCGATCGGAGCCCACTTCCGGTCTCGCTTCCGGTCAGCTGGTCGCAATTATTCCCACCTCGTACTTCCGGTTTTCCACCGGACCTTCCTGTGCAGCTCGTGTCTCCGGACCTTTCCCTCTTCCTCTTTCTCTCTCTGCTCTTTGGATGTAAAAACTCTACAAAAGATATTAAAATTCTTCATCAATTTCAGACTTTATCTGACGACTTAAATTAATACGCCATGATGATGATGAACTTATCAACCAGTTTTGAACTTTATCATATTTCATCGAACGTGGTTGATACCACCTTGCGATACATGTTTGAATTTATTAATTTCATTTTTGTTCATTATTAGGTTTGGGCCTAAAATTGATAATTTTTTATCTGACGACTTAAATTAATACGCCATGATGATGATGAACTTATCAACTTTATCATATTTCATCGGACGTGGTTGATACCACCTTGCGATACATGCTTGATTTTATTAATTTCATTTTTGTTCATTATTAGCGTACGATTGCCCACGATTTTCCGCCGTGATCTCTCTCCTTTTGTCTTGACTTCACGTCCGGATATTTTCGTTCTCTTCTTTCCTATTTCTTTTTTCGCCTTTGAAAAAGTCTCTCTTGGTCTTCTTTTCTGTGTTGCAGTCGGAGATGTTCCGATGCCTCGCGATAACGTTACGTAAGGTCCTTTGAGACAATGAAAAGGCGACACGCCGTTTGGTCTCGTCTTCAAGGATCCTTGAGCTCCCTTCCTGCGCCTTCACGGTCCTTACTCTCGTAAAAAGAATCCAATTTAACTGGCAGTCCTTGCCAACGTGTAAAGTCGACGTCGGCCATCGGCGACTCTTCGTATGACGCGACCGGGACGAGAAAATAAAAGCGGCGAGATTCGCGCCTTTTCGCGAATCTCGGAAATGGGAGGATTTCATTCAGGAAATATCCAAAGGGAAATCTCGAGAAGAAAAATGGAAGGATCAAGGAGAACAAAACCTCTCCACTCGAGCGAATACATTCTTTTCGTAAATCTAATCCTACATCGAGGAGGAAGAAATTTCATTTAACCGAAGAAATATTTTCTTTTTAACTCGGTTTACCGAATAGTTTGAAACTTTACAGCGTGAATAGGAAGACTATAAGGAAGGTCCTGAAACTCATGAAATTTCAATTCTTTTCTAATTTGTTTATAGGAATTTTAAAAATAGTTTATAAAAAATGAATTTTCGCGAGTTTCAGGACCTACCTTAGGGTCTCCATATTCACATTTTAAAGTATGAAACGATTTGAGACACCCAGTTCTATGAAAAGTTTTATGAATTATTTATGAGGGAATGTGTTAAGGAAGCTCGAATTTGCATTGGAGTAGATTTCAGGCGCCACTACTGTATCGCCTTAAGAAAACTGGAATTCCCATTCAGTTAGATTTCATAGAGGGCGCAAAGTCGCGAACACGAAGTCACCCCCTTAAGGAAGTTCAACCTTGCATTCGGTCCACGTCCTTCCGGGAGGTTTCGCAGATGCGAGATTCCCATCTCGCCGCAGTTGCGGGTAAATCGACAAGTCTCTGTATAGAGGCAACGCTCGGCTCGCGGTTGCGCAGTCGCGCAGTCGGCCCCGAGGGTTGCGCTTCCGCCTCGGGGATTGATTCGCTCGGAAGAGGCGTTGCACGCTTCCATTTCGGTGCACCCTGTTTACACCGGAACTGCGTATACCCGTTAAGAGAGTACCGGATATATCGGATATTCCTGCTTCCCGATAACGCCGCAAGGATCCTTCATGGGACCCCTTTAACCAAAACTTAGCTCTCCGCCACTTCCGGCCTCTCGGGCATCGTCGCTCTCCAAGCCGGAAGTACCTACGAACCTTTACCTTGTAACAATTTGTTAAACAAAGTTTATACCGTCAACAGGATTCTTGAGGAAGTCCTTTGACCTAAGGTTTGCCTTCGGCAACTACGTAGCTACCCTCTCCGGTATCATTGCTTTCCAAACCGGAAGTGGAGCGACTGCAAAGTTGCAATCTACCAATCTGTCGGAGGAATCCTTAATGATATTGCAAATCAACTCGTACCACTTCTTATGCTTTATTTCGGGAGGAGGTACCATCTAATTGCCTATCGGGATCCTTTGAAGACGCGAACAAAGCTTCCTCCTCTCCAGAAATGTAGGACTCCTTCCGGGTGAGGATAATTCGCCAAAAGGTCTGTCGTCCAGGTCCACTTCCGGTTAGTTAACTCGGATCCTTCGGGTTCACCCTCGACATAACGCGGACAACGTGCACCTTGAACAGTCCACGTGGCGCACTTCCCTCGTTGAGGTAGGTCGAGGGTAACCGACGTTCCGAAGACAAGACTCTTCAGTAACTCCCTTAACAGAAATCAGTAAACCTAATAAATTACGTTAAGGTGATATCAAAGTGGCATCTAAAGGATCAATTGTTAATACAATTTTTCTCCGAACAAGATACACCGGATCATATCAAAGTTTACAACGTAAATATGGAAATCCCAAGGAAGGTCCTGATAACATGAAATTTCAATTTTTTAAAATATTTCTTTATATTTCTTATATTATTTTGCATGTATATATATAAAAAATTAAATTCCACATTCACGTTGCAAAGTTTGATACGACTCGATGCACCCAATTAGGAGAAAAGTTTTATATAAAAAAAAAACCTCTCGTACCACTTTAATATCACCTTAAGGTCACTCTTTGATGCGCTCTTCTTCCTCGTTCTTTTCTAGGGTTCGCTTTCACGGGGCTCGTCTTATATTTCTTCTTCTCCCTTTTTTTCTTATTTTACTTTTTATATATAAGACCGGAACATGGGAAAGGGTTCTCACGGTGACATCACATACAGGTGCATCGCAAACCGCGGATCGATGTGTCGTTCAACTCTCTCGACGCCCTCTTCGTGGTCGACGAGGAGACGCGATAAACGCTCCATGCATCGTCCTACGTGACGATAATTAATTAATTTTCCCGTAACGGGCGTGTAACGTTATTTCAGGTGGAGACGAATTACCGGTCGTATCTGATCGTACCTTATAGATTAAGGGGACGTGAAAGTGGCGTCAAAGAGTTCTCCTTCGTGAAACTTTTCTCCAAACTGTTTGTACCGATTCGATACAAACCTTACATTAGTAAGCATAGAGGCTATAAAAAAGGTCCCGACACCCATATAAATTGTTTACAAATTTCTTCATACATCCAACCGTACCTTGAAAGTTAAGGTGGCGTGAAAGGCACTTTTGAACAATCAGTTGAGTGGATCTACTTTTCGTAAGGAGCAAATTTTTAGGTTACGATGCATGTAATCCGTGTAAAAAAAACATCTGTTGCCATTTTTATTTTTATTTAAAAATCCGTTATTATTTTTATCTTCAAAATGTGGTGGCCACACATCTATATGTGTATACACGTGTATATCGCAAGCTCGATAAAAAAGGTGCGAGTGATGCGAAAATCGTACTCCCTGACTTTTCCCGAAATTTCGGTAGTTGATAATTATCCAATTTAGGTCGTATCGCGTTATCGTGTCTATTGACTGCCCATAATCATGTTAGAGAACATGTTTGGAACCGTTTTCGATACTTCGGAGAGAAATTACCATCCAGCCCCGTGCTCTAGTGAAATTCTAACGCGAAACAGGTGCGACGCGTGTAGATAAATGGCGTTTGCCGTGTAATGGAAGGGAGCCGGGATTATTGCAATTAAACCAGGAGCCGAAAATGTCGGGAATTGAGGGGAGTTTCGGTCCCCCAGGAGTTGCGGGTTGTTAGCAACAATGTCGGCTCCCTCGAGCGGAATTCGGGATGAGTTTTTCAGTCTCCTTGAATTATCGGTGAAATTAATGAATAAGGTGATGTGAAATTTAATTTTTCGCAAAAGACAAAAAAAAACAATTGTACTTATCTCGGAGAAGAAGTAAAAAAAAGACACTTTTCTTCAAGAAAAATTTCATGAACATCGCGTTCTTCCTTGGGGCCTCCATAATCACGTGTCAAAGTTTCAGATCGCTCGGTGTGCCCAATTTGGAGGAAAGCTTTATAAATATTTTGTTGTTTATATATATAATGACCCTTTCATATCACCTTGAGCTTTCAAAACGGGGGAAAAAATTTAAAATATATCTCTGGTTGCAGAGGATCCGGTCGGTACGAGGAACGATCCTCGAGCCAGGAGCGCCGGAAGTTGCTGAAGAGGACCAGGAGCTTGGCGGTGGTTTCCGAGGACATCTTCAGGAATCATAGCGATTCCCGTCGTTTTCGACTCGGGGAACCCTCCGACACCCCCAGGAGGTCCCAGCTCATCCCTAGAGCGAAGCTCATCGACCGGAACTCCCTGAAGGACAGGTTGGTTCCGTGGGAAAGCGAAGGAACTTCCGACGTCACACAGAAAAAAATATGAAATTTCATATACGTCAAGACCTTCCTCAGCGCCTTTCATATCATCCTAAATCGACTTTACGAATTTCTACTTACGAGCGGTTAACGGATATCAATAAATTCCTAAAGACAAGGACTATGCGTATTTGAATTGTCTGAAATTGACAGGTGGATTTTAATTTGCGGTGCCCTTGGAGGAGGGGAACTATTACATGAACATCCAGCGTAGAGTTGATGAATCTTATCTTGCAGGTTGTCGAAAAGCCAACAACATTTGTCGGACTCTTACGAGCGTCTAAACGAGACAAGGTCTTGCCACTCGCGATCGATTTGCGGACTGCATCCGATATCTACGACAATTTCGGGAAATTTCGAACCGTCCTATTCACGATCGAACGATCGGCCCGATTCGGACCGCCTTAATATCTTGGAGTGGCCGGACCCCCCGCGAAGGCGGTTCACCACTGTCCAGGACTTCGACTCGGTCACAGGACTCGTAGACATCGTCGAGGACAATTGGCCGATAGAAGAGAACCGCAGCCTCGATTGCGTTTACACACAGGTACAGCGTTTGCGAGGTCCTGACAGCCATGAAATTTCTTTTTTTATAATAAAATTTAATACTGTCAATAACCAAATTTTAGAATAACTGAAATTTCATGCTTGGCAGGACCTTCTTTATAGCCTCCACGTTCACGTTGCAAAAGTTCGATTGCGTTTACACTCAGGTACGGCGTTTGCGAGGTCCTGACAGCCATGAAATTTCTTTTTTTATAATAAAATTTAATACTGTCAATAACCAAATTTTAGAATAACTGAAATTTCATGCTTGGCAGGACCTTCTTTATAGCCTCCACGTTCACGTTGCAAAAGTTCGATTGCGTTTACACTCAGGTACGGCGTTTGCGAGGTCCTGACAGCCATGAAATTTCTTTTTTTATAATAAAATTTAATACTGTCAATAACCAAATTTTAGAATAACTGAAATTTCATGCTTGGCAGGACCTTCTTTATAGCCTCCACGTTCACGTTGCAAAAGTTCGATTGCGTTTACACTCAGGTACGGCGTTTGCGAGGTCCTGACAGCCATGAAATTTCTTTTTTTATAATAAAATTTAATACTGTCAATAACCAAATTTTAGAATAACTGAAATTTCATGCTTGGCAGGACCTTCTTTATAGCCTCCGCGTTCACGGTGAATAAAATTTAATATTGTCAATAACCAAATTTTAGAATAACTGAAATTTCATGCTTGGCAGGACCTTCTTTATAGCCTCCGCGTTCACGGTGCAAAAATTCGATTTTTGCCTATCACTAATGATAAGATGACTCTATGAAGAAAAATCAAGTTTAACGTTGATTATAACCCAGGTCAAGCGAAAGCGCAAGGAGCACCGGAGTCTAGACAGCATCCTCTTCGAGGACGAGGACGAGCTAGAGTACTTCGACGTGCTAAATCTACTTCCGCTGTCGAACGTCCGTCTGGAGTTCTCCGACCAGGACGAGACCAGAAGCCGAGTCCTTCGTAGCGGCAGGACGAACCCGATATCCAGCGGCGAGGACACCGACGAGAACGCTCCTCGAGTCCTGGATCTCTCTCCTTCAGGCGAGAACGTGACCGACGAGGAGAAGAGCAGGATCCAGGATTCCGTGGAGGAAACCCGAGGAAAGCAGAGAAGGAATCCCTCGTCCTGTCGGGTCCAAGGAAACCACCACCCTAAAAACAGGACCCCCGACCAGGAATCCTTAGCTTCCATCAGGGGAGATCAGAATTCTCCGGAGAAGAGCTCAAAAAGTCGAAGATTAACCCTTGAGGAGGACGAAGAAGAAGGTCCCGAGGCAGGATCGGAAGTCGGGGCGGAGGAGTCCAGGACGGATGTGGAGGTAATCAGGGAGGTCCTGGAAAAAAGGGAGGTGGAAGAGGCGGAGGACTTCAAATCCATCTGGATCTCCGACTCGGAGGAGGTCGAGGAGATGTCCAGGAGGCCGCAGGTCCTGAAGATCGTCGACAACGACGTCACCAGGAGGAGCGGCAGGGCCTCGCAGCTGGTGGAGGTCCAGGTCCTGGATGACGAGGTGGAGTGTAAAGGTCCCGAGGTGAAGGCCACGGAGAAGGACGACGAAGCTTCCAGGACGCATCCTAAGGAAAGGTCCTGCCAGGATGAGCAGGATTCGAGTCTTCAGAGCGAGGGGAAACTGGGAAGGATCATCAAAGAGACGTCCAGCATCCTGGGGAAGGCGTGTAGCGCGGTGAAGGGTACTTTAGGGTTCGAAGCCAAATCCGAGGGTTCTGGGGAGGACGACGGAGTGGACGTGGGTCCTTCGACGAGGACAAAAAGGACCTCTAATCGCGACCAGGATGGGCCGGAATTTGATCACGTGAGGTACAAGATCGTCAAGTCGGACGTCTTCGGCAGGAACATCTACGGGACCTCCAAAGGAGACGTGTCCTTCGACGGGCTCATCCAGTACCTGAGGAAGTACTCGTTCCAGGACCTCCTGGTGGACAACAATGTCGTCATCATAGAGCCGGTGCGCGCGGAAACCATTGAGAGGAAGTCCTCGGCCGAGGGGAAGATCAAGAGTCCTGCGAGTTGCAAAGTCGCGGGAGCATTGCAGAAAAGGACCAAACCTGAAGAGGACGAGGACTCGTCCAGGTCCAGGAGTCTGGAGGGCTCGAAGGAGTCCTCTCTCCGCAGGCATTTCTTTTATCATCCCATCAGGGTCAACCGGGAGCTGATCGACGAGGAACTCCCTGATCCCGACACCGTAAGAAATGTTCGCAGGATGTTCGAAAGTACCCTGCAGCTCAAACGACCTGACGACGAGTTCTCCAGGAGTTGCAGGTAAGGATGTACCTATACCACCGAAATATAAAAGTAAACCTTTGTTTTTACACGCAGAAAAATATTTGGTTTATTGAAGAAAATTGATCCTAATGTTATGCCTTATCAACTGAATGTTATCAATGAACAAATCTTCTGATCCTCGTGCAGGACCCGCAGGAGCGTCAGCATGAAAGACCTGCGGAGGATAAAGGACCAGCTGCAGGAAAAGGAGCCTTTGGAGGTGTCCAGGACAAAGGACCTCGGTGGGACGAGGGAGGCGGAGAAATCCTCTCTCCAGGGTGCCAAAGAGGAGCCGGAGAGTCCTAGGAGCGAGTCGAAGACCAGGATCCTGGCGAGGTCCTTCGAGGCCCGAAGCGGTCACACCTCCCCCAGCGATTCGACGACCCTGAAGAGCTCCGATAAGAGCAAATATCACAATTGGGATGCAGGAAGCGTGAGTTCCGGGGTATCGAGCGACTATCCGGACACGGATCCTGGAAGCGGGGCTCGATGCACGTCCTCTGACGAGGACCTCGACTGTCGGGAGGACGACGAGCTGGACACCGTCTCCGGGCACTTCGTCTCGCAGGACGTCCTGAAGAAAATTCGCGAATGCGGCACCTCCGTCACTTATTACGGGGGCAAGGTGGTGCACATCTGCAACGGGCCCCTGATTTCACCTGCGAGAGGGAAACCGATAAAGGATGTCCTGGGACGAAGAGAGGCGCAGAACGGCAAGGACTTCGTCAAGCTCAGGCTGGTGAAGAGCAACTCCTGCGACAGCAGACTCGAACTTACGGGACGCCTGGTGGACAGGTGAGGATGAAGGGATCTCAAGGAACACCATGAAACCTACAAAACACGTGTTGGTTTATACTTAAGGCATCGGTTTATATTAACAGGTCGAGAAAAACCGGAAACGATGCCACAGAGATCAGTCAGGTCTCAGGGACGAACGGGGACCGAAGGCAGGACCTGAGGAAGTGGCCCATCCTGGAGAACGAGGACAAGTCCTGGGACCAGGAGGGGAAGAGGGAACCCCCGGTCGTTGTTGGTCTCGCTCCGAAAAGGGACGAGCGCAAAGAACAGGAGGTCTTCAGGGCGGATTTCAACCTTTGCAGGATCGACGACCTCGCCAATGGGGTTGGCAAGTTCGGGAACAGCGCCCTGACCAGGTGGCAGGTGAACGAGAACGCGACCAGGTGCGACTTCGGCAAGATGGAGTTCGAGGAGTTCGAGGTCCTGGAGGACAGCCTTAATGGGAACGAACGTTAGGAGGATTTTTTTTTGGGCCTTTGGCCTTTAGAATTTCATACGACGACCTCGGGACAAGGCTCCCTGCGAAATGAACTTTATGCCCATGTTGAGTACACATAGAGTTTCATGTCCATGTTGAGCATACATGATATTTCATGTCCATGTTTAGCATAAATGGTATTTCATGCACATGACGAGTGCACATGAAATTTCATGCCTGTGATGAGTATACATGAAATTTCATGCCCATGATGAGTACACATGGAATTTCATGTCATGGGGGAGTATGTATGTATACATGGTGTTTCATCGGAAAGCGGTCATGTCAGCCTCTATTCGTCTTTTCCAGGATGTCGAAATGACGTCGAGAAGGAAATCTCGAAAAATCGAGTGTCATTCTTGGGATGAACTGGACGCGACGCCCATTTTTTTCATCGACCTTTGAAATCCCTCCCACGGCGACGGAATTATCGAAGTGTCGGCGTAAGGACGGGAAAACTTTTGGAAAAATGGCGCGCGAACGTAGAATTCAGAAGTCCCGTAGATGTTATGGACGTAGGATATATGGAGCCCGGGAAAAGATTTACTTAAACGAAATTAATGTAAAGAAGATAATAGGGCACTTGCTGAAAGGATCGGCAGGGAATCGCGCTGATAAAATTAGGAATAATATTTATATTCCAGTCGGATCGAGTGCAATACCATTGACAATGTGCAACGTAAAAGTGTTGGAAGTGGGTCTGGAGTTTTAAGGGATTCTTGTACAGCTTTCGTCTCGCCTTAAAATCGGACCTGTTGTAATTCTGTGAGAGCGTTTTAACGATTTGCATTTCAGTCGCATGATGCATCGTTAAATAAATGTCTAATAAATTCAATTCGCATGCGGTTCCGGGAAAGGTTTAAAAAAAACTATTGATCCTTCCGATCCCCCTTTCATATCACCTTAATTAATTTTGAGGGTCGGAGGGTGCGTCACGTATGCAGCTCCGAGGGCGATCCCTGGGTCGGGTCTCTATCAGCCCCTAACCTGGAATGATAACCCGATACGGGGCTCGTAAAGGCCCGATGACAGTCGCTTTATACCGCCATTATGGTCGGCAGGATAACAGGGATGTAGAATACCAGCAATAAAGCGGTAACCATGGAGCACCCTGTCGTACGAATTTATGCCCGCGTGCAACTCCTGACTTTTTCCGCCGTTAAACTCCGTAAAAAAAAAATCGGCCGAGTTTAATGGAACCTATGAGAAATATCGCCGGTAGGTTTTCCCCCATTATATACAGTAAAAGACGAACCAAGCTCGACGGGGTCTGTGCTAAAAAGTACCCAGTAGTTTCACCCCCTTAAGGGCCGTAAAAAGTCGACGAAAGATCACGGTGTCCAGGTTAAAAAGCGAACAGTTAACTTTTCCGCTCTTACGACTTGTAGAAGATGAACTGGACGCGATCGTGTCTCTAACTAAAATGTATGAAGCAGCTTTTACCTTTAAGCTCCGCTAAAAATTGCCCGAACGTGACTCCGTTCGTACTTAAGCGTTGTCAGGGATTTCTTCCTCCCTTAAGCCCCGGAAAAATCGACAAGGCGGTACGTCTCTATTAAAATTTATCCAGCAGCTTTGTCAACCATTAAGGTGATATAAAAAGGTCATATACTGTATATATATATATAAAGTTTTCTAAATATTTTCATGTTTTGATAAAAAAAAGGAAAAGAGACTTACCGGAAGCCTCGATGCTCTCGGCGGTGATCGCAGTTTTCTCGCGAATGCCCCTAGGGTTTTTCAGGTCCTTGGGGACCCTAGGGTCTCTGGTGTCCTTTGAGTCCTTCGGTTGCCTCCCTTCCTTCGCGTCCTTCCTCAGGATCGGGCTCAGAACTGGAGCAAAGGAACCTGCACTCGTCGAAAGACCTCTCTGCGTGTTGCTCCACCATCTCCTGCACCAAGTTTCCTAAAAACGTGGGAAAAAAACCAAAGCAAATATGCATTAAAAAAAATCTAGTTGAAAATGAGACTTCTAAATTAAGGGAATTATATGAATGAAAACGTTTCATATGTCACAGTAAAGTATTGATATCGAAATCCCGTGAATTCATTATTCTAACGACTGTTTAAGACCAGCGTCGCCATCTGTGGCATTTCGTTGCAACTCAATTTAATGTCGGCCCTTTACGCCGATTTCGACAGTAATTTCTTATTAAGATCGATTTCGGATTTCAGCGACTTGCTCGAGGAAGGTGCAAATGTGCCAAATCGGGAAGGGGTTGTGATAATTGAATCGATTTCGAGATTAAACCCTGCTTTCGATGTCGCGTGTCGAGAGGTCGTTCGTTGGAAATTGCGTGCGAACGCTCCTTTTTCGCTCGCAAAAGGCGAAGCCGACTGACACTTTCCCTTAATTAAAAAATTCACCCTAATGCAGTTTATCATTGCGCCCCAGGGTTTATCCATTTCCCATTTTTCCTTACCGCAATGAGACATGCTTAAAGGGCGACTCTTTATCTTTTCACAGGCGATTTTACGATTATGAAAGTCTCAGAAAATTATTTTCTAATATATTTGGAAACAAAATTTTTAGCCTTGCATTTTATACCATGTTGTATTTTCTGAGGACGTAAAACAAGATCTCGTATAAAAGGTACCGCGCTAATTGAAGGATTACCTTCTGTGTATAAAAAGAGCGGCTTAAACGTATCAAGGACACAGTTGGGTTCAGGATTAAGGAAATCGGAAAATACGATTGCAAATGGGATCTGTCATTTTGCAGTGGGATATAGGATTGTATTTTCCGAGCACGTAAAACAAGATCTCGTATAAAAGGGACCGTGGAAATCGAGGGATTACCTTCTGCGTATAAAAAGAGCGGCATAAACGTATTTCCAGACGCGTTCTTGGATCCTGCCTGGATTTCGTAATAAACTTCGCGCGTATTCGGGCTTCTATATAAATCAAGTACATTGAAAGGCCGTTATCCCGAGGGAATGCTCCGATTTTTATTCACCGCAATCCGCGTAAGCCGTAAAATGAAAGCACCCATTATTGGTCGGTGTGCGTAGTTCGTAAAACCTTCGGGGAAAAGTTCGCGAGGATCTCCGAAATGCGACGGCCCTGGAAAATACGAGAAAATGAGGAGAAGTAAGGAGAAAGAATCCTTTGAGGTCATGAAAGAAACTTAATAAGAAGGCCGCCTAGAAAGATGTACGACTCGCTTTTTAAGGGAGTCGGCGAATTCATATAAAAAATGATATTCAGTAGTGACGACCCTCGGCGTGTATTTATTTTATTTCATTTTGTTACGACAAAGGTGTAACCAGGTTATACACTTTAATCAATCCGACATGAATGACATCCGACGTGAAAAATTGATAAGATGAGATCCGGCGTGAAAATCGATAAGATATCAAATGCGATAATAAAGCCGATTTTCCCCCCCAGTGAAATTTCGAAATTTCCAAGGGGAATTGCAAACATCTCCGAAATATTTTTCCATTCCGAATCATTGGAGTTGGTTCAGTTTGCACGTTGAAAATGTTTCCACGAGATATATTCTGACTAAGAGTTCATTAATCCCGGGATCTCTGGGCAAATAATTCGAGTACTTACTCGTAGAATCGCGAAACGACACTCCAGGGCAATCTCGAGTGCACTTAATTGCATGCATTGCACGGAGACTTGAATGCACGAGCGAGTGCACTCGATTTTTCCCCCTCGTTACCCCTCGTTCCAGGGATCCGAAAAAATCCTATTAAGGCCTACGACTTACTTCGGGAAACATTTTCTCCGTGACGTTTTTATAGGCGGTGGATTATTAGAAATTACTGGGGGACCTCGGAAAACGGATGAAATTTTACAAAACCAGAGACGCGGCATCGGGAGTGAGACACTTCTTTTCTTTTGTTCAGTTTTTGGCAGGGAACTTCAAAGGCCGCGATATTTCCGTTCTCTCTCCGGGCAACCCTTTGTCGGGTTTGATATCGTTTCAAAATTCGATACGACCTCTGTTATCCGACATAGTTCGCAAAGTAAAAAGAAACTGGAGCAATCGAGGACGAGTTTTGGTGATAAAAGAGCGGGCGGAAAAATAGGGAAAAAATTGAAAAAGAAAGATGGCCGCCGTCCCGTCGAGACTCTTTCGCGGGGGTCTATATGCAGAACAGCAAAAACTATTTTTCCTCCCTCCCCAAACTGAGTTATTTCAGGATTATTGGGAATTTCAACTGACTTGGCATCTCTTACGCACGTTAACGACCCTCTGCGAAACTCGAGCCAGGTTCGACAGTATATATATAGGTGGAATGAAAAAAAAAAATACATGTACATATGTATTTTAAGCATCCCCGTAATTGTCTGCCAAGCTGTAAAACCGTAACAAACCGCAAGACAATAGAATTATCAACCGTTGAAAATCCTTGCAAATCTCATAAATGTTCAGCACGTGAACATGCAATTCCGTGACGTCTTATCGGATATTGTTCAAAACCAATAATAATTCACGTTTCAAGTACTTGGTGCAGTTTTCTTAATTTTTTTAACAGCGAGGGTGAAAAGGACATTTTCCACCCACTTTCGGTCGACCTTGTCTCTTTTTCGGATGGAAGGAAAATTGATTATTTTCGGAGGATAGAGACGTCGAAGGAAGGTTTCCCATCGCTAGAATTACTTCAATATCCCTGCCCAGCATCCTGACCCACATTTTTCCCCAATGGGTATAAATAGTCCTAGGGAGTCCTGTGTGTCGCTGGCATTTTATTCCCCTAGATCCACCTCCGGTCTTATCCCCCGGGATTCACCTTAGGTGGATCCTCCAAATCTCCCGAGGATGTTAACTTGTCACGGTTTGACTTCAGGGGATGAATTGTCTCTAAGAGATCCTTTCGATCTGACCAACGTTAATAAAAGCGGCCACGCGGGTTGGAAATTAAATATCTACGTTCAGAATAATGATTAATCATTCCTAATTGTTCTTCGCCGAAATGGATTATTTTAGACATAATCCGTGCGGCACCATTATGATATCGATTGCGCTCTTTTCTCTTGTATACTAAATTTCATAATCCTCTATATAATGACCTTTTTGTATCGCGTACCTTTACAAAAGTGTATATAAAAGTAAATGTATATATATATAAAGTTGTTGAGGTTTAATCTATAAATTTAATAAATGTGTTACAGCGGATCAACCGTGTAGTACCGTACTATCATTCCGTGGTTTCTTCAGGGGTTGATCACCTCCGAAAGCGATCCCCTTACAAAAGGGAGCTGAGAATTGTTTCTTCCAACCTTCGGCCCCTCTTATAAAGGAGGCGTTAAAAGGAAACATCCATTTAGAGGGTAGAGAGCAAGGAAAAGCTTCTCGTTTCCGGCCGACGAAATTCCAACCCTTCGGCTTCTCGATCCGAGGGGTTTCTCAGGAAATTCAAGCTTTTCCCTCCGACCTCCCGAGGAAATTCCCCCAGTCTTTCCCTTTTCGACCTCCCCTCGAAGAACACCGTAAACATTATCTGGGAATGGAAACTTGCCAGAGGGCAGCAGACGACAAAATTACGTGGAAAAGAGCAAATCTCGATGGAGAGGGCGTGCAAGAAATAAAAGTCAAGGGGTGTCCGAGTCATAAATGGAGGCGGTCGAAAAAGCGAAGTCTCTTTTGAACTAAGTGAGGGAAAGAAGATCAGGGGATAAAAAGAACCCTCAGTTTCTATCCGTAGCCCTCCAACCGCAACCCTTTGGCTTTCTGGACTGAAGAGGCTCGTAGAACCTTTTTTCCATTTTCTCCCACTATCTCCTCCTATTTGCCCAGCCTCTCATTAACATCATTGACTACATCAAACGGGAAATTCAAGTACACGCGTACACTTTAGGACGCATAAGCCCCTTCAACCCAGATTTCTTTTCACAGCCAATAGCACAACTAGTATAAATACAGATTTACAGACTTCTAAGCAGATAAATAGTAAGGGCACACTTCACGATCTGCTACGGTTAGAATAACCTGGAATTGTTTTTTTTTTTTTCTTTTTAACTGGACTCTTTTTTAGTACTATATGCGCACCATGTTCACGCACAATTTTCCCTCATCGATTGGGATTGAATTCCCATTCGATAGAGAAGGGCTTGTCGAAGAGGATGTCCGGAAACCAAAGCGCAGCCCCCAGGAGGAAATCCCGCGTTTGACTTTCAGGAATACCCGCAATTTCTCGAATACGGGAAAAATTGTGCCGCGGGGTGAGGTTATCGTATACAGGATAAATAAGGGTTGTCTAAGCCGATATTCTGGGTCCAGACTGCGGAGGCTGCAGCGGGCGCCATGAACATCGATCTGCTGCTCTCTTCTGACCTTCCTGGCACCGTTTTGGCATCCAAGAACCAGCCCGAAATTTCTCGCTTTCCGGATCTCCTCCCCGTTGCAGAGATATATTCCTTTAGAAATTCATACATTCCGAAGGAAATGTATATTAAATTAAAGTCCCTACATTTCGAAGGAAGTGTATATTAAATCAATGTTCCTCCATACCCCTTTCGGTGTTAACGGCATTTTGAATATTCAAGTGATAACATAAACTGGTGCGTCCCGTTACCTAGATTTATTTCCGATTTCTCGGATTTCTATCGTCCATCTGTAATCCCGTGTCCGAAAAATATTCCTCCTGGCAGGAAGGGCTTTTAAAAGAGGCAAAATCGTTTATTGGGTCATACCCACGGGTTCTTATTCTCGTCGGACCAGTCTGGCAACTTTTTCGGCAGTGGCCGTAAAAGTTGACGAAGAGGTTGGGTCACCTTAAAAAATAAAATAAAAGAAAAAAAAAACATTACCTCGTGCCAATTTCTCGCGACTTGAACCGCCGAATCGTGCATCGACTTTTAAAACCTTTTTGATCAGTTTCATCCCTACTTTCCGTGATGAATTCTGCGTGCACTGTTAAGGACTTTTTGATAATCGATCAAGATTTCATCCCCACTTTCTGTAAATAGTGCTACTAATATTCCTAATTTACTTAATGTATATTTAACGTAGATACAAAACCGTGGGTGGAAAACGTTTAATTTTTAACACCTACTACCCTATTTCCACCAGATTTACGTGTATAAAACGTGAATTCCCCTAATTTGTGTTTATCGAGCAGCCAACGGGTGCGGAAACAATTTCGCCAGGTGATCGGGTGACTTGATTTGATTGAATTATTTAGTTAGCAGCGCGATTTACGGAACCGTAGACTCCGTTCACGAAGCCTCGAGATTAATGGAGGCTTTCGAATCACTCCGGAGGAATTCAATTTACCTGCGTCGATCGATCCTTCGATCTAAGATTTCCGCAGGTTCTCGTAATTCCATTCTCCCTTAGTCATCGTGAATTATTTTCTTAAAACGTGTCCGGTTGCGTAACGTTAGGTGATTCTACATTTATTAAAGAGATCTACCCATTTCCTTGGGGCGGTATACGTAATGTATAATATATCATGTATAGTATATAATACATGATACATAATGTATACTTATTTTCGCCGGAAAACCAGACAGGTTGTACCACCGTGAAAGTTCCTGATAATGGCGTTTCCCAGTGGAAGTAGTCTTCCTTTCAACAAAGTCTACCCCATACCGTGTAAAGTCATGACAATACAGCGCATCCCACTTGACGAGATTTTCCTTTGAACAGGTGACTGTCAGATAGCATGTCTAATAATGACAGAGGACGATGCACTTCGATCGAAAGTATCTCCTTTGAACGAAAGAATACTCGATATAACACGTACTCTTGATAACAGAGCATTCCAATTGAGGACATTTTCCTTTCACCGGGTTACTTGATAGCGCGTCAGATGATAAGATCATGCACACTAATTGCAGATATCTTCTTACTAAAAGAGAATAACGCGTGAGGGTCATGATAACAATACCGTCCACTAGAGACAAGATCATGATAAGACCATGCACCCTGATAGAAGATACCTTCAGTCAATGGGTATGATCATGACATCGGTGCACCTCAATCGAGTACATCCTCCTTGTATCAGATGACAGCCAAATAGCTTTAAAGATTAGGTCAGTTAGGTCAGGACTGCTATCAAGCCACCCCCCATCCGTAGATGTCGCGATATCAAAAGGGGTCATCCTCGCGAAGAGAGAGCGAGAGAAAAGCTCGGTCCACCGAATGAGCATTCGAAGCTCCGCGGTGGGAGAGTGGAATATTTTTGTCTTCGGACGAGCACCGAGACCGAATTATCACGGCTGACATTTAGCCGGAACCCCATCGGGCGACGTGCGTTATCACGGGCACGATGGAAGGGGTCAATTCCTTAACGATCGGGTTTCCCTCGTATAATAACGAGCACGTCCAACTTTTGCCCGAGTGGCATCGCTAGTAAAGCGAAGTAGAGTATTTTCGAGTGTCCCGACACTTTCCTCGACGAATAAGAGCCTTCCTGACCTAACCTAACCTAACCTAACCTAACCTAACCCAACGAGGGCTGTTTCCTCGCCCTTCTAAGTAATTCCGTTCGTGTCGCGTTTATCGCGTTTGCAGAGTAGGCAGAGGAAGCGATGCACCTCTTCGGGTTCATCGTCTCTCGTTAAATGAAATCCCCGAAAAGGGGGCGATATTAATCTCTGCGAGTGGGCTGGTTTCCAAGGAGCACGTGTCGTCCTGCGCCAAATGTGCCTGTCCGTGATAAAGCGTTATCGCGCGAGCTCCTCCGGCATATTTTCGTGTTCCATTGCCCCGAACGATGTCACGTCACGCCGGAACTCTAAATAAAAGAAAAAGGCAAGTACAAGATCAGTGGAATAAAAAGAATGAACACGTGCGCTCCTCCAACTTAGTTCCAGACAAATTGAGATCGTGACCCAAGACGTAAACGCGTATACATACTCGATCGATATCTCTTATCAAGAAAGTGTCCACATCATAACCTACGATAATAAAACGATTATAGTAAATCTCCGGCTTAATGATAAATCAATCGCGAAAAATCAATACACATTTACCTGACTGTTAATCATAATCACCAAAAAAATTTCCAAGAGACAAACAGACGGTCAGAGGCGAAAAGAGTGAACGTATGTACAATGCGTTTTATATATATATTTTTTTTTGTACGCAAATAAAATTAGTGCACATATTTAAACGCGATTGAACTTGAGTTTGCGATGATTCGCGATAGATAAGGGAATTTAATGACGCGGCTTATTACGAAGGAAATTTCCGCGAAGACATTACACGGTCTCGACAACCTCGCGGAAATGCATCCTCAGGGTGGCTTATCGTCGTCTGTTATCATTATGCAACTTGAGTATACCTATGCGGGTGATGCATTATTCGCAGCATTGCATCGCCTGTTGGTAGATGAGGACCGAAATACACGTTCCCTGAAACGGGTCCTGACAGAATTTGTTCCGGTTTAATGTCAACGTCAATTAAACGGAAGCATATGTACCTCGAGTATATTCGGGGTTTATAAATAAATCCTGAGCGTTATACTTCGACTAAGCGGCGCGCAATCCTCTTGAATTTCGTGAATTTCCGAGCGAAATGCGCGAACGCGATTGGCCAGTTCCTCGAGGACCGACTTTCCGTTGGAGCGGACCAACGGAATGCGCGACACCCGGCCGAGGAACGCAAATAGACGCAAATATGTACAAGCGACACGGGAGTTCAGCATATCCGACAGGAGAAGTGATAACAGAGGTCGATTTACTTGCTTATTTAGTAATCGTATGTAAATAGTAAGCGAAGGATGTGCCGGCCGCATTTCCGTTGGAACCGATCCGCGACGCGCCATTAGGGGGTCTTGCCAATAAGACCAATCGAACGAATATTAGAATCTTCATAATTATAGTATCAATCTTTATCAATACTTCGATACGCACATATACCTCATACATTATATATAAACATATAACGGCATAATTTATCAATCGGTTCCCCACTCCTCCATATGGACCTAACGGAAACGTCGTTTCCGTTAGAGCCAATCGAGCCTCTCCAGTACATCCGCAAATACAGCATAATTTACTAATCCGCCTTCACTTAATTCCCGCGGGTTTAAAGAAGACATTTCCATTGAGGCCGACCGAGGCTTTCCTGTATCTTCATAATTATCGCCTAACTTACTAGTCTCCTTCTTTTGTACGGATCCAAAGGAAACAATTCCGTTGGTGCCGGTTTCTGCCGTGCCGCCCCAACCGGCGTGACTAACCTCACGAGGCACCGCGTAAATCTTTCTTTTTTATACTCTAGTCGTAAGTTTGCCGTTTATACGGCAGATATGGAATGCTTGAATGCCCCTCGAGGTGTTTAAATGGATTCCTGGAAATCGACACGCGTAGGTCCCGATTCAAACGACGAATCGGCGCGCCACGTCGCGGTGCTCTTTCCGTTGGAGCCGCCGATCGGCGGGTGATGCGTCGCGATCGGCGATTACCGATCGAGCCTACGGGGCCGAACGAGTAAAATAATGCCGGACTCACGTTACGGTATTTCCTGGCCGCTGTCAGGGGCGTCGCACTCAGGACGCGCGTTATCTCGAGCCTCAAGACGACGAAGGCGCGACACGGCACTGCGCCCGCCATCTTGCCGCGGCGCGCACCTGCTCGGAATTCGACCGACGGCTTTCGAGCGACTGTCGGGGCGTCGCGCGGCCGGGACCGTCGCGGCGCCCTTGGGCTCGGTTCTGGTCCCCGGAACCGGCGTCGCGACGCCCGACGCTCCCGCCGACATGCGCGCAACGCGTGCCGAGCCTTCGCAGCTGCACGGTCCGTTACCGGGGCGACGACCCGACGGCCAATCACGACTCGCCAAAAGAGCGCGTCTTCTCCGCCTAGGAGTATGCGATACAGTAACCGGCATACACTGACAAAGTAATCGGATTTGTATATGACATCTCCATCGTACACCTTAATCCGGGATTTATCGGGTCCAGCGATCCGACCCGTGAACAATCTCCCAACTTATCTCTGATGATAAATCTCTACGTCTCCATCGTATGTACTCTAAATCCGGGGTTTAGCAAATTCAAACCCAGTAAATAGGTATTTAAATTTCGATCGGGCTGCTCAGAATCGAATATGCAATTTACTCGATCTGAATCCGAAAAATCCCGGTTTTAGGAGTGTGATGGAAACGTGATTCACGGGAGATTAACCAAAGCGTTCTGGCCGGTGATTGGTCCTCGCTGAGACCAATCGCGTTCAAGCTCCACTTGCATTTGGCGCGAAAAAAATTTTGAATCTGCTTGAACGGCTTTTGAAAGATACAGATGAGAAAAGTGAACAGGAAGAATTATCTGATTACTGGATACGTGGAACTCTTATCGTACCGAGTGTACATGAATCTATTGTTTTCTCTTTTTTACTTGTAGGTTATGATTCAGTAAATTTACAAGCCTGCGAAGAAGTCAACGACAATAGACCACCTTTTTAACGTCACCTTAAATGTAAATATATTTTCACGTATCTTTATGTCATGGAGCATGGAGTTACAGCTTATATCTTCTTTTGCTTTAGATAATCATCTCTGAATACCTGATTCATCGCTTTGCCTATCTTAGTTCTAATCCAGATCGGAGGTAGGGTTACAAAGAAATGCTGAATACTGTGCGCCCAATATCCTGTGCTCGAGTTTATCTTTCCAAGTGTCGCAACCGCGTTCCTCGCGTACGTCGTCGCATCGGGTACGAAAATACTAGATACCTGCGAAGTAAGTAAAAGTATTTGTAAATGAAACGTAAGGAGAATGTTGAAAATTCATCTTTATACAGCTTCGATAGCTAATCATGACGTTGGTTTACCTGCAGTCTTTGTGTAAATGCGTTCATCTTAGTATTTACAAAGAGAGGCGCGAGGTGCTGGACCGTAATTCCAAATGGAGAATATTCACTCCTGAGTCCTTCCGAGAAACTTCGGATGAATATCTTTGTCGCAGCGTAGACAGTCATCAGAGGCAGAGGCTGCAGTTCGGACCCGGAGGAAATATTAACTATGGCTCCCTTTCTACGCTCCATCATCTGCCCGATAACGATTCTTGTCATTAACGTCGTCGCGCCTACGTTAATGTTAATCATTTCCCACAGTTCGTCTTTTGGCACTTCGCCAAGATACATCGGGTAAGTGTACTGCTTTCCCACATTATTCACTGAAACAGAATATACATGAGCTTGAATACATTTCCACCGTAATTACACATCGACATAACTAATGGTATTTAATCAAATATAATCTAAAAATCTTAAGAAATCATTATCGGTTTTTAATTCCACAGCTCACCCAGGATTCCAACTTGAATATCCTTCAGCTGATCTTCGATGTCCTGGAAAAGCTCTCGCCCTTTACTAAAATCAGCCACAATGACTTTGATCTGAATTCCTGGATGCAGCAGCGAGATCTCGGATTTGGTTCTCTCAAGTTTCTCGAGTATTCTGCTGATTAGCACCAAATTTACGCCTCTGGAAGCTAACTCTATGGCGTATGCTTTACCTATACCATCCGTCGAGCCAGTGACCACTGAAAACACGAAGTAAACGTACAATTACCATGGAAGGTTTTCAAGAGGTAAACAAAAGCGCCTGTAATTAAAATTCATTAACAATCATTCCAATTACTCGGAAGTTAAAAGCGTTCGTGCAGGTGAATACGTACCAGCCCATTCGCCGAATTTGGCTTTTACATCCACAGGCTTTGAATGAAACACTAGTAACAGCGTTTCCATTAATCCCTGGCATATTCTCGTTATCGGATCGATCGCCGCCCAAATTAATATCGTTACAATCAGCAACCAGAGGCCAATTTCGACGAGCATTTCGCCGCCGCTCTGAAAGTTGACAAGAAGCTCGCATTAACGTTCGTTCCCTCAAGAAAACAATTTTCATGGTGTCATATCACCGGAAGGACAATTACCTTATCCTTGATAAGAGCACAAAGCCCGAGCAACTACAAATGTACTCGTTAAGTTCTTCTATTCCTCACATTTATCATCTAAGAGACTTAATTTAAACCGAGTCGTCTTCATTCTCTATTCATATTCATTATCCTTGAATATTAATTTTAGAAATTATCTCGAGTGAACTCTTAACTTTAGACCGCTGCGATTACGCGTCTAAGGCTTTGCCTTTTTACAGTTCTATGACAAATACAATTGCGGGAGTTCCGAGGGGTTGCTCAGAAAATCGACTTTAATACTTGAGATCACATGGAAGTCCCAAGCAGAAATCGCCGAAACCATACAAAATGATAAGCAATCTTTCTCGAAAAAGGAAATCGTTTTCACCGTTTTCCGAGTGAATTTCCCCTCGAGAATTTCGTTGCGAAACTGAATTGTAATCTGTGTGCGAGTGCGGTCCAAGGAAAATTTTGGAGATCCAATGTGCAATTAAATTAAATGAGATGTATCGCATTGCGATTAAGTAATTGCGGTTTAGACCACGGGCGTCGGTCTCGGTAAGTCAACAGACCCCATAAAAATACGCTTCGAGGAAAGTATAATTTTACCTTGCGATCCTTTTTCTTCTTTCAGGAGTTCTACGCAGCCAGCGACGACTATCCAGTCACTAAAGTGGCACACTGGAAGATACCAGGTAGAAGGTAAGGCAAGCACTTTCTCTGTTTGACCATGTATTTAATGTGCATGTAAAGCCGCTTAGCTGGTATTGGAGCATAGTCACATCAAATAGCCGGAATTACGTAAAAGTTTGGCAGGTCCGACCTCCGGCAAAGGACATGAGGGTAATAAAAGCGACGCCACGTACGAACAAAGGCAATCGAGACGGATATACAAAAACCACTAAGGAACATAATCGTCCATTAAGCACGTACTGAGGATAACCGCAGGGTATTTAAGTTTCTTCCCTTCTAAAGTCGTAATACAAAATCATTAATTGTTGTTTAATTAATTTTAAGCGTGATCGCTCTATATTGATCATTTCATCGTAGGGAATTGGAGCAATCGACAGGAATGTTATTATTGAAACTGTTCAATTGTCAAGCTACGTACGTATATATACAGTGAACCGACGGATGTATAACTTTTTTAATTGTTAATGTAGAACTCACATATTTAACGGAAGGATCTCCCAGTTCTTCGCTGTTATACAATGACAATCACCATATTATGAAAACTTTACTTTTATTCATGTTAGATATATCAGTTCGTCTAGGGAATCATATAAAAGGTCACCGATGAAAATGATACTGTCGCCAGATAAATTAATCACTACAGAGACTTCACTTCGCACATCGTTTGTCGATCTTTCATTCCAGCTTTGTGTGTAAACACGTATCAACAATCTTGAATAAAAAGGAAACAAACAAACTAGACAATGTCAATTAATTTATAAGAATAATGCACGTTTCGAACGCAATCTAAGCAGTCGAGATGTCCCAGTCTACATTGTTATGTCCATAATTACATTTCGCAAATTCATTGCCAACCAATTGACGGCGTGCTAAAAAAAATTAACTGCTCGGCGTTACCAGAATGGAAGTATAATTTATTTTTCTTCTTTCACAGCGTTCCACTATGTGCGTAATCTTGATTCCGGATTTATCTGAAATATTAAAACAATCGTAATGAGGATAACTTCGGACAAAATGATATTCAGTACACCTATAAATCCTGGAATGTTGACGAGTGTACGGTCGACATAGACGCTGCGTAAATAACCGCTACGTAGCGGGAATCATTCCACCAATTTCGTCTAACATGCGTGTGCACCGACAAATGTATTATAATTCATGAGTCGGGATTAGGTACATGTATATTAAACGATAAGGTACGTACAAATAACGTGAATAAATTATCTATAGTAAGGGTTTTCACCAGAACATTGGCAGTTTTAACAAATATGCAAAATTACACAAATTCTTACGAGGTATGGGTAAGACATCGATACTCACAAAATTTGTTAATAATTTGTTCAATATCTAAGCATCGTTTAGAATTTCTCTTCTTCAAGCCCATGTTTAAAGAACATTAAAACAGGCACGGATTCGCCATCGATCTCCCGATACTCCATAAGACCAACAAGTCCGTCAATGTCCATTGATTCACCGGTGAAGAACTGCAATTCCTTAAAACGACTTAGGATGTCCTTCATAACTTTGTTCATATTGGTCTTAAATACTTCCACCTCCTCTGGTGATTTTTCCTCTAGTCTCGCAACCAATCTATACAAATTCAATAAGAAATGTCAAATTCAATATGGTCGACTTGGGTTTACTGGACTTCGATAACATTTACTCAAGATAAAATTGCTTGTCTACTGAAAAGCAGAAAACACAACAAAAGTTGGCCTTCAGTTAAACGTTTTACTCACTTTTTCATAAAATCTTTAAGGTATGCAGTATAAGATTTCTTGTCGGCAAAGGCATACGTTTCTTGAAGGCGATGGTTTAATACCACATCAACACCTGATTCAACGGCTTCATCCGTGCCCTCGTCGGCTTCTTCGGCCGATGGATTAAAGCCAGCGATCTCTATCTCCCCTGCCCTTCTGGTGACCAACTGAGAAATGATATAATAGAAGTTAACGTTGACCATTTAATTCATCAAGAAACCCTATTTTATCCTTAACTACTAATTTACAATAATATAGCTACATTTTATACCAACATAACAGAAATAGTTTAAAGCAATGGTTCAAACAAGGATGCTAAATTTCTTAACTTCGTCGCTTTGTAAAACTTACCCTTCCATATACTTCGTATAGTACATTATCAACAAGCTTGACCTTGTAGGTGTCCGAGAACATTTCATCGCCTAAAACAAAAAAATAATTAATATTAACAGTAATTTTATGAAATCAACTCGTAGTTCAATATTTTACTATACTCCACTTAGCGATACATTTCAAGGAAAGAGATAATGCAATTTGTGTAAGACTAAGCTACTGCAGAAGTGCCGAATGGAATATACTGGATTAAAACGTTTGAGGACACGATATAACCTATATATGAGGTCAAGTAGTAAAGATTCTATACTAAAGGGTAATGCAGTTTAAAACAAAATTTAGCAAGAGAATCACTGTAAGTATTTAAATATGGAAAAATGAATGTAGAATTTTGCAATTAACAAGCGTACTCCTCGCTCGAAGTAACGCTTTAACACTTACATATGGATCAAATCGTCCAAGCTAATTTCCTCTTTTGGAGAACCGTTACAGTGACTGTAGAAGCTACTTTAAATTTAAAAATATGAGACAAAAATGTAACGAACATCTTGGGACTTCTCGGACAGACAGAAGTCAAGCACGCATGTCAATTTGACTTGAACATTTCCCTTGAGCATTTCACTGTGTATTATCGAATCCCGGAAATATTCCATAGGCATGCTAGAGCGAACATACTCGTATCTAACTTACCGGTAAATATATCTTTATAAATCCTCATCTTGTAAGATGGAGAAAGATTTAACTACGGGTAAAACTATACGGGACAGGTACCCCGAAACAAGGGAGACGAGATCGTCGATTAACAGAGGGCACTAAAATGGCCGCGCCGATGCACCTAAAAAGATTAAGTGGAGGCCTAAGACGAAGAGAATACGAGAGAAAAGAATCTATACAGCTCCGAATCATCTCGACAAATTGTGTATGTAGTTCCGTGTGTCGCTGCTAATTTGTCCAATTTCTATGTCCAAAAGCATCTATGGCGATATAATCGAAAATGTTACGGTAATTTAAAAATCCCTAGGGGATTTCTGAGAATTTCTATATGAAATAATTTATTTATTTTAATAATAATATTTTTTCCCGAGCAGTGGCTACTCTCATATTCTATTTAACCACAGAATAAAATGCCAACAGTGATTACCTTATACCTTTCCTCTCCTAGACCATCTAGAGACCAGGTTATCTCGTTCGCACTCTTCCTGACCATAAGTGCGAGAAGGACAAATTTATATGGGAACTCCCGACATAACCTATGTCAATGATTTTTGCTTTTTATGCGACGAATCAAATTGCTCAGGTCAATTTTTGATTATGAGTTTCATCATGCCTGATGTACTAATTGTGTTTAATATTACGTTAAGTGGAGATACGGTACTATGTTTTTCTTATTTTTGTAGCTGCAAAGTATGAATCTCTCAGGATTTAAATTTATTCTCGATTTTGATTCCATTGATAGGTTATGACAACAATGAAGGCGGAACCGTGAGAAATAATTGACCTCATCGAACGAAAAATGAGCGGCTTAGTAGCCTTTTGTATCATCTGTTTTATTCTGTATTGTACTTTTACATGGTAAAGTTATGACTTTTACATTCATTTACTTCTCTGTTTATGTATTCAATGTTTTACAGTATATTTATTTCCGTTAGTTTACATTAGTCTTAATTATACCTGTTTCCAGGGTAATCCCAAGATTTTTGGCATGGCTCGTTAAACGACGATATAAAATTCACCTTCGGGTGGGGCATATTTCCCTGCCCTATTTCATCCTACGGGATGTAAACGTCTCAAAAAATGGCTTCACTGTGGTAAGCATTATCAAGTTATATCGGTGTAAATTGTTCCAGAGAGGCTTATTTCATACCAAATTCAATGAAATTTTTAGCAAGTCGAGGAGATCAGCGTGCGTAGTAGCCTATTCAGCAGCGATGTAGCCAAACTTGTGGCTGTTGTGATGAGAGACGTCAGGATTAACAAAGATGTTCCAGTAGGACCACGATGTCACAAGAGAACAAATGATCCTTTAGATTTTAGAAACAGAAAAGTTCCTTCTATTATTATAACATTTGTTCAGGTATGTTGCAGCAACGCATTAGCTCAATGTCAGCGGTTGATATTTAAAACTTATTTCAGTTTATGGCTGTGAATGTAGAAAACTTAAGCCTCTTAGCATTAGGCAATGGTTGGCTGGCCAATGGGAGTGCAGAAAGTCTCAGTCTCGATGGCAGCGTCGTGCACGGGGCTCGCACTCTTCTTGCTTCAGCGACGGTTACTGGCGGGGCTATGAAATTGCTACGACATGCATCCGATGCGTGTCTCTCGCAAATCAGTTTTGCAGGAACGGTGGAAGCAACTCTAAAAGCACAAGGAGAATTATCGGTAGAGGTATAACATAGTTAGAAGTATTCTTTAGCTGTTGCACGAATATTAGCGAGTTTACATTTGAAGTGTCCAAGTTAACTAAGTCATGTGTAAATACATTTAATTAAACAGAATTTTGAGATACATGGAATGTCATGAAAACAACTCCTTTATGACACAACTTGACTCTTCTGATGTTAAATTTCTCGCTTTGCACTGCCACTCTGCAAATCTGATCTTCTGTCCCTTGCTCGTAACCAGAGGGTCCAGTACAATCGATTAAGCATTGGCTTTGAATTGTAGAAATTGTTTATTGGAGTATCACAGACAGAGGGTTCTGGAGGAGCAGGACTCCTTCAGTTCTTGAGGGACAGAAAATCTTTAGCACCTGCAGCACCGTATTCCGATGCACACCCACAACCTACCGGCGATCTGTTGGACAGATTGGGCCCAATAATACCAAAGGTAAGAAATAGATAATGTTGCATGATGCCACGATGACAAACTAGAAGCTGTGCCAGTAGTTTTGAAATTTAGTAAGAAATAATCGTCGTTTTCTATCACCGTTCTTTTCCTCAACAAGAATTTTTGATTTCTGACAAAAAAAAAATATTAATAGTTTACCACAATTTTGAATAATTTTAAGTACTTTTAACACCAATCCTATATTTTTATTTTATTACAGAATCTTACTTTAAAAATGGGTAGCTCATCTGTGATCGCAGGACGAGAAGATGGCACGATAGCAGGTTTGGAAGGAACGATGAAAGGCTTACAGATCAACACGAGGTTCCAACCTCATGGCCCACAATTCTACCTCACAATAAAGTTGGACGGACTGTCAGTTCGTGGAAAACTTCCAGTCTTGTCGTTGAAGTCGCTTTCTGTTGACTCGAAAGTAAGTACTTCCATTGTCGAGATACCATAAGTAACACCGAGTCTGATTTACATATATATTACAAAATAAAACATTACAAAATATAGATGGAGGATAATGTGCTACACATTGCGACTCAATTGAACAGTTTATACATGACGTATGACCATAGAGACTGGGAGTCGATATTATTCGGCAGTGTCCATGACATCGCCAAGTCTGACGTACATGGCACATCGAAGGGGAGACTATCCTGGCTTAATATTCAGACCACCACGGAACTTTACGACGGAGCGTTAATTGTGAAACTTCCTAATGTTCAGGAAGCGTCTTGTCGCGTCGCGCACATAAAATTCTCCTTTGACAGAAGAGCAGGTAAGGAAAGTCACATGACTTTAAAAATTAATTGTGCGAATATGGGGAGAGTTAAGTGTATGATATTTCAAGGTTATAGTAACAGTGATTCGATGACTAATGTTCTACTAATAAACTAATAAAAATTAAAAACGCCACACTGTTTCAGATAATATGGAGGTATGGAACACCGAACTGTTCGTTGATTCGCTACGTTGTTCTTTCAATGGGACGGATGTCGGAACTCCAGAGGAATCTCATCATTGGGGCAATCCACTTTCAGTGGGCGTTTTCTTGGCTACAACGCGAACAAACGCTTTGGGAATCGTTCTCGACGATCTTCAAGCTGAATGGAGTCTCGAACTCGCTAAGTTCCTTGAGCAAGGGTTCACGTAGGGAAATCTTTAAAATTATCTTTATTATGACAGTCGTGCGTTAATTATTTGCTTCATACATATATTAATTTACATTAACCTTTCTTCTCAGGTATTGGCGCGAACACAAGACTATCTCGAACAAGGAGAAGAACCGAAAGGAAGATGCCATTCAGTTGAATCTCAAAGTGTCGAATTGCAATCTCTTCTTCATCGCGGAGAATGAACGTAAATGATTCCTCTCTCTCTGTCTTTGCATTTTCAATGTATCGAAGAGGTCTCGTTTACAAAACTTTTCCCCGAACCGAGTGTACTAAATCGTTTCAATATTCACAACGTGGATATGGAGACTATAAGGAAGGTCCTGACACCCATGAGATTATAGTTAGAAAAATTTGTTTATAGACGTTTCAACATTTCTTATAAAAAATGAAATTTCATCGGTGTCAGGACCTCTCTTAGTCTCCTTATTCACATTGTAAAGTTTAATAAAACGATTAGATAAACCCAAGAAGGAAAGTTTCATGAACAATTGACTCCTCCGATGCCACTTTCACATCCTGTTAAGTTATTGAAAAAGAGTAAGTTTAAAAAAATTATGTTTCCAGTCTCCGTAATGTTGCGCCTCGACTCGGCGAGTTTGGAGCACAATGCAAAGCAGTTCGTCTGCGTGGCCGAAGGTGTCTGTGCTATCACTCTCAACAAAGACGATCCTGTCGTTTGTCAACGCGCCCAAACATTGTCGCATCCTTTCCTGGCAATCAGGAAGTGTAAAGGCGCTGTCACCTCGGACGCCGTGAACGTCAGTCTCGACGGTACCAATTTGGCATGGAGTCCGAATCTGCATCTACGTCTTCTTCAACTGTGGATAGAGTCCGCCGACTTCCGATCCATCGTCTTTGGAAAGATAGAACCATCTGCGAATGGTAGAGAGTTTTACGAAGGACTATTCACTCAAAAATCAGTGAAAACCATTTTCTTCTCTGAGAACCGATTGCCTTTGATATCAAATGATAAGCGGCAATGTGATGATAGATTGATAATAGCCGAACGGCCATCTAACAGGCGACGTTCGGCCTTAAATTCTGACAATGTTTCGGTGATTTATATTTCCAGTTATTTCTTGGGATTTCCGGAATTAAAGTCCATGGTTTCCATGAGTGAATAACCCCTCGGTCTTTCATGTATATTTATGCTTTATAATATTTATAAGATTCTGACAATGTTTAAATGTTATAGCGGAAACGACACCGAGGCAAAGGCGAACGTTTGATGTCCTCGCCACTGGTGGAATAGCACTGTCTATTGACATTTCTCCAAGACATTTCTTGGAGCTTTCGTCTGGACAATTGCGCTGGACGCAAGGCGAGTGGAGGTTGAATTATCTTCGGGTTGCTTTGGACATGGCAGACATAATCGACATCGAAGGGTTCGAGCTAATTAGAGTTGCGGACAGCGAAGAAGTCAAAGTAGAGAGACGACACAACGAAGGGTTCGAACTCGAGTGGAACGAAACTTGGGCTTTGAATATCGATTCGGCAAAGGCTTGTTTCCCCTACGAGCACGGTTTCACCGAGGCGATACAGTACGAGCTTTTCAGTATCAGGAAATGGCTAAAGGAAATACATTCAAAGAGAAGAAACGCAAAGAAACCGTTGCCCTGTGATCTCATCATTAAGGTGAACTACCTTTCGTCATTCACTTTGTACCCATAAGCATGTGCACTGAGAAAAAACAATTGATGAAGATAATAGAACCAAAGAAATGTAATTTATAATTCGAAAGATAATTATTTCCCTCAAATAAGTTGCAAGGAAATATTTCTCTGGTTCAATGATGCGTTTCTTTTTCTCGGTGCGTTTCATTAGATTAACAGTCCATATCTAGATATCTACGTTTGTACGTATGATAGCTCAATTGATTAACTTTGACTCGATCGACGTTTCCCCCAGATAAAGGAATGGATCTTCGAGGTCAGCGACGACCCCTTCGAGGTCAGGCTAAGAGACAACTACGAGCTCCTAGAAGACGAATACAAGGAGAGCCTGAAACGCCAAGCCATGCTGGACACAAAAGTTCAGAAGCTCTACCGGGAACATTTGCTTCTACCCCAGGGAAAAGTGGAGGAGCTCTACGATAGCTTGAACAAGAAAAACGCGGAGATATACGTGCAGCGTTGGAAGCAGATGCAGCGAGCAGAACCAGCGAGAACGCGACTCTTCGCCTGGACGATGCAAGACCTGGAGATCGTGACCCTGGCGGATCCTTCCATCGATGGAACGGAGAGAGCGACGAAGGCACTCCGAGAAATGGACCCAGAGACTCCATGGCCAGAGGACGGTCTGGAGTTCAACACTCTATGGGTACGTGGAGTGGCTCTTCGATGTGCGGAATGGAAGCTGCAGCTGCGAGACTTCCCCCAACCGTTGCTCCTGGTGGAGGGTCTCAGTGTCTGGGGAAGACTGGCAGGGGCCGAAGCCCTGGCACCTCCTCGAGCAAGAGGAACAGTCCGAATAGAAGTGGGAGCACCCTGGAGCGACATAACGGTGGAACGCGGCATGACTTCCCTGAAGTACTACCACGACCTGAACTGGGACATTGACAAATTCAGATACGCCTTCGGTCCCTGCTGGGAGCCGGTGATAGCGCAGTGCAACCTGAGCTTCGAGAAGATCATCCACCCGTCGAGAGACCCCAGCCCTCCGCTGCCCTTCTGGGATAAGCTTAGACTCGCTCTTCATGGTAGGCTCACTCTATGCGTGAAGCAATTGACGGTACTTCTGCATGCCTCGCTGGATCCCTACAACACCACCGAAGAGATGGAGCTCACCTGGTCGGGTCTAGAGCTCGACTGGACCCAAGGACGCGTCATCGTCAAGGGCGACCTGGACGTCTATGTGCGCACTGCCAGCAAATACGACGATTGTAGGCTCCTTCATCTACCAAACGTTAGACTGAGCATCAAGCTTACTTGGGTCTGTCTAGGAGACCCTAGAGACCACCACGCGGCGATACCGTGTGCCCCTGATCGGCTTCCGGAGTACTCCAGCAACCAGGAACACGATTCTTTCAGAGCCTTCCGCTCGCAGAACCTGAACGTCAGTCTGGCTCTGGAGACGAAACCCACGGAGTCCCCGGCTGTAGCCAGTGCCCCAACGGCGTTGCTTTATGGCAGCACCTTGAGGTGGTTCGAGAACCTGAAGTTCATCCTGTCGGGGGCCACCAGGCCCACCCGGAAGGGGCCGCTCTTCAAGAACATCAGGCCCAGGAAGAAGCAGCTCAGCAGGCACTACCGGAAAATCAGGCTCACCCTGGCCTTCCATCGGTTCCACGTCAGCTACTGGATGTCCTTCGCCATGCAGAGGGGGTTTGAGATCACCGGGGGAAGGGTTGCCTGCTGCTCGGAGCACAACCTGGCTCTTCATCCCATCAATGATGGGCTGATTCATCGACCCAGGGCCGAGTGGTCGGTGGTTTATATGAACTCCGAGCTCAGCGATGCCGAGATTTGGCTGAAGAGCGCCTTGCAGGAGGAGGAGGAGACCGCTTCTCTCAGGCAACCTGTAGAAAAGTGTTATTGTCTCAGCGTTGCTAGGGTTAGTTATGGCAGGGAGGCCATGGTAGCTGGAGTTGGTGGCGACACTCCGATCCACAGACTGGTCGTTCATGATCTCAAGGGCGCCTGGACCAAGACGAACAGAGATGTTGCTTTTGCGCTTTTCGACTCTTTTATTAAGACCCAACAGCTTAAGAAGAACCTCAGCAATGCCGCGCTTAAGGGCTTCCACAGGGAGAACAATTCCACGCCGCATAAGAACAGAACCAGACCGGTGGAGTCGCAGAGCACGGCGGCTCAGGTCGCTCCTTTACCTGTGGCCAAGCCTCAGCAGGGAGAGGCTGCGGGGATGCTGCAGAGATTGATTGCTGAGGCTGCTAATAAGCCCGTGGCTTTCAGCGACGATCTGTCCGTTCAGACTAGAGGGCAACAGCTGAGAGGACTGGCTGCGTGCCATCAGGATGATGTCTTGCATAAAAATTGGCTAAGTAAGTCCCATCAAAATGTGTTGCATAAAAATTGGCTAAGTAAGTCCCATCAAAATGTGTTGCATAAAAATTGGCTAAGCAAGTCCCATCAAAATGTCTTCCTTAAAAATTGGCTAAGTCTCATCCTGGAGTCCCGCTTCCACGTCACCTTAAGACAGAGTTGGATAAAATAGCGACGCTTTAAAAGAAATTCATTCCAAGTGATCTCAAACTGGGACATTACTGTAATAGCTAGATGGCAACGAAATAAAGGGACTGATGTGTTAATATTTATGAATCTTCTTACAGTTGCTTTGGTGAACAGTCAAGTTCTATTGAAGGGCATCGAGACTCGAGGATACGTTATTCTGTCGGCCGCCAAAGCTGAGATTCTCCAGAGAGTGCATCGGCCAGTATGGAGAGAACGAACGTTGGTGTCCAAAACCACCTGGCTTGGTTCTCTGGAATGCATGCAGTATTATGCAACTGTTAACGCAAACATCGACGACAATATTGACGATAACATAATGTGGCTCACCCTGGATAACATTCAAGTATGACTATGTGGAGGCCCTAAGGAAGATCCTGACATCCATGAAATTTCGTTATTTGTTAAATGTGTCCATAAACGGTTAAACGATTACTGCATTGTAACGAAATTTCATTTTTACATTTGTTCATTCGCATTTTTTTATATTCTTGCCACTTGAAAGTGACATTATAAGGTGAGGGAATTTAATGTTAAATATTTCCTTTTGTAACAGGAGAAAGATTCTACGGTGATAGCAGGTCTGCCCGACGTGCCAGCCCTGGTGGGGTCAGGTCAGAGCGTGGGTGGAGTCGTCAGTCAGACAGTGGGTGGCGGTGGAGGTCCTCAGCATCAACTTCAGCGAATAGTCTCGCGGTGTAAATGCGAGTTCTTCTACGTAGGGTATGGCCAGGTGTTGGACGTGGGCTCCCTGGACGAGGTTCCTCCGCCCCCGGGTGAAGAGGTCAGCCCCTGGGAGAGGAAAGAATTATCAGCCGCAGATGCGTTCACCCTGATGCACTACGACCTGGACGTGTGCACGAATTCCCTGCAGTACGCGATGATCCTGGACATAGTAAACAACTTGCTGCTCTACGTCGAGCCCAGGAGGAAGGAGGCCTTGGAGCGTCTCCAGAGGATGAGGTTCCAGCTTCAGCTGCACTCCGTCGAGGACCAGAAGAGGCCAATCCAGCAGCTGCAGAATACAGTGAGGGGCTTGGTGGCGAAACTGCGGAGGCTGGAGAAGGAGACCTACCTGGTGAAGAAGGCTCTAGCTGACGAGTCCAGCGCGGAACTCCTGGCAGAGATGGAACACCTCGAGGCAAGGGTCTTCGAGTGCAAGGAACAGCTCAGTGCCAGAGCGGAGGAGCTGGACGTCATGTTGAGCTGCTACAAGGAGACCACCACCCCTGCGACTGCTTCGGCCACTCTGAAGGACAAACCAACCGCTGTGGCCAGGGCTGCGGAGATTTGTTTCAAGCATGCTCAGTGGAGACTCACCGATGCCGATGGACAGCTGGGGATTGCCGATCTCATCTTGACCAATTTCTTGTACACCAAGACCAGCAAGACCGATGACTCCGTTGAGCATCTCTTGGAGTTGGGGTACGTCAGGATGACGAATCTCTTGCCCAATCAGGCCTACACGGAGGTCTTGACTCCTACCGAGCTGCAGAGTAACATGCCAGTCGACAGGCAACGAGCACTCAGGATTTTCTGCAGGGAGAAGGCTCCTGTTGCTGGGATTTCTGTCAAGGAACATTTCGAAATCAACGTTGTGCCTCTTACGATAGGTGTTTGCTCGGAGTGTATTTTATTGATGCAAAGTGTTTCTTATTTGACATCGGTCTTTCTAAACCTTTTCGATTTTAGGACTAACGAAGAAATTCTTCAACACCATGCTGAAGTTCTGCTTCCCAGAAAGGGATCCGGAGGGCATCGAAGAGCCTCCTCCACCACAGAGAGATTCTTCGTTTTATGTGCCAATCGAGAGAAGAGATGACGTTGAGAAGATGAAGGAAAGAGCGGACAAGAATAAATTGTTCATTTATATTAAGATCCCTGAAGTGCCAGTTCGCGTTTCGTACAAGGTATCGGGCTCAGTGTCATATAGAGAAAAATTAAAGCGAAGGAGTGTTATAGTAAATATTCTATCTTATTTTAGGGGAACAAAGAGAAGAATCTGGAAGACGTTAGAGACTTTGCCCTCGTGATACCGACGTTGGAGTATCATAACGTCACCTGGACATGGTTAGACTTGCTTTTGGCTATGAAAAGTGACTCGAGGAGAGTAATACTTAGTCAAGCTATAAAACAGAAGCTGCAGATCAAGCCGAGGGGTCCTCAAGAAGAAGCCACTCCTCAAGAGGAAGACAAAGCTAGACTTCTGCTCGGTGCGAGGCATCTTCCTGGGGATGCTCGAAAAAAGGGCGTTTTCAAATTTAAGTAACTCACCAAAAAATCAGCTTGTTGCAACGCAACTTTGTTACACGTCACAAATGATGCTAACTAGAACAGAATGATTTTTTTTACAACGTACAATGAGATCAGTAGTAAGATAGATCATATTTATAAACGAATCGGTTGGAGCTTTTAGGCTAATTATAATTCTGTACAGAGATAATATTTATATTTTTTTAATCGGAGTAAATTGCTGCGATACTAGCATTTGTATATTATTTTTAGCTACGTGCGCGCATAAATCTTTTTAACTTCTGTCACAAAACATCGTAAATGTGGCTATTTGCTTTAGCATAATTGACACATTCTTAATGATGATTGTAAAACATTTACCAGCACAAAGGTCTTAAAGTGCTACTATACAATAATTGAATATTTTAACATGGTCTTTTTGGCCCAACTTAGTAATCATTCAAAAGAAATTAACACAAGGTGTAAGGCAAAATACATGTTCAAAGTTTCGGAATTACTTTTATGGTTATGCACCATGTATTGTACCTGTACATGTATGGGTATTGTACCATGTATAAAAAGATATTTCTTTGTATATAATTTAATCATTGTAACTATATTACAGCAGGCTGTCAATTTATTTATTTTAGATGTACGCAAAAGGATCCATTAAAACACGTATTATAACTTATTTCAATCTATACATTTCATTTAGTGTTTTGTATGATTATCGCTACGATAAAGATAAAAACCATCCTACCATCCTACCACTTTGTAAAATATGATATAATTTAATATGATACAATGCTAATTAATGGAAGTCAATAGCAATATTTACAATGCTTACAGCAGGTATGATTCACAGAGTAATTAAAGGTGCTTCCGCATTTCTTTTGGCATGTCTCCATTCATTAAGATCAGCTAGTACCTTTCTTCCATATGCAGTATGTAATTCTCGAAAGGACACTCTTGTTCGAGGGATGTTCTCTGTTCTGCCAGGTGCTGATCTGACGCTTTGCGATCGATGGTGCGACTCGGGTCTATTGAATGGATTATGCCGCTGCCTCGGTGGTGCTTTCGGAGACTCTGGTGGTGGTGTTACCGTTACCGTTTCCTCTTCTGCTGCATCTAACTGACGTTGCAGTTCCGCGACCATTAATTTCATGTAATCATAACTAGCACAAGCTAAAGCTTTCATCCATTGTTCCATCGATTCCTAAAAGAAAATAACAGCATACCGATGTCAACGTAACCCTTAACCGTTGTAATCAATCCCAGATAAATTATCTGACCTGTGAATGAATCTAGGAAAATTCAGTTACCTGCGATTCTGCGCCGAGAGCATAGCTTCTATTATTTGGGCCATGGAAAACAATCTTAAAGCCAAATTGTTCTTCGTCCTCTGCCAGCTCGATAGTGCACCCTTCGAGAACTATCATACCAACCGGTTCTTTGTCACCTCGTCGGTCGAAGTAAAAGAGAATATTACCCTTAAGAACAAACCATCGTCTCTGATACCCACGATTTACTTCCCCACGTTTATTTAACCATCCTTCACGGTCTACTGGTGTGGCAGAAGTAGCAAACGCTACCATATTTTTCTCATTCACTCTCATGCCTAATACTAATGAAAACTGTTAAAAAAAGATTGTTAAAATGAATTTACACAATTGCAGATTTGCGACAGAGGTAGACCACAGCAGATAAAGTAGAGGTTATGTCTTAGCTCTGACAAGACTATCAAAACGCAACTTTTTAAGTCTTGCAATTAAAACTGCCCGCAGATAGTGAATTGAAGCTATTACATTCACCGAATGTTTATTTTTTACAGATATTTACGGCAAACCGAGATTAGGGCTGTCAATTCTACCATAGATAACATATTACGAAAGACGTGGCAGAACACTTGGACAGGTCATTTAAAGACCACGTCTTCATCGCACATCTAAATCCGGAATTTACCGGATCCGGATTCAGTAAATTGCATATTTCCATCGTTTTAATAAATAAACAAATTCGATTGACACCTAAATTCGGATTTACCTGGACTCGATAAATCCCGGATTTAGGAGTGCGATGGAGACGAAGTCAATTTCAAATATGGCAGACTTACTTGCTCTCCGCTGATCTAACCTCAATCGTTCATCAATTATGTATTAATCTGTTTACACAATACGGAATAATTTTTAACATATTTGTTACCAGATAAATTATTCGACCAACATGAATGTCCTTTCTAAGGGGAAATGTGTGTCGAGAATTATAGACAGTTATCTGAAGAACGGTAGTCATGTCACGAGAGGCTTTAAATCGGAACTAAAAATCAAGTGGGTTCGCCCTGAGAAAATACCCAGTATAAGGCCGGAAAAAAGTGGCGATTTGGGTTTAGATATAAAACTCGATCGAAATGATTACAATGAAACGTACAGTCAGTCCAAGGAGTTTAAGGAGTAAGCTATTTACTTTGCAAAATAGGTTTTACTTGTTGGTTATAAACTTCTCGATAGATTCTGCTTCGTACAATTATTAAATTAATTTGGATTCGAAAAGCTGAGCGTGACACTTTTACATTGTCATCGAGGCATTCTATGTCTTTTTTTTCTCCAGAGCCGATGAAGTTGTGAAGAACATGTTTAGCCTGAAATTTTTTCCACAAAGAGAAGTACGGTCTCTGGAAAGAAGAAAATTCGTCGATGGCATTAGACAACACTATTTAGATACTACTTCATACGAATCACGAAGTAAGTCAGTCTGGGCTCTTAGACGAAGTGACAGAACTTGTTGGTAATGTAACTTATCGTTTTTAGTCGCTTCGATGACTTGTGAAATCTTACAATTACAAGAGCAAATGGTTGAAAATGATAGGAATGGAAAGACTAGAGAATTCCTAAAGGAACTAATCGATAAAAGGAAAAGAATACTTAAATGTTTGCGAATGGCGGACTACAAGCGTTTTGAATGGCTTCTCGAAAAACTGAATATTGTTTACCATCCTTTCCCTGAGTATGTAAACTTTACAGTTATTACTTTGTATGATATGAATTAAATCCAGTTGCATGTTCAATCCTTTACAAATGACGTTAGACATTCGTGTCACATTATTAAAGCTATTGATTTTATATCGTTTGATCAATAGAAGATACTCACGGCCATGTCGAAAGGATTCATTGAGAAAATTGACAGCAAAGCATTGCGACGAAGTTAAGCAGAAAAAATTGGACAGCTACAAAGCTGAACTAAATGCCCAAAAAAAGGATTTCTACAAAGAGAAAGCCGAGAAGCTTGCCTTTATCAGAAACGAAGAACAGTCTCTAGGTCTACCCATCACTGTAACCGAAGAAGATATTGAACATGCAAGAAAATTAGCTGCAGAAGCACAATAGGATCTTAGAGAAAGAAAATTGTACGAAATGATTTAAAAATAACAATTTACAGTAAGTGAAGATTGCAATTTCTTCTACCTTCTTCCTCTGTCTTTCTCTTGGTCTATGTTCACTCCGTACCCAAAATGTAAATCACTGCAAACGTTACTTTAGTTAATAAAAAAAATGAAACAGAAAAGTAAACTCGAAATAAGTGCTGACGATCACTCGAGTATCGCAAGTTCAGTTTTAGGTCTTGCATGTATTATTTAAATTAAGCATTCGATGATCTTTTGATCGAAGTACTTTAAGATACATCCAGGAAACCCACAACTTCTTCACAAGGCATTTCCTAATGGAGAAATAGTTCCGGTGAATCAATGGAAGCAGAAAAATTCCTGTTTGGCGAGTGTCCACCTGAGTTGTCTCTTCGCTCTGGCAAGGAAAAGCGAACCCAATAAGGAGTTCAACATGGATTAAATGGTCGTACTTTCACGCCAGTCCAACACAATAAGGAACTCTTCGTTTGACAATAAATGCTTGGAGAGCATAAACATTGCATAATGAATTGTAATCCGTAAAAGGTAAGAGGTCTTTAAGGTGCAGTGAAACCCCCCTCGAATAACAGCCTTTTTTTTAAGAGTATGTATTTTTCGTCGTCAACGTAGGTATTTAAACAAATATTTTTTACCGACGCCGATCAATTTTCATTTTTCAATTTTCATCGATATCACGGAAGATGCGAGGATCGTCGGAATCGCGTCGAAGAAATGCAAGCCTCCAAGATGCAGGGAAGAGGGCAGTAAAAAATCCGAGTGAATGTAAGCGGTATATAAAGAAGTGTTGCACCAGGGATGCTGCAACACTCTCCGATGACTCTCACGTGCGTGCTCAGTGAAATTGTGTACAGAGCTCATCCCCGCTGGACCATGATAATCAAGGTAATCCCGTCTACTCAGCGCAATCCAAGAAAATCTTGCATAATTAAATGTACAATTAATTAACCAAAAACTAATCTCTAGAAATTGATCTTGGCGTTTTCACAATAAATGAACAGTCAGAGGATTAAGGTGTTACGAAAGGTTCATTATATATATATCTAAAATGTAAAAGTATATATAAAACTGTCCTCCAAACTGGGTGCGCCGAATTATCTGAAACTTTAACATATGATTATAAAGGGCCTAAGGAACAACATGGTGCTCGTGAAATTTCACTTTTCAAACAAAAAAAATATGTACTCTGGGATAAATGAAAAAAAATTTCTTATATAAAAAATGAAACTACTTGAGCACCACGCTCTTCCATAAAGCCTAAACAATCACGTCCTGAAGTTTGAAATTATTCGGTGCAGCCAGTTTTATAAATATTTTCACTTTCATATCACCTTAATGCGTAATTTGCGCGCTTGAGAAATCTTCGAATTTCTTGCGTTTTTCGTACGAATGCAACGCCATCTACCCGTGAATCCTAGGAATGAAAAAAAAAAGAGTACAATTAGAAAAATATAAGAATATATAAATATAATAATGTAACGTCACTGAGAGCATAAAGACCGATTCAGGAAGCCGCAGAGACGCGTGAGTTTATTCTAGCTCGCATTCGGATCCCGAAGAAACGAACGAGTTGAAAGGGCCGTGTGAAAATGCATTATAGTCTCGAGTCCCACGCTGCAGGTCGAGGCATCTCTCTTTCTTGGATGCTCATCAATTACGCGCGCGTTAGTAGCGACGATCGAAGGCACACGGACGAGGGTCGAGGCACTCCTTGTAGAGGCGCTCACAAAACCTCGTCTTATGCAATGGGATTTCACAGACCCCGTCACGAGACTCGCATGCAAACACGAGACCCGAGGACGCGGCCGAACAACGAGGAGTCGTAAAGCGCGCTTTACTCGTCCAGGCCGTCCCTCTAAATTATTACTATTAACAAGAGACTCTTCTTTCTTGCAGATCCTGCTGCTCGGCTGTTTGGTAGACCTGGGATTCGCCGGGCGATATCCAGAGTAAGTAACCGAGCTCCTGACTTACTCCCTTTTCTCTGCATGTTTTATTTTCCTTGTCTTCTCATCTGACTTTTATATGCAATATTCCATTTCTTCACATTTATATGTAATATTCCATTTTTACAATATTCTAAATCGTTCGAGATGAGTCCTGAAACTCTTCGCTTTCCATTCTAAGCCTTAAAACAGCATTAAACAAAAACATGTACGTGAATGGTAAAGTGAAAATGAAGTCGTTCTATCTTAGTTCTAATTTTGCAGGCACATCGCACCTGGGGAAGAATCCAAGAGAGTGTTTCCTTGTATATCGGTCGGCTCGGTGCCGTTTCATGCAATTGCACCTGCGATTTCCTGCGCCCTTAAGGCCGACAGTGCACTTCTTGGACCTAATGTGGATGTTCCTGCGCCGCGTTACGTAAAGATCTCCGCGCCCTCTTACTACACTCCCCTGCCGAAAACATCGTCATTGGTGTACGTGGCGCCACCTGTCGTTAAAACCGCATCCGCAATTGTCGAACGTCGAGAGGACCAGGAACATGAATATCACACGGAAAAGGAGGAAGTGGATTATATGGTAATGGAAAAAATCCCATCGAAGTAGTTTAGAATGTTAAGTGATATTTAAGGTGACGTTAAAGAATCACGAAACGTGTTCATGCAACTTTTCTTCGAACTGGGTGTACCGAATCCTTTCAAACTTTACACCGTAAATACGGAGACTATAAAGAAGGTCCTGCCACTGATAAAATTTCATTTTCATAATTGTAAAATTGTAAAATTATAGTAAAAGAATAATTGTAAAATTTCAAACGATTCGGTACACCCACTTCGGAGAAAAGTTTCACGGGTGAAACTTCTTCGACACCACTTTCGTACCACCTTGATGTGTTAATAGAATGATCTCTTACATCACAATAAGAGCGATTCTCTCATGTGAGCGATATTTATTTCTCAGGGTTATCCAAAGTATTCCTTCAATTACGGCGTAATTGACGGTTATACAGGAGATTCGAAGTCTGCGTGGGAAGAAAGAGACGGCGACACCGTAAAGGGAGAATACTCTGTAGTGGAGGAGGATGGAACGATTCGTACCGTTTCTTACACCGCGGACGATCACAATGGCTTCAACGCAGTCGTCACGAGAAGTGAACCGAACAAAAAACCTGCTTCGTCCAAGGAGAAAACTGTCGTTCCTTCCTTTAGGAGCAACAGGCGGCACTCGTTTTACTGAGAGATAACGAGGGGCACGTTTTTCTAGGATGGAGAAAGAGTTCAGTGAGAGTGTGGGATTGAAAAAGCAACGAGTACAAAATCAGATGAACATTTAATACAAAAGTAATAAAATTAGGTATTTATAAAAGTGTTAATCTATGGAAGTGTTGGAGAGTATACCGTTAATAGACTCGCGAGGCAGAATTATTAAGCCCGAGACGGTAGTGGAACCTAAAGCATATCATTTCGACATAGTGTCCCGCCAAAGCGACAACTGTTAAATCCATTAACCATGATTCCAGTTAGACTTTTATTATATGGAATTACAAACGAGAGTGACTCGTGTAACAAATGGCTCTGCCGTATAGAGTTTAGGTTTCGCCCCTTTCTTCCGGCATTTCCTCGATCGCGTATAAACCCGCGAATTACATACGGTGAAGTTACAGAAAAGAAACTTCCCCTAATACTTATGTCTAATTTTCTGCCTCGATAATGATCAATCAAGGTAACTGGATTACTAGGAGGAAAAGAAAATCACACATACTTCGTTTTGATTATCTGCCCTAACGATAATTACAGACTCACAGGAGCGTCAATGAACGTTAGAAACGAGAGCGGAAAGTTAGATATATATACCTATGAACATTAATCTTATAATTACCAATACGGTACCGTGTCTACAGGCGATTTGTACATCAAACTATTAACGTGAAAAATTTGTACCTAATCGACCGAATGTTCCTCGATAGAACGCCAAAGCAAGAAGTACAGACGACTGTCGCAGATACCTCTATCTGTTCCTAGATCTCTTATTGCTATTCTTTTTAGCACTATTCATCGACCTATTTCGGTTGGAGTCCTTACTATTACTATGACTATCCTTAGCTGGTGTCGAAGTGTGCTCTAAGGTTCCGTTCGACATGGTTCCATTGGTAAATTGAACGTTGCTGTCAGCATTGCTCAGTGTCCCATTATTCTGAGAGTATCCAGACTGAATGGACGTGTGATTCTTGCCACTGGAATCTTTACTATTACTCGACGGGATCGCGTTAGAATTGCCAAAATTGCAATTGTCCTCGCTGCCACTGTTTCCGATCTGAGATTCTGACTCACTGTACCGTTCGACTGTAATCAGTTATAATTGGTTAGCGGCACGGAGGAAGATAGGCTCAATCAGAAGCAGAAAGAAGCAGCAAGCTAGCAGCGAGTTTTGCAACGTCAATACATCCTTACTCGATATCGATAGTGGCCTGAGCGAAGATTTCCAAGCGATGCACTAACTTGCTACTTGCGTTAGAAAAGAAATAGGTCTTTAAGTGAGCTACTGCCATGAGTTTATTAACAAAAAACCGTCTATGTACTACCAAGACACATTTTAAACAGAAGGTAAACGTTTTAGCAAGGCGCAGAGAAAATTTAATTACCAGAGCTCAAATCTAGAGATGACGGAAACTGAACGTTTTCTGCTAGTTTACGGTACAGGTAACATTAACTTTTGTTAATTGACAGTAATGTGTCTCCAGTAATAATCTTTCTCTGAGTAAAACAATGAATGATATAACTACAAGCCCATAAACAATGATTTGTTTACATTGTAACGATATAATATTTTCCAGTTAACTTAAAGTAACTGACTGCCCAGATTTGGCAATAAAAATATAATAACAACTAATAAAGGTTATAGCAGGATTATAAAAGTGATAAAGTAACAGGTACGTGTGCAAATATAACTACAAGTATCCATTCAGGTCCTTACTTTTTTCTTGTGCATTTTCCACCAAACCGCTTACCGCCTGTAACGATAAATTGATTTTACTGTGATACATTTAAGAGAAATTGTACCAAGTCGTGTATAGATATAACTCTGTACCAATAATTATATTTAATACGTTTCTTACCGCCATGGACGTTATGGAAGACTTGGAGAACAATCGTTCGGCTTCCTTGAATTTTCTGTTTCTCTTATCTGCTTTACTATTTGTATTTTTGTTGCTAGCTAAATAGCGATCCCAACCTCTAATAATATTGCCATATAGTTGCGTATCTTCTAAGTAACTTCCCTCAAAGGCATATATTTGCCTTTCTAAGTTTGCCAGTGTGTCCTGAAAAGACGACAACACAATTACCTTGATCGGACAAAGAATTGCATGGCCTGAATGAATACTAACGAAACATATCCTTCATAACATCTGTGCTCGCTCGGTATCAAATTTTAATAGAATGTTTAAATGTCTCAATCGTACATAAAATCATTACAGGAAAATTGATGCAAACGATAAATTGATATTAAACTTCCAGTAATGTACACTGAAATTATCTGAAGAACAACACTAACGGAGCCCCAAAAAATTACAAAGTCAGGTCAAAGTAAAAATACATTTCTAGCACAAGGTTCTAGATCTTACCGCTATTTCTGCTTTACGTTTAACGAGTTCAGCCAGTTCTGCCCTCAAATCGACGGACGATTTCGTGGACATTCTCTCGGTATTGCACTGCGAAGTAAACAAATCCGAGTTTCTTTCCAAGACAGAGAAATAACCTAAAAACCAACTATAATAATTTCCAGAATGTACGCTCGGGCAAAGAATACATAGGCTCGGGGCATGAACTCTAAACAGAGACGAGTTGCGAGATTGCTCCAGAGATGAGTTGAGAGATTGCTCGCGGGCAGGATCGTGTGATTGTGACGGGCCTGGGACGAAGTCCGGTCATCGACCACCAGGGGCGTCGCGCGCGATGCGTTCAGAACGGGGCAAACTGCGTTACCCCGAGTGCACATTACTTTACTTACCTCGAACCAAAAGGACTACGTCGTAAACTGTTTTAAAAACGAAAACTTTTCGAAACGGCATGTCAACTTCAAAAATTAAGTAAATGTATGCGATCTCTTTATAGACACTAATAGTTGTTGCGGCGAGTTTAATAACGCAAGAGACAGAAGATGACATTTTCATTGGTAAGAAGAATAGTTATTAAAGAGCGAGCTAAATTTCCACGACGTTTGTATACTTCCGAGGGAAGCAACCTCCCTACCTGGAAAGAAACGCCGGATTGTCCTGTAATATCCACAGAAGACTTCCCAAACTTACGAAGGGAAGAATTAGCTGGACAGAGAACTTTAAGGATAGCGATTTTGGGATTGCCGAATGCTGGAAAGAGTACTTTAGTTAATCAGCTGGTTTTCCGTCCAGTAAGTTTTTACTTTTTAATATATGTTTCGACGAGTGCACGACAGTAGTCCCGTTTCCCTTTTTTTTTTTTTTTTAAACTACCTCAAGTAAGAATATACGAGTTTAACCATTCAATACCCTGTGACGGGTAAGTAATATTTTCATAATGAAATTACAGGTATGTGCCGCATCGTCAAAAGTGCACACGACTCGTATAATGGCTGATGCGATTTACTGTCAAGAAAACACTCAGCTCGTATTTATCGATACTCCAGGCCTGGTGACAAAAAACAAATCGAACGAATTCAATTTAGAGAAGAGTTTTAGCACCCATCCTGGAGAATCGATTAAGAGAGCAGATATCATTGGGATCATGCAAGATGCATATAACACATTCAGTGGGTGCAAAATAAATTCGCAAATCATGGAGATTTTAGAGCGATCGAAAGCTATACCGTCGATACTTATTTTGAATAAGGTGGATATAATAAAGAAGAAGGAGATACTACTTAAGCTAGTTAAGTCACTGACCAGTAAGGAAGGCTGGCCACATTTTAAGGATATCTTTATGGTATCTGCTTTAACTGGTGACGGTGTTGAAGATTTAAGGGTATGTTCGCATAACACCATTTGCAGAATTGTCATTTGGAATGGTTCATTTATTCATACTTCCGTTACCATTTCAGACCTATTTCCTTGATTGTGCGAAGCCAAGAAACTGGGACTACGAACGTCACATCTTTTCGAATCAGTCATTCGAGGATTTAATCGTGCAGACAGTTAAAGCTAAATTATTGGACAGTCTTCCGAACGAATTACCTTATATACTCAAACCTGAAATGGAGCACTTTACCATCCGTCCTGATGGTAGCATTAGCTCGATCGTCCTAATCGATTGTCCCTCGGACAGAATTGCAAAACTTGTCTTAGGTAGAAGAGCGATAAGAGTCAAGACTATAGCCCAGGAATGTGAACAGAACTTATTAAATGCGTTTCAGACTCCGGTAAAGATAAAATTAGACGTTAAATTCAAAGGTAAATCTTAAAATGTATATCTCCCTTACCTAATCTACTGTATTATATGTAAGAATTATTGGTAAGACTAATAAATTTAGCTTAGGATAATTAACGCTTATTCATTATTATTCACACAAGGGAACCGCAAACTTGTGTCTTTTAGGTTATCTTCGATCCACTTGTTCGCTGAGTTTTCCAGCTCCGGGGTGTTGAACCAGTCTTTCCAGCCTCCGTTACCTCCTTTCCTGATGAAGGTGCCATTGTGCATGATACCGCACTCCTTCATCTCATAACAATTCACCATTTTATTCTCTCGGAAGATTTTTATATCCAAATATTGCACCAACTGTGATATCTTCTCGTCAGGATACGACTTCCCTAAGAAAGCTGCTACTTTTTTAATAGCTTTGATAAAGTCCTGAAATAATCATGGTCATTTCAGGGTACGCAATAAAAAATCCTTAACATTAATTCAAGCTACGATGTGGCATTAATATATACATGCCTCGTGCATTTCTTCATAGAACATGAACAATACATTAGGATGATGTCTTTGTTCCCAGGCTTCCTTCAAGTGTTCCCAGTATGGACTCCAAGCTGCTAAAGATGACAATTGGTACCCTCAGCTACGTTTTTACCAATAACTGTTAATCCGTTAAATTTCTCTCGCTTAAACTTACTTAGATCGTTCCGAAAATATTCCCAAAACGTTGGAAAGTCACCCACGTATCCTTGGGTCTTGAAACTTCTATTCAAAAAATACCAGGACACAGCCACGTCTCTTGGATTGCGAGCAACATAAACAATCTGAAATCGTCTCCTCTTTACTACCTTCCAATAAGATTGAAATTAAGTAAATCAGTTAATTCAAATACCTTGCAGCCACTGTCCAAAATACCAGGCAGCAAGCTAAATGGAAAATGGGATTTAATGAACCTAGGGGACGGTAACCTTGCAACCTCTTCGTAACCAGGCTTCGCCATGTCCCTACAAAACTTTTGTTTAATTGGATCACCGTTGTTCATCTCCAGGAACTCCTTCATCAATTCATCGTGAACGAACATGCTGAACCTGAAATAATCCACGTAAGCGAATCAAGGAGAAAGAAATCCCACCGAAATACATACTCCAAGAAAGGGAATCGTGTATTCAGCTGAATAGTTTTAGCTGTTTCGAAGTCCATATCATTGGACAGCAGCCACACCATTTCCTGGGTCCAGGTAGTACCTGTGATAAAAATATTAAAAACGACACCATTATTAACAAAAATCATTACCAACAGTTATTAACAACCCGCATGACATTTACCAGATCTTGGATACGACAGAACCCACGTGTCATCGGGCTTGGCTCGAAAATTGAAGAATTTTTCTCCTTGCTCGACATATTTATACGGGAAGAACCATTTCTTCTCTCCAACCTGAACCCAGCCAGTTCTCTGACCATCGAAGAGCTTTAATATCTCTTCGGTCCTCGCAGCATCCAGCAATTGGTACTTCGGCATGATTAATTCTTTCTTTGGCTACGTGTAAAACAATTCCAAGTACAAATACAAGGCGTATCACGTTCGCAACATGTCACACTGTACAGACTCTGACACTTATTATAAAATAATATCCAATTCAAAGTTGATTGATTCGCTAACGTACGATAAACGTACACAGCTGTTTTTAACCCGAATAAGTATTTCCTACTCAACTGTGATGAAGCGGTGAAGTACATCAATCCTTTATACTTTACTTGAGTAATAACAAAACTGAAAAATTTATATATGTATTAATTCGCGATAAGCACGACGCACCGGTAATTTGTCAAATGACTTGAGAACCGATAGTGAGCACTATCCGCTACGAAACAAAAAGTAGGTCGGTTTCCCTCCGACCGTTAATATTTTCTTTCTCTTTCCGCTTGACCTCTATTCGGTCCTCGAGGTTCTTTCACCCGAATTTCGCACCGAGTCTACGAATTTAATGTACCTCGCGTGACGTCGTACTACAGATGGTCATAATTATAACCTATCTATCACTCGATTAAATGGAACGTATAGTTTGATATTTTTTATTTACGAAATTAATATCTCCGTAATGATTAAACATACTCGGTGACAGAAGTACGAGATTAAAACTTCGTCATTCATGTCATCCATTCGATAGGAACTTTGTGGCGCAACATCCTTAATCAATATTTACAAGATCATAAGTCAGTCTTAGTCTCATTTCCTTATACCTCGCGAAAGAGCAGTCTAATGAAATACATAATAATACTGGCGCAGGATTAAAGATACTCCACATGTCTTAACACAATGTCGATACAGTATTGAGGGTAAAAATACTGAATTCTTCAATCAAGTCCTAACGATAAAGAGTGAATTATCAGTGCAAGTGGTATTCACGTTTCCTGGCCCAATTTTAGTAATCATGCTTTGTAATAAATGTAAGATTTGGTTTAAACTTTCATTTAAAAGTGTAGCTATAATGGTAACGGCATCTTTTTCATAGAAGAGATTTGCACAACGAAGCTTTGGTTGGCGGTTGAGTAATTGTAAAAATTGCACCAGCTTTCGCATCGAGCATAGGAACTTCAGAAGAAACTTGGCGAGAGTTTCCTGATAAATTGTCAATGATACGCCTGTGTAAAATACCCTGTACTTATCATGGTTAAATATTATAAAATATCTGTGTTTTCACGAATATATACAAACTCTACACGCGCAGAACTGTGTGTGTGTATGTGTATATATATATATTATTTCAATGAGTTCCGATGTCACACCTAATTGCTTAAGTTTCTGTGAAAGGCAAAGGCAATTCGTATCAAAAAGTGCAAATAAATATTAATATCTAGCGAGAAACGTTCAAGCCCAGTAAAAACAATATGCAAATACGCGGCCATTAGCATTATGGATATGCAAAACGATTTGGAAAACCAATTACCTGTAACTACTCCGATGATTAATAATACGACATAATTGTATAGACTTTAAAACTGTTTTTCTGATTTCTTTTAGATCACTTGTCAATCTATATTGACATAGAAATTCACTGAATCCTCCAGTGAGCTAGTTAGTTTAAAAACAATCAGGAGTTAAAACGTTCTCCACTACAGTGGTATTCAAGTTGGGGGGATTCAAAGAATTTCTAACCTGTACGTCAAGCACTTTAAAACCGACACTTGTCTCCAGGTTTTCCGAAGACTTATCTCGAGATTTACCAGTCTTAAAATTAGTATTTATCGTGCCTTTAACTCGATCCGAAGAGCTTGATTTTGAACTCTGGTTATACTTTATGGTCTGTTCGACCTCAGTCTTCTCTATTTTTCCATCAGTCTTCTCTTGGTTAAGCGTATACTTTAATTCGGAAGAATTTTCCGAAGAGCCAATCGAAAGGTTTCTCCTCTTCGAATAAGTTCTTCTGTTCAGCAATTCGACCAGTGTTGGATCTGCCTGGAAAGCTTCGCACCGTTTGGTATGCATCTTCATGTTATCATGACGATTGAATGCTTTTCTACAGCCCGGACAGTAGAATCTGTAAAAAAGCATTCCATCACTTCCTGACACAACACTCCACTTGAATTTTTGTTTAAAGCACTTGCAAACACTTGTATTCACTGTGAAAACACATTGTTACGAACCTTATCTCACTATGAACCGCCATGTGTGCAGCCAGGTGGGATTGTTGAGCGAATCGCTTTTCACAGACGTCACATTTGTACTTTCGGATCCCATCATGCTTTAAAATATGCTCCTTCAGAATATGCCTGCTCTTGTAGACATTCGGACAGTGAGGACATTTGTACTTTGCAGCGGAATGAACCTAATAAAGGAAGGAAAAATACGTTCTCACTACAAGATGTTCCATCTGTCCTAACTTAATAACCATGAAATGTCGAATACTCACACTTTGGTGGCTGTTTAAAGCTTTCTTCGACTTGACACTTTTGCCACAGACGTTGCAGACATAATCGCGGGAATGCACATTCTCGTAATGCCTCTCTAGAGCTTCTGCGTCGCGCAAATAGGCCGAACAATATTTGCACATAAATGCTTTGTCTTTGGTATGAACGAGCATATGTGAGCGCATCCTGCCTTTTGAGTAAAATCCCTTTCCGCATATGTCACAAATCACATCCTGTTCGAACAAAAATATACACTGTACCGTAGGAAAACACAAGAAAACACCAAACTTATCGTTACTAATAAACACTGTCTCCGGTACTGGAATCATTTTCCATACCTTGTCAGGCTTATGCGTCATTTTGTGATAGCTAAGCACCTGCCGGCTGGAGCTAGCAAAGTCACAGATCTTGCAGTGGAATGGCTTAGCTCCGGTGTGTGTGTTCAAGTGTTCGTCAAGCAACACTGCAGTAACGTACTTCTTTTTGCAGATGTGACACTCGAAAGGTTTGATCTTCAGGTGGCTTTTCCTAATGTGACAGCGTACGTTGCTCACAGTCACGGTGGCAAAGTCGCAAGATTTGCAGCGGTATGGCTTCATGTTCAGATGACCCCAAATATGAACCTAACGTTTGAGAGAGAAAGAAAGACGTTAACAGATAGTTCTGTCGAATTACATTAAAAAATATTTTTTAGAATACCGTAAAAGAAACATCACTTCGCACCTGACACTTATCCATTCTGGGATACAAGATGCCACAGATGTTGCACTTCACGCTGTTTCTGTCAAAAATGGTGAGACTCTTCTGGACTCTATTCACGTCGACGAACGTCATATCGACATAATAGTGCTCCTCGATTAGCAGCTTCTGCTCTTCACTTATCAACTCCGACACTTTGCCAAACTTTTGATCGTTGCTCCGTCGTTTCTTACGAGTACCCATTCTCTTGTCATCCCCCTTAGTGCTGGATATGTCGGAGTCTCCCGAAGAGTCCTCGTCCTGAGGATCACATTTTGCAAGCTTCTCAGCTTCTTTTTCAGGTTTTACAGGTGTCGGGCAACTGGGATAATTGTCACGATTTACACGGTGCAAAGATTTTATAACAGATTTCCTTAAATGGGTGGGTTTTGTGGAGAGATTCTCATTACCAGAAACTGTAAGGGTTTTGGCACATAATGCATCGGAACTTGAACTTGTACACTGTGTAGGTACTTCTTGAACTGTATTGCAGGGTGTAGTATTTCTTTTAGAAGATGGCTTCTCGTCTTTTTTGTTTGGTTTTTCTACGACTGGCAATGAAGCTGAGTTCAAACGTGACATATTCAATGAAGTTCTAGTTTCTTTGCACTCTTGCTTAACGATGACAGATATTGCATGAAACTTTGGGCTCTCGCTGCATTTATCTGACTCCCTCGATAGATCCAACGCTTTAACCTTATTCACAGTGCAAGTACTTATTTCCTGACATTTTGAAGATTCACTATTTTCCTTTAAACCATGTGATGGGGAATCTCCTTGTCCAGCATGTAAATCTCCAGTATTACTCACTTTAGAAATGCGCCGAGTTTCCTTTTCCAGATCTCCCAAGGAATCTATAAGATCCAATTTTTCCTTTCTCTCTAGTAAACCATTTTCTTTCCAATTTCTTGAAGAATCTATTCGCTGAACTCCCATGCCTGCAATTGTATTAAACATGTCTTGGGCACATGAAGATTTATTTTGTACTTCTCGTGGTACTAAAACTTCCTTCCGTTTACTTAATGAATCACCCAATAAATTTGTTTCATCGATTACACCATCAGAATTATTACTATTACTAAACTTATCACGAGACTCTGCAGATTTTGCCAACACCTCTTGCACATTACTCTCCTTTTGATTTCTCACCGAGTTAATTATTGTCTCTGGTAGATTATTTTTAACAGGACTCCTAGCCTCTAGATCCTTATCACTGTGATGTTTTACACCCAAGTCATCGGATTTATTCATATCCAGTGGGCTCTCTAAACAACTCGACAAGGAATACACTTGATCGTCCCCATCAACAGCATCTTCGCATTTTTGGCACTGATTTTTCACTTTATGCAGACACGATTCCAGCCTTACAACGCAAGTTTTCTTCATAATACTTGATTTAACCATTGAAGTGCCAATATCACTAATATTAAAGCACACATTCTTATCCTTGGTTGTACTAAGACCATCGAAACGTCTTGTTCTACGGCTCACAAAATTATTCTTTGGTCTTCCTTTTCTTTTATATCGGGTCGTTGACACCCCAACTTTGGCAGTTTTTTCCTCTCTGTTCTTCTCCCCTGCAACGTTCAAAGTCTGGCACGGACTGTCATCCTTTTTCTTGCACTTGTGATCAATTAATAGAAGAACATCAGAAGATTTCGAGTTTTCCTGATTCTTAATCCTGGAATCATTATTCCTCTCCGAACAAATATTTACATCGGATTCAAATTTAATCATCGACGTCAGTTCGGCCTGCTTTGCATCAACCTGAATATCCTCTGTGCCACAGGTTGTATTAAAATTCACGGATTCCGACAGGGAGTCACCTGCAGCTTTGCAAATCTTAACGAATTTTTCTGCAGGAGGCTGAGTCGTCTTGATCTTACGTTTGAAATTCTTCAAGGGAGAAACATTCTCCTTATCCGACTCAGCTTCACTCTGGTTCTGTGTACTCGGCTTCAGGAAGTCCTATAAATTTGTACATTCATTCAACATAACTTAGAATAATCTTACAAACGGTCTCGACTTTTCCTTAAACTCTTTACGTAACTACATATGTTTAAAATTCATTGCACTTAATAATTATACTCCTTCCAATAAAATTCAATAATAAACGTCTTACCGTGGAGAGAAAACGCCGTTGAGTTCTGTGACACTGTTCATGAAAGTCGCAGAGGAATTCTAGCGTACCCAAGCATCTCATACAAACCATACTTGGCAATCCGTCGTCTTCTTTGATCTGTAAAGAGTTGTAACAAAATTAAATTAAACATCAGGACGCCGATAAAAAAGAACAGTCTTCCCCGAGGTATGTTAAAGAGCCGGTACTTCGAAAAATATCGAACCTTTATTGATATTACTGAAGAACGACAGACAGGCACGTTATTTCAGAATGTATCGCAGACTGTCGTTCAGGAATAACCTTAAAATCTACATGCCCGTTCTTACGGGCTATCGTACTCCCTAACTTGTAATGGAAAAGAACTCTTGCGTATCCGCGGTAGAAAATACAACGTACGTGTACACGTCTTGATTACTTACATAATATCATAAGGCTGAGTCCATTACTTAGGACGCACCTTGTATCCTAACCTCTAATATTCTCTTGTCCCCTCGAATTACAGCCAATAAATTCGCAGCTATTCGAAATGTTACAGTAGGGATATCCAATTGGCAGTAAAATTAAGTTTCATTCTTATTGTATAAGCACGTCCTCACCTAGGGGACCGACCCGAGACACCTTTTGGTAAAGGCACTTATTGCGACGTAAAGTCATTTAGTAAGAAAGTATACACTTTGCAAAAGTGTTTTACAGCCTTAATTGCTTTACACCGTCCTCGAGCAAATACGACGTTTCGTAGAATGATTCTCGCATACAATGATACTTGTTCGGATATATTGTCACTTTTACCCAATTTTCATGCTCATCTTTCAACGCTCGATAAACATTGGTACTCGATTTAACATATACGTGTAAACTGCGTATATTTCTTCGCGCATTATTGGCGTTTGAAGTACTAAAATGATACCAGAAAAGGTCACTTAATTATTGTCAGAATATGTATGGTCAAATTTGACCGACACAGTCAATACTTCTGACTATGTAAATACAGAAAACAGAATCAATCAAGTACATATTCTAAAAGACCAATGTCAATTTAAATCAATTTATAGTAATTACATTGGAATTGGAAACTGCACTCATAAAAATAAGAAAAAAAAGAACAGTATATTGCATCCCACTTTCTTTTTACATGATTCAGCGTTATAGAGGCAAATATTAAAAAGCATGTATGAAAAGTAAACGTAGGTCATAATTTTTATGACTGGTTTGTAGTCAAATAACCTGTTTAAATAAGTTGATGTGCAAGTCATATAGTCTTCTTCCGGACTGTGAAAGAGGAACACGAACATTCACATTCTCTAATACTACTCCGTCCTTTGTTAAATTTGACGTTATCTTTATCAGGTTTATATCGACACTTAATAATTTCTGGATGTATAATTATATATAAAAGTCTCTTTGGGGTGCGTTATAAAGAACGGGACTGTCAACGCCAAACTACACTCTTTAAGGTCACGTCAAGAGTCTTTACATATCCATGATGAGTGGACACAAGATAAAAATATTATCTTCTCCAAAAATAACCCATCCTGGAAGCCCTCTCGATCCCTCAACATTCTCCCGATGTTATCACTGATATATCCCTCAAAAAATGTTAGAATACTTTCTGGTAGACTCCTAAGAACCGATTGCAGTATTACAAAATTCTTTTCCGAATCCTTAGGCATTCTCCGTTACATGATTAGCATCAGGCACTCGACCGATCAGCTCTTTCGATATCATAGTTGACATAAATAGTACAACTTTCTGGTAACTTGAAAACTCGATTACCAGCTTCAACTTTTGCATGTAAACTGAATTAATTGGCACACGTGTTAACTTTACGATTTTAAAGTACACCAGACAAGTGTATTTTATAAATTCCCTTAAGCAATGATCACACAACAATCATGCCCGACACTAATCACCAGTAGAAACAGCTGAGCAGCGTTCAGTGAATTACCCATAAATATAAGTAATCAAACCTTGCGCTTAATCACTTGGTTAAACATAATTAAGTGGCGGACTCGTTAATAATCGATTAATTAGAAGCAATTAACCACAGCCTCCTTTGATTGAAAACGACCACAGTGACGAGAGTATCCAAACAAAGGAAATGAAAACTGTCGATGACATTAAGCCACCATAAAACCGGTCATTTGTAAACCGAGGCACAGTGGTTGAGTGAAATTCAGACTTTTCACTAGAGGCACACGTTAGTCACTCATTTTGAAACATCTTGTTCGTGCGACATGCTCAAAGTTCCAGCTTTGACGAGCAGAGTCGTAGACCAAAGAGGTATCGAAGAACCCATTGCAGCTAGCGCAGGAAGAATCTCATCGACAGGGGGAATATCACTTCTCATTCGGGGCGACGTGAGTACTCTCGGATCCTGTGGTCTTCTTCTTGCTGTCCAATTTCTTCGACTCGTCAAAATGCCTCTTTCGATGGACCTTCATATTATCTCGTCTGTTGAATTTCCGTCCACATTCCGGACAGGCGTGTTTCTTCTCGCCGTGAACATGTTTATGAGCCGCCAGATGACTGGCCTGTGCGAAACTGGCCCCACACTTCTGACACACGTGCTTTCGCAAGCCTTCGTGTTTCGACAGGTGTTCATTGAGGAAAGCTTTTGAAGCGTACCTGTTGTTGCAGATGTTGCAGACAAAAGGCTTCGGATTGGTGTGCTGTAGAACGTGCGCCTTGTATTTCGATGCCACCTTGAACGTCTTTCCACAAATTTCACAGGTATGAGTCGCAGCGTGTCGAGTTTTGATGTGCTCATTGAGGACCGTCAAGCTCGAATAAAGGTTATAACAGAAATGGCACCTGAAGTTCCTGCGGTTTTTCAAGTGTACACTGGCCACGTGGCTGAGCAGTCTCGTTCTAAAGGGGAAGACGTTACCGCAGTATTCGCAGGCAAGATTCTGAGGTGGCAAATGGGACTTTATATGCATCTGAAGGGAAACCTTGTGATGATAACTCTGTCCACAGTCCGAGCACTGATAAGGCCTCACTCCTTTGTGAACGTTGTCATGCTCCGCCAGATCGAATTTGGATCGGAATCGTTTTGGACACTTTGGACACTGGATCGGTCTAGGATTGGTATGCGAACACCTGATGTGCTTCATCACGTCAGACTTGCATACGAATTTGTGCTTGCAGATGATGCAAACATACTGCTTGATTCCTAGATGGGTCTTGACATGTACAGTGCACTTGTCCTTACGTTCGTACACTTTACGGCAAAGCTTGCAGGCATAGCCAGTTTGGTTATCCCCAAAAATATGTTCGACGTTATCATCCACTATCACTTCCTCTCCATCCATCGTGTAAAGCTCTTCTGGATTCTTCGACATGGATGATTTCTTTTCAGCATCCACCGATTCGCCATTCTTGTTTAAATTGTCATCTTTCGAATTCAGCAGAGAGTCGAGAATGTCACGAGCCTCGACGCCACCGTGGCTTTCTAGCAGTCCTATGATTGACGAATCCACCATACAAGTACCTTGATCTGGAAATACTTTGGCCAATACGGTGACAACATTTGAGTCTTGCTTCTTTCGAAGCTCCACCGTGAAGCTTATGTCTTCATTGGCACCCGAACTGTTCATAGATTCTTTCACAGAAACCTCCATTTCTGGAGAATTTGCCACATTTCCGAGAACCTTATTCAGTATCGACGTTGAAATTTGAATTACGTTCTGCTTTTGCCGACTCGTCGGAGTTTCACCCTGCTCTTCTCGCGGAGACTTTTCAGCGCTTCGATATGTGTTCGAGGCAGTCTCCGAATTACTATGGTGACTGCGCAGTCGATTTGCAATCGAATCGTTGCCTTTTTCCACACCTTGTGAGTTTCCATCTGGCGGTGTATTCTCGGTGTTCTGTCTGCTTCGCAACCATCTAGTCGAAGTGGTATTTGTATCGGATGATTTGACACTCTGACGTCCTGTTGCGACCTCCGTAGGCTGTCTATTCGTCTCTTCTCTCGAAGTACTCGACTCCGTTGAATTTTCACTCTCGTTTTTGGACAATTCCTCGGAATTGGCTGCAGCATTCTGCAAAGTCACTTCTTCCTGCGGAAAACGCCATTCCTCTTCCTCGGCTGGCTCTTCGACGGGGGGATTGAGGTTCTTGTCGGTACTGTTATTATTTGTCGACGTACTCGGAGTAGTCTCTTCGATCTTTATCTCACTGTCCTAAAGATAAAAAAATTTAGACATACAAGTGGGTACCGACAATTTAAATGTCATTAGAGTTAATGCTTTTACTATATGATATCTACTAGATAGTTCTAGTATCAACTGTTGCGACAAAAGGTAAAGTTCCAGAATTTTTTTTTTTAAACTATCTTCCGTGCAATTACCTTTCTTCTATGAGAGCATCAAACCATTTGGAAAGCAGTTTTGTAAATGTCTTTCGTTCAAATTGAAATTAAACGACTGCATCGGAAGGAGAGTCGAATGCACCAGCAATACTCTATGAGAGCGGTAGAGTGTTAAGTGAAAGAAAATGCTGACTTACAATGTTCGTTAAGGGTGGCAGATTGAACCGTTCGCGTAACAGTTGCTGGGTGCGCAGACACTTTTCATGGAAGTCGCAAACGAATTCGAGCTTTCCCAGACATTGAACACAGATCGCCTTGGGCAGAGGATCTTCTTCATCTATCTGCAGTTTAAACAGAAAAACCTAAGAGCCTCTCCTTTTGAACAAAATTAAACAAAAATATATCCCTTAATACATACAGATTCTATTTCGGAAGCTTCCTGCCCAAAGATCACAAAAAAAAAAAGCATAACTTACATACAACATTTAATACTACAAACATCTAACTTTTGTTAAATTCTATCGCGTTAATACTTTCCGATATAAAATATAATCATTCACTCATTATTCCGACTCTCACTACGACTCTACCGCTCTGTCTCCTCGACGTGACGAAAAATCATGAATTCGGTACCCACGTTATGTCTTACGCCGTATACATTCTTGAAATATATCTACACACTGACGCTCATTAATTTGTAACATCGATTATATCTAATGAATACAAATTTTCAGAAGTTCATGTTCATGTACTCGATGTAACATCGCTAGTGTAAATACATTTGGCATTACCTCAACAAATGTGTCCAGTACATTAATATTGGCCGCATTACTCGTGAACAATAAATCCTTACTTCGCAAGTATAATTACGGAAGCCTTGAGAGCGCCGAGGTGCATCGCATAAAACTATCATACCGAGCCGCGGTGCGTGGAGGTTATGTTGTCTCGGCCATTTTCCCGAGCCCCCACCCTGCTCGGCGATATCGCCGTCGATTAACAGGTCCGAGGCCGCGCAAATTTTCGGCCTAACTCACCAGAATGTTGATCTTCGCGTGGATTTTCAGGCCTAAATAGCGCTTGGTTCCCTCCTCGCCGAAGACGTCGATGTAAATGCTCTCGCACTGGCCGCAAAGTCGGCAGATCTGCGCCTCCTCGTCCTCCACCTCCATCTTTGTTTACGAGCCCAGCCGAGCGCGCGGCGACTCGAGCACTCGAACCTCTCTGGGCTCTTAAAAAACCGGCAGCCTGTTCAACGCAAATACCAATTAGCGACCGCCTCGTAAGGCTCCTCGAACACCAAAACGCCGAAAAGAGAGGTTACGTACGTGCAACCGATGCGCCGCGTTCCTTCTAACACGCACCCTGCATCCGCTTCCCGCTGGTTGCTGGCAACTGCTGGCAACCATTGACCGCGGAGGTAATATAAGAGTGACCAACCTACCGAAAGCACGGATAACGGTTCTAGACACCAGCGCCACACGCTTCGATACGGATACTATCAGAACTTAGGGAGTGACGTCATCAATGGCGGGTCTGCGTTGAATTCTTTGGCGGTAGTTAGAATGACTATGTCTCCATCATATGTATGTATATAGGATTTTCTATAAGTTACCTTTAAATATAATGTTAATTATAAATAATAACGCATACGTCATTTAATTCGTACACGGTTACTGTTAGTTATGGCTAACTAGGTTAAAGGTTACACGGGTGTTAAGATGGACAGAAATATTGTAAGTCTAACCAGACGAGTTAAGGCGGCATTGAATAGTGAATTTTACATGGTAAACAATGCCTGGTTACAAGACTGTGTTGAATATTATGTCAAAGAGCATGGTGACAATGTGGTAAGTCATAAGTTAATTGTATGTTCGATTTTGACTTTCTGATAATAATCCTTGCTTACAGCCCCAGAAAAAGATTCAGGAGTTCGTTGTGTCGCAGTGGCTGTTAAGTGACCTTCGTGAAATCAATAACGATAACGGATGTCTTCCTAAGAATCTTAGTCAGCAGAAGCATACCGTGTTATCTAATAAATATATTTTACAGGTGAAGCTTTGAGGTTCTTGATATCTTTATATTTATGTTCTTAAAAATCGATGGAATGTATACTTGCTCTTTACAGGTAGATAAGATGTACGACATATCGACGTCCAAGTATTCTCAACTGCAGAAAATTCGAAATGTGTCGGTTGAAAATATAGAAGTAACGGCTGAAGATAAAACACAAAACTGGCAACCTCAGAAAAAGAGAATGCTGCAGTTATTCCTTACAGATGGCATACAAGATATAACAGCAATCGAATATAAGCAGATTAGATTTTTAAAGGTACAGCTCTTACTCCAAAATTTTTGACACCGATAAATACCATTACGGATATATTTTTGATTTTCTTTAGGATATGTTGTTGCCTGGGTATAAATTGATGATAATCGGTCCAGTCACTTGTAGACGTGGGGTTCTGATGTTGACGGAGGAAAACATAATGGACATTGGCGGAGAAGTGGAACACTTGTTAATACCAAATGCACTGGAAAATGTTTTAGCTCGTGCTTTGTAAGAATCATTTTTTTAATATGCAGAATTCTTAAATAGCATTTAGATTTTTTTATCATAGTAAAATTGTCTGCAGCCACTCCAATTGAATGAAAAGTCTCTTTTTATAATACTTGACAGAAATTTGCAGGAGAATCCTGATCCTTACCATACCAAGGAACAACAGGATAGCGACGGTGACATGTTTGAGGATGACTTTGATATTGACTTAGATGAAGTTACACGAATCGAAGGCAGTACTTCAACATCCACTACATCACGGGAAACTACGTCCACAAATACTAACCAAAGAAATAGAAATAACTCAACAGCAAATTTGCGAGAACAAAATGTTCCGACGAAGCCCTCGGGAAACAAGAATATTTTGGATTCCCGGTCCTATAATTCTGTGCCTCGAATTGAAGGAAATAACGTCAAATTTCCTGATGATGATTTGATCGAAATGGTAGATCAGAATCAAATTGGCATGACTACAAGCACTTCATCTACGTCAGTTGGGAGTACATACAAGACATCGTGTCCACAAGTATCAAACTTTGTCTTAAAAAATGTTGCGAATGAATTTCCCGATGACGATGATGACTTCATTGAAATGATAGATGAAAACCAAGTCAAGACGTCTGTCTACGAGTTGAATAAACCAAGTACAAGTAAACATAATACACTGACCTCGGCAACGGACTCCCCGCCTACCGAGTTTACAAAATCTCGCAAAATTAATGAAGATATTGATGATGAGGACGAATTAATAAGGATGATAGACGAAAATCAAATCAGTTCAACTACAAATCCGGGAAATACATCCACACGGAGTAAAGGGTGCACTTCCTCAAGTAACTCCAAAGCTGCGTTGAAGCCTCCTTCGAAAGTTACCGCAGTTCCATGCGATGACATTGAAATCGTTCAAGAGAATCTTCCACCATTAAATACTGCCCACTATAAACAAACTACTTTACAACTAGAAAGTAAGAAAATACCAGAAAAATCATCTGGTGTTGAATTTCCAGACGATGACTTTGATTTTGACAACATTGTATTAACGGCTCCACCAAAATATAACAGTCCAGCCAAAGAGGGCAGAAAAAAAAAAGATGGTACAGTTCGAAAGGAAGAAGAGGCCTCTTTCTCCACTGGTATTTCAAATTGTTATTTTATAATTTATTAATTTTTTTTCTGTAATATTTGTGTTGTATGCATACTTTAATCTTTGTCGTTGCTTTTCATCACTTTTGGCTGTGATTACTGAAGGGGCGAAAAGACAGCTTCAGTTGCCTAACACATCGAAAAGAAAATTGGAAGATACTTTTGTAGCTCAAAAGTCACCACGATTAGATAAGAACAATGTGCACCATAGTGGAACATTGTCATCCGTTGCAGGGAATAAGAGGCCAGCGGTAAGAGTTCAAGCTGTACTCAACGTCATTCTGAATTCACTCTACTATATTCTTTATTACACAGATGTCTCCGCCAATGTTACAACCGCACAAAGAACGATGTGTTAAAGAAACACCAAAACTTAGTAAAATTACTTCGAAAATCACTGATTTTACGGTCAAGTCGAGTCCAGGTGAAGCAGTACCAGCAAAGATTTGTGATTTCATATGTGAAATATTGTCAAAACCACCTAGTGACTCTGTCGATTTAATAAAGATTAGGGGAAAAGTGACAACGTTAGGAAAGCTTACAAAGAAGGACTCAAAATGGTACTTGGAAGGAACGATAACCGATGGTACAGCAAGTATGGATGTCATTTTTGCAGATGAGGTAAATAGAAGTGGAAATGTAATACAGTGTTGATTCTTGAGCTATTCCTTATTCAAAAGATCTCAGGATTTCGTATTTAAGAAATACTCCATAACCTCAATCCGATTCATTGGTTACAGGTCATCGGAGAAATTCTTGGATTCAGCGTACCAGAATTTGCATCAAAGAAGAAGTTGATGAAAAAACAGCCGGATATAGAAGAGCAGATGAGAAAGGTATTTATACTTGTTTCACTACTCTCAAAAAATTCTCTTTAATAGTTCCTTAATAATATTAAATATGTTATTCAGTTTTAAGGCTGTCCCGATTAAAAATGACTGTGTCTGCATTACAGAGCTTCAGGGCTGCCGAAAGCAAGATCAGGAAAATGGACACTTTGCTAGAAGTCGCAATTGTACGAGATGCTAAACCGAAGATCGTTAAAATACTGGATATGACCGAAGAACAGAAACAAGCGGTCGATAAAAGAATAAAAATGTTATCCATGTAACGACCCACGATGCAATTGCGCCTCTAAATGTAAATACTTCATCCCTGTACCTGAAAAAAGGCGCATTTAATATTTACTGTTTAATTTCACTGTTATGCGAATGACTGCTCTGTTAGAAAAAAAAAAAAAAAAAAATCGAAACGGACTAAATTTTAATGAGGAGAATTTTTAAACGAGGGTCTTACGCGCGTTCTTGTACATACAACGTGCTTGCGCTTTTCCTTACAGTTTTCGATGCACCGTTTTGTAAAGATAAAAAAAAAACACCGGAAAGTCGCGTCGAAACGTCCTTGACAGGAGTAACGAAAATCTAAATAGTGGAATTATTTAAGGTACATTGCGAGAGGACCATGCTTTACATAAAAGGTAAAACGATAAATTGTCCACCGTTGGCGACGACAAGTCATATTGTATAATTGAACTGAATCAATTTCCCGAATTCCTTCCAGAGTTGCCTAACCAAAGCACGAAGTCTCACGTCGAAAAGTTGTTCTCCGAAATAGAAAACACTATGAGGAAGAATTTCTCTTCCGAGAGAGACAATTCCTCCCCATCAAGCGGAAACGATTGCAAGGACAAAGTCTACACGATGCTGTTGGTTCTCGACATTTTCTTAAGACTCCACCGAATGTTAATTAACATAATAGGACTCCTCAAGTAATCCCGAATAATACTAGCGCGGTCAAAGCTTGTATGTTCATAATTTAATTATATATTTTTATATATACAAAAGGATATAAAGGTTCCAAGGGCCAAAATCTCCTAGAATCGAGAAGAAAACCGTCCCATTAAATGAGATCCTCGATGTCGCTACCAGGACTATCATTTCTGCCCTGTACACGACTATACCGGAGCCTCTGCTTTCAAGATACTTGCAAAATCGGAAAATATGCTCGTGGTGTTTCCAATCTCGAAGTACGGTAACTGCTCCCCGCGAAAGTGAAGATATCCTCGAAAAAGTACATCAATCTTTAACGAAGTGAAAGCACGATATTTCATGGCACATCGTTTTTCCTTCCTCTTTTCGAAGCCTTAGCCGATGACTCTTCGAAGAGTCACTTTACATTTTTTTTTTTATTTATTCCATTCAGGTGCGCAATAGTCTGGACATGGTACCGACATTAGAAGGAGTCGAATGTTTGGAATCTCATGTAAAATCAATTTCCAAAGTGTTAGAGGCCTTGCCGACTGGTATCATATCCAGGAAGCTCGAAGTTCTCTCCTGTATCGTTAAAAATGGAAATCCCGCTCTGATGTACTGTCGGCAGCCTTTAATAGGTGATATCATTACCACTATTTGTATTCTCGTTATCACTCGAGTTATCAACTTTGTTACAAGATTTGTGTTTAAGGGTCAACTGAAAAGAAATCAATTCCCGAGATGGTCAGTGAGTTTTTCAAACGCCACGAAGACTCGAAGAATCGGCTGTGTCCTTCCCTGAGGATTTGCTACTTTTGCCGGAGTGCCATCAGCAATGCAAATCGTCACTGGGTGCGTTATCAACATTGTCGCAATTTATCAGGGAACACTCTCGATTCGATATCGCGCCGTTTGGACGTTTTAGGAATTATTCTGCTGCGAAGACGCCAAACATTTGCACCGATTGTGGAAGAGATGGACCTTGAAGAGCTCGACCGGAAACGCTCGTTTTGGAGAGAGAGTAATGCAACCTTGTAATGTACTTTATGATAACGAAGAAGACGATTCCAATGGAGATAACAGGAGGATCGAATGTAATTACCGGGGATCTGAACGAGAGAGACACGATCTTAATGGAAATCGGAATCGCGGTTTGAGCTTGAAGAAAGAAAAACTTTTCGCCGTGGGTCCACGTGTCGAGAATAAAGGAACATTCGGAAAAGTCAGGACTAAACGATTACACGATGACGATAACAGGATGCCTTGGAGTGAAGCTATCAACGACGTTGACAAGGGTAGGTAAAAACCGAAGAGGTAAAAAAATTGAACGTCGGAATATCGATTTCCTATCCTAAGTTCGCAGATCGTCGTCGTTTGACGTCGCAAAATGGGTTTGTCCAAGTCGGAGGGAAGTTAATAATAAAAAATGGATTTCGGGTAACTTCAGCGCGGTAGAATGAAGACGGAGTCGTTATTAATTGTGACATTAAACAGGAAACGGTAAGATGGCTTCGTCGAGCAGAAGCACAGGGACGAGGGAAGCGATCGGCGATGGGAATCCCGGATTTGAAAAGTCAAAAGCAAGAAGCAGACAACGTGAGGTCGACGACGAGCGTCCCCGTAAGTTTGGATCCCAAAATCCTACGTTTTCGGGTTTAAATGATTAATTGACTGGGTAATCATTTCCCTCAGATACCGTGAACTCGATCCACTATCAGTTATCAAACGACCTTTTCGTAAAGCTAGGGTGGACCGTCCTGCCGACGGAGAAGACGATGATAAGAGTCGTCCAATATCAGGCGTACCTGTCGAAGCCGCACATGAATTGGTACCTGTGTATACCCTGTAAACGAGAGTACACATGTGTGGATATTAATTGATATTAATATCAGGTTCAGGAGATATGCAAATCTCGGTAAGCGGTACTACGACGACGGAGTCGGGACTTTCCTGCACTTTCGCGAAGACGGATCCGGCGAGGTCTTCTATCCGAACGGGAAGACAGCCGTGAAGGTGTCAACCCCCAAGGGACGATGCTGTAATTAGCCGATGATTCTTCGTTAACTATTTATGAAGTCTTCCCAGCTAGAAGTGAAAATTCTAATCGATTTTAAGACGATATGTATACTGTGTTCACGCCAGGAGGCAAAGACGCCGTCGGAGTCGTCCGCTCGCCGCAGATCGTCGCCGTCTTCGATACCCTCGGAAATGGAGTGGTTTTTAACGAGGATAATGAAATACGGTACGAAAAGCGGTATCGAGTAATGAGGATAAAAAACATTTAAGTAAATTACCAACGATCGGATTTTCAGGCTAAGCTACAATCAAAATGGCGGCGTATGCACGGATAATCCGCGCGGTTCGCGACCGATTATTTGGTCCTGGAGCACTATTTGCAGAAACCTAGTTGTCGAATCCGTTTACGCGGTTAGTTCAGTGAACTTTTTCTCAACACATTGGTATACACAAGTGGCGAAGTTAATGCTAATAACATTAAAATTACACATTTTCAGGAGCCACCCACCGTTCACTTGGAAAATGACCTGCTCGCGACTATCTCCACGAAAAGGTATTTTTATATCTTTTTTCTATAACCTGTGTAAATAAAAATGATTAAACGACTATCGAGCGACTTGGAATATTCGTCCACGAGAGAATGAATCCGCATTTCAGCTCAAAGGGCCAGAAAACACCGGCGTCCATGAAAAGCGACGCAAAAGCTGGGAAAGATAAAGAAGTGGAGGAAATTACAGACGAGGCATCGCGGTAAGAAATCAGGAGAGAGAAAAAAAAATTGTCGCTTTCCAAAGGAAGGGATGAAGGTCCGAGTGCAACTAATATTTGTTTAAAGAGAGGATTCTGACGTGGAAGGGAATTTAAGGGCTGATCTCCTGGCACCCATTGCGAGAATATGCTTAAGGATAAACCACTTCTTAAGTTTACGGATTCTTGATCGGAGGAACATTAATCTGCAATTTTTCGCCGGCAACCGAAGCATCAGGTGAGAGATTTGCACCGGTAATACTTTACAATGCCAAGCCGCGTACTCGTTAAACACATTTTGACATTAATTTTTCAGAATAGAATTGGGTACAGAGCTGAACTACCAAAAAGAATTGCTATCATATTACGTGGATTCATCTCAGTGGGAAGCGGAGCTGTTAAAGTACGCGATACTAATCCAATACCCAATCAGGAAATATATTAAGTTAATTTTCACCCACGAATATTGAAACGCTTATCAGGTGCAGATACCAGAAACGCCAAGACAAAATCGGGTCCGAAAGCAGTCTCTACGAGATCAGGAAGGAGTGCCAGAAATCCAGGAACATTGCCAAAAGACGTAACAGATTAATTGAAAAATACCGAACAAGAATGGGCTGCAATTAGGAAGAAGTTTCGCATCCTCGTTACTCCGATTTCACACGAGAGCCCTTAAACAAATCTTTAAAAACACTTAACCGAGCGATTGCGTCGAAATTCCGTTTAGAGGGAGAGAAAAGGAACACGCGGGCCTTTGTATATAAATAAAAATTAGCATTTTAATGTGAAATATGAAAATAATCATAAATGTAGTACTTCAAAGTCGATCCGCGAATGTTAACTCGTTTCGTGTTCGACGAGTGGATGCGTGTCTTTAACATGTACACGAGACATATTCCCGGGTCGGGGAATACATTATCGAGGGTAATTCCTAGGTAGGGTAAAACCTTCCGACGTAGAAGGAGGGAACGAGCAGAACGGGTCTGCAATTTCGAGAATAAGTTAAAGTTAGGTGGCACCGAGCCATGCTTTCGAAACTCACGACCCGTTGCCGCATTAGTCGGTGGGGGGATTTTGGAAAATGGAGGGGAAGGAGGGGAGAAATAAATAAAATAGAGGGGTCTTCGGTCGGAGCTCAACCCCTTCGATACGACTCTCTTCACCGGCGCACATTTTGTAGAATTCTTTTTTTTTATCACTGAAGGGGTAGGAAGCTCCGAGGGAGAACCTCGAGCGCACCCTCGACCGTTCCTAAAAAATGTACAATTTCTTTCATATCCTCTTTCTAGAATCCGCTGGAGGTTCTCGAGATGGATATGGGGCATTAGTCGGGACGGGGGAGATGCTAGTAGTGGTATAAATAATTGTAAGGTCGACGAGAGTAATGGTAGCAGCGTTGGCGTTCGGCGGACGCGACCGTCTAACTCGTTAATCTCCCGGAAAACGCACTAATTTCTTGCGGCATATGTACACCGTTCTCCGGAAGTATCTCTCCAAGTTTCTCTTTCTCTCTCTCTTCCTCGACATTCGAGCGAGAAACAATCGAACCTTTATTTACAAGCCGGCCCTCGATCCGGTCCCAAAGGCCGATTGCGCCAACCGCGATAGTCGTGAAATGTCTAAACTCCGATCAGTTAATCTCGACTCGGTGCAACTCCAGTTGCCCAGAGATTAAGCTAACCGGAGATTAAAATCCTAGTCCGATAGCGATTTGAAGAACGATATGCTCTAATCGCGCGTTGATCCTCGATTAGAGAGTACCTCGCTAAACTCCGATCAGTTAATCCCGACTCGGTGCAACTCCAGTTGCCCAGAGATTAAGCTAACCGGAGATTAAAATCCTAGTCCGATAGCGATTTGAAGAACCGTCTGATAAGCTCTAATCGCGCGTTGATCCTCGATTAGAGACTACCTCGCTGGCGCTAACGACCCTCAAACTTTGCCGGACGCTTCCGTGGAGACGAAGAGGAAAGACAGCGGACGAGAAGGCACCGAGAGCGTCGAAGGAGAGGAACCCTGGTCCCACCGAGACCCTGACTCGTCATGGCCCATCAGGGACCGAACTTCCTTCCCGAAGTACACCGGGATCCTCATCTACGTTCCGACTCTCGATCCTTGCTCTTCCCCGAGGATCCTGATCCCGGTCAAGAGCCTCCCCAGGATTCCCCGGAGTCGTCCACGTGTCGACCTCCTTCCCAGTTCTCCATCAGTTCGCTCCCTTCACGTACTCGGGATTGCAATTCTCCTGGACGAAGGCGGGATGAACATAGGCGGGATTGTTCAAGCTGGCGTTCTTCCGGTCGACCGCCCGGACGCGGAGGAAGAGGAAGGCCGCCACGAGGGAGGCGACGACCACCACCAGGAGCAGCATCACCAGGCCCCCCACGAAGCCGGGGAGAGACATGCAGATCGTTTCCGGATCCGTGGCCGAGTTGGCATTCTGGATGACGACGGTGGTGTCGTTGCTGGTGTTGGTCGTCCCCAGGGCGAAGTTCACGTCCCCGGGCGCTACCACCTGGATTATCCTGGAGGTGTTCACGTCCGTCATCTCCTGCGCCGCTCTTTTGTACACGTGGCTCGAGATCAGGCTCACGGTATGGTACAAGCTCTGCTGAAATCATCGGACACCGATTAGATCATGACCTACCTCTACCTCCGACCCACCTAACAAAATAAACTCCGACATTACGTGATATCAATGTATCTTTTTAATATGTCACGTTATTCCATTGTTAAGTAACTGTAACAAGGTATGGTCGGTGGGAAGGAGGACTCCAAATTCAGGATTTCTCACCGAGTCGTCGGTCAACGGATGATCCAGGTCCAGGTCGGAGGACCTCCGTTTCCTGGCGCCTCTGAGCTCGGCTGCGAGTCCTTCCACCGACCTAGGTCGACCACCTAGAGTAGCCAGGTTGCCTTCCTGCTCCTCGGAGCCGACGGTGCCCTTCCTCTTCACGGTCTGATATGCCGCCGCGGGATGACCCGGAAGAGGTGGCGGGGGCAAGTGGATGTTGTCCTGGGGGCTCTGAGGGGAACTGCTGGCCGTGGCGTCCCCAGGAGTGGAACTTGGCGAGGAAGACGAAGTCTGGGCCTGAGGAGCCGGGACCACGTCAGGGTTCGGCTCGCTGGAAGAAGGGGAGAAAGGATTATTTCATTAAGCGTACTCTTCGATTAGGGACCATTTAAACCATTTTAGGGAGAAAGGGGAACGAGTCGTCACCTGTAGGCGCCGGCAGGACCGCTAGGGTGCCGAGGATCAGGATATGCAGGAGGCACCCCGTATTCCGGAACCGGAGGTGCACCGTAATCCGAGGAGAGACCCTGATGAACGGGTGCACCGTAGTCCTGGGATAGTCCAGCCGTTGGTGCCCCATACTCCAGACCAGGGTGCCCACACTTTGGCTCGGGGCAGTTGTACCTGCACACCTGTATAACGCACTGGAAGTGCACGTTCATGCTGTCGGGGAACTTGAAGGCCTGGAAGTAGGCGAAGCTGACGACGGACGCGCTGGGTCCGAAGTTCTTGATCTTCTGGAACCTGGAAGAGAGACCCACCCTCGGTTACCCTCTGAACACCGAAATTTCATATCTTTTCTAATGAAATATCTTGAAAAGGTCCGTGAAGAAATTTAGGTAAAAGCCAGCAACTTCCTCGAGGACTCACCTGGACATGATCTTCGGCCGGACCACGCAGCCTCTCTGATCCACCAGCTGGATGGGAGCCCTCTTCCCGTCGTGAGCCACGCAGTTCCTGACGAGCATGTCGAACTTGTTCTCGTCGTCCTTGATGGCGAGGACCATGGTCATGGTCTGCCCTATCTTGACGATGCCGGAGACCTCGGAGGCCCAGGGTCCCTTGCCGACCTGGATCTGCATCCAGCACTGCAGATTGTCTCCGAGGAAGTTGGCGGTGACCGCGTGGAGCATGTCGACCTGGAAGGGCCTGAAGGTGACGGCCTTCTCGTACAGGTCGTACCAGGTGCAGCGCAGCTTCCGGGCCTGGTCCCAGACCTCCTGGACGTACGGGTCGTATTGAACGATTATTGTGTTCTCGACGTAGCTGCCCGAGGGTGTCGGGGTGCCATAGGCCGCTACGTTATGGTTCGCCGAGGAGCTCATCCCGCAGGAGTTGAGGAAGATCTCGAAGGTCGCGCTCAGGTGGCCGGTTCCTGGCTTAAGGTGGACGCAGTGCGAATCCGAGTAGAAGCCCTTGCTGAAGATCATCCCGTAGAAGGGCCGGTCGAACTCGATGTTAACTCGCATGTGCGTCTTCTCGCACTGCACCTGCAGGTGCTTGATCTGCGGGGTGTCCGGCGAGGCCAGGGGCCAGTTGTCCTCGGGCCCGTGGGACTGGGGGGCCCCATATTGAGCAGGAGGTCCGTACACCGATCGGTGCTCCAGGGGAAGGGCGCTACTGTCCACCAACGGGGCCTCGCTCCTCACACCCTGAAATCCCGACTTCTCTCATTAGACACTTACCGATACTACGAAACAACGAAACCATTACGTCGCCGATAATTAAATAATTTATGCAATGATCGCGTTGTTTAAGTGATATATATATATGGGTACTTTTAGGAGAGTCGCCATTTCGAGGCGCGAGTTTTATCATCGGTTAGCCTTGCCGGGGATTTCGAAAGACAGGGACGTGTCGAAACCGGAAGCCCCGGAAAGCGTTATAACGGAGAGACACCAGAATTTCTGGCACTGGAAGCGACGCGACCCTCGTTCTCTCCTTTTTAACGCTCCGAACGGTACGGAATGCCCGAGCGGGTCTTTCCGGAATGACAATGAACGGATTCCACGAGAGGGGCTGATTTCGAAAGTCGAAGTCGCGGCTACGAACGAGGCCTTATCGAGGATTCCGCAGGTGTCGGGCCTCGCGGAATTAAACGCGGAATATCAATCCGCGGGCCGGTCAAATCGGCAAGGTGTTAAGGTTAAGCGAAGCACCCCTTAAATCATTCGACTATAGAAATAGTAATACACTTTGTAATTAATTTACGAAGACGACAGATGGAGTATGCCATTTAGTGCAATATAATTCAACGCAGGTATTTAGAAGAAACATTTTTACCGACGTCGATCAAGCTCCCCGACGGGTTTCACTTCACCTTAATAACGTGTGTATATGTGCCCATAATTATGAAAGTGGTCTAAGTCAAAATTAAAAAAAAAAAAAATGAGCTTATCAGTTATTTCACGCCATATTATTTCAAACAAAATTAATTCAATGTAATTTCGAAACAAAAAATATATGACATAGACCACTTTCATAATTATGGGCACATATATCAACGGCCGAACGCTGATTGATAAGGCCCACCCTGAGTAAATGAATATTTGAAAAGCTGCTTGATAAGAAGAAAAAAATAAAAATCAATAAACAAAAACGCCTACTGTCAGCCGCAGGCCAGAATTACTTCCAGGTGGACGTCGGATCGACCAACGCCCCTGGGCGACTTCGCATTCTAGGTTAGGTCGAACGTGTGCGTGCCCTGATAAAAATCATTGTCAACTGCGGCGATAATGTTAATTAAATAAATACAAACTCCGAGGATCCTCGGCAATGATCCTACCGACTTTGCGAGGGACTTTAATCGCCCATCGCCGATAATTGGAGGAATGTTATTAATATTCTGAAAGAGAAAAAAAAAGAAAAAAAAAAAGAAGAATCGGTGACGTCGATGCGCTCCACATTCGCAGTCCTGATTCGATCGGCCGACCGATCGAATTAATTGCCCGATCGACTTTGCCGCTGAGAGTCATTAATAACGACGACGTCGGGTCTTAACGGATTTTAATTTTCTCACTATTATGTCCCTGGGAGGAGGAAAAAACAGGCAAGGGCCTTTTTATTTTTCGGACCTAGAGACGCGAGCCCGTTGCGCGAGATTTCGGAAAAGGTGGACTGGAAATGTCAAGAGTAACTGTATATGTACAACTGTGCTCTAACGACCTTTACATAAATCGTTACGAAAGGCCCTAGTGCCTGGCCTTAAGACTTCTTTTTTTTCTTTTCCTCTCTGTACGCCATTTTTATTTTTCATCCAGGGTAATTGTAATGTAATTCATATGTAATTCATCGCTCGACGGACCCTCCACATTTTGCCCCAATTTTCGGAACTGACGAGCATGACGAGGACGTCATTCAACGACGTGTCGAAACCAAAGTGCGAGGAGGTGAAAACGGTCGAGAAATGGCCGAACCGGAAGTCGACCTCCCCTTTTGATTTCACTTTTTTTTTTCCCCCCCATTGTCGCCGGCCATATGCAACGTTCACTTTCACCGACGAAGAATAAACGTCCCATATAGCCCGCTGAATTTCAAACTCCGATATTCTCGATTTAACATTTTTATCAATAATTCCCAACGCGTGCTCGGATTTTTAGAGCCATCCTTTAATCGAGCGATTTTCCCGTACGGCGGGAAGAAAAATATTTTAATTCTATCTCCCTCCTCTTGATCTTAACATGGAATAATTAGAGTTTCTACGTCGGCTCGGAATTTTACAGAGCCATTGTTTAATCGAGCGGCGGTTTTCACGTACGGCGGGGAAAGAAAAAGAGAAGAAAGAAAAGAATTACGAAGTCTCGCCGGTGAAATCGGACAATCGTGCGACGTAAGGAAAGAAAGGGGCCTTTTAATCGGGCTCGTCTCCCGTTTAGAAAGCAAACTGTTTCGCGGGCTGGCAGTCTTTCGCGCTCTTGAAAAGATAGGAAAAGATTTTACGAAGAGAAAACCCGAGTCGTAACGCGCCCGTGTCGCGGCTATATATGGCGGCGAAAAAGTAGGGCGGGACGCGCGTGTACAGACACTTATGCGACTCGTATGTCTCACGGAAGATGCCATTGACTTGACAAAGGAATCAGGCCGAAGCAGGATAAAAATGATTTCCGGAATTTAAGATGCGATACCCTCCCCAAGACGCCATATACATCCATAAGAACAGCAGCTGATGGATTTTTCTTTCCCCAAAAAAACTGCCAAGGGTAATTAGTCATCGGCCGCATTCCAAAAGCAATGAGTATCCCCCGAGGGAACTCGATTAAGGAAATCTCTTAGGAATTTCAGGGAGAAAATGAGAAATCGCGAGCAGTCCCCCCGGAATTTCGCCCCGATTCGATGCAAATCCCCGAAGAGGGGGAGGCGGACGAGTTAAGCCCGGCGATTATCGCTGAAAGGAAGACAAAACGTGAGAATCGGGATGGGAAAAGGGGCCTAGGGGGGCAGCCATGCCCCACTTAATTTAGATTCAGACATAAAGGGTAATTTAGTCGGCGATTCGATGTAGAAACTCGAGGTTAAGAGACGACAAGGAGGCCTGCACCGGATAACCGCCTCGCCATTAACGCGCGACCGGAGAAAATCCCGGTAAACTCTCTGTGGGAATTATAGGAGTCTTTTTTTAGAGTCCAATAACGTGTATCGGAGTCGATAAGGATGAATAGTCGATGAATAAATCGCGATTCGCGAGGCTCGAGTCGGTAAGCGTGGCTCGCGGTTCACCGCAAGATGGCGGCCGTTGCGCAACGCGATTGCGGGCGTCGCCGTTTGATTATTTCCCGCGGAGCCCGTCAATTGTGTCCAGGCTTGATAAAATGGAAGGAGGAGAGGTGCAATTACGTTGAACCGCGAGAAGAAACCCGAGGTAAGAAGGGATCTCGCCTCCACGAGCGAACGAGAGCGTCGGAAGAAGGCGAGCAAAAAGCAAGATGGCGGCTAATCGGAAAAGCGCAAGAAGCGGAAGGACGGTCCTTTGACGGTCGCCGGTTTCACGGGCGGAAGGAGGACCGTGACGGGGGTTTTCTTCGAGAAACTCGAGGGGAAAACGCGGGGAATTAACTTTTTCCCGAAAGGAGTGAGGGCGAGCGAGGCCCTCGACAGGTTAATTGCGGGAAAAATGGAGGAACCGCCGAGTCACGGGAGAGCTCGTCGAGAGTCCCGCGCGAGGTTTCTCGAAAGCTGCAAAGGCCCCTAAAACGGTCCCAGGTCCGAATAGGAAGATGAAAAAGGACCCCCTTGCACCTGTTCGAGCCTCGCGACCGAATTCCCACGGGAGAGGTTAGGAATTCCCCCTATTCGGGCAATCTTCTCTCCTAATGGCCTGTTTCCAAAACCGCACTGTCCTCCCACGGATCGTTCCAATTTCCATTAAGTTTTCCCCAAATCCTAGAACTCAAGGCTACTTTTCATGGATTTAATTTAGGGACCCTTGGATGTTCCCCGAGTAGCCGAGGAACTACCGAGTTCCTTTATTCCTTCCACGGGGGAGTAAAATCGATGACCCTGCCTGACGAATCACTCGTGGTAGGCCACCAACGGTGAGTGGGGAAGAAAAAGAAGAGAAAGAAACTCCCCAGGAAGGATCCAACCCCGGCACACTTAATCGATCATTTATAACCTCGATGTAACCTCAAAGCGCCGAAAAGAAAAGTGGACTACCGCGGGATTCTAGGAGGAATCGTTAGCGCGGTCGGTGGGTGTGTCGAGGGCTTTGTTGCTCGGTTTTACTTTCTCTCCGGGAAGCCGGGCGTTCAAAAAGGCCGCCATCTTTGGAGTAATCGCAAACGCGGGAGTTCCTGCACGTTAGCCTAGTTAGTGTCGGTTAGCGTCACGTCACGCACGTGGCGCGCGCGTCGCTACCCACGATTTCCAACGATTTCCAGGGAATATCCACGTGGATTCCGGGCAGTAAGATCCAGGATTTCCCGAGTGGGAATAACCTCTAAGGATACTCCGGAGCTTCGGGCCGAAAATAATCTTCGTATCGGCCAATTAGAGCGACGGCGCCCTCGTTAGGCCGTGCCCGAGATAAACAAACCGGCGAGAGGTGTCCTTGGTTGTGCCATAGGCTGCGTAAAGGCAAGACCGGCGACGTTTCTCGGGAAAGAAAGCCGCCGAGGAAAGAACTCGATACTCCGGTGCGCGAGCCGGGACACTGGCGCGACGCCGCTCGCGCTTTGCCGCGCGCAGTGCGACAGAGAGAGCATAGCGCGGGACTTTAGTCGAAAGAGGGCATTGCGTCCGGCGCAGTGACCCACTATCTTCGGTTCGGCGGCTCGCTTACAGTGTCAACCGGCAAGCCAGGACGAGCGAGGGCTACCTGGAGGATCCTCTTCCTGGAGTATATCCCTAGTTACGTAATCGAAGCCTATCGGGGGAAACTCGAGCAACGACGGAAACGCGCCCAGCTCGAGCGAGACGTTACAGAGTTACTCTAAAAAATTAAGTTAACCGAAGGAAATAGAAAAAAAAATGTAACCTAAATCGCATTCAATTTAAAAAAAAAAAGAAAAACAGAAATTATCTCGTCGAGATGAAACATTGACATCAGGCGAGACGTTACAGAGTTACTCTAAAAATTAAATTAGCCGAAAGAAATAAAAAAAAATATAACCTAAATCGCATACAATTTAAAAAAAAAAAAAACAATTATCTCATCGAGATGAAAAATTGATATCGAGCGAGACGTTACAGAGTTACTATAAAAAAAATTAAGTTAACCGAAAGAAAAATGATTGCTTGAATCGTATACAATTGTAAGAGACAATTATTCCACTGATAAAATTGACGTAGATCTAAACGAATTTCGACATACTTGACCGCAGGATTTCGTTGTCGCGGTGGGTACTTCGCATTATGTCGATCAACACTTTTTTTCTTTTTGTTCCTTCTCTCGGTGTCCCGAGCCCCAGACATCCACTTTTTGATATGGAAAAATGTCGTACAAGTTCGTGGTATTTTTTCTGTTTCTTTCCTTCGGTCTTTCTGGATTCACGGCGTTTTTGCTCCGCCCCTTGGTTCTACTATTTTCGGTCCGGTGGTTTAATTACATATCGTTAACGGTGCATGACTACGAACGGTTCATTTTTAGTGTACGATAAAGGCGCCGATTATGGCCGTTTCTCCCAATCCGTGTCGAGTTCTCTATTTAGCGAATAGCTAATTAGCGAATAAACGCCGCGGGGATATCTGTATTTTCCTCTAGTCGGATTATTTCCCCTTTTACGGCACTCGACTCGGTGATCAATTTCGAGGTTTTATGAGATTACGCGGTATCTCGTAGAACGCGATCCTGGGGGACGTGGCAGCAGCTTCTTCGTCCTCATCCCGGGCGCATCGAGATGAGCCACGGGAGAAGAACCGCTGCAAGTTAACGAGACCTTGTTCACAAGGAATCTCGTTTTCGTCCTCCTTCTTTTTCTTGCGAATGCAACAGTCATTTGTGACGCTACCAATCGTAACGAATCCTAGTTAAGCTTCTTGCCCCCCTCGGTACCTTTTTCCCGGACAAGTGATAATAATGTCCAGTCGGCGCTCGATAAGAACCGAATTGATTGCAACGTTTTTCGCAAACATTAAAAAAAAAAACAAAAACAACAACAACAAAACCCTTTATGCATTTCGGGACACGCATTAAAATCCCACACGAGTAATTCATGAAATTTACTTTATTTTAATTATTGATTGATGATGATTTAATATCATTTGAGGCCACTCGAGCCAAGTAATTATTCTTTGAATTAAAATATTCCTTTGGTTCGGTCAATTGTCCATTTATTTCGCGGTGCAGATACGAACGGTACGGCAATAGTCATGCAAGTGAAGAGCACTCGACGCACTCGATGGTGTACTTACGACCAGTAATAGCGACACTAGGGTGGAGAGGGCTATCTTTCGTATACTGCCCCGCGTCCCATCCATCTTCTCACCGAGATGTGCGTCCTTCTGAAAAGAAAAAAACCACGAAAAAATGGAACGATTACTTCCACGCAGTAGAAGAACGAACCGTCAGCCGAATTCGTCACCGTGAATAAATCCCGATTTCAGATTCTCCGTAATCCTTGAATAATCCAACGGGAAAAAAAAAAAAAAGTTAACGAATTCGGCAGGTTTCGCAAAACACATTTTTTTTTTATTTTCCTTTCCTTTCGGAATAAAAATGGGAGAGATAACGAGTGATAAGGCAGGTGTCGTTCCACCCGAAATTTCCAAGAGTCTATGTAGACAGGTGCACGCTCGATTTTAAACGTTTTTTAAATTGGATTTTTATCACTTCTCGAAAAAATTTCAGATTTTGCATCGGTCTCAGGGGAGGGAAAATTCCGGGCGCGCGGAAAGGGGTCAGGGGACAACCCTATCGGAAGCACTGATATACTTGCACCGAAGAAATGGTCGTCGGGTGCGTGGCTGACAGAAGGCGAGAAACGTCGCGGCCCGGCCGGGGTTGGCTCGTCACTCGCACATCGAGTCCGAGCCCAGGTGTCTTCGGGACTCAAGGCCCAAAGTGGCTGTCTTGGCCGCCGCTAAGTGACTGACCGTCCGGGAGGCATTCGTCTCGGCTAAGAGCCACGTCCCACTGACCTACTGAGGGTCGCGATCGCTCGCACGTTCCCCCACTACTGTCGCACCAGCGGGCCCGGCTGCCGGCCACCCGCTGGCCCGATGCGGGCCTTCCCCCACCACCCGCTGGCCCGATGCGGGCCTTCCCCCACCACTCAGCCTGGGTATATCCCCACCATTCCGCCGCGCCGCCGCACTCCTCGCCCGCCCGCCGACGCGCGCAGGTGAGCGAAGCGCAGGAGGGAGAGAGAGAGAGAGACGGCGTTGCGGCATCGAAAGTCGCGCGACAAGGACAGACCCTCCACGGAGGAATAATACGAGGACAAGTGAATTAATTTACCCGGGAGAAACTTCCCGCGAGCCTAAAATCCTTTAAGCGGGGTGATGCCGACGCGCCCACGTCACTCCACCGGGAAATTGAATTCTAGTCGCCCCCAGACCAGTTGGAAACGAGACTACGATTCTACGTTCTTGTAGACTCGATTCCATCCCCGATGAGCAAACAGTCCACTGTACTCGATATCTCGTTTAGACGTTTGCAAATCTCGCGCGATTAGGTCCCTCGTTATTTTAGTATTCAGGGTTTACCTACTCGGCGCCGCTTTCCTCGAGTATGTTAATCCTCGACTGGGAAGTACGAGAATGTACGGTGTAATTGTCACTCGCCCGAAAATCAGAACTTTTACCTCGCAAGTATGCAGGCGTTAACTCCTTATCGAACTGGGGAAAGGCGACTGGGGTTATCAGCAATTCCGCGAGAATTCCAACGCAGTGGGTCGGACAGATAAAATTAGCTGCAGGTAGACGAAAGCGATTTGCATAATCGCGACGTGTCAATGGGGAAGTTACAAACGCGTTAACGGAATGGCCTAAATTTCCACCCACGTTATTCCGGAAGTCGGTTCGCCTGCAACTTCCGTCACGCGAGGATATTAAGGCGAAGGGGCAACATAACCTCAAGATAAGGCTCGAAAGTGCGAGTGAACCGCGTTTCCCATTTTTCTCCCACGTTAAACGCACCCACGAGTGTATTAAAAATATTCTAAATATTATAAATATTATAAATATTATAAATCTGCATTTTCCTTCCCTTTACATTTTTTTTTTTCCATTTCCAACGGTGAATATCTTTCTCGAGGTGATCCGAGATTGGGCTGACCTCCATTACTTTCGACGCGTCTCGAAATTATCCGACGCCATAACGAAATATCGTGATTAAGTGCGCAGCCGAATCCCCGTTAATGAAAACGTCAAAAGACAAACGTATGGAGGATGTGGTCGCGCTTATTCCAGTCATTTTTCAGGCAGATGCGGCGTGTCGGGAGATATTCGAGAACCCAGAGGGATAATGGCGTTTCGAGGTTAGGGGTGGTTGAGTAAGGGTTGCCCGTTGCCAGGAATTTCGACCTGGATATCCTGGAATTTCTTCCATCATCCCCCTCATTTCTCTTCCCATTCTTCGACTTATTTTAACGAATGTCAAATAATTTATATATATTCTATATATATATTCTACATTTAATATATCTTCTAACATTTATCTCGTCGCTTTCCCGATATCCGTGGGCTTGGAGGAAATCGTAAGGAAGAGGAAACCACGAAGGGTGGAAAGCACCCTACAATTTTCACCGAGTCATCGGGAAATATTACCTCCTTTTTTTCGGGGATTTCCCTGAGGACTCGACGGCGCTTTTCGGGGCATCAAAGAACCGGGACGCGTCTTCGAGGCCGACATGGACTACCGGGGATTTATCGGATCGAGCCGGAGATTCTTCAAAGAGGAATCGCGCTCGCATCTTCGTTCCGGCCTCCTTTCCCGACGCTTTGTGCCTTTATCACCTGAATGGAGCTGAATGGAATTCAATTTCCCCAATTAATTGAACCTACGCCACCCGGGAGGGAAAGAAATCTGTTAAAGGGAAGTCTAATTAATTCCTGAAACGTGTGTCTCCGGTCTTACCGCGTACTACACGCTTTTAATCGAACAATTGTCGACGATGCCCATGCAGTGAGATTTACAAGTCGATTTAAAACAATTTTCGATATTCGCTCCTGGACATCGAAAGAGCGATAAAGAAAATGGCGGCGCGAAAGTGCTGCCCCCCCACCGAGTGGGAATAAATTCACATTTTCACATTCCGGGACGACAAATCGCCCGAGAATGTGAAAACGCTGGAAAGGCTACCGAGGAAAGCCGGGTATTCGGAATCACGAGCGATTTATAAGCGATGTTGACGTTCGAAAGCGGAATTCGAGGTATTCCCGAGGCGACCCCCTTTCGGCGCACTTGGCGTCTTTATTATCCAAATCAGGTAAATTCCCTGACAATAAATAGTCTTAAGCGCGTTTTCCCCGGGGCCGGGGCTATGAAAAGTAGGCGCATCCTGCCCCCGGATTTAAACGTACGAGATTAACCTATCTCGGCCGAGGGGAAACTTTTCGATCCGCTTTTAGTTATATAATTGATAAAAAGTGAAACTTCTCGCGGACGCGGAGGAGGTGAGAAACGCGAATAAAGGGAAAATAGTCGACAAATGGGATTCCGATCCGGGGGGCCGAGGAATTCCGGGGGAGTCGAGGTGTAAACGACATTAAGGCGACCCGAATGTAAGGAGAACGTGTGAAGGACGCCCGTGGCGTCGCCCGGCGAAGAAAGATGGCGCCCGCTATTAGGAGAAAGCGGCCCGAAAATAATCCCCGATCACAAGAGGCGGTCCTAGCGACGCGAAAACAGGGCCTTGTAGAGTATGGACCCCGTCGCTTCCCGGACAACCTAGAATCTCGTTCCCGAGACCCAAATCCTCGCCGGCTTTCGAAAATCTCGCCTACTTCCTCCGCCCTCCGACGCCGCCGCCATCTTGTCCGTTTGGATCAACTCACCTTTTGCCTAAACCAAGTAATTGGCAATTAATCGACACCCTCGAGACGCACCGTAAATGTCGCGGGATTTAAGGCGTCAAAGAGGTCTCGTTTATGAAACTTTTATGAAATTCATTTAACCAAAGAGATATTTCATGAATTGAAAGAACACTTGTTTCACTGAAAAAAATCGTCGCGATTACCAAAGAAACGTCGCGTCTAATATATTCAAGTTTACTCGAGGGAAATAATGCAATTCCTATAATTGATAATATATTCCTATGGCTGGATATTTTTTTCTCTTCTCAGTAAGGACCACCGTAATATTTAAATACTTTACAAATTTCTTTATGGAAGTTTTTACGATTTTCACAACGACTGACATTGGGAATTGGGTTTCTAAATTTAAGCGTCTCGGGAAATAATTGCGATTCTTTTATGGGGGTTTCGTCGATTCCCGCGGGGAAAAATCCAGGGAAAAGGTATTCTTAGGGTCTCCGGTGATCCGTGGCTATTTTTTACGCCGACAGGGTCTTTGGACAATCTCGGAGGTCGAGGAGAAAATCTCGAGAACTAGAGAAAGCGTGCCCCCGGTCAGTCGCCCAAGTATTAACCGCGGTCGGCGACGCTTAACCTTGAACGCCATTACGATTCATGAGACTCTGGTTCACCGAAAGGCTCGTAAAAAAGGAACACGGTGGAATTAAGGTGAGATAAAAAAGCATCTCGGAACTCGATCGACGTAATTATACAAGATTTTTCGAAATACCCCCCTAGCAGTACGGAATAATTTCTAAATATTTTTATATTATCTTTGGATAGATATATATCTTTGGATTATCGGAATGTCTTTCTTCGGTGCCATTCAAAGAAATTCTTTGGATTGATGATTTCCCTTTTCCCTCAATGTAGAGAAGCCTACACGCGTCCGGCGTTTGGTCCAATATCGCTTGCACGGCTCGACGAATCTCGCCCGTATGTCAAAAGGACTCCCTTCTCAAAGGGTTTTAAGAAAGATGAAAAATGTCAAGGACCCTCCCACCGACAAGATTAATCACCGGTTTTAATAATCCCGGATGAAAAATTGAATTTGACACGATGTCGGTATTTTTTTTCTTCTTTTTTCTACCATTGACAAATGCTTAAATGCAAGTTTACTCGTACGTTCAGCGACGAAAGGCGTTCCATCCAAGGAGCGTTTTATCCCATCCATCTTCCCCTTTATTTCCTCTACCCTTCGAGCTCCGGCCGAGCCGTAACTTTCACTGCATGCGTTTGTTTTTAGGTAAAAGTTATTTATAGTCCCAAAGAACGCGTAGCTGTATCTCGTGCGGCTTTTGCGATACGAGCGAATAGTTGAATGGATCGCGATAAGGACGGCGCATGAATGGACGGCCGACCACGTGGTCGCTCCATTCATCAATCTGTCACGTGACCAGATACTACGCGTCCTACACACCGAGAAAAAAAAATGCCATTGCATCAAAGAAATATCTATTAAAACAAAGGATAATCACTTAACTGACGTACAAATGTTTGAAATTATTTCATGCACCCTGTTTGGAGAAAAGTTATATAAATATTTTCAGATTTCATGTATATAGAATGACCCTTTCATATCAACTTAACAAAAGAGGCAGCCTCGGCGCTCGGCCGGTCCGATTCGCACCGAAGGACGAAGAGAAAGCAGAAGAGAAAGCAGAAGAGAGGCCGAGGGAGGAAACCAGAAGCAGTCCGGTTTCCGCTCCGCGGAAATCAGATATCAGGTGGCAAGGTGGCTGATATTCTGCCACTCCTCTTTCTATTTCTTTTTTTTTTTACCTCCCCGTTTCCTGCAGCCCTCGGCCCTTTGTCCATAAGGTGCAGGACAGGTGTCGTGACGTAATGTACCGTTATACGACATGCGTTAGGTGCGATCAGGGCTAATTATTCCGCCGCTTGTAATTTAATCACCCGGCGAGATGATGCGAGTTTCACGCGGGAGATTATTTGCATTTGTTCCGTCGCACTTTTTTTTTCGACGTTTCCTCGGAGGTTGGAGTAAAAAAATAAAAAAGACGTTTCGTGGACCTCGAGGAGGTCGCGGATGCGAGGTTAGATTCCGAGACGGGCCTCTCTTTTTCCGGTTGGTACCTTCTCGCTCGGTCTCACGGAAGACCCCATCCGTCTTTCTCTCTCGCGACCGGCCTTATTCTCGCCATAGAACCGGAGGAGGAAGGACGCCTCGAAGAGAGACGTGAGAACGTTGACACACTGACTCGCTACCCCACATACCCTTTTGCCTTTTCAACGCGTTCCCAAGAGGAATCTCGAGATCGAGGGACCTCCTCCCGACAAATCGGCCCACTAATTACGAGGATTCTCAAGAAAAATCAACAATTTTACAGACTATTTCGTCGGTTGAAAAATCACTGCGAGGGGCCTCCTCGTGTACTCGCCAATAATTCGCGATCCACATTGAGCAAATCTGAATCATGAAATAGTATAAAGAGACACAGCTTCTATACACGGCGATGTATCCCCTGATACTACTTCGTGGTCTGAACAATGAAAAACAATTATCCGTGTCCCGTGTACAAAATAACCTCCCACTTCGTGATATTCCCAGATATTCCCTCAATTTCTTCGCTTTTGCCTCATTTTTTTTTTTTATACAATCGCGGAGCAAGGGGCGATAGGATCGGTCAAACCAACTAGGTGTAACCGCGGCTAATAGACGCATCACCGAGAGCTCTTTTTGCGAACGTGGAATAGCGTCCTCACCGCAAAGCGGCGGCCATATTGTTTTTTCCGAGTCAGGATTTCCCGAAGGGGGATAATCACATATCGTCTGCAGGAGTCCACTTGGGGAATGAATTTAGAGGAGAACACACCGAAACGAGGACCTCCCACCAGTTGGAGAGATATTAAATAATAGTCCTAGGGATTAATATCAGTCTAAACGAGCTATTCACTGCGCCCTTTGGATCGGTCCCCAGCACTGACAAACGGAAATGCTCTTGCGATGCGCACAAACCTTGGGTAATCCAATCCTGGCACACAACACTTGGCACTGGCGTATCCGTTCTCGTCCTTGCACGAGCAAGGAGTCGAGGAGGTTGTTTTCCTCTCGAAGGTGAGACGAGTACGGGGCGCGACGTTCCCCGGGAGGCGACTCTTCAGGGAGCTCGTCAACGCCGAGAGGAGGCCCCTGCGAGAGGCTCTCGGAGGATCTCGACTTCCAGCCACTTTCAGACAACCGCGTTCGTCGTGTGACCCTGTCGGATTGGAAACGCGTCCTATATATACCCTCCCCTCCCCCCGTGACGCGCGCTTTCTCCTAAAAAATCCCCCTCGAAATCGAGAACCGCCATTTCCTGCGGGACACCCCTCGCGACTTTTCCCAGGAGGAAGGGTACCTTTCCAAAATCCCCCCTACCGTGTTCCTCACTTCAAAAGAGAATTTTCTTAATCCGCCCCGTTGATAATCATTATTCCGTCCTGAAAGGGGTATCTGTAAAAAATCCTCTCCGTCACCTTCCTGACAATGTAAATTAAGATTTCTCGAATCTGCGCTTATTAAAAAACTATGGAAATGTCTCTAAACATAAGGATCCGCCGTTTCACCGTTTAAAAGTGTCCAGTTTTATACAGAATTGTATAAAAATTACTAATTTAATTCGGTGATTTATGCTAATGAGGACCCATATCGGATCTTACAACTTGGCGAAGATTCACTCAGCTTGAGGTTGATTTTTTCTTTTCTTTTTTTTTTCTTCTTTGAGCAATACACGTTTCATGAGTTCAGATTTCTTTAACGGGGTAAGAGTACTTATTCTTTGTATTAACCCCATTTTCGTCCCTCGCATTCTCTAGCGGGAATTCTTTGCAGTTTTTGCGAGAGATTCTCGAGTTCCCATAAAGACCGCCTTTGTCTACGTGTCGGGCCGACCCAGAAGTGAAATCCGCCGGCTCCAAAAGGAGTGGGGTTCGGTGAATAAGAAAAAATAAAAAATAAAAAACCCGGTGAAAGAAAGAGGGATCCCCGAAAGGAGCCGAGGACGCTGACGCGTGGATTGGGCGAGGACTTTCTTTTCTCTTTCTTTTTTTGTCGGCGACACAATTACGCAAAAAGCGAGGCGAATCGCCGCCGCCCTGACGAGAGGACGAATTCGACTTCCGGGACCGGAAGTCACTGACACGAGGCGAAAGTACCCCCACACATGTATCATACCCATGCCCACACAGGAATACATACGGTGACGCATGTCTGTTTAAAAAAAAACTGCAATGAATTCCCAAAGAAATTTTTAATTCATAAACCAATTATTAATTCATGAGCCGGGAATTCCTTAATTGGGGAATTTTTTTCCAGATACTATACGTAAGGAATTGACACAGCACGCGTGTATTAAATTTTGTAATAGTCACGGTCGTTAATTTTGTAAGTAGAATCCCGGATGCTCGTAGCTGTGTCCGTGTGTTGGTGGGAAATGGAGATGACGGGTATTTTTAATTTCTTCCTAGCGATCGAAGGTGCATCGCCGAGGAAGTAAGGAGGCCAAGCCGGACTTCCTGGAGGTCTTACGCACGACGGAGCAAGATCCGCGAGAAAGCTACGTCTCCTTGGGCATGAATGGCCGGTGACGTCAGGAGGGCGCGGAAAAATTGCGCAATTTCTCCGAGATTTCGAAGTTATCCTCGAGGATGGGGTTCTGGGACCAAAGGCGAGCTCTCGGCCTTGGACGTGGAATTGGAATTCCTAGGACCGACGAATCGGGTCAAGGGGATGCATCCTCGAACAGTGACGACTGGTTCTACCAGCTGAGATTTCTGGCATTCGTCTTATCAGACGAAGGAAGGTGCCCAGGAGAAGGAAGGTCGAACTTTCATCGATGGAACGCGATCAGCTCCGAAGAATCGGATCTGGTCGACGGCCAGAATAGAAGCGAAGAGTTAAAGGAAGATTCCAGCCTGCGAAGTGACTTCCTTCCTTCAGAGCAGATCGCCATTATTGCACTGATAAACAAACGTGCTTCGGCAACGAGTGACGACTAAATTTCCTGATAACGTTTCGGTGACGTCCAGCATTAAAATCCAGGATTTCCTGAGCGAATGAACCCTCGCAAGAGTTCTTTATCCCGCCTAGAGACGCGCCTCCACCTCTTACACGGTTTCTCTTTTCAGGGAATTCCTTCCTTTGCGAAGCTTAGAGGAATAATAGGAATAAAACGTAATGAAGAGACCTCGGGGACCTGTTATTTCCTAGGAGGGAAATCTACCGTCTGTCGGCAAAGGTTTCACCACGACTCGAGAGGCACAAAAGCTTCCCGGAATAATGTGGAACGCGGATTTCCCAACGCGGTGATAACGCACAGGTGACGACCGGCTGATAAGCGCCCGCCTGGTTTAACCACCTCTTTCGCAATTACCGGCGAAATCCTACAATTCGACGGTTTCACGGCGCCGTCCGAACGTTACCTCGTTTCGCTTTTCACATTTTTTCCTACCCGCATTATTAATAATAATCCCGGGATTATTGTTTCGAGCCTTTTCCCTTACGAGTAGTTACCTCGCGCATGAATTCCGCGTTTGAAAAATTCAAAAGCGTGCATCTGCAAGTGCATTATTAATTAAGGGTACACGTTTCATGAATTGATTGCTGTTTTCTTGGCTGTGTCAACCTGGAATCCAATTTGTGGCTCAAATAAAATCAACAGGCTTATTTTTACAAAAACAAGATCTGTTCAAAAATATAAAATAATTCCGAAACCGTGGAAATTTGGATTTTTTTACTCTAATGGGTTCTCTGACGTTAGGGAAATTTTCAGAGCCTCCCAGAACCTGAGAAACCTTAAAATGGTTATTTTTGGGAATTTCTTGACTTTTTTTTAACAGCCCTGGTTTTTTAAAAAAAAAAATGCACATGCGTCTATATCACGGAAACATTAAAATGAGCCTGTTAATTTTGTTCCTGCCTCAATGTGGATTCCAGGTTCAGAAAGCCGTTTCTCTTAACAGTGTCCGGTAAATTCGCATCTTCAAGGAGAGGACAATGGGTGGGCGTCGTCTCGAGCCAACAATGCTTCATCCGTAATTTCGGGTCACTGAATATCGACTTTGCTTTCTCATCGTCTCTTCGGGCTCCGATTGGTAATAAAGAAAGTCCTCACCGTGCCGAAGATCGTAATTCACCTCGATGCAATTGCGCTCCTCGCCCACGAGTTTCATAAACGTTTGTTCGGCTCGACGAGCGACAAACGCCACCCTGAAATAAAAGGAAACGTTGTAAAAAGAGTAAGGACATTTTGTTGATACTTTTGTCCCGTTCCCTAAATGCCTAGACATGTTTTTTTCCCCTCTACAGGAATTAGACCGTCGTTAGTCGGGGATACTTTTTTAAGAGTTATGTCACCGTGAGTTGACCATGGGAGTTTTATGGTGGACGTCCCCAGAGATTAGGCTCCATTCGTGAAAGTTTTCCCCGGCGTCATCGTCATTACTTGACCATTACGCCGTTCCCCTATTCGTTGTATTTTAACGTTTGAATGCGTCTTTCTAAAAGGAAACGTTTAAAAAAAAAAATACCCAAGAAAGACTTCCAAATGACCTTCCTCCATCACTCGTGTCCAATCCCCATAATCGAGAGTACAAATCTATCATTACATATCCTTCGATTCTGGACCTAGATAAGATCCACCCGGTGGATTATTTTTACAAATAACTGTAATTGTTAATTCATCGTACGTGTGCATATTGAAGGTTCTATTGAAATACAATATATTAAATTTATAATATCCCAGCCTTCCTGCATCACTCGTGTCCAATCCCCATAATCGAGAGTACAAATCTATCATTACATTTCCTTCGATTCTGGACCTAGATAAGATCCACCCGGTGGATTATTTTTATAAATAACTGTAATTGTTAATTCATCGTACGTGTGCATATTGAAGGTTTTATTGAAATACAATATATTAAATTTATAATATCCCTGCCTCTTGACTTGAGCGCTTTACATTGCAGAGAAGCTCGAAATTCGGAGCGGTTGCTTTGGAAATCGGGCGAAGTTCTGCTAATCTAAATTCCTTACTTAATTTCCCGTAACAGTTACCCATAAGCCTTTTACACTCGACAAGCGACTAGCGGTACATCCTTGTAGAAAGTAGTTTGATATTTCGCGTGCCCGCCACCTAAGTCGATTTTCGAATTCGAGGACTCGAGATGGGTAATAGATAGAAAGATCCTGGAGGAGTCTGATAATAACATCTAGGACGTTAATTAGTCGCGATGATTACCGATTGTGCGGCTTTCCTGCGCACAGCGACAGCACTAAATAGTGCACGCAACGGCAGTAATGCACGCACCTTAATTACGCTGAATTACGGGATAAGGATGTTGCTCGATGCTCCAAGTATTCCACGGGGGCACCAGGGACGCCTACGAGTTGTTCTGGAAAATGATGAGTAAGAGAGAAAAATGATGAGTAAGAAAGAAAAATGATGAGTAAGAGAGAAAAATGATGAGTAAGAAAGAAAAATGATGAGTAAGAGAGAAAAATGATGAGTAAGAAAAAAGACGGAGCTTTGCGACGGTTTAGGAGCACCGGGAAATAAATCGGATGCGTAAGTGGATCACGTCGGCTGGCGAGATCGGTTACCTGGCCATCGCGATAGGAACACCTCTAGGTGCCATCAAGAGCCCATTAAATTCACGGGATTTTCTCCCGTAGACGCCAACTGGTCCATCGATTATCGTCTCGATGTCCATGACACGTAAGATGCGATTTCCTTCCGAGATAGGCGGCCCAAAAGAGCACCGCGACCCTAAAACATGAAATTCTCATAGCTAACCAGGTTACTTTCGGATGTGAGGTGTAAACCTCTTCTGGAAAATGAAAAAAACTGTAATTGCTCCGAATCAGGCACCATGGAGAATTGGACTAGGTTTGTATTCGGCGAAAGTTCCTCTCTTTTGAGGAAAGAAAAATGTATGGGAGAGTTCCCTTCAGGGGAGATGAGAGAAAATTCAAATCCACCACGGTTAATAAATCCCCTTTCTCAATTGTCTTCCTTTCTGGTTAATCACCGGTCGTAAAATATTCATTGGGGAAATTTTCGGAGGATTTTATATAAGCGTCCTAGCCTCGACTCCGTTCCGATCGAACTGTTTGTCCACTTGTAAAAAGTATCGGCGATCAACCGAGGGCTATAAAAAATCCCCCGTAAAAAAGCGTATGACGGTGGACAAATCCGTGAGAGATGATTCATCACTTTCTCCCTTTCCTCCGATTTTCCACCGGCTGCCTCCGGTCTGCGACATTCGAACCGCAGACTGTAAATAAAATAGAGATTTACCATCGATTTCCAAACTCGCCGATTTTTATCCTCCTTGATAAAGAAAGGATGTATTGTGATTTGCCGTTTAAGCCACGCCAGGGCATCTTGTGATGCACGAGGAATAGACAATGGACGTGCATCGTGCACGGCATAAACTACGCAAACGTGCGGTTTGGTGCACCTTTGGGACTTTCGAACGATTCCTGGGGTTTTGGTGGAGGTGCACATACACACCACGTGGTCCGGTGGCACATACTCACATAATATATTGTTTGCATGCCTCGTCGATCCATTCTCCGGCGTTTCTCCCTCTACGCCTTTCCCTCCTTCCTGGCCGTCCGACTACTCACTTTCACCGGCCGCAACATGGCACATCCGGAATGGTTCACGCCGGATCTGAAACAGGATGGGACTACTTCAGGTGCGAGCTCTCGTAAAGGCTGCTTCTCCCTAAGCCAATCGAAAAATATATCCCCAAGGATAAATAAGAAAAATAGATATACACACGAAACCATATCCACTCGGCAGACTTTTCCAAAAGACCTTGGCAGGAAAAAAGAAACTTACACGTCCATCAAGTCGTTTCTCGCATAGGGCCTCGTGATAACGTCCTTCCCTTGAAAATGATATCAAGTTTGCTCGCTTCCTGAAAATCCGGCAAAAAATCCAGAATGGGTATCTTTCCTTTTAGGAGTGGAGGAAAATTCTCACCTCACCGTGAGTCGACTTGAAAGGATCGGGAACGTCCTGGAGCGGTTCCGGGAGCGGACCGGGGAGCGCCTAGGCGTCAAGATGGCGACCTTAGAAATTGAGATCACCCTCGAATGCTCACTTTCACCGGACCCGTTCCGGTGAGACTTGATAATCGTGCGGCCACGTTTCACGTGACTCACTCGTCATCGGGTGGGATCGCTGACCCAGGAATTCCTAATACCTGGTGCACCGTCTTCGACAAATGGCTGCACGTGGGAGGCTCCACTTCCGCGACCCAAATTCGCGGGATCCGTCAAGATGGAGTCCATGCTCTTGAAAAATCGAACCCCGTGGTAGGGAGCGGGTCCATTGAGGGATTTTTCCCCGGCATGGAAAGTTGTTTGCCAGCTAAGGGTGCGTCTCTTCCGTGACGGCGCTCTCCTCGTCGTGGAGGCTGCCACAATTTTACGGCTGGTGCTCGAAGAGACTCGGCCATTGGAACGTTCCAAATACTTGTTGCGCGTAGCCGGCCATCGCGATCGAGAGCCTTTCTACTTTTCGAGTATTTCCCACCGGCTTGCAACGTGGGCGTCGGCAAAGTCGAGCGGTACCAAAATGGCGGCGCCGGGATGCCCGCACTCTGCAACCTGCAATTAATAATCCCTATTAACTTCATACACTTCCAGAGAAGTAACCAAAATGACTAATCCATTGCGACTACTTAAATCGACATATAAATTTACCAACGAGTTTTCAATTTTGCGACGTTTTGCGAAATCAGAGGGAGAGTCGGGCGGCGCCGGGATGCCCGCACTCTGCAACCCGCAATTAATAATCCCTATTAACTTCATACACTTCCAGAGAAGTAACCAAAATGACTAATCCATTGCGACTACTTAAATCGACTTATAAATTTACCAACGAGTTTTCCATTTTGCGACGTTTTGCGAAATCAGAGGGAGAGTCGACACAGTCGACCGGTACCAAAATGGCGGCGCCGGGATATCCGCGCCCTGCACCTGTAATTAATAATCTCTGTAAATTTCACACACTTTTAGTACACGGAGTAACTAAAATAAGTTCCATGCGACGATTTAAATCGCCTGATAAATTTCTGAGCGAACATTTTCAGGTTGCGTCCGAAATTAGAGGAAGCGAGAGGAGCATCGGCAAGAGGCTCTCCTCTCTTTTCTGCTCTGCACCGAAACCTTTCGACAATTGTCCGGGTCGGTAATTCCTTCCCCTTCCTCGAAGAAGGCCCGGTAGTTTACCGGAGCCGAGGTGAGCATCCAAATCGAAGCCGACTTACCGCAAGCCGATTGACACCATTCCGGATTACTCTCGCGCACACCGGCCACGGAACGACCTGGCCATTTCGTCGATCGCTTCTTTAGTCCTTATTACCGAGGAACAGTCGCCGAAAGGCCTGGTCCACTTAGCTCCGAAAACATCCTCGAGGTCAGTCGTCTCTACCTACCTGCAATTGTTATCTCGCATCCAGAAACTTGACGCAAAACCATGATAGCGATATCGATTAGACGGCAGATCGACATCGTCCTCTTGTCGTTCAACATCCATGTTGATTCAATACTAATACACTAAATCCTCCCTATACTCCAAGATCTGCAACAAAATTAAATTCCAAACTAAATATACTCCTAAAAACATAGCGTAGAGATCTCAAGGAAATCCAATCTGATTTGTAATTTTAATTAAAAAAAAAAAAAAAGAATCATCATTACTTAAACCGAATGAATTAACATTTATACCCGCGTATGGTCGCTGCTCAACTAGTCCACATTCCGTGTGAAAATCGTTAAAGAGTTCGAAACGAGTGCATCCTTTCGCCTAGGTTTCGTACGACCTGGGATCCGCTCGCGTCCAATCGAGACCTAGTTTCCGAGATGGGATCGAGGAGTATAAAATTGAAAAATCGAAAAATCGCCTCAGCGGCTGGCATCGATTTCCGCGAGCGTCCCGACCTTGCGATTACGGCGAGCCCCGTCTCGTAAGCTCGGCTGCTTGGAAAAATCCAAAAGTCGGTTTACACCTCACGTAGAACACGACCTACTATCGTGCCCGATAAAATCTCCGGCGATCTCGATCGTATCGCCGGCATCTCACATTCCTTTTCACCGAGGTGTCCTCCCCATCCTCGTGGGCTGGAGCCGTGGTTCCTTTGTGCCATATCGAAGGCCATAATCGGCATAGGGTCCCATCCAAATCCTGGTTAATGGGTTTTAAAAACGCAGCCTCGATCCGATAGCCAATATCGGCCGATAACTGACGGAAGGATCTAGTTAAGGCGATGTGAAAGTGGCACCGAAGAGATTTTGTATATTAAACTTTTCTCCCAACTCGATCCACCGATTAGTTTGTCACTTCACAACGTGAATAGGGAACATACAAGGAAGGTCCTGAAACTCATGAAATTTCATTTCTTTTAAAATTTCTTTATAGGTATTTTAAAAATAGTTTAGAAAAAATGAAATTTCCCGAGTGTCAGGACCTACCTTAGGGTCTGCACATTCGCGTTATAAAGTATGAAACGATTTGAGACACCCAGTTCGTATAAAAGTTTTATGAACGATTGAGCTTTCGGATGCCACTTTCACATCCCCTTAACTTCCAGAAGAGCCTCGAAACGGAGGATAAAAAGCGAGGAGGAGCCGATTGGCAGAAAGAGGTATCCGGAAGTTGGTCGGTCCAGTTCGGGACCCGGTGGTTGCAACGTGGACGTCGAGGGACTTCGGCACCCAACCTCGGAGGGAATTGACGCACCTCCGGTCTCGTTGCGTTACAGGTCGTCCCTAATGGCCGCGAGATCGAGGCTCGAGGTCAGCCGAGACGTAATCGATCCGCCGGCGAGTAAGGCACGTCCGTAATAACGCCGACAGGTCGGTCCTCTTCAACGTGAAACCTCCACGGAGGAGCGTACGATCCTCGGAGAAAGTTCCGAAGGCAGGAAGTGAAGTAGGCCACGACTTTGACCGTTCGCAAGGTCCATACGCCGTCTCCGGAGCTGCACGAGCTGCTGCGAGGCAGCGTTCTGGTGTTTGTTAGGCCACGACATTCGATACTTCGTGGTATCGAATGGTATTATGGGTCGTGATACTTCACCATCGTGGTGTTTGGTAGGCTATCAACCCACGACATTCGATACTTCGTGGTATTGGATGGGATGGATCGTGATACTTCATCATAATGGTGTTTGGTAGGCCACCAACCCACGACACTCAATACTTCATGGTATCGGATGGTATTATGGGTCGTGATACTTCACCATCGTGGTGTTTGGTAGGTTATCAACCCACGACATTCGATACTTCGTGGTATTGGATGTGATGGATCGTGATACATCATCATAATGGTGTTTGGTAGGCAACCAACCCACGGCATTCGATACTTCGTGGTATTGGATGGTATTATGGGTCCTGATACTTCACCATCGTAGTGTTTAGTAGGCAACCAACCCACGATACTCAATATTTCATGGTATCGGATGGTACTATGGGTCTTGATTCTTCACCATCGTGGTGTTTGGTCAGTTCTTCATGGTCCCAGCTGGTACCTGGAAGCATAATTATACCACAGTTGAAATCCCAGTCCACGTGTCTCCAGTTTAACTAGCAGTACTTTACCCTACGATACGATTTAGGATATAAATTCTCCACACAGCCTGAACACTATTTTTCTCTCCAAAATACGACGCGAAGACCGGAGGAGCTAAACTGAGCTGAAAGGAGCGACGATGATACCGTGTATAAACGATTACCGCCCTGCAGTTACCAGTAAATCGGGTAACCACACGTTGGGACCGATGATCACAGGTTGGGTTTGCCCGCGTTAGGATTACTAATATTATCATTTGACTTCTTTAACGTCGTTACAAGACGCCATTAGGAGAAACGATACCTGCCAGCGGTGAACCATGCCGGGAGGAACATCCCTGATGAATGGCATCCACATTGGTGTGTATTGGAGCGGAATCTCTTCCTTTACCTCATTCTCTTCCCCGTTTCGTCGTCGCTCCTTCTCTGCTTTCGCCCCAGGTGAGCGGCGTCGAGTTGTATTCCCCAGAAGAAAGTACTCCTTTACAAATTGCCCGCGCGCCTAAAAAAGAAAAATCCACTAAAACACCAAATCCACCGGAAAGATCTAAATTAACGTTAAATTGATAACGAGCAAGCGAATCGGCCAGTATCAGCGAAACAAGAAGAATCACTCGTAAGTGATTAATTGAAAGCACCTTCAGCGATCCTATAATAGGCGTTATCGATCTCGGTCAGCACGTGCTCTAATAAGAAGCGATAAGGAGCGATTAAGACCCTGGCCCTCGTTCCGCAGGGTCGTCCGCCTTGATCTTCGACGGCGAATTGATCATTGAATTGAATCGCAGGAAATTGACAAATACCCTGAACGACGTGGAGAGCAAAGGTGAACGAATTCGTTAGCGATTACGTAAAGGCTTTCTCCGTTAGGTGAAGACGAAATGCCAGGCGACGGAGGAAAGCACCCGGGTCGACAACACGGGAGCCGAAATCGATTGTGTCGAGAAAATCGAATGGATCGTCCGCGTGTATACTCGAATTGGAACAGCCAGGAAGGAGCGGTGCCAAGGAGGTCGCAAGATGGACGACCCCCCGAGACAAAAGGACGAGCCCAGGGCGAAACGAAAGGACGGCCGTCTCCTGGCGATACTTTCACCGGCGTTCCCTTCAAATCGGCGACTTTCCTCCGAAAGCCCGACGAATCGGCGCATCATCGTCGAGGGCTCCGCACGCTGCAGCCAATTAAATCTTAAGACGGATATAAACCGCGCGAAGGAGGCCTTCCTCCTTAGGGAGTACAGTGAGCCACGTTAATCCGGCCTCATCTATCCGCCCCAAAATTGTTTTCCATTAAACATGTTATCAGAAGAAAACTAAATGTAACGACCATATGCCCTAATCTACTAAACATACGCCTTTACAAATAATCAGAATGAGAATCGGGTTATCCGCTAAGAAAGTAAAAATTTTCTTCGCAGTAGTACGGCTCAAAGGATCGCACTGAATGTAATAAAGGCGCCATTAAATGTACGATATATTGACGATGAAGCAAAGCCCGAACGAATTTCGGAAACTTTGAGGATTGCCGGACATTAATGCCGGAGACTGTACATCACAGGTGCGCGTGCGCACGCGACGCGCCCATACTGCGTCCTATCGGCATGTGGTGAGTGATAATCGCAGAATGGGTCACCGGAACAGCGCCTCTAGCGATTCTCGTTCTCCCTCTTTCTCTTACGCTCGCATAAACGCACGCAGCCGGTCCTCTTTCTCCCTCTCGCATGTACGACTCTTACGCGAGATTCCTTTCACGGGTAAAGATAACTCTCGGCACGTAAACCGGCGCATCGCGATAAATACGGCCGAAAAGGACAATCGAGGGAAACGCGTACTCTAGGAGGTAGGAACATAGGCGCAGGTCGGACGGACATTACCCGCCCGCCACTGGGCGGCATGAACAAGATGGCGGCGGCGTCCCTCGGCGGCAGGGCTCACCTCGCGACGAATAATCGACCTCACGGCCGAACCGCTGGGATTTTCAGGCGGCTCTAAACTGCAACGCGTAGCGCGACATGGCAGGATAGTCCGCCGTCCAAGGATTTTCCTCTAAGCGGCCGGATGACACGAGATTAAGGCAACGAGGTTACGCACCCGTGGTCGGCCTCTACCCGAGAGGACGCCAGGGCCTTCGCTCGATGACCGATCGGAAGATAGTCATTAATCATTATCCTGCACGAGTGGCCACACGAGAGACGCACTAACGACCACCTGCTAGACCCTGGTCGAATAATCGGGTACGCGTACCAGTTGTGCACCGGGTCATTTCACCGCGATTAGGATCAGGTGTGAAGTGTGCTGGGAGCCGAGGAGCCTTCCGTTGCATCACGACGGGGATATCCTCCATGAGTGACGCCGACAGAGAGGTCCGCGTGGGATCTTCTCAAGGATCATCCCGCGTAGTTCGTTGCGCTTCTTCTACAAAGGGGAATCGTCTTATCATCCCGAAGTGGGGGTGTAGACCTCGCACGAGGTGTCCCCGATAATATCGCTGGCTTATCCAAGCTTATCCGTAACTAATTTAATGAGAAAAGGTCAGGTGAAAAGTCGTACCCATGTGGTGGTGGAAAGTCAACGTGTGCACCCCGACCGAGTCCCATTTGGATGAAAAGATGGAAGGCACCTCAGGCAGAACCGGATAAACGACCACGGGGCAAAATTAGGTCTTCGTTCCTGCCCCGTGGCTACTATTGCTTAAAAAAAGAAGGAGATAAGATCTCGGTCAAGATATATTCTCTCACTCTACAACCTGGCCGAGGGAAGTGACATATTTTAACGGCGTAAAAACGACGCCGAGCGTGCTGACGAACCTTGAGTTGTCAAGAGGCAAACAGGTGAAACTGGGAAGCGTCTCGCCCCTCCTTGGATAAAAAATGAATGGACCGGGGAGAAAGACAGGTGTACGAGGTCTTCTCTTCCTCGGTGGTCTCGCGAAAAATGGTGCCTGTAATGTTGAACTTTAAATACTGTCCTTTCTCCTGCCCTTCGTCGCGCGTAATTCGACGCTACCGGTACTAAATAACGCCATATTCGCGTGCACGTGTCCGTTAAATCAAATCTTACAATCCCTTCTTATTTCGGATGCGCCATTCAGACAAGTTGGCATCGCAGAAGAGACGCGGCCAATGCTTCGGTTATTCTCGTCCAGGAATGCGCGTACACCTTGAACTTATTTACCGCCCCTAGTTGGCGACCACTAAATCGATGCGCGGCGAATAAGCGAGAATTTACACCTAATATCGACTCATCTCACATTTTCACTCTCCCGCGGCGCGGTGCATTATGGAATCCCTAACCACCCTCGAGGAAAAACAAAATGGCCGCCGTGTCGCCATAAATTCCGGGGTGGTATTTCCGCCTAACCTAAAATGCCGGGATTGCGACAGTAGTTCCACATTTGCCGATCCTAATTTATCAAAAAATCCAGGCACACGGGAATTCCAAAATCCGCGTTTAATCCTTCATATCTAATATCAACTTCGCACGCGCTTTCGCGAGACAATGTCACGGTCGACGGCACGGCGGTGGAGATCGCGATAAGAAGACTCGCGTACTTTCAGGATATCCTGGGGAAGCGAAAGAAATGAAAACATAGTCTATCGGCCGACCTTGCGCCAGTTATTAATAGGCCTCGAGTGCAGCGTCAATGAATCGTGACCACCCTCGTTATCGTAGACAAGGAAGCGCGATATGAGAGAGTGCAGCGACCAATCCGGCCAGCCGGTGGGCATTCGTCGCCGGTCTATGATTAAATAACCTCGAGATGAACAATCAAAGGTAACGGGATTAACGGGGACGTTGAGTTAGAGGAGAACGATCTGGTTATCTAGCGTTATCTAGAGGCTAGCCAACGGGCGGGTTCAGATGGGCCGCCGAATTGGAGAGAGAGAATCCGGACCCGCGGCGCCTCGTCTTTCGGGCCTCGCGAGCGTCGCGGCGGCGCTCCTCGGTGCGAGTCAGTGCGAGTCGCAGCGCCATCCGACGACCATGCTGACGAAGGCCGCGTCCGCGCCGCTCGCCGTCGCCGCGGCCGGTCGCGTCCTCCGCGAGCCCTGCGCCCGGTGCGTCCGTCGGCTCTCCAATGCGCTCGGCAAGCGCATCACCCGCGAGGCCATGCGAGACAAGTATCGAAAGACCCTGGGCAAGTGTAAATGTGAGTACTCGTCAGCCATGTTGCGAGTCCGCTCCCTTGGGCCGACCGAACCGCGCGCCGTCGCTCTTCTCGCTCGTCTACCGAGGTCCCGCGGCCGCCGCGCAGGGGCGCCACCTGCGCGCGCACCGCTCTCATCTAGCGCCCGCATGCCGCGGGAAAATTCAAACGTTCGAATTACCCTAACTCGAGTTTAATCAGATTAATCTAGGATATAAGTAACTGGTATACTGACGAATGTGATCCGTTTAGCGAAGAAACTGCCCCAGGATGTGAACCCCAGGGGAGTGTTCGCGTGCAACGAGCTCGATCTTAAAGAAGTCCAGGTGTACGGCTTCGATTATGACTACACCCTGGCCTGCTACAAGCCCGCCATGGACTACTTGCTGTACAACCTAGGACGCGACATGCTTATTAGGAAATATAAGGTAAAAAAGAATGGCATGTAGATTTCATGACTTAACCTCTACCTGGAATTTTACCCTCTGAGTTGGACGGCTAAATCGCGGTTGTTTTATTTCAGTATCCCGAGGAAATCGCCGATCTAGAGTACAGGGACAACTTCGCGGTGCGCGGTCTGCACTACGATATTGAGAAGGGTTTACTCCTTAAACTGGACGGTTTTCTGCAGATACAATTGGGCACGGTTTATCGAGGTCTACAGCCCGTTCCCGATGAAGAGGTCTTAAGGCTTTATAAAAATAGGATAATTCCAATCGCGTATGTGGAGGCACCACACAAGCACACGCACGTAAGTTCGAGTTCTGTCCTCTAAGGAATGAGAAAAGGGTTCGATTCCTGATAATTGAACGTGGGATATGCGAGGAGATTAGCACGAAGCATGCACCCTGGTTCCCTGGGATAGTGGAACGACGTGGACCCGGAGAATAAATGTACCATGTTATAAATAAATACTTATTCGTTACGTGTTATCGTGAGAAATGCACATGTAAGGTGATAATCCATGTGAATGTTTGTTTTGTTGCTTGGGTGATCATGCTTGTCTCTGAAAATGACTGGGTTACCTTTCACGAGAACCAGAAGGTAAGCTTGAAGCTTACGAGAGCTTGGACAGTGAAGAGTTATTCAAAATCAAAGGCTGTTTTTTTTTAGGATGGGATGCAACGGACGAAGATGGTGCAACTGGCCGACCTCTTCTCGGTTCCTGAAATGGGATTGCTCTGTAACGTCACGGAGTACTTTGTCAGGAATCATATTGACTATCACCCAGAGATACTCTTCAGGGACGTGAAGGTAATGCAATTCAGCCCTGTATAATGAAATAGCGATTAAAAATTTTCAATCAATTTATCTGCCAGAATTCCGTGAAGATGTGCCATCCGGTGATGCATCAGAATGTCGCAGAAAACGTGTCCGAGTATTTAGAGCAGAATCTGAGTCTCAGAACATTTTTCGATCGTCTGAAGGATGCCAAGAAGCAGATGTTCCTGGTGACGAATAGCCCATACCCCTTTGTGTGAGCATCGACGCATGGCTTGCATGGTGCAAGTAACTGAAATTAAAGATAAAATGCATTTTTTTAGGGACAAGGGTATGAGGTTCCTTCTAGGTGACGACTGGAAAGCCTACTTCGATGTGGTGATCGTCCAGGCCAGGAAGCCAAGATTCTTCACGGAGGAGTCTCGACCTCTCCGGATTTACGACGAGGTCAACCAAACACAATTATGGGATCGCGTGACGAAGCTGGAAAAAGGTGTCGTGTATCTCGAAGTACGTTCGGCCCTTTGAATAGAATCAGTGCCGAATAATTATGCAACAATATTCTCATTTATTCTTTTAAGGGCACCGTGAAACAATTACAAGACATGACCGGGTGGCGGGGTCATCAAGTACTGTACTTCGGTGACCATCCTTACAGCGATTTAGCTGACGTTACTCTAGAGCATGGATGGAGGACCGGAGCAATTATTAAAGAACTTACTGTAAGTCAAGGAAACTATCATTTCAATTTCTTTCCATTCTATAATCCTAAGGACTTGTCTTTATCTTAATTTCAGCACGAAATCGAAACGTTAAACGATCCTAAGTTCAAAGAGAACGCGAACTGGCTGCAAATGTTAACTGGACTTATCGAGGACAATCAAGATTACGAGGGAGAGGAAGCTCAGGCCCAGCTGGCCGAATGGATGAAGGAAAGAGACGAGCTGAGGGACGCGATTAAAAGGGTCTTCAACAAACAATTCGGCTCGGTTTTCAGAACGTATCACAATCCGACGTACTTCTCCCGCAGACTCTTCAGATTCGCCGACATTTACATGTCGTCGATCACCAATCTCCTCGGCTACTCGACTACTCATACCTTCTACCCCAGAAGAGGCGTAATGCCGCACGAGTACATCAGTTACTTCATGTAAAGGTCGAGGTCTCCAAGTATCCACAAGTATCTGTCGAAGCTCAGAGTCAAGCTCTGAGAAAGCTCTGCAATGCTAGTTTCTCCTACAACAAAATTCTAGGTTATGTTCCGAGTGGTTTCCGGTTCTTCCATTTTCCCAATAACCACGAAGAGTTCATCCCATTGACAATATCGTTGGAATTAAAAGCAGCTTCATATGAAGACTCGAGAAGCTTATTATCAGGATTTGTCATCGGGTTGCAATCTGTCATATCGTGCACTTCCCAATATTCGACCTTCTACACGTATAAGAACATTCTTCTATTTTAGAACATATCCCGCAAGAGTGTTCAATCAGCAAAGAGAAGCCAGAGAGCCACGTGGTTCTTACATAGTTGCTATATATTTTATCAGAGAGTAACGAGATCTAGACATATGCAATTTAACCGTTAACTGTAATTATGTGAACACATCGTATAAGAGAACAGAGTGCCATAAAGCGTAGTATTTAGGCAAAGTGAATTTTCGAAGCGACTTAGGTCAGTCAAAATTAAACCAGTTCGCTAGGTAGCGTAGAAAGTCTTGTAAGTGCAAAAGGAACCGAAGCTTCGGTGTTATCCTTCACTATACCAAGAGATCTGAATTTTTTGCCTTTCGCCTTGTAAACTCCTGACAGGCTTCCAAGACGCGATGTTTATCCTAGACAATATAAGTATTAGATGTTCCTAGAAATATGTGATCGAGTTGAAACTTAGAACTTTATCGATGAATCATGGACGTAGCCAACGTAAGAGTACTGGAGATTTTTTCGCTTTATAGACTTAGGAATCTATCGTAAACGTTAATACAATGTGCCAGATTTTGCTGCAACGAAAACTGTTATATATCCGAGAGTATTGCATATTTATCGATGGAGATGAACATCATATGAATGTAAATCATTATTTTTACTAATGTTGTACGTCGCCTGTGCTGGCTTATCATGTAAAAAAATTGTTAACCCTCCGAATTCGATTTACATAGAATTTTATTCGTATATCTCATTCGACATGTGGTATTTAATTATCTTTACACGTGGCTTAGTTATTTTACAAAATTCACTCCTGCGTTTTTACTCTTTCAGTAAACATGCCGAATGATATTTAGATTGAAATAAATATACACTTACACAATGGAAGATCTTACCTTTTTAAAACAAATGTGGATATGGAAGTCACTTGTTTTTCTTTTCTTTTCTGTGGATGCAAAAGCTTCAAAACAAGACATTTTCATTGGAACTGCCTGTGACTGCTAATAGACCATTATGACTTGGGACGATATCAAACCAAAGGCATCGGTGCCTTTATTCTTAGCCATTGCTCTGTGCATGTACTTTGCAGATAAATATTCGTAAAAGACAAAATATCTATTAAGTCATCTTTAAAAAGTGAAAAGGTATGCCCTAAAATTCCTACTATTTGACGTTAATCTCTTTCGCTTGTATAGTCACCGTTTAATGCAATGTGAATAAATTTTGTAGTTGGAGAATTTGCCGTCCCAGAGTCAACACATGGTGGTTATAAATGAACCGATTAAATCCTACAGTACCAAAAAATCAAAATCCTCCTTTGGCTTGCACGAGCACGAGCAAACAAGAACAAATCGATGATATGATACGTCAGGCTGACAGTACACAAACTACTAATATGAAGTCATTCATTTCGGACGGTGACGGCATGCAAAGTATAGTGATGGATGTACCACCAATGGAAGCATTGTCTTGTCTTGAAGTTAGTGGAATTGTTACCGTTCTCCAAGAATACCTCGACTACCTGAAATTATTGCAATATGTTATACCGGCAGCCATTGAGGAGCGCTGGGATTATAGCTTTAAAACAGTAAATGAAAAATATATGGTACCTCAAGAACCCAGTACTATCTACCACGAAGACATGGGACTGCTGCCTTTGATACCGACGATCCCTGAGAAATTACAAAAAGACAGGTTTCTATAGAAAATGAATGCCTTTATAAATCTTATAGGAATTCTGTTTCCAAGTGGGTACCTCTCTTTTGTAGGACATACATTTATAGAGTTTTGAGTGAAACAGCCAAAGAACTGCTAGAGAGTGGGAAATTTTTTAAATTAGAAACCGAAATTGACAACATCGCGAGGCTACAGGAGGGTGAGCACGACCTGGAGGTGAATTGTCAGATTTGGTCGAGCCAAGTGAAACAGCTGGAAGATTTATTAGAATCCACCAGAAGAGGCAACGTAGAGGAGAAGAAAAATTATATAGAGATAGGACAGAAAATGAGCGCGGAGGTCGACAACTCGATATTTCTTAACGGAGCAAAACTAGGTATGGCATGGAATCATTAGATGGTAATCGCAAACGACTAAACATTACAATATTATTCCAGGATACATAGAAAACTGGGAAGAAGCAAGGTTGCAGCAACAAGAATTAAAATTAAGCATGAAAGAGACGGAGTTGCTTAACCAGATGAACGAATGCACCAAAATGGAGGCTGCCGATCAGATCATTTCAGGCGAAGTGCAAGCGTACCTAAAAGTTAACACGAAAGACATGGAAGACGACATAATGATGTGGAACAGTCGGTACAACGAAGAGCTCGAGCGAAGGGAGCAAGAGATCTCCGATTTTAAAGTAACTATGACAGAATGTAAATTTAATTCTCGATGCCAAAAAGTCAAGACCACGTTACACCTCATGTTCCCTAAACTAATGGTCCTCTCAGGAGCAAATAGACGCCCAAAAGGTGGTCCTTCATAATCTCTACGCCCTGCGGGAAGAGCGGCAGGTCTTCATCGACGAGTGTTACGCAGAAAAGGATCGGATTAAACGAGAGGAAAAATATTGGCTCGCGGTCCACGCAGCAGCCACAAAAATCCAGTCAACATTCCGAGGACACATGGTGAGACATGAACTGGGGCAATACAAGGGTCTCCAATCCTGGCTTCGGAAGCGTAAGAGGTTAGCGGCAGCTGCGAAGAAGAAGCGGGAAGCCTGGGAGAAGAAAATGGCGAAAAAGTGGGGGAAGACAACCCTGAAGCGGGTAAAAAACGTCGTAGACCTTGACTAACATTCCCGAATAACCCCCCACTCTGTTCGTACCAAGTACCCTTAGTTTTACTTATGAATTAATCAACTAACTTTAAAATAATCATTGTCATTCGTTATTTTCACCGATTGCAACCGCAAACCTGTTCTCATGAAAACTGTGTGCACGAGAGAAACGCCGTCGGATTGGTCGCGAAGCGACGTTGAAGGCGAGGGTCAAGTTACGCCTCGCTTAGTACCGAGCGGCGCCGCAGATGGCGGTAGCGCAACGTTCAGTTTGCGGCGACGACGGGTGGTGATTCAGGATCCTTATCCGTGCGTGTCCGTGCGAGCGAACGGGGGGGCGAGGAGGTAAAAAAAGGAAAGGGCCGCTCTCGGGAAGACCGAAAAGATGAAGTGCCGCCGATAGGGACGCCCCAGCGTGGCCCAGAGCGCCCGTCCCGACGACGAGAAGCTCCCAGGTGCGAGTCGGCGGAATCCCTCGGTCCTCGAGCCGAAGGGTGCACTCGGAACTCCAATTTCCTTCGCTCGGCGGCGCGCGCGTGTGGATGCGGTCGAGGAGGGTGTCCCGCACGACGGCTGTGCGCGAATCACGCTTCCCCGAGGTACCCGCCGAGTCCCGGTCGCTTCTCGCCGATCTCCGTCCGCGGCGTCGACGCCGCCTCCAGGAGCGGACGCATCGATCGTCCTCGCCGAGCCAGAAGCCAGCTCGATTCAGCGATTCTCCTCGCCGATGAGCGGTGCTCGACCCTCGGACGAGGGAGTACGTACCCGATTTTAGATCCACTCGACGCTACGAGTCCGCTTTCGCTTCGGCAAAGTATTCCAGAAAGAGGGGAGACCAAGCTCACGGGTGAATGCTAGTTCACACTCGGAGGAAGGAGCGCGATATTTTATTTTTATTTCTTCTGGGAAGGCTGCCGGAAAACGCTAGCCTGTCGTCGTTTTGGCTGGTGTCTCCGCAGCGGAGGAGCAAAATAGGAGACGGAGCATGGTCGGAGGCAGCCCCACTGGAGCGTGAAGAGTTATTGTGGCGAGGCTCCGGAAGGATAGGACGAAGGTTTGCAGATGGACACGACTTGTTCGGATGGATCAAAAGGTAGCGGAGAATGCCGATCATAGGCTGGCGGTATTTGCAGCTACGCTATTTCCTTTGCTCGGGACCGGACGCGGTCGGGACTCCGATTCAAGGAATTTCTTGCTACTTTAGCGACGCTACCAACTATAGGTAGTAAAAAAATTTGTAAATTGGTCGAATTCGGTCCATGGACAGTGGCCGAGGGAAATTAGAGGTCTGGATAGAATTGTTTCTAGAACGCCACACTTAGGATACTGACTATCTACAAGATAGTACGTCACGACGACGAAGAGGACGGTAATCTCTCGTCGATACGGAGTAAACGCGTAAAACGCAGCAACGCAGCGACGGAGGGTAGATCGGCAAGAAGGGATCAGGAGTAGGAGTACCGTCATGTCGGACGAAGAAGACAAACCACCCGCACCACCGGTTCGACTCACCTCAAACAGGTATTGGCAGACGATTTGTATTGTTACTAATATTCTATGGAGCAAAGAATTCTTACCATTTCATGAGACAGAAACTAGGGAAGCGTCTATCGTCAAACGTTTCCAAAGAACACGGAGGACTATCTCCCCTTTGTTCTGTTTCTAACATGATATACCGCATAAGAGCAAGGTACCCTAAATGAATAACCACAAGACAGTTTTCTTAGAGTAAAGTCTCTCTTGCGCTGCCTACACCTCACAACTTAGATTCGCGGTCGTTTCTTTGCAATAAGCCGTGGGCCTGCCGTCACCCAAAAATAGCGGAAGAGGCCGCTAATTTAGCGGTCGCTAAAAATAAAATCTCACGGGACAGACACCATAATATTCAAAGGCGGAGGCCGTCCTTAAAAATATGTACGACTGTCTGGCATGGAAAATGCAGTGACCTGCCCGTTTAGTATACATTATTTATTAACATAAAGGTTCTACTTTTGTCGCACCCACGAACATCCTTAAAGATTAACACCACTTCGGTATGATCAGTCAGATCATTATTTAAGAATCTGATTACCAGGGTTATTTTCTTTGTAATATATTGTAAAAATGTATGAATTATATATACCGCGGCGTAAGACTAAAATGAATTTTGATCTTGCAGAGGTGAGTCGACACCCAACCTGCCTGTAGACATGCGTCCACTACCCAAGGAGCCAGAGTCGGAAGAACGAAAGAAGAAGACCCTTAAGGGGAAGATTAAGGTCAAGGAAAATAAGGACAAGCCCAATATCAGTTATCCTACCAACTTTGAACACACCGTACATGTGGGCTTCGATGCTGTCACCGGCGAGTTCACGGTAGGTCTGCCTATTGTGGATGGACCTTTGTTTAAAGTGCACTCGCTTGCTGCTTCGCCTGTTGTACCACGGTGCGGAATATCCAAGCACAGAAAGAGAAACAAACGTTTGAAATCTAGCGATCTAATGCTGGATGACGAGGAAAGCCATCGAGGTGTCACTTGTCTATCGGTCTGAACGAAAGTTGACTTTAGTCTCAACTGATTCTGCTGATCCACTTTAATGTGCACAATTTAGAAATTAGCTAGTTTCTTGTGCTGACTGCATTGCATTGGATTGCTTAACGCATCATGTACAACTACCACATCATAGAGGTGTTGTGTCTACGTAAAATTTCCTTAACGAGATGAGCGAGACTACTTTATCGTAGATTCATAAACTCCAAGGAGACAAAAATGGCAAAACAGAATACATGATACTCGATAACATGTAGCCAGATCATTTGATCGCTGTCACTAGCTTTGCAGTACCTATTAAATGCATGATGCTGTACAGTGGAAGTGTGCAATGCACGATTTCTTCCGTAGTTTCTTATACATCGATGAATATACCTCTACACAAGAATATCAAAAATGTAGGATCATATGATCGTTGACAGGATAGACTATGCTTTTTTTACATCGATGAAGAAAGGGGCCCATTTTTTTTTTTCTCTCATTCGCAGACCGATACAAAGCTGTAGTTTTGACTTCCTCTCGTGGTCCAGCATAGATAAAATTTCTACGAACTGCTGGATTTCTCGTAGCCAATTGGTCCGAGAGAAAATGTACTGGACACATTTTTTTTCTCTTTCTCTCTCTCGCGTACATACCGACACTGTGATTTACAGTAACTCAAAGAGTTCTCTCTATACGCTTCTTATTACCTATTATTTTTCTCACGTGAAAGACTAACTCGTACACGTACTTTTTTTCAAGCTGCCGTTGAAAGTAAGTAAAATCCAAGTGACTCCCAGACAAAAGTTAGTTTGTCCTGACCTTTCGTTCCCTGGTTTCATCGAAAGGTCTCATTCAGTTGTACCAGTTAGTTTCTGTTGCGGTTGACAAGTAATATCGAGTGTGAAACACTTCCCTTCCCTTCGTTACCTTCTATTCCCTGAACATAGAGTATCGTCACAAGTCTTAGTTGCTTCCGTAGAAGTGTTTGCACTTTAAGCTTTCGTCGACGTTGCTTACGATCTTGTCGCCTGTCCGCACGAGGGAAATTGCTCTCCGCTTTACCAAACGAATCTATTAGCCAATTGGCCTGACTTAGCATTCCATTAAACTAGGCAAATTTTTTAAAAACATGAGATCGACTCCTTAGGAGATATAGAGCTCGTATCCTTTTTCTGGAGAGCTTCAGCGGAACAGTGGACACCAAGGAGATCTCCTACTCCAACGATAGATCAACCACCCGAGTCCAGCAGATTTAATATTTTCTTCCTACCAGTTTAGATAGTCGAAAGATCTTCTCTAATAAAAAGATATTCGACCTCTAGAGAATGCCGAAACGAGGATGCATGCTTTACATAACAATGATCTATGCGACAATAGATAAACTATTATAAATGGTATCGGGTCCCAGCAAGAGACATTCTCTCCACCGAACCACAGACTCCTGTAAATCCCCTCACCAGTTTCAGATCATTCGAAGGACCATTCTAACGTAGAATTAGCCAGTCGATCACCAATACCCATAATAATTTCTCTAGGTCGCTCGATCCTGAATAATAATTAATGTCTCAGGGGATGCCGGAGGCTTGGGCGAGGCTCCTGATGTCCAGCAACATCAGCAAGCAGGAGCAGAAGAAGAACCCACAGGCGGTGCTGGATGTCCTGAACTGGTACGACAACAGCAGCAAGGAGGCGAAGGGATCCAAGTACATGACGACGACGAAGATGGTGGGAGTAGTAGGTTAGTAGTGGCGAAGTCATCCTCTAGACGGGAGTTCGTACAAGGAACCATCGAAAGGTGCCCTGGTCGACCCTTATTAACATCACCACTTCCTTCAGCGCCGATAGAAAGAGCAAGCAGTCCACGAAGCATGGGCGTTGGAATAGGCGTCGGGATGGGGAACGTCCGCGCCCAGGCGATGTCCCAGGCGTCCGGTAGTTCCCATTCTCAGCACTCCCTGAGCAGGTTCGCACTATCCCTAGCACCTGAAACTCGCGACGATGCCTATAATATATTTTTTTTAATAACATCTATCATCGACAGAGTGAGCAGTAGTCCGAGCAGTACACCGACAGACGCCTGCGCGACAAGTTCCGAGCAAGAGGACGAACCACCACCGCCGCCGATCGCGCCGAGGCCCGAGCGCACGAAGTCCATCGTAAGTACCCCTTTTTTCCCCGTCAGGACGATATTTCGTTATTTCGACGTCATCGAAATAGTGAAATATCGGCCTCAGGGTATGTAAGATCAATCGTTTAATCATAATCCCGGGTATCAGTACACGAAGCCCATCGAGGAGGAACCGCCGCCGCCGTCGTTGCCGACATCGCTAGGATCGCCGCAACGGAACGGCACGCCTCAGCAACAGCAACAGTCCCAGCTTGATAGAAATAAGAACCAGACGACCCCAACATCCACGACGACCGACCAGTCCAGGCCCGCCCAGAGCGACAAGGCGAGGAAGAAGAAGATGTCCGACGACGAGATACTGGAGAAGCTGCGGACGATCGTCAGCGTCGGAGACCCCAACCGAAAGTACACCAAAATGGAGAAGATCGGCCAGGGGTAAGAGAGAACGGCCTTAGCCGGTATCTCGTGGTAGGAAACGTCGGTCACAGGAGGAAGGGAAGGGCTCAATGCTCGGGTGTCGGTTTCCAGGGCTTCCGGCACGGTCTACACGGCGATCGAGACGTCGACTGGAATGGAGGTCGCGATAAAGCAGATGAACCTCTCCCAACAGCCGAAGAAGGAGTTGATTATAAACGAGATCCTGGTTATGCGGGAGAACAAGCACCCTAACGTGGTCAATTACCTGGACAGCTACCTCGTGGGCGAGGAGCTCTGGGTCGTGATGGAGTACCTACCCGGGGGCAGTCTAACCGACGTCGTCACCGAGACCTGCATGGACGAGGGCCAGATCGCGGCCGTCTGTCGGGAGGTACTGCAGGCCCTCGAGTTCCTCCACTGCAACCAGGTCATTCACAGGGACATCAAGTCGGACAACATCCTGCTGGGCCTGGACGGCGGGGTCAAGCTCACCGACTTCGGCTTCTGCGCCCAAATCTCGCCGGAGCAGAGCAAACGCACCACCATGGTCGGCACGCCTTACTGGATGGCCCCTGAAGTGGTCACGAGGAAGCAGTACGGCCCCAAGGTACCCGAGAATGACGATCTCCAGAGAAACTAGGTAAGCTTTGAATCATCCTCCTCGAATCAACGATTCTCGGTCCGCAGGTCGATATCTGGTCACTGGGTATAATGGCAATCGAGATGATAGAGGGCGAGCCTCCGTATCTCAACGAGAACCCTCTGAGGGCGCTCTACCTGATAGCGACGAACGGCAAGCCGGAGATCAAGGAGAAGGAGAAGCTCTCCGGGATCTTCCAGGACTTTTTGGACCAATGCCTAGAGGTCGAGGTGGAGAAGCGCTCGGCGGCCTCGGAACTCCTGAAGGTTCGTATCCCCATATCGATAGCTCCTTAAGCTACTCCGGTAGAAGGTCCACCCTAACACTCACGACGGTTCTCTTGATCGACAGCACCCTTTCCTGAAGCTCGCCAGGCCACTGGCCTCCCTGTCGCCTCTGATCATGGCGGCGAAGGACGCGGCGAAGGGTCACTGAGCTCCGCCCTCGACCTTCGCCATCAGGTGAAACGAAAGGTACGGCGTCCCCCTCCTGGCACGCGAAGAGGTCAGGGCTCGAACAAACGATAAATAAGAATCACCCTCCCAAAACGGTAACGGCACAATAATTCAATAATATATGTAATGAATGAATAACGTATACATATATATATATATATATATAAATCTATAAATAGGCGATAGCTAGGTAGAGAACCGAGTCCGCGGCGTCGGCCCGGAAGCGGTTTAAACAGAGATTTTTAAAGGTCGGAGCCTCGCGCCTTGTCGGGCGACCTTGAGCGATACCTCGTGCTCTTCGTCCTCGAGTGAAGGTGGCCACCTTCGGATAGGGTTCACCCCCGAGGAGAGCTCGCGGTTATTTTCTAAAGATACGCGATACTAGTATTACGCCGACCAGTGGCCGGAGAGTTGCTCACCGCCACCCTAGAGGATCTTCCCCGGACTTGAAGAGGAACCTCCGGACGCGGACGAAGACCCCCTCGACTCCTGCAATCTTCCTTGCGTTCGCAAGGGAAAATGAAGATCCACCTCTACCCGCCGATAGGGCAGGGAAAGGGTTGAAAGTGTAGAGGAACTCGCCATGCGAAGTCAACGTGGCTATTGACCGGAGCTACGGGGACGCTCTTCCTGGTGAGCCCCTGGGGATTAACGTTAAGGGAGGTGTGGAAGTGGCATCCGAGGGGGTACTCGTTCAGAAAATGTCTGTAAAGGTATTTAAAAAAAAAAAGAAGAACATTCAAATCCCATGGGCCTTCCTCAGGGCCTCAGTGTTCACGTTGTAGAGTCCCATGCGATTCGGTGCGCTCGGTTTCGTGAAAGGCATCGCGGATGGCACTTTCGCACAACCTTAACCTCCTAGACCGAAGCTCAACCTCTAGATGCTGACGATTCACCTTAGTTTTCTAATTGGGAGCGATCGGGAGCGATCGGACCGCGCGACCGCCTCGAGGAGGTCGCCGGGCGAGTACCGCGAGATAAAGGTTATTTTTTTATACGAGCTTTGCTCTTTATATATATTTAAAAAAGAAAAAACAATAATAAAATAAAATAAAGGCAACGCTTTCCGCGTGGGGTCCGAGCGGGCCCCCAGACCTAGAGCAACCAATGGCTACGTTGACATCCTCTTCAGGACTCGAAACCGCGGTCGACTCTCTCCCCCGGCCCTCGAGGTCCTCCCTTCAGGGTCCTCGAATAGTCCGGGGGGGAAGTCGAGCGAGAATTGATTTCTCTTCCGATAACTTAGTGTCGTTTTCCCTCGAGGTCGGGAGCTAACGTAAGGACAGAGAGATAGAGATAGAGAAAGAGAGAGAGAGAGAGACATACACTCACGCATGAGATACCTATTCCGACATAGGTATGTCTATATATAAGTATATAAATAAATATATATATTATTAACGCGTTTGTGACAAGAAAGCGAGCGAGAGAGAGAAATAGATATATATAGAGAGAGAGTGTGTGTGAGAAATTGTAGCGAAAGTGAGAAGTCGGGTTTTTCACGGCGGGCTTATATTTTTGCGAGCGAAATTTCACGGGTAGCAGGAAAAAATTCGCCCCCCACACCCCGGCGAGCCTGATTAGATTCGATTTGATCGATCGACGGAAACGGTCCGATCGTTCCGAGATAACGATTAGGTTCGCACCTCCTGCGACAGTATTATATAAACACGCGCTTCTTTTTAAGCGTCGCGGAGCCGGCGAGGGTGGAGCCCTTCGAAGCTTCCCCAAGGGATGGAAAAATCCGCGCCCTGAAGTCCACTAGATCCCCTTGTAAAAAAAGAGTCAATTAACGCGTATGCCCTCGTTAGAGAAGCCGGGACTCGATTAGGAGACGGGTTTAAGCGGCCTTTAATTCCGCCTGCGGAAGGTGTATGACACCCGGCCGACATTTGGTCCACTATTGCCTGCACGGGCTCGGGAATTTCGCCCATACGTCGGTAGGGCTCAGCGACACGAGATAATAAGGGGACGAGTGAACGTTCCTCTCGCACGTCGAAGTATGTCCTATTTTCTATCGATGTTCCCGCTTTCGGGGGAGAGTTATTTTTCTCTTTTTCTCTTTAGTCGAAGTCTTTTATTCGACGACCCGCTCCCGTCGACGGAGTATTTATGAAAGTATTTTTCACGACCCCCTGTTCATCGCCGTATTGCTTTTCATCCCTTTCTAGGGATTCTTCATATATTTTCCAGCGATTTCTACCGACTTTTTAATTAATTTTTTAATTTATTTTTATCGACGATCCACGGACGCGCCCCCGTCGACGGAGTGCCTATGAAAGTATTTTTCACGACCCCTGTTCATCGCCGTACTGCTTTTCATCCCTTTCTAGGGATTCTTATATTTTCCAGCGATTTTTACCGACTTTTTTTTTATTAATTGTTTAGTTCATTTTTACCGATTTTTACTGAACGCGTTTACACGGTCCCGCTTAGAGAGAATTAAACTCGGAGGCGTAAATTCTCGTTCCATCTCACCTTCGGCTCACCCTCGCCCGTTCTCCATCGCTCTTCATGGTAGACACCCGGCTCTATATACGTATACACGTATACACATATACCCCGCACCGCGTAATCGGCTTTATCTCCCGTTTTTCTTTCCTCCGCCGATCCGCGTCCGCACCTCAGCGTAGAACGTAAGTTTCGAGACCGCTGAAACGCCTTAATTTACCCGGACGACAAGAAATGTACTGTACAGCGGGAACGTAAGAAGATGAAGAAGAAGAGGAAGTCCGAGGACGCGTCTTCGGTTCTTCGAGGAAGAGGCGGGCCGAGGTCGTCTCGACCCCGAAGACCCCCGGGATCCCCTCGAGCGCATTTTTATACGTAACTCCTTCCCGCGTGTCTCCCTCGAGGTGTATGATAAAACCGACTAATCCGTATCTCCGCGCAATCCCCTTCGGGGCGAGACCTCTCGCCTCTTGCCGAAGAGAGGAGGGCCCTGTACCAGGGAAACCTCGAGGTCGGTAGGCGCGTAGCTTTTCCCTTAACGACACTATAAAGTGCCTGGTCTTGTCACGACTAATAGACGACGTGTGCGTGAGAGAGTGATAGCGAGCGATAAGGCGAGAGAAGGGAACGGAACGAGGGTGGCAGCGAGAAAGGGAAAGAAAAAAAAAAAAATGATACGATCCCGGGCCGCCTCTTCAGGGTGCGTCGAGAGAAGAGAAAAATCCCATCGAACCAAAGAAACACCCCCTCGATGCAAAGAATAACTTCATTCGACAGGGATACATTTAATGCAGCGTTTAATTCGGATTATGACAGTCTATTAGAATGATCCATCAGGTGAAATTAATCCCCTCAATTAGAATCATTTCTTTGGTTCAATGGACAGGGTGTACCTTGGGGTAACTTAGAAATTGCGGTCTTCTTCCTCGTTTCTCTCCCCTTTCTCTAACGATCCCGTGACGTAAGCGCGGCTCCCGAGGCTTCTCCGGGTTACCCGAGGGCCCTCGGGAGGGTAAGACGAAGAGGAGGCTGAAGGGGGACTCGCGCCGACCTCGACGTCGGTCCCGCGGTGGGACCCCGCCCGCAAGGTGCGAACCTCTTCGGGGGTCGTCGCCGAGGGCCTCGCGACGGCGCACAATTAATTAGTCCTAACCACTGTGTAATTATTACCGAGATACGAAGCGGACTCGCCCGAGGCCGGGCCTCGCGTCTATATAGGTATAGCGAGAAGAACCGCCAAGGTCGTTGGATATACGTGTAGACCTCGAGACGATTTACCGCGCCGCCATCTTGGATTGCCGTTTCGCTTAATCCATGTAAATTCCTTCTTAATTTACCTCTTAACCACTTGCGCTTGGATTTAATTTTCGGTTGCCGTGCCGCGCTCTACAATATAACATCCGTACAACATACCCTATCGATTCTGAAATATTTCCAAGATATCGATGACGCTACGCGATGTCGTGCACTCTGGAACTGTAGCTGGAATAATGAACGATCCAACTGTTAGCCGACGTGCCGGACACGTCGATTTTGTTTCTGCGAGAAATGCCTAACGACGTGGTATACATGTCGCTGGCAGTTTTGGAACAAAAGCATCTCGACGTGCGTGGCACGTCTTTATAGCGCAAGTGGTTAATCCATGTAAATTTGTTCTTAATTCATCTCTTAATCCATGTAAATTCCTTCTTAATTCACCTCTTAATCGATGTAAATTAGGAAGGAAGAGAAAAGGCGTCCCTACTTTTCCCTCGCAATACCCTCGCCTACAAGATCAAGTCCATGGGTCCCAACGACCATGGTGGTACGGCACGATGCATGTCTGGTAGTCAGTAAGGATGTAAACGCGCGGCTCGACTTTCGCACCTCCGGTCTCCGTTTCCACCGGCGCGCAGCGTCCCGGTGGTTCCCCGAGAGTCCCTGGAGGAACGAGCCTTCTCGAGGACGCCACCTACTCTCGGAGCGGAGACGAGAGGACCTCCGGCCTACCGGACGCGGATTCCGCGCCTCCCGGGGGGTCGAAAAGCCTCTCCTAGGACGAGGAGGACGCGCGACGAGTCGGCGAGCCGGCGACACGGGGGCGACAGGTTAAATAACGAATCGTCGTATAAGAGTAATGCCTAGAGGTTTTTTCCGTATACGTTATATTGTAACTCCCTTCAGTTTGTTTTGAGACGTTATAATATAAGGAAAACATTTTATAACAATGAGCGCCTCCGCCTTACCTGGGCGCAGAAGGTGCGCCCCCATTTTCCCCGCTTCCCGTTTCGACGATTTATTAATCGATTCTACTCGACGTTAAAAAAAAGGAAAAAAAAAGCCTCGTTCCGCCCTTGGGCCATTTAACACGAGGTACGCTCCGATGGTCGCGCATTCGTTACCATCCTCCGAGTGTTAATTAATTTAATTAATTCAATTAATCCTTATCGGCCGCTCGACGCGCTCCCTGACCATGCGACACACATTTTCGGCGGTAGGGACGATAACCCTTTTTTTTTCCTTCTTTTCCTTATTCGATCTCTACAGTGCTTCTTACTCTAAACGTTGGCTTAGGCGATCTGCGTAGTTTTTTCTTTTTTTCTTCTTCTTTTCGTTACCCTCGTTACTGCCGAAACTAGTCAGACTCTCGTTACTTTAAAGGGACGTGAAAAGTGGCATCCGAAAGCTCAATCCGGTGTAATGACAAAAAGACAATAGGAAGGAAATATGAAAATTAGTCAGCACGCCCGCGGTTAGATCCGAACTTGAGACAAAGGACGATAAAAAATGCCGACGGAGTCGCTGCTTGGACCTACGCCGAGCTCGAGGCGAAGAAACGGAACAACGTACGATTTGTTGGGGAAATTCCCTTGCTTCGAGGCCTAACTTACAGAACTAATTTCGAGGCCTAACTTAAATAATTAACTTCAAGGCCTAACTTAAAGAAGTAACTTCGAAGCCTAACTTAAAGAACTAACTTCAAGGCCTAACTTAAAGAACTAACATCGAGGACTAACTTAAAAAACTAACTTCGAGGCCTAGCTCCCAGCTTAGCGGACAAATCGTCGGAACTCGAGAGAACGACCTCCTCGTCTACGAGGAATCGAACCCGAGATATCCTCCCTGAACGCGTCCTCACCCGAGACTCCGAGACGCGCATTCTCGGATCCCATAATTGTAATAAAAAATATATATATATAATATGCATATGCGTGAATATACCCTACCGCTCATACATTCGGGAGTGCCTTCCGACATTGACAATGGCATTTAAACAATCCATCGGCGCATCTCTTGGTCCACTTACGCCCGGGAATTTCCATCGGGAGTAGTTTCCTTGCGAAACGGAATGTTTCCCTCATACACGAGCGGTACCGTATACATATATTAATATATAATCTGATATCGGAAGCGTACTCTCGACGGTCCGCCGAGAATTAAATAGATTCATCGAACCAAAGGAACATCAAAGTCGATTCTAAGACTAATTAATTCCAGTTTAATCGAGTGAATTCGCTGAATTTAAGGTGAAGTGAAACACGTAAAACTTGATCGACGTCGATAAAGAAAATTTTTCTAAATGCCCACGTTGCCGACGTTGGTTTTTATATTGACAGCTGGGTCGAATTATATTGGGTATTGTACCAAATGGCATACTCCACCTGTCGTTTTCGTACAATAAATATCGAGAAATCGAAGTCAAACTCCAGAAATCCTCTGGATTCATGCTTTCTGGGGCCCTAATTGACTACAGAGGGACCCCCTGCGCCATCTGTGATTTCCAGGTCAATTAAATTTTCACTCCGAGACCTCGTATTACCATCGTTTTGGCATAGAAGCGCATACAACACTTTTTTTGCCTTTATCCCGTTCAAATGCGAATTTACCGACTACCAAAGTGTTCTAAATTGTCGTAAAATTGTCCTGACCCTTTCGTTTCTCATATCAGAGCCTTCGATAATTGTATATCGATCGAAATATGGGAGCTCGACGCCATTTTGTTTCTGGTCTGTCCTGAGTCAAAGTTTCGGACAGTTTGGTCTAATACCCTTACAAAAAAAGTGTTGTATTCGAATCGATTTGAAGGGTGTTTCACTTCACCTTAACGCATTCACCCTCGGGAAGGGAAAATTCTCGCCCTTAATTGATCAGCGTTTAAACAATAGCCCGATGCGAATGCGTTAACAAGAGACATGTCTCTTTGGTATAATTAAAGGAGACGTTCCTTTGGCTCGATTAAGACTTGTTTCTTTCTCAGGGCGGAGTCGAAGGGACCCGTGGAATACTTGGAGGTTCTTCAAGGCTTCTGGGTCCTCGGATTAGCGGCGTCATAAATCGTCCATAAAGGGTCCATAAAGGATCCATGGATCGTCCATAAATCCCGGATGGATCGTCCAGGGCTCCTCAACACTGCGGCTTCTCTTCCCCGGCCGGATGGAAGGCGATGGACGCCGAGTTGATGCAGAACCGCTTCCTGGTGGGCTTGGGTCCGTCGTTGAAGACGTGTCCAAGGTGGGCTCCGCACTGGGAGCAGGTCACCTCGGTCCGTACCATATCTGGATTCGCGATGAGCAGTAGTAGGTTTCCGCCGACTGGGGGAGGGCCTCGTTTTCGGGGGTCGAGCCGGGCGTTGCGTGCCAAGCGGAGAGGGAGGCGGAGGGAAAGAGAAACAACGAATAGAGTGTGATTAGATGTAGACCGACACCTGGTCCCCGAGGAGACCCGGAGAAGACCCCGAAGACAGGTCCCGGATCCAATCGGGTCTCCTCCCCGAGGAGAGCCCGACGAGTGTCCCTCTTATCGTCGACGTTCCCTCCGATCGCCCCCTAAAGTCTCTCCCATTTCTCCCCGATAAAAATAGACGGAAATCCACCTACTAATTTACATCCCCGGCGCACTTCCTAACGAAGGTCTCGTCAGGAAAAGCGTAACATCAAAGAACGACAAATTGGACATCGCATAGATACACCTAACACCTGTGCATTTTTTTTTTTTTTTTAATTAAACGTGGCGTTACGTTATCATTTTCTTCTACTTAGATATCCAATGTCCGTATCACCGAGCCGATATAATTTCACCGCAACTTGTCGCGGCATCGGGATAATTATTAAAATAATTCACGTGGGTATTTTTTATCAGGGTAACACCAGTGATAGTATCGTGGATAGATTAGAGGGAACGTCGAGACCCGCGATTATTCTCCAGCGCACCAGGAGCTCCGGAGGTTTTTTTTTTTTTTATTTTAATTCTAAGGACACTGTTAAGGAAACGACTCCACTTCCGGTGCACTGGAGGCCTCTTTATCGCCTGCTATCAGGTGGTACAAGTCCAGCCTCCTGCAAGGACCTCCTCAGCTCTTCTTCCCTGCAGGACTCCGGGACTCGGCGCAAGCCAAAGACAGAAAATGAAATGGTCAGCCGTTAATCTCGTTATGCCTCGTTAAACGGGCGTTGTTATCGAGGCAGCGGACCGCTTGTTAACTGTTAATCCTCGTTAGGTCCTTCGGAACGTCGAACGATAGACGTAAAGGCGCGAATAGGCACTTCGATCACGCTATGTACAGTCGTAATTATACAAAAGGTCGCATCTTCCCTCGGAGACGCGGTGTAAGTCTATCGCAATCACACTCTAAGCATCGGCATGCAGGATTAAGAGGGCTGTAGAAGGGGAGGTACTTTATCGGTGGGACTCTCTATGATACGCTAAATCGCTAAATCGATCGCTAATGCCGATGACTTCCATGGTATTTCGGGTGTCGAGGTCCAGCCATGCCGACCTCGCCGACAAGGGCGGACCGGTGACACGAATAAACCTGCGATTCGTTTCCACGACCTAAAATCACTCCGAGAAACTAAGAAAATTATTATCAGGGGCCAGTCATGGCTTAGTGCCAAATTGATCGATCCCAGCCACGATGTTTAGAAGTGCTCCGAGCCACTCCAAGAGTGACCGCCAAGGAATGATTCCAATTATCAAGATAAGACTCTATCACCGTTAGAAACTATCTCCAGCATCGAAGACGTGAATCTTCTATCGTCAAGATTTCTGACGTGGTCGCTTTTATTCGTGTCACCTTCCACCTAAGAGGATGTCGATAAAAAATTTACCAAGTACAGCCGATATGACAGTGCGACTGAAATTTGGAACATTCCCTGAAAGGATTTCTTTCTTAATCTTGGAATTTCATTCTACGAAAGCAGGAGAAAGAATTCCCTATTTCGAGCGGCGTGTGATTGCAAGCGTGAAGCGTTAATACGATTAATTGAATTTATATTCATTATCAGCGAGGCAATTAGAAAGAAACACCGACAAAATACATTAACAGAACGTTCCAGGTTTCAGGCGTATAATGAATAATTAGAAATGAAACATTAATATCTAGAGTAAGCAAAATGTAAGCCAACGAGTAACTCGACGACCCACTTAATTACATTTTCAAGTGCCCAGGGGTCTTACGAGAGATCTACTTAACTAAAACTCAACTAGACTGGACGACTAACTAATGGATCGCGCCAAAATATCGTACTTCTACTTCTATGTATATTAAGATACCGACAAAAATACAGGCACGACGTCCGAATATTAAAACAAGATATGAACTTGAGCTTACCATTGGAAGTGTCTTTGGTGAGCTTGACTCGGCCTTGGTCCAAAACTTCATTGAACGCGGGCCAACCACAACCGCTGTCGTATTTCGTCTCCGAGGAAAATAATTCCTGGTTGCAAACAAGGCAGGTATACGTGCCCTTTTCGTAGAACTTATTGTAACAGCCGGAGAATGGTCTGCCCGGAAACAGAAGAAAAGCATCAGTGACCAATTACAGGTGGCAAGTCGCAGAGCCTAGCAGGAAGGAAACAAGGCGAATCGACCGCAGATTTATTTTTGAACTGACCATGATTTGCGGTCGCCCAAGCTAGTGCTCTTGAAAGTTATTTCTGCGACGCGAGCCTAAGTTTAGCGCGCTCCAAAATATTGCGGAAACACGAGCGTGTCCACCGTTTTTCGAACGCGAGGTCGCCCATTCCCCCAACATCGGCTTTGAGGTTATGGGCCGCCTCGACTTCTGCCCTGGGCGCGAAAAATCGGCGGACGCGTAATGTTGTTGATTCTAAGCGTTCAAGGCCGATTTTCACTTCGATTCTAGTCACGTTGCGCCTCGTGGAAGGACCTCGGTGATCCAGAATCGAAAATAGTCCAAGGCCGCGATCGCCGGACCATGGCGTCGCAAGGTCGGCGTTCCGGTCCGTATACCGCGCGCACCCGAGACACCTCATTACCTCTCGGTGCCCTTCTCCTGTGTCACGTGCCACTGTAAAGGGGTCAGTCGCTTCCGAAGTTCCTCCTTGTTGATGTCGGTCGTCATCGTCGCCCACAAACTCGACGGTACACGTCTTACAAGCGACCGCAACAGAGAGAGCGCCACGGTGGGGAGATAGGTAGCCTGCGGTCCAACTCGGACAACCTACCCGCTGCAAGGTTGGCGGCCGACTGAATCAGAATGAATGGACGAAGGAACGACAGTAGCGACGCCTTTATACCTCGGACCAAAAAGAATATTTAGAGAACCAACCGAAGAAAATTATATCAGAGATGAGTTAGGAGATTGCTCACGGGTTGCGTCGTGAGATCGCGTTGTTCTGCCCTCAGTGGATCATACCATTAACTATAAAATCGAAAGGTGTTAATTCGTTAAAAAAAAATCCTATCGATTGGCAGCGCCATTGTGGAATTTTCTTGAATTAAATCTATTATGTCCGTCCTTCAATACAAGAACAATTTCATGTTTCAAAACTCAATAGTTAAAACTTATCAGTGTATTATAAAGTCGTTACAAATGTCACTATTACCAGAATAATCAACTTTATTGTACAACTTTAAGTTACATTTCATTTCGAACATTGCTTCCGTTGGATCGTATGTTCCATTTGATAATGTCTTGTTTGTGCTTGTACTTATATATCATCGTTACGTGTGCAAACTCTGCATAACACTCACTTTTGTAAGACTTGTTAACGTAGAAGCTAAATAATTACCAAGATAAAAAATCTGCATGCATTATACCGTCACTTCCTTCAGTTTTAGTCAAAACTGTTTTAGATCGTGGCATACAAAACTCATAGCATCGGTTTGTGGTTCTCTATCTAGTTACTTTATTAGTAACTTATCAAATTTAACACTTCCCTTCGTTTAAAGAAATTTTCAATTTCTTTATGCGAAGAGGTTTGCAAACTAATTAATGTTTATCTCGCTAACCTTAAACACAGATTCTTACAGTTACCATGTACACAATGAGTACTATGTACTCAGCTGTTATCTTAGAACCAACAGATCAGAGATCCCATTTACATCCTATAATAATTCTCATTCTATTTCCCACCCATGATTTCCCTGTGTGTTCCCGGCTTGGTATTGCAATACCATATCACCGATATGAATTTACAGTTTAAAATGTGAACTACCGCTCTAGTGTAACAAATTAGGCAGTATCGTGTTATGTTCAAGATTTCAATGACAAAATCTGTCATATAAGCTTGAACTATACATATAGTACACAATTAGACAAGATTTATCGAGCAACGTGAAACACTTTTCTGGAGTCAAATTAAGACGGACTACTGCTTTTGCCGACATGCCAGGTACCATTAAAATCATTACAAATCTTTACTGCATAGTAAAATAGTATCACGCGATCGTCACAATGAATTACCCTGCAAATTATTTTTCTAGCCCCATTTAACAAGGTTAAAACATTGATCGTCAACGTAATACTGAGAATCATCACGAATGTGTATATTTTGTGTCCTGCTTTCTGAATACCTAAAAGCAACTCATGATTTTAAAGACTCACCGTCATTGCGATTTTTCCTAATATTTTTCTTTTGACGTCGAATTTTCTTATTCTTCAAATACCTCGGAACACTATCTTGAAACGCTTGTAGATGATCTTCAAAATTAATTTGGAAGTCTTCCTCCACCAGTTCGATATCCATACTGTTAATATTCAGATTCAACTCTGATTCCGAGGAAGATTGGGCCAATCGAGCAACTATATCTATGACAGGATGTCTATTAAAATATATACATCAAAAAGAATAATTACATGAAATAGCAAAATAAGTAGTAAACAGATTACCAGGTAGTGGACGTCGAGGACTTTTTCTTGGTTTTGCCCTATCGATACGGGTTTGAAGTTTGCGATGTCTCTTTCTCGTAACATTTTGAGGGGAGTTATTCTTTATCTCTTCTGTTGTACATGGAAGACTTCCTACTTCTGCTGGCAAGAAACCATTGGCTATTTTAGTGCCATTTTCTTCTTCTTTTACAGGCAAGTTTGACTTTAAAGCCTTTTTGGCGTTCAGCTGTCGAGGCGATACAGGAAAGGAATCCTTAAAGTTTACAGCCGAACCTAAAATGAAACATAGATAAAACAGTTTCTTTGATACAAAAAAGAGTCGTGTCAAATCAGTACATGTTCACTACGTGCCATAAATTTCAATAGAGGTTAGAACATCATAGACTCGTTGCACTTCACTAAATGTTGCTCTTCGAGTAGGGAATGGTAATGGTCTCAATCTGGAGTCACTTCTATCTAAAGGTGGATTTCTTCCTCCAAATAATATAGTACGATTATAAGGGCCGGCAGCTCTATACAGGATTAACGAAGACGTATTGATGTGTGAGGCCCATGATTCTAAAAATTCTTGTATCTGCTAAAATGATGAGTAAGGAACAATACTTAGATAAATATATATATGTGTATGTTGAATAAATATCTAAAAAATTACTGCCACGAAATTCAAGAACAATCAATATTTACTTGTACATGCATAGACTCATTGTAACGACGTAAGATTGTTCCAGGACTTTTCATATTTCCCATCATCCGCGTATCTCGAGAATACTGGGCACTGCCCTGTTTTGCTCGCACGGTATAACGGTGAAAGGTTTTATGAACGACGACTTCTCCTCCTGTAATTTTACAAAATAATTATTTGCTGTAAACCAGCAATGTTTATAAATTTACCACTCAATGGAATAAAAATTCGAGTTTAAGGTTAGAATTCTATAACTAGGCAGAATAAAAATTGTGCTTAACTAGATAATTATGTCGTTACTTCAGGAAGAAAAGTTATTTAGAAAAACACCTTGGAATACTGCTGCTGCAAAATGACCCCCACCAAGCATGATGACAGTCCACATACTTCTTTTTCCACTATTCAATGCTTGAGCTATCATTTCACTGTCGACTTCCGGAATTGTCTAAAATACAGCTCATATTAGACCACTTGACATAGATTACATGTCAAGTATCTTCCCCAAACAGAAAACATCATCATTCCTCGTTATCTGAAATTGTGGTACAGGAATGTATTTTCCTGAGTGGTCTTACAAACCTTTTTATTATGCAGCAGGCATCTATATATACTGAAAATATTTCCATTATCATTTTCGAAGAACACTTTTAAATGACGTTTTGCTGCAGACAGGTACATCTCCGTCTCTTTGTTTTTTGTATCCTCATCCTCGACATCTCCATCGGAACTATCTGAATTTTCTGTTTTCTCGTTTTGCTTTCCCATTTTTCTCCTTGCAGGATGTGGATGAATTCCAGCTATAGACTCGTTCTGCAATCGTCTGTTTGATAATTCTCCAGTCTCAAACGCGCTGGTTTCACTTTCACAGTCGGATTCCAAATCGGTACCGGATATACTAGACATAGAATCTGTTAATGAGGAAACACTAATTTCAGCCATAGAAGTTTAACTGAAATTCTTAATGCAGACAGCCAATTAATTTTATATGAAGTGAATGTATTCGTGATTATAAAAATGAAAGACACTCTTGGGAATATCATCACAAAATAAATGTATCCTGAAAAGTAATTATACAAAAAAAACATTTTGCAGATATCCTTTAAATCAAATAACGTTCACTTCGATTAAATATAATGAAATACCTTTATCAGCTAAAAGACTAAAGTCATCTTCAGTTATCGACTTCAATCCTTGAAGTCTCTGCTTAAGATTATAGCGATGCCAATCTAGTTTATAGTGCAACCGTTGCTGTACTAGATCTTCAAATGTAGTATTACAAAAGGAGCAAGTCCGAGAGTCAGAAACAGCTAAATCTTCAAGTTGGTTCAATAATTTCTCCGCCTCGGAACCATCTGTCAAATATACGGTACTTATCAAATAGTTATTAATATTATTAAGAAAAAGATGCTACGTAATTTATTTTTTAAACAGCAGAACTTGACGTTCACAAAATATTTAATTCAGACGTTTCAGATTTGTTACGATCAAACGATCATGAATGTACAGTTGACAGTGTGTCAATGCATTTATGATTATGCATTTACTCCAGTTACGTGTACACGTTTGCTTCATAATTGAATGATGTCGCAACATCGTGTGAGCGTTAGCAGACACTGTAATTACTTGCAAAACATTATAAGAACAGTAAAATGGTATGTCCAAAATAAACATAAGTAAAAACAGCTACACCTTCTTGCTCAGTGCCAAAACCCGTTCCAATTGATCCGAGTAAATTTGACATTCGAGTTTAGCTCAAGAAAAGTCCAGAACTCACTCGACGCCGACCTTAACTGCATACACTCTGCGACTTTTATGCCCCTCGTGATCCTGTCAAATTCCTCCTCGTTGTATAATTTTAAAAGTCGGTAATCCATTCTTGAAATAATTCACTGGACGTTGTCGAAGCAGTCAGAAATTACCCTACAGCCTCCTTTGGCTGCTTTGGCTAATTGCATTGGTCACGGAAAAAATAAAAAGAACGACATAGATGTGCAAACACGTACGGAGACTCCACGTGCGTAATATAATACGCAAGATTGGAATGCTTCCAAGAAATTTATTAAACAGAACAGTGAACACGTTTCCCTAGGCGGCGCTGGTGTCGCGGTGGCGGCCATCTTTCATCGTTGCATTCTCTCAAAATTTAAACGAACATAAAGAAAATGTATGCAATAACTGTTATTATCATTTGGTAACTTTGATGTTCTTAAAAATTCACGTATTTTAAAACTTAAAGGAAGATGCTTTATATCCACTTTGACAACCGCTTTTCACATACGAAATTGCAAGTGGCGTGTAAAATTCAAGATGGCCGCTGAAATCTCCCTTTTTATACGCTCCGAGTTTTATTCTTCACATTTCTTTTTTAGATCCATGTAGATCCATCTGCGATATAATTCAAAATGTCGTGCCAAGAAATCTTGTCGGAATTGGAAGCTAAACAGCGAATTATTGACAGGAATCCCTTTAAAATGTTGAAAATTGCTGATGCACAAATACTGGACACTATCGAGGGTCGAGAAATGTGCGAAACGTGTAAAAAGTCGAGGAAATTCTTCTGCTATACTTGTTGCGCTCCTGTCATCGATCAAAAGTATATTCCTCGGGTGAAGGTAAACATTGCCAAATTTTAAATTATGTGTATACTTTCGTTAAAATGATTGCACTGTATGTGCTTATAACATCTACTTTACGTGAACATGAAAAACATGACCGTTCTGAAATGCTTCATTAAATGTCTTATTTATGTTGAAGCTACCTATTAAAATTGACATCATCAAACATGCCCGGGAAATAGACGGTAAAAGTACAGCAATCCATGCAGCCGTGCTCGCTCCGGAAGATGTCAGAATTTATACGTATCCTGATTTTCCAAAGTTTTCAGAAGACGAAAGGGTAGCTCAGCACTTTTTTTTCATGAATCATATTAGAAATGATGTTAGTGACACTCTTAAATCGCCATAATTCCTTAGATTGTACTCATCTTCCCTAGTGAAACGGCTCGGAGTATCGATAGTCTCTTCCCAGCTGAAGTCGTTACAGCAAATGGAATATCACATCAAAAAATTAACAATGAACTCCCTGTAACCAAAGCAGTATTCATCGATAGCACTTGGCATCAAACAAAGTCCATTTACAAGGATCCAAGATTAAGAGGTTTATAATTATTTAAACTATGAAGGAATTTAAAGTAGCAGATAATTCGTTCAGGGCATACAAGCATTCTATGAATTTTAAGATGTTTATTGTCACAAATAGATAGACATAGTATCACTTTTTAATCTTACTTTTTAATGTTTCCTAAGATTTGAAGTGCATCATCCTGAAGTCTCGGATATCTCAATTTTGGAGGCATCAGAAAAAAAGTCCAAGATGGTATTTAGCGACAATAGAAGCTATACATCAATTTTTGGTCGAGCTCCACACATGTGCATTTGGTATCGTCGACAATTATGTTACTTTGGAAGATTCAGCAAATCAAAACCTTGCGGTATCAAAATGTACCGAAGACAATCAACAAAAGTACTGCGGGCAGTACGACAACTTACTGTACTTTTTTAAGTATATGTATGATAAGATACATATTATCTATGACCACGATAAACTATGGGCATACAAGAGGCCATTAATATAATGTGATGAATGGAGTATTAGTTTAATTTTTCAGTCCAATGGCTGAAAAAAATAATTGTTTTCAAGCTTACAAGATTATTTCCTTAGCTCAATTTTGTTAAGTAAACTACTTATTAATATTTTACAATGACGTTCGTAAATTTTGTATTGACTATTTAAATTTTTTTCTGTTTTACGATAAAAGACCACTGCCAGATGTAAGTTACTGACAAAACTGTGAAGTAAATTCAATAAAATTTCGCTAGGTGGAGGAAAGATCTATTTCACTTTAAATCTTATGTATGTACATACATATACTATAATGTAACTAGTAAATAAGTCAAGAATAAATATATTTGTCATTAAATTCAATAGAATAATAATTTTTATTATTTTCACACTCTAATGCAACAATGTGACGTGACCAACAGGGAGGAATTATTTCACCGAAGGAGATGTCACTTTTGTCCGCCAGGGGGGTTTAGTTTCCACCTTCCTTTCACGTGTGGTACGCATTCGGTACGTTTCTGGGATTACTGCCTCTTATTAAACATTGAAACATTAGAGAATTCAAGGTTCCCGTGTAAAAATATTCATGCTAATTCGTTAGAATAGGTTTGCAGACTTATATCCAATAATTTTAACGAACCGATTCCGCATATTTTCCGCCGATCACATCGGATTCTGACGAGTCGGTTATGGCGCTTGCTATGTATAAATAACAAGTGGACCGCGAAGAAAGTCACAAAGTGGCTCTTTTACATCAAATCAGGGATAAATAACATGTTTTTGGAACATAAGCGCGTATCATTTCGTGAGAAATACTAGATTCTTTAAACGGTAAATTTCGGGCAACAGTACACTGGAGGCACTTAACCTCAAAGTGACACATTGCTTTTAAATCAACCACACGTTCAATTGCATTGAAGAAAAGATCTGCTCAATCCCAAAGGCAGACCTGTATTTTTATTGTCATCTCAATTTCATTTTAAATCATGGACTTTCAGGAATGGCGGACGCAGTAGCAGCCCCGAAGTCCAAAGTAAAGACTCCCAAAAAGTCTAAAGAAAAACCTACGGAGCCTGTTCCTCTAAAGAAGAGACCTTTCAAAAGGCATGGACGACTTTATGCCAAAGCCATTTTCACTGGATACAAACGAGGCCTACGTAATCAACATGAGCACACCGCCCTCCTTAAAATAGAAGGGGCTAGAACTAAACGAGACTCCGACTTCTATATTGGAAAGCGTTGTGTCTATGTCTATAAGGTAAGAGGTTTGATTCTACTCACCGATCGAGTTTAAAAGTCATTCGTTGAATTTATGCTTTGTTGCAGGCAAAAAATAAGACGCCAGTTCCAGGAAAAACTACAAAGAAAACGAAAGTAAGGGCTATCTGGGGAAAGGTGACCCGTCCCCATGGTACCAGTGGTTCTGTGAGAGCTAAATTTAAGAGAAATCTGCCAGCAAAAGCTATGGGACACCGCATCAGGATTGTAAGTATCTTCTATGAACCTATTGAGCCATCGAGTCTCATGATATTTAAATTAAACTACATTGCGTCTAAGATTTAACATTTTAGTAGTTATAATCTAAACTCACTTTCCATTTCTTGCAGATGCTGTACCCCAGTCGCATATAGAACTTCCCTGTAAAATATAAATAAATGCCTTTTTGGTACCAAATTGTTATATTGTATATATTTGAATTTGTTCTTCCTTTTAGGTGTATTCCTTAAGTTTTCCGTTTCTCAATCTGAATATCTAGTAATTTAATGTAAAATCATGAGTATGGAGTACAAAGAATAGTTATAGAGTAAGAAATATAAATATATACCCGTCTCTCTGATAAACCACTGATTACACCGGTGACTTCGGTCAGAGATGAGTTTCCTTTCTACTTCTCCTTGTTCTATGGCGGAGTGTCACGTGTCCCATCCGATATTTCTGTCAAATTCGCTCACATGTGCGTTTATCTAGATGTGACAGCGTTAAAAACATTATTTCTAAGTTGACATGCCAAAGAAAATATCTGCGCTTTTAATACTGACAATTAATTTATTAATTAGTGATGTATGTGTGGGTTCAAATGGCGATACTTCTCGTTATTATAGACAATGTCTATCTACATGCAAGACGTCAAGTAGAGAAAGGGGTATGTTTTCTTGTGAATATCTTGATCGGAGAATAGGAACCTTATTTCTTAAGAGCAAGTCCTCGCATGGAATTCATGCATAACTGTGAGATTTTATTTTATTTCATAATGGTATGTTGTCTCATAATTTTTTTCATTTACCAGACATTGATTTAGCGGAACCAGGTTTCTTTACTTCACGAACGTTATTGTCTTCGCAAGATGATTGCAAATACACTTGTATGTGGGATACCGTAAACTATTTTACTTCTCGCGGGCTCCAAGTACCTCAGTTCCATGGAAAGGTAAGCATTGTTAATTTAATTGTAATTTGTATATCACGGTAAATCATGAATATTTTAAGTCCGTCATTTTCGTTGTTCGATTCCAATGGAACTGTCTTCTTTTGTCGTCAGTGGCCATTTATCCGAATGTTTGGTCTACAAGAACCTGCATCGGTGCTGTTTTCTGTACTGAATTTTTTTGTCAGTTGGAAAATGTATGGAGAATTTAGGAAAGAAGTTCAATTCGATACACCGATGTACCTCGTGTGGAGTTACTTTTCATTGGTAAAGAAAAACGCTTACACTGTACGCGTAAAAGTGTTAATTATATTGTTAGAAACTTATCGTTTTCAGGTTGGTTTACACGGCTGGCTTTGGTCTAGCATATTTCATGCTCAGGACAATGCGTTCACAGAAGCAATGGATTACTCTTGTGCATTTGGTATCGTGTTAACTTTACTATGTTGTTTGTTATTTAGGTATGATCCCCTGATTTTCTATATCTGTAGCCATTTCAAAGAAAATAATATGAGTGATATTAAATCATTTACAGGTTAACATACAAGCGTCGTAAGGTACTCTTCACAATAATCTGCGGCTATGTCAGTATGCTGTATACACATTTGTCCCATTTGTGGTCTGGACGAATTAATTACGGTTATAATATGAAACTCAATATACTTCTAGGTAATTGTTTCATGAAAGTCTATGAATAAAAAAAAGAATAGCCCAATTCTTTTTAAAAGAATCGAAAGATGTATTCAAATAATTTGGTGACATGACGTATACTAATTTATAGGACTCGTCACATCTATTATGACTCTGGTATGGTGGTATCGTAATTATAAAAGATTAGAGCACATACGCTTAATCGGTTGGTTTAATGTACTGAGCGTATCTTCCACGCTTTTAGAAGTAACAGATTTTCCACCAATCTTCTGGATATTTGATGCACATTCCCTTTGGCATGCTTCTTCTGCCCCGTTGATTATACTGCTGTACAGGTACGTCTACTACATATTTTATATCTTTCTTTGTTTTTTAGTAACCTTCCTTAACATAAATAATTTCACCTTACATTTTAGGTTTATAATAAAGGACTGTCTCTACTTAAAGAAGTACAGCGCATTTAGGTGAAAAAAGTAATTAATTACTTTGCTGGACGTCCATTTTTTAATTTATTTCTGTACTTCAGTGGATTACGACTCAGGAAGCAACTGTGTTTAACCGAAACATGTGAACATTTTTTAAATGTTAACAGTGGTTCGTTACCAATATTTTTAATGTATGTACTTATAGAACATGTCCATTATTTAAATCAGTATCACGACTTTCTGGTTGGCAATACTAGAGCTTGAAATAAAATAAGTCTTTATATCTACATTCATCATTTCTTGCAATAATAAATTCAAATCACTCGGAACAACACGAAGGTAAAACGTTATATCTCGTTGTGGAAATAAATAGAAAAACTCACGACTTTCATAAACATTATCATCTTACATAAGATAAATTACACAGCACAATAATTAATTGTACAAATCTATTAATTACAATCAAAGGAAAGCTAAATTTGGTCGAACCTCGCGATATCACACATGTTGTTTTTCTGTCGATTCCAAAGTGATATTTGTTTTTAAATAATCTAAAGAAATATCTATACATAAGAGCACACACCACCGTTCGTAACAGCAATGCAATAGGCAACTTCCATGTTTAGTATGCATAACTATTTATATAAAGCCGTTGTTTCCAGACCAGGTTTATCCTTTTGAATAACATTGCCCAACAGCTTTTTTATTTCTGCAATAGCTTTCCCAGGATTTAATCCCTAAAAACAAAACACGTTATAAAATACCCGCTTCTCATAAATTTCCAACTTAGTTTCAATTTATATAAATCATTACTTAAAATAAATAGCAACCAACCTTGGGACAAGTACGTGTACAGTTCATAATCGTGTGGCACCGGAATACCGAATATGGATCTCTCAATTTTTCTAATCGGACTTTTGTTTGAGAATCTCTTGAATCAATGATCCAACGATAGGCCTAGAATTACTCGGAGTTACATATTTCCAGATAAAAAAAATTGGAAAACATATTTAAAAGCTGACGATCACTTAACATTTTTTGTCGGAATAATGTACTACAAATAAATGAATAGAACGTTACCTGCATAAGTACTGCAGGCCCTAAATATTTATCACCATTCCACCAGTAAGAGGGGCATGAAGTACTGCAACAAGCACACAAAATGCATTCGTAGAGACCATCCTGCAAACATACAAATATCTCACGATTATATGCACATCTTATCGTTAACGTGTTAAAAAAAATACTAACATGATTAAAAATATGTTAAAAAATTATACTAACAAATTCCACAGCAATAAGCACACTTACCAATTTTTTACGATCTTCTGTACTTTGTAGGTACTGCTGACTTCCATGACCATCGCTATCCTCTCTTTGCAACCAAGGTTGTATGCTACGATACTGAGCATAGAAATGATTCATATCTGGTACCAAATCTTTTATTATGTACATATGAGGCAAAGGATAAATTTTCGTTTGTTTGTTAACATCCTTATCGATCTTACTGCAAAAGAAGTACTATTGTTAAACAAGAGTGTAAAGATTCTTTGAAACTAAAATTTTTGAAAACTGACCTAGTACAAGCGAGGGTATTAACTCCACCGATGTTCATAGCACACGAGCCACAGATACCCTCTCGACAAGAGCGGCGGAATGTTAACGTTGGATCCATTTCATTTTTTATTTTAATTAGGGCATCTAATACCATAGGTCCGCAACTAAAAGCAAGAGAAATAATGAGGATATAATATATATGTAGAGTAAGAACCCCTAAATATAATTCAACTTACGAATTGAGGTCAACATTGTAATCTTTCATGTAAGGCTTTTCATTGGAGGCAGCAGGATTCCAACGGTAAATGGAAAAGGTCTTCAATTTGGTTTCCGCATTACTCACTGCAGACGCGTGAAACGCTCGAACCTGTGAATCACTTTAAACATTAACTTTTCATATATTATTACAAAAGTTTATTCTTCAATATGAATTTAAAATCTTGCTGTATAAATTTTAATGAATACTGGCCAACCACCCAACCTTATCAATTTAATTCCCACACATCGTTGAAGTGACCCCGCTGACCCTCCGTACAAATTACAATCTGTATATCTATATTTGCTTTAAATTTCTACAGTTGCAAGAAAAATAATCATAACTGCTATCGCCTAAGAAAGTAACTGATAGGGCCAGTACAGACAAGTCGAAACAACCGACCGAAGATCAACACATTACATGTCAAGTCTTCCTTTTAAGGTACTTACCCCTATCACTCTTTTACACGTCCGTGTAAAAGTCGTTGCCATTTTTTTTAAACGAAGGAACGCAAAATGTCAATTTATAACTTATTATATAATCAATTACATGTACTGAAATTACAGGTAACACTACACAGGTCTATTCTGCCCAATTCCACCGCTCCGTACAGAACACTTTCGAACCATAGATTACTACTGAACCTAGATCGTCACTATTTCACTGTAATGAGTAGCATACACATCATACACGTTTAAACACAGATGAACACAATTGGACACAACGGTTGTGCCACCCGTTTATATTAGACACAGTTCACGAAGGTGAAAATTTACGCGTTTATATCACGGATTTAGTGAACTGTTGGCCTTATAAACACGGTTACATTTTAATGAAAATTCGTTGAAAAACCATAATTTTAGCAACTACATGTCGTAGCACACCTTCTCGAATCTCTCTGCAACTACATTCACTTTTCATGGTTACTTAGGTTATGTTCTGTTTTCTGCTGATCGCACTAGGGAACTGTCTAGTGCAGTCTAGTGTCTAAAAGAACCGATGACTCATCGCGTGCATAATCAAGGGAAATTGCATCAGTTTCGCTGGTGCTGATAATTTTGGAGTTTCGTTAATTTCTCGACCAGTGATCAGCTGTAAGTAAAAAATGTCAGACCAGTCGACGATCGGTTCATCGGAGATATCAGTCCTCGAAGATGTTTGCCTACGTGGAAAGAAACGACGGCTTGACCATTTGACGTGGGAGGAGAAACTTCAGAGGAAGTGAGCAGATGGTCTTCCTCAAAAGATATTCCTTACATACAAAAGACGACGTTCATATATTTATGCATACTTTTAATATTATTTTCCCAGAAAGCTGAAGAATCGGGTAGCAGCTCAAACTTCTCGGGATCGTAAAAAGGCTCGGCTGGATGAGCTCGAAGAGACGGTGAAGCTTTTAAGAGAGAAGAACGATGATTTGACTCGCCAATGCGCAGCCCTACGATCAGAAAATGAGGCGTTGATTGAAAATGTTAAGAGGTTGAAAAGAGAGAAGGAAGAAGGAAAGGCCAACGATCAGTTTTGCCTGGCGTGCCAGGGGCATGTCGGCTGTACTGCATTCCCGACGGGATCGGCAGCATCTCCCAAATACCCTCAGCCGCAGGGTGGAGCAATACAGCCGGCGTCTTCCCTGGCATGGGCACAGAGACTTGTCGAACTATTGAAGATCATGACCTTCTACCTTCTCTTGAAGAACTGTTCGGAGACATTAACAATGACGACTACATCGAACGTCTTGAAGAGCTTACAAAGAGTCTTTTACGAGAAGTTACAGCAGAAATGGGAACTAATACATCAAACCAATACGTAAGTATATTTATCTAACTGGCCTCGGAATCATTAAACGCCAACAATATATCTTTATATATGATATACTTTGTATACGCTTCTCTCATATATCACTCGGTACACGTCACAATATTGATTCCATGTTTATTTTAGTGCCCAAATACAGAAAATAACGAAAAACACAATGACTCAGGAATGGTGGATGAAGCTTCAAAAGATGTGGATATTCGTAGAGCTATTACATCTTTAAGCAACCATTTAACACATCAACGTTCGCTCAACCCGGTCACCGAGTCAAGCACCGCATCAGCTGATAATAATTTGCGATCCGTGCCTTTAAAGGAGGTATTCGAGATAAAGCAGGAGCCTATAACGAATGACATGGATACAGTTTACGGCACGTACGATGAAACTGCCAATTGCATAACGATCATATATCCAGGAGATGAAGATAGCATACAGGGTATTAATTCAGAGATTTCTTGTCCAATCGAAGCTGTTACGTGCGTAACACCTTGTAACTCGTACGAGGGTTGTTCGTCGATTACAAACGATCGAGTTAAGTCACTGTCACCTATGAGTGTCCAGTCCGACAGTATCGATACCAGTGTTTCGTCGAACAAATTGAACTTTGATTTTTCGGATTCTTGTTACGAGTTACAGGATTCACCTGTTACAGACGATTGTTTAGCAAATGACATGGAAAGTACCGTCAACCCTGGAATTTTGTCGGATACGTGGCATCAAACATTTTCCGAAATTTTTCCAAGTTTGGCGTAATTGGATGCTTAGAAAAAGCCTAGAGTTTTTTTGCACTTTGTAATAGAGAGATTCGTCAAATCTGTTTGTTGTAATATGAATCGTATACACTTGTCCCAAAGATGACTATTTCTGGACAATGTTCATGTAAATATTTCTAATTCATACGTAAGTGAATGTTTGGTGTCACCCACAAAATACTTTTCTTTCCTCTCATGAGGTCTACTCGAGGTACGTTGAAATAGATCTATCGAATTAGCTGCGATTTCCTTTCTTGAGGCACCGATCTATGCACAAGTTGGAAACTGTCTAAACGATTCTACGACACCGTGTAGCCTTTGCAAAATAATAAATCTAGAGGATGTTACGAGGTAGTCTGTTATTCCTACCTCTGCCGAAGTCCAATGTTCCTCGTGTCTCCAAAGGATCCACTCGTCAAGAATATTTCTCTTTTTCTTAAAAGTGGTCTCCGTCCTGGAAAGTGAATTCTCAAGAAAATTAATCCACGTCAATTGTAAGTTCTCACTTGTTCCTTAACATTAATTGTTCGTTAATATTGCGTTAAAAGTATAATTGTTACCGTAATAGGGTACACCCTTTCAAGAATAGATGCACTCTGGAGATGTATTCACGGAGAAGAATGCTTTCAGCGACGATTCAAAGCCGTTTAAGTTCAAAGTACACAAAACATCTCGTGCTTCCATTCATAAATCAACGGCGTGCAATTAGAGCGACATTTTCCCTGGTTCCTGCAACAACCACGAACACAACGGGTGAATTTATCATTTCTTTTCAGCCTTATCATCAAAGCTATCAAGAAGTAACAAATGGCGACTTCTTTTCCGGCTCTAAGAACTAGATGAAGATCTTATCAAAGAATGGATGAAGAATCTTACCAAAGGAATTTCATACAAGAGACAATTATTTGCAAAGCCACGACCAGAATCACTGTAATGATTATTTTCGTGACCTTCGTAAAGACATTCCTTCTAAGTCAGGTAAACATCATTTGACTTATGACTTATCAAGGCATTATTACCCAGTCATTAATTTCATTACAACTTATCAAGGCGTTACAACAAAAATCATATTTTCAGAATCACTATACCCAAGTCAAGCAGTACCGATTTTTTTGGACTTCTAAAACGTGTAACATTCGGGCCAGAAACTTCGAAGCCTGGTAAGCTTTACTTTGAAAAATAGTCCTTCCAAATCCGGTAATAATTATTTTTCTTACGACTCGACAATATATTAAAACAAAAATCATATTTTCAGAATCACTTGACCCAAGTCATTTCTTTGGATCTGAAAAGCGTGTAACATTCAGGCCGGATACTTCGAAGCCTGGTAAGCTTTCCTTCCAAGCACAGTCGGCATCGTTTCCGGGATTCGGACCCTCCACGAGAGGTAGATGAAAAGGAGAGGAAGGAATCGGAGCCGAATCAATGGCAATGGGTCGTGGCGCATGTGAGATGCTGTCCGGAGCAGCTCTCCTCGTCTCCGCTCCGCCCTCGCGGGCGGTCCACCCTCCCTTTCCGTTTTTCACCCTCTCTCTCCTCCTAGATCGCGAGGACGAGTGCTCGAGAGGGAAACCTCGTGCTCGATAACAACGGCGAGCCGCTGCTGCAACAGTTCCCGCGACTCCGAGTCGCTAGTCCGATCCCTCGACCTCAAGATGAAGGACCACGAGCCGACCCCAATCCAGAAGAAGCCGACCAAGCTCAGAAACTTCGTCTACAAGACGGAAGCTTTCGACACCCTGCACACCAGGCACAGAGAGGTACGTGCCTCTCGTCGACTCGTCGAGGACGCGCCACCGCGTCGTCCCTCATCTCTGTCCATTACGAATATCTCCGCTCCAAAATATACATCCAGGTGGATCAATAGACCTGCACAACTCGTACATCAATTTGTCTTCCGTGAGCGATGCTACCCTATATACGAGGGCTCCCAAATTGAAGAAGCACTCGCAGCTTCGGGAACGATTGCTATCAGCGAAACCTTCCCTTGGGCCAGATTAAATCTACGCTATCTCGATATATCTTGCTGATCAAATTTTTAAAGGAGTTCCCCTCTGAATTTCACGCTAATGAAATTTCTTCATTAAATTCCTTACCAATGAAATGTCTTGATTAAATTCCCTGCCAGAGATATTTCTTGGCTGAATGTAATGCCGAAGAGGCAGCTTGATTAAATCTCTCGACTATGTTCCTTGTTAGGGAAATATCTTGGCTGAATTTCACCCTGAAGAAATGTTTTAATTCAATCTATCTCTTGGGTAGACCTCCCGCTATTGAAATCTCTTGCAAATCGGACTATGGGAATTTTATGTCAGGTGGGAACGTTCCTTTCAGGAAACACTATGCTCGAGTCGCGTCTGCCTGGGGAGCATAATGCAGCTCCCGTCGCACAGCGTGGAGTGTCGCACGAAGGAGGAGATCTTGGTGCAAGCGAAAGACTTCCTCGAGCAATATTTCATATCCATCAGAAGGTACCGTCAGCGTTGCTCTGCACGCGCGTTCGGGGAGGAATAATTCATGAATCGATTTGTAATCATGAATCCCTTCCAGGTTGAACAGCGAGGCGCACCATGCTCGTTGGAACAGCGTAGAGAAGGAAGTCGCAACTACCGGGACATATCAGTTAACGGAAACGGAATTGGTATTCGGAGCCAAGGTGGCATGGCGAAATGCAACTCGGTGCATCGGGCGCATCCAGTGGTCTAAGCTACAGGTACATCATTCTGTTTCTTAACGTTGAATTTCGCTCTTCAGGGTTTCTTCGATCTTGAACTTCGCTCTTCAATATTGAACTTCGCTCTTCAGCGCTTCTTCAATCTTGAATTTCGCTCTTCAGCGCCTTCTTCATGGTCGACTCATTTTTTTATTCCAGGTCTTCGATTGCCGCTGCGTGACGACCACGAGTGGCATGTTCGAGGCGCTCTGCAATCACATCAAGTACGGAACGAATAAAGGAAACATCAGGTAAAATTGAAAGAACGTTAAAATTAATTAATTTCAGATAATCCGTGGAAATCGCCCATGAACGTAGTACGCGAGAGTACACATTTTGCAATATTGTATTTTTTTCTAGTACTATAAAGAAGTGCAACGCTGGGTTTTCTCTGGTTTCAGGTCGGCGATCACGGTTTTTCCTCAGAGGACGGACGGAAAACACGACTACAGGGTGTGGAATCAACAATTGATAAGCTACGCAGGTTACAAGAACGCGGACGGCACGATTACAGGAGACCCCGTCAACGTCGAATTCACGGAGGTCAGTGTCAATCGACATGGCGGTAGGTCAGGGACTTCTCGAGGGCTTACACGGCGTTCCACTTTAGACCTCGAGAATCCAAACCGTGCACCAGGGCTCCGCCCGTGCGAGGATCTCTCTACAGACCTTCTGTATCTGGGTTTCCGTCTTGTCCAGTTGTGCCTGAAATTGGGGTGGAAGAGTGCCAGGACCAGGTTCGACGTGTTACCCCTGGTGCTCTCGGCGAACGGCCATGACCCGGATTACTTCGACATCCCTTCGGAGCTCATCCTCGAGGTGCCGCTGATCCATCCCACGTGAGTTCCATTGTGTAAAAATGAAGACCACCATTGTGTAAAACCTGCCCTACAAATCGGAGATATTTGAATGTTTAATGAATGTTTTGAACGTTAAATGAATATTCAATACGTACGTGTACAGACCAAGACTGGCTCGGAATATTCTGATAAATATTTTACATCTTGCTTCAACAATTGTCAACAGGTACGAGTGGTTTGGAGACATGAACCTAAAGTGGTTCGCTGTGCCCGCCGTTTCTGGGATGGTTTTCGACTGCGGTGGACTACAATTTACGGCCGCCCCGTTTAACGGATGGTACATGAGCACCGAAATTGGAGCAAGAGACCTCTGCGACTCCAGTCGGTACAATTTACTCGAGGTATAAATTTCTATCGGTCCCCCTTCGAGGGGTTCGACAGCCAATTCGCTTGGATAATTTAGGAGATGGCTACGCTCCAGACTAGTCCCGACTGAAACATTAATTTTCACACACGTGGCTATCCTTTATCGGCATCAGACATGAACAAAGCGCAGCGACGTCCATAAAACGCAGTAACAATAGTGTGCTAATTTTAAATATATAATATATCTAAAATATGATCTGAGCGAATCCTATCGACTAAAGTATAGCCACTCTCTTAATGGAGCCTCTTCAAGTGGAATTAATTAAGACTTAAGACTCTTTCGCTAAGTTTATCAGTATTTCATCCTCTTCCAGCTCATAGCTGGCTCGGTCCGATGAGTTTCTGTTAAATGAATTAAAACTTAAATCTCTTTAATCAAGCTGATCAGGATCTCTTCCTCTTCCAGACTATAGCCAATCTAATGGGCCTTGACACCAGGACGCCGATGTCTCTGTGGAAGGACAAAGCGATAATAGAAGCGAACGTGGCAGTGCTCTTCAGCTTTCAAGTAAGGAGTTTTAAAATACATGACTATCTTTTTAGTCACTTTTAGACATTCCACTGACGACTGTAGACGAAAAGGGGGGCTTATCCGAGTATGTACAACCTCGCAAGAGATTGCGGAGGTTCCTTCAGCCTTATTCATCGATTTTAGATGAAGAACGTGACTATCGTCGACCACCACACGGCCTCGGAGTCATTCATGAAGCATTATGAGAATGAAATGCGACTGAGGAATGGTTGTCCAGCGGATTGGATTTGGATAGTGCCACCGATCTCAGGTTCGGCGACTACCGTCTTTCACCAGGAAATGGCTCTCTACTACTTGAAGCCATCCTACGACAATCAGGTTAAATTGCGACAGAGATCCTCTATTTAACAGAAGAGAGCGAGCCAGAGAGTAGAGACTAGAAGTAACAATTGCAATACACATTACCAAGAGTACGCGTCAACGGAATTACACATAAGACACGTTGCAATACTTAAGCGTCGACCGAAGCAGATTTTTCGCTGTCTCTCGTTTGTTTATAAGAAAAATCACGGTCACGTAAAACGACTCGCTTCTTAAAATCGCATACGTGACAGAGAACAACGAAGCGTTGGCATTGTTTCGAGTACATTGGTATGACCGCTAGTGTACAAGCTCGTTATTCTGTATCTTAATGTACAGGATGTGCCGAATGTCCTTTTAAATTTCCCTTCCCAGAGGGAACTCGGTTATTGTCTATTCCTAATTGCTTTTTAATTTCCGCAGGACCCGGCTTGGAAGACGCACGTGTGGAAGAAAAGCCGGGACAAAAAGTGCTTGATGAAGAAGCCCAGGAGGAAATTTCACTTCAAACAAATTGCCCGGTGGGTTTTCCGCGCGCTCTTCGCGAACGGTTTCAAACCGCCGAGCGTTTCCCAGGGCGGATTAAATTGATAACGCTAAGACGATCTTGAAATTACAGAGCCGTTAAGTTCACGTCGAAGCTCTTCGGACGAGCTCTGTCGAGGAGGATAAAAGCTACGGTTCTCTTCGGCACCGAAACGGGAACCTCGAAAATGTATGCGGAAAAGCTCAGCGAATTACTCGGCCACGCTTTCCATTCCCAGGTAATTGCTTGGGAATAAGTGTACGTATAATCGTGGCCGTAGTTCCTAAGTGCGCCTTGATTTTTCAGGTACTCTGCATGGCGGATTACGACGTCACCAACATCGAACACGAAACGCTGCTCCTGGTCGTGACGTCGACTTTCGGGAACGGAGATCCGCCAGAAAATGGAGAGGTATTCCCTCAGACGTTATCCTTCTTCAGCTTGAATCTACCTCCGTCAGGGTTTCATTAATCTAACGTACTGATTACTCAGAGGTACCTGAAAAAATTCAATGCGACTTCAATTACAGGCATTCGCTGAGAATCTGTACGCGATGATGGTATCCGAGAACAGCGACAATAATGTAAGGTGAGGCTGAATCGACAATACCTCTAGCTTATCAGAATTCCAATGGAGTTCCTGACAGCGACATCGGTTTCAGCTTGGCCGCTTCCAAGTCGTTCATAAAGGCGAACAGTAAGTCCGAGACGGGTAATACGAAGAAACTGGACAGATTGGAGTCGTTACGTGGATCGACAGCGGAGTCCCAGACAGAGGACACTTTCGGACCTCTCAGCAACGTCAGGTACCTCGTCCTTTTCAGGAGATCTTGTAAAGAGTCAAAGCTCCAAGGATGAGTCCAAATAACACTACTCTACGAATACTCACGTCGAGTATTTCGTTCCTCCCAGAATATGATGTAAATATTGAGGTGGTCAGTGCCGAAGATTACCCATGTACATTTTCCCCAGGTTTGCAGTTTTCGCCCTGGGCTCTTCGGCGTACCCGAACTTCTGTGCATTCGGCCGCTACGTGGACAATCTTCTTGGCGAGCTGGGAGGAGAGAGACTCCTGAGATTGGCTCAAGGAGACGAGATGTGCGGCCAGGAACAGGCTTTCCGGAAATGGGCCACCGAGACTTTCAATGTTCGTCCTTAAAGCCAGATCTAAACCGTTCACTACTCCCTAAGCGAAGGATCATTTCCCAGAGACTCCTAGTGAACGACCGGGAACGACGAGAAGAACTCCCTTGGATTTTTCTAACGTTTCCCCTCGCCCTTAGGTGGCCTGCGAGACCTTTTGCTTGGACGACGACGAGACCCTGCTGGAGGCCGCGTTGCTCCTGGGCTCGGAAACCGTATCCCCGTCAACGGTTCGTTTCGTCGAGGCAAAATCACAGCCGGTAGACAAAGGTAATCACAGCCACGAGGTTGCAAGTCCCCGGAAAGCGCTATAACGAGACTTTTGCAGCGCTGCAGAAGTGCCACAACAGACACGTGACCACGTGCAAGTTGACGAAGAGGACTACCCTAAGTGGGAACAATTCGAGGTGAGCCTTCGATTAGATCTTTCAGGATCCTGCATCAGGAATTTAAATCATGCACTGTCGGTTTTTTAGTGGCACCACGATATTAGTAGAAGTAGACAATCAAGGGAGCGCGGACGTGTCCTATAGTCCTGGCGACCATTTGGGGGTCTTCGCGTGCAACAAGTCAGACTTGGTCGAGGGGATACTTATGCGACTGCAGACTACGTTCGATTGGGACGCACCGGTGGAATTGCAGACACAAAAGCAGTCTCACACGCCTAACGGTAGGTCACTGACCAGTCCGGAGAAAAGTTTCATGAACGATTGAACCCGCGGACGCCACTTAAGTATTTCCAGCTTCTACTGCGAATCGACGCAGTACCCTGATCGGTGTATTTCCTTCCAGGAGTTATTAAGACTTGGGAGTCGCACGAAAGGTACACCTGTAATTCCTTAAGGACGTTGTTCACTCGTTTCCTGGACATCACGACACCTCCGACTCCAAATCTATTGCGGTACCTTGCATCGGTGGCAGCATGTCCAGAAGAAAAGGAGCAGCTATTGTTGCTGGCCTCCGTAAGTGGAAGATCTGGAACGAAGTGACAAGTGTTCTCACTCGCGTTTTCATTCTACATAAACAGCGAGACGAGGAGTAATAAATACTGTTTGCACCCCAGGATTCCTCGGCGTACGAAGACTGGCGGCATTGGAAGTATCCCAATTTGCTGGAAGTGCTGGAGGAGTTCCCATCGGTGAAGCCCCTTGCTCCGTTGTTCGTACTTCACTTGACGCCACTCCTGCCGAGATTCTACAGCATCTCATCTTCACCGATGATGCATCGGGGACAGATACATCTTACAGTCGCAGTGGTCCAGTACAAGACGCAAGGTAATTCTCTTCTATACTCTACCCTTAAATTATTTTTTTAATTGCAACAAAATACCTTTAATATACATTGGACGATCCAGGAGGCTCAGGTCCGGTCCACTATGGCGTTTGCTCCAACTACCTACGTTCCGTTCCAGAAGGAGAGTCTCTGTATGTGTTCGTTCGAAGGTAGGTTAAACTGTATTCTCAATATTTCCTGTAGTTCAAGCAAAATATGTTTACTCTTTCTGTAAAACGCAATTTTTTTTAACGAATACCTTTCTTCTATTAAATACAGTGCCCCGAACTTCCACATGCCGAAGGACGTTAAAGCTCCAATAATACTCGTAGGTCCAGGAACGGGAATAGCTCCTTTTCGAGGTTTCTGGCACCAGCGATTTTATGACATGAAGATGAACGGAAGTACGTAATCACTGTAATTATCGTCTAACAATGCTTTCCACATTCGGAACTACTTACCGATGCACATAACCTCTCATGATTTAATTGCGACTCGTAGGCAAACAGTTCGGCAAGATCTGGCTTTTCTTTGGCTGTCGTCAAAAGGGTGCCGACCTCTACAGCCGCGAGAAAAAAGAGATGATGGACGCTGGAGTGCTGCACAAAGTCTTTTTGGCCTTGTCACGAGAGTGCGGTAAGAAAAAGGTGAGATTTCCTAATCGCACCTTGCCTCGACCTCACAAAACTTATTAACCTTCAATAGATGGACCGTTTTGATTGACTACCTCATCTTGGAGAATTTTCTGAGTCTCCTAATTTCATACACATTTTCTGACATCGACATCCCCAACTTATAGACAAATATTTTTTCTAGACCTACGTGCAAGATCTGATTCAAATGGAGTCATCGCAGGTATTCGACATGTTGGTAAACGAAGGTGGTCACTTTTACGTTTGCGGTGATTGTACAATGGCAGAAGACGTGTATCAAACACTGAAACAAATTATCCAGACCCATGGTGAAATGACAATGAAACAGGTCGAGGCATACATGCTGACGTTGAGGGTAAACGACTTAATATTTTTCTTAAAATATACTGTGATAGCTGAATACATATCATACGTCGTCGACGAGACTTAGGCTTTGTCGAATTAGCTTTAACATAAAAATCTTTTCAGGACGAAAACAGATATCACGAAGACATATTTGGAATAACCTTACGAACTGCAGAAGTTCACAGCCGGTCGCGAGAAACCGCACGTATCAGAATGACTACGGTGCCTTAGACAATTCTCGAAGAATATCACAATTACATATACACATTACATGTTGTTTTGACCTTATTTAAGTATATTAACAACGTCCTGCATGTATGACGTAAAGATTTCGCGTGATCGTTCCTTTCCATTCTTAGCGAAGCACAGTTAGGTGTTTTGCACTTCACAAAATTATACACCAATTTTATCGATTCGCGTGCACTTTTTACTGAATCTTAAGTAGTACTCAGGGTTGATCGAAGAGCATTGATCAAATAAATATGCTTGCACAAACACGAACGAAAGACAACGAAGAGGGCCTGATTACACGAGGAGGACTATCTACACTTTAGACCGTTCGGTTCTCTTCGCTGTCTTCACCTTACCTAGTAATACGAACTAATGTTTAAACTTACTTAAAGCTTCTAGTTATAATGAAGTACTTCATCCCGAAAGGCCAGAGCTGTTACTGCTTTCTGATGCCCTTGGTATTCCCTTTCCACCGTCCCAGATGACACATTCCAAAGCCTTGCAATTCCATCCGAGCAAGCTGAGGGAGAAAACGAAGTACGATTACCTTGTGTTCACTCTTCAATAAATTCACTGTAACTAAAAAAAGGATATACACTGTCAACAAACCTGTAAACACGTATTCCGAATCGGCACTAAAAGCTGCGTCCCAAACCCAACGTTTCGCATCGTGCTGTAACGATTGCAATTCTGAGAAGTCCGATGTCTTCCACACTCTAGCTGTTTGATCGGCCGATGTAGTCACCAATAAGCTGAACCAGAAATGTCAGGTTAGGCAGTTCGTGAATCTCTTTCTTGTATGTACTCTTAAAAAGTAAAACTTATCTCACCTGGAATCAGGGCTAAACCGACAACAAAGAGCATAGCGTTTATGTGCTACGAGCTTATGGTGAGGACTCAGACGTGTTGGTTCTTCGGCTACTCCTCCCGCGAGAACCCAGATGTAACAATGGCCTTTGTTATTGACAGCAGCCATGTACGTGCCATCTGAGTCTATGGCTATGTCTTGAACAGAGGCTTCCGCTTCTGGGATCTATTCATAAATCAGAAACCACAGATAGTAACAATGCTTCTTAGAAAGTCAATTTTTAAAATCCTTACCAACTGTTCGTTGTGATCTGAACGAAGGTCCCACAGATGTATAACTCCGCTCTGATCACCCACGATTAATTCAGCCTGATTCGGATGTAAACAAACACAGTTTACCGGAGCAGACACTTGAAATATCCTTTGACATTGAAGACTACTGGATCTATGCGACAAATTAAAAAAATTAATTAATTAATAAACAAGGAAAGTAACCACATTAATGTAGAATAATTCAGTTATTTACCTCAGATCCCATATTCTAGCAGAGCAGTCTTCACCACCAGTAAACATCCATTTTCCATCCTCCTAAAAATTAGAAATTAGATGTTAAATATATGATTTATACCTAGAAGAAGTCACTTATTTTTTACCTGAAATCCGAGTCCTGTAATATTCTTAGAAACGCCTTCATAGTTGATAACAGGATTAGGATTGCTAGATCCTAAATCGTACATACGAATGTGTTGGTAGCCTGCTGCAGCTATTATGAACTTGTCGGGTGTAATTTCGAGAGCATTTACTTGCTGCGTTGAAAACTTAGTTAAGGATAAAAATTGTCACAACAATTCAATGGATCATTCAGTGCAATAACTATTCTGCAGTGATGCTGCAATAATTCATGAAAATATACGAAAGGATACAGAATCTGCATGCTGTGCGGTGCGTATACACGTAGAGGTATGCGCCTGCCATATTTTAATCGTATGATCATAACCTCCAGTAGCCAAAATAACTTGCCCAGTCTTTAAGCCACTGTCGACGATCATCTTTACAGGAAATTGTCGACAATGATGATGGTAAAAAGGGTAATAACAATTTGTGTACAACGGCACCCAGCGTCTTCGTGATTATCCACGTGCGTCCTATCCCTCCGAGCTGTTCCGAAGGAGAGCGACTTGCCTAGTTATACCTAACCAACGCTTCGGGAGGAAGACCCTCAAGAGACCGCGTACCTTACTCGTATAAGAGTGTCCTTCTCGCACCTAGAGCGCGAAAGAGTGAGAAAGAGATCATGGTCTCTCGGCGGTCTAGGAGAGGGAAGCCTATCAGGCAGAGGAAGAGATACAGTAGTTGGTAAGTAGGTCAATAATTCATCAGTGGATCTTGTAGCTTCCTCCTCCTAGTCTACTAAGAGACCGTTCTATCTTTCTCGCACTCCTTTTCCGCATAAGTGTGAGCAGGACACACTTATACGAGTACAGTACAGAGTCTCTCGATTGTCTCTCTCTCACATCATGTAGAGCGTAATAGGTGACTTCGCGTTATAAATAATTTCAAACCTATCATTGCTCCTTCCCAAAAATTGAAATTATTTTTAAATCAGAGCTCAGGATTGGGAAAAAAGGCTGAAGAAGGCGAATAGACGTTTCGTCCGGTTCAGTCCGATTGCTGAATTTTTGCCGCAGGATGATTCCGTAATGATGCACTTGTGTGCATTTATGACTCATTGAATTTGGTAAGCCAGCTCAATGCCATGAAATGTAGAGAAGCGAATTCCATAAAGGTGTACTGCTTTCAGGGAGGAGTGTGCGCGGATCAGTGTCCAATTGGCGATAATAGGTGTGTAGGGGCAAGTGATTTGTAGATGGTGGTCGAGAAGGGAACACCTGTTGCATTTTTGACAAAGCTATGGCACACCTGCTAAAGAACGTAACTAACAGCATCTGGCACGCCTTCCACGCACTGGAAGGAGATCCCCCAGGGATCGTTACCAAGTCGAAGCTAAAGGTAATCCAACGAGTTTTTATCTTTAGGCGTGGTTAGTTTTACATCTACCAAGAAAGCCTTTCCAAGCAGAGATAAACCGATACAAGTAAATACGAGTATTCACTCGACACTCGTTTTAATACCAACTATCTTTAATATCAATATTTTCAGGTTCTGACAGCCAATATTGGAACGCTGATGGATCTGTATGGAGTGGAGAAAGGTCTGGAGCATTTTCGCAGCACGCAAACTCTAACGTTTGAACAGTTCACTTACTATCTACAAAAAGAGGTAATTGCGAGAGTCGGAGTATAAGTAGTACATTGTAATTAATTGTTTACCTGCTCGTTAGGTGTTCTCGTCGCTTACTGAAGCAACTCCTATACAGACATGCCGTTCGTTAGAAGAGGGCATAGATGAAATCTGCTGGTTGGTGTGCCGAAAGGGATATCTGGACAGGGCACATCCTGTTTTCGAGGATCTCAGTGTCTATAGGTTGTTCAGAGTATTTTGCCTACTTGCTGAAATAGAAACTGATGCAGCAGGTTCCTCCTACATGGTGCGTAACTCATTAAGGTGCTATGAAAGCAGTATCTGTTTAAAATTTGACCATGTGAAAGTGCTAATCGCATTAAAAACCAAAAACAGGTAACGATGCACAGCGAGGAGGTTGCAGAAGTTGCATCCTACATTGTGACATCGCTGGGTCTTCAGTGGGATGCCACAGACTTCTCGGCACTGGCTGCAGCCATCGGCATGTTTAGGTATTCCTTTCAAGAATTTAATACCCAAAACCTATAAATTTCATTCCGAAGAGCACTAAGGTAACTAACAAACCAATCGTCACAGCCGGTAGAATTGAATCGCAGTCAAACTTTCAAACAATACCATCAGCCTTTCGGAATGAAATGCAAAGCAATCGTTCTTTTCGTTTCATCGTTCCATTTAGCAAACATATTTCGAAAAAGATTCCCAACATTTCTGGCAGTGTTGGAGTCGAAGTACAGCGGAGGAGGCACTCTGGATAATGCAGCACTGACCGAAGTCATCGACGACCTTCACCAGATCTACGTTGGCGATGTGATAAAAAAGGTGAGGTCCCATTGACTTCCTTTAACACCTTCGTTTTTAAAAACGTCCTAATCACGTCGAAATTTTAATTAGGGATATTTGACGAAGAAGGGATACCTCCTCCCCACACTGAAGTGCTTCTTCTTCGTTCTGCGCCCTGGTGAGCTGACGTACTACAAAGACTCCCAGCAGAAAGAGCCATCGTGTGTAATCCAGCTAAACGCTAACTGCTGGGCAGACGCAGCAGCCAATGGTGGGAAGCCGGAGAGACGATTCGTCCTGAGCACTCCCGAGCACAGGTGTATCGAATTGGTTGCGGAGGATCACAGAGGCAGACTGCAGTGGTTGGCTGCGTTGCAAATCGCGATTCGCCATTCCTCGGAAAAAATTGGCTACCAGAGAAGCCTCGCAAACCAGAGAAGGTCCTCTCGACAGGTAAGTGCTCCAATGATAACCTCAAACCTGTCATTGGGTGGCAGTTTTCATTTCTTGCATTCCTTGCACTCCGTACCCAGGCTGCCAAGCAAGCATACGAGGAAACAAGATTGGAATTACAACACGAGCGCCAGGCAAGGATCGCTGCAGAGATCCAGGCCAGAAACCTGGCAGCGCTCTCGAAGGAAGAAGGGGCCAAAGTTCAGGAACTGGAAGTGGTCAAGCGGAAGCTAGAAGTGTTGTTGCAGGAAGAGAAGCAAGCTCTGCGCGACGAAGAAATAGGTATAGAATACTCAACAAGATTGGATCACCGTATTTTACGTTTCATATAATTTCTGTCCTAACCGTGGGTTTAATACAAGTCCTACGTTTCTTCAAGTTCGAGGTCTACAGGCGAGGGTCCTGCGCGAGGAATGGGAGAAGCGAGAGCAGCTGGAGAGGCTCCAACAGGAGCAGCAGGAGCTTCTGGAGTCCGAAAAGCTGAAGAGGATGGAGTTCGAGAAGAAACAGCAGGAGAACGAGCACCAACTGCAAGGTAAAGTTGGGATTGCGTGTAATCATAAATGTCGGAACGTGGCGCGTGATTTCAATTGGTACCCCGGTTAGACGAATTTTCCATCAGGAACGATCTCTTGCCGAATTTCGCTTCACCTTGATGACCGAATAACGAAGAAATTCATTTAAACAGAAGCTCAGACACGACTGAAGCAGCTGGAAGCTGAAAGGCAGAGTCTGGACGCGGAATTGTCGGCTGCGCGCGAGAAGGCTCGACGCGCAGAAGAGGCGCAAATCCTTCTAGAAGCCCAGATCGTCGTCACTCGACCCCTGAAGACCGCCGAGAGGATAAGACGCACCAGAAGCTTCGTGCCGACAACCAAAGAGAGGCCTCCGTCCTTTGAGGACTTGGACAAACTCGCGGCCTTCGGCCGGAAGAATTGCTGACAAAGCCTTCGACGCATTTTATTCTAACCGAGGGGTTATTCACTCAGGAAATTATGGATTTTAATGCTGGAAATCACTGAAAATCACTGTAAATCACCGACACATTCTCTCAATTTAAGGTCGAACCTTACCTCCTATCAAATCTCATTGTTCATCATATGAAATCAAAGGCAATCGGTTCTCAAAGAAAGAAATAGTTTTCACTGATTTCCGAATGAATAGCCCCTCGTATTTTACATTACAACGAAACCCCGAAATTGCGTCGAGCTTGTGGACTTTCAGAGTCAACTAATCGAAATTACGACGAAATTACAACGAAACGAACTGAATTTATGTGATATACGAATGCGTGGAACGAAAGCGAGATGTTCCTCGACCTTGCCTTACTGCCGGCATTCCAAGCTTAACGCGATTGCAGGCAGAAATTGATAACGTTAATGTATTTCTCGTCGTGGACGGGACTATTATTTTATAATCTTCTACGGAGACGAGGTCCAACTCGATGTTGAGTTCCGGAACCCGTGTCGAAAGTATTGAGATCGTCGAGCTTAACCGTTTACCAGGGTACTTTCATGCCATGAGGAGTGCTTCCAAAGCTCGTGCTTTATCTCCTGTATATACACTAATTGTATTCTAAAACAGAGGATTATTATTCTAATATTAAATACTCAGGAAGGAAAGTGTGTAATTAATTCCTCAACGTCGAGATGTAGACTAAGATATACTCCTGGCTTACGGCGCTCATGTATCATCCACGTTTAAATTCCTTCTGGGTCTCCCAGTCTTCCTCAGTATTTATAACCTCTTTTTTGTATAATTTTGTATAATTTTTTTGTATAATTCCCGAGTGAATTATCTGAAAACTGAGCTAATCAAGCCGAGCCTAACGACCGAGGCTATTGATCAAACACGAACGCGCGTTCACCTTAGTTGGCCACGCGAGTGATACCCGAATGGTTTGTTATCAAGACCTGATAGTGTAAATCGGAGCAGCAAAGTCGGAGAGAAAAGAAATTATATAGAAATGCCGCCGAAAAAGGGAAAGGGCTCCAAAATGGCTCGCATGACGGACGAGGAACGGGCTCGATATTTACAACACCGCGCCGAGCTGGAACTCGAAGCGAAAAGGCGTAAGCAACAATTAATCGCCGTCTTCACCAAGGTGTCTATCCCTACAAATTGTCTGACAGACGAAGACCTTGTAATTACATGCAGTAGAGGTTCGCCACCCTGACGGAACTTTCTCCCTTTCAGATAAAGCTAAAACACGAGGAGGCGTTTGCCAGGCTCAACCTGGCGAAGATCAACGAGCAATGGCGACTGATACTGCGTCGCATAAAACGTAAGGAGCTCCACGAGGAGACCGAGTATATGTGGAGAAAATTCGACGCCACCCTGGAGGCCAAGGACGCGGTCATTCGCCGGTTGTACGAAGAGCTGGAGAAGGCGGACCTGGACCACAGGAGACTCGAAGAGGCGCACATGACGATCGTCGACGCGATCATTGGTGCCTAGTTCGGAATAAAGAAGTTGTATAAAAACGAGACTTTTCAGAAGTCACTTTCGCGTCACCTTGATCGGGCTTCGTTAATCGACAGGGAATCACAAGAGGAGATTGCAGGCTCTTCGAGGTGGCTATTCCCAAGCCCTGATGGACATAGAAGCGAACGATGCCGAGGAAGTGGATCGTTCTCGAAGGATCCTCCAGGAGGAGATGGAGCACATTGGATGCATAGTCTTCATCCAAGGCGAGACCCTGAAGAGCATCCTGACGGAGACGGGGATCCGTAACGCCATAAGGACGCAGTACATCGAGCAGGCGGTAATCCTGTGGAACGGGAGGTTCAATAAGTATTATAAGTAAAAAAAATAACATTAAAAAAGTTGCCATAACTATGGGTTTGAAATATTTGTTGAATATAATCGTGTAACGTTGACGCTTCTTCTGGTCTCCGGAGCCACTCCAAGCCTCCGAAGAAATGTTTAATCTCTATCGATGGACTTGAAATATTTTCTTTTAGAGAGACGAAGCCATCTCCCAGCTCGAGCACCAGGTCGTCAGCGAAGCGAACGAGCTCTGGTCGCAACTCAACTTCGTAATCTCAGAGTACGAGTCCTCGACCGACGAGAAGCGAAAGCAGTACGAGTTCATGAAGAAGAGGGACGACTTCTACAGGGCCGAGAGTACGCGGTTCCACAAGTCGGAGGCACATCTTCTGGAGACGATAGACAATCTTAAACACCGCCTGAACGTCCTGAAGAGCGACAGGGAAGGGACTGTGACGGAGCTGAACGATCGGCTGCAGGGTCTGGAGAAGAGGATCTGCCAGCTCCGACAGGAGATCAAGCTCTCTCGAACGACCGATGAGCTGCAGCTGAAACGTCTGAGCGTCCTCAGCGGCAAGGTGTTAAAAGTAATTGACAATAATCTAAGCACAAAGCACGAGTTCTCTCCCCTTGTCGAGTTTTGCCAGCCTCCGTGCTCTTTCACACTTGACAACCTAACCTATTCACCTTAACCTTCAAAATTCACTACGGCAGGATTTAAGAGGCATCCTGGAGAAAGGTGCAGCGTTGCAGCTCTTGGTAAGAGTGTGCTCTAACCTGGAGCCGGCATCCGTAGTTATAAAGAAGTACTCTCTTCATCATTCCGTAGCAGTGGTGGAGTCATCTGCGAAGCATGTAAGCGAAACCAATGAAAGTTCTCCAATGAAGTATTTATTTCGGGCGATAAGGCGATGGAATTTATATAAAAGTCTTGAACCGACAGGCGACGAATCCCTTCAACAAAATGGAGAGATTCTGGGAACGGTACAACCATGTGAAAGCGGAAAATATCGAACTGCGAAGGGAGCGTGACAGGTTGGCCACAGAGAATATACGACTGAGACATACTCTGCGAACCTACCTCATCGCAGTGGCAAGATCGTCCAATCATCGACCTCGAACGTGCTCGTAGAACGTTCACGAGATTAAATACGAACGCTTACTTACAATAAAACCACCTCGAATGAGACTATTGTGATGGAAAACTGTATCACCGTGACACCAATCTTGAACTGGATCTTCAGCGATGAGTGAAAATTCCACCTCCGAGTGTCAAATACTTGTACGGTCTGGCACGAGTCCTTCCTTTGACAGGATGAAAGAAGATCTTGTCACGTGGCATTATGCCTTCGGTCTCTAAATATATGTCATAGCAGGCTCTCAGGCGTTGGATCTGCATCGTCAAGGTAGGTGGCTTTTCCCACATGACGTTCACCTCCCTTTCGATGTCACGCAGGCCTTCTTTGGTCAACAGTGATGACTGAGTGGCACAAATAGCGATCAAGGGTGTGACCTTTGGGTAATCTGGCTTAATGGCGATTCGGGCAGTAAGCTCATCTGAAATAAATATTATCAACTAAAATAATTATGTACATTGCTGCGAAAAAATAATGTATTAAAGGTGAGAGCGTAATAAAATGTAATTTTAGTTAAAGAAACTGACGATTATTCCTTCGTAGTGCAGCTTCGTAGAAAATATCGACTGGAGTGACCAGTCCTTGCTGACAGAAAGCCTGCGTTTCCTGACAAGCACTGTACATCTTCCAGGATAAATTAGTGAAGTGGTGCAAGTACGTGGCGACAGTTTGAGGCACCGGATCGGAGTCACTAGCGAGAATCTGCAAATTCCTTGAAACCAGTTGTCGTATCTCGGTGCACAGGTCTAACCTCGCTTTGACCCGTCGTTTAATCTCTTTCAGAACGTTCTCGACATTGTGCTGCGCTAATTTTTGGCTACTAAGCTAAATAACGAATAACTGTTAGAGCAGGAATTAAGAGTAGTCAATAATATTTTGTGAAAGCAACTGTACCTTCTGTTCTTCAACATCGGATGAGACAAATCGAAGACCAGCCATTCTCTGAGCCCACCGATAAGGGATGCCTAATCCTAGAGATGAAATGGGACCCAAGTTGTGCCGCATCAATTGATAATTATTCGCAGGGTTCGGACTCTCTATGCCCAAATCCTTTGGGTACAGTTCTCGTAGAATCGAGTCCGACATCAGCATCTCCCTGTGGATTGCGATCAGATAACTCGTAGGTCGATTTACAGGAAACAAAATTGAAATTTATAAGTAAATATGAGGTTCGCACTTACTCGAGTCCACTTCCTCCTAAACCTTCCACTTCAGTGTCCAGTTTTGATTCAACCGTTACCACTTTTAAATAAGTCATGTAGAAGAATTGCAATGTCATTTTTGTTTCAGCTGAAACCAATTTGAAAAATGCACAATGAAATAATCCCAAAACCTTCCACCTTGCGTGAGCTTGAAGCTTACGTTTTATGATGATAACGATTTTAATGCTAAGTGGATGCCTGTGAAGTATCCTGGATTTTTTCTCCTCTTGTCTAGCCTCTTTTGACAACCTGTGGTGCCTCTTTTTGTGAACCGGTGTCTCTTCGACAACGTTTTCTGCCTGTGTCTCCATGTCAGAATCTGATTCTTGCTGACCATCTTGAGATGTTGTACGCTTCGCCTCATCCTCGTCACCTTCGACACTTACCATTAATAATGAATCTGAAAATTAATTGAATGTAACGTCACTGACATTCTAACAATTGTGCAATTATACAAATACTTGATCTGTCAAAATACCATAAGCGTCTCTAAATGCTGTAGCTTTCACATATAAAACATAGAGTGGCATTGCCAGCAATGAAGCTTTCTGGTGTTCTTGTCTAATTTTATCCAATGGTAATCCGAGACTTTCTTGAAGAGGTTTACTTGCCTAAAAAAAAAAAAGGATTTATAGAAAACTTCTCAAATACAATTTATATACGATCAACACTTACCTCCAATATCTGTCGAAGTTGGGGCGCTAAATTATCTAAGCGTGATTGTTTGGTCTCTATATTTGCCGCAACTCCTTTTTTACTTTCAGTTAACTCATCACAGAGAGACGCAAGCTGTTTTCTCTGAGTTAGTTCCCACTCAAGACGAGCCAGTCTTAACTGATGAGGATCATTCTTTGTTACAGCCTATCAATGACGGTCAATAAACGATTAAAGAATTATATAAAGAAAAGTGTATACTTCAATTTTAGTGAACATTTCAACTCACAGGTCTTGAAATGCTTTCTGGTGCTTCCTTATAGAATTCTGCTTCCGATACCAATTCGATTGCCTCGTCTTTTGATCTAAATAAACAAGTCGACATTAGAAATATTTTAATAAATGCTATTTAATACAACATACATACTTAAACTGAAGACACTTTAGGACTTCCTTCTTCAAATGCATGACCTCGTACAATAAATTTTGTAAATGTAGATGCCGACTATCTACATTGCTCTTAGCAGCAATAAGAGAATCCCTTGCAAACTTTGTCCTGAACTTCTCCATCCTATTAAGTTTCTTTAATTCCATGAACGCCAGAGATACCTCAATTTGCAGCTCACGAATATCTTCCTTTACCTAAGACGTCACAAATATATTACTTCAGTGATCGGCAACTTACCACAGTCTATTACCTAATTCAATACATACATTGTCATCCCCACTGGACTTCAACTTTGCTATTTTATTCATTCCTCTTCTGATACTATCACAGGTCTTCAGAAAAACATCGTAATCATTCTCTGGAGTTCGATCCATGGCCTCTTTCTCTTCGTAACTTATTATGGTCTAAAAAAAAATACATCGATACGTTATCGAATAACCTTTGTAAGAATCTTGAGTATACATTTTCTGATTTCATTATTATCAAAGAAATCGAGAATCGAACCTTATACATGTCTCCATCCTTTACAACAGTCCCTGTGGTAGTTCCGCCGACGCTGACGGATTTTCTCCGCTTCTTCGGCGGCTCCACCTCGTTTTCCTTCCCCATGACTTGGAACTCGTCGGTTTCCTTCAAATTTCCCGAGCGACCGATAAGCTGCAACGAAATTCCACTTAATGCACGCCGCGACTCGAAAATTCGCCGTACAATTTATAGGTTAAGTCGGCTTCGACGCGGTTTGTCCGTTTACCATAACCCGCGCCATCGCACCATCGACAGTCCTCTATCTTGACCGACCTAACCTCAATTCCAGAACAGCATCAACCTCCCAAATTTTTATTCAACTATTCCATAAAAAAGAACCCTGTCTTAGGAGGAGCAGTAATTTAGCATGTCATATCCTACGTGATCTTAACAGGAAAAGAAAGAAAAAAAATTAATTGACCCCGACGTGATTTGAACACGCAACCTTCTGATCTGGAGTCAGACGCGCTACCGTTGCGCCACGGAGTCATGTACTAACTCCCTCTGTCATACCTTAATTTCTTCTCTGCCCGGATGAGGTAATTATTTTTAGCCATTGTCGCATCACCGATCGCTGTTTTAGAAAATACAAAACATAATCGGTACAGTGACGTCACGTATGAGAGGTTTATGATTGATGAAGAAAAACGCTAGTCCAACAGTCATGCTCAATTAATTTTATGTCCCGTGATTTTACGTTTTATTTGCTTTCGTTCTGTTACGATCATTATTGGCATCGATCGGCATCGACCAGCATCGACGGTCGATAAATACGGCGAGTGAATTCGATCGTATCGACATTCCTCACGTGAGTGACTTCGACGCCGTTGATTGGCGCCACGTGGCCAATTAGCATTTGGGAACTTCCCTGGGAAGGGCGATGAGCATCTGTGATTGGCTGGATCTGATTCCCCGTGCCGCCAATCGGAGCCGCTCGTTTCTACTTGTCGCGACGCGCGGATGGCGCGAAAATTTGAGAAGGGAGGCAAATCACGGGTTCGATAATCGAAACTGCAGGTTTCCAAGATGGCCGCTTTGCAGCGCAAAGCACTGCCGCGAGGAATCAGGTGAACGTCGACCAGACGGGAGAATTCGCGAGCTCCGGAATTGCCCATAATGGCAAAAAACTCGAGGCACGTCGCGGAGAAGTGCATTTCCGGGGACGTGCATTTTTCGAGCGGTCAGAAAGAGGTTAGGCCTCGCTAGAGGCGGGTGGCCGGCTCTCGGAGACGTTTTCCGAGACGGACGGGAAGAGCGCAGCGCACTGTCGTTAGCGGGAGCAATTTTTCATGGGATTCCAGTAGAAATAGTCGACGACTATTTCCTTGACGAGTAGAGTCGTCAGCGAGACGGTGCCCGGTGCCTCCACAACTCCGTCTGGCTGCAGCGGTGATACGTAAACAATCACCATGGCGAAGTACGTCAGTTGCATAACTAAGTTATCTAATTATAGCGCTAAAGAGAGCGGTGTGGTTCAACGATAATTCATTGTTTACTATTGCTACTACGGTGCCTTTCTGAATGATTTACTCCGCGCATTTATCGGTGCTGTGATATAACGGGTGCATCTCTCGACTTCCACCGACTTGCATGCCACATGTCCCTCTTTGGTTCCTTAATTTTCGTGAAAGACAATGCTGATTTTAAACTCGTGTAAGTCCTGCTTCTCTCGAGGCTCTAATTGAGTCGTTCAAACAGGTTTTACCAGTTACGGTCAGAATATTTACAGTTGGATGATTAGGAATTATTATAATCGCAGGTGTATCTAAAGGTACACAAGCTCATTCTTGACTACTTTAGTCTTGACAATTAATTATCAGTGTCATAGAAGAATGTTGTTGCACCACCACCGATAGGATAATTAAGTTGGACATCGAAGGCCAGTAACGACGTGACTGTTTGGATGAGAAACCTGTTGGCTTTGCAAATGCTTAACTGTATATTATAATGTAAAGAAATTGGTGATCCTATGAAAAATGTGTTTTGCCTAGCTGACATTTAAATTGGAAGTGAACATATTGTCAGTGAGTGTCGATATTGTTACAGGGAAATGATGATAGTTTTTGTCTATGACACGGCAAGGTGTCGTAAAGAGGAGGATGACCCTGCCGAGGCGGTCGTGTACTTTCATCCAGCTTGGGTGTCTCCGACACAGAGATTGGCTCTTGCGGGTCAACTAATGGGAGTCAACCAGTTTCTCACCACGTCGTTTTCTCCTCCATCCACAATTTCCCTGCAAGGCGGTAAATTTGTTATGAAGAAGTTCGGACAGTTCATGCTCGTAAGTCAACCCTTAATCGAGAAAGTTTTTAAATGGATAACAACGACGATGCACTGCAGTTACAAATTCTTAACGGGTTGCGTAGTTATCTGTAATTGCTTGTAGATATCTTAAAATACTCTTGCGATCAACAAGAGGTTGAGTACGTTCATTAAGCGATAATTTATCTTAATTATTCCTCATAAGTGTTTCCTTATAGACATTAAGTTTATTTCAGGCAGTTGGGACGGACAGAAATATCCAGGATTGGATTCTGCTGAGGAGAATGAACACATTGGAGTCGATATTGAAGTTTTTCCACTGCGACTTGGAAACAGTATCGGCATCTCTGAACAACGACAGAAACAGATTAACTGAAAAGCTATATCAAATGTTTGAGACTTACTTGCCCATACTGCAATATAGTGCCGGTTTATTTTCAAGCATCCCCAACATGAAACTCCCAAAGGTTTAGAATCTCATCTAAGCATTTTCTACATGTAGAAAAGAAAAACAATTCTTTTGTTGTTTAACCTATTTTAATGTTTCACAGAGTGCGAGCAACATATTCCTGGAGGCTATTCAAGTTTTACAATATTGCCAAGGAACCAATGGTATTATGGCTGGAGCAATGTTTTACAACAATAAGTATGTATCATCATTCCTTGGTAAAATTAATCCACCCTTTATAATTAATCAAAACTTGTTACTGTCAGAGTCGTTGCTACACAGTTGAGTGCTGACTTAACGAAACAGTTAGTAATAGCCGATCCATATCGAATAAAGGTATGTTTTTCTATAAATGTCCTTAAAACACTATTTCCATCATGTACTTTTAAACTTGCCACTTCGATAGGTACCTGCAGAGAGAATATCAACTGAATTCCATCTACCCATCGGTGTCCAGCTACTGCGTGTCTACATCCAGCGAAGTCAACTCTTAGAGCTGACACGAGTAGCAAATACCGAGCGTGCGCACAGTTCTCACCTTGATTTAACAAAGAAAGTACCGTTCAAAAAGGTATTGTGTATAGATTAATAAATTGACTTTTATTCTCTGACAGTTGGGTTGTTACGAGAGTACGGATCAACGTTTCAGAGCTTATCGAAGAGTGGCATCAAGGACCTGCCTGTCTCGGGAATGAAGCGCGACACTTCGCGGATATTCACAGTCCCCGAAGAAGGAGAACTGGAGTCGACACAGTGCAGTATAGTTCCTCCTGTTTTTCAACCAAGTGCAGTTTACGTGCCCCCAGTGAAACGAAAGCAGGAAACCAAGGTGGACCATCCCAAATATACAAACCCACCCACTCCGAGTGTATGTTCGACTCCGTTGAAGGACATCAATCGGGTCCTTCATGACACAGCAGTGTCAATTTGCAGCACTGCGGAGGAAATCGACAGAAAGAATGCAGAGAAGGGCAAGGAGGAGCTGAAGGAAAATATAGACGACATTCCAGACGTCGTTAAGGAGGCTCTCAGGTACAAACGAATAAACAAACTGAGAAACGCTCCTCCGAAGGAGCGACAAATTAGATACAAGGAGTCGGACAAGAGGAGCCTAAGCACATCAGACCTGGAGGAATCCATTCGAAAGTACTCCAACAGAGTGACACTCAGATATTATTGTCTAGGACTTCCGAAATTGAACGACGATCTGTGCACCGATTATGGCCCGGACTCGATTAAGCCTAAACATCGAAAGCAGTTTTTTAATACCATCACTGACCCATACTATCCAGTGTTTCGATACGATGGTCTCCCTGTGTCTCGGTCCTTGTACGATAATTATATCGCGTCACAGTATCAGGAAGTGACAGATGAAAGCGAGGAAAGTGTCAAGTCACCAATGACTAATAGCTATAAAAGTTTACATACTGCTAATGTGATAAATGATGCGTCTGGTATCAGCGAAGGGTCAGTCGAAGCTTCTAAAGATTCTTCTTTCCTGGACCAGAAGGTTAAGGCTCCATTGGACTTCAGATTGGAGAACAAAGTCAAGCAGGAGACGTACAGGAGGTCCATGAGTCTCCCTTTGAAGTCTCTGAATGCCCCGGAGGATGATGACAGGCGAAAGTCTACTTCGGAGTGTGACAGTGTTTTCAATCTGCCACCGAGGAGGAAACTGGACGGTCTGCAGTTGACACCTCTGATGTCTAAGCTCAGTCTTCTGGCGGATGAGAGAACCAGTGGATTTTGTAGCAGGGAAACTACCCCGAGCGAGTTTAGAGATTTCTCTGGCTTCTCTGCTGGAACCAACCAGCTGATAAAGAGCAAACTCGAAGCTGTCAGCAAGGAAGCTGGGAGTGACGGAGAGGACGACCTCGACGAGGACTGGGTGACATCCGCCGAAGAAGACAGCTGTTTACAGAAGGTTGAATTGTTTCTTTGCGGACACCAAAATATGGTCCTTGTTTTGCTGATGGAAGATGGCACTGGGAATAATCCGGATCTGATACATTCATTGGTGAGCTTAAAAAAATTATCTAGCAACAGGACGCATGGCGCTTTAACCTATATAAACAAATCTAAATGTCAGGGGTTACTTTCTTTACTGGGGACTTAATATTTATTAGTATCAACGATGATTTTTCTGGACTAATTGGAAAACTTTGAGTGTAGTGGGAAACCTGTGTGAACACTTTGGGCAGTCTGGAATTGAGGCTGCAACAGACTTTGGAGCCTCAGCCTGCGACGGATAACAAGGAACTGTACAGTGTACTCTGTGTCGATCCACAATGGGACACCGTACATAGATCAGGGTTGTGGGGTGTGACGGAGCTGGAAATCATCTCCTCGCTGCATGACAAGTTCTCACGTTCCTGCAATCTCACTGATATTGTGGTCAGGTAATTATTCTCCTTTTACGTAGACTCGATTCTAACCTCTAGCGATTTATATTTTTGCAACTGTTAGACGTTTATTGATATTGAGGAAAGAAAAATCGACGTGTCTCTTCTGTTGTTCGTTAGAACGGAAGACACGGTCGTTTATGGTAACCAGAGTGGAAAAGTCGAGGTATTCTACCAACAAGCCGTGGCACCAAATGCAGTCGGAGGACTTCCAACTCCTGCGGACTTAATGGGAGTTGTACCCTTAAAGGCTAAACGCAGACTGGAGAGGGATCATGGAATCATATTGCTGTAAAACTCGGTAACGTAGGCTCGTTCTATTTAAGGTGATATGAAATTGTTCTGCGAAGCGTCAAAATATTTACAAAACTTTTCTCCGAGCTGGGTGTACCGAATAATCTGATTATATTATCACTCGAGTATCCAAAATGAGTATAGTTGAAAAGGGTATAGATAAATTATGTTTTATCGGCATCAATTGAATTTTATAGCACTTTTCATTTCACCTTAAATGCAACTGTCCTTTTCTATATAAAGGCAGTTCGATAACATTGACAACAGGTATTTGTCCGTTTGTCTGTATAATGAGAAAGAGGACTTTTACAAGGTATGGAGACGCAAAACAGCGTCCAGCCATTTTAATCGCGATTCGATATTAGATATTTTAGCAAGTGATCTCTATTGACATCCCTTTAGGGCGATACGATCTAACATTTCCGCTTTGCTATTTAACAGTGTATAAGTAATCGGTGGATAATGGGTACATGGTCAATGTTGGGTAACGACACGAGCCTACACGCATTGGTCTTTTATATCGTTATTTTTTATAATGAAACGTATTAATCATGGATACATATGTGTGTCTGTACATAACTGCGAGTTAAGGTATAGTTAATTTCATCGATAAGACAGTTTGGCTACATGGATTTTCACTTTTTCACAAATTGCGCACCTGATTGTTGGATGTACGTGGACAGTTTTCGCGTATTCGGAATAGCTAATTGTTAAATATATTATTCAGTGGCGTCGTGAATAATTATGTAATTACATTACGCTGCGTCACTTTGTCTTGACCGTGAGACAGGATTTATTTATTTGTTGTTGTACTTTGTTGTCGAGAATTTTCGTTATCGTGGATCCAAGTGTTTTGTAAATATTTTCGTGATGGCGTGTCTACGATTTGAATCGTTTAAATAGTTAAGGAGTTACGTTTGAGCGTGTAGAATAGAAAATGCTCTTGTACGAGTCTACGTGTCGAGGAACCAAAATCACGTCTTGATATCAGCAATTCCTTTAAGTGCAGACCGAAGATCTGAACATTAACGAAGAGTAATATCTTTAAAGCAATAGTGGCACCTTCGAATCTAGAAGTTCCCCTATTTTGTAAGACTTTTCTGACAAGCGAGAGGTGAAAGATCTACATGGGATATTTAAGCAACTTCGTCACATTCCTGTTGGCTTTATAATTGTCAAGCTTAGTATTTTACACGGGCCAGGATTCCATCGCCTAACGATTGCAGTCGATAGTCCTTTAGCAAGCATGTGTACATGAGACTAGTAATTTATTCGTCCAGATTCTGTCCTTAGTGCCAACGGCAGCTTTGCTTAGCGTACCGCATATACCGATACGTCTTTATAATTCAATTAATTCAGGATGTACCTTGTACGCAAACGTTGACGACGACGTCGATGTTTTATCAGAGTGCACGCAACGTAACATATCACGTTTTCTAAAGGGAACCCGATGCCACTCGTATTTTTGTTAAGTTTGACTAATCGTCGTTCCGTGGGGAAGTATTTTGTACGAGTACGTGCAGTATTAAGAAACATATTTAAAATACGAATGCTAAAGATGCGAGAGTCTGTAGCACTTGTGTACAAAGTGTAACCGATGTTACCATTCAACTTCTCCGGCTCACAGTTAAAAACTGTACACGAACTTAACCTAACCTTTACACATGGCAAGAGGAATAAACATAAGGATGTTTTGTAAAGAAATTGTACTGGTTACAAGCGGTTACAAGCCGTCGTTTCGTTGCAACTTCGAATTTAGACGTTTTGAGGCACTTTTTTTTAGAGAATTGTTCGGAATTACTCGAAATTAGAGCCGTAGAAGCATGATTTATACGGTACGATAAAAAGGCAGCGATTAGAGCGCTAACTAGTGCTTTCCCTGTTTATTATTAGACATTGTACTTCGGTAGGGTCTTTAGTATTCCGAGTAAAAGCGTAGGAACGTGTTTTGCAACTAATAGCGATAATAAAGTAACCGAATACAATCAAGCCAGAAATCGATGAACAATTAATACCCTGGATCTCGCTCAATTTCTTCATAATGTCAAGGCCGATGGCATTCTCCGAAAAAGTTTCCTCACCTTTTTATGCGTATGTTATACGCACTTCATATTCTACCAGAAAGAACGTAAATTACAGAGCGACAGACTAGGAAGGCATTACAGAGGCACTGCCTCCGATGGATAAATTTCTGTACATGTCAAGGCTGAACAGCTCCTCCGAAGCAATGAGGTGGCAAATTTCTCTCCGATGTGGTAGATTATTTATTTCCTTTGTAATGAAAAAATTGTCTTAGTAACAAGGAAAGAGATCAGTCAATTCTCGCTTTTTCGAGCCTTTTACCATTGACCCCGAAGGCGTATTCGCGAATAGTCCCGAATCTTGTACAGAGAGGCTGTGGAGTTTTCCGAAGACCTGGCGACAGAGAGTCCGACCAGTTAATTAACATATTCAACCATTCGACGCACTCTCCCATCGCGTGTAATTTACATTAACAGGTTTATCTGTTTACGAAGGAGATTGCGAGGTTCACGAGTTTGTGCTAGTGACTTTTCGCTGGTTACAGCATACCCTTGATGTTCCTGCGAAGTCAGCAAAAAAGAAAAACAATGACAGACTTGGCGAAGCTAAACAAAATATTAATTTCTATCTTCTAGAAAGTAATTTTTCTCACTCGGTGAATCTCTTTGTCTTCATTAAATATTTTTTGGACCTCATTGACATGAGTCGATAGGGGGAACGAAGACGTCCAACCTGCTCCACTTTGTCTTATGACATGTTAGACACTTATAGAGTAGATGTTCAGAGACTTGGGAGAGAAAATCTACATTTTAAGAGAGACGAGACGACTCCAGGAAGGAGCTCGACAGCCTTCGGAAGAGGCCGAGCCCGTGAGAATTTCTGGTTTGATCCTCGGATTCTCTGCCGTTACCGGGCGGCCGATTAATTTATTCAATGATATTTCACCCGAAGCCTGTTTCCAGTAAACAGGCCTCCACAGTCAACCAATGAGACGTCCGCTTCAAGACTGACGTGCATCTTATTTAAAGGAGATCCCATCGAAGAACTCGACGACACTTTCTCAGGATTCGGAGACAGAAGGAGGCAAGATGGTAAGCTCTCGAGAACACTCCTCGACACTCTAAAATTGGGAAAAACAATTATTTCACTCACAAATCTTAATAAAGCATCGAGTCGAAGCCAATCGACACTTTGGCGAGTTAGGAACGTTTTTCCTTGATTCCATTCTTTTCTTTTTTTTTTTATTTCAGACCACCTACACGGACAAGGGGCCCAAGGTGAGTAACCTGGGACGCAGCCCATGACCTGGGTTAAAATAGATAAGTATTAATCACGGTTCTTTACTCCAGCCTCTCGCAGGGAAGTTTCGCAGCTTCGATCACCTGAGATTCTGGGTTGGCAATGCTAAACAGGTGAGAAGAGGTGAAATATTTCCGGATAGGAAATAATTTCTTGAAACATTAGGACTCTTCAAGGTCTTCTCCCTTTTAGGCAGCGGGATTCTACTGCACGAGGATGGGGTTCTCACCCATGGGGTATCGAGGCTTTGAGACTGGCTCGAGAAGGACTGCAGCTTATGCCGTGAAACAAAATCAGGTGAGTCGTTATGCTCTCTTCTGGAGGGAAAGATTTAATTCATCTTTATCATTTCCTAGATCGTGTTCGTCTTTGAGGCAGCCTATGAGCCGGACGATGAAGAAATGGCCAGCCACTTGTCTCGCCATGGTGATGGGGTTCGGGATGTTGCTTTCAACGTAGAGGACATCGATGCTATAGTGAAGGTAGGTTGATTTTAAAGTCACTGGATCGATGATGTTTAATGATGGCCTTTTTTTCTTGCAGGTCGCCAAGGAGAGAGGTGCCAAAATCGTGAGAGACTTGTGGGAGGAGAAGGATGACTTCGGCACTGTACGCTTCGCTACTGTTCAAACTGTAAGTCAACGGTCTTGAATAAGATGAAATGTTGTGGAGAAATGGCCACTTTAAAGTGCAACTTTGAAGTGGTTTTAAGTGATCGGAAGGTCTTGAAGAAGGAATTCTTCTCACAAGCTTCGATGACCAAATTGTATGTCGACAGTACGGTGACACTCTTCACACGTTTGTGGACAGAACGAATTACAAGGGGCACTTCTTGCCAGGATTCAAGAAACAGGCTCCAGAGGTCTTCTCCAAGTTGCTGTGAGTAGTCGACACTGATTCTCTCCGAGGTGGAAGTGGTGTCAGAGATGCTTCGAGCCACCTGAAAGGAGGGTTAAATTCAATGTTGAAAAGTAGGGTTAGGATTTTATACACACGTGGATCTCCTTGCAGGCCAGCCACCGATCTGCAGTTCATCGATCATGTGGTGGGAAACCAGCCGGATGGTGAAATGGAGAGTGTCGCGAAATGGTAATCCTTTTTTCCCCGTTGTTTAGAAACTCCTCTTCCTGCATTTTGTTAAGAGTCCCTGTTTAATCGCACTTTGGCTGAGATGCAGTTCATAGCCACTTAACTTTCTTAATCATTTCCCAGGTATGAGAAGTGTCTGCAGTTTCACAGATTCTGGTCAGTCGATGACACCCAGCTGCACACCGAATACTCCGCACTGAGGTCCATCGTTATGACCAACTGGGAGGAAACCGTGAAACTCCCTATAAACGAGCCAGCACCCGGCAAGAAGAAATCTCAGATACAAGAGTACGTAGAATACTACGGAGGAGCTGGGGTTCAGCATATAGCACTGAATACAAATGACATTATCGCCTCGGTGAAGAACTTACGAGCGAGGGGAATAGAATTTCTTGACATACCCGATAGTTATTATGATATGTTGAAAGAAAAGCTGAAGATCAGTGCTGTCAAAGTCACCGAAGACTTGAGTGTACTTCAGGTAAGCTCTAGACGTTAAATTGAATGGGTTTTCTTGAGGACATAACAAGTATCGAGGTTGACTTTGGCGACAAGAGTTGATTTTAATCAATGGTCTTTCAGCAACTGAAGATCTTAGTGGATTACGATGAGAATGGCTATCTCCTGCAAATATTCACGAAAAACATGCAGGACAGACCGACGTTATTTATCGAAGTGATTCAACGACACAATCATAATGTAAGTTGAGGCTTAATAATTCTCAAATCGTATCGATGAATTTTTAGAATTCCACCCGATACATTACTATGGGTAACTTGCAGGGGTTCGGAGCTGGGAACTTCCAGGCTCTGTTCGAAGCAATCGAGTTGGAACAGGCAAAGCGTGGCAATCTGTAAAACAAATAATTCTAGTGATCAATATTTTTATTTAACGAGTACTCTGTCACCGCAGTGTCTCTTTGGTGTGATAAGCCAAACCTATAGAAACGTCAACGATTTGGAAAATAAGAAAAAATATCTTGTGATTACTAATGGATTAAGAGTCTAGTACATAACAAATATGGTTTGTATAGCGACGCATGGTTACATCGATGAAATCAATTATTTTTTAATAAACTTCCTTGCGTTGAGGAGAAACCTGTCAAAAGAAAATAACATTTTCCCCCACCAGCTCGCTCCAAAAAGAAAACCGACTCGTTAAAGGACAGCGCAAGTAATAGGATAAAATGATCTAACATGTTAGGTTACGTACAATGTATTTTAACATTAACTCTTGAATTACAAAAATACGTAGCACTAAGATGCTAAGAAATATGTTACAAAAATTTAGCAGTCCTGTCGAACGAAACACTTTGTGCTATGCACCAAATAATGTGGACTTATCGTTACGATAGAGATCACCATCTCTGTTGAGACTTCACTCTCGACCTAGACGTCAATACAAACGAGGAAATTGAGAAACGCCATACGGTTACTAAACTTGCATCATTTATTGTTAACACGCTTGATTTTGCAATGTAGTAGTAAGCGAGAAATTCTTTGTATAAAAATTGGTATCTATATAGATAGAAAGGTATGATGGGCATCCGAGTGCGGTGACACGAGGCCTCTTCGGCGAAAGAGAAAAAGGAAAAAAGTGGGAGAAAGCTCACTTATCTCTGTGTCTGGGGGTAACCGTGGCTCGATCATTGCTCGAGCTTCGCTTTTGAGCAAGTCGACCACTTTCCGTCGCTTTCCTTCTCATGCAGTGTCGTGTATGCCGAGACGAAAGATATCGTGCTGGCAGAAAAATGAATTCCCCAGTGGTTTCAGCACAAAGATCTGTGAGAAGGCGTGCGGCGGATCCTCATCAGCCTGAAATAAAAAATCAACAATGTCAATTGAAGGTGTTCTCAGAATTCATCGATGTGACACAGTCAACGATAAGTGAACTCCTAAATGTTATTAAATCGAACCGTTGTCATTAAGAGTACTAACAGCAGACATGCTTAAAATTGCCATTCTCTTAACAAGCTCAAAATTAAAGGATCGGAATGTCTAGTGAAGCCACACATCGCTGTACCATTCGATACGTGGTTGATGCTGTCAAATATTACATTTCTATCGGTGTTATAAATATACTAATGAGGGAAAATATCCAACTAAGAATTGCACAAATGGTAGGTTATGGTGAGGTTTGTTCTTTAACTGTGATCGATAAATTAATGGGAGAGCAGGCGTGACCCAATGGTGCAAAGCTAAGGGATCGCTGAGCTTGCCTGTACCACAATTCGTAGATTGATGCAGAAGATCTGTATCGAACGTTCCTAGACAGTGTCGTGCAGCGCGAGTCTGAAGATATCGTGTTGCACGAAAAAGCTGGTACCGATTGGCTTCAGGACAAATGTCTGGATATATGCATGGGGCTGATCCTCATCAGTCTGCCCAATCATCAACAATTACAACCAATTGAGTACCGTTACCTCACCTGATCCACATTTGCAATAATAGTAGCCGAACGCGCGATGTAACTCAACAATTCTACTTTTACATGGCAGCTTGGAAAGTATCATGCATCGAGGTACAGATATATGCCAAGTCCGACCAAAAACACGAGACTGCGAGCGATTGAGAAAACAAGAAGAAATGTCAAACGAAATTTCAAGTTTATTCACCTAGGCGCATTTATAGAATATTCGTGAGCTAATGCAAGAAAGAAAACCGTTAATCCCCACCAAAATCCAGAAAATGTAAGAATTTTGACTTTCTACAGTTTGACTCGAGGCGATCGCTATAAACAAACGATAGAATGCAGACCAAATTGAAGATCAAAAAATATAAAATTGGCTCAAATCCTTCGCTCTTGTCGTTAACTCGATCAGCTTAGCATTGAATGCTTACCTGCAACCTCCCCAGAACATTGATCAGGACACCACCATCGAACATGGGTTGCGAATCGATCGCCGTTATTATTCGATTAATCTTTTGAAAACTTAAACTCTGTAAATCAAATAGACATTAATTAGTTTTCTAAAAACGATTTTACCGCTGCTGATAATCAAAAGATATTCAATAAGAGTATCCGCCTTAGGAAGCAACAAAAACATGGAATCGCAGTGTTAGAGACCGCGACATGCTGCCCAGCCGAGTAACTCGCAATCGAATCGACATATCGACTGATTAGACGACAAAGAAGAGGTTTCTTAACGGATAAGTAACTTTTTAGCAAGCGAGCAAGACACTTACAGTCAGCTTCTCCATAATTTTGATAGCACCTTGAATTTGAAGGCCCTCAAACGTCATGAAGGACGACTCCGTCTATGAGATAAGATGACAGGGAAGAGTTAAAAATATAGCGGCAATCTCGAGCCCGGGATGTGACGATATACTTACATTGTACATATTTATTAAATTTGGCCTTTGTATAGGGTCATCGAAGAGCGCGTAATATTGCTGTACGAAGCCTTTCCCAATGGCCTCGTACGATGGGTTTAGTGCCATGGTTAGGTTATTATTTATGTTTATACCTATTATAAAATATACAAGGACGATCAACGCGGTCAACGGTCGAACCTCACTGAGGTGTAATCCGATAGAACCAGCTGGAGCGCTTGGCAGATCCCAGCAAATCCTACCAAAAGAATAAAACAATGCCGTGCAACATCCCTCGTGCCAGTACCTAGCGGGGAGGAAACGATCACCGACGGATGCCCCGGATGCCCGCAACCGTGCGCAACCGTTCGAATTAGATATCGGAGCAATGAGAGCATATTCATAGAACGGCGCAAGACCGTTGAGAACGAGTACAAGATTTAATAAAAGGATAGTTTTCAAGGAACGCCGCAAGTGTCGCCAGGATCGCTCGATTACCAGGGCAGGGGAGAACACCTGTGGTGACCTATCATAGTTGATGCATTTCATTGAGGGGAGTCAGGTGAGGTTAGGTCACTGCTAGGTGGAGTGATATGAAATAAGTGTGCTATTTATGCCGTGATTACGTTTCCACGGATCCTGGGGCACATTTCACCCGCTTGAGGAAGGTTTACGGAAAAGTCGGACCATAGAATGGTATTCTGAGGCGGTAGATAGGTTAGAGGACACAGTGGGAAACGGTCCTTCTAGAGGAGGACAAGATGTTCTCGAAGTGTCAGTGTCGTGGAGCTGGGCGACCTGTTCCCACGAGACTGTACGTAAATTTTTTGTAATGCGAAGAGATGAACGCCCAAGGACAAGGACAGGGTCATGCCCATGGTCACGCTGTCGTCGTTTGGGAGTGGGAGAATCGACAGGGTCGCTGGCGACCGTACAGCCCAGCAGTGTCCCAGCACCTCGAGAGGGCCTATTGTAAGAAACTTACGAGAGTCTTCCTCCACGATGCAGATCCCAGCTTGGACAGGTTCGTCGTACCATGGTAACCTTCTCGTTGGGTATTCTTCTCTCTTGAAATATTTATTGATGAATTTAAGATAAATTACTTGTACTGAGTCAAACTGTACCATTTAAAAGTCTTCATAAAATATCGATCCACTGATCGTTTGAATCTAGGCAAATTTAATTCATATACTGACCAATCTTTATTTTAGGTATTATATTAATCTCAAAACCAAAACGCAATGTAGCGACGATGGCGATGAAACTCATGGTGTCAGGCGAAAATTCTATCTCCCGGGATCACCGGCTGGAAAGGGGGCTAAGTGGGAGTGGGCAGGAGACTCAGATGACTGGCATACTTATGACATGGAAGTCCAGTGTTTGGTAGAGGAAGCATGGGCCAGAGTAAGCTTAGATCATGCTATTGAACTAAGGTAGAGGTGGATATTTAAAAATGCTAACTTGTTATCATTCTAGGGGGACAAAACGATCGATGTCTCAAAGACGTACCTTGGCTTTCCGTACATTATCAACTTCTGTAATCTTACCCAAGTTCGGTGTTGCACAGGCTATGTAAGGCCTATTCGTCGGGTTCAGCAAGCACCATATCCATTGGTAAAAGTAGCTCTGGAAGAACTGCGCAATGCCACAACCAGAATTAATCCATCTCCACCTTTGTTGGCAAAAAATACCAGCACAAAGGTCGTGCGTAAAAAATCGCCGAGTATCACTGCTAAGAAAAGTGGTAAAAAGGTTAGTTTTGTTTCACATAAGCATGTGTAAGTTTATCCTGTAAGGATATTAAATAGAAATAATTTTATTCACATGCATGGTTTAAAGATAATAAATTTATAAGCGGTTTCTTTTTTAATTCGATAGGGTAAAAGCAGCGATGCCGGACCTGCAAATATAGCTCGGGTCATTTTGAGTAACTTCAACATATTTAGCAGCAAACATGGCATAGAAAATGGGAATTCTGCAAGCGGGGCCGAGTGTGGTCAGAAGAGGAAAACTCGAGATGCGGTTCTAGACGTGGATTCAAGTAGTACAAAGAGTGGACGGAGACCCAGTGTAGATACCGTTTCAACTTACTTGAGCCATGAAAATCCGGTGGATTTGTTGGATAGCAGTGTGGGAAGTGATGAAGCATTCAAAGATTCCCCTGCTAGTGAGTCAAAATTTCCTGAGCACTCTAAAACTAGATACTGACAATATAATCCGTTCTCTGTACAAGTTTTATAATTTTGGCTTTGCCTTGTTCAGACATCGAGGCAGCTTCCGATGTTATATCACAATACGTGAAGGTCGTGGAGAGCGTTGGCTCCGATTCATGTCCAGTCTGCCTTGGAAGTCCCGAACCCCTGACGGTTGAGTTGTCTCGTTGCAGACACAGACTACATCTAGCGTGTTTAAACGCGATGTTAAGTTCTCAGCAACAGCCCATGTACATACAGTGTCCAGTATGTCGTCTAATTTATGGCGAGAAGAGGGGAAATCAACCAGCTGGTACGATGAACTGGACTAGGATTCCAAGAGCTTTGCCTGGCTTTCCAAACACGAAGACCATACAAATAACGTACGAGTAAGTACACAATGCAGATGTCATTGCATTAACTTGTCATTTACAAATTATACACATATCCTCGTTTCTTTAATTTCACAGTATTCCATCGGGTATTCAGGGCCCGGAGCATCCTAATCCTGGTCAGGCATACTACGCCGTAGGATTTCCAAGAGTCTGCTACCTGCCGGACAATGATCTAGGCAGCAGAGTTTTAAGACTGCTTCAGATTGCCTTTGAGAGGAGACTGATATTCACTATAGGTCGTTCCGTAACTACTGGGAGAGAAGACGTCGTTACTTGGAACGAGATTCATCACAAGACCGAGTTGGGTCCTTCGACGTCTGGCCACGGTTATCCTGATACAAACTACCTGGAGCGTACCCTCCAGGAATTGGCAGCTCAGGGTGTGTCGGATGGGCCATCACCGGTGACTCTGTATTAGGACTTACGTTGAGACTCGATTTCTCGTCCTTTATTCCATTTCTTGTGAATCGAAGTATCGTGGAGCTTGAAGAGACAAAGAAACCATTGCCATTATGAATGCATAAAAGAAAACGTGTTTTCAAAAGTCTGGAGGACAAAGACGCCGATGTCTTTGATTGGTGCAATTATAACTCGAAATCCTTAAGTTTAAAAGTTACTTCCCTGTTTTTGGACACTTTTTGCATGGTTTCTCATAATCTATAAGCTCCATCGAGAGTATCCCTCTGTTAACGATAACCATAAGTCATTCCTAACCTCTGTCTTCCTTTCATTCCTCAGTTTCTTATTAGGACAATAAGATTAATGGACTAATTTTCATAACACCGGTGGGACCGTAGGAACACCGAAGCCTGTCATTGCACCATGTGCGAGGGATTCGACTGTTTAAGTATAACTTATATACATTTATATTCCCTAACGTTAACATAGCTCGTAATTGCATGTCGTCGATAGCATTCCTACAACGGGGAGAATGAATTGTATGTAATACAATTTATTATAAGAATTTTCTTCTAATTGCGATGAAACGAGATGGCAAGTGTCCACGTATAGTATTATTTTGTCTCAACGTAGCTGAACCGATGCAGGAGTCAGACCGTAACAAATTCAATGAGTTCTTCCTGATGTCCCTAGATATTCACGTAGATGTGCGGGTATATACATATTATATGTTGAAAAGGTTTATATATACATATACTCTGAAGAAGGCAGGAGAAATATATATTTCATATACTATTAATCTCTTCGCTAGTTTCTACCTCCCCTAGCTGCGTAGACCTAACCATGCATTTCAAAAATCATTTGAGTTAAAATTGGAGGTGGCAGTGGCAAACTTTCACCGAAAATGGAAGCGGAAAATCGAGGAAAGCGATTCCGAATACCCGAGGCACTTTCACTACAACCTAGGGGCAAATCCATTTTCCTGAGAAAACCTAACCCCTGGAGAGAGGGACGTAGTGGAATTTTGAGAAAGCCAGTGGAACCGCATATAAATAGGAAGCTACTCGTCTAACGAGATCGGTCACTGCATTTTAGTGGCTCGACTTCGTTTAGAAGCAACGAATCTTCCCCAAAATGGGGCCCGAAAGCTCTTCGACAACATTGTTCTGGATTTTCTGGTAAGTCACTGCGGACCTTGAGATTTTTCCTGTCGATGAGTATCAGTCCACTCCTTCCTGCAGAATTCCTGGGGAAGACGCGATTTATGCGACGAAATGAACATTATAATGGCGTTTCAAGCTTTGAATAATATTTATGGAATTTATTTCAGGTTGACGCAGGTACTGAGTGTATCTTATGCAACATTGTGGCCCTCTCGCATGACGCACTTGGGCGCAGCTGAGAGTCGGCCTTACAAAACTGAAATACATCCTCCAGGAGTTGTGGTTCCTGTGCCTGTCGTCTACCCCACGTATGGGAATCCCCGAGGAACCGGGATGGATAAAGGATTCCCCGAGGGAATCACCTGGAGGACAATCGCCGATTTAAATTCCCCCAAACTGGACCCTTTGGCCCCGAAGACGGAAGGTACGTCAGCTGATCGCGTTACGATTAAGCTAAAAAAATTCGAGGTATCCCCGGTCGACCTCTGGTCCTCGAAATTACCTCCAGGAATTGTCGCTCCTCCCGTGGGATTCGTTTATCCTGATTATTCGCACCTGGTGAAAGCGGAGGAGGAGAAGGACCGAGGACGAGTCGCAGAGTCCGTCAAGAACGGAACTTCAAATATCTCGAAGAAGGTGGAAGATGAAGAAAGAAGTCTAGGAATGCAGATTATAAACAGATCGCCAGATTTCGGGGATCGGAAAACTTCGATCGACTCGGATGGAGCATCAGTTATTGAAATTAATGACGAAGACGAGGACGAGGGAAGGCGCACTCTCGTGATGGGGTCGTCAAAAGTCAGGGTGCAAGGAATGGGAGAGGAGGAAAATGGGAATCCTGTTATTTCTGGGGAATCTCTCCCCTCTCAGAGCAAAAAACTGTACAATTTTGGGGAACGTTATATCTGGGTGAGACGGGGATTGAATGATCTCAACCGCTCGACGACGCCACGACCGGATCCTGAAATTATTTCCGAAAATGAGTCCGTTATTCCGGCGAGTCTTGGCATTTCTGAAGAGGAGGTAAAAATTAAGGAAGAAAGCGATTCTCGGAGGGAAATTGTGGAGTCGGACGATCGGTCGAAGGATGTTGGCGTGACTATTTTTGAAAATGTCATGAGCTCCATCGACGATGCGGGACAAAAAGTCGAAGATGAAGAGGTTAGGACGGAATTGGAACGGCTTAGGGATATAAATAATGCATTTGGTGCGCGTCTTCGAGAAAGAAATGGCAAAAACAATGGTGCGTTGAACTCGACAGCTTTTTATGTCAAGGACTCAGCAAAGAGACTCAGTTTTAAGAAACAAACTGCGGTGCAGAGTAACAGTGGGAACGTCACCGATTCACATTCCATACCTTTGGATGGTTTCAATTTGGAAAGTGAGGTGGTTCGGGAGAAAAGTCCTATCACAGGTCTTTCTTCTGAAAGAAGAACAGAACGTCCGGTGAAAACGGTAACAATTCGAAGACGCCCTGTAACAAATGGAATTAAGCATGAAGGAGGTTTGTCGAGCTCAAACGATCACGTATCGTTGACTTCTGTGAGGTTAATTCCACGGACTCCCAGAGTTCTGCTTAGGAATGGAAATTTGCAGGATCGAGACAGCGACGATCTTATTCGGGATCCTCCATCAATGTTTGCAAACTCGGAGATGTTTGGCCAGCGTATCTTGAGGATGGCAAGTGATGCTACGAACCAAGGAGATAATCTTCCAGAAGGAGCGTATCAAGATGAATCGGAAGAAAAGGCAGTTGTGTCGATAGTCGTAGATGGAAGAGTACTCACACCTAAAGAAATCAAACTTCTGGGCCTGATGACGGAGGACCGTTCCAGTGTCGATGCTATTTTTAACTCTAAAGCATCAAAGTTACTTTCCAAGATAAAAGACTTGACGGAGAAGGGATCGAAGTCAAAAGAAGAATCTGTAGATGGAAACTACAAAGAGGCAGATCGAGAATCAATGAACGAATCACCTTTGGAAAGTGTTATAAATGTAGAAATCTAAACATAAAATTCCTTTTAAGTATGTCTCGTTATTTATTATTGTGATGTAAGCACTTGAAATGATTTGTAAATAAACCTGTAAATTAGGTGATAACAAAGTGAGGGATTCCGTTGATATACATACACAAGGGATGGCGGTGCCATCTACAAGTAGCCGTTGGCAGCTCACGTACTCGTGATGGTAAAACCATGCGACTGTTGATGGTGATGGCTTACCTACGCTTACCGACACTGCTCGCTTTTGATGGTAAGGGAAGAACATTCGTGGCGCCCATTTTGACTTCACCCTTCACTTACCTTATTTATTTTACGTGACGTTTAAATTTTATCTTAATTAAACTCTACTTCACAGCAAGTTCGCGGATCGGTGTCATCCCATAAGGATGATACCGATCCCCCAGGTCCCGCCACGAGGAGGCCGCTGCGATTGGGACCCGCCTAAGCATAGGCACCTGGTTCCGTTGAGTTCCCGGCGTCCCAGGAACTCACAGAACCAGGATTTCATAACCCATACAGCACACCACTCGCATACCATACGCATCCGTCCATACCACACACCACTCGCATACCATACTCATCCGTCCATACAACGCTCGCCGCAGAGTACAGGGTAAGTCGCCGAGTACCTTGCCAGTTAGCATTGAATTACGGATATAATTTGCCGGAAGGGCATACTACTTCTAACGCGAACAATCCAGCAGCTTCCACCGTCACCGACGACTAACCCGGCTCGGCTGTCGGCCCGCGAATACGAGTTTCAGTCGACGGGCTTGTCCCGGCTTACAGCAGGCAGAGCCCCCGCGGGATGCCGCCAGAGCGAAACAACGTATCGCGCAACCGACAACCTGAGCCAGGTAGCCTTGCACGCCGTAGCTTAGCTACGACGTACTAGGTGCCGACGGAAGCTGCCGGATACACTAAAGGTACGGCAATGCCGTACCTGCAAAAATCTACTTCGGTTAGCACGCAAATCCGAAATTACTAGCTGCATGGAAAGGTACCCGACAACGTCCTGTCCGCAATTTACAATCTCGCACGCACGCAATGAGTGCTTCCACTTTTAACTACGTTAAGCTACTGTCATACAAAAAAAAAAAACGCTAAGTGGAACCACTCACGCAGCTATTTGCGGATCGGGGGTTTTCAACGATAGTTGGAAACCACCGATCCCCCAGGCTCACCACGTGGAGGTTGCTGCGCACCGAAGCCCGTTACAAACGTAATAAATTAAATTAAATATATATTAAGAAAGGGAACGGAAGGGAGGGGGGATGTCTCCCATAAGGCCCGGTTTCACAACCCAAGTTAACCGAAGTTTGATTTTTAACCGTTAGGTTAAACCGTAGGTTAAAACTGGGGTTAACCGTTAGGTTTAACCTTCGGTTAAAACTCGGGTTAACCGTTAGGTTTAACCTTCGGTTAAAACTGAGGTTAACCGTTAGGTTTAAACTTCGGTTAAAACTGGGGTTAAACTGGGATTAACCGTTAGGTTTAACCTTCGGTTAAAACTGGGTTTAACCTTCATATTTAACCGTAGGTTAAAGCTGGGGTTAAACCAGTTACGGTACAAGCAGGTAAACCGATGTTTACCCTTCGGAAGACCAAAGGGTACTGATGCTCCGAGCGCGCGCTCGGCCTTATATAGGGTCCCCGACCCCGGCATGGGCATGCGCAGTTCCTTATAACACCTTTGTATATTCCAATTTCGGAATCAACCGACCCCTCGGTTGCCTCTTTCTCGTCACCTTAACGGAAAATCCATAATTATAAGATGATGTAATTAAAAAATGTCTAATACATAGTTGATTAATAAATTAATACGTTAGCCACCCGCACCTAGCACCAGGGGGCAGCACGGGATGCGATCACGCGACCCTGCCCGTGAGCAATCTGCCATCTCGTCTCTACCATGGAGACCTCTGAATTCTTTTTGTCACGGTCTCACGCCTCGTAGCTTCGTTGGTAAAACAGATCGGGCAGTAGCGAGAGAGAGGAAGCTAATGGAAGGGAGAGAAGCAGACAGAAGCAGAAAAGTGAGTCTCCGAAGGAGCAAGGGGGACGGAGAGTGGCCGAGCAAGATGGAGCGAGAAATGTTGGAGTGATTAGAGCTAGAAGAAGTGCCGAGTTATAGCGAGCTGTAGCGACGACCACGGGCGAGTGCGGGCGATTCTCGACGACTCTCGAAGCGGCCTCGCTATTCTAGCGTCGAGGAAGAGGAAGCCGAGCGGAGCGTGGCCAATTGGTCGGCCAGTTGGTCGGACGATTCGGTGTGAGTCGATGCGACTCGGTGCGACTCGGAGCGATTCGGGAGCGATCGGCAGGGTCAGGTTCGGTCTCGGCGTGGGTTCGGTCGAGTTGGCTCTAGGACAAGGCGGTCATCGCCGCGGCTTGGAAATCGCGAGGTGGTGGCGGGCCCTCCCGGTGGTAAGCGTCCCCTGCATCTCGTGCCCTCGTCATGCTGTCAACTTGGACGGCGAAAACGGCCGACGGGGCATGCATTCGTTGACATGGAGTCTGCCGAGGGTCCTCTGGTCTACGGGCCGCTTTTACTTGGAAGGCTTCCTGGAGACCCTAGGGACGGACGGTCGCCGCCACTGAGCGATGGCCCACATTTAGCACAGGTACCGACCTAGCTTCGCTCCCAGTGCCTCCGTCACCGTTCTCCGGATTCCGACGGCAAAAACCACGTTTCCTCCCCTTCGCTCGTCCTCACGGACGGCTTCCTGGAGACGGATTCACTTAGCTACCTCGACTCTTCGAGACCCGACCGCACCATGGCGTCGACCTCTCGTGCCTCGGCTCAGGTTCTTATAAATAAGGGCAAGCGTGGCGCTGCGGCTTACATCCATGCCGACTGCAGCAACTCTGCTCTCGGCAATGGGTGTCCGCAACACCTCAACGAACTCCTCGACATACTGCTGAATCCCAGCAAACCCATCGACGATTGGGAAACCATCGACTGGTGCAAGTGGCTCATGGCCGGTGGACGGACGCCCGACGAATTTGCTAATACCGGTTTGTATTCGTTTATGCGTCTTTGAGCAACGATGTTATATTTTGTGTTTTTCTGGGTGCTTCTTTTGTTGGGTGTCGGATAGCTCCGGAAGGACTGCGTACGTTATGTTAAGAATTGATTTTTATATTCCGACGCCAATACGTCGTTCTTGGATAGTAGGTGTGGGAACGATCTTATATTGAAATAGATCGTGAATGAGAGATATATAGTTGATATCTCTTTGGCAATGATTAGCCGAGCATACGTGTGTGCACAACTTGGAAAGTTAAACTTGTAGAGGTTTGGTAGATACAGATATCGCCATTAAAAATATCTATTTAATACGTAGTGTACCCGTTGCTTACATTTTATAAAATGCACTTTAATGAAATGTAATAATTGAGTGTAACGTTCGACTGGGCACAAAGGCTTTAATATTTTTTAACACATAGATAGGGCAATTATTTGATATCTAGCTGCTTGTGAAAATGAAGGATGTCTTTGTTAATTAGTAAATGTCCCGCCTTGACGTCAGGGAAGGAAACTTAAATGGATGAATTCCTTAATATTCATAAGAATTACTTCATAATTGCTGTAACCTTTCTTCAAGTCTGTTTTATATTTTATGTTCGTCTCGTATTTATTGAAATCTCAACTACTTGATATTTAAAATCATTGAAATTGAATCAGTGTTGAATTGATTTGAATGATTAGTCTTTTTTATTCTACACACGGTTCCATAAAATCAATTGGATTTGTTCCATTAATATTCCAGTGAGAATATACGACAATGCTACAACTTGTGGTCTCGTGTGGACTCCAAACTTTGTGGCATATCGATGCCGCACCTGTGGCATCTCTCCGTGCATGTCACTTTGTACAGAATGTTTCAAAAAAGGCAATCACCATCGACATGACTTCAATATGTTCCTGAGTCAAGCAGGAGGGGCTTGCGATTGTGGAGATACATCCGTCATGAAGGAGGCAGGGTAAGTAACAAAAGATCTCGGCGTATCCTTTGCAGTTTCCTTGATTTTCTCATCGTTTGCATTATTTGATTGAAGTGTAGTATAAAGTATGTAATACGCTTGAGTCTGTTGTTTTAGGTTTTGCGACAGGCATGGACCAAAAGCAGCCGTCAATAAGTCCCCAGCTCCATCTGACTTGATGTGCGTGGCCGAAGCAATGATGCCTAGAATCATTCTTCGTCTTATTCAACATCTGCGTGAAAACTGGTAAGGTCATAACGACTGTAAGCTACTAGTCATACATAAAGCCATTTGTCAACATTCGGAAAGTCCATCGTATCAGATGTTACATGTGTCCTTGATAATCAAATAAATACAAAGAGTCATGATTTCGTTTCCAGTTGATGTATACGCTACTAAACGTGTATCTTTTAAATTCTCAATTGGTTTTTTTTTTTCATTTGTAATCAATTAAATTTATGACATCACATTGAGAATGATCGGTCACTAATTCAAACGTTGCATCATTCGTATTTTCAGCAAAGTCGGAGCGCCGGATTATAGAGTAGCTATACAAGATGCTGACCCCTACATGACAATGTTGCTTGATTTGAATAAAATGGGAGCATTAATGAGGCACGTGATGACGTCGGCCCTTACGAACCCACAAAAGTATCGGACATTGATGGACCCTGCAACATTAACGGGTCATTCTGAGTACGATAGCTATTGCCAGGATAGCAATAAAATATACCAGGATGCCATTAAGTCTTTACCAAATCCTGAACCTCCTGATGAATACAAAGGTGAGTAACTGAAACACGTCTTAGGTTAGGAAACCTTTTAGGTAATTTTATCTATTTTTTTTTTTATTCAGCCGTGTTGACTATAACGATTGCTTAAAAATTGATATCTACATTTTTATGAAATTGTAGACTGTGCCTCGTTACAAGAACATTTGGAACATACCACGTTTCTCGAGGAGTTGGTGTTTTGGACCGTCGCTTATGAGTTTCCTCAGAAACTAGTTTGCCTCCTGTTAAATATGCTACCAGATCCGGATTATAAAGAGGCTCTTACTCGTGCATTTGTCTTGCACTATAGCAGAATTTCCATCATGTTGGAGCGATCAACGGATCCGGATACACTGAGCAATAGAGTGGTTCACGTTAGTGTACAGGTAATGATCATACTTCTTTGTGAATTAATAATGGCACAGGATGATTTTCATCGAATGACCAGATAAGTGGTTTTCGATGGAGATTTATGCTCTTACACTGTACTGTACATGTTATTTATGAATGAAAATTATGTTTCAGTTATTTAGTAACGAAGGTCTGGCTCTGCGCATGTTGGATCAGTTGAAGCTGTTGCACGTGATGGTGATTAGTCTGAAGTACATGATGAGCAAGATTCTTATCCAAAACACTTTACATGGTACGTGTTAATATAAAACAGATATACTTAGAAGTCTGGTTGGGTAGATAATATACAATGCGCAGTGTAAAGAATATCGCACAATGTTAAATTCAACAATGTTTTGCGTATCTGTTTCAGATCCCAATAAGAATTTTCATTACGTCGTGGATTGCGGCCGACAAGTTATGAAAGAACATTGTTACTGGCCTCTAGTGTCGGACTTAAACAATGTACTTTCACACAAGCCCGTAGCTGTACGGTTCATGAGTGACGATACTCTTCTGGAGATGTGGTTCGATTTTCTATCGATGTTCCAAGGTAAGGTATACACAATAGTGACTTCTTATTGTTAAAGTCAGTGGTTAGATACGTTTTACTTAAACCACTGGTCGATAAAATTAACTCAGAAATACTGAGACTGCCATCGACATCTAGGTTATGTAGTAATAACAAATGTATATTTTAATTCTATATGACTTCCAGGAATGAACGTAAATCAGAGGGAGTTGAATCAGCATATCGAGTTCGAGCCGAATACTTACTATGCCGCATTCAGTGCTGAATTGGAAGCAAGTGCTTATCCGATGTGGGCTTTGGTTTCACACCTTCGAGGGCCGGAGAGTGTAGCTCTCAGTCGCAGAGTTCTCACCTTTTGTCTGATCGCTCTGCAAGATTGGTTGGACGCTGTCCACTACACCGATCCCAACGTGGTGAGTACCTCTCGTTCGGTGACTTTGTTGACAGTTGACTTATTCTTGCTTCCATAACCTTACTTTTTTTTTCTCCACAAGAGACTTAGAACCCTAAAAACGACGTATTGATATCAAACGCTCGTTTGTTTCAGAGTGATAGTTTTCAAGTTTCCTTTCACCTTCCACTGCATCGGTACTTCGCTGTCTTCATGTGTCAAGCTGTGCGACAGCAAGGAGCTACGCCGAACGACCTCCTGCCACCTGTTGACATGCTTCACCTCCTCATGATGCATCCTCTACGGGTTCAGGTGAGTGGATTTACATTGCTTTAAACTCTTTAGAATCCAGAAATTATATTTATAATCATGCGCTTGATATAAATTATCGGTCGGTGTTCCATGGGCAATAAGAGTGACTCGTCGAAATCGGTCCACTATAAATCTGTCCGGTTGAACGAGATATACCGTTGAAAATCAAGTAGGAACGCAATCGTGCAAAAGAAAGGAAGATTCCTCTAATTTATTATCATTACAAGTGCAATTATCAGATGCAGCGGAGCTCGATACAAAAAAAATGTCAACGATGACCAAACGAATTCGCCCATGATATGGTTCTTACTCCAGAACTTTTACGTCATACTTCTCGTGTAAATAGGGCCATGTCGATTACATTTATTACATTAATCTCGTAATGTGAACGGCGAGGCCTATATTCGTCGTAATGGCACTACTGTCCGTCAGTGTACATCGGGAGCCACGAATGCCCGTCCTACAGAGATATGTCGCCAATGTGCGATAAGAAGGCACTTATGTCCGTCACTGTACATCCCAGGGCCACGTGGAGGCCGGGGATCGATCGGGACTTATTCCCGATCCAGTCCTGTCGATGGGTGGACGCCGTTAAAACACCCGGATCTCACCGATCTCGTTGTTCCGGTCGAGGACGGGGCTCGGGGCGAAGTCCACGTGCAGGTGGTCCGCGAAATTGTAGGTTATTATCTTCAGGGCGAGGAATCCCCCGGATCCTGGCGAGCCCTTGTGGAAGATCCCCGCCCCCGAGAGGGGCACCAGGGGGTTAGGGACGATCGGCTGAACGTCCAGGAAGGGGACCGTCGTCTGACCCGCGTCCTTGTCCAGGTCGGTCGTCTTGAACTTCAAGTACTGGTTGTGGGTCGAGTCGGGCTCGGATCTTGCGTTGTGCTGCGTAGGGACGTCCGGCTTTCGGATGTCGAGGAAACTCCTGGGGAAAGGTTCGAGAGGTCTTTAACTCTTTGGCCACTGACAGCGCGTAAAGGCGTTTGGCCCAGTATTGCCTGCGCGCCTCGAGGAATTTCGCCCTTACGGTCACCCCTTACCTCTTGCTCTCGTCGCTGTTGTCGGTATTCTCGTTGCTGTGCCAGAGCTTGTTATCGTGCGGTCTAATCAGCTTGCCCGTCGTGAAGTTGAATGGCGTTGTCAGTACCTCGAGGTTCAGGTGGGAGCCCAGTTTCCGGAACTTGACCCCTTGAAAAAGGTGCGGAAGAGGGGATGAGACATCAGTCGCGGTTGATGTGAAAACTCGGGATCTCTCATGAAGGACCAGCAATAGTTGTAATAGTTGTTTTTGATTTTTGACTTTCTAACAGGGGAGAGCGCTAATGGCGAATCGAATATAAATCAATGATTTAAGTCGGGGCTTTACCGATTAGAACGTGATTGCTGGGCCCGACCACGTCGTCCAGGTCGACCTCGGTTTGGTTCCAACCGAGAGTGTAGTAGTCGACGCCTTCCACGAGATCAGGATCCAAGATCGAGAACTCCTCGATCTCTCTCCACGCGGTCGTAGAATCGTTGATCCCACCCCTGGGGAGGAGGACCCCTTCCTTGATCTGCATGTAGACGATGTGGTTCTTCTTCCGGAGGCGGATACCGGTTATCACCCTGCAAGTCGACCGCGAGGGTAGCGTTAAAGAGCAATCCATTGTCTCGCAGTTTCGCTTCTCCGAGACGCTCACTTATTGTTCGCAAAGTCGGATACGACCGCTTGGAGGCTGAAGTAACGATCGGAGCTCGCGTTGTGGTCGTCGCAGGAGCAAATGCAATAACTGCAGTGCCAGAAGAGCCAACGCCACCAGCTGTCGACCTTGACCGTCTCCCGGGTACAGGTGTCCTTCTTACCCAGGACCCTTCCGTTCTCGTACTCGATGTACTCGTACCTCCTGTCGCTGTTTCGCTCCTGTTGGTCACACGAAATAATTCGATTACAATTACTGCGGCTAAATTATCCGGTGGATTTCAGTCATTGTAATCCATGGTCCTTCACCAGGTTACTCCGGTTCCCACGACCTGGCAAGGTGATAACCACGCGTTGCCTCGCACCCTGGTTACAATTATCACCTTACTGACCATTTGTTGCTTCTTTTTCCTCGCTAGGCAATAATGAACAATCATCGACCCTCCTTTATCGCTAAGATCCAGAATCATCTTATCAGTCGCCTCCTTACCGAGGGGCAGATCCACATGTCGGAGTCGACGTACTGGCAATTGATCAGTCTCCCGTTACACCTCCGTTGCCTCGAGCAGAACTGATTCTCGTAGCACCCCTCCACCTTGGCGTAGTTGTAAAATCCGCAGCTCTCCCTGCAGGTCTTGTCTCGGTTCATGTCCACCTCGTTGATGACGTAGCTCTGGAAGACTTGCTTCAGCTCCGTGTACGTGCTCTCTTGAAAGGGGAAAAGGGGACACGGTTCAAACAACCGAGACAATGACTTGAAAGGTATCCGTACCAACTAGTATCGATTGAACCTCGTGCACAAAGAACGTCACCCGAGACAGGTATTTAAGGTGATACGAACCCTGGGACCTCTGAAGCTTGAATAATATTTATAAAACGTTCCTTCTATACCGCTTGGGTATCCAAAATGGGGTTACCGCCGAAGAGGAGGTAGATGGATTTTCTCGGCGCCTTTCGTATCACCTTAAGTCTCGTCCACCAGGGAGCAGTCGATAAGAGTCCCGATAAAGCTCCTATTGGTGGGATACCTGGTTTGTGCTCGGCAGGGTCGCATCTCCAGAGATCTCTAGGTGCGTGTGCCATGGCCGTCCTCACGGCCCTCAGGGTCTGATACATCCTGGACTCGTAGGCCTCCTTCTGCACCTTCATCTCCTCGGTGAAGTTCCCTGAAACGAAGGAGAAGTAGATAACCCGCGCTTAAGGAGGGTCTTCGTCGAACCGGAGAAATGTATATCTCCGTACCCTGTTTGAAGAGACGCAGGATGTTGTAGGAGAACTGCACGACGGCGAGGGCCTTCGTCTCCGTCAGAGCTATGGTGTTGTACATGGTGTAGAGCAGTTCCTGGGGCGACTGCTGCTGATTGCAAATCCGGAAGGTTCCCTCCTGAAACGGAAAGATCGATTTCTGGTTAAGGGGTCGCGTTGGGCCACGTCTCGTTTCCATCGGTCGGCCTTCCCGACCATCCTCAAGGTGGACCGCGTTCCCGCTTTCAACGCTACCTCGCCGAACCCTGGAGATAGAGGATACGCCAAGTTTACCTTGTAAGCCGACATAAAGAGCTTATCAAGGACCACGATGTCGGCCATCCGGCTCAGGGCGGCCGGCACGGAGGCGTTGGGGTCGTCCAGGATGGTCTTGGCGAACGAGACCCACTTGTCGACGTCGACGGGACCCTGGCCCTGGAGGGCCTCCTTCCTCTCCCGTCTGAAGGTCTCGTAGAGGCCCTCGATGGTCCTCATGTCCTTCTTCATCCTGGCCCAGCTCCAGATCGGGTCGAGGACCGCCAGGTGCTCCTCCTTGACCTCGAGGGATGGCTCCTCCAGGACGCTCCCGATGACGTCGTAGGCTTCGAGCGCCTCTCTGATGGAGCTAGCCACCGGGACGTCCGTCCATTTCGGGTCGAATAGTTTCCTCTGGAGGCTCAGGTCGAGCTCGATCAGCTGATTGCGAAGGGCGTCGACCGAGGAGTACTCCTTGCGGACGGTAGTGGCGTTCGGTAGGAACAACGCCATCGCCAGGAACAATGTCATCCAGGTCCATGCCGGGATAAAGATCATCTTGCGTGGGGTCCTTCTTCTCTCCGTTCTGGCCGGTATCATCGTGCTAGACGTGATAACAGAGACTGCGGAGTCGAAGGTTAGGGTCAACCGTGGACGCTCTTCACAATTCTACTACTCCGATTCTACTCCAGATCCGCTCTAAGGTCGAAGTGTCTATCAAGAGACTCGATTAGACACCCGGTAGGGACTGGCCTTGTTGACGACGCCAGGAATCGGTGGCACAAACAAATGCCAACGGCGTGATAACCTAAGATTGGTGATCAGAGGGTTAGGGTCAGCGGTGGACGCTCTTCGAGGCTATCTTGATTTCACTAGCAGATTCCCCGACAACGCCTTGAATCCTCTTCGAGAGGTCCTGGCCGTCAAGTAATGGTCCTCGACGACGTCGGACAGGGACCGGTGTTACACCCAGGTATCAACAACTCGTATCCTCTTCGTCGTGGTGGTAGAAAAATTTATACCGAGGGTAGACAGGAATCGGTATGAAATGCCAACTCCTCGTATCCTCGAGGTGGCGGTCGAACGGCGGTTCTTGCTGACGCCTAAATCTTAGCGGTGGAATAAAGGTGGAAGATCGAACGATTCTACCGCACTCTCGCGGACTTCCCGGGTCTGGTTATGTAAACCAGCCAGGGGAAACCTGGCTCCCGATTACGAGTGTTCCGAGAACCAGGGCTATATCACGAGAGGAGGCGGGCCGAAAACGAGCTGGAGCGATCCGGATGGGACCTTGAAGTGTAGGGACGATCCCACCACGGGTACGACGCGGCGTCCGATCTTCCAGGACGAGGACTTACGTCGGACGTCACTATATAATGATATAACGAAATAGCGATATTACAATAATAGCGAGACGACGCGCGACGTCGAATTTCGCGATAGAGGCGAGACGAGGTGTCGCGCAATATGGCGCGTCGAAACCGGAGCCGTGAGTTCCGGGGGGCAAGGGGAGAGACGGCCAATAAAGCAGGCGAAACGCGCCGGGACAGAGGTCGCGGATCGGCACTCGCGTCACGAACGGTCCGACGGGAGAGACCGGAAAGAAGGAACGCGGGCCCCGGTAGCGGCGCACCGACTGAGTCGGGCCGAACGCTCTCCCGACGCGCGTCTCTCTTTCTTCGCCTTCTCCGGCCTCTCCGGCCTCTCCCTCTCGCCGCCGCGTCCCCTACCGACGCGCCTCGGTGTGACGCACCGTCCCGTTCGACCGCATTAGGTACAGTGGAGCCCCGTAACGCGCGGCGGCGAGTCCCGCCAGGTACTCTTAACATCACCGACCTCCTGGTTTTGTCGATACTCGTGATCTCGCCATTTACACCTCCTAATTACCCGATCTGTAGAGTGATACGTTATAACGCGTCAAGGCGATATGAAAGTAACATTCTATGTACGTGAAACGTGAAAATATTGATAATACATTTCTCCAAACTGGGCGCACCGTGTCATTAGAAACTTCTAGATGAAGTTTCGAAGGGATAATGCTCAATTGGAGAATGCCTTTTATCTTTGTTTTGACTTTCTGGTGTGTATATACGACACTTTCATATCATCTTAAAAACTTGTACGGGGCTCCACTGTAAACGAAGTTTACGCCTGTCCTTGTCCGCGCACGCTGTCCTCTATTCCGGCCGAGTTGTGACTCGCTCCAAACGGAACCGCTCGAACGCAGCGGCCGTTCCTTTGTGCCGATGATTGCGGTTGAATCGCTCTTTTCAACCGGTCGGTCTACTCGGGACGCGAGCGGTCTGTAAATAAGATAGAATCAGATGGAATCAGAATCGTTGCGTGCTCACACGAGGATGCAGGCCATGCAGGCCGAGAGAAAAGTGCCAAGATGAGACTTAGGCGAGCACGGTTTATAAACTCACGTTGTGAACGGCGGAATTATTCCGCTCAAGTATTAAAACGTCCAGGAGAATGCCCGACTCGAAGCGAGAGGGTGGATCGAGTTACGCAAAAGATATGCTCGTGTACATTCAGGCGCGATATCTCGTTAACGGTTTGTTGGTCGTTTTATCTCCCTCAAAGACACAGCATCCGGCTGGAATGACGATTGGTAAAAGGGAAGAGCACTTTCCACAGGAGAATGGCTAGAATGTGCCATGGCAAAGTGGTCGCTGTCGTACAATGCATCGCATTATCTGTCGGAGCGAAATCAAACGACTTCGCCTCTGTAAACTCAAGTAAATTAGCATGACTTACCAGTCGTGCCCTCGTCATAAAGGATTATCAGAATTATTTGAAACTTTGGTTTATTCCTTTGCATCGAGTCGGCATCGATAAAGCTAGCATCGGGCTCCTGAATCGAGGGACTCGTTAACGTAAACGATCGACCACGGTGGATAGCTCCTAGCATGGAGGAAGTGGAGGGACGTTTCCGTCGGATGTTAATGGAGGGACCGAGGAGGTCAGTGGGGGACTCCTCTAGACCGAGTCGACCTACCTCCATGGTATCGGCCAACTGAGAAAACAGGCTTCCGTCCTGCAAAATCAGATGCTGCGGAACCACCAGTAGATGAAGCTCGTCGGGCTGGGTCCACACATCGGGGATGGCACCATTTGCAAAGCCAAGCAACGTGGTGTTCTCCATTTTGCTGAGGACGCTAGAGTACCGAACCATTCTCTGGTACTTGCCGTCGATGCTGCCCACATAGAGGGAAAGCTTGTTGAGGGAGTCGTATAGTCGGATCTCCTGGGGGATCTGATAGAGCAATTCCTTGGCCTTCTGCTCCATAGTCTGGCCAAGCCTGTTCTCGAAGGCGTCGATCTTCACCGAAAGTAACTTCACCCGAGTCGTGATCCGTTGCTCCATACGCCGGACAAAGGGAAAGTCGAACTCCGAGGTGTCGTCGGGCCGCTTCGGCGCTATCAATTCCCAAGACTCGAGGAGGTCGGACGCGGTTTCGCGACCTATCTTCAGGATCTCGAAGATGTCGCCGAAGTTCAAGTCTAGGGCCAAACCGCCGGAAAGGCCTAGTGCTAGGAAAAAACCCAACAAAACCCGCTGAACCGCCATGGTTTACCCTTCACTGTCCACCGGCTCGTTCCTACTCAAACACGCCTACTGAAAGAGACTCGGCAACTGCCAGTAACTACCAGGCGACGACCGTTGGCAACCCGTTAGAGTTGAAACTGAACCTCCGACAACCTCCGGATATATCGAGCCTTTCCGGGAGACCACGCGGTGAGTCGTTAATCGTCGCGCTGATTGGTCACGCGTTGACCAATCAGAGCGCCGCGCGCTCCCTCGCGGGCCAATCAGCGTCGAGATTTTGAGGAATACCGTGAGACGACTCACTAGGCGTGGCGACTTGTTTATGAATGTATACATTACATAGTTATGATGAATTACAATACCAAAGAACAAACCAGGGATTTACAGCTGCCAATAAAAGCGAATGCGGGCGGAAGACATGGCTGAATCCTCGATTCATGGATTCCGGATGTGCTTTTGTGCATGCGCGTACCCTTCAACCGCACAGGCTGTGAACCGTTCGAGGGGAATCACACATCGAGATTACACAGGAGTCAGTGCCCCTTCGGCTCTAATTCTTCGTTTTTTAACGAGCATGATCGTCCTGACGTCACGTCAGATTCTAGTTAGGGTGCAATTGCCTGCATTAACGGATAATTCGTTACATCGTTGTGGAACGGTCTGTAATGGGGTGCTACGAATTTCACATATATGGGACCGTCACTTCCCTGATTTGCAGGCTGGATGTACGCAGTGGTTACATCTGGCCAGTTTTTTGAGGTTTCTGTTGAAAATTATGATGGCGACTTTCAGGAATTCAGATAATCTATGTTCGAGCTTGTGTGGTCTCGATTCGTCTCGATTATAAGGTACAAGGAGCTGAAGAGCGTTGAATGGTTTCTTATCGTTGATGTATAATTTATGCTGGAATGATTGACTTAATCTAATCTCTTGGTTTCAGGTTGCTTTCTATGAAATCCTGAATGGACTGTGGGTGCGTAACGGACTCCAAATTAAGGGTCAAGCCATGACTTACATCCAGTGCAACTTTTGCAACTCCATGGTGGACGCGGACCTGTATCTTCTACAAGTCTGTGCAACAAAGTTACAGCCCGATGTCTTCCTTAAGACCGTTATTAAAAAGTAATAATAATACATTCTTGGATTATTGGATAGAGTTTCGAAAGTCCTGAACAGACGTTGGCTTAATAATCGGAAATTTCTGGTGGATCTTGTCGTCAATATACTCCACCTAAACTATGCATATGTTTTTATTGATTACTCTTTGTTCACCAGGTTCCACGTTCTCGAATGGATGAGTCTCGGTCCGTACCATGCACTCCAGTACTTGGAAAGGGTTCAGGACACACCGATGCTCGAAAGCTGTCTCACATTCCTAGCCACGCTGGTCAATGTGAGGACGAATCTAGGTACGTATTAATTCATTAATTAATTAATGACAAGAAATATGAAAAGTAGTTATCGATCATAGAGACCCACTCGATGAATTTGTTGGAAATGTTTCTCCTTGTTACAGGTCTATCGGACCTGGAGATGTCTTGCTTGGAGATGGTTACGCTGCTGTGCATGGGAGACAAGACTCACAGTCAACTTATGGAACTGATGCCTGAACGTTGCGGTACAACGCAAAACAGGGACTTCGAGTCTGTCTTGGCTGAGGTAAAGTTGTCCTTTCGACAGCTAATCACTAGACTCCGTGCACAGGTGCTTTACTACGTGATTTATCTAAATCTGTTAACTCTTGTTGCTAACAGGTGGCTCAGTATAGAGCACCGAACTTGGAGGCCAGTGGGAACATGCAGCAGGGAATGTATGGACCGAAGCCTCGAGTTTGGGATGAATTGTTCGATCCATTGCACGTCTTATTAAGGGCTGTGCATCGCAGAGACTTTCAGACATCGATGGATCGGTTTACAGAATAGTATGTTAATTATCGTACGCTCCTTTCAACTTTCCTAGCAAAGGTCTTTTACTCACTTTCACCTGTATTTCTCCAGTGTAAAACAATCCGGCAAACTGAAGAACAGCGCGACTCCATGGCCACCTTTTAGACATCCTGCGCCGGTTTCGTCGGAGTACGATGATCCCCGACTGGTGTTGCGCTCCCGCGTCTTTCATACAATGTCTTTCATTATACTCTACAAGGCTGTACACGGTCATAACGTCTCGGAGCACGTAATGGCCCTAATTATTTATCTGTTGGAAATGGCAGTGATGACGGCAGACACCTCGGAGAAATCCGTAAGTCAGGGGAAAATGAATTTCCCCGTCGATGTTGTTCCACCGCCTATATTTAAAATTCTGACACGTTTCATGAACGATCCGACGTATTTCAGAATAATCTTTGTCGCTTCACCGGCACGTCCTGGCGCGCCGTCAAGGATATGGACCTGACCGGGTGGTACAGCAGCGATGATCTGTCGGCGAACCTTAGAAAAGTGATCCCTGCTGTTCTCCTCGTCCAAGAGTCCGATCCGATCAGCTCGGACAGTGAGTAGTCTGGAAGATCCTAGTTTTATAAGAGAGGTTCTATCCATTTGCTTCTCTTAGGTGAACTCGAGTGGGAAATCCATGGGGAGACCAGCAACGAGTCGACCTCGCTGATGCTCGATAATGCTGGAGTCCTGGCTTTGCCGCTCGAAGAGCCCGATGACGACGCCACGGCTGTTTCAATCGCCATGGACACGGGTATTCTGCCTGTACAGTCGATAGCCGATGGTTAGTTTTTAAACGGTATCTTCTACCTTACCAATACATCTCACGTGGCTCTCTAAGATCTCCAATCCCGGACGGTCGCATAAAAATTGATTTACTCACGTCGGTACTGTACAATAGCAGACATGAATGCCTTCTTTTACATTAGCAGGGTCATATCTGCAAGGAAGGCATTTATGTCCGCCACTGTACAGTACGGGGATGGAAGGAAAAGACCTTAATATGAAATGCGTCAAAGGGGTCTCGTTCGTGAAACTTCTCCAACCTGGGTGTACCGAATAGTTTCAAACTTTGCAACGTGAATGTGGAGGCTGTAAGGAAGGTCCTGACACCCGTGAAATGGAATTTCAATTAAAAGAAAAAATTGTTTATAGACATTTAAAAAATTTTATTATAGAAAATGAAATTTCATGGTTGTCAGGACTTCTCTTATGGCCTCCACATTCTGCGGTCTACCGATTTCGAGAGCAAGGTAGATTCCCTTTTCCGAGCGAGCCAGGTATATATATAAATATATATTTATTTATATTTATGTATGTATATCTAAGGCACTCTGTCTAAAGACCCTTGGCGTAGGCTTTAAAGGTGCAGCGAACCTCTCGTCGCCGTCTAGACCCGAAGCTTCTCTCCGCAAGTAACTCTGCAATGAATAATACCCCGTCGACGGTTTCTAAAACGGAATGACGTATCTTTGAACGCGAGATTTAAGCCGACGGAAGTCGAAAGAGCTGCTTAACCCTGGGTGACTATAGCTGGGAAAAAGTCGTGTTTCCGTGCAAAGCCAGGGAGAGCCTGAAGAGTCTCACGGTGTCGACCTGTAAACGAAGAAGTAACCATCCACCTAACCATCCTGTGTCCTGTAATTACGCATCTGGCCTGTGTTTCTCATTGCGAGAAGGGTACTGGGTAACCCGTTACTAACGAAACTAAGTTTATGGAAGCCGAAAGTGCACTTGGCTTGCCACCATCGGCCTTACGCTTTGCCTATCCAGAGTTGGAACTCTTAACGTTCGTGGGGGTCCTTGGACGTCGAAATCTAAACCGTAAATAATGTCGACGGCGAGATTGCAAAGCGCTTGGAAGCTCTAGTCGTTGTTGTTTTGTAGCCGTCTATGTCGCAGACGTCAGGCCCGAGGATGGAATTGTTGCGATCCCTCGAGTCGATAGCGAAGACGACTTAGTACCGTCGCTACAAAGAGCCCTGCCACTGTACACGGATGACCCCCTTATCTTTGGCATTGTGGAATCGGATCCCCTACCAAACAGTACGTCTCTAAGTTTCTTTTTGTGCTTTCTTGTTGCCAGCCCCCTTTTTAACACCAGTAATGCCGCATAGCAAGTCACTGCACCTGTAAAGATTGCCGACAGACGCTTCCTCGCATCAGTGTTAGACGTTCCCTTGTATCCCATTCCGCACGAGAAAACTCCGGAAGAATTCACCACGTGCACCGTAAGAGAATACTCCGGAATGTGGAATCATCGATATCCTATCAAGGGCACGCTGGACGAACGATTAAATATGATTTACACCCGTCAGTCAAGGCCATCGGCTTATTTCAAGGCTCGATAGGCTGGAAAACGATACGTCATTCATTTGCTTCTCAGCTTTTCAACTGCATTTCCCTAGGGACTTAATCGAGACTCTGTCATGGAAGAGGTGATCATCGTTAAGACGTTAACGCGTGCAAAGGACAGATACGTTTGCAAATTTCGATCCAGGGCATGGACGTGTAACGTATTACCCTTCTTCCCGAATGATTCGTGGAGACTGTGTTATGAAAGGGTCATTCTTTGTTCAATATTTTTTTTTTTTTTTTTACAAACGGCGCACGTGATTAAGGAGACCCTGAGGTAGAACGCGATGCTCGTGAAGTTTCATTTATAAGATAGATCTTAAGTTTTATATATAATTTTAAGTGTTCTTAGCAAACATCTAGATGTATGCGTGTAGATACGATGTTGTGATAAGTGTTGTCAGGTGGTCCGAGGCGAGGAGCCGTTCACTTGGAAATCGGCGAAGATGATTTCCTTCTTCGAGATCGATCATGAGAATGTTTCGCTGGTTTCCATGTGGTTTCGAGAAGTAAAATCTATGATTTCCTGAGCGAATAACTCCTCGGTCCTCGGGATGTCGCAAGTTTCAGCCTCCGCTAATTGCATGCTCGGCTCGGTAGGACCGAGGCTTGATATAGCTCGTTTAGTTGGCGCAAACTAGACCCTTCTTGTATTTAATCATGTGTTTAATCAAGTAGTGGATTAATAATGCCTGTTTGTAATCAACAGACGTGGGCGGCGGTCAACCGGCTCTGTACCCGAACGTGCAACGACCGGCCTTGCTGGAAGGCAACGAAGTGGTAAGAAGTCGACCGACTTACCCGCAATTGAACTCGGTACGCGTAGCCACGACCAGGGTCGTACCCTCCACGTCCAAGGCCCAGAAGCATCATAAGCAAAGACAGGTGAATATATTTAGTAGAAAGTCGACACAAGTTGCATTTTAGGAGAAAGGTTTTTTTAATGCACGATTGACTATTTAAACGATGCTCATCTTAAGAGGTCACGATGCTTCTTTCAGTCCGGTTCGACGCGTCGGCAGACCATGGAACTGGACGAGAGCATAATATCCCTGCTCCTGAAGCTGCACTCCCAACTGTCCGGGACACCCGACAGTTACAATCCGGAGCCACCGAGCACGTCGAGCGAAGCTGGGAGCAGCACGTCGACGACCTCCGAGAGCGAGTCCCGGATCGGCGACGGGGTCTTCTTCATCTCCCAACTGTTGCGCAAGATCGACAACCTGGACCCCGCGTGCCACGCCAGCATCATCCAGACCAGGAACAGGATATGGCCGAGGATGCAGGAGTCGGAGCACATGCAACGCGAGAGGGAGGACCGGGAGAAAGAGGAGAGGCGGAGGCGAGCTAAGGAGAGACAGCAGAAACTTATGGCCGAGTTTGCCAACAAGCAGAAGCAGTTCATGGAGAAAGCCATGGAGACGGGTAAGGCGAGATCTCGTCGCACCTCGTTGACGGTACGAAGCTCTGTATTTATGGGATGTATCGTTAAAGACGAGGCTGGCGTGTCCGACATGGAGTGGGACCAGGAGAGCAAACCGACCAAGATGGCCAGCAAGAAAGAGTACGACTGCGTTATCTGCAACCAAACCACGCCAAGTACCGAGGACAAACCCATGGGATTGGTCGTCCTCGTTCAGGTATGGTTCAGGCCTGGAGTTTACATATTCTCTCTTCCCAGGGTGTATTTGGCTAGGGGAATTAATTTTTATTTTCTCAGTGCGTCTATTCTCGTAATTCATGAAATAAATTCCTCCAGGCCACCAGTGTCATAGGTCACGAGAGGCAGCAGTCGGAACGATTGGTGTTACCCACGTCCGACGACGATCGACCCATCCCCAGGGGAGACACTCGAAGCGCGCATTTCGACGACAAAATGGATGAGTTGTACCGGCACTTCGATGTAGTAAATTTACCACTTTCTTTAAGCCGTTGCCAAGCCTGATTCCGGGTGTCGATATCCATAAGGACTATTTATCTGATGACCGGTAGTTCCAGATGTCGGCGTTGGTCTCCGTCAACCTGGGATGGGAGTGTGGAATGCACGTGCAGACCTGCGGCCATCATCTGCACCTGGACTGCCTGAAGTCCTATCTCCAATCTCTTCGCAGCCAGCAAAGACAGCAGAGCTTCGCCGTGGACAGAGGGGAATACCTTTGTCCTCTGTGTCGCCAGTTGGCCAATTCCGTTCTTCCGTTGGCACTTCAGCTAGGGGAATGCGAGGCGGTGGTGAGATCCCGACACGCGTCGCCCACCACCATACTCACGGAGCTTAATAACTTCCTCAAAGACATACAACGGAATCCGGTAAGCTGGATGATCTCCAGCGAGGCGACCTAGATCAAATAGGAATCCTTCTTCATTGAACTTCGATTTCAGATTTCAACGAACCTGGCCCTGGCCATGGGGAAGGCGATGGAGGACATGACGGACTGCACTTATCCGAAAGATAAGCAGAAGAACTTCCTACCTTGTCACCAAAGCTTGTTTCTCTTCGTCACTTCCGTGGCACGTATCAACTTGGAAGTCGAGGTGGTCCAACGTGGCGGATCTCTTTGCACTCCTTCCTCCACGACGATACCGCTCACCCCGAAACGAGACTGCATCGGTGAGTATTACTCAGGTCATCTTCCAGAGTTGAATCCTTCAAATAGCATCCTAACGACTTCTCGTTTCACCCAGTGGCTCTCCTGCACATGTTGGCGATGCACGCCAGGATACTGACGACGTGGCCCGTGGAGCAGACCTGGCAGCAACTTTCGGGACTGTCGATCGAGTCTGCCACGCCATTGGCGTTGACACCTCACAAGAAGGAAGTTCCTTTACTTCTCAGGGATCCAACGGCGCTTCTTATACAGTTTATTCTTTTACTGCCTTTGCATCTCGATCAGAGTGAGTGGAGCCTTTTGGAGAATGACGGACAGGATTGAGCTAATTTAAATCTTTTGACTAGAGTTTTGATCAAAAAAGCGATTTTAATAGTGACTTTAAGAATAGCAACGAGCTTTTATTTTTGCTTTTACATTGGGAGTTTTATCAACCCCCTTCACGCCTTACATCTTATGTTTTTTCCCTTTTAGCGTACTTCTCCAGCGTCGTTAAGGTCGTATACAATTTGCTGTACTATCAAGTCATAGTCCAAGTGAGTTACAGTCTCTCCGAGGCCGAGAGAAACACGATTCTGAGGCGTCGGAAGAACTGCGATCCTGCTCAGACCTCCTCCGAGGCGATCCTGCACACCGTAATCGGTTACATGAATCAGAGCGAGCTCTACCACAACGACGACGTGGTGTACAGGCCGTCGACCTCGTCGACGGTTCATTACGCCAGGTTCAAGACGCAGACGATCGAGCAAGAGGTACGAACTCTTATTATAAATTAATAATATTATAAATATTATTCAGACGAGTTCTTTATTTTTTTTTATTAGAGAGATTATTCGTTTTGGAGTAATCAAGTTCCATGGTTCCAGAGCTGGGTATCAATTTTAATATTTGGGGAACCATTTTACCTAGTTCTGTGTGGTTCATGGACCGGATAAATGACGAGTGCCTCTCTTCGCAGATCCAAGACTTGTGCTTGCCCTTCCTACGTGTCGCGGCGCTGTTAAGATATCATTTATACGAGCAACCGATACCGCAAGTGCGAACACCGCAATCCGAGTTCGTCCGACTGGTGTATTATTTGGAGCTGGTCACAGAGGGAATGGACTGGGACAGCTTCAACGCTGCCGTGGCCCTAAATTGGCAGGACAGCAAGGCGAGCACCTCGGTACCACGACTCTGGTGCGACCAGTTCATCTCCTTCGTCAATCGGAACGAGATCGCGGCGAGGAGCTTGATCGTCGACCAGCACATATCGTGGCAGATGCCGAAGCTGCTCAGTCTACCCAGGGAATACGAGAAGCTCTTCACGGTATGTCATGATTTTAAATTCGAGGCCGACCTCTAGGTAACACCGTTCGATTTGGTATTTACAGTACTACCATGAACGACAGTGCCGGCAGTGCCACTCTGTACCTCAGGAGATTAGTATATGTTTGCTGTGCGGCACTATAGTTTGCCTTAAGCAAACTTGCTGCAAGCAAGTCAACGTTTGCGAGGCGGTTCAGGTATGGCTACTCGTTTTTATAGTCAGTGGCGAAGAATTCAGAAGTATTCGCGGTAGCCCAGAAGGATATCTTCGATGCTTTCCAATTAGTACGTCGGACTACGGGTGGCGGCGCTGTAGTCGACTCTCTTCTCTTTCAATCTTAAAGCGATATGTAGCGGATTGCGTTCTTGTAAACGCTACCGCAAGGTGTGGGCTTCTGTAGAACCTCTGAAATCTTTGACCCTGGCCGAAATATTGGATTTATTCGACGAGCTTCGAGATGTGTTACATCTGAAGTAACGTTTCTGTCCACAGCATTCGATTGATTGCGGCGCTGGTACCGGTATCTACTTGGTTGTTACGTCAACTTACATTATCGTGATTCGAGGCAAGAGAGCGTGTCTATGGGGCTCCTTATATTTGGACGACTTCGAGGAAGAGGACAGGGACTTGAAGTGAGTACACTTTGAACCTAACCTAACCTAAAAGTACCGTCAAAGAGGTCTCATTTACAAAAACTCCGAACTGAGTATACCGAATCGCTTATAACTTCACAACATAAGTACGAAGGCTATAAGGAAGGTCCTGCATGAAATTTGAATTTTTAAAAATTTGTTTTATTTTCAAATTTTTTTTTTTTTTAAGAAAATGAAACTTTATGGGTGGCAGGACTTTTCTTGTAGCTTCCATGTTTACGTAGTAGAGTTTCAAACCATTCGGTACACCCAGTTGAGAGAAATGTGTCACGAACGATGATTGACCCTTCGGATGCCAGTTGTGTCATTTTAAATGTGGCTTTTTAATTAAATATAAATAATTGCTGCATTTTCTGCTTTTCCAGACGGGGCAAGCCTTTGTATCTAAGTCAAGACAGGTACCAACTTTTGGAACAGCAATGGCTGGCCCACAGGTTCGATCACACGAAGAAGACCTGGGTTTGGCATCGCGACGCGCTGTGACCCCTGACCACCCTGAGCTTGCTTTCCGAGATGCACCGAAGATTCCTTAGATCGTTTGTCCATCTATGATTCGACGCCTCGCCAACGTTAACAACGCTTTAAGGTTTAATGAATTCTTTTTCTCCGAGACATAGTACGTAGGTAATTGTATTTATTATGATGCAATGGATATAAACTAGGTTATAGTAATTATTGAAAGTATTAATATCGCGATACATGAGTTGAGCTAAATTCGGTTTGTACTAATAGCGTACGGGCGGCTGTATCGAAGGAATCTTATGTTTTCTAATTGTACATTTTATTTAAGGTACATCACACATTACGTCCCAATAAACGAGAGATGCAGTTGTGAGTACCGGGTGACGAGAACGAATACTCCGCTCGATGGTGGTCCATTCCGTGTACATTAAGCAGGGTACACATCCGAGGACGAGACATTTGTTCCGCCTCACCTTGCCTCCTCCGCGTTCGTTTTCAGATGTGTACCCAGGTTTAGCTATTCGGTTGCTCGAAGAAAGCCCTGGCACCCGAGAGAGTGTAATAGAGCAGCTGGAACTCCTGAGTCCTGTCGGCCAGTCTCTTCAGCGTCAGGGCTTTGGTTTGTTGCAACTTAAAGTCGTTCCTATGCTCTTTGCTCTCCGCCAAGGCCTTCTCCTCGGCAAATTGCTCGTCCACCGTCTTGAACCACTGCAGACTGTCGAGCTCGTTGCTCTGGCCCAACAGTGCAATTATGTAGGCCACTCCCATGGCGAAGCCGTCGTCGGTGAACGACACGCCGACCTTGTTCTTCTTGTACATCTTGTCCTTGCCGTCCACCGCGTTGTCGACGAAGCTCAGGGTCAACGGAGGCACGATCGCGTAGAACTGCTGGAGATGATAGGACTTGACGTCGCGAAAAGCCGAGGAGAAGACGTCCAGGAGGAGCTTGAAGTAATTCACGGCCTCGGTGAAGTTGCGCACCAGGTTCGCCACGTCGGCCTCCAGGCGTCTGGCAACGGCCTTGGTCGAGTCCGAGTACTCGAGGTCCTTCAAGACCTCCTGGAAGGCCGTCACCGTCTGCACGTCCGGCAGGAAGGAGACCGCATTCGAACAGGCGTGCATCCCTCCGGATCGGATTAGCCTTACATACCCCAGGGCGTTCCCGATCTGCGAGATCAGCTGACGAAATTGGTCCAGGTAGCTCAAACCATCCGGCGTCATCCCCAATTTTCTAATCCCCTTCTGGAACTTTTCCGCTCGCTCGTAGGTGTAGGGGGTTTTTCCACATTCTCGCTGCGCCTTCACGGATTTTATATCTCGCATCAGCCTAGATTTTATGTGGTCGTCGTAGAGGAACTGCGAGAAGGTGTGCAGCTTCACTCGGAGGAACTGGTAGACGAAGTTGACGGTCGTGCTCATGATGCCTGTTCCGTGGGTTCTTATGGAATTCGCCGCGTGACGGATTCCTATGGTGTTTAAATGCTTACCGGAACTCTCGCGTTCTATGAAGAATTGGGAGTTCAGGTTGTACGAGTACCTCGCCACGAACACGTGGATGTTCCTCATGATCTCCAGGGCGTCCAGGCCCTGCTCCAACGACTGGGTCGGTAGGTGATTCTCTACAAGGTGGAGACCCAACGTGTCGTTGGCTAGTTGCTGCATCGTCACGTAGGTCTTCCAATCGTGCAGGGCAACCGTAGTCAGGTTGTAGAACATCTCGTCGAGGTAGTGCTCGATGAACCTCTTTGTGGATATCAAGTGCCCCGCTATGGGGAGTGGAGTGCACCTAACCACGCGGTTGTTGTCCTTCACGCCCGTTTTGAAGGGGTTACTGCTGTCCACCTTCAAGTCCGAATGCACGTGTAGTCTTAGCTTTGTCTCGATTTCCCTACCTGCTGGTTCTAGGATCCTTTTCCTGAGAAGTTCCCTCTGCTCCGATGTCCTTGCTTCCACTAACTCCGATGATGCTTGTCGAAGAATGGCATCGTCGAAGGCATTCAATAGGTAAGCGAAGTGACCGATGTTCAGATTCTCTTCGAGCACTGTGGACATGTATGCAGGGATCATGCTGCGGTGGTGCAATAGAATCGAGAAGTCACACGCTTCTGTGATCAGGTGGTTCAAGTCGACCACTGTATCGTAAGAGTTTAAAAAGGATCTGAGCTTCGCTACCTCATCGTCCTTCAGGCAGTCACTGGATTGACTGGCGATGGCCAAAGCGCAGCGTGCGATCAGTCGGCGATCCGTGGTTCCTGGACCGTTTAAAAGACGCATTCCTAGTCCGATCAGTGAAAGAGAGTCCAGTCTCTCTTTACTGTATCCTTTGTCCTTTTGAATCAATCCCTTTCTCGCTGTTTCCAGGACTGTCAGGATCTGGTAGGAAAGATGTTGAATTATCTGGATCTGCGATTGGACTATCACTGGGGCAAAGGTACGAAAGGACACCTCCAATACCTTCTGAGTCTCGATCAGGCGACATATTAGTCTTACCGTACTGCGACTCATTGGCTTTGATAGTGCACCGTGTAAATTTGTCACAAACGATACCACCTCCGCAATTTGCAGGATTAATGTTAGGATGTCACAAAGTAAAGTATGTTTCTTGGTTAAATCGGAGATTTGAAAAATTCCAGTCCTCGTCGACATGGCATACACGTCGGCACACCAAACAATGGCACGATACACTAACTGACTTGTCGTTGCCTGCAGCTTTTGTGTTCTAGCTGTCAAAAGCTTCTCTCCTATTTGAGTACCGACGGATGTTCCAGCCTCTCTTGGTAAGAGATCGCCAAAGAACTTATTAGGAATCCATAGTACGTTTCCTGCAAGTGTCACTGCATAATGCTTCCTGTTTATTTCATGCAGTCTTTTGATCACTTTCTTGTCCATGGAACCGAATAGTTTTATCGTGGCAACGGCACCAACGTTTGCCCGAATCCAATTCTTGTTAAACGCAGCAGGATCGTTCAATTTGCTTTCGATGTCGGTTATGATATTCTTTAGGTAATTCACAAGATGATCGCACATTATAGAACTTTTGTTAATATCCATTGCATCTTCTAAGGCCTTATTGAACAGATTCTTAGACAGCAGCTGATTCCTTAAATCTGTCAAAAGCTTGTTTAAAGCAGGAAGTCTCGATGGTGCCACCGAGAATTGCGTTGGATTATGTATCGCGGAGTGTACCCTCATCTGATACTCTTTCCATAGTTCTAGAATCATAGGCTGCGCATCTATTATCTCGTCCAATGTGACCAGAAGAATTAATGTATCTATCAAGTGTTCTATCAAAACTGGTAAATAGAATTCATATTGTCCAGTAATTAGACCAGATAACTGTCGAACGATCATGTATGTAACGGTCGTAACACGGTTAGCATAAAACGAGAGGTCTTGCAAATCCGATACGAGCTGACCGATGTTGCTACCGTTGCCTTCGGATATTCTCTCGCCATGAGAGAATAACTTCCCATGAAATATGCCAGCTTCTGCCTTCAGTAATTTAACTTCTCGACATGTTCCTGCCACGGCTGCTAATACCTTCGAAATAGTTTTATTTTCTATGTCGACCAGGGATAAGATACTTATATCCTCATCTACGTTATATATTAATCGAACGGGTCCTTCGAGGAGCTGTTCAAGAGACGAATGATCCGATGGAAGGTTTTCGGCGAGGTGCTCGAGAAATGCACCATATCTTCGAAGCTGAACCTTTCCAGCAGTTTTGTACAACATTTCGTTTCGTTCGACGTTCCATGCTGTAGGGTTAATCATCTTAAAAAAAAATAAGAGATCAGATATAATTTCTACTTGTACATACAGTAATTCTCATAATGATATTGACAAGCAATGTTGTTAATAAGCTTTTAGTTTTCAGGCAACTATAATCGTTCACGGATAAATTCAGGTAAACTTACAATATTTTGTTACTAGTTGTTACTAGTAATAGTGTGAAAGCGCGCTAAACCAGAGAATAGTAAAAAGTGATAGTGTCCACTGTGTCGGATTTTGCAGCTATAACGAGCCAGTGCTACCTGGTAGCACTCCATAGAAGCTCATCCATACAAGATGTAGAAAGTATAATTACATAACCTTTGAGTTTAAAAAAAACCGCGCCCACTTTAAATTCAGTTATCCTGGATCCTGTTGCTTTTTCTTCCCCCTTTCGTAGACAATTATGGGAAATGCAGGACGAATCCTAATATTTCCGCGATATTTCTTTTGTACAATCGGTTTATTTAATAAGTTCAATACACGGTACCGATACTTTTACGACTGAGCGGTGAACACTCAACATTCAGAATCTTTTTCATGCTTTTCCCTTATACATCTGACAAAAAATAACTCAATTTCGCATTTTTCTCGAAACCAAACTAAACAGTGCACAAGTTACAAATTCATTTAGCAGTCTGTACGAACCACAACGTAAAGTCTCAGATTATAGTCACATCGTTCTGCGATGTATCAAGGAATTTGGTAAACAAGCATCGCTACGAAAGGTACGTGGGTATGTCTAGTCGCATTAGGGTATTAAACTTAGATATTTACTAGTTTTCAACTTAACTCGAGGCTCGAGTATCAACAGCAGACCTTGCAATGGCCATTATCCTTACTTATGTTACTTGCTGCGTAATAAATCAATAAGGAAAAAGTAATTTCACAGGCGATTAAACAAATGAAACATGAATTCATCTCCAAAGTTATTGTTAAATTAATCGCAGTACTTTAGCAAATTTTTGCGCATTTTTGTACGATTACTTACAAATGCACGAAGTCCAATTAACGTTATTACTCGGACAGATGTGACAACTTATAAACGTAAATGGAAACTATGAGTTGCGAAAACAATATTTCAAGCAGAGATGGGCAATTGTATTTTTTTAGTTCATACACACACTGTCTTTGTATAATGTAAGCATGATAAATCACTCTGTATCTTTGTCCTGTATAATTAATAATAACTTAACTATTCAGTATCTCTTCAATTAAATTGTATTAGGTAAAGCTATGAGGTTTTAAATATTAATAACCTCTGTAACTTTTATATTTATCCGAGAATTGTCCCCAGATAAATGATATAATTTAGACCTGATCCAATGATGGACATTAATTTTAATTGACCTAAGCTGTTAAGATGCATGCTTTATAAAATGGAATAGTTTCAATGATCATTTATCCAATTACTTGGCATAAAGGAAAATTTAATGATATATCAAGAATACAACTGAATTATAAAACTTACTTAAATAGAAAATGTAATCTTGCAATACACAAATAAGACTCAAGGGTGCAATACAAAGCGAGTAAATTAATGCTTTTTAATTAAACAATACGGCAATAATGGATATCTACTTTACACTTTAAACAACTTTCAAGCCATCTCTGCTTTAAAGATTGCTAATTAAATCTTAGTACATACAATTTAATCGATTCCACTTTTAGTGTTCATATAACAGATTATAGAAGAAAATGAAAATGATGAGGTTTGCATTACAAAGCTATAGCATTTTTGTTTCCTTTAAAAGAAATACCTACATATTATGGAAAATGGTTTTTTTTTTCGTGAATCTTAAATCCACTCTCTTATTACAGGAATGTAAAACTGCACATTCAGAAATACTATGTGGAAATCAAATTACGTAATTTCTTTTTAAACGTACATATGCGTTATTGATAACCGTGTCCATTTGCTTGTGTTAATCACTTTCACTTTAAAAAGTATTAAAACCAAATTGCATGGTACACCTTCCATATCTTCTCAGTATTGACCACCGGTCTGCTCTTGGTATACTTCGATAACGTCATCATTCTCCATTTCCAACTGTAAACCAAAACGCATTTATCAGATTCTTATTGTTATTTCATGAATTAAACTACAAACTCAATATTTTAATTTACCTCATGTAAAATAACTAGAATTTTAGAAGCACTGTATTACCTGCTTTGGTGTTTCATCATCGTTGATTCTTTTACCATCGAAAAGAAACCTCAGCGATGTCATTGGTACTCCCTGGTATAGAGAAAAAATGAATTTAATATCACGATACAATTGTAGAATCATCCATTCGCATTAGTCTTGTTGACGATGAACTTAATTACGTAAATAAAAGCACAGCCTTGGAAACATGACTTACCACACGGTCACTGTAAGATTTCTTAAGCTTGCCCATTTGAGTGGTCATCTTTACCCTAAAGTGAATTTCATTGCTATCCTACAAAGAACAATAAAATGAATCCTCAAGTGCAGGAAATATTAACGAATAGACTTAAGAGTTAAACAAGATCCCTTACTACCGGGAATCCTGTGCACTCACGTTTCCCACGACTTTGAGCTTGATATATTCGGAATTCGCGTCTCCTGGGCCGGCTTCGGGTTTTTGCTCCTGACGTACGAAGGTTATAATCGTTAATTCGGTAAGGAAATACAGCTCGTAACTCTCATTCAAGTTTAGGCAGTCGCGGCGATAAAAATTTCACTACAAACGGGGAAACTTACCTGACCGTCAGACATCCTGATTAATTAGAATTAGAAATAATATCTCAACCACGCGCTTCGACGGTAACCAAACACAAGCATCCAATATGGCGGCGCGCTTTTGTCAGTTCACAGCCTTCTATTCGGAAAGTAAAAACTCTAACGTATCCGCGAATTTTCGTTCGGAAAGGCATCAGATTCTGCCATTAGGTGGGAAATTCGGTCTCGTGGAGCTTCTGCCGAGGGAAAGCGGTACGACGTACATTATTTGTTGGGAAACCCGAGACATTGGCGACAGGGAACAAAATGGAAAATGGACGTGGTGTGGTAATTCGATTTATTTCGCATCGGGACGTAAGAGAGTAAGGTTAGAAACGCTATCAAACGTTTGAATCATGGATTTGCGGTACCATTACTCTTCTTGAATCTATGCTTCTTGAACTGTTCTGAAATCGACAGCCAATCGCAGCTGTGTTCCTCTGGTTGCGCTATTGTTCCAATTTCGCGATATGGCCGGCTTTAGCTGATCGCGTTTTGATTGGCCCGTGGTTATCTACAAGATGATCGTCGACCAATCAGCGCGTCGCGTCTTGTCCGTAGTTGCGGACCATCCTTGAATTTCGGAAAGTCGGCCATTGGCTAGCCGAGTCCTCGAAACTGCGTCCAGTCGCGTTGCAGTTCCGTGTACGGTCCTGCAATTGTCAGTGAATCGTAGGAAAGTTTCGGCGTCAACAAATCCTGAGAAAGGTACGAGATTCCCGTACTTCAAAGCTTCTTCGCGCGTTCTCGTCGAACTTCTGTAGTATCAGTTTCCTGTGTGACAATAAGCAACGATAATAGGAATGATTACGCGTGCGCATGCGCACTCTGCCAAAACTTCACACATCTCGAGAGCCCTTCGAATAAATAACGTTGTTTTCGTTGTGTACGATGTCGCTTGAAGAATCTAATGAGCATATTTCGTTATCCTGTCGCCCATGGCATTCATCGAAGTTCTTGAGTCGCCCTACGTTGACCAGAGAAACCACGTAGATCTTTTTCCGTGATTCATAAAGAAGACATGGACGGAAATATTGCATAAACTTCAAACAATGTAGGTTATATTATGTCGTCGAAAGTAAATAATACTTCCGAGGTAGTTTGACGTTTTCGATGTGATTTATGAATCTCAGTATACGATATATCTTAACTTCTCAAAGGGATGTTTGCAATGACTTGTACCGTTTATGTATAGATTTTAATTCAGTACAGTTTTTATTTTGTAAGAAAAATGTGTATTCGATTTGTTTTACAAAGGAGATACAAGTAATAATCATAGAAATATAGCATGTATGTCTATGAGTTAGATCATTTCATGACCGAATAATATAATGTCCTTTTACAGTGCTCTGCTACGTCGTCAGTATATACGTGCTCTGAAATGCCACAAAAGACTCCAGAAAAAAAGATAGCAAATACCAAAGGGTTACGGTTTCAGCAAGTGATCAATGTAAGCCCTCAACAATCTCAAACACCTAATTCTAATCAAAGAGTTCTTATTCTGTCAACACCTATTAAGTTGAAAGATGGAACCGTTAATATCGAGCAGAGAGCGATACCTTTGAGAATTAATAATAATCAGTTAATAATGAGCGGAGGTGCCAAGAGCAACGTGATTTCCTTGAAGCGCAGTAACGAACCACCGCCTCTGGCGTTACCCATTGACCAACTTAATAAAAAATCTCCTACGTTTGTTAAGAATGAAGTCGGACAAGTTATGGGAAAGTTAATACCACTTGGAAAATTTTCTAATATCTCACCAAATACATTGAGTCCTGTAACTCCAGTTTCTGCATCACCTGTACTTACGAATCAGAAAGTTAAAGGTGACACGACTAAACAGCATGCGAAACCCAGAGAAAACAAAGCACTGAAACTGACCGAATGTACAAGGAAATATATTCGCATAAGTAATGAATCTTTGACACCGAGACAGAATGTAAAATTTAAAGAGAGACCGTTAATTCTTAATGCTGCGGATGCCGTTGCAGGCTGTCAAAATACAAAATCTTCTGTTCCTGGAACTTCATCGATTGAAGTAAGTCTTGTCAATAAACAATCAACGCCAACATCGACAAAACCAAAGAAAGAAATTCATCTGGTTTTGAAAAGAGAGAACAATACGGCAAGCATAGGACAAACTGGAACCAACATAAAACTAATACCTTTCGATCAGTGGAAACAGAGTTCAAAATTAAGCGTTTTAAAGAGCCCTGATAATATGTCATCACAGACGAAAACGATAAGCATTGAGAGTCGCATGAATGACCAGAAGGCAGTTAAAACCCATGCACTCCGTTTCGCCGAATCTCATTTGCAGTCATCGATTAAAGATAAGAGCTTTAGCAAGACGGACATTTTGAGCAAGGACTCGCTAAATATTGAAAGCGTCAGAACAATGAACAATATAATAAAATCAGAACCTGTCGATCAACATGAATTAAGTACAAAAGATGGGACAAAAGTACCTACCGATATAATGGATGTATCGATTCCTGATTTTGCACTTTCTGACTTTATTGAATCCAACGATACGTCTAATTTGATTAACCTTAAAATTCAATCAAAACCGATTCGATTAAAGAAGGATGAGTCTAACATAGGTACTCATTGGTTAAGGCAAAAAAGTGAGCCGCAAAGTCAAAATGACTGTAAAAATAGTTACGCTTTATCATTAAGAAACTCATCCGCTTGTTCTCCAAATCAAACAAGCGGTAGTAGTAAAGAAGTTCCGTCCGAAACACCAGTAGCAAAGAAACAAAACACGTGGGATGATCTGTATAATCGGTTTAAAATAAAGAAGGCCGACGTAACTGAAAAAGAGCTGGCGATGATGTCATACATTCATGGATTGAGGAAAAGGCTGTCGTACTCGCAACATTGTAAGATCAAAATGCAGACATTCTTGCTGCAGCAACAACGTCGAGGTATGGCATACCTAACAGGTATTCAGAGGAGTTTCATTAAATCACAGATCAGAAATTCAGGAAAATCATTAAAAAAGCAAAAGTTTACGAAGTTGGAAACTTCTGTAGCTCAAGAAATATTGAGAGCTGTTGGACCGAGAGGCTACAATAATTTAAGGAAATTGTTTTACCTTCCCACCAGAAGCATAATCACTAACAATTAAATTTAACAAATATCCTGTGATATCGTGAACAATAATTGACTCAAAAAGAGACATATGAGTTATACAGCCTGGTGTGATCTACTTGTTAATTATTTTTTAGTGTGATCACACCATAGATTTAACTAAATCTATCCAGTCGTCTCCTAAATGTCACAAGGTAATCGCACTCAATTTAAACCTTGTGATATTTAGATTACGATTGTAACCTTTTTTTTTACAAAAAAGATTTTCTTTCCTTGCAAGTTGCATCTTGTAATTAAAGGAACGTAATTGTTATCGAGAAGAACAAAACCATTGGAGACTGAACCATCTGCTAAAAACTTATTGTTAAAAATGACGACAACTAAGATCTTTCATAAGTATCATTTTGTTTTCTTTATTATGAATGTTTTTCAGCGTTTTAAACATGTTATTTATATAAATAGATAAAGGGTGCACTGTTAACTGGACACATTACTGCATGAATTTGTTGCATTTCGTTCCGATTGATATTGAATAATTTGTTACAATAAGCATACTGCCCGTGTGCACCTGTATTATAAATTGGAAACATAGTTAAATATGGTTAGTACCTTGTAAAATACAATGTTCGCTTTGGAGATATTGCTGCATATTAACGTAGACCTTATGTGCAACTTAGTAATAAATCGCATATTACACGTTATGGAGGAATTTGATTCAATTTCATATAGTTGCTGGGAAAAGCACACGTTTTAACATTATCACCCTTCAAATTGTTGCTTTATTGAATAAAGTTTCTATGATAAAATTAAAGCTTCACCGACTCGTATTATATTTCTACATTAATTGAATTTTTAGAGTAGCTCGTGCATATATACGATACGAATTTCAGCCAATCTCCCAACTCATCTCTGCAGCTACACTTTGGTAAAGCACGTATATAAAATGATGTGTCCAAAAGATGATCTAGACAAGAAACCAGGGTCCAATATTGAAGCAGATCGCCCCGCCGCCATCTTTACGACGTTTCGAATAATTTGTGTCCTATAGGGACCCTCCCGTTTCGTTACACCCTATATAAAAATCTGGAGAAAGAGGTGGCGCCGCCCTGACGTCGCGCGTCGGAACTACTCCCTCACTTTCCTAACCTCCGATCTCCCGACTACCCCCACTCGAGTTCGATGGTCCCAACTTTCGCTCTGCGTTCCGAACAGTTCCAAATCGGTTCCCAAGCACGCGTAGGGTCGAAATTCGTTCTCGGCGTTCTTCTACGCCGGTAATTTCATCGCTCGAGCCGTTTCCCCGAGGGATTAGCGACCATTCGAGAAAACCTCTCGATCTCGAATCCGGGGCGAGGTCGTGCTAACCTGCGTGGGTTCAACGACCGAGGCGTAACAGTGAGAAGAGTGGCACCGGCCATGTTTATGTCATGGTGTATCCGAGGAGCGATTCGGAGTTAACCGAGAGTACGCCCGATTCCGTGCGATCGACCGAAGTTTGACGCACCTCTGCCAAACCCATCTACGGTGCGACATCCTCGCCATGGAATCCAGCGATAGAGGTTAGTGGCGGTCGATTTAATCCCCGAAACCGGCGATATCGAGCGTCTGACGTGAATCGTGGCTGGGGGCAATGGCAGTGTCAGGGTCGGAATGGAACTAGTTCAGTGACCGTGATTCGCAGGGACCTTTTACCCGTGAGCTCCATTTCCCCATTTTCCGGCCCAAGACTCGCAGCAATTGAGTGTCCTATGTTAAGAAATGTTATTCAGCATTTCAGAAGATTTATCCATGGTATCGGTGGCTGACTTTTAAGGTTGGCTGTACCGAAGGGTCCCCTCCCAATAGATTTGGGTCGTATGCTTTGCCCCGTCACTGCCCCACCATGGTGAGGTCCGATCTTACAATGGAATTCGTTTCTATAACGACGGTATAAATTGGTCTGTTCAAATTTTTTACAATTAACATCGAAGGTACTTAATGCATTGCATACGAGTCGGTCGATGCCTCCGATCTGTCGGATACAGTGGCAGAGAAGGGTCAACCTTTGAGAGATCGATGTCTGCGATGCATGCAACAAATACTATACAAGGTACCTATATTGCGAATAAAGATACCGCGTGTAAATGAGTTCGTTCCCTTTGACTTGGTTACGGTGATGTCTTCCGCACCTGTCTTAATTGGACACAGTGGAGGTTAACCGCGACCGGCAGGAACCAGAATTTAAATATTCCGCAAGTGGTAATATTTAACATTCCCCAAATGCCGCATCACCTTTCAGTACCTGTCAAACCGACCATACCTTCCGGGATCGCATGGGACAATCACTCCTTCCTAGAAAACGTCTCTTATCATCGGCAGATAAGTCATTGAGCGCGCCTCGCGAGTTAATCCAGAAAGACGACAGATGTCTCTGCTAGCTCCGACCGGGATCGAGATCGAGGTTAAATTTTCCGACCGCAACAAAAAAAATTAGGAATGGGATAAAAAAAGAACAATAGGCTAGAAGACATCACCACGTGACCGAAACTCGAGCCGCATCGTGTAAGAATTCTCACGTTCATCTTACATCACCATTCCGTCGCCTCTCAACGACCCGAAACCACCTGTATCCTCCTAAAAACCCACGACGCGTTCCTACTTCCCATCGAATATTCCGGAAAATTGATTCGGCTTGCCTCGATTATTCCCCGATAGCGGACAATCCTATAATATCGGGTGTTTACCCGCGACCACGCTTACCGCGGTCTCCGTAGGGTGGCGTTCCGAGCGGCCGCGAGGCGACCGTAATAGGGACGTCCGCTCGTTTCGGCCGTGCACTAGAACTTGACTCCTAAGCTCCCCGCAGTCTCTGGCGCAAGCTCGAGCGCCCCTCTCCTCCCGCACCGCGACCTCGACCGGCCGCTCCGCACCCGTCGCGTCGTCGCGGCGTCTGCCCGCTCCTCCCCTCGCTCCTCGCAGCCTCGTGTCCTATTCCGGGAGCGCCCCGCTCTCCCCTCCCCTCCCTCGTCCATCACGTCCGCCGTGGCCTCCACTCTGCTTTCCCCCCACCCCGCCCCTCCCGCTAAGGGGGTTCGCGCCTCTCCGTCGCTCCCATTGGTCGATCGCTGGCGCGCTCTCCGTCCGCCAGCCGTGATTGGCTCGCGGCCCCCCCCACTCCCCTCCCCGCCCTACCCGCATCCTTTGGGTCGCGTAAACCGGCCACTGAGTCAGTTGGCGAAGCGAGCTCTCGGCCGACAGGTACGCGCGCGGGTGGGTGTGCGCGCGCGCGTACACGTCTCTACTTGCGCGCTCCCGCCCCGCCCCTCTCTCGGCCCACCTCGCCCCACGTGTTTTCCGCGGCCGAGGCGACGCTTCGGGAAGTGCGTCGTCTCGGCCGTCCCGCGGAAAGCGAGAGTGCTCTCTCACCGGGGATCGCGGTCGATCGGTTTCGAGGGAGGGAGGGGGGAGACGTCGAAACGAGCCCTCCTGCGGGAACCGCGACTCGCCGGGGACATTCGAATAAGTAGGCCACGTAAGGGCACGTGGATCGGGAAAAAAGAGGTTAAGGACTCTCTGTCGGTGGCCTTCGCGCGTCACCTCGACGTTCCTTTTTTTTTTTAAACCGCCACTCTCGTTACGTGTACACACGCATTGCGGCACGGTACGGGCGGGGAGATATCGCATCCATCCGGCTTTTCCGGGTATGGGGGGTTTTGCAAGGATGCGAGATCGCGCGGGTCGAACGCGGCAACCCAAGATGGCCGCCGCGCGCTAGAGTTTCGGCCCTTTATAAGAAGTCTCCCTTCACCCTCCGTGATTTGGCTTTCTTACTGGTTCGGACATGCGGGCTATTTTCTGGCTATGCAGCAGGTGGAAAGGTTAACTCGCACCGGGCGTCTGAGTTAGGCCCGTGCCGTGTTTTTTTGTTTTTTAATATATATATGTACTTCCGTCCCCATCCTGACTCGATCGTTCTCTGCGGGGAGATTACTGTACGCTTTCGCTTTTCTTATATTAATGCCTGTTTTTGAGCGCAAACTGTATATGGATTCCTCACGGGGAACAATTGATGATATGTTCGTACATCGTACTCCGCGATCCTCGGTTGGTTGCAGAAATAATTGAAATTCCTTCCTTCCCATGAAAAGTTCGAGTCGACTTGTGCCGTTTCAATATATCTTTGCTAAATGTATGGGAACATTCATTACGATGGACTGACGATTGCGATAGCTGTCGAGTTGGCGTACAGAATTCCTCCGCAGGGCTGAGATTGAGGTTTAGGTCTCGTGGGAGTAGACGAGTTCCCCCCTTGTGTTTACACCGGCCGAAAACACGGCGGAGATCGCGGTCCCTCGATTCGCCGTGTCGCTCGCGCGAGGCACGCCGGGGGACGCGGAGGGCGGCGGCGGGGGTCCGCCTCGCGGCGCGGCGCGGCGCGCACTGCGCAGCGGGCCCGACCTTGAAAGCGAATAGGACGGGCGCCCACGAGGAGGTTTCCGCTTTCGCGGGGCGCCGCGAGGGGCGCGCAGCGCGGGGAGAGCGCGCGTGACGGGGGGAGGGGGGTCTCCGGCGGAGGGAGAGAGACCGAGCGAGGCCGTCCGGCCGCCGGCGGGAGGGAGACCCCACGATACAGGTGGAGGGAGTTTTTTAACGATCGCGCTCCGACGGAGCCTCGATCGCGGATGCATACTCCTAGGTTAAGGGGAGGCACGCGACAAAGGTGCCGCGCGAAAAACACTGTTGCTTTCGTTGCGACTTCCTCCCTCTCTCTCTCTCTTTCTCTCTCCTGGATTCCCTCGTTTCGGTTCTCCGTTCGCCTCGGCAGTTCTCGGCTGTTCTCGGCCCTACTCGGCTCGGGCGCGTATAGGCATGCCCCTGGTGCTACGGACGGAAGGAAGATAGAGAAAAAATAGTACGCGACGAGCGAAAAGTGCGACGGAGTGCTTATCGGGTTCGAGGTGCTCGTCCGGATGTGGGGTGAAGTTATCGCGGGGGGTTTAACGTGGATCGAGGGGTAAACGGAGATTTAGGATCCGGTAGCGCGCAGCCACGGTCGCGGAACGAACGGGACGCTACTCGGTTGGCGCGGCGAAACGCGACCTTGAGGTGTCGCTTAGCTGAGGGGAAAGGCGGTAATGTCAGCTAATTCTTCGTGCGAGGAGCAGTCTGCCGGTGCACTTGATCCTACGAACGTCGGATGTCGGATTTTTCGGGGATAATCGTTACCCTAGAGGTGCGGCCCTTTCCTCCCGACGCGGCGAGCTAAGATTCGACTCGACTCTTTTTTTGGCTTTTTTACGCCTTCCCAAGTTTTGCCACGCACGCGGTCTCCTCGATCCGTCCGCTTCTTTTTTTTTGGTTTTGTGGGGTTTTTTTTTTCCTCCACGTTTTCTAGCCTATTCTCTACTTCGGTTTGTCGAAGCCTTTTCGAGGTTAGACCTCGCGGAGTGACGTTGAACGACGACACGTAATGACCCGACCGAGGAGGGGCGAGACCCGGTGGTCGGCGCCGAACCTACGGCCAAAATAACCGAGGAACGCTTTTCCGATGAGAGAGGCGTGCGATACGGACGATGCTTCGGGGGAAGAGACGGTAACCGCGGTCTCGGGGACACGAGGAACCAGTGACCTCCTCTCGTGAGGAGCGACAAGTAAGGCAGGCTCACGGAGAGAAGGCAAGATGATGAAGAAGGAGAAGCCGATGATGTCGGTGACGGCCATCATCCAGGGCGCCCAAGGCCAGCACTGGGCCCGGGGAAACACTTGTACGTATCCGGAAGACCGAGGCGTGACTTTGATCTTCCCTCGTACGTTTTAGTGGGTAAAAGTCCTGCACTGTTGTATCTCCTCTCATGGGAGGCGGGGGGTTCGTATCGCAGATTTTTCCTCCCCATGTAAATGAGAAAATAAAATAAAGCGTCGAAAGCCGGATTTCGACGAGGCGACTTCCTCTCTTTGGTTTTAGTGGGTACAAGTCCTACACTACTTGCCCCCCCGAGGGGGGCGAGATGCTTGGATAGCTGATTTCCTCTATGTATGAGAAACTAGATAATAATACCTACTACTGGACCTGGGGAGACGTTTGTACGTGTTTCGAATGTCTCTCGGATGCAGCCCGAGACCTCTCCCTCGATCTGGAGCACGGGTGGAGTTTTAGGTCGGCGACCTTGACCTATCCCTACCCAGATCTTGACCCGCGCCACTCGGGTAACATCTTCTTCAGTACGCCGAGAGTCTGTTCCGACCTTGTAGGACTCTGTTCTTCTTTTTATTTCCATTTTTCTTTCCCGTCGTGGGCAGAGGGACGACCTGTGGGCGTAGTCGTGGCGAGGTAAAGGTGTAACTCGTCGCCTGGGCAATGCAGGGAAATCGGTCACCTGACGTGAAATATAACGCCCTGGGAGAGGAAAATCGCCCACGCTGTGGAAAAGGTCGCGGTGAGAAGGAAGCTCGCCCACGGGATTCACGAGAAAGCCTCGAAGAGAGAACTTTTACCCTCAGAATGCAGGGGAACTAGTCTCGAGTCTTCCATTGACGTGGCCTTCTTCAAGGTTGCGCCGTGTGCCTCGGCGATGCCTCAACGGTTCCGTTAATCGATCCTTCCGTGACCCGATCACGGGCGAGTCATCTCTCCCCCTGGAATCGGAACGCAGACGGATAATCGATATGGTCGGGAATGCCGATCGATGCGAGTACTTACCTGGGGCAACGCTCCGGGAGTCACTCCTTGAAAATCTATTCCCTGGAATATATTTCCGAGGAACTTGTGAGAACTCTCTAGAGGACGAGGCGGACCTTGATCGCGGTTTCTTCTCGTTTCAGGGCTGAGTCTGGACAACAGCAACATGTCCATGTCCTCGGTCGGTCCCCAGAGCCCGCTGGACATGAAACCGGACACGGCGACTCTCATCAACTCCGGGAACTTCAGCCCCTCCGGTCCGAACAGTCCAGGGTAATGGGATTTGATTTTCTTTCTACCTACGGAAGCTCGCAATGGTAGAGCGTCGTCCTTAACCAGGTGGCTGTTGCGACCTCTTTGAAAAATGTGCGTTTCACGACGAGTATACTCGTGAGAAACCGCTAACTGGTTAAGAGAGACTTCGGTAAACTCACCGCCATTGACCGCAAATCGTGAACTTTCGGATCCTGGTGGAAGGTGGACGTAAGGCGACGTCTCTTGACTCTGACCTCCTGGTTTCCAGGTCGTTCAGTGCCGGCTGCCACAACAGTCTTCTGAGCACCTCGCCGAGCGGGCAAAGTAAAACGGGCGTTGGCTCTCCCTATCCTCCGAATCATCCCCTGTCGGGAAGCAAACACCTCTGCTCCATCTGCGGTGACCGGGCCAGTGGGAAACACTATGGCGTGTACAGGTGAGACACCTAGGAAGAGTGATGGAAGGGTCTGATGAAGTAGTCATGGAAGGGTTCATCGGTGGTTTCCTTTTTCGTTTCAGTTGCGAGGGGTGCAAGGGGTTCTTCAAGCGCACCGTCCGCAAGGACCTCTCGTACGCGTGCCGGGAGGACAAGGCCTGTATCATCGACAAGAGACAGAGGAACCGATGTCAGTATTGCCGGTACCAGAAGTGTCTAGCCATGGGCATGAAGAGAGAGGCCGTCCAGGAGGAGCGGCAGCGCACCAAGGAAAGGGACCAGGGCGAAGTCGAGAGCACGAGCAGCTTGCACACCGACATGCCGGTCGAGCGCATCCTGGAAGCAGAGAAACGGGTGGAGTGCAAAACGGAACACCAAGGGAACTACGAGGTAGAGCTCTCTCCTAAGGGGAGGCCGAGCATGTCGAACGCAAAGACGTACACACCGAATCGCTTTGAAATTTTACGTCAATTTTGACAGTCCCTCAAGGTCCTGGCAACTTTGGGCTGAAGAGTCCTTTCTACTTGCAGAACGCCGTGCCGAACATCTGCAGCGCGACGAACAAGCAGCTCTTCCAGCTGGTCGAGTGGGCGAAGCACATCCCGCACTTCACCTCGCTGCCCCTGGAGGACCAGGTCCTCCTGCTGCAGGCTGGATGGAACGAGCTGCTGATCGCCGCCTTCTCTCACCGGTCGATCGAGGTCAAGGACGGCATCGTCTTGGCGACTGGGATCACCGTCCACAGGAACCTGGCGCACCAGGCCGGCGTCGGCACCATCTTCGACAGGGTCCTGTCCGAGCTGGTGTCCAAGATGCGCGCGATGAAGATCGACAAGACCGAGATCGGGTGCCTGAGGTCCATCATCCTCTTCAATCCCGACGTGAGGGGACTCAAGTCCAAGCAGGAGGTCGAATTGCTGAGGGAGAAGGTTTACGCCGCCCTAGAGGAGTACACCCGGGTGTCGAGGCCCGACGAACCTGGTCGGTTTGCCAAACTTCTGCTACGCTTGCCATCCTTACGGTCCATCAGTCTCAAGTGCTTGGAACACCTCTTCTTCATCAGGTTGATCGGTGACATGCCGATCGACGCTTTTCTCCTTCAGATGCTGGAATCTCCGTCGGATCCTTAAGCATGGGGCTCCCACTCTAATCTCTAACTTCTCTAACACGTTCACGTCTGAACTATCTCACCGAGTATACATATATACATATATACATATTAATATAAAATATGAAGCCTCTCGATTACGTTCTTACCGTATTATTTATACGAATTACGGTGCGGTAACTCTTATCTCCTTTTTTCGTTTGAATTTGAATTTCTACGAGGGTGATTCGGGCACCCATCGAGCTGGTGATGAGATCTGTGGAAATGCCTCCTATGAAGTGGGGATCTCTCGTCGAGGTGAATCTGGAATGTGAACGGTTGATAAGAGGGCTACTCCGGGGAATGGTGAAAGTGATCGAACTAAATTGGACTATTTATAATGGTGTTGTGATGTTTTATCATGGAAGTTTATCCATGAGTTATCGATTTCTACGCTCTGGCATTGATTTGGATAGAGCTGTGTAAAAGATACACGCAGTTAGTGTATGTGATAGTGGTTAAAAATAATGAGCGCTGCCTTTTGCTTCTAGGCAAATTCATTTTGAACTGAATTTCATATGTCTATGAGTTCGGCTTCAATTGTTATGGGGAAAAATAGTGTCGAAATTATAAAGTGGTTGTGCGGTTCTCCAGAGCTTTGCGTTTAACGATTGTTGGTTCACTTATCGCTCGGCCACTGTAGATATTCGTACTTTCAATCGTTCGATTCGATGTAACTTCCTTGGGTCGTTTCAATCGAAGACTTAGGTGTACTTTTCAAGTAACGAAAGTAACCTGTAACGATTTGTCGTTGAATTTTAACAAGGGCCACCTAGGCCCACTCCTTGGATGTATATATAACAGAATTCTTTATAAAATGTGTTACTTAGCGAACAAAGTAAATTTATACAATGAGTTTATTTTATCAGGTCGGAATACATGTTCAGATATTATCTTTGAACTTTACATTCCAGTGTTATCGCGATTTGAATTGTTATATTATAAAGCAATTATAAAATGTTAAAACGGGCTAGAATATACGGTTAAATTGGAGAAACGATTTTACACACGTGATTCTACACTGTACTATACACCGTTTTCACTCAACCTTTTCTCTTGGCAGAACGCGTTGATTTACAAACATTGTATGTTATTCGTGCAGTCCTTCCCGTAGTTACTTCTCCCATAGGATAAATCCAATTTATCACTAGTAACGCAACTTGCAGTTAGACTTGTAGCTAAACGGTAAACCAAATGATCGATGAATATTTATTTTTCGTTACCATTCATTTATTCTTTCAAATCTATTTAACTAATATTAAATTTTGACCATCACTTCCGTGTCTCGTCTATTTTTGATAGTACGATTGAAACTGATCCTCTGCAGGAATATCTGCCGAGACTGTCCTTCCTCGCGATCACTAAACTTTTATTTGTACATACTTTTTAATTATATAGTTGAAACATTATATTTTCAATAAATATTAATTGAAATCGTCATACGCAGGTGTATCGCTTTTATGCATATTTTTTTCTCAGGTCTTCCTCGATGTGTGTAGGGTGCTTGAATTGTGAGGTTTTGTAACTCGCGCTTATTAATTGTTATTAAAGAATACATCGCTGTTTGTGGGAGAAAATGTAATGTTTTCTGACCTGGTCGTAGTGGTTATGACGTTATGGTTGACTGGGATTCCTGGCGTTATCTTCGAGAACAATGGAGTTTTTCCTGGTACCCGCGTTTTTGGAAGTTCACATTCCGGTCGTGACGTGCTGCCATCTATGGAAATCTCTAGAAACAGGGTGCACATTCATTTATATATAAATTTGGATCTCCCGGTGTTAGACGTGATTTTTAATTCAATGAAAAAATTATTCTTACAGGACTATCGATTTATTTTTATTGGAACTGTCTCTAAAATGAGGCTGGTGTTATTTTTTTTTAACACTGTAGACTTAGATCACGAACGTTCTAAATAATTGTTTCGATTGTTACTAATCAGTCAGCCTGTGGTCTAAGGGTACGATTGATTATCGATCCGACATCGATAAGAAACTGTTATGTATTCGAGACTGCATGCTGACTCATTTTTTTTTTCAGGCCAGCTCTTCCGACCAATCGCCGAAATCCCTAAAGAAATTGTCCAGCATTATCTTGCGAGTTTAAAACAACTTAGCAGCGAATATTAACGAGAAATGCATTACCTGTTGCTAGGAAACTCCACTATCGCTAGATATCGCGATAAAAGTGCATCGATCGTGATAAAGATGCGGTTTTTTCGCGCTTATCCTTTGACCGCCATTTACTTCTATTGACCTTGCCTTATCAATTAATGCACCGTCAATTGCCGCCAGACCAAGAGGATCTGCGATTAATCTTCGGAATAATATCTGAGAATACACTTTATAGACAGAAATGTCTTATCTGTAAAATATTGGAGCTCCACCGGATATTTTAGTCATTTGGTTTCGTTCAGTTCTCACATTTTTATCGACCGCTGTATTAGTTCCGGTTTCGGTTCCCGGAGAGCGCCACCGATTCTAGTCTCTGAACTGTAGACAAGAGAGGAACGTCTCTTTGGAGGTTAGTCGCCGCGATGACGCCTTCATGTCGGGCGGTGTAAACGCCATCGTTCTTTCGAAGTTCCATCTTCGCATTTTCCACCGCGGCGGGGATTACGTAATCTGGCCTTAAATCGCTGCGAGGGCTTGGTGGGAGCGTTGAAAATTAGTTGTGCTGCGTGTTCATTGAGGTGGAGTAATCTAGTTGACGTTATTCGGTGTGGAATTAAATAGTGCGGGGTCCGGATTGTGCCGTTTGGTGTTAGTTTTGTCGAGTTTTGCCATGGACAGTCAGTGCTCCTACGTTACCAGAAACCTCGGCGGCGAGGAACCTTACGAGGTCTACGCTGCTGGAAAGTCGGGAAATAATCTTTTAAGCCTTGGTAAGGTTTATTTCCGACCTCCTCTTGAAATAACCGTTACACTTTGTGTATATACATTTGTTTAAGGGTGCCCGAGAACTCCAGATTTTATGTATCACTTGTTTCGGACGGTCTGTGCCCATTTGTGTTCGTTGGCTCTTAAAGCTCATCGATTCCAGAAGAATATGCATGTATGTTAAGAGACGTAATTTCATAATGCTCTCAATGTACCAAAAACATTAAACGTGTGAGAAGCATCGAACGTCAACTCGGGTGCTGTGTTTACGTTGAAATTCTTGTCACGCAAATAGCCTGTTTTTCTCGTACAAGTGTTCAAAGGGTTATTTACAAGTAGTTTTGAAATTGCCTTCTTTTCAAGGCTCACGAGCTCACGGACTTGATAACCTTCAGCTTATTAGCTGGGTTACAAATGTGGCAACTGAGGTCCTACCCACGTAAATATGTGGGTGCAACATAACAAGAGGAATAAATTTGGTTAAATGAAATATCGGTATTCATGTTGTATGACTTTAAAACTATGCGCAAATGCGTTTTAGGAAATAGAGGTTAAGGGTCTTGCAATCTGACTTATGATTAAAATTGTCGCCCCTGCCTCCTCCTGGTAATTAAAAAAAACTGACGCACTCTGTGGTCATGTGGCCAGGGAATTAAGCAGAATTACAGCAAATACGTCGACATCCTGTTTGGAAACGTGATACCAAACTGCCTGTGTTTCCTTTCTGAGAATTATCAGGCACGTACGGAGTGATTCTTACGAGATCCCTTATGAGCAGTTATGAGTCACTCAACTCTTGCTATACATGTTATCTTCTGTTGGTTAAATGCAGAAGTGAGAGGAGGAAGTTGTATGGTGCAATAATATATCAGATTGTAGATCCTTAATTTGTTCTAATGTCATTTCTTTTCTGGAATAAAATGATGCAGGTTTCAGTTTCAGTTTAAGTGGAACTAAAAATGTGCAGTGTTGTAAATATATCATTTTTTGCAGATGCTCTTTTAGCGGATCTGCAAAATACCGTTTCCCCTGTTGGCAGTAACACAACACCTGGGTACGGGTCTCTTAGCGGCGTCAAGAGTCATGGTGCAACATCTTACAGAGGATACGACAACCGGACTTCGTCGTCCTTATCACAATCGGTATGTCTCTTGCACCGATTACAAATTTTATTTGCACAAGTTTTGGCATGTCTAAACTGTCAAAAAACTGTAGAAACAGTCCATCTGAATAATCACACGATTTCGTTTCGTTATAGCCAACGTATCAAAACCGGCAAATCATTGACGACGAAAACGCAAAAGCTGAAGGCGAGCCTTACTCTCAAATTGGGATTGGAGGGAAGATGCCATCGTTAAATAACAATCTCTCCGAGCTGGACACTCTCCTGAAAGACCTCAGCAATGCCCGGTATAATACACAGATCCAGGAAAGAGGTAAGTGGAAACCACTTTACGGGATTCCCGCAGATGCGGATCGAACGTCACTGCAGGGAAATCCCCATCATTGAAAACATGTTTCAAAAGTTCAAATCACTGTCAGGTAAGAATGTGACGAAAGTGTTGACAGGTGTCGACGCGACGTAAAAACCAGATATTAAGCTGGTTTTCCAAAAATATCTTATTTTCGTGACGAAGTTCTTGGATGGCTGGTCTATCGAAAGTTGCGTGAAAACGTAGACTGGTGAAACAGCTCCGTAAGACCCACAAAATACGTAGTCATGATTTTACGAAGACCCTATTTTTCCAAAGACCTTCCATGTGCGACGCTTGAAAACCACCACCTATTAAACAGAAAGCAAATGAATAATTTGATTTCCAAATTTACAACTGGACGAACCTTGAGATCAATGTCGTGCATTTGTGAAAAAGTGCAGTCGAAGCACCGAAGAAGATGTCCTCCGTATCCTCGATAAACGTTTACTCCCTCTCGTCCACGGCGGTGTATTGGAACATATTCCAATAGTTGCTAACTTTGCGCGCCGTGTCAATCTGAATTTACTGGCAAGTTGCCATGCTCGAAAAGCAAAATCTAGATCTTCTATTAATACATCGCATCTAAAAGGTTATGATCGTACCCCGTACTATTTTTTGTAAATCTATTTCCGAGGCGATTGCATCATTCTCTTTGACCTTCCAATCTTTCTCTCGGTTCCTCCAACGGGTGTTAATTTCGGAATGAAAACATTCTAGGATTATCGCACCCGTTTCCTCGCGTATCGGGGAAAAACGTTCTATGTAAATTTCGGATACCGTCCGTGGACCGTAACAGGTACCACACCAGTTTCGAGACGTAAAACATGACTTCCCTGTGGCTCGGTTCCTCCAGCAGACGTTAATTTTAGAACAGGAACTCGGTAAAAAGATTCGCGGGTCGTTTCGTTCGCGTAAACACGTGCGAAAGCCACGGGCGGAGGGAGAGACTCGGCAGAGTTTCGCGCCAAGATGCGATTCGAGGTTAAGATCGGTGCCGACACAAGGAAGCGCAGCTGCTGCACGCGGAGAAAGTGTATAAGTATTTAATGGCCATCTCGATATTTCCCAAAGGACAGGACGATGCACGAACACACGGAGTATCGTGAAATAATGGTAGACTGGAAATTACAGAATGCCAGAGTACGACAACGAGAACCAGCGGAGGAAGAGCGAGCCCCGTGTTCCGTTCCCCGAGCAGCGTGTCGGTATCTCGTCCCACGGTCGACTCTTTGCTCGAGGAATTGAATACCGCAGTGACCAACGGGTGAGACAAATTAAAAAATATTTCTAGACTAAATAGAGAACGGTAAGCATAACAAATATTCCCATTCAGGGATTACCACCCCGAGGGGAAAGTGAAAGTGACGATAGAGGAGACATCGACGAAAGTGCAACCAGTCTACGATGGGTACCCATCGAGTCAGCACAATTCCTTCCACCAGGCGGACATTCAGAAGAGCTACACCAATGGCCACGCTGCCAGCAACGCCACCAAGGAGCTGGATGAGCTCATGGCTTCGCTCTCGGAGTTCAAGGTACGTTCTTCGAGGCAAGCTCGGCGGGTGAATCCAGCATCGCAGTGGTGTAATCCCTTTCCTGCAATGGCTGGAGAGAAGTGTCGGAGTGGAATCCTCCCCGATGAACGTTCAGCTGTCACCGAATCCATTCCGTAGCTTGTATGAGCTGCGTGTCCCTTGTTTATAAAAAGAACCCTAGGGACCCGAGGTCGTTTGGACCCTGAGGGAAGCAAGGTCGCTTCGCCGGATCCCTGGTGCATCCCGCGACATCCCGGAGCGAGGTTTCCTCTCGAGATACAACGGGTGCAGCGTCCAAGTCGGGCCTGCCCATTCTTGGAGCCACGGGTTACCGAAATAGCTTCCGTTCCACCGTTCTCCCGGTGTCTGCTCGCGTCTCCTTGGCCTCTCTTGGCTCGTCTCTTTTTTCTCCGGCGGAACCGCGGCCCGTGGGGGAAGCCAACCGAGGTGGGGCACTCGGTCTCGACCACCGAACTTCCGAAAGCTCGGGGCCAGTCCGAGGAAGCTTTCGCGCCGACCCGCAACCCCTTTTGCTAAGCGGTTTCGCATCGATCCTCTATTGATCCTCCGTCGATTCTTAATCGAAGACCTCTTCGACCAACCCCGTACGTATACCGCCCCCTTCGTCCCGTATCTCCTACACGTGGAGTAAAAAATAAATAATCTCGAGTCTGCACAACAAGCTCAAATGTACAACGTATTCCATCAAATATTTATTCATCAACGGAATTTTATAATCGATAATTCTGCACAGGTTATCGAATTTCCTGGTGGATCTCAAATTACTGTTCTATATGATAGCTGTTCGATGTTATTTTTACCAAAATACATGGTCCATCGACTCATGTATATTTTCTAAAATTAATTCCGAGGCGACCCGACCGAGACTCTTTACTCGATTCGAGGAATCCTGAGGCGGTTGGAAGGGCGAATCTGTTTTATGAGGGAGGTTCGGGGAAGGAAGGACTATTTCTTTTATCTTATTTTTTTCAGATCGATGGCTGTGCACACCATCATCAAACGGTGACAGACTCCCCGTACGCCAAGCCGAATAAAGCTGTGAAGAGCTCTTCTTGTTCGCACTTGTTGGATGATACGCACTCCAGGATCCACGTAGTCGAGACACGAGCGACACACCTCTATCAACCGCAGTTGGAACACACTGCTAAGCACACCAAGCAGAACCAGTTGGATTCTATGCTAGGGAACCTCCAGGCAGACATGAGTCGCCAAGGAGTCAACACTACGCAGAAGGGATGCTGCAATGCCTGCGAGAAGCCCATCGTGGGCCAGGTGAACAGGCGTCCAGAGACCTGCTTTCTATTCGACGTTGCTCTCAACGCCTGCGACTTTTCGATAAGATTTTACTGCAATTGATAGATTATGACTGAAAGCGTTGTCGGCGCTAAAAATCACTTAAGCAAATGTAATGGATGTCTATGGATAATGGACGTAATTTTAACGTTGAGAGGAGGCGTGAGGATAATGTATATAGGATTATGTATCGATATAATGTAATGGATATCCTGCGTCATTGGAAGTCGTCGATGTTGAGGTTATATTAATTTCTTTTCTCACGAGTATCCTTCTGCAGGTGATCACCGCCCTTGGAAAGACGTGGCACCCCGAGCACTTCACCTGCACCCATTGTAACCAAGAACTCGGCACCAGGAACTTCTTCGAGAGGGAGGGCCACCCGTACTGCGAGCCCGACTACCATAACCTCTTTTCGCCACGTTGCGCATACTGCAACGGACCCATTTTGGACGTAAGAACGTGATGTCACGGTTAATCCTGGTTCATGCTTTCGTCTTTACCCCGACTTGACATAATTTAATCATACACTGAATGGAACATATCGGAAGCACTATGGTAAAAAATTAAGGTTAGGATTAAAGCATGAAACATGGAATCCACGTTAACAAAACTCTGCCTTAGCAAGGTCTGCACCGTTTGTGTAACGAGGAGAAGTGGATGGTATTTAAATTCTGGCTTTTTTTTAGAAATGCGTTACGGCCTTGGAGAAGACCTGGCACACGGAGCACTTCTTCTGCGCACAGTGTGGCAAACAGTTCGGGGAAGAGGGCTTCCACGAGAGAGATGGAAAGCCCTACTGTAGGGAAGATTATTTCGATATGTTTGCCCCGAAGTGTGGAGGCTGCAATCGTGCCATCATGGAGAATTACATCTCTGCGTTGAACAGCCAGTGGCACCCGGATTGCTTCGTCTGCAGGGTAAGGAAAAAATTATGGAACGATATTAACCAGAGAAAACGGGTTTTCAGGCTATTCTCAAGGTCGCATCGGATCTGAGCACTCTCTTCGTGGTCCAGGAAGACTGCTCTCGAAGAGACCTCCACCCTCGTGGCACCGATTCCTGTTGTATGACGATGTCGCGCGACTTTTCCAGGACTAGGAAATCGTAATCCCGGTCCTGGAAACGCTAGACCCCAAGGAGACTCTGCAGGACACCGCGTCCTGGCCTCGATTGTCGGTTCCCTTTTCGTAAATCCTCGATGAATCCTTCCAGGACTGTAAAAAGCCGGTGTCCGGGAAGTCGTTCTACGCGATGGAGGGCAAGCCGGTCTGCCCGAAGTGCATCGGCGTCGACGACGACGAGGAGGAGGAGGAGGAAGAGGAAGCATGACCGCTAAACACCAGAGGAAGACGGAATGCCAAATAAAGATTTAAGATTCATCCATGCCTGGCGAATGTAGATGTTAAAGCGCGTTACTTTGTCAAACGGATGCCCGTCGATATCACCTACGCTTTGAGATTAATCGCTCTCTGTCGATCGTACTTAATAAGCAATCGCTCCCTTTGTTTATCTAGTCCTTTACTTATACACGAACGTAACGTATGTCGGGATAATTAGTACCTTGTTAATGGGCTACTCGGTATATCATTTCTATTTTTTTTTTTTTGCCGACGTTACGTTACTCGTCCTCGCGATTTTTGTTACTTTCCTTGATATTCGGAAACTCTAATCGATGCCGGACATCGGGACTCGCGGATTAATGCGTTTTGTTATTCATTGTTATTAGAGACTACTTCCGTTTCTGGTTTATGGAAAATTCAACGCAAATTGTACATACTATGTCCGTTTATATGTTTTATCCTAGTTTTTGTCTGAGGTTCCCTCGAATTAATTTAAGCATAAATGTTTATGGTGTATTTCTCAGAAATATAATTTCTTCCCATGAGAAACGACCAAGCGATTGACGCCAGGTTTCGATGGTGTTTGATAAAATGAGAGACTTGCGATCATTTTTCTGTCTATCCCTTTTTCGGGTTTATTTGGACGTCAGATGATTTTATTTTTTTTTTTACGTTCATGTTTCTAATTATCTAAATGTTAATTATATGAATAAATTGGCGGACCTCTTCTTATCACGTTTTATTATCTTGGGTCTGTTTGAACGCGATGACAGTAAACGGTGGCAAATTGAAGAAGGTGCGAAGGTTAAATTAACGATTAATTATTAATGATTGGCAATCGTTTCGTCGTTTCTCAAGGAGTACTCTATTCTTATTAGATCCCAAAAATTCAGTTTCACGGGAATCACAAGATATGTATTGTTGATCCATGAACGAGTTATCTTGCTCTTGAAACAGTTACGTCATTAGTTTTATTGGATCGATGGATTTTACATTGATTATATATATATATTTTCCATATTTATTAAATCCACTATGGTAAGCCATGCATATAAATAAACGAAACGACTTTTCTTATTTCTAGTCGATTAAACTGAATTTTGGATAAAAGAAAAAAATAACTCCGCAAGATGACTGCGTGATTCTTAAATTTGTTTTAATCTATAGAATCACAATAAAAATTGGCTGGTGTAATAATTGGTCTCGTGGTTTCTATATTGCAGGATTGCAGACAGAAATTTCAAGGAGGCTCGTTCTTCGATCATGAAGGATTGCCATACTGCGAAACACACTATCACGCGAAACGAGGTTCCCTCTGTGCCGGTTGTCACAAACCCATAACAGGTAACACCATGATATTTTGCCAGTTTAAATGAAATTCATCGGTTAACTTTGTACCACCACACATCGTGTCTCTTATTTTAGGTCGGTGCATAACTGCAATGTTCCGGAAGTTCCACCCCGAGCACTTTGTTTGTGCATTTTGTTTGAAGCAGCTGAACAAGGGCACGTTCAAGGAACAAAATGACAAACCATATTGCCATGGCTGCTTCGATAAGTTATTTGGCTAAAACCGTTCATCGAAGTTAAAGATATATCCAGGGTGGCAGGAAAGGTGCAAGATTCTACAACGTTAACTAGTATTTACCCACGCGTCGTCGTTTATAATAAATCAGGCCTTACAATTAGATAAGGGTGATAGATATTCCATAACTTGGTATACGTTATTCTCTGGGATACCAAAAGTCGGTTATTTTTGTTATACCTCATGTATTCAATTTGCCTGCTATATGCAGATTCGTCTGTTTCGTTATGACGTGACAGTGGAATTCATTTCATAAGTATAACAATAGGTTTACAGAGCAAAGCTTACACTTAACTTTCAGTGTACGGTGGGTTAACGGAATGAGACACTGGCGTATAATGACAAATACATCCGACGAGATAAGTTTTACATTTGTAACACTGAGAAGCAGACTTGTACTCGGCAGTAGATTTTATGCTCCACAACGTCTTCGAAGAGATTTTAATATTTATCGATGACGAGCAAGACGTATCGTTATCACTCGGAAGGTTCTCTCGATGCATCTATATACCACTACTCGTTTAATATAACAGTAGTACACGTGCTTGTACGCCATTGTTGTATCGCAGCTACAATATCTAGTAAATAATTACCGTATAATCGACACTTTCAAGGATAGTACATAACCTATATGTATTGATCAGACATTCTGCCGTATAATTCACGTTTTCCATCGTCACGATAATCATTACTTATCCTTGATTGAGAGTACTATTTTTGTTACATGAACAGACAATGCAGAGACAGTATGAGCATTCGATCTAAGATACTGAATTATCATCATGTAATCGCAGATAACCAGAAGTCGATCCGTTGGATCTTTCCATTTCTGACTTCTGTGTGCCGAAAAAAAAACAATTTTATACGTATATATGATTTTGATGTTAGAGATAAGATTCTCTGGACTAATTTTGAGGAAGAATAAATTGAATGGTTAACACAACTTACCATAAAATAACTATACATTTAATTAGGATTTTTTAATCGTTTATATTATGCCCTATTTTTCTACTTTAGTTTTTCTAATCCACGAGTTTCGTTCATTGCGAATTTACAAACAATCATAACTGCTCTTTAGACAAATATCCAAAACGTATACCTAACGCAAGAGAGTAGTATAAACTGTTTACGTATACTATAAATTCACGAAATTACAAACTTGTACTTGTTAACAGTTATGCTTATTTACAGTGTTTTTCATTCATTGAACTTGAACTATTGATGCACATAGTATTCAGATAATAACTGGCAGTTAATGTACATTATCAAGAATTAAGTTCGTTTAATATGTTAACAATACTGCTGCTTTTCTGTGTCAGCTTGAATTAAAGTTTGACCTAAGCTCGAAGCCTCCTTCTTGATCATGTTGAGTAGTAGTTGCGAACTCTCTAGTATCTGTGGAAAATAAACAGGAACATACAAATGACATAAATTAACTTGAATGGATTATCAAATAATCGATCGTACTTAAGGGAACATTGCAAACCTTCATGTATGCTGTCTCGGTGTCTGCTATTGTCCTGTCGTACTCATTACGGATAGCTATCCTTTTTGCGAGACTATCGTTTATACAAGTGAGTTTGTAGGACATTTTCTCTATTTCTTTCTGTAAGGTATTTTTCTCGTCTTCTTGCGTATCTATCCGTGTTTGCAATTCCGCCCGTTTTAACTTCATCTCTTCTAGACCTGAGAATAGCGTAACTTATAAATTATCATAATCAAGGAAAGTAATGGAAAGTTATTTTTCGCATGTATTCATTAAAATAAATAATGTAACCGTCCCATTCACATTCCTAAGACAGTCAGAACTATCTGATGTACTCTTATCTATTGCAATTCGCCGATAGAACATACATAAAATGTATACGAACTATCGACTGACATTTAACCAACTCTTGATTATAAGTTTGCAGCGCAGCACCGTGCTGGGACATCTCGAAATGGAAACAGCCAAAACACAGGAAGACTCATCCACGAGGTGCAGAGGGAATTTAACATTGGTACCCAAGTGCTTAATAATAATTTTATTTTATGCTAAAAAGTTAACCTAGACACTCAGGTAAACACAATCCGACAGTTCGGAATGGTTCGGAAGGATCGGGACGGACGTGGAACAAGAGACTATTGAGAGAGAAAACTAAGAGCTGATTCGAGCACTCGCATATTCGTTCACGGAAGTTCCGCCGAGTACGCCATAGTTCTACTGCATGGAGAACAAAAGTGCGGTTAGGAATCTGCTATGTATAAAAATAAATATCATACACTAGTCTTCCAATGTAACACGCCTACATAAATTAACAGATATTTTTTTATCGTACAAGGAAATTAGTTCATGGGAAAGGTAGTTGCAAAAGAGCCTTTTCATGACCAAAACTCTTTATGTCGTTACATTACCTGTTACTTCATGTTCGTTCGTTTCGATCAATAGCGTAGACATCAGGATAAAACTATACCATCCACTTAACGAGTTCTTGCATTAAACACAAGCGAGTTAACTGTAAAAGTAATAGATATAATAAACTGTCAGAAATTAATGCGACCCAGTGCGTCGGTAACGTACTTAGCTGTAGCGACATAATCTAGTCATCGTCGTCGTCGTCATCGGAGGGCACAAATAATTCATTTTCCTCTAGGAAATTGGCTACTGTTTTGCTAATAGCTGCTCCCGTTAAAAGACCAGCAACCACGCTACAAATAACTCCGACCAATCCATACCGTGTTTTCTTTGGTTCAGGTAGGACCGCACCAGAAGGCTTCATCGTTCCATATAGAGCTTTCGAACAATTGCATTCACTCATTAAATTCACTGAGATAAAAGTTCTTTGAAGTAGAAGCTTCCTTGCTATCGCCGGTGTGATCATGGTCCACTGCCTTGATTCCTTCTTTCGACAGTGACAGAAATATGTATTCTAATAATACTATCAAGTTAGGCCGTGCAACCTTTTGATCGAACTCTTCTCTTATTTGCAAATTTTAACCACTTGATACTATGGAAAGGAATTCAGAAGTCCGTGTAGCAATTCCGACACGGACCTCCGCTACTCGGAATGTTGGGTGACCATAAAATAGGATATAAATTGTCTATATTTTCGAGTCTGCAGTGAATAAGAGAGAGTTGGGAGATTGTTCACGGGCAGAGTTGCGCGATCGGATCCTGTGCTGCCCTCTGGTTTCGTACGCTAGCTTTCACCGTTTTTTACCCCCCATTTGCGGATAAAATAAATTCATCCTTGACACTTTAAATTTCAGTAATAAATAAATTGACATTCAGTTTATTGCACTTAAAAAAATACTAAAACTGGTATCACCTACTTCCAGTGGTAGAGTGGATAATAAAATACTTTACATCTGTTCAATATCTCTATTGCAACGGTAAGAATAATAGTAAGTACGGAGATATTAATTTAACGCAAAGATTTGTAACAAAAGTTGTAAAACCTACTGCTCTTAATTCTTACAATTTAAACATGTATATAACCACTAATGTCTTACTTATTAACTAAACTTTACATAAAAATTAATCAAAATCAGATCTTGAATCTTCCAAGAGCTTTTTTATCTGGCAACATGACGTATTATCGCCACAAGATTCCAATAATTCACCGATTTAATCGCATTGCTTGCAAAATAGGTAAACTCCTAGTAAAATTATCGCACAGCGTGTAAAGATCCCAAATGCGATTACATCTCCCACGAAGTTTAACAATGTTAATCCTCGTTTGCTAAGAATCAGACCAAAGCTCAATGGTTAAGTGACACCGTTACATACTCGTTTTGAGCTTAGGCCTGTTACTTGATTTTCAGCTAGTCACGTTTGGCGAGGAAGCGTTACTTTGTGGTGATACAACGCACGACCCATGAGGAGACGGCGATGGAAGTGGACTTGGATTACAAATTATTTTCTCGCAACTATTACTGCCAGCAGTGTCTGTTTCAAACTTCGAGGGATGAATCGTATAACCAGGTATCTCAACTTCTGGCTTGATTTCTATCATCATTGACTCTGATTGTTGAGTGAGGGTCGTACTAAACCGATATTTGCAAGAAGACAATAAATGTCTCCTCAAATTTCTTGCCTGTCGCAAGGTAGCCCCGCACAATGGACACACACCAGGACAATCGGAGGCTCCACGTATTTTCGAAGATCCAGCAGCTCCATGTACTAAGGCCGATGGTGTAGACCCAGGTAAAGAACACTGTCCACTGCCGATCGACAGGGCGAGGTTAGGATAACCTATGTTTAACGATCCAGGAAACGATGGAATGTGCAAAGGCGAATAAGGCTGCATCGGCAGTAGAGTGTGTAAATGCGGTTCGGTGTCGGAGATCTGGTCTTGATTTGGCAAGGGATGAGAGTTTTCGGGTGGAATCGGGAGCAGCTGAGTAGGGGACGTCTGCAAGCTTCGCAGACTTGTACACTCCAACCGGTCACTCACTACTAACAGAGAGAGTACATATGGATTCATTAAAAGATACTTCATACTATAAAATATTGTATTACGCAAAGTGTCCTTGTACCGATAACAAAATCACTAAGGGAAATGTAAGTTTCCTACCAGCATCTCCTGTGTTACTTATGTCATCCTCTTTCCTATCGTATTGCACCGTTTCACTGTCTTCAGAAAATTCGCTCGAATTCCTCATTTTAATGTCTACGTTGCTATCTACTCGTGACCTCTTTCCCGAAGATGAAGATGATTTTCTTCTCTTCTTTCTTCTTAGGGGACTGAACGAACCTAATGTGTCCTTCGCTGTTGATTCGCCAGCCACTGGTATGTTAGATAGCGGTACTTCCTCCCCGTTCTAAATAAAATCCATGGGTTAGATTGAAGTTGTAATCGAAGAGCTGATTGCACCAAGCTTCATTAGCATATTTTTTCATGTTGATGTAATCAGTCTTAATAATTTTTGTACAAGCATTATCACATACATCCGTTACAATAGTAGGCGGAGTCAAGCCATGTATGCTCAAACAATGCGCAGCTTGAAGTAAAGATGGTAACTGTGATGGCTCCACGCTCACTTCTCCACGGTAAACGAATTCGAGTAACGATTCCAAGTCTTCTGCCCCGATGCCTGCTAGCATGACCACTGGGTGCTGACAAGGTGTACTCTGAGTTGAAAGTATTTAATTTTAGTCCTCAGAAGAAATGAGAAATTAAAAAGAGAAAGCAAACTGCTTATATTACATGGTAAATTATATAGTATTCAATTTCGTTTAAACCTTTAACAGATCCAGGAGGAAAGGACTTGCTGCCGAAAGGACTATCTTATGCGCAGAAAAGGTACGTCCTCCAGCTGCCAACGTAACGTCAACCAGATCTCCGTGTCCTCTGAGAAGTTGCACTGCTGACACTAACGACGTGCCGAAGTCTCCCCAAGAGAGACTGTACAGCTGACTACTGCTTCCCATTCTGCAATGAGGAGCGACTAAACATTGAAACAAAAATTGTCAAAAACTTGAGGTAATCGAAAAGTCATTCTGTCGGTCTATTAATTTCTGCCACTGACATTAACTGTTCGGTTCAGTAATGAGCGAAATGTTACGTATACATATTATTTTTACGTCAGACAGGAACTATACTTCCAGAGCTATCGCGTCAACTAGATCGTGCTGTATTTAAAATAAATTATGTAAAATGACAGAGATAAAATCACGTTTTCTAAAGTCAAATCAAAAGAAAAAGACGCGCGTCAAGGTTAGAAATAAATAAATCTGACCAAACGTCATTTCGACAAACGTCTATTTGACAAATTTAAAATCGCTTACCTAAGTAGATAATTCACAGTGCAGAGGAAAAATCGCAAGGTAAGGATAAACAAGGTAAATCAATTCCGGCTAGAAAATATAAAACAAGAATTACTAACTCCGCGGCTCATCACGCACTTTAAACTTCTACATCGACAACAGCGACAGGGAGGATTGGGTAAATAAAATACCCCAGATAATTTAGTGACTTTTATTACTGAAAATTACTAGGGCGATTCAAATTTTCCCCGCAAGTCTCTGCCATCTGGCAACCAGCCACAGAAACTGCTCCACGCTTAGTTCAGACGTGAACCTTCTTTTCACAGCAGGTACAAATATTACTTAACTTGCTTATACTCGGGAAAAAATGTTTATGTTATACAAGAAGGATTCCCGAACGAACGTTACGTGACCTCTTTTCATCCTTAAATGAACGGAACGAAATTTTAAATTCTAACCGCATGTTTTAGTTAAATTGTGTATTAGATTTTAATAAGGTGTATTTGCACAAAATTTGTGTTGTGTTGCAATTGAAGGGGATTACATGTAACTATAATTTAAGAGGATCCAGCGATGTCACAGAACATTGGCTCGAAAAGATGCACTGAGTTAGATATTTTACGTATACTGCGGAAAGAAGGTTTGAAAATTATTTCCTTACACATTCTTATTAAACTCTGTATTGTTTACGAAATATACATGTAATTATATTTTGTTAGGATATTCCTTAACCCATGTAAACAGTTATGGCGAAAACTTGTTGCACATTTGTGCCGTCAATGGGTGCACTAATATAATTAAAGAGATATTGCAGACAAATCAGTTGTGTAACGTCGATCAAAAGAATAAATTTGGGTGGACTCCTTTAATGCAAGCAATTCGCAATGGCCATGTGGAAACAGTCAAACTACTCTTACAGTATGGCTCCGATGTCAATGAATCAACATATTTAGGTATGTCCGTCATCGGATTGGCAACAGCAATTGGTAAAGAAATGCTCGAAATTGTTTCCAATGCTTGTCCAGTTTTACTGAAAAATGTTGTTCACGAAGATATCACGCCACTGTGTATCGCTGCTTTGAAAAATGATAAAGAATTGTTTTTTACTATATCGAGACATCATTTTGATATTTCTATTGAAAGTAAGTATTATTTATTTGTTGACATTTGATTGCAATTTCTGTTTTCAAACCCTTATAATTTTCAGATGAATATACTCATCTTATGATAAGAAAATCAACTGTCCCAGAAATAGCGAGTTTGGCTAAGACTCGTCTGGAATTAGATGATTATTGGAATGATAATTCTGACCTGATTGAAGTCGAATCTTCCAACGAAAATGTAGCAAGTAAATCATTTACATTCCCTGACATCGATAATAAAGCAAACGAGGATGATTCCACACAAAAACGAGTTAAAAAGTTCTGCAACGACATCACTGACCAGAAAGATATTCTTGATACTAATATCCCCGCTATACAGATTCGTCGTGATAGCTGCAACAATTTAAGAATTGATCCAAATACTATGCAAATAAGTTTCCCAGTGTCTATAATGGCCAAACCGAAAAGTTTGATATCTCCAAATTTGACATACAATCGAGATACTCAGTTCCCCTTGTCACCTGGCATGTTCGTCCCAGAAAATCAATTTTATTTAACTTCATGTGAAACAATGCAAGGAGACATGGGAGATGGGCCACTAAATTCTCGTGCATCAGAAATTGTAGGAGCTATGGCGACTACGACAATTCCACATTTGTCGACACCTCCTTTAAATAGGTAATGATGAATTAAGTAATGTTATCAATTCCATCTTACCTTCCGAAGCATCTTGTTTTAAAGTATACCTGTTGCCAATTAATATGTTTCGAGTGATTTATAATGGAGATTCCTTCCACGGTCTAGATGCCAGGAAGAACATCCTTCAGATTCAAATGTCACCAGTTCAACTGATGATCCCAACGTTACCTTAACCTTTGTGCCAGAATTCAGTCCGGTTCACTCGCCACATATTCCACGTGACATTAACGACGATAACAGTGTTTTTGGTGAAAATACCCCTACACCACCACGTTCCAAAATTCCACTGCACAGAGAAATTCTTAGTGCACAACAAAATAAGATGGTTCTTTTATTGGAGCAGTTCGGGTTGAATCGTTTCATTCCCCTATTTTTAGAACAAGAGGTGAGTCCACTTGCAAAGGGATGTGCATCTCACTATAAATGAGAATTGGCCAGCATTTGCATTTATATATCTATTCGATCATTTCATTTGTTGTTTCAGGTTGATGCGGAGCTCTTTTTAATGCTTAATGACGAGGATTTGTTAGAGTTGGGAATAACCAATAAGCTAGATCGCATAATACTGTTGGAAATAATTATGTCGTTAATCAATATCGGGCATCCAATTAATTATGATGTCAACTTTTAAAAGTGTTTTAGATAATGATGTATTTATTGTGTCTCCTTGTGTAATGTAGGGCATCCAATTAATTATGATGTGAACTTTTAAAAGTGTTTTATATAATGATGTATTTATTGTGTCTCCAATAATGATGTTTGATACATTTTTCGTGAAAACCTGTCACTATTTCACATTTTTTGTTACAAGCCTTTCGGTCTATGTACTGAACCTGTTGATCGTTAACCTGTTTATGATATCAAAATTGTCGAATCAAATTTTGTTACCAAGGTAACTGCGGTTCCTAGGCAACTGTAATCTAAGTTCTTTATATATATTCTTTCCTTGTCAAATGTCAGCCTGCTACTATTTGCCAATTTCTGACAAGTAAGCTGTTTGACAGGAATTTTATACAAAATACTCTGCAGGATGTGGTGGGGATATAGTCAGCCTTTAGACATTCAAGAGGAATTAGTAACGGAAGACAATTCTGTCACCGAACCTTTACAAGTATTGTTAATAGGTGCAAGTGACGCAAGACATGTCATAAAAACAGTGGCTTCTTTACATAAACATAAAGATAGACATATAAAATTTCATGTTATCGAACCAACTTTGGAACAAGTAGCTAGGTCTATTCTATTGCTCGGTACTTCCTTGGACGAAACGTTAGGTAAGTCATGATTATTTACATAACAGTAGTGCCCATTGAAGAATTAATTTTACTGTACAAAATGTAGGTCTGCAAGAAGGAGCCCGGTGTTTTTTAGAATTCTTGGGAAATATTCTTTTAAAGCCAGCCTCCGCAAGGAATTTAGTGAATCAATGTACAAGGTTAATAAACATTGTGTGCAATAGTGCCGATTGCCCTTGGATGAGCTTGGAGAAACTGAGACATCGGGACAGGGACAATTTAGAATGGATATTCAAGTAGGTATCGTTGGTGAGTCTAGAATAGTATTGTAAAATGCTAATTTGTTAATGCATACAGATTTTGGCGGAGAGCAGTCTGCGAAGGAATACCTATTCTTGATTATTGGGATCGAAGAGTGAGAAAATCACTGGGCGCACGTTACGACTATAAAGATGGAGTGTTCGATTGGGATTTTCACATGATTAAGAAACCGAGAGAAATTTCCAATTTAACACACTATGAATACAAGTATGAGTTCCACTTATTGTTAAAATCACATTTTCTGAACATTTTAAAGGAGTATTAATTGTTTATTAGACTTTGGAGAAGTAATGGCGTAGCATTCACATGGTTGGAAGGAGAACCTGTAAGGGGGAATCCCACACTTCTGAGTAACATAACATCGGAGGGAAATGGATTTATACACAACGCTTATTTAGGCGACATTGTAAATGGGCCATACTACACGTGGGCTAACAGCACCAGCAGCAGTAATAAGTATAGTTGACACGTTAACTCTAAGTATTAACTTCTGCTCATTCAGAAAATTATACCTTACATAGAACGTTTACTTAGAAAGCTCCGAGCGTCTGACTTTGCGGAACAAGAAATCATGAGCGCCATCCATGAAATAAGGTTCAAAAAACCTATCTCCGAAGAATTACTGAGAGCTCACAGAGATCCGTCTCTGGTGGCCAGCACTATAGTAACAGAAATCCCACATAGTGAAATTCAACAAGAACCTTGGTTTTTCAAGGGAGAGCGTAATTCCGAAGCACCTCGTTGGACGGAAATCTCAAATATTGAAGTACTATTGTTTCCATTTAATAAATCTATAAAAAATATACTCGAATATACCTTGAAGGTAGTTGTACAACAAGTCCTTGTATTTCATAAATCAATTAAAGAATGTGTACTTCCAGGTAATATTTCACCCACCCTGCCTTATGAATAACCTCAAAAATAGAGGAGAACTTCAAGATAAATTTTCTCTCGTCTGGGTGGCGCATAACATGACGAGGCATGTATCACATCTTGCACCTTTGCTCAAGACGGATGGAATCATGCTCGTAGAGTCACGCAAGTATTTGGTGGAATTGCGTAAGGAGGATCTGGAAAGTTTTGCCGAAGCATTGAAGAAGGACGCACAGGAAGCGGGATTGCGACATCTGGAAGAAATAAACGATGAAAAGGAGGAATACTTTAGATTTATCAAAAGTTGAACTTACTTCGTTCCTAGTTTCAGAACTTGTAATTCCATCGAAAGATATGTAGCACTGCCGTCGATCCGTCAGTATTCAACAATTACAGAGCTCGAGTTACGAATATTATTCCGTGTACGGCTTATTCTTGGCGTCCTTTGACAAATGACAAAAGCATTGCAATCATTCTTTATCAGAGAACCGTTATCGGTAACGAGTTGACTGTTTGAATTGATTTAAACGATTCGGTAGTTCCCGCCAGTCGCGCAGATAGCGCTGTCGGCGCTGCGACGGAGCTTCTGGAAGGAACGTGTCGCGGCGCACCTGGGAGCACCCCGGGCGCCCGCGAGTAGCAAATGGTGGACTGTGGCGGACGGACCTGTCCGGAACTGTCATCCTCGTTTTATTAACATCAGGTACTCTAATTTTTCGTAATCCTTCAAGACCTCTCTTCGACTAACCTCCTTTGAGCGTCCCTTACCGATGTCGGGCCGCGGCCTCCCCGAAAGACCTCCCGGTACCGGGCACATTGCTTTTCCGTTACGTAAAATTATTGCACCAGTTAAAAATAGTCACGTCGCCGAATTTGCGCACGTTTGTCGGGATTCTCCAAGAAATCGAGGGGGACGGCCTAGGTCTGCGTCGTATTTTCCTCGATCGATACTCGGCGGTTCCGTGTCAGGGCGGCCTGTCGGAATTTAACCTCATTCTTCGGTTATTGCGCGCAGCTCGCATATGTATACAAGGACAGTTGTGTAATACTGGCAGAAAGATATTTTAGATATAGTGTATTTCGGTTAGACCCTCGCCTTTTTTTATCGCCGAAATGATTCTCTACAATCCTTCACCGCTTGTTTTCAGATCAGGAGTTAGGGCCTCGTTGTCTTTGGAATGGATGTCACATGACATTGACATGTATCGTTCTTGGAAATCAAGGCTAATACTTTCTCGTTGAAACGGTCTAATATTTCCATTAAAATTTCTCGGTTTACTCGAATTCGAAGGAAGCCGATTGAATATGAAATTCTACCGAATCGTTTTTTCGGCCTGCTGTCTATACTTCAATTCATTTCTATGTTGTACGGAGTAAATAGAAATTAAACGAGTGCAGTATGGTAGCCACAAAATCAATGTAAAGTGAAATTAAACGTCTTATATATAGTTCTTTCTTAGACACCTGGATCAGGCCCACGGAGGTGGAATTTTGGCACTGAAACCGATGCCGTGTGACCTTGACATCTCTTAAAATATAATGTAGATCCACCTGACGTTTAGCAGCTACCTTGAGTTAAATTCAAGAGTATTAACGTAGCGACGTTTCATCCATACTCCTTTTCACGTTAGAACTGTAAAAGATAAATATTGAATTAACGATCAGAAAATTTATGCAAATTAATGCGAAGCAATACGTAGATCTATTCGTTCAGATTTTCTTTAGGCATCCAGAAGAAAAGTACAGATTGTTATGACATCAAGAAGTTTTTTTATGCCATTCATCTAATTACTGTAAAGGAACGTCATCATTATGTGACGTTCCAAAGGTAAAATAGTGTCAACAGCCAAGTCATGCTGATTGCCCTTAGGAATACTGTACGACATAAATGTCACAATGTTAAGGAAAAACTATATATATTCAGTTAACAAGGAAAGAGACGAGGGTCAATCGGAATGCCCAATCGATGAAGTGAAAGTGATTTCGAGGCCTCGCGATTTGTTGTATTATTCGCGCCTATTGAGCCAAATAAAACTATTGAACATGATATGGAGTTTCACAGTGTACGAGAAAGTTGCAACCTTGATGATTTCTAGAAATAAAAAGGTGTATACCAATGTGCGATATGCCTTCCAAAGTCAACATCCAATTGGTCCCAGAGTGTATTAAGTGCAATCATTATTCATAAAATGCCTTGCTTATGTTTGAAATTAATTGGAGAATATTAACGAGATTCGCAGTATCTGCAATAATGCACATACTGCAAATCTCGTGGACGATTTGATGCAACATCAAGCAAAGGGGGAAATGTTATGACGAGAGGACTAGGGGACAAGTGTAATTCGTTGATTACTCATCTTCAACCCAGACGAATAACGTTATCCTCCTATTGTAGTCTGGTCTCGACTGGTTTAATGATAATGCATTCTGTGACCTCGAACTCGCTCGGTAGCGTTTCCTTCATTCTTAGAATTCCTGTTTCCTCGATATATATAACTAGCTTGAGTGAATTTCGTAAATGTTTTTACTTGAACACTGATTGCAATTTATATATTAGCATAAAATGTGTACGATTAAAAATCTTTTAATGAAAGAATGTATTTCTTATAAGTTTAACCTCTCGGGCTTGTGAACTCAGACGGATGTATCACATTTTTACCTTTGCACATGAATTGACGTTTTCTACAGACTTGTGTTAAAATTGACTCGGATTGATTTGCATTTAAAGTGTTGAGGAAATGTACACATTAGGTTATGTCACGTAAGAAGACGTAGTGGTACCTCGAAGGCAATCAGCTGACAGTTTATAAAAAGACAGACTCCCACGTCAGCAAGTGTGAACCTGTTAAGATTATGTTACGTGTAGTGCAATTCTTTTGACCACGTCAGTTGGAATAATGTTTCTTGTGACGGTTCAGGTATATATTAACTAGGTATATAGTCATCGATTAAGTTCCTATCCAAGTGGTTAATATTATACATTTGTACACTAATGTTTTGTTTACAGAGAAAGAGTTGCTCAAACGTCAAAATCACGAAAGAGGTCCAAAGTATGAATTTCGTTAGCCAATGTGGAAGTCTTCAATAAGTTCTTTTATTTTTTTTTCCTTTTTTCTTCTTTCTTTTATCAGTCGCCACTAGTGAAGTTCAAAGTCAACGTAAACTACCTTCCATGTTAATTGCGCACTTTTGTATCGGTAACACAATTTGACGCCTTAATTGGTTAAATATGTGGAAACGTGTTGGACATTGAAACGACAATTTGCCGGTAATTACTGCAATTATTGCAAACATTAAGACAGCCACGAAAAAGGAGATACGTTTCTATGGCTAAATTAACGTCGCTTGGTCGGTTAGATCAATCGATGTCAACGTGTATTTATTTTCAATGTTGGCACTCGAGTCTGTATTGTGCAATTTAGTCCAACGGTATTCGGTCCGTTTATCCAATTTTTTCATAATCGGTCGTATTTACTGTTCGACAATACTAATAGTAGCGATATTACTTACTATTTTTTTTAATCCCATTGGCGAATGATTATGTAACGTAATCTATACAAAGCACGTAACGTTTACATTCGACGAGTGACATGGACTACTTAGCGGTGCTTCTTTAGACTTTTTTCTTCATTGACGATTCCTTGAGATTACACCGCTGCACCGACATTGCTAATAAGATTGGATTATCGATAAAATAACGCTCTCTGCAAATGATAAGATTCGTCGGTGGTGCAGTTTGAGTTCGACTAAGACACGCTTCACGGGAAAAGTTAAGGTTATATGAAAGGGTAATTTTATATATATATATTTATAAAACTTTTCTTCAAACTGGATGCACAGAATATATAGAATGACCCTTTCATAAGACCTTAAGATGTATAATAAATAACATAGCATATGAATCGTAATCTTGGAATTCTCTTTGCAGGGCAACATGATTAGGGCAAGGACAGTGTTTGGTTCGCTCGCCCCCTTGGCTCCGCAATTCTGTGGGGCCGAGAGGTTTGCCTCCTGGTTGGTGCGAGGCCATCCTTTGACCAGGACCAGTCAAGTGATGGTCAGCGTCCCGGTGCGCAAATACAACAGTCCTGTAGCGACCGAGCCCTTCCTCAATGGCAGTTCCAGCTCCTACGTCGAAGAAATGTACAACGCCTGGCTGCAAGACCCACACAGTGTCCACGTGGTTAGTATACTGAGAGTCCTAATTTAAACAATAACATTGAATGGGATTTTTCAACAAAAATATTCCTTCCGTTACCCCAGGCCAGAACCAAGATGACGGAGTCGACTCATATTTTAGTAATTATATAATATTATAATTTTAGATAATGGTTATCCTTTTCTGTTCTTCATTCCAGTCATGGGATTCCTTCTTCCGCAATAGTACTGCCGGTGCTGCTCCGGGCCTTGCATACCAGGCGCCACCATCGCTCGCTCCCAGCTACAACCAGGTTCCGTTGGGCTCGCTGTTGCCCCTTGGAGGTGGCTCTCAGCTCAGCCAGATGCCGATCAGCGAGAAGATTATCGATGATCATCTCGCTGTTCAGGCTATCATTCGATCCTACCAGGTATGGACGCGATAGCCCCGGTTACGCGACGCCTGATTAGATTCTCAGCTAGATCTCGGAGAGCGAGGGACGAGCCTCTCTCTCTCTCTCTCTACCAAAGACGGATAAATGGAATGGAACGAATTTGCGCACACTGTCTTGACACTTGTCTTTACTTATTTAGTTATCTAGTTATCCACCCACTTATCGGTGTCTACACTTCCGTCCATTCGCTCTACCCCCGTTGACCCTGTGCAGTGGTTACCGTTCAATTGTAAAAGGAAATATGTTTTATATCACTGAAATAATTTATGCTCGAGTAAGGACGGGACGTCCCCATTTGGTTCGCGCACCGCCTAGGTGGTTTTTCAAAGATGAGAATGTAAAGTCGTGCATGTCTGTATGCTATTTTGGAGGTTAGGTACGATTATTCAGGTATGTGTAGTGGAAACGCCACACGGCACCTCCCAGGTTTGCAACTCGCTCTCTCGAAGCCCATGAATTCAGTTAACAGATTTATTTCTTATTAAGTAGCTCTTCTTAATCTTTGCGGGTATGGGAAATTATTCAAACGAGGGTTTGGAGTAATTCCTAGTCTTTCGGTTATTATACGGTTTGTTATTCTTGTAAGTCTAGTGGCATGTTTTTAACTACACGTACATATTTATACGTACATTTATGCATATACCGTAATCAGTCTCTACGTTGTGCATGAAACAGGTTATAATTCTTTTTTTTTTCCTTTTCTTTAATGCCCATAAACGTTGTCATTGTTGTCTGTTAGGGACCTATCGTGCTTATTTCGAAACGCGTTCATGGTCCATATTCGAAGCGAAATACGCACTTACGGATTACTCACGTCTATTGGACGAGCGGAGATTGGGAAATTGATATTTCTGGTACGAGGAAAAAGAAACGTTTCCGATTTAGCTCGTGTTCCTTTTTACGCGTTTCTCCTTGACATCGGGGTGGAGTTGATTCGGTTAAATATAGAGGAAAGTTCTGCGAATGTCGGATGAGACTTTTAAACCAGGAAATATAGCCGATACTCGTTGACATTGACTTTTCTTTTTTTAATGATTATCTGTCGAGTGATCGAATTTTGCACGATAGGCCACGCTTCGTGCAATTAAATCATTGCATAATTACTGCGTCTTCTGTCTCAAGCATGTCTTACCGTTACAGACACTTTCACAACGGATTCGTTGTCATCTCGCAGTTTGCATAGCATCGGGCACTAGGACACTTCTAACATCCTCGACGGATAACAGAATCTAACGTTGCGACTCGAGGAATTGCGCACCAGGAGCGACATCTGCCGTCTCGCCGAGGAGAGAACGGGAAGATGCCCGACTAGGACCCTCGACGGTGTTAAATAACTTTGGCGGAAGATATGAATTATTTCCTCGAGCTTAAGGTGACACGAAAGTGCCATCCGAAGGGCCTCGTTAATGACTTTCCTCCGAATTGGGTGGGCCGAGTAGTTTTAAATTTGTACCGCATAAATGCAGAGACCCGAAGGAAGGTCCCGATGCCCATGAAATTTCCGTTTTTGTAAAGAGAATTAAAAAATGTCCATGAACAAAATTAAAAAAAGAGACTCACGGGTATCGCGACCTTCCTTGGGGCTTTTACGTTCACGTGGAAAATTTTAAAACGGTTCGATACACCCAGTGGGGAGAAAGGTTTCACGGACGGTCGATTCCATTTTCGTATCGCCTTAATGGGATCGTTAAGGGCCATCTTCGAGGCGCAACGTTTGAGCCCCGTCGAGGCGGTGGTTATCTATTTCTTATTTAACCATTCCTTTTGTCAGATGGTACCGGGAAATGGTAACGGCACTTAACATCCGGTTTCTCATGGCTTGTCGTGTTACCATTTCCCTGAGGATCTAAAGCAATCGGAAGGAAGCGTTCGCGCGTCACGAGGAGAGTTACAGGTGCTAAGTAAACGGTGTTGCTTCGTCGGACCTGAAAGTCTAATCCCTAAGTGTTAAGGCGTCCGGAGATCGCCTGTTGGTATTGGCACACTTTTGGCCAATTTATTTATGTTCTTTCCCCGGCACCGCCGTTTACCTAGCGAACTCTAGCATGTAGTGGCCACGTTGTATGGTCGGCAAGAAATACCGAAGGATATGCAATTGACTAAGCGGGTTCTCTGTGGGGCTGTCCATTGGAAAATAGGCACGAGGTCACTTAGTCGCTGACTTGGACCCACTGGGTATCATGCAAACAGACCAGATACATACACATTACGCAGCCCGCAAGGGGGCTCCTGAGCGTGTCCTGCGGCAATACATGCTTGGTAAGGCTTTCACTCAATCATCTCTCCTAATTTTTCATCTCCTTTTTTTTTTTCTCGACAGTCGCTGGGAAAGAACCTGCCGTTTGGAAAAGCTGGGTTCTACTTTAATAAAGAAAAATCTCAGTGGACCTTCTAAGGAGAGTCCGGGTACTCGGTCGAGGATCTTTCCCATCGCCGTTCTCTCTCTCATCTCTCATCCCTTGATTTTTGGCCAAAGTGCGAAAGTCTCCGCGAGATGTTCTCTCCGGTTGGGATGCGTTCAGCTGAACTGTGTTTTTAATCATGCGTAGAGGAAAAAGATATTGATACGAGATGGAGGGGTCTCTTGCACTTGGGCTGAATGTTCTTGCATGGCGGAGTAAAGGTGCGAGTTGATAGTTTTTGGTAGAATCATTTTTTTTTTCTTTCTTTCTTTTTTCTTCCTTTATGGAAAACGATGATATCCACCGTTATTCTTGTTCTTCACAGGAAACGAGGAGGAGTCGAAGTGCTCGCGCACCTTTACTCCAACGTCCATTGACTTGACGTCGTGAATCGTGATTCTCAAGTCTCGGATGATGACCTGTAAAAGCGTCTTGACATTTTCTGGCTACTCGGGGCGGCTTAAATCATCCGACATTGCCAAGTATCACTCCGGCCAATTAGTTTGAATATTCTGGTGATGACTTGGCGAGACCAGATCCATCCGGATGATCCGGTTCCCTCGATTAAGAATTCACTCTGGATCCTTGGGACACGTTTAGACGCCTAAGATCATCTGAATAGTTGAAAACAATCCCTGAATAAAGGACATAAAAAATAATGCGTACAGTACCGCTCGTGCGTTTCGAGACAATTAGGTAAATTCAACCCGCGAATAGGTGTAATTGAATTTTTAATCCTGGCAAACTCGTCATTATTTGGCAAATTAATGAATGGAAATCTGGGAAATGTATTTACGGTAGAGTGGGACAGGGTTTGAATTTTTTTTCTAGGCCGTGAGGATATGATTTGAGCGGTACTGTAGGTACCAATTAAGCCAGGCTTTAAACGAGCGCAACTGGGAACCACGATTCATGATCTTGATTATGATACTGTATTTACGTAACGAGATACACCGAGACTCGGTTACACGATCACAATTGCCGCGATTTTCCGAAATCTGGGCGAATTCGAGGTACAAAGGTGCGCCCGATGTACGTCCGACGATGAGGCCACCTGTACAGGTGCATGCCGGTGGCAATTGAAAGTCATTAAACGCTTGTAATACCGAATTGTCGAGTCAATGAGACAAAAGACTGGTCTCGAATGTCTCTGTAAAGGGATTGAACTGTTCCCTCAGGTTGAATCATTGATATTGTTTTTCCGCCGCGTGATAACCAGGGTAATGAGAGTAATTGCAGGTAAACTCGCTGGGGAAAAAAATCGAGAATTCGCCTCATTTGCACGAATCCTCGTCGAAAGGGACTCATTAATTTGCGAACAGGGCCTAAGAAGGAAAGAAAAATAGAATATCGTTGAAAATTCCTGTATTGATATCCTTCGATCATCCGTGCAATTTAATTCATTAATAATAGCGAGTAAAAATAGTTTCGTTCATTGATTAATTTACGGGTGTCTTGTTCAGCGATTATCTTGTAAATGTTCAGGATGTATTATGTATATTAGTCGCATTTCGATCTGCTCCTTGTTCGCAAATTCTGTATGTGCTTTTTTTTTTTTTACGTTTCAAGGGAATGTAACTTGTAAAATTCATCTTCCAAGGTAAGAGCAAGTGCACGTAATCGTGATTTCCCGTCTTTCGAGCCCTGCACGTTTTTCGTTACTGTTTACGCTTCCTCCTGGCTGGATTTCCTTTATTTCCTTCTCTTACTCGTTGCACGTCCACACGAATTAACGAAACTCGTATTGAAAATTCGCCCACGACTAATTCGTCTCGACTTATCGCTTTTTAATTGTGACTTATCGGGAGGTGTTTGGTGGTTCTCGCCTGATATTTAAATGTGTCGATGTTAAACCCCGCGCGAGTTACCCTCGCTGTGTGCGTATATCGATGTTAATTAATAATTAATATATCCGTGTATTATGCATATCCTGCGACGATTTTACGCGATTCCTGTCGGGCTGTCTCGCGGATATTCCGAGGACAGTTCCTTAACTTATGACTAGAGGGAAAATAGAAATCGTAACGATCCGAACGAACGGGCTCGTAACTCGACGTCGATCGTTGTACCTCTCGTCCGGACTTCGATTTAGATTTTAATCCATTTATCAACTCTATATCGATGAGTTACGCACCTTGAAGAGAGATCAAATTATCTGAGACATTGTGCGCTCGTTAGTTTTTCCGAAACTTTGTCCTTTCATTTTTAATTTATAATTTTATGTATCATGGCGCCACTCGAGAGTTCGATGATATTTTTACGTGATTTCTTGGTCGCGCTTTTTAATATAATTTAATGAGACTTGGTGTTCTTTTTTATATATATATATAGTTTTAGGGTGGGTTTTTTTCTATGGGAATTTTTTTAACGAGGGTGTTCGACGACCGTCGAGTTTTGGGCCCGTTCAAAGGAACGACCCCGGCCCCTCGGGGCTTTTAACAAAAGGTCTAGTCCGTGGCATTGAATTGACAGATTCGTGGACACCATATCGCGAAATTGGACCCTCTTGGCATCAGCAGCGCTGATCTTGACGATAAGCATCCTCAAGAGTTGCTCTATTCCCATTACTCATTCGGTAAGCCCCAATAAAACGAGCGCGTCTTTCTCTACTCGAAGGCACGCCCTCTTAACACTTACACTATTAATTACTCCTAAATAGATTCCTTTACTTTATTTCTCTCTCTCGTTAAAATTAAGGTAAGCCGGGTCGACGTGCGAGTTCTCCTCCCCGCCGATTCGCCGTTTATCTCTGGATTTTCCCTTTTCTTTGTCTCTCTTTTTTTTTCCTTTTAGGATGACGAGAAGCCTGCCAGCGGATTTGCAAGGGGGTCTATTTCGTAACGTGAGCCTGGTGAAAATGCTAAAAGGGAGCATTTTCATATAAGGGTTAATTTTCAACTCTTTGTCGTGAGATATAAATTCAAACGGAGTGGTGGTCGGTGACGGTTCTCGCGTCTCGCATTTTCACTCGGAGGGCTCGAGACCTGGTGAACGATCTCACTTCTCGCACTTTCACCGGGAGTAATAAAATCGACCCCTGGGGGTCGATTAAATATCCCGACTACGAGCAGGATATCGACGATCGATTCTATTCGAAGGACCTTTGATAATCCTCCGACGGGCTTTTCGTCCTCTTGGTGTGCGTATGGCAGCGGACTTCGATAATTCGACGTATGATTTGCTCGACGACCTCCTCGTACGGGAGGGCCGCCATTTTCTTTTTCTTTTAGATTTAGGGCTTTCATTTCACGGTCTCACTCGTAGGCACCAACGGTCACATCGAGAGATTTCAGTTCAAGTTTAATTGGTGTCCACAGGGAAAAGATCCCGGACCACTTATTCGCAAGATCTACAATTTCGGGTAGCAGTCCTTACGAAAAGTATGTAAGCAAAAGTTCTAAGAACGATCTCTACTCCCGGGATTGACTCGGTACACTTGTGGTGGACGTTTCAGGGCGCACTGGTTTTCAGTTTGTTTGTTTCTTTTTTTTTTTTTCCTTTTTCCCCGGCTGTCAATTGTCCTGGGGAGCAATCAGGTGCTTGGGAAAGGCTGCGAGCTCGGGAAAGCAGAAGACACGCTTTTGGGGGTTACTCGGTCCAGGAACTTGCTGATATCGCTCACCCACGGTTCACGGATGACATCCACGAGAATCGAGCTACTGCACCGATAAATGATAAATTTATTATTACCAAAGAGATGTAACGACGTTTTCTAATGGTTTTTCTTTTTGTACCCTTTCCCTTGAGCGAACCTCCTTGGCTTTAGTCGTGTCGTCTTTGAGTTTTCTCTTTGTTCCCTCCTGAGTTTTTGCTTGGCAGCCCCTGTGAAGATTTTTCCTTTTCTCGTGTTATCGTTGGAAATGTTGAATAACCGTGCAAGTGTCGGCTCAATGACTAAAAGAGACCATGTCTGATCTCACCCCATCCCGCGTCGGTACCAAAATCCAGGGAATATGATTTTTTTTTTTACGTCGTGCATGGGAGAGACTCGGACTCTCAGGTGCCTCCATCGTAAGGACCTCATCGGGCCACATTGTACGGAAAATGGAAATCGATATTTCGCCCTCGGTTAACGTAATTTGTTAATGTCCGCTAGGTGCCATCGGTGCATCCCGTACTTCTTTAACACCATTCAGAATTTTATTTCCGCGAGTACCCCGGAAATAATGTCATCACCCCCCAGGAGGTTGTGGTTGCACAAGGCAGATTAAAATCGCGTCTAAAGAGGGAGAATTTTTTCCCGCCGGTGATTTAAAGTCGAGGTACATTTATCCTCCGCAACTTATTCCACGAAATATCCATAGAACATCTGTATTTAATTACAATTAAATCGGAGTACTCGAAGACGTGATTCTTCCTCTTGAGACGCGCCAAAGGTCCAGTTCCAATAGCCAATTTTTATTCTCACATCTACTTAACCAATTAATCCGATAAATTATCACGTGACGGTAGTACACTTAAATTGGCGTGTAATTAAAAAATGGGGATGTATAAAAAAATCAACTGCTTTTCTTTCTTTATGAAGATACAGCTAATCGTTCGTCGGAACTAACAGAAAGATGGCTGTTGATGTAAGGGGTCGACATTGAAAATATTAATTATGGAACTGGACCTTTAATGACATTTAACAGTCATGGAGGAAGTGACGTCCATGGTGCTTGGCACTCGCCGGTCCTACCCATTGATTCGAGGTGACCAGTAATTATGCGCGAGATGTGTAATTCTGCTTAATCGAACAGAGGAAACGGACATGGATCGCGTATTCAAATTGCCGTCGACCACATTTATCGGCGGTAAGGAGAAGTCCCTGCCCCTTCGAGAGATCCTGAAGAGGCTGGAGTCTGCATATTGCGGACACATCGGGGTCGAGTTCATGTTCATCAATTCCCTGGAGCAGTGCAACTGGATACGTCAGAAAATGGAGACGCCAGGCATCATGGAGATGACCAACGACGAGAAGAGGCTGATACTGGCGAGGTTGACCAGAGCCACGGGGTAATTTTCCGATTTCTTCTAGAGATATCGATTAAGGGCCTCCCTGGTTTGAATATACGTTTCGTGTACTCTGGGAGACATCAATGCCCTCCCATCCTGCACAGGCGATGCCGTATCTGCAGGAGAGGCATTCATGTCTTCCATTGTACACTGGGAGACATCAATGCCCTCCCAACCTGCACAGGCGATGCCGTATCTGCAGGAGAGACATTCATGTCTTCCATTGTACACTGGGAGACATCAATGCCCTCCCATCCTGCACAGGCGATGCCCTATCTGCAGGAGAGGCATTCATGTCCGCTATTCTATACTGGGAGACATCAATGCCCTCCCAACCTGCACAGGCGATGTCGTATCTGCAGGGGAGGCATTCATGTCCGCCATTGTACATGAAAGTTTCTATATACAAAGTACATGAATTGTGTATTGTAATATACACAAGCGACTCTTTTTCAAGAGTCAAAGAAAGAAATATACTCACCGGGTTTCGAAAACTAGAGAGGCCTCTTACACGTCGCATGAGCCTATTTTTTTAAATTCTGCGGGATTTATTTTTCAGCTTCGAGGCGTTCCTGGCGCGAAAGTGGTCCTCGGAGAAGAGGTTCGGCCTGGAGGGCTGCGAGATCCTTATCCCCGCGATGAAGCAGGTCATCGACAAATCGACGGAGCTTGGGGTGGAGTCCGTCGTCATGGGGATGCCTCATCGAGGTCGCCTCAACGTCCTGGCGAACGTTTGCCGCAAGCCTCTTAGTCAGATCTTCACCCAGTTCGCCGCCCTGGAAGCCGCCGACGATGTCAGTGCCCTTTAGAAATGCCGCCTCGATAATCGCTGGAATTTCTATTAAGATGTGATTCGTTTAACAGGGATCGGGCGACGTCAAGTATCATCTGGGAACGTACATCGAGCGTCTGAACCGCGTCACCAACAAGAACATCCGGTTGGCCGTAGTCGCCAATCCGTCTCATCTGGAAGCCGTTGATCCGGTTGTTCAGGGGAAGACTCGGGCCGAACAATTCTACCGCGGTGATGGCGAGGGCAAGAAGGCAAGTCAATGGTCCACTCGCTCCTCCACCTGCAGGAAACCGAGTGAGATCTAAATCGCCCTAAGATAGAAGCTTTCGAAGGCCATGTCAATGTTCCCCAGGTTATGTCCATCCTTCTGCACGGCGACGCCGCGTTCTGCGGCCAAGGCATCGTCTTCGAGACCATGCACCTCTCGGACCTTCCTGACTATACCACCCACGGGACCGTGCACATCGTCGTCAACAACCAAATCGGCTTCACCACTGACCCCAGACACTCTCGATCTTCGCCATACTGTACAGGTGAGCCTATAGAACGATTAGAATTATAATTAAATTTAGAACGGCGCTCTTCGAGGTCGACGTTTCACCTTTCCGTTTCCTTCCCCGCAGACGTGGCTCGGGTGGTGAACGCGCCCATCTTCCACGTGAACTCGGACGACCCTGAAGCGGTGATGCACGTCTGCAAGGTCGCGGCCGAGTGGAGGGCCACCTTCCACAAGGACGTGGTGATCGACATCGTGTCGTATCGGCGCAACGGGCACAACGAGATCGACGAGCCGATGTTCACGCAGCCTCTGATGTACCGAAAGATCAAGAAAATTCCTCCAGGTCTGGATCTGTACGGCTCGAAGCTGATCAAGGAAGGCGTGGTCACCCAGGAGGAAGTGAAGGTGCGGAAGTGTCTTAACTATCTTAATTAACCTCCGAGGTTGGAAATCTAGGATAAATCAAGGTTACGCAAGAATTACCATAACTTACTGGTAGTCCCCATCTTCAGACTATCTTCAGGTTCTCCGGTTTCCTGTTTTAGGACGTCAAGGAGAAGTACGAGAAGATCTGCGAGGAGGCGTACTCGAATGCCAAGCAGGAGACTCACATCAAGTACAAGGACTGGCTGGACTCGCCCTGGTCGGGCTTCTTCGAGGGGAAGGACCCTCTCAAGGTCTCGCCGACTGGGATCAAAGAGGACACCCTGGTGCACATTGGAAAGAAATTCTCCTCTCCGCCACCGAACGCTGCTGAATTTGTTATTCACAAAGGTACGTACCTCAGCTCGCGGTTTGATTTTCTTTAATATCCTCTTCGTTTACATTATGTGACTCTCTTCCTTTTTCAGGTATCGAGCGCATCCTGAAGGCCCGAATGGAGATGATCGAGGCTCGAACCGTCGACTGGGCCTTGGGGGAAGCGATGGCCTTCGGGTCTCTCCTCAAGGAAGGCATCCATGTCAGGCTGTCGGGTCAGGACGTCGAGAGAGGCACCTTCTCGCACAGACACCACGTTCTTCATCATCAGACCGTCGACAAGGCCACCTACAGACCTCTTTGTTACCTCTACCCTGACCAAGCACCGTACACCGTCTGCAACAGCTCCCTCTCCGAATTCGGCGTCCTCGGTGAGGACTTGGATTCTAATCCTATCTCAGAATTATTTAATGCACATCATCCCTTACCCGAGTTTAACTTAACGTTTACTTATTCCGCCGTTAATTAAACATTTCATCAGTGCGGTTGCGACGCTCGGTTTAACATATCTCAACGGGGAGTAGGTGCAACCAGTTGGTACTTTTCTATGGGAAAGGGGGCGTAGAGTTTGCCATGCCGGGGTATCTTTAATGGAGGTCACTGATATCACTCGACCGCTTCTTCAGGGTTCGAGCTCGGCTATTCCATGACGAATCCCAACGCGCTGGTTTGCTGGGAGGCCCAGTTCGGGGATTTCAACAACACCGCGCAGTGCATCATCGACCAGTTCATCAGCAGCGGACAGGCGAAGTGGGTCCGTCAGTCGGGTCTCGTGATGCTTCAGCCTCATGGTCTGGAAGGAATGGTACGTCGCGTCTAATTACTACCGTATACCTTGAAGAGGGGAACCAAAAAGAGCGGCGATAACGTGTCCAAACCATCCACAGGGACCGGAGCACTCCAGCGCCCGACTCGAGCGGTTCCTTCAGATGTGCGCCGACGACCCCGACTACTTCCCACCCGAGAGCGAGGAGTTCGCGGTGCGCCAGCTGCACGACATCAACTGGATAGTCGCCAACTGCAGCACCCCGGCGAACTACTTCCACATCCTGCGCCGGCAGATCGCCCTGCCGTTCCGCAAACCGCTGATCCTGATGACCCCCAAGTCTCTCCTCCGCCACCCCGAAGCCAGGTCCAGCTTCGACCTGATGACGGAGGACACTCAGTTCCTCAGGGTCATCTCCGACGACGGCCCGGCCTCGCAGAACCCCAACAAGGTCAAGAGGGTGATCTTCTGCTCGGGCAAGGTCTACTACGACCTGAAGAAGTCCCGGGGAGAGCGAGGCCTGGACGATTCCGTCGTGATCTCGAGAATGGAACAGGTCCGTCCAGTCGCGTGGATGCGGTGCTTTAAGGCGATGCGAAAGTAGCTTAAGAGGGGTCACCTTTGTGACACTTTTCTCCGACCTGGGTGCACCGAGTCGCTTCAAACTTGACAACGTGAATACGTAGACTATAAGGAACGTCCGGCCACCCATGAGATTTCAATTTTTTCTCTCTTTGTTAATCTGTTTATGTAGTCAAGTTGCAAACGACTCGGTGCACCTAGTTATGCGTGTCGATTTTTTCGTGCAGCTTCTGTGCTTGTCTTTCCTAACCGCCTGTGTTGTACTTCCTCGCAGATCTCGCCGTTCCCCTACGACCTCGTCAAGAAGGAAGTTGCCAAGTATCCGAACGCTGAGCTCGCTTGGTCACAAGAGGAGCACAAGAATCAAGGAGCTTGGACTTATGTCCAGCCGAGATTCCACACCGCTCTCAATGGGACGCGCAGCGTCGCGTAAGTTGAACGCAAAGGAATGCTTATAGAAGCGAAAGAGATTTCTTCCCGCATTTTAATCTCGCCGCACGCTTATGCCTTTGCCATTTACGTACTGTTCCACATGGCCCATCTTTTTAATTTCTTCACGTTGACGGTGACATCGTGGGCCGGCTTTCTTGCGCAAGGCCGGTGGACCTGTCGCGAGCAGACAATCGTTAGATCGTCTACCTGTAAGCCGTAGTTTCCTCTTCTCTCGGTAAAGTAAAAATTTGGGCCATGTTGCAGTAACGATGGCGAGGCGAGTTCTCGCGTTTCCACCGGAGGGTGGTTCGGTAGCTGGCTCTCCTCGTCGAAAACCACCGAGTCGAGCGTTTCGGTACCACGACCGGAAGACCCTAAGGCTCGCGATAAGAGAACAGTGAGGTAATAGACATTATTCCTGTGCGTAGCTTAAAAAGATTGACGTCACAGCTCCAGCCGACAGGTCGCACGAAAATCCTCCAATTAAGGGGCCACGAAGCTTTTCGACAAACTGGATGCGGCAGATCGCCTGAAATTCCACATGATAATTTCATTTCTTTTTAATATTTCCCGTGGAGGTAGAGTCTCGAGCCAAGTACACTTCTGAGGCGAGAAACTCAGCGTCGAGGGCTGAGAGATACACTTTAATTGTACGCGTCTTGCTTATGACTCACCCTCTGTTGGGACGAGGAAATATCTAGCGAAAGTGTACGATGGTTAAACAATTATATTGGCATTAGATTGACTAAGAAAATTCTTTCTGCTTTCAGGTACTGTGGACGACCGACCGCTGCCTCGCCCGCCACGGGAAGCAAGATGCAACACCTCAAAGAACTGAAACAGTTGCTGGACGACTCTTTTAACGTTTAATCCGCCGTACTACCTGCGTAGCGTACAATTTTATTTATTTCCCCTCCGCACTAGATTTGTTACACCGATCGTCTTGCTCTATAAATACCGGAAGGTGGAGAAAGAAAAAAGAACCACTCCATGAAAGCGATTGCTCATTTCGACCCGCTAGTACTCGTGCACATATTCCGAATAACTTTCGACTCGTGCAAGCCAAATTTCTCTCCCTCTCGCCTGGTCGGAAATGCGTATTCCTTTATTTTTTTTTTGATATATATATATATATTTAATTTTCCTGGAGACTTAGCTCTTAGTTATCGATCAAGTATTCTGCGAGCGCTCGCGACCGATCTCGGAAATTGGGAATTACTTTTTCTTTTTCTTTTTTCAATGGACATTTCGTTTCCTTTATATGTATATATATATGTGTGTGTATATTGGACATTGAATCCCCATTTTTCTCTTTTTAATACCTAAAACGGACTCAATCGACGCTCGCCCGGTTGTATATTTAATTCCCGCGATTTCCAGTTTTAAATCGGAGGAAGGAAAGTTGGATTTTGCGACGAGTCGCCCTCAGTCACGTGCAAATATAGTGTTTAATTCCTCCTGTCGATAAGCCGCGCTCGCAAGATGTAAAGAATTAATGTTAAAGTATTATTTTTAACTTATACTCTGTGTAATATGCTTGCGTGGCAGGCGAGTGTTTAACGTGCGACTGGAGTTGGCTTCGGGATCTTCTTCGGAGGCTCTTCGAGAGGCCCCACTGGTAAAGAGGCTACTTATTTGCGTTAACTAAATTATTTCAACCTGTAACACGAAGAAGGGTGCCAGCCATTTAGACTTTTCGCCCTTTAAAGGGGGTCGGTACATTGTGAAATGCCTTTCTATCGAGGCATACTTAAAAGAGATCGATCGGTCATCGGAAACGTTTGCTTACGGAGCTGTCAAAACTTACTTTACGGAGACCTTGATGTATAACTTGTTACCAAACGTTTATAAATGGCGGACTTGTCGAGTCTGGAAATTTGTACTGGATTGTTCAAAGCGTAAAACCATTTTTCTATCTTAAATCTTAACCTCAAATGTGACAGCCTCCGAAGGAAAGATATCTCCTGTCTTTTTTCTTTTTTCGTTGAAGTGAACGTCACAATCTACTAACTCTCTTAATGTTGACGGAGAGTCAAGTGTTTGGCAGGATGTTGTCTGCTGACGAGGTTGAACTCACCGTAACGTCTTGTTACTCTCCGATGCCTCTGTGAACAGCCTCCAAGGATGAACTCTGAGCTGACTTAAAACGAAGGATGAGAGCGCTATACAAAAATAGTGATATATATATAAATGAATAAATATATAAATAAATAAATATATACATCTATGAATAAGAATCATAACAAGGAATCGGAATCGAGAAAGGTTGTTTCACTGTGGACGTAGTCTGTCGAAGAACAGTACGTGGATATCCCTGAAAGGAAAATGTTTATCGGAGGGAAGGGTGTCACTGTTTATTTAATTTTTCGACAGCAGAGGGTTCGGCGTTTCTGGCTGAACGTTTGCAGGCAATATTAGCGGTAGCTTAAAGCATTTAATTTCCACAATTTAACGTGGCACCAAATGAGGAAACGTTATGTCATCTTATTTATTCTAAACTTATCCAGTTTCATGATCTTTAATTCAACACAGACTGCACTGTTTTCTGCGTTTACAGTCCACGACACTAATCCACCGTGTTATTCCACTCGTCTTTTTGCGTTATTACTCGCTTAATAACGACAAATCAAGCCTCGCGCGTGTGAATGATACTAGGCGAGAAGTCAGATTGAAAGTTCATTACGATAGTGTAAATTTAGTCAAGAAATCGGTATTAAACCTCAGGTTGTAACATCTGTTATGTAATTAAACTGTGCCTGTAACCAGTGACTCGAGTCGTTTTACCTTCTGTTAGCAAGTTCACTTCCTAACCTAAATATTTCCCAGCATGTCAATTTTATATCGTTGCACAATGGGTGTTCGTTACAATAGATACCACTAAAAATGGATCGATGGACAAGGGATTCACTAACTTTCGGGCACCGATCTCAAGAATAAACGACACGCCTCTTAAACATAATTAACAGTATATTTCGAAAATGTCGTGGCACTGTAGGTCTTAAAAGTGAAACCCAGCGTTCGATGAAATCTCGTTTTTCGTTATATCGTTAGAAGCATCCCGAATTAGACTACAGGTTCTCGCAGTTTCACAAATTTCAGCGCGCCCAAAAATCACTTTGCGCAGTCCCCCTGCTTGCGTATAATTAAATAATATCCATAAGTAAGCTTACGTTAAGTTCAGTTCAAATTGGTAAGGTGTATTAGTAATCGGTTTGGCCAAGCACACTGTACATAATCCTCTTGAAGCTGTTGCTCTGGTGGATTTTCTCGCCATCGTCGTCGAGGACGTTTATCTAAAATTGGGGAAGAGACATTTTTATTCATTGCTTGATGTGGTGTATCAGGTGTTGCGTGCGTTTCTTCGAGTGTTTTCCAGTCCCTAGTCGCTACCGATCGGATGAATTATATCAATTACAAAGGCAGAAAATGAAACGACACAGTTTTTACGTTACAACTGGAGAATACTCGACACAATTGTTTGGCTGTAAGCACGTGTGTTTAGAATTACACAAATCAGACGTACAATTGGCGAGCAAACTTTAATATCCGTTGACGCGATCCTTAACGAAAGGGAGAGGGAAGGGGCGCCTATAATTTCCACCCTTAATCAGAGAAACGATTATCAATTAATGATTCATCATGCTCCTCTTTTCAAGGGTTAAAAAAATACTACGTAACCCCTTTTACTAAAAACAACGTATCAATTCTGTACATATGAATCATGCTCGATTGTGCACAAGCCACGTTAAATACAATTGTATGAAAAAACTCGTGCTGATCTGAATACATGTCACGAGTACTTACGTATGCTGCTCCAGGATTCCTGGCAGCGGACGGTGGACCCTGTAAAAAAAAATTGGAAGTGCCTTCATTTCTGTTTTATATCATCGATTTCACTCGGTATTGACTAAATAAAAAAATTCAAATTACCCTGTTATGGTTCGCCTTGTGTGGCGAGAAGACCCCTGTGCGAGCTGGCTGCTTCACCTCTTGAACGTAATCCCCCAGGGCCTCTTCTTGTAAAGCCTTATAGGCCTCGCTCTTGCTTGGGTCGTACTTCACCGGCTTCTTGGAGCTAAGTATTTCGTTCACCAGACTTTTAATGCACGCAATCTCATGTGCCGTTAAAGTCTTTTTGTTACTTGACTGTCCTCTGTTAACCAAGCGCCCAAGCTTGTTTCCGTTCTGGCAGGCAGCCGAAGCCAGTAGCAACGTGCCTCGTCTCGCAAGTTATAATCAAGCATTGGCATAAGTGTTTAAGCAGCGTTAAGTGTTAGGTTAGGTTAGATGCTAGCATTAAATAACAATAAATACTAAGTATTACGTGTCAAGTGGTACGTACGTTACTAAGCTCGTGTCATGCAGTTAAGTCCATTGTTTATCTTGCTTCTTTTAACTCTAATTCTCCCATTTTCCTCGATTTTAGGAGCAGGAGCGATCGCTAACGGAGGAAGCCGCTAATCGCTAGGGGGAGGAAAAAAAAGATGGCGGCGACAACGACGCGCAAAGGCAGCCCAACGATTCACCGTTTTGCCGTATTCTTGGCTCGAGCTTCGACCTATTTTTGCATTTTTATGCCCGAGGGAATTTTGGTATCCCGGGAGACTACGTTTCCGCCTTTTTTCCCGATTTTACCGGGTAAAAGAGCGTAAAATGCCGCGATGGACGAAGCGAGGACGCGCGCAAGATGGCGGCGATTTTCGAGACCTCGCCAAGGTCTTCGGGTATTTCGAAAGATTTCTGAGAATATCTGGGCACGATTCGCGGCTTCAAATATTAGAAATAACTGTCCCGTGTATCTTGCGAGACGCTTCACGGGGTAATTCGCGGTTTCAGATACAGAGGGGAACGAAATACCAGAATTCGACGACTCCGAGGGGGAGGGTGGAGGGTAAGAACCGAACAACCTATTCGCATTTAGACGATCTTCGAGCGATTAAATGACGTTCTAACGGAGAACTGGATATCAATGTGGAGTCGAAAACAGTCGAAAATGTCCGGCGAGTTTCGAAATTGACCTCGACGCCTGTCCAGCGACGCCCACGTACGTCTGGATGACATTGACGATCGTATTACAATGCTATTATTAAATATTTACGGGCGTGAATTAGGCGACGATACCGGGCAGGATCCGCCAAAGCCACGGAAATCGATATCGAAATATGTCGGAATCGAAGTGGACTTTTCAATTCTAACCTATTAAAGCCGTTTTACCGAGACGTTCCGAAGTGTCCCAAACTTGAGGATCATAAATCCCGGGGATATTCGCTCGCGATTCTGGGTCAGATTTGTAACTAAAGTCGTTTTCGCGGTTGCCAGGCAAGATGTTGCGGTACAATTTCGAAACCGTCCCGGAGACCTAACCTCGTCGCGATTTAATTCGGCTTATTGAATTGCGGCCACACGTTCTTCGAGGTACCCGCTTTGGCCTGCTCTCTCATCGCCCTCGCCTGCTCTTCTATCTGTTGTCTCTGTTTCAGGAAGGAAAAGTCTATGAAAATGCTGCAAAACAAACAGAGCAACGATCAGGAACCCTCGTCTGTGTAGTAACCGAACGTGAACATGTGGTTCGGGGACTTTGGAAGATCTTCGTTATCACGTGCAACGCGACGGTACCCTTTACATCCCTCCAAGTCTTTAAGTTGTTCTTCATTTATGGAAGTTAATTGTTTTTTAATTTTAGTAGTAGCACTCGGCGAAAGCCAGCTCTAGTACGGGCCAAGGACCAATTCCACAGTGGGCTCCGAGTCTCAAAAGTTAACCAAGACGAAGGATTCCAGGAGTCAGAACTTCCAAACTTTGTTCATACATCGTCAATTAATTCCTCGATACAGTGAATTGTGATATGAGGGTGATTTAGTGATTAATCGGTTTGCATGGAGGTGACGACCCGGAACCAACTGCGGGCTTGGTGAAAATGGTAATCGGCAAGTGTTCTAGTGCAAGCTCTAGTGACGTGGCAGCTTTCTAATGTCTCTTTTTTCGTTTCTAGCTGGTTATCACTATCGGTGCATCTCTCCGGAGTCTTAGGGAGCAGCCTACTTACGGGACGGCCGAGGTTTGACATTTAATCGTGTCCGCGATATTTTGCTCGGAGTAGAGGCCGATCGGAGAATTGAATTGCTTGTGGACGACCTGTTGAACAGAACGAAGGGAAAGCCGGCAAGTTACTTCAAGACTGTACGCGAAGAACGAAGCGTGAGATTATTCCGCAGAATTAGTTGTTTTATTAAACGTGAGTCGGCGTCACACAGCTCTTGTGATCTGGCAAGTGGAAGTACGGTGCAGTGCTAGGACCGGTAGAAGAAGAAGCCGCACTTGTTCTCGGCGTTATTATTGATTATCCTGCGAGTTACGGCGATGCTCTACGGGGAATTTACGATGAACGGAACGAGTCCAGGGCGTTCCTTGGAAGGCTGCGACTGTCCCGTCCGGAATTCCGACTTCTCGGATAAATGCGTTAGGGAGATAAATCCGCGAAAGGCGGACCGAATTCTAAGCGGAAGCGATTGATAGGAAGTTTGGTCAAACCTTTGGAACTTCGTTCGGTCCCAAGACGCGCTGAAGTACCGATTCCGCCACCTGGTCAGACGTTTTACAAAATGTTTACACGTTAATTCCATTGCGCTAAGTACGGACCTATGCCAACGTGATTGCGTTCGACTGATTAGCGAATAACTTAAGGGGGCCAGTAGGTTGTGAAATGCGTTTAGAATTGTCATCGACAGATCGAAAACCCCCTTAAGGGGATGTGAAAGTGGCATCCGAAGAGTCAATCGTTCACAAAACTGTTCTTCCAACTGGGTGCGCTGAATCGTTTCAAACTGTACAACATAATTGTGGAGGATATAAAGAAGGTCCTGGCACTCATGAGAGTTTCATGAACAAATACTCTTTGACGCCCCTTTCCCATCACCTTAAGCTACTCCGACGAATCAATTCCGCGGCGATAAACCCGTAGCATTACGGTCTCTGTAATTTCTCTTTACATACTTTTTGCTTCATGGCAACCTCCGGATGTGCCACCTCGTAATGATGAGGAGCTGCCCGAATCATCGGGTTTGGGTGGTGGCGAAGGTAGCACTCGCCGATCGGTGCGTCCTTCTTGACTTTTGCTCCAGGCAAAACCAGAGGAGTCGTTCGATATGGCTGTAAATGCGAAAGATAATGACACCCTCGAGTCGGGTCGCTCTTTTCAATTCTTCATGATTTTCCGCGAGGAGATCGTTATATCATTATTAGAAAATTCTTGTCTTCTAGATTTCCCCGAAGTCTGGTCGGCGAGTCTATTGACGTCTCGAGCAGCGATGGCCAGGCTGTCGGAACGACCTACCGGCGTTTTATTTTGGTATCCATTGCGAGGGCGAACGGTACGTTATATCGAGACCACGAGAGATTGATTAACGCGTCCCGGCATCGTCTAATGCACTCTCGTTACCCTAAAAATATTCCCTTCAATCGATCCTCGAAGTATTTTGTATAATTAACTCCAAGGGACTCGATATATCCGTCAAATCGTTTCCCTCGTGAAATCGCCAAAGAGGTTTTCCAAGATGGCGGCCATCTCGGATTCGCTCTTGGAGCGACGAAATACTTTTACATTCATTAGCGTACCCCGGTATTTTCTAATGCACTCTCGTTACCCTACAAATATTCCCTTCAACCGATCCTGGAAGTATTTCGTGCAATTCATCCCAAGGGACTCGATATATCCGCTGAATCGTTCTCTTTCTGAAGTGGTCGAAGGATTTTCTAACATGGCGGCCATCTTGGATTCGGTCTTGGAGCGACGAAAGACCTTTAGGTATATGTCAGTGAGATTCTCCTCGCTCGTGGGCGGCTAAATCTCTCGAACCCTTCGTCGGCGTTTATTAATTCTTTAGAGCCGCGTAATGCACTGTCGATATTTTTAGCGTCCGGGCGAAAACCGGAAATGTCACCTCCCGTCCGTTCCGCGTATAGATTTTTTGGCCCCTGCGAAAGCGGAGCGAGCAGGTGAATTTAAAATCTTTTGGCTCGAGGTCGCGAGGCGTACAATGAGAAAATTACATAAACCTCGGTAGCGGGTAAAAAGCTTGGCAGGGAATCACTCGTTATGTCACCACGCCAGATTTTGCGGAGGAAAATATCCTCGAAGAGGAAACGGGAAGAACGTCGAGCCCGAATGTCGAGGTTCCTATTGACTAGCCTTTCAAGGGCCCTGGCCAGGTGTCATTTTTGAGCCCCTTATATCGTCAAGGGAGGATATTAATAAAACTAGTTAAACGAATGATCGTTCTTTAGCTATGTCGATAACGATACCGCTGGATGAACCATCCATAATATTCTGATTTTTATTCCCTGAATTTAATTCTGGGATTTTAATCGTTAGATTTTAACTCTATCATTTTTATCGGCCAGTCTTTATTCTCTGATTTTAATTGTGTCATTTTTGTGTATTTCTGAGGTACTCGAAGACGAGGCTGGAAACCCAACAACGTCGTCATCTTCTCTCGGCTTTTCCGCCAGGGAAAATTTTTTTCCCCTGAATCGAGTGGACGTGAATCATCAAAAGGAAAGTGATTATCAACAAAAGAGAGAGAGAGAGGAATAACGATCAAAGCCGAAGTCTCAGCTCAGAGGGATCAAAGCTCTCGCCAGGATTTTCCTGCGAATTCGCTTAGCGAAGAACAGCTCGTCGAAGAGGCGAGGGTTATGTTTATTTCAGGCGGATCGGGAATAAGCGTCACTTCTGTAAAAACTATAATTATTCAACGCCCTCGTATTTTTGTCCCGCGACTCGCAGAATCGCGCATAACCGAACTTCCTCCTGGAAGCATTGCGAAGTCGAGGTAGAGAACCGTTTAAAAATTTCGATCTCGTTCAGTTAAGATTTCCCACTAGAGCCTCGAAATCCTCGGATAGTTTCTATCGAATCTAGGCTTAAAAAACGTCAGAATGTAACTATATTAATTTTATACAAGTTAGACCCAAAAATCCTGAAGCTACTCGAGGATGAAAAAGGTATCTCACTTCTTGCGCTGAAAGACGTATATTATATATAAGTTTTAAATAGCCAAAATACATGTTTTATATGCAATCGTTAAATGGCTGAAACATGTACGATTTATGTCATGCAAATTTCCAGAAGACGTCTTTCGACGCCGAAAGTGAGGTAAGAGTTCGGACGTAACTCTTGACTTGCGTTTAGGAGGCTTACACGAGGTGAAGGTTTCCGACCTGGGGAAAGGACGTTTCCTGGCATTTTTTTTTCATTTCCCCAGCTCCTCGTCGCCATTAGAAATGGGTCAGGAACGTCGCGTTACACGTTAACCACGGTATACCCTGAAAATAGACGAAGGCCCCGGCTGGCAAAAATAACGCGCACTCGTGTTTGCTGGTCCGGCCAGGACGCGATATCCAGCGGATTTTTCGAAGGCCTCCCCTTTCCTCGAGGGCCCCCAAAATTGCCAGCGATGCGGCGAAACCGCAGCGGGATTCTAGATGCGTCAAAAGAGGCTTCAAACCCCGAGCACGAAAACCGAGCTATTAGGGGAACGCTGGACCGTGGCCTAGGTCAGGGTCAAGATCGGTCGAGATGGTTCCGAGATTTTCGAATTTCCTTTAGAGCGACTTCTGAATCCATCAATCAAAGAAGACGGTTCTTGAAATTTAAATCCAAGTGTCACTGACATTCCCAGCAGGAATATATAGGGTCCGTAAATTTAAGTACTTCATTAATGTACCTGCGAAGGAAGTACAGCGAAGGGGCTATGTAAATGGGGCAAATTGTGCAAACAGTGAAAAATTGTCGCGATGAGGAAAATCGGTCTTAGAATTATAATTAGTGCAAATGGAGCAAGATCAAGTCTAAGAATGATATTACTCGTCCCTAGTCCTAAGGACGACCCTGAAGAGAAATTAGCGATAAATCTCTTCGGTTCGAAGTTTCTCGGAAAATCCCGGATTTTCTTCAGCTAATCATCTGGTTTTATTCCAGGAAACGACCTGATCGTACCCAGTAGACGGCAGCTTCCTCTTCCTTCGTGGGATGGTCCACCGTGTACCGGTAGGAGGTCGTGTAGGCCGGCATCCTCGAAGACCAAGGAGGACCTCTTGGAATTAAAGGATTCACCTCCTCTTCGGGAAATGGAGGAGGGACTCTTTCCTGGCTCTTCAGGGCCTTCTTTCGACGAGGAACCACCTTCGAGTCTCTCGGGGTGCGTATAAAGTCGGGATTTCGTTCGAAGGATTCAAGGACTCCTTTTTTACCAGGATCTCCACCTAGCAAGGGAACTCCTCTTCGAGGGTCTTCTTCGAGGGAACTGTCTTTCGAGAACCGTGCGACTCGGCAACGCGCTCGACTGCCACTAGCTGCGGCGATTCCGGACCGACTCGCTCGCCCCGGCCGCAACTCCTCCGTTTTCGACACGTCGAATTTCAGGGTGACCACCCAACGCGTCACGGCGTCGCCTCTTTTACGTCAGGGTCTTACTGGCCGCGGCGGCTGTCATACAGGCCGCGGCGAAGGTAGAAAAATAAGCGATACGACGCATACATGCAGATCATTTAATCTTCCACTTATCTTTTTTAGATCAAATATTAACAAGAGCGAGAGATCACCGGGACGATTTGAAGAGAGGAAGAGCGAAGCTCCCTGCACGAAAATCGAAGGGTATCAGAATACGCGAGTTCGATGCAAAGGCAATATTTATAGAATCGCGGGATTTCCGGCTTCGAGCCGAGCCAAGGAAAATATTCACACAACGTAAGGGGAATAACGACCTAATGATTTTATCTTGCCTCCCAAATCAGACCGATTTCATTAAATCCCATTGTTAATCTCGGCTGTTGATCCTTAGAGCTCTAATTTCGATTCGGTGGTAATTAAGTTTACGATTGCAGGAATTACCGAGTCGGCTGGGTCTTCCTCGATATCCGGAAGCTGCTGAATTATTCCCGATGAACAATCAACAGCTGGGAAGATGATCTGTCCAATGATGAGCTCCACCCAAGGAACGAACAGCCGATGGACCTCGCGTGATAATTTTCACCGGTTCTACGAGATCAGTAGGAAGACCAGAGCTCACAAATGGGATTTTTTAGTCGAAAGCCGCCGCTCCAGGAATATGAGAAACTACCCTCTGGAGGGGAAACGAAGGCCGTAAAAATGGCACTTTAAATGACACTTTGTATGACACTTTGAACGACACTTTGCACCGACGAATTGACGTTACTCTAGCACCGATTGGCCGGAATGGCGGTCGAGGGTTCTATACTTAGAAGGGCCTGGCTCTTTCGCTCCGAAATCCCGTCGAGGCTGCCGCTCGTCAATCCGCGACTTTCCGGTTACAAGAATTAACGCTTTAATCGTGATTACCTAGATTTTACGGCGATAGGGTTAAGGAGCGCCTAACGAGGTCCCGGTTCATTAGGAGAAATTAAACAATCGGGGTTTGATTAGGATAAATTAAACAATCGGATTATTCCCAATATTTACCTGCGATAGGTAGTGCCTTTCCTCCCGAACTTCGTCAAGGTGTTGATGAGGTAACTCGAGGGTGTGCGGAGAATGCGAGACGTACTCCTCGATCGGTGGAGTTGGCGGAATCGGACTTTTCGGCAGCTCTTTTGGATAACCCGATTTCTGGAGCTTCTGCCTGTTAAATGATAACAGATTACGCTTCGCTGAATTCCTTCAACTCCCGAATTCGAGTTCCTCATCGTGAAAGAGCTGAAGAAGAGTGGAAGAGCGACCATCTCGGGGCCGCCACGTGCGTCTCAATCCGTAGCAAATATATATATATATATAATTTATTCTTTGCATTATTTTAAGTATCACTATACTCATATTTCTCCCCGTTGTCCAGTTTGTTCTTTCCTGCGCTTGTATCGAAATTTTTGTCATGGTTCTAATTTTTTCATTCATTGAATACGACGCTACGGATTTATTTCCAACACGTGGCGGTCCCGAAAAGAAATTGCGTTATGATGTTTTCGAATTGCCTTTGCGATCAAGCATTGCGAGACGTGCGATTAGGCATAATTCCGCAGCGGCTTTCCCTCTTTTTCCATATTTTACCCACAAGTATGAAATCGAGTTTCATTTCTCATTCTCATTAAGCGCTCTGCATTTTTTTTAGGAGGATTTCGAAGTGATTAATTAAGCAGAGATGCTTAGTGGAATTTCAGATTCCCCGTAAGATTAATTTAACTCGAGAAGGGTAAAATGTTGCAAGCGCGGTGCAGGGGATTCTTGTGATTTCTTTTTTTCTCCGTTTCTTATTTTCTTTTGACAAACTGTAAACCGCAGTCCTCTCGCTAATGATCGACCGGACAACCGGATGCGACGATGATGCATGATCGCAGGATGGATTTTCTCTCGACGGCTCAGACCTTTCGACGATAAGTCTTACAGACTCAGAGTTTTGGAGGAGGTTTTGGGCGTCCACGTGCCTCACGTCTCGCACGTCGTACTCGTCAATTTTCTTGATCACGTCACCCTTCTGCAGATTCTCGTTCTCGGACTGAAACAACCGAGGAAAAACGTGAAATCCTTTGGCAAGGCCGGAATTAATTATTTAGGCGATCTAAATGTTCCTTGATAAAGTGCGGCATTATGTGGAACATCATTATCGTATTATGTAAAACGAGCTCGGGCGACGTTTGCTAAATGCGTTGCTGGCATTAAGACAGGCTTCGATCGCCGGACTTTTGCCAGGTTTTTACCCCTCGTTAGAAAAGTTAGATACCGGAAATTGTTTAAATAATACCCTGGCGTCTTACCAGATACCGTACTTCGCCCCTCGTCGCCTCGATTTTTTAAAATCAGTTTCCTCCTCATTTTTCAATTCACAATCTGGCGTTTATGTACAAGAATGTACTCTTAAGGTGATATGAAAGAGACATTCCATATCTATAAATCCAGAAAAATATTTCAGAGAAGCTGGAAGATTATTAATATTTTCAGGTTTTTATGTATAGAATGACTCTTTCGTATCGCCTTAAATTGTCTGATATTTGCGAGGGAAGTCTCTTGGATTTTTACACGTTTGTCATGTCAGGCGAATCGTGATTTAAGTCCCTTCGATCTTGAAGCGAATCATTGTATTTTTCTACCGATCGATAGTGATCGATCGATCTTCTACTCACTCGGGTGACGATGATCGGAGTGCCTAGATCGGCTCCGCCGGCGATACTGATGCCCCAGGGTTCGTACCTGGAGGTTCTTTTCAACTTGACCACCAGGGTCTGCTTCCTCGTCATCCTCGAATGCTGATCGATCGAGGATCGATCGATCCGTACTAGAGCCCCTTGCCGTCAACTACTGTGTCTTGACTAGTATGCTTTGACTTTGACAGGCCTAACCCGACCAGGCTCGTTGCCCAACCAGTAAAGCGTTCTACCATTTTGGCCTCATTTCGAATTGGCATACGCCTTGTATTGTTCTGGCTCGACCTGCATTCATTTCTCTGGTATTTATGTCTATAGAAGGCCTAAGGCGACGCGAAAAGGGGTTTTTCATATTTTTTACCACCACTCCGAACTTTCGGAAATCCTGCTTAATTATCATTCTAGCGGTTTTGAATTTCCACGTTCCTTGAAAAATTAGTTATTCATATTTTTACCACCACCCGGCATAATTTCTCATTCACCTTTACTTCCAAAGTTCATCCGAACTTTCGGAAATCCTGCTTAATTATTTTAGACTGGAAACTAACGAGCCTGGTCGCGTATTTCTTCCGATATTCGCCTATAAAAATCTCCGATGCCATTAATTTTATTTTCATTTTTATTTCAATTATGACTTTATCTTTGATTTTAACTTCACATGACCGATGGAATTATTCGCTGTTCTTTTTTACTCTTCGCTTCGGCAGTTTATCGCGTTATCGTCATCCGTTGCCTTTGGGTCGACTCGTAAATAATAATGATAATTTTTTAATTCAAAGAAACTGCAAATTCTGGATAATCTCGGGTATCTTTGTCATTTATTCCTCGATGCACTTACGTAAGTCTCGTAATAGGTGCCGATGGTGAACTTGAGGGCCATTTTCTGGGAGGGATGAGATTTGACAAATTTCTTTTTCCGGCTTCCGGGTTGCCCAATCGATCTGCGACGTGTCGATCCAATTACTCGGGCTGCACCTTGATTAATGAGTTTAAATCGAGGGTTTGATAGAGGGGAGAGAGAAAGAGGCATCTCCCTTTGGGCACCTAAATTAGCAACCTATGGCGCGAAAGGTTAATCGATTCCGGCCATTGGATCGATCCCCTGATTTAATTTCCCCCGACAGGAAAATTCCCTCTTCGTGGAAAATTAAAACGGCAGATTTAGGAAAAAAGAAATTCAACCAACGAGGCGAAGAATTTCAAGAAACTCGATAGAAATCCCCCGTGCGACAAATTGATATACAACGCTTAGTTTAAACAATATTTTCGGAGTGTCTTTATGAAATAACGTGTAAAAATAGAGATCTAGAGTAATAAGCGTTAGTTTTTAGGAATATTCCTCGGTTATCGCTCTGCCGATCACCATTCTTCGGATTTCGCTGGTGCCTGCTCCGATCTCGTAAAGTTTTGCGTCCCTGAGGAATCTTCCTGTTGGGTAATCGTTAATGTATCCATTTCCACCTGAAAGCGACATTTTTAATGATTATTTATCCTCTAAACGGTTTATCCATTAATCGCGTTTACCCAAAATTTGAATCGCATCCAGAGCGACTTTTGTCGCGTTTTCCGCAGAATATAAAATGACGGAGGCGCAGTCTTTGCGATTTGCATGTCCGGCGTCGCAAGCTCTTGCCACTGAGTACAAGTAACTTCTGCTGGCATTTAAACTGGTGTACATGTCCGCAAGTTTGGCCTGAAGACAAAATATTAACTACAATATGATAAAAGGCCTTAGATTAAAAAAGCGAGATACCTGTATCAGCTGGAACTCGGCAATGCGTTTTCCAAATTGTTTTCTTTCATGAGCGTACTCGAAGGAAACGTCACAGCAAGCTTGCATAATTCTGAAAGGAAATTTGAGTAACTACCCTGGTAGAAAGAAAAGTTCATAAAATTGAATTGCGCCGAGCTGATCGCAATTTTTAATAAGCGACTGTCTCGTGGCGGAGACAATTCAGGAACTACTTTTACAGCGAATTTTAATTTCTAAGATCATTGCACAATGTGAATAATTAATTTCATTTTCTCTCTTACCCTAAAGGACCACCGGCAAGAACGAGTCTCTCCAAATCGAGGCCACTGAAAAGAACGTAGACGCCTTTATTCACCTGGCCCAAGACGTTGGAAACTGATAACAGAGGTTGAACATCTTGAAGAGTTAAGACTAATCAGGGAATTTTCCTCCCCACTGAGCGAAAAGTATTTTTTAAAAAATTCCAGAACTCCAATAGACATTTTCCTACTTGAAGGCAATTTGTACGTAACATCATTTCTTTTTTTTACAGGTTCATTTCCGCGCGATAGAAAATCCTGCTCTTCGTGAAAGATACATCTTTCGCCCAGCGTGGAGTAAGTCTTTTTTTTTTTTCTTCACCAGGAACATGGCAGTCCTCGAAAATTAATTCCCCGGTGCTGGAGCCACGCATGCCAAGTTTGTCGAGCTTTTGCCCGATGCCGAACCCTTTCGTGCCCTTTTCTACGAGGAAAGCTGTAATTCCATGTTGCGCCTTGGCAGCATCCGGATCCGTCTTGGCGTAGACAATGAAGATGTCGGCAGTGGCAGCGTTGGTGATCCAAAATTTGCTCCCATTCAAGACATAATAATCTCCGCTTCTCTTCGCCGAAAGCTTCATGGAGACGACGTCGGATCCAGACCCTGACTCCGACATCGCCAAAGCTCCGACATGCTCCCCGGTACATAACTAAGGGACATGAAATAGTAAAATCATACAATTGTTAAAATGTAAAATCCCAAACCCTAAAATCGTAGCTACACTGAGAAAAAAAAATTAGTTGACTGAAACTTTGTTGCTTAAATCATATACATATATATATATAATTGCAAGGAACAATTATTTCTCTCAAGAAGGAAAATTATATCGTTGATTTAAACGAATCTTGTTTACTGTTCAAGCAACATATCAAGCCTAGCACTGCTTCGATCCGTTTCATATATTTTCCTTTTAATACTTTTGATTACATAGGTAATATTTTATTCTTACAGACGGCGACTTTCCTTCGTTTATTATTTATGGACCTTACTTTCGGCAAGTACTTGTGCTTCTGCTCTTCAGTGCCGTTCCTGTGGATCTGATTTACGCAAAGATTAGAATGGGCACCATAACTGAGACCGATCGCACCGGAAGCTCTGCTTATCTCCTCCATAAGAATGACATGGTCCAGAAAAGTCCCTCCACTTCCTCCGTATTCAGGCTTGACAGTGATTCCCAGGGCTCCTAATTCGCCCAAATCCCTCCAGAAAGGCTGCGAATATTTAATTTCACATCACTAATAATCGCATGAATTAATAATAATTTTTATACCATTTTCAGAACCACGAGTTACCCTCAGCTCGTCGAAGAAGTCCTTCCTGTCCAATTCGGCGGCCTTGGGGGCCAATTTTTTCTGCGCGACGTTGAAGACCGATCTACGTAACTGAAGACCAGAAATGTTTAATTTTTAGGCGCAACTATTTTTTCTTTTTTTCTCTTAGAGAATATTTAAGAATAAGGAACATAATTTTGAAGACTGACAGACCTCCTTTTGCTCCTCCGTGAGTCCGCAGACATTTTCATTGATCGGGTAATATTGCGAGGAAAGTCTAAGGTTGCATTTTGTAAAACTTTTCACGAGACTTCCTAGTCTCAACCCGCGATTCATGACACGCGACATTGTTCCTTGAGGAGTTTCACAACACTAAGGAGCGTTATCACTACGTATCAAAGTGTAGGTCGTATTATGATAATGTCTACTCAGTGGTGTTCATTCAAACCGATAGTAAGTTTGGAGTATCTTTTAAGAAGCAGTGTCCGATTAACGGAGAAAATCTATTCCGATCGACGAAAGCGATCAGCTGTGTCGGCTTCTCGCGTTTAATTAAAAATCCGTTTAATACGATGGGACTATTATACGAGATAACCGACTCCGCTGAAACGTCAGAAATATCCAATAATGCCTGCGATAGTTATCTCCCTTCGTTATATAGCTTCCTTTAAATTCAAATAGCAGGGAATCTCATTAGCTCGGAGCAACGTGTACGTTTAGATTAATAACCCGAAGTCGTTGGTGGCAGTGACCTATAAGATGCTATTAATGGAATCTATTGTCGGTTCGTCGTTGCGATCTTTTAATATTAGTATTGGACCGCTAACAACGGGTCACTGAATTCACTTTCGAAAGACCTCGCTGTGGATCGGGGTGACAATGACACGGTTACTTAACTCGTACTTCGTATCTCTAGTTTTCGGTTAACTGTAAGTTTAATGCCCATTTAATAGTCTTGGAAATAGTCGACAAGGTGAGTGAAGTATATTAAATATATGTTTCCTTATATTTAGGGCATGTATCGTTTTATTTCTGATGTCCGCTTTATGCTATGTGCGATTTAAATTTTCCCGGCAAGATGGCGGTCTGGTCACGTGATCACCGATAGGTGAGTTCGCAATCTATGTTTTCGCGCTTTGTGCTTCGCGTCCACGTGTATGCTTTGCACCTGATTGTATTTATGTGAATTTGCATAAACGTCGACCGAAAGTGCGAAAATCAGGCTTATAAACTATGATATATGGTTTTTTTCAGAAATAATAACTAAGTTTAAACATGGGGGAGATGAAAGTGAACGATTTAGAGGATTTCAAGGCTGACCAAAAGTACCGTAAAGTGGTAAAATATATACAAGTGAGTAGAGGTTATGTTTGGTAAGTTTAGCATAAGTACGAAAAATTTGAACGAAATTAAAGGTAATATTTGTTTAGAATAAATGGAAGCTCGTCCCAGCATTTCTGAAAGGCAGAGGACTTGTCAAGCAACACATCGACTCGTTTAATTATTTCATCAACGTTGAGATTAAAAAAATTGTTAAAGCCAACGAGAAAGTGATTAGCGACGCAGATCCATTATTTTATGTGAAGTGAGTTATTTAATAGCATCATGTTATGATGTATTTTCAATTAGGAAATATATGCTTCTAAGTTGCATAATTCAAATTCTGTAATAGTTGTTTTTTTTCTTCAGGTATTTAAATGTGTACATTGGTTCTCCGGATGTTGAGGAAAGTTTCAATGTAACTCGTTCCACCACACCGCACGAATGTCGCTTAAGAGATTTAAATTATTCTGCTCCGATTACAGTAGACATAGAATATACTAGGGGTCATCAACGTATTATTAGAAATAACTTATTAATCGGAAGGTATATAATACAGAGTACAAAACGAAATGTATGTGAAAATTCTAAAGTATAAAATATACTACATGAAATTTTTTCTACCAGGATGCCGATAATGCTTAGAAGTTCTAATTGTGTTTTGACTGGAAAATCGCATTTCGAGCTGGCAAAGATGAACGAATGCCCACACGATCCAGGTGGTTACTTTGTTGTAAATGGTCAAGAGAAAGTAATTCTCATTCAAGAACAGTTGTTGAGAAATAGAGTTATTTTGGAAGATGACAGTAAGGGATGTATCATCGCTTCCTGTAACAGTTCAACGCATGAACGAAAGACTAAAACTAACGTAGTAGGTAGAGCTGGGAAATATTACCTGAGGCATAATATCTTCCAAGATGTAAGCGTTTGTTTTTTACTTGGCACTTATTTATTTTTTATCTGTATTATACTTCCATCATTACCTTTAGGATATTCCAATAACTCTACTATTTAAAGCCATGGGTATTGTAAGCGATCAAGAAATAATGCAGCTCATCGGAACCGAAGAGGAATTTATGAAAAAATTCTTACCTACGTTAGAAGAATGTCATGTATTGTGCGTTTTTACTCAAAATCAAGCATTAAGGTAATTTGTTTTTCAATCATATTTCTGGGTCTGACAATGACGAATTAAAATTTCTCTCTTGAATTTTAAGGTACCTAAGTAACAAACGGAAACAAAAAAGATTTACAGTAGCCAAGTCAAGTGTTATCGACGAAATGAAGGACACTCTAGCTTCCAACATTTTGTCACACGTTCCAGTAAGTATACGTGCAACGTTCTGCTCTTCACTTCACTCTTAGTCTAGGCTGTCCAGCTGCATGTGAATTTGTGCAGGTTGTTGACTGTAATTTCAAAATGAAAGCCACTTACATCGCACTAATGATCAGAAGAGTCATGCAAGTCCAGCGTGATGGAAAATTGGTGGACGATAGGGATTACTATGGGAACAAACGACTGGAATTAGCTGGATCTCTTCTTTCGCTGATGTTCGAAGACTTATTCAAAAGATTTAACTGGGAGGTAACTGTAATTATTTACTCTAATTTCAGGTTCTTGAAGAGAATTATTTACGCAAGTTTTATTTCTACAGTTGAAGCAGATTGCAGATAAGAATATACCAAAGATAAAGGCAGCTCAATTTGATATCGTTAAACACATGAGGCAAGATCAAATCACCAATGGATTAGCATTCGCCATATCATCTGTAAATTTTATTATACACATTTCAATATTTATTTCTGTTGTGCATTTATACACGTGATTAATTTTTTTTAAATCTTGGCAGGGTAATTGGACGATAAAACGGTTTAAAATGGAACGTCATGCCGTAACTCAAGTTCTTTCCAGGCTGTCGTTCATCTCTGCTCTTGGTATGATGACTCGAGTCAATTCTCAGTTTGAGAAAACTAGAAAAGTTTCCGGTCCCAGGTCTTTGCAACCTTCACAATGGGGAATGCTGTGCCCCAGTGATACTCCGGAAGGAGAGGTTATCTTCTCGTCTCTTTAATTTAAAAATAAGATACCAATGAAACACGTCTTTATATTTTTAACTCTGATAACAGGGTTGCGGACTGGTTAAAAACTTGGCTCTTATGACACATATTACAACGGAGGTGGAGGAAGAGCCCATTATTAGGTTAGCGTTCAACCTTGGAGTGGAAAATGTCAATATCCTCGGAGGAGAAGAAATTAATAAGAAAGACGTTTATATAGTATTTCTAAACGGCAACATTTTAGGAATTGTTAAGAATTATGTGAGGCTAATCAACGTTTTTCGGATGTTACGTAGAAAAGGACTTATGAGTGGATTTGTCTCTATTTATCCACAACATCAGCATAGGTAAGTTATTAAAGCAGTCCACATAATAGTCACCGCTTTAATACTTTCAATGCCAATGGCAATGTAAGTAATTGTTGTCTGGCAGATGCGTTCAAATTAGTTCTGATGGTGGAAGGCTGTGCCGTCCTTACATTATTGTGAAAAAAGGAGAACCCCTAGTTCAAGCCGAACACATTAAACTGTTGGAACAAGGTGTTAGAACCTTTGAAGATTTTCTACAAGATGGTAAATTACAAATATGTACTTCTTGGCTTAGTTTGAATGAAAGCAATTTTTTTAATTGTGCCTTAAACAAGAACGATGAGCTCTGAAATTAATTGCTATTTGCGACTAAGTGTATCTAAAGCTCGTCTTGTGGCAATATTTGCAGGAATGATCGAGTACTTGGATGTAAACGAAGAAAACGACAGTTTCATAGCATTCAACGAGTCACATATTACTTGGAAGACGACGCACTTGGAGATCGAGCCATTCACCCTGCTCGGAGTGTGTGCTGGTCTGGTACCGTATCCTCACCATAACCAAAGTCCTCGAAACACGTATCAGTGTGCCATGGGAAAACAGGCTATGGGAACGATTGGATATAATCAGAGAAATCGTATCGACACTTTAATGTACAACTTGGTGTATCCACAAGCACCGATGGTGAAGTCGAGGACCATCGAACTCATAAATTTTGACAAACTACCAGCTGGTCAAAATGCAATCGTTGCAGTCATGTCGTACAGTGGTTACGATATCGAAGATGCACTTATCCTGAACAAGGCTTCGATCGATAGAGGTTACGGCAGGTGTCTAGTGTATCGAAATGCCAAATGTATACTGAAGAGATATGCAAATCAAACCTATGATAGAATAATGGGTCCTTTGATCGATTCTACCAACAAGAAGCCTGTCTGGAAGCACGATATTATCGACAGCGATGGAATCGCATCCCCTGGAGAAATGGTTGAAAATAGGAAGGTTATACTGCTACGTCTTCTGTGTTCAATCTCGTCTCCACCTGGTCGCAAAAAATTATCATCGTACTCTATGCTTCCAGGTGATGGTTAATAAATCCATGCCAGCAGCAACTATCAGCCCGGTAAACCCAGGTAATGTGCAAGCTCAGACCGAGTATCGAGAAGTCCCGGTTGTATTTAAAGGTCCTGTACCGGCTTACGTTGAGAAAGTCATGATATCAAGTAATGCCGAGGATGCGTTTTTAATAAAGCTTTTGCTGCGTCAGACTAGAAGGCCAGAAATTGGAGACAAATTTAGTAGCCGGCATGGTCAGAAAGGAGTGACAGGTTAGTTTACGATTTAATTATGAATTTTTTAAGCAACTTGTACCCGATTATGTGAATCTGGCTCTTCCATTATTCTATTCCAGGCCTAATAGTTGAGCAAGAAGACATGCCTTTCAATGATTCGGGTATTTGTCCAGACATGATCATGAATCCTCATGGTTTTCCATCTCGAATGACAGTGGGAAAGCTCATCGAGCTACTTGCTGGCAAGGCTGGCGTCATCAAAGGAGAGTTTCACTATGGAACAGGTTCATTGTTAAAATATATCTCTGCAATGCTTTTTATATTCGATTCGACTTTATCATAACGTAAGATATTTTTCCTTCTGCAGCTTTTGGCGGGTCTAAGGTAGAAGATGTCTGCGAAGAATTAGTGAAGCACGGTTATAACTATCTAGGCAAGGATTGCTTCTATTCAGGTATTACAGGAGAACCATTACAGGCCTACATTTATTCCGGTCCGGTGAGTGGATTTTCAAATCTCTTCTATTTTTCTCTTCTGAAAAAAGGATACGCTAATAGTAATAATTCCTTACAGGTCTATTATCAAAAATTAAAGCACATGGTTCAAGACAAGATGCACGCTCGTGCTCGCGGACCAAGAGCTGTATTAACTAGGCAACCGACGGAAGGTCGATCTAAGGAAGGTGGACTAAGATTGGGTGAAATGGAGCGAGATTGTCTAATTGGTTACGGAGCCAGCATGATGTTGATCGAGAGGTTAATGATATCCAGCGATGCATTCGACGTGGATGTCTGCAACACGTGTGGTCTAATGGCTTACAGTGGATGGTGCCACAGTTGTCGATCCAGTGCCTGCGTGTCAACAATATCCATGCCTTACGCTTGCAAATTACTCTTCCAAGAGCTACAGTCGATGAACATAGTGCCAAGACTGACCCTGAAAAATTACTGCGACTGATTAAAACACCGAACACATTTGTCGAAGACTTTCTTATCCTTCAGACGTCACTATGAATTCTACACGTCTGTCTTGTAAATAGATATACATAAACGATATGCCTAAATAATCCGTAAAATGTGTCCACGCAGTAGAGCAGTATTACCAAAGGGGAAGTTACGCCACCGGTTAGAAATGTAATTTGAAATTTTATTCACGAGAACGTCGTTGCAGGTAGCACCTAGGGATGCTATCGGTGAGAAGGGCACAAGCTATGAAAACGAAAAACCACCACGCATTCCTGCACAACAGTACCAACACACAAAATATATCTATACACGTATATGCTCTTCGGCAGAGAATTCGTCACCCAGTAGTTGGTACACAAGGACAAGCGCAGCTCCTCTTCACCTCTCTTCTCGACATTAAATTACAGTCTACAACTCCAATGACTTACACGGCGTAATATCTCTGTTATACGTTAGTTAAATTGAAATATTACCCGTCTAAATTACGTCTCGTAGACATCTCGGCTGCGACACACATTTCGGAATATACATATTTCTCGCTCCCTCTTCTCAGGTGTTCCTCCTTTCCAAGGAGAACTATCGGTTCGCAATGGTTATATATTAATTCTAGGACGCGGCCTCGTGCACGCAGACTTAACATCGACATCTCCTGAAATCGTTCGCAGATACTTATAGGAATACGGCGAAACGTTTCGGCAAAAGTTACTTTCATAAATTACTTGGTACCCTCGATACATCACGCGAGGTGTAGAACATCTTAAGCGAGGACATTGGAAATATCTTAACACACAGGAACGATTCCACTACGACGTGGATCCCTTTGACCGAAGCAAAAGCGTCCTTCCCTTGTTCCAACGTACTCTGCGAATCATTTCTAAGTTCCACCGTGTTCCGCGGATTACCAAGGCTCTTCGTTCAATGACGGAGACTGAAATTCGTTTAACGAAAAGCCGGAGAGAGGAGCGTTAGAAATAGTTGGCAACGCGAACTACCTAATAATTAACATCGATATTCCACCGTAAAATACAAGACATCTCGAAGACCGCGAGGGCCATTTTGATTAGACCCTAGTTTCTCTCTCATTGATTATTCGCTACCTCCATGGTCGACTTAGCTGCGAGGTTCGTACGCGTGAACCCTCCGAAAATCGCGGCAGGAAACGAGCTTCTCTAGAAGGTGTACAACAGCAAGGGCAACAATGACGAAGACGACGACGGCGACTAAAACCTACCGACGAGAATCGGGACCGGAGTATTCGGAGACAGGAGATTTAAGGTGAGTATACCCAGACCGCGAGGATACGTCCAACGAACGCTTAACGAACGCTTCTTGTTTGATTCCAGATATTCGGTGCAGGGAGAAGATCCTGGCCGATGAACGCGAAGATGTCCTTTTGTACGCGAGGCGTCTCGGAAAGAAAAGCGGCCGAAAGACCCGGAGGCGCCTCTCAGCGACCTCCAGAGCTTTGTTCCCAAAGGTTCGAGGTGCGCCCGTCGCCTCCGTTAAGCGTCGCTTTAAGACGCGGAATTCCGTTGGACGTTCCGCGTAGCGGGAGGACGTAAGCGAGATTTACGATCCGAAGGAACAACGATCAAGTCAGCAGCATGAGCTTCGCCCTGAGGTTGATCCTCTCCTGGAGAGCCGTGGCAAGCTCTCGAGTCAGCTCCTCGCAAACCAGTCGCAGCTCGGCGTTCTTCTCCCTCAGTTCTTGCAGAGTCAGCCTCTCCTCTTCGGCCTCTTCCTTGCCGGTATCGTCTTCCCCGGCCTCTGCGATAGAAAGAAGAAATTTCATTAGGATTAATGTAATAAGGATTAGCATTAATGTAATCGATTACGGCTCCAAGTCGCGTCGAAAGCGGCGGCGGCCGGATACAACATACGAGCGCAATAGTTCTCGAAGATTCCGCGCGCGGCGCTGATGTATGAAAATCGTATTAGAGCGAGGTAAAGAGATCAGGGAAACCTCGGTTCTTACTAGAGGCCGGTTTCCGATAGATGTGGAAAGCCCCGCACGCTCCTGCGAACTGTTGCTGCATCGGCACGATATTTTCCTCCGAGCTTGGAAGGCCGACCGGGTCGTCCTTAGGAGAGAACTGGGAGAAATCCGCGACAAATCCTGGAGTGTCGTTCGCCGACCTTTGACCGTCGCCGCCCTCGCTCCTCTGGCCAACTAGTTTCCTCGGGGAGGTCTGCAAATGAAGAACGATTTAACGAAAACCCCACGAAGTCGGATCGTTGCTTAAACGAGCGAACTCACGATTCCTGGAGACACCCTGGGTGGCACGAGCGGCGGAGCTCCCAGGAAGTTCTGCCCATTTTTTCCTGGAAAATCATTTCCTGGAAGATCTTACTTGTTTATCCATACTTATTTCACCGAGCAGTTTCGCAGCACGCACGAGTAAAAATGTAGATTTTTACCTGCGCAGCAAGTGAAAATGTAGATTTTTACGCGTAAGTGAAAATGTGGAATTTTACGCGCAAGTAAAAATGTGGAATTTTACGCGCAAGTAAAAATGTGGAATTTTACGCGCAAGTGAAAATGTGGAATTTTACGCGCAGCACGCAGCAATCGAAAACGTAGTTTTTCACTTGCAAAGTGAAATCCGACGTACCAAGTTTGTTCAGATCGAGACTGGAGCTCCTGGTGTGAGTTCTGTACGGCCTGGGAGGCGGCGGAGGTGGAGGTTCCTTTTTAGGGGTGACGGAGACGGCGTCCTCGGCGGAGGGCTTCTTGGCCAGGGGCCTCTGCAGAGGTGCCGCAACTCCTAGTTGCAACTGGGCGTCCTCGTCCATGAGGCCAACCGCGTCGGTGCCGACGATGGGGTCTGTGGCCCCCGAGGCGAGAATGGCCGCTTCCGGGGTCAACCTGAGGGGGACCGGATGGAGGATCAAGGGGTCCCTCTCGAGGGCCGACTTCTGGAAGTCGAAGTTGACCGGTTTGGGTCCAGGGCTGGTGAGAGAGCCGCCGTTTCCGGTCGGCGAGTCGACGAACTTGGTCCACTCCTTGCTCTTCTCTCGACCCGGGGATCCAGCCCGGACGACGCTCGTCGTCGACGAGACGGTTGTCGCCGTGGCGGCAGCGACGCTCGTCGTCGGGCAAGTCGTCGTTGCCACAATAACGCTCGCGTTCGTCGTCGCCCCCGAGTTGGAGATCGACGTCGCCGTGCTGGCCGTCGAGCCGGACCCCGAGGATGTCGTGGCGGCGCCCAAGGACGGCCTCTGTGTCGGCAACGGCAGCGACAACGACGGCGGCAAGACGTCCGGCAAGGGCACGTGGTTCCTCCTCAGGACCACCAGGTGCATCGCTATGTAGAACTCCTGCAGACTCAGGGCTCCGTCTCTCGTCACGTCGGCCAGCTGCCAGATGTGACGTAGCTCCGCCACCGGGAGACGCGATTTCTCGAAGAACATCCTCGCGACTGGACCTGCCAGCAGACCCTCCGGGTCTGGCTGCAGCTGGGCAAACTGCGCCGCGTAGTATTCCCTCTGCTCCTCGCTTATTATCCACACCTCCTCCGGTGGAAACCCTGATGACTCTCCGTTACCTTGAATATTGTAGTCGTGTATAGTAAGTGGATATTTAAATTTGTAAAATTAAATAACAGCATTCAAGCTTAGATGTAGAAATAAAAAGGCTCACCTTCCCCGTTCTCGTTGCCGTCGTCGCTGCTGTGACGCTCCGAACTCTCCTCTTCGGTACCCAACAGCTGTCTTTGCTCTTCGTACACCAACAGTCCTTGCCAACCACCGGTTACCGAATCCAGAATCGTTTCCCCGGCCAGGGTCCCTTCTCCTCTCTCCTGTGTCACGCTGTTCGTCGGAGTCGGCGAGTCCGTACTCCCTCCTGTCTCTCTTGGCGACTCGGCTTCGCTTTCGCTTTCGGTTGTACTTTCTGGCACCCGATGCCCAGATCTACCGATTGCCCCTCTGGTCGAGTCAAGATTCCTCCCCCCATCTTCTTCGGTCGACGAAGGCCATGTAAACCTTGGCAGTGCTATTACATCCAGCGCAGCTGTCACCGAATCTTTATATATCTCCAGTCCTGCCTGATGAGCCGCTACGAGTTTAAGAGCTGCGTAAAACTGTTTTCTGCCGAGAATCTTGTTCCCCTTTGCATCCGTGCAGATTTCCAATATCTGTGAATAGAAGGAACAAAATTTTAAGCGTGCCAGAAGTTCAGTCAAAGACTTAATCCAAATAATACAGAAATGGACACGGAAATCGAGATTCCTACCTTAGCTATGATATCACGGGGTAGATTAGCAGAGCGCAAGAGCTCGGCAAGTTTAGTAACAGGAACGGTCTTGCACTCGGCATTCTCGCAACAGTAGATAAAGATGTCTCCATAATACCGGTGTTCCGTCTCCGTCAACTCCAAATTCCCAATCGATATCGAGTCCCAGTCCATATTGGAGGAATGTCTCGGTCAAGCCTGTATCGTTAATTATTCAAGAATTGGCTAATTCATACCATGCCAATCAACTCGTTCTGAATTGAATAGCCTATCCGAGGCAGTATCGGGCGCTGCCACCGATAACTAGCTGCCACACCTGAAAGAACACTAGATACGTTATTCCTCAGTCGTAATATCAATGTTTGATACAGCAATCGAAAGTAGTGTTTGTTAATGTACGCCCCCCGCCAGAGAAAGGGTACTAGACTCCAGTCAATCAAATTTATCGAGAGCGTCGATCGTCTCCGCCTTCTTTACATTACGATTGCTCGAATTTAAGTCGACACGAAACGACATATGGCCTTCCTCGAATTACTGAATTATTACCTGTAAACCAGGCGAGTCATACGGTAGATGAACCGCGATGACAGTTTTCCGACAGCTCCTAATTACACCGAACGTAACCTAACATAATCTAACCTAACCAAACCTGCCCAGTCCATGAATCGTGAAAGTAGAAAGCAAGACAACCATAAAGTAATATAAGTTGCCGATAATACACTAGCGATTCTCGCGAGAAAAACAGAATAATACCTCCATTATGAAAATAACAACCGACCTAAAACTCACGTGTTGGATTTTTCCGCAAGAATACCTAGTATCACAATTGGCTAAACCAGCTGCTAATACACAACGAAATACAAATCACTTTTAAATGGAAATGAAAGCTCATCATGTCCCTTCATTCTCTCATTTATTAATACCAATCCATTCGCTTCTTTCTGCATGCTATTCTCTGAATTTTTTTCGAGTTAATAAGTGTTAAATCCATTTTAGTTATTTTTTTATTACGGGTTATGTTAAAATAGTCCGCCAAGAGGTTAGTTCGCAAAGGGGCGTCTGCAGGCGGAGAGGGCACCAGCGTCGCCTTTTCGGGCTGATACATGGAAAGCAGGCTAAGGAAGCTTGATTTCCAAGGTGGTCGAAGGCGGTGTCGTCTGGTATAGTCTCGGTTGTCCCTGCAGAGGTTCTCGAGGTGGAAGTTTCGAAGGTGGAAGCGGTATCTAGGAGGGTCGGCCCGTCGGTGCCATATGTGTCGGTGCCGTTTCAACGTCGCTCGCCATGTGGGTGAAGCCACAGGAGGTCTTGCTGGCCAATGCTCTCTGGTAAGGTTGCCACTTCCGTGGCAGATTGCGTGTTTACTCCGAGTGTCAAAGACAGCTGACGCGAAACACGCGTTTACGCGTACGAGGGAGAACGGAAGACGAGGAACCCTCGGGTTCCTTTCTCTCCCGACTCCGCTCGTTCACCAGGAAATGCCAGGAAAGGAATTCCTCGCTCAAAACGTTCGCCGTTAATGTTATTTACATTTTTTTATCTCTCCAGGGAATGTCACGATTTTCCTCGCAGGTCGCCGATCACAATCCTGCCCAGAATTAGAGGACGAAGCAGAAATCTCTCCCCGTTAGGTTAATCGTGCTCTACGAGGCCCTACGTCCACTTTCATTTTACTCCGTTTGCTTTCCATACTATCTCCTAGGAGAGCGATTTGTTTTAACCATCTGGAGGTCGAATCCGTTCTTGACCCAAACATGGGACATTGGATTCTCAGTATCGTTCATTTGCTGTCTCGGTTGTCGATGCAGTGCGATTTATGAGAGCTCGATAAGCCTAGTGGACGTTTATACAAAGTTGATGATTTTTATGACACCCCCAAGAGCTGGTAAATAATAATATGCAAGGGACGAGTATACTTGCCTCTCGATAAGGGTTACAAGGATTTACGATGCTGCGGTATCGCGACTCACTAATTAATGGTGGCAATGATAACGCGGGAGATTCTTTTAAAAATACAGATTCTTGTACACGCAAGACATTTTAGTGATTCCTCTGAGAGGAGAAAGTCGTTGCGCAAACATGAATTCATCACCAACTCGCGTGTGTCCTAAAAGTCAAAATCAGCTATAAGTGTTAACAGTCTATATGTTCAATTGTAAGGGTGACCGAGCAGGCAACGGTATACTTCGTCCTTCAGCGACGCAAGGGCCATGGCAAGGCAAAGGGACTCACTTCGATACTCGTAGGGACTTTGGACAGTGTCTTCGACACGAAGCCACCACCCTTTAGGATACTTCACCAGACACCTTCATCGGAGGTCTACTGGGGTAAGCTTCCCAGGGAGTAGATTTCAAGGAAACGAGTCATAGTAAAGACTCGTTTCTGGTCGGAATAGGGGCGAACGTGCTCGTGTAGCTTAAGTAGCTGTGATAGCGACACAATAACTGATAGCAGTCCGCTAAACAAATACCAGCTGCATGTACTGCATAGAGTCACGATAAGTCTCCTTTGACCTTTATCAGTTTGAGAATTTTAACCAATTTGCATCAAGGATGCATTTACCTATGAAGAGGAATACAAGATATAACTTCCAATTTTTATTCACAGTGGTGGCCTGCTCTCTGACATACAAGGAGATTCTGCAGGACTGGAAATGGCTGCACGCCAATTTAATGGACACCCTGAAGTCCTTCGACACAGAGGAGGAAATCACAGAGTTCGTGTGTTGCAAGATCCAGTCCATCATAGCCAACAACGTTCCGGACTGTCAAATCGAGGGTACGTCTGAGAAATGATCTCAACGATTCACCAGCAGAACCATCCTCTACATTTCCCACCTTTTTCAGAGGAGAACACGCAGTCCTTCAAAGCGGTGTCCTTCAAGTTCCACCAACTGTTTAATGTGCCGAAGGACGATAAGCTGGTTAATTATTATTCCTGCAGGTGATCCTCGATAATTTAACATTTCCGTCGAAAGTAGAATCGTCTTTATAATTTAATCACGTGTAATTGTTCACCGAAGAAATTTTTCGACATGTGTCACTAAGAACGGTCATCCTCCGATTGCAGTTACTGGAAGTCAAAATTCCCTCGGCAAGGCTGGCTCTACTTGTCCGTCAACTACATGAGCTTCTATGCATACATCCTGTCTAAGGAGACCAAATTGAGCATAAGGTGGGCAGACATCGTTGAGCTGGATAAAACCAACTCCATTCTATTTCCTGACAGCATTCGAGTTGTAACGAGGGATGGCAAAGAGGTTAGCACTTAACTAATAAATCTGTTTACATCTGGTCTTGATGAGACCATCTCACCGAACTATTCCTGTCAGACTAAAAGACATCATTCTGTCTACCTCCCTTAGCACTATTTTTCGATGTTTCTACACAAATCGGAGACTTTCTCGTTGATGAGCCAATTAACCAACATCGCCATGAAGAGGTGAGACATTAAGGCCTTGTCAGAGGTATCAGTGTTTTCATATCGAAGCATGATAAAAAAATTCCAAGTGTTTTACGTTACGACACGATCGTTTTCAGACTTATCGACGAGAAGAGTGGGTTCAACGAGGACCGAGACTTGTTGAATAAATTAAGGTAAAAACCGGTAGCTGCTGCGTAGCAAAGACAATGTCGTTATCGGTGAGTGAGATCGATGTGAATATTCTAGCAAAAACGTGCCTAAGAAACCATCGTTCCTGAAGAGGGATCTGGACGCACGAGCTCATTCCGAGGTCTATCGATTGCAGTTCAGGTTGCCGGCATGTGAGAAATTGGATGGCAGCATCGATGCCACCCTCTGGACGCCGTATGACAAGAGGAACGTCTGGGGGAAGATATTCCTTTCACAGAATTATATGTGCTTTGAGAGCAGGGTAAGAAAATTTCTTCATCGAAGGGGAATTAAGTGTCAGCTCTAGGGCTTCGATTTAGGTTAAGCAGCTGGTTGGTTTGGTCATTCCGCTGAGAGAAGTCAGTATGGTCGAGAGAGGTGAAAACAAATTCTCCAATACTGCTGTCGACAAGTCTATCCTGGTGACGGCTGCGAGGAGCTCGTTCCTCTTCGCTCAGATACACGACAGGGACTTCGTCGTGCAGAAGATCTCCGAACTCTTGTCCATGGTCCAGGCAAAGACAATATCGATGTAAGTTCCAATCTAACCTCAACGCCATGCATCTATCCTCCTGGGAAAGGTTTCTAGAGTCATGCTCTGCACCCCTCAGCCCAGAACACATCAGTGACTGCGAAGAAGCCACGCCTTCTGGTAGCTGGACTCCGCAGCCTCCATTGATGACACTTTTCAAGGCACCGCTGAGTCCAGAGGCATCGGCTCAACAGGCAGCGAAGGAGAAACAGTGGGAACTACACTTCGCTGAGTATGGACGTGGGGTCACCATCTACAGAACTACGGAGACGGCGAAGCTGGTCATTCAGGGTATACCTCAGACTCTGCGGGGAGAAGTCTGGCTAACCTTTTCAGGTAACCTTAAATATTTTGAATACATAACTAATTATTTCAAAGGGCCCTAGATTTTTATTCTGAGATTGTCATAGGTGCTCTCAACGAAATGGCCATGAATCCAGGCCTATACAGATCTCTAGTGGAGCAGTCTCTTGGCAAGCCGTGCCAAGCTAACGAGGAGATAGAAAGGGACTTGCATCGATCCCTTCCGGAACATCCTGCTTTTCAGTCTGACACCGGTATCAGTGCCCTTCGGAGGGTTCTCTCAGCCTATGCGTGGAGGAACCCCCAAATTGGTAAGACGAAGTGATTTATCGTTGATCAAAGACATTGTATTGATGTTTTTTTGCTTCGATGAAGATGAAGATCAATCGACACTTGCCATTTCAGGGTACTGTCAGGCGATGAATATTGTCACTTCGGTTCTTCTGATCTACTGCTCGGAAGAGGCTGCGTTCTGGCAGTTGTGCAATGTCTGCGAATCTCTACTACCAGATTATTACGACCGGAGAGTAGTTGGTGCCTTGGTCGACCAAGGTCTTCTCGAAGAATTGGTTGCCGAACACTTACCTGCCCTGCACGTTAGATTACATGAATTAGGTCTTATTAGCGTAATCTCTCTGTCTTGGTTCCTGACCATTTTTCTGAGCGTCATGCCGACGAGCAGCGCCGTGAACATCATGGACTGCTTCTTCTACGACGGTGCAAAGGTCATATTTCAGGTGAACACATACTGTCTATAATTGTCACGTTATAAGTTAGTCTCGATTGACAAGTTAAAATTCCCTGGAGCGCTGACGATTTTTTTTAGCTACGTCCGACCATGTTAAAATTGATAACTACACATTTTTCTAATTTTTTGTATTGTTACACGCTTTGTTAGATTGCACTGATGATCTTGGAATGGAACCAGGAGAAATTGTTAAATTGTCGTGACGACGGAGAAGCGATGCAGCTGTTGACAGATTACCTCGGTGGGGTGTTCAACGATGAAGGACTTGTGTTACCTAAATTAATTGACAGTGCGACGCCCAACAGGGTAAGCTAAATCCGAGGATATGTATGGAAATTCCAAGTGTTACTCAAAATTAATGGAATTATTTTATATAGAGTATTTCTGTACAAACCTTGATATACGAAGCGTACTCGAGGTATGGTTTTCTCACCATTGGAGGTATTGAAAGACTTCGACTGAAGCACAGACTCAGAGTGGTTCAAAGCCTGGAAGAGGGCATTGAAAAGAGTATAATAAGACATGTCGTCACCGACAAGTATATGACAGCGGAAGAACTGCAGGTAATTAATCCATTGGCATTCTCAGAGTTTTGTAATAAATTCCAAATTCAAACGTACTTCTTGAACAAGAGCGATCGATGAAAGTTCAGTTCATGTTGACAGTTGAAATTGAGGTTAGAACTTGGAATTTGTCATGAAACTTGAAGCATTGACTACAGAGAGTATTATCTCCGGTGAAGCTACTATGAATTCAATGCGTAGGATTTACTAAGTCTAGTCAGGGAGGAACTGATGAGTCAACGGAAGTCAGAACCTGATCGTTATGACCCCACGCAACAACCTTACGAAGCCTACAAGGTGGACTTTGAACTCTTCCGAATACTATTTGGAGGATTGTCACCATGGGGGAAATGTTCCCAAGCTGAGTCTCTGGCAGCAAGATTATTTCGCGTGAGTTTCAACAATAACTGTTAAGATTTATGATTTACCACTTGAAGCGTAGCGACAAGGGAACACTTTTTTCAAACTAAGTCACACCAATGATTTTTCTGTGTCAGTTGATGGATCGTAATCGAGACGGCTTACTAAACTTCCGAGAAGTGGTTCAGGCCATTGGAATGACTGCTACGGCAGACCTCACTCAACGGCTGAAGCTTCTGTACACTTTGCATCTACCGCCTCTTCTTACTCCAGTCGACTTTGAATCTCCAACCCATTCTGGTGAACATTCGGACTCCACGAACAATTTTACTACAAATTAAATGCAGAATAATCAGACCGAACATTTCCCAGATGGTGCCGAAGTGGCAGCAGAGGCCACCGATTTCTTCGACAGCATGGAACAAAGTCTGGGATCCCTTGAAATACCAATCAGCACTGCGGAGGAGCCCACCGCAGGAACTTTATCGCGTTCGACGAGCCTCAACAGTCAAGCCGGTGAAACATCTTGGGAAACTCAAAGCATGGGAAGCCTCCGTTCCATGTTAGCTTCGAGGGACAGTCCGCTGGATCTGAAGGTCGTGCCAAAAATGTCTCAGCGGCATTTCATAGCTCTCTGGAAGACCCTCTACGATATGTTTCCAGCACAGCCCGAAGAGCAAGAAACTTATCACTGCATCGCTTCGATAGGTGCCAAGAAATTCTCACTTCACGGACACTTATTTTCAAATTCACTAACTGGATCCTCTTTCAGGCACCCTGCTGCTTCAACTGGGCGACGTTGGCAAGAAATTCTCCGTAGACCGAGAGGAATCCGATGACAGCCTGTTGGTTGCAGCATCGGCAGCTCAGCAAGTTGCTCCTGTCATCGAAAGGGTACTTCTACTTTCCTGTATTCAACGAACATCGTTATCATTTATTTGGATAAGCTAGTTTGTCAAGGCTAACACTAAATAATGCCTTTGCAGTCTCCTGATCGCAATGGCAATCCTTCCAGTGGCCCTTCATCGACAGATCCTGACTGGTCGATAACTGTCGAACAATTTCTGGCATCGGCACTGACTGGCTCCCAGATAGTTGACTTCTTCAGCAGGCGAGTGGACATCCGTGAGGCGATAGCTACCCTTAGGAATCGGAGGTTTAACCGAGTTCACTCCTTATCTGACACTCCTGTCATAAATGTTTGACAAGGGAGAATTGACACCTGCGAGACCGCGGTGTGACCAACAATTAGCAAACGTTAAGAATTTCCAGTGCAATGTTGTAACTTATCGGTCCCTTGGGTATGTCGACATCGATTCGAATGGACATCCTTGATGTTCGCATGCATCGATGACAGAATTCTTCCTCGTGTATGGATACAATGCCTCGCGGTAATTGAATAATAATCGCCCTCAAGATAAGCGATATATACATATAGTCCTAAAACATTTTGCAGAAGCTCGGAACTGAGCGGATTAATAATGAACGGATTTGTAATCGTAGGTGTCGTCCAAGCTAATAGTACTGTTCCTGCTTTAAAGTATCTGTTAGGTTTTATGTATCGATCGACAGATTACAGAGGGTCACCGGTATGATCATCTGCGGTTCATGATTTACATGGTAGGGTTCATTTAGAACGTGTTACAGTGCTACTAGCTTTTGGAACGTGGAAAGCATACTCGCTTAGAAGGGAAGACCGATTAAAATTGGCCTAATGTGAGTATAAGCCAGACATGTTTTTCACATGTAGTAGATATCGAGATGAAAATATAATTAAATTAGTTAATATGCCACGCTTCCTCTTTGGGCGATTTTCTCGCCAATGAATACTCAGGGTAATCGATTTAATTGCCGATCTTATGGGTGATGTACGACGTGTGAGATCTAATTCACACTAAATGTTTCCCCCCCGAGTCGTGCTGTCCAACCTTTGACTTCTCTACTTTTAAAATGAAGCAATTGGACGGTAATTTAAAAGGGAAGCGCAGGCATTTCTTAGCGGATTAGCTTGCTGAGAATGAGACGAAGACATATCTTCTGAAGTACGTGTCAGGAAAAGAAATTTTAACAGATGGGTTCAATCTTTCTTTTATTTTCCGTCAACGCGCCACTTTTGTAGATAAGTCTGATTTTCAGTAGGTCCTAAGTTAAGGCAAAGATTTGAAAAAGATGAATAGGAAGAAAAAAATCGAAGCATTTCAACTAACGATGAAGTGCTTGAAATATTATCGTAGGATTATGTTAAGGATATTTGTAATTTCCCCACACATATTGCATAGAGCAAGGTTTACAGAATTATGTTCTAATATTTGATGTGGATTTTTAAGGGTTCGCACTTTTTTGTACATAACTTCCTATCGTTAAAATAAATTCAAAGTTGATTTATTTACTACATTAACGGCATAATTTGTTTCTATTATTGTTCATGAAGGATTTAACAATTTATTTTTCAAATAAATATCGAGAGCACTATTTGAGTGAGATTATTGAATTTACAAAAATAAGACATTCGAAGATCTTCCTTGACAGAAGCCACGTTACAAAAATATAATTGTCAAACTTTGGCATAAATATACTTTGAAATGAACGATGATGAAAATTTACATTGTAATGTAATTTTTGTGCCATGAATGAATTCAAGCTATAAAGGAATCTACTTTAAGTACCAAGTACAATGTAAGCAAAGGATAAAACTTAAAGATATGCAATTCGTTAGATCATACGCACCGTTGTAATTCTATGAATATATAATTGTGAATAATCTTTATTTTTATATCAATGGTCTTTACGGCGGGTATTTTGTGAATGGTATAATTAGATAAAAGAAACGATCTGTTATAGTTGGACAGTTCCCATCATGTATTATATGTGTACATATGCTTTATCGTTCGTATAGCATATATCCTACATGTACCAAATGTATAATAAAAGTCACTCGAATCGCTTCTGTCATCAAGCATCGACCACTTACTGCTAAAATTGCAGTCAATTAATAATTGTAGACGACTTTCATCCCTTTTGTCATTTATTCATGGAATAACGATAGAAAACAAAGGATCTAAATTAATAGTTCTTCGTCAAGATCTCATCCTTCTTTGCGAGACGAACCAAGCAATCGTCGGACTCACCCTGAAATAAATAATTCAAGGTTTTAGATATCCATATTCCAGTCGCTTAACTCAACGCATTTGTCTCTTCTCGATCTTCCAACGCAAATCATCCTGCTAACATGATCTCTAACGTTAAGTCACTTACCATCCTACGAATGTCTCCACAGATGGCATACATCTTATAGGTATCCGTCATGCGTCCAGTCTGTGGATCTACATCTGCTAGCGATAACTGAATAGAAGCATGATCTTTCGCATGAATGATGCGATTACTCGCAGAGCTGCAATTTAAATGAATAAGAGAATAAATAACAATAAAAAATGACCTCAAAAGCGCCATACAAAAACCGTCAGAATTACATTGCATTACCCTATTTTATACAACTAAGTACTTGGAAAAATTGGGTAAAAATCTTAAAAAAAAAAAAAAACGGCACGAAGCACGTGCACTCACTCACCATTTCCTGGGGCAGTACAGATCAACGAACTCGCCAGTGTCGTTTTCCATGGCTGTGGTCTGAAACGAGATGAACGATTTACAACAATCTCAGCCTCCTAGCCTCGCATACCCTCGATTATTTAAACAATTCCTCACTAATTTCTGACAGGGAAATTCCACGTGACGCGCCGCAAAACTCAGTAAAACCGGAAGGAAGAATCCAATATGGCGGCGCGACAACCGTTCGAGACTCTCGAATCGCGATTCGAGTAATCGAGCGAGGTAGCGCGCTCGGCGGACGCTTTGAGAACTACGGCTTAACTAGGTCTCGAAGCGAGGCAACGCGGCGGGCAGTCGGGTGCCAGGAGCCGCCGAGGGAGTACCTGGAGGACCGGGACGAGGAGGAGACCCGTTCATCCTCCGTGGTGAGATCGCGCGGGCGGACCGGTCGCATTTCGCGACCTGAGACGGGACAGATCGGCCGCGACGCATAGGTCAGTGCCAGGGCGAGCTGCGATCGCGTCCCGAATTCGCGGCCGCTCGACAGCGCGCTTCCCTGCTATGCATCGCGCTGCACTGTGATGCGTCGCGGTGCACCGGCCGTGACTCCGTCGCGGCCGATCCTCGCCGATCGGTGAGCGTGTCCGTTTCCGCGCAGCGACCGAATCGCATCATGTCTATGAAGGTAGGCAGATGTAATCCCGTCGCGAGTTTTCCGGGCTCTATCGGAGCGTCGACTCCATTGCGCTCGACTCGCCTCGAGATCGACCGTTTTCCCAGCCAGAGGGTCGATTTCGAGACGGGGACGACTACCCCATTATCCATGGGGCGGAAATTCCGGCAGGTCGATGGCGCGATTCGCCACCCACGTGGGAGTGACAGGACCTACCGCAAACGTCGGACGCGTCACGTGCTCGTTACGTCGCGACGCGTCATGGGGTACATTCGAAGAGCCCGAATTAAACCGGTCACGTGGTACTACCCAGACCTAACGTCAAACTGACGCGCCACGTGCTCGACTCGTCACGTCGTTGACGTAGGTCCGCACAAAAAACATCTTTGAAGTAAAAAAAAAAACTGCGAAAAAATGTATTTGACTCGAAACTCCACCGAATTTTGTTAATAGATCATTCAGTGGTACTGACGCATTACAAACGTCAAACTTACACAGAGGACGGTGGCCACGTGTCCGTCACGTCGGAGCCTGACGTATGTCCGCTTAACGTAGTTCTGTCTAATTCTAGCTCGATTACGTAAATTGTAGTCACCGTGGGAAAACGAGCGCTTGTTGGAGAGTCGAGCGAGCGTTTTATCGTTACCTAGTGTCTGGCGGGCTATTTATTAATTCGACGTAACGTTTTTCCTGGATTTCCCTCGCTTGAATTCGTCAACTTCGTACCGGAATACGAAGCTGGTTCCTCCTAATTGGCCGGAGTCACTCCTAAAACCGGAATCGATATTCAAAAGGTTAAATTAAACGGGAATCCCCGCGCCCAGATTTATTCTCGGCATTGACGTGGTCCTAATTATGCCGGGAACGAGTTCCTCGTAATTACGATTCCCTGGTTGCCGGTCGACTAAACTAAACCCACATTGTAACCAGGGATTAACTCGTTAAGGCGGTACATCAAAGTGGCGTTAGAAATTTTATACATTATATTTTTTCTTCATTGCAGAAGGAATCCCCGTGGGACGTTGAGCTCCACCTGGCGGCGGCGCGAGGAGACGCCAGGCGTCTTAGGCTCCTCTTGGACTCGGGACGCGTCCACGTGGACTGCAAGGACAAGGTTGGTTTCTCTCTTCCGATGAAGCCTTGATGGCCAACCTTAAGGCGATACGAAAGGGTCTTTCTATATGCCTTCTAACGCGGTGTACATTAACCCCTTAACTTGTGCCCTCGAGATAATTCGAGCGTCGTTGTATTTTATGCTACTATAATTTTTCATCCTCGAATATAATCGAGAATTTTATTTTTTTTCCCAAGACAATGTTGTAGTGTTTTTTTTTATTTGTGCGTTAAGGGGTTAAATGGGTACTCTTCTTTCAGGATGGAACGACGCCGCTCATCCTGGCCGCCGCCGGGGGTCACGTCGAGGCCGTCAACGAACTTCTTCAGCAAGGAGCTGATCCTGCTGCCAAGAGGCTGGTGAGTCGAGATCCCAGGACACGAATTACTCACTCTCGGGTGCTCACTTTTAGCCCCTTGCCGCAATTAAGTTTGCACGAATCGGGGAGTGCTAAAATCCCCGACAAACGGATCTCCAACGACGCTAATTGACCGACCAATTAGTCCCTGTTAGGAAGGGCGGGATTGGTGAAATCTCCCGACGAAGTCCTTGGAGGAGAGATATGAATTACTAAAAGGCGTCTGGAAGCTTCTACGTTAATATTGTAACAAGTGTTTCGCCTTGGACGAGCGTTTTAACGAGGACGCGACTTTTCCCTGCAACCGATCGTTACGTAGAAACGAGTCGACGTCGTTCTAGAAACCGAAGATACACACACACACCCACACACACGTGCGCGACACTCGAGGGGACAGTGAAGACCGGAGAAACAACCGCAAGTAGTTTTACAGTCGCTGCCAACCGAGCTGAAAGGTTTAGAATTTCTGCGGTTTCCACCAGACATCGCGTGTCTCCTTTATGAACTTGCGAATTCGCCCTAGTCGAATATCTCCCGCATTTTAAGGGAAAGAGAAGAAGAAAAAAAGAGAGAATGCAAATCTACCCGACCCATCCCACTCGTGGGTGACTTTTTTTATTTTTATTATAACACTCGAAATCGGGTGAAAATTGCAAAACGAAATTAGTGGGAAAATTTCTTTATATATGCCTTGAAAATTTTGTATGTATAAAAGAAATGAAATTTCATGAGTTTCGGAAGCTACAATTAGGGTCTCCATGTTCACGATGTAAGGGGAAAACACGGTGAAAATTTTGTATATAAAAAAGAAATGAAATTTCATGAGTTTCGGAAGCTACAATTAGGGTCTCCATGTTCACGATGTAAGGGGAAAACACGGTGAAAATTTTGTATATAAAAAAGAAATGAAATTTCATGAGTTTCGGAAGCTACAATTAGGGTCTCCATGTTCACGGTGTAAGGTGTGAAACGATTCGGGGAAGAGTTTCATGAAAGATTGACTTTTCGGATGCCGCTTTCATATCCCTATAAGTTCCGTCTTTTTGTTCGATTCAGGCGGAAATATGTCGCGTCGATGTGGGGACTGCATGAAAGCGCTTATTAAAAACTGGCGCACTTCCGTTCTACCTAGGACAACGACCCATCGATGTCGCAACAAAGTCGGGTCGTGGCACTCGGTTTAATCCGAGGCAAGGGAATTGCGAGACCGCTCGATATGCACTTTCTTAAAGCGTACTTTTGTAGTTGTAGTACTGTAGATACACGGTGCCCTGCCGTCGACTTTTATCAGGGGATTCATTGATTGTCATAAATCCTAGATGCCGATCACGTAGGGAGGAACGATTAGAGCGAGGGTAACCGATGTTAATTATGCGTCAGGTGGGTAACTGCACTCCTGTGCGTGATCACTCCGAAAGGGGTCACCGGAACGAGGCCGATTAATTCAAGGATTAATTCGACGATTTACTCGCAACCGGTGAGAGGATCCATATCCTGCGGGATCTGGAGCGGAAGATCCGCGATTTTCCCTCGATAATGAGATCCGCGTCGATATTTCATATCTCTGGGTAACGAGCCGGGCGATGAAATTTCATATTTACACGAGATGAATTTAATTTTTGCAACCCTCGAGAAGAAAGGAAATTTTCCTGGGCGAAGGGACCTTCGCCCTCATCGTCGCCATCGATCCCGTCGTTCCCCTCCGGGGTCTTCTTTCTCTCCCTCGGGGAAACGGAAAAAGGGAGCGAGAAAGGAGTCGCTCATGAGGAAATGAACCTTGAAGAGGTTTTACCATTTCAGACGGGGACCACTTCCTTGTTCTTCGCCGCCCAGGGCGGGTTCATGGACATCGCGACCCTCCTCCTGGAGCACGGGGCAACGGTGGACTCCTGCAGCGTCGTAAGTAGAAGATAATTATCCTTCACGTCCTGGTAATTCTTTTGCCATCTAGTTGGGCTCTAGATTTAATTCTTTCCTTCTCCAGGACGGAGGCACGCCGCTCTTCGTGGCCTGCCAATACGGCCACCTGGACGTCGTGGAGGGCCTCGTCGAGAGAGGAGGCAACGTCAACGCCCACACCAAGGTTCGGACCCTGGATACCGTGTATTATCGCTAACCTCTGCTAATCGGAATCTTGGAATTACTTTTATACCAAGTATAATTATCCTCCACTGTCCAGGACGGCGCGACGCCGCTGTTCGTCGCGGCGCAAAACGGCCACGTGCGCATCCTGGAGGTCCTCCTGGCCCACGGGGCGAGGGTCGACGCCGTCCGGACGGACGGGGCGACTCCACTTTGGATCGCCTCGCAGATGGGCCACGACCACGTGGCGAGGCGCCTCCTGAAGGCCGGCTGCAGGGTCGACGCCACCAGGCACGTAAGTGTCCCCGTTCTCCGGGAGAATCGCGACGACGCTCTCCTCATCGTTCCTCTTGGTTCCAGGACGGCGCCACTCCCCTCTTCAAGGCTGCTCACAAGGGCCACACCGCCGTCGTCGGGGAGTTGCTCAAGTATCGCCCGTCCTTGGGTATCCTGCCGGTACGTGGAGGTCTCCGGTGAACCAGTAGTTCCTTAGGCGATGCCAAACCCGACGCGGTTTGACTTGATCTTCTCTTTTTATCATTTTACTTACAATCGTTAAATTCCATTTCGATATTCCGCCGCCGTCGCGATGATGGAAGTACACGACTCTCCACTTAGTGGCATCCTTCGTCAGGTTCTTATAGTTTTTCTAATTCTATCCTGACTCTCCCAGAACGGCGAGAGTGCTCTTCACGCTGCCGCGATGATGGGGCACATGACCGTCACCAGGCAGCTCTTGGGTGCCGGAGCTGACCCTCTCCTGGTGAACCAGGAAGGACTCACGTCTCTCCAGCTTGCCATCGGGCACTCGCAGACCCAGGTAGCGAATTACCTGAAGGACAAGCTGAGGGCGAGGACGGCGTCTCGTTAGCGCGCCTCCTGGGTCGGACACTCCCACGTGAAGAGCTCTTCGGCATATCTTGGAACGTCCCATCAATCAGTATTCCGTTCGCGAAAAGGACCACCGAGAACTGTACTAAATACCTTGGGGTGTCCGTCACCGAAACGCGCTTCGATGCTCGAGTAAACGGAAGGACTTGACACCGTTGCCTCGATGACGTTAACACTTTGCATACGATTAACCGTACCGACGTCATCGAGTGCTAACGTTTCTACGGACGGATTTTTTTTTTTTTTCCTTATTTCCTTCAATCGAGTGGGCGTAAGGAAACGGATGGCGATCGTCGATTTATCCCGGCAAGGTGTGCATAACATTAATTAACTTAGTATTAATGTGGCTCGAGAATTGTCTCAATGTTCCGTCGTCGAGTAGTCACTTTAACGTGGAATGGGAATCCTATAAGACTGACCGATCTGCCTTGATAATCGTCCCTGGAGATCTGGAGATCTTCCTCGAGGTCTAGAATTCTTCGCGACTAATTGCGCCTCGCGTTTTACCCCTCGCAATCGAGGATCGGGGGAGGAACCGTGAATTAATTCCGACTCGTTGGAAGGGAGCGAAAGGTTGATACACTCTCAAGTATTCCGTCGGTCTTCCTAACGTGTTATGAGTAACTAAGTGGTATCCGTACACGCTGTTATTGTTGATCGATGAGATATATAAATATTTAATAAACCTCGTAAGAGTATAACAGTATTATCTCTTAAGATATATACAACCTGGCCTGGCCAGCCTACATGCTATGCGAGTAGTCGCCGAACTCTTCCGAAATTAAAATAATTAATGTAAATATACTTTGCCTCGTGCAAGGAATGCTTAAAAAAAAAAAAAAAATTAATCTTCACTCGCCTAGAAACGAGAATTTAGAGCAACAAAACTTTTGGAACGAAGAACGAATCGCTACAAGGCATGCCTGGTGATCAGCTGTTTCTAAATGCACCTCGAATAGACTCTGTGAACGAATTACACTCAGCGACGCTTTATCACAGGATATCACAGATCTGTTAACGCAGTCGTTGGACCTCGAGCACAAAGTCTACGAATTTCCGCTCCTCGGATCCGAAGAATAAAGGTACGTTCGCGCCGCACGGTGATCTTAATGTCGGCCTTGTCGCACAGCTGTCTTAAGTGGCTATTTCCTCTCGTTACATTTCACATGCAAACGATGCACAGCAGAACGGAGACGAAGTCGACGTCCAGACGTCGAGAAGAGCTTCGAAGAAGAGTAGGGTTCCTCGAGTCACATTCCAGAATTTAAAACACACGTGCACCCCCTCGAGTCGATGCAGCAATCGACATTATCAATTATCTCCTATGTACCGATAAGGCTGATAAAGAGCCTCGTCGAGCTTACGTGCCAAACGCGTTTGTTTCCAGTGTCGACGATATCTCCAAACAGTGGAGCTATCATGATTCGGGACCGAATGCCTGATTTATGTGCCGTTAGTATTTCTTCCCACTTTAAAGAAATGTCCACGTGTTATAACACAAGTGTTGGGTTACTTCGCTCCCATCTGGAGGAAAAGTATGGGCGAGATTGACTCGCTAGAACGGAGGAGTTCACTTGTCTCACTGTTAACACTTCACCGGAGGAAATAACAAGGGCTCGTTTTGCGTCTTCCAGAATCAGAGGAATGGCGCCCCGTTGGCAGGGAGGTTCCTGCGAGACGTTTGCATCCACGTCTCGCATAACAAGAAGCTCGACAGGATTCTGAAAGAAGTACGAGGCTGTTTACGATCACCGTTCGATGCACTGGATCACAGGAAAGTGTTAAAGTGTTTAGGTATATTAAAGTTTCACTTGTGTTAACACAGGTCGAAGACATCCGTGCACTGATTCAACTCATCAGCGACAACGTCGTCATCGTCAAGGCTCTGCACAACAATGTCCTCTCGCACACCAACCAAGGTACGTTTAACTGCATTTCGAAGCAATGCAGCTTCTGCGGTAACCACACAATGTTTCAGATATCCAGAACGAGTTGGATACTCGGATGTTCTCCATTTCTCAGACAGCCTTTTGTGTTCACAACAAGCTGAAAGGTAGTCCAACGCAACCGATGGCACTAAACCGCACTTGTCATTTCACTTTCTGAGTAACTATCAATCATGCCCGTTGTTTCTGTCGATCTAACTACACCGTTAATAATTATTCAAACGAATGGGATCACAAGTGACGTCTCGATACCAGCAGTTTAGTGTTGCAAGGGTTTAACACCGCTAGCTGTCATTGCGTCGAAACTTGCTTCGCCACCTCTAAAGTTGTTCTTTCTACAATAGTACTAGCGTCGCCGGATTCCCCTGACGATTCTGGTGTAATCTGTAGCGCAGGCATCTCTTCGCAGTCTTCCTCTTCGCAGCTTTCGGAAGCTCTTTGATCCTGCATGAAAATAGGACTGTGCAGTGATGACATGAAACGGTCTGCCTCCGTGCCAGACTTCGGTGTGCTGTGGCTAGGCCCTGGTTGACAGGGACTCGGAGTTGCCAGGAATCTTTGAAACCCGGAAGGTCCTGGTTGACAGGATCGTTCGCTGCACAGCGATGACCGAGAAGGACTTCTCCACTCCGATATCCCTGGATAAGTCAGAGAGGAGAGCCTGCGAAGCACAATTTTGCAGGTTTTGTCAATATTAATCACCGAAGGACTAGCACTGTTTCTTGACGGCGAGTCCCTGGCAGTAATCGAATTCTCCTCGCCATCCAAAGCCTCCTCGTTGAGCCGCATTTTCTTTCCGTATTTTCTGAAACATTTAAAATCATCATTTCAAAGCTGGATATTTATTTCTACCTTTACTTCTTATAACTTATTTGAATTCACTGCGTTATCGCTAAGCCGATGTCTGCAAGTTAGTCAACTTTAGACCATTCGATCTACGTACTTTGTATCATTGGCAATTTCCTTCTCCAAGTTGGGATACTTGACGAAGAGATGACCCAGTTGCTCTTTATTGTAATCCAAAGCAACTTTGACCAGATATCTTCTGACGTCTGCTAGTAGTGGAGTGTCAAACTTGGCAAGCTTTTTCTTCAGCTTCACCAGAATCGGTAACAAGTTCTTCAGCCCATGATCCTTGATTTTATTAACGACAAGTGAGACTCCTGAGTTCGTGGACGTCAAACTTGCAGGCTCCTCTAACGCCTCGTCTTCACTGTGCTTGTTAAAAGAAGACAGCTGTAAATGTTCGCTGGCAAGGATATACAGCGCATCCTTGAAAACACACTCTCCACCTTTCACTCTGACATTGATAACACTAGTTAGAGTTCCCCCAAGGATTTCATAACTAAGCTTTGCGATCAAATTAAATTTCTGCTCTGGATCGAGATGTTCCAACATGAAGTCATAGATCTTCCATCGTTTGGTTTGGTTCTTCTGTCCTGAGAGGGTAAGCACATGTCTCTCCCGGTCAGTAATGCGTCTGTTGTTAAACAGTCCCTGTGGGCGATAATTGTTGTAATGAAATAAACTCTCGATGAACTGTTGCGACACCAGGGTTTTGTTCTTCGCAAGGAGTCTCTCCCGGACCAGGAAGATGGTTAGCTCTCGGATAGTCTCATCGGTGTCGGAGAGCATGGTTAGGATGTGAAAGAAAAAAGGTCCCTTAACTTTAATAAAATCTTCCAGTAAAAGCTGAATGAAGAGGATCACAATTGTTTCTCGTACCACAGGGTTGGCGTCTTTCATGCAGATACACATATCCGGTAGGTAAGGCTCGACGAGAGCTGTAAACCTGACACAGAGATCCGCTAAAGCCTTCGCAGCGTTCACTTTAATGGCAGGCTCTGTCTTTGAGCTGCCATTGGTGGAATTCCTCATAAGTTGGCCCAGTATCGGCACAATCTCCTTTGCAATCTCAAAGTCTCGCATTGCTTGTTGGCCTAATAGAGCCACGGCAGCTGCTTGCAATTCTTTGACACGTTTTATAGCCTCTGGCAAAGAATCCCACTCCAATAGCAATCCTTGAAGAATAGTAAGTGTCAAAGTAGAGATCGAGCCAGTACCCAGAGTCGAAGAATGGCCAAGAGTGCACAGAGCTTTTAAATAAACACTACCTAACTCTTCGGTCTGTTCCTGTGCACTGAATATTTTCTCAAGGTGAGCCTCCGAACACTTCATGAGCTCCATCGCTCTCCCTTGCACCATCTCTTCTCCGTTCTCAGGATGAAGGTGGCGAATCACTCCGTTCAGAATGTCCAATGACAGACTGATCAACTGGAAACTAACTGTAAATTTTATGAGGCAGTCCCACATGTGAGAGTAAAGTTTCTCCAGAAACTCGTCGTCTAGAGACGACCACGAGTTCCTGAGAACCTCCAGAGTCAGGCACGTCACGAAGCTGTCGCCTTGCATCAATTTCTCATAGTTGGAGAAATGTTCTTTCTTCACTGGAATTTTTTTGTTTTCCGACAGAGCCGCTAGAAGGACCCAGGCAGACACGTCGTTCTGTGTCCCGAAATGGGACTGTATATCGAGGATGACAGAGTCTGCGATATTATTTTGCTGCATCCAGATGTTGCATGCTTTCGACAAATGCTTTCTCATCTTCATGCGAGTGAGTTGGCGAATAATCTTCCAGGGCAAGTTGTTCATAACGTCATCTTTCCTTCTATTACTCTTTGAGACGTGTCGAATTTTGTTCAACACCAGAGATTCCAGAGACTCCAGGACCTTCTCCTGCACTTTCACTTCGATGTCAAAAATCTGGGGCACAACAGAGCGTACCCACTCTTCTGGGAGTTTGCGATGTCCAGGGAATTGCTTGAGTAGCTGCGTCAATGTCTGAATAGCGAACACTCTCACAGCTAGTGACGGGTCCCTACAATGCGAGCCTGTTATAAAAATCGTCCTGTCGAGAATTCCTGGGATCGAACCAGACAAGTTTCGAAGGATCTGTATGGCACTACGCCGTACCAGTGCTCGTTCGTCTTCCACTCGTGACATCAGCATAGAAATAATCGTGTTTGAGCCAGGAAGTGGATTGACGTCTTTAAAAATGGCGCATCTTAATTGTTCCAAAAGTGGCAGTGGAGCCTCTTGATCGGATGTCTTGAATATGTCTTCCATCGTCATGATGCCTGTATTATCGGAAGAATTACTATACTCAGCGATAGTGGCCATGGCTCTTCCACGAACCATACTCGATATATCCACGCAGCGACTTAAAGCAGTTGCGATTAATATCTTTCTTAACTTCATTCTCAGTGCCTCTGAAACTTCTGTCAAGTCGTCACGGTCTTGCAACCTCTCCGTTAAAAATTTGAAAATTATCTCCTGAGCAAATATTCTAAAAGTTACTTTTTTCTGGTGGGCCAAAAGTATTAGGTTTTCCATACCTTCGCACAGCATGCTTTTTCTGCAACAGTTAATTAGCTTAACAATAGTCGCTGCCTGTTTCTGTCTAGGGTCCGATCTTTCTGGACATTGGATCATTAAATGCTGTATCAGCGTCACCAGACCGAGCCTTGCATGCTTCTCATGAGCGAAATGCAGATTCCTCATAAAATGTATCATAGTTTCTCGAACGACGTTGATTGCTTTATACGGTAACTCCGTGTAACTAGATAGGAGATAAGGCAGTACATATTTCGCTATCAGTCTGGTGGTATCTTTAACAGGTCCATGTTTAGAATTGCACAACTCTTCGAGTGCGGCATAGGCATTATACGACAAAGAAGAGATTGAAGCCTCTGTACCGTTGAATTCCGACTCCAAATGATTTTTGTTTGTCTCGAGTTTAGCAATTTCTAACAGAGTCTGAACCGTAATTTCTAAAGAACGAACTTGATCTCGCATGCAGAAAGATTTCAACATTAAAATTAAATCATACATTACACCGTTTAAACCTCGGATAAGCGTTATTTTCTCGGTCTGAGGAAGACTGACCTCCATGTGCTCGTCTTCGTCCTCGGAAAAATCATCCAAGCTAAAAGATTTATCGAGTTTTCTCTCAAACAACATGTCGAACAATTTCAAACTTCCTAATGCTCTCTGGTACAAATTTGGATGAAACACGTTACAGGCATTGCTCCCTGGAACGGTCAATAGTACAAAGTACAGGCTGGTTGCCTTTAGACAATTCTGCCGAGAATCCTCATCTGCCCTGATATTTTGACCACTCTTCAAGATGTATCCTATAACAGGAAGTAAACTCCTTATGTCGACGTTTACCATTAAAAGATCTTGCCAGGAAAACCTTGGTTCCTGTTTTTCCTTCTCGCTGGAACCGATGGCTTCTGACATTTCTTTCTTGACTATGACATACGATTGCTTTAGTAGTTCACCCATGTCTTCGCTGTGTACGTACATCAGGTAGTCACCGGGGATTTCCTCGAACCTCAGGAAGTCTCCGTCCCAGACCGATTGGATCCATCCTGGATCTAAGTCCTCTAATTTAAAGTTCTCAAATATTTGTAAGGGCTCCATTTTCTCTCAACAACCTGTTAACCAACTCGCAACAATATCGGTAAATGTATTTGTTATCGCACTTTCTGTCGATACTGGGTTTGAGTAAACATAACCTCTTCACTCGCGTTTCTGACTCGTGGCTTTTCTTCGTCTCTCTGGGAGATTTTAGTAGACGTATTAGATTATCTAGCATTCGATATAGAGTACGATAATCTTTATCGTGCAATACTTGGCTAAAACGAAGAAGACATCCGAATTTTAAATTAGCGAAGACGCTGAACACTCAATCACGCGCCACGAGCGGCCACCTTGAATAGATTACAACAAAAAGAACTCGTTACAATAGGAGTCATAATGCTCTAGCATAACACTTATCAATATCGATTGGATATTATGAAAGATTGCCGGGCACGCTTAGATTTGAAAAATTACTTATGCAATTTATTGCGATCTTTGTTAGACACCTGTTAAAAATTACTTGACAAATTCATCATAATGAATATTGAGGACGTCATTTATTATGAAAAACCAGGTTTGCTTATTTTTAAGAGACGCTATCATATTTTCGTGCAGATATGGGAAAAGACATCGAGTCTATCGATGAACCGACCATTCAGAGTGCCAGGGAAGGTCCAGCGTACAAGAGAATTAAAATTTTGCAGTACTCGACAATGTCTCGATTGTTTATGGATATTATGCAGGAGTATAACCAATTGTTAATGAGATATCATGACAAGTGTTCATTGCTATTGCAACAACAGCAAATGTTAAGTAAGTCTTATATGTAGTATCAATCCTTCGCTCACATAAATTGTGTATGTAGGAGTATGGGTTAATTCTAGCAAAAAAGAATATTACATATCAAGAGTTAAATGAAATGCTCGATGCGCAGGAAACCAGTCTGTTTGTGGATAATGTAAGTATTATTAGATATGATGTTTCACTAGTATTGTAAATATTTTAATTGAAAATCTATTAACATTTCTCTCCAGATATTACAGGACACCAGAGAAATAAGACAACAGTTGTCGGACATAGGGAACAGACATAAAGATTTATTAAAGGTAGAAAAAAATCTCCAGGAAATTCGAGATCTGTTCTTACAGATGTCAATTATGGTAGACAAACAAGTGAGTATTAGTTGGCAGAATTTGTTTAATACGGTGCATTAAAATTAAAGCTGTAAAATAATACTTGGGAATTTTATTAGGGGCAGCAAATAAATTCTGTTGAGTACTTCGCTGGTGTTGCAACGGATAATGTGGACAATGGACGCTTAGATCTTCAGAAAGCAGAAAAGCTAAGCCAGAAGCACAGAAAGGTGCATATTTGGGATATTTCATATTTCAATATTTACAGTTGCAATGATTGGAAACAATATTAATTTGAATTTCTTTTTCAGAGGAAATGGAAACTGATTATCATATTTTGTATTATAATTATCTTTCTTCTGTTAATTATGAACTTTTTATAATTTCCAATCTGTACCAACATGTGATAAAAAAAAATGTACATACGCATATCTTACAATTATTTTAACAGAGTAAATATATTCGTCCATATTCTTATTTTTTATTTAGCCATTGGCTTTATCGTTATGACGTAACTTAATTAGTATTAGTATTGCTTGCCATACTTGTCGATTTTGCTTTCACGTAGTTTTCAAAATACTTAACAACTCCTTTAGCACTTGGTCTCGTTTTGTAATCTGTGTCAGTGCAAGCAAAAAATATTTCTAGAACGTGTTGATATTCTGGTCCTACTTCCATAGCTGGTAACGGTGGCCGTGTCCCTACAATTGCTACAGTTTCAAATTTGTTCTATGCATTATATTTACGTTATCATAAAATAAACTTACCATACTTTGAACTATAACAATTTTTCAGGCATTCTAAGGTGTCATCCATATCGGTGGCACAACTTTCGTTAGTGGTTTTCGCATCGCTAAATGATGCATCAGAGAAAGAAGCGTCTTCTGTAGAATCATTGTCCGATTCAATGTGTGGTGGTGATAAAGCTATCATTTCCCAGATTACAAGACCATATGCCCACATATCCGCTTTATTCGTTATTGGTCCACATTCTTTAAAAGATGAGGCAAATAAAAATACAGAACCCAAAATTTATGAAATTAACTCGACATTGCACAAACCATTTATTACTTCGGGTGGGCTCCAACACTCAGTACCAATGTAAGTATATTTTCCCTTGGAGGTATCCATTTCTAATGAATCTGTCAAAGGTACCGAAACTCCAAAGTCGCATAACTTCACTACATTACAATTGTCAGAAACCAAGATATTAAAACTTTTTACATCGCCATGCAAAATGTGTGCAGTATGATGTAAATACTCCAAGCCCTTAGCGACTTCGAAGCTGATTTTCAAAATATCGCTTGCAGGAAAAGACCTTTTGTCCGCTTCTACCATTTCCTCTATCAGGTCTCCTATGTAACAAGTTACGTCACGGTAAAAATACCTGTAAGATCGTATTAAAATTTTGCCCATTGCAATTCCACAAACCTAACGACTGATCCAACTTCTCCATCGCAAGGCATAAGTCACCCTTTAATGTATCGCCGATCCCTCTGAAGCCAACAATATTAGGGTGACTTAATTTCCTAAGAATATCTGCTTCCAGTCGAATTCGTTCAGTGTACCTCTTATCGTCCGTTATCTTACGGTTTAGTTTTTTAATTGCCCATGGTGACCGAGCGAACCCAACCTTAGGCGATCGCTCCAAAGTGAAGACGCTGACTCCTGTTAGTGCCAATAGATTGAAAGTGAATATTTATTTAGAAAATAAATAGTCGTCATGGAAGGATAGGTTCATCTTAAATGCCTTTAATTATTAAAGACAGTTTCTAGTCATAGATCGTCGCTTACCACAGCCATAACCTAGATGTTTAAGAAAGGGCGACGGTGGAATGCGAATTGGCGTGTGTGCCTCGGACTTGGGCTCCAACCTCTTACATTTATTCGGCGTTTTGAACGGTTCCATTCTGGGGAATCAACGATTTCGTATTGTATTGTACCGTATCTTTTTGGATTTCGGCCTCTACTGTAGGCTCAGTACCAGTGTAATCAACGATTTTAATTAATCACAATAAAAACAGGAACCCGGCGTCAGTCTTTGTCAACCGTTTTTAAATCAAACCCTGTCGACCGCACAAAAATTACGCGTCTTCTGAAATACCCAATCAGACGACGGCATTAATTTCTCATAAAAATATGCTCATGGGCAGGGTCGCGCCAGAGATGACCGGCCCGGTAAAGAATCGTGATTGGTCGATCCTTTGCCGGTGACGTCGTCCAATCACGGAGTCGGGTCACGGCCGGCGGATCGCCAGTTGCTCCTGATTGCCATAATGGTAAGCCCACCACCGTCAACTGCCGCATGGTATTACCATCATGAATCCGTGAGCCGCGAACGGCAACTGGTAGATGGCACAACCATCGCGAGTGCGCGAGCCCCTACCAGAGTTTATGTAATTTTTTAATTATTGTTGTACTTAGAATTTTTTGGCTTTCCTTTGTATATGCGTGTATACACATCCTTCTATGAAACTGCTAATTCGTTTCACATTAGAAATTAACAGTGTCCCATAGAACTCATCACTTAACGGTATCCAGTGGAATTCATTTTTATTTGTTATTTGTTACACACGAAAGCTAGATGAAGCCTTCCATTAAATTAAAGTAATCCGATCCCATGCGTTAAAAGGTAAGATTGACAACAAGCATGAACTTGTACTAGATTTACTAATGCTTAAGAGGATTAATACTAGTTGTAGAAGACTAACAATTGAGTTTAAATACTTGCGTCGGTAGTTTCAACGAACATTGTCTCATGTATGTACGTTAATAATTTCAGATTGATATTACTGACGTTGAGAGAAATATCATGTACAGGTAGCCAGGGTTAATTTCACAAAAATAAGTAGTTCGAAAGAATAAGCAACTACTGAGATCACTGTTCCAGATGAGTCTAAGAATCGTATCAAAGATTAAATTGAAATATGTGTGCTGTATAGTGATCCTGATTATGGTATTAGATTTCTTTGGAGTGTTTACGCACTTTTTTGAAATTGATTTCAATGAAAATTTCGTCTATCCTTATGAAGGAAACGTACAAAAGTTTGTAGCGGACTTCAGACATAATCGTAAGCCAGATGTCGGTCCAATAAATCAGTATAATTACAGTTATATTCATGAATTAACTAACAAATGTACAGAACCTGAATATTCTAAGTTAAGAATTGTATACATAGTTAAGTCTGCTATTGAACATTTTGACCGCAGGAACGCAATACGAAAATCATGGGGCTTTGAGAAGAGATTTTTTGATGTTCCCTCGAGAACAATCTTTTTGCTGGGTTGTCATCCAAATGACAATGAAATCCAAGAGAAAGTTAACTTGGAGGTTGCAAAGTACAATGACATAGTACAAGCAACTTTCGTTGATACGTATTACAACAACACCATAAAAACAATGATGGGCTTTAAGTGGGCAGTAAAACACTGTAGTAATTCAAAATTTTATATGTTTGTCGACGATGACATATACGTATCTGTAAAAAATGTTTTAAGGTTCGTTAGAAACCCAGTATATTATCCTGATTATTTGAAAGAACCCAAAAAAATGGAAACACGCAAAAGAGAAATTAGAGAATTCAACACCCAAGATTTCACAAATTTGAACAATACGGATATAAATGATAAAAAGATCCAGCAGGAGACATTCAATCTTCACGATATTGACCAAAGAAGAGTTATAGGAAAAGATATAACGGCCAAACAGATATTTGAGTCTAAGCGTCATAAAAGAGGATTTACCGATAAAGAGATATTGGCATCTAAAAACTTGGCAGAAAAATCTAGGCAACAAAGACCAACGAATCTGCAGTTTAAAAGCCAATCAAATTTATTGAACCGTGGATCTCAAATTAATGGGGCACAGGGATCGCTGTTACCAAAGGCTTTAAATAACTCTAACTCGATACAAGTCAGATCGAAAAGGCAGGTTTTTGACTTTGAACTGCCAGAAGACGTTCGGTTGTTTGCAGGGTTCGTTTTTGTCTCTGCTCCACATAGACATAAATCCTCGAAATGGTATGTTTCTTTAAAAGAATATCCTTATCACCAATGGCCTCCTTACGTTACTGCTGGATCGTACATACTTTCTAAAGAGGCTCTTTTAGATATGTACTACACTAGCCTGTATACTCAACACTTCAAATTCGATGATATTTTTCTGGGTCTTGTTGCAAAGAAGGCTGATATCGAGCCGTTCCACTGTGAAGAATTCCATTTTTATAAAAAAGAGTACACAAAATACAGTTACAAGTACGTTATATCCTCCCATGGTTATGGGGATCCAAATGAACTACTGGAAGTATGGAATGAACAGAAAGTATTGGGTAATGCTTAAATATATATTTTTGGAGCGAACATGACCTCGATTCAATTTAATGTGCAATATTTCTCAGCAAACTTGACTATGATTAATGGGGTACAAATTTAAATTTAACCCAAGTCTAAACGACTACTATCCGTATAGTTATATTCTGTTCAACCATTGATTGTTGTATCTAATATTTGTAAGAGATCGTTGAAAAGTACAAAAGCATCAATAAAGTATTTAGTATTCTATTATTTAAGGCAAGTTAGTAATGGAACTGTACATAACTTAATAATCCTGCTGCTGAAGCATTGATCAATAGTGATTTCATGTTACAGTACCTTGCAAAAGTTTATATTAACCCATGCAAGATGACCTTTTCGAGATGTAAAAAATGTAATAATTTGTAAACTGAGATTAGAAGCCAGCTTAAAGAACAAAAATAGCTTGGCGATAAAAATAGTGTATAGTTTAATTATATCTACAGTGGGAAGGTATAAATGATAGTCATTGTTTTTCTCAAGGTATCGTGTTAATACACTGCATAATTCCATATAAAACAGCCAGAGAAAATGGTTACTCGACACGCTGGTATAGGTAGATGTATCCCAATTCCTTAGGTGGATGTTCAGATAACGCTACCTATCGATCAAGATAAATATTTATTATCTGATTTTCCAAAAGGCGAATGTATTTATTTTACTTGCACTTACCTTTTCATCGTTGTAAATAACCCAGTGGTTTTCTTTCAATAGATGACACACGTAATGTCCTACCATAGTAGACGTGCCCATGTGTGAGATAAATCCAGCCAATTTGTATTCTGCAATTGTTCATTTTTAAGAGATACGTTATGGATATTAGGAACAATTTCTTGAGGAATATTTCTCCTTGTACGTTGGGACTTACTGCCGCTTCCATCTCTAAATGGTGGTTCGACGTGTTCTTCTTCGGTGTCCATGGCATTGAGCTCCGATTGATGACTGAATATCCAGTCTGCAGCACGCTCCAAGTTGTTATCCGTTTCTTTGAGAGCCTTAGTAGCTTGTTCTTTTGTAAAACCCATGGCCATCACCATATTCACAGCATCCGGGTTTGGCACAAATGCACTACTATCTGAAAACATATTGCAGACATGACCTCGAAGTAATTAAATTAGACTCAAGAAAGTAGGCAACGCCTGTGACATCAAAATTATAACCTATAACGAATGCTAACAAACCTGTATTGCTACAAATGCCAGGCGGTACAAAACGTTCAGCAAAATCTGAATCCGTAATATGATCCATTAGCCAAGTAGTCGCAGGCTCTAGGCCTCGATTTGCAGTGAAGTACAGAGCTCTTTTGCAAGACTCCAGAGGAAAGCCCATATCCATTAAAAACGCAAGAAGAGCTTTGTTGTATATAGGCGCTGGTACTTCCGAGTCATTTGCTTCTGGTAATAATTCCTCTTCTGGTTTTAGTCCGGTACCACGCAGTGCACTTAAGTCTAGCAAGTCTGGCATATCTACAGACACATCCAACTTCATCGGCTGCCAATCTTCCCTTATGGTGAACTTTTTCAAATGAATTAAGATGTAGTCCGGAAAGCTTGCCAGTCTTGTAGTTCTGAAGATAAAATGGAATTTTTAGGTGGGACACCTATTTGTACTTAGACCGGGGAACTTCATGTGGTTTTACTAATGAACTTACTTCAAAGCAGTTGTTTTTTCATTCAGGGCAGTACTGTAGAATTGTTCTATGATCTCTGTTCGACTGAATGCATCTAAGCACGATGCTAGGTTTATACGAGGCCTGACTTTGGCCTCCGTGTCCAGTTTCACACCCCGTGCCTCGGCCTCCTTTATTTTGGCTTCGTATGCAGCAAGTTCGTCCTTAGATATAAATTTATATTTTGTTTAATAAAATTCAGGTACACTTAATATTTATCGTAACGTAGTACCTTATTTACTGCTGCATCCAATGGTATAGGAATAGGCAATGAGTATTCTGGTCGGTAGGTGTATTTAACCTTGTTAGAACCACAACACTGGTATCGTTCTTCCACCTTGAACTTGAAGCATTCCGCCGGATTAGGCCAGTCTCTACTGTTACGCTGTTTAAAGGAATCTCAATGTCAGTACTTGCTCCAGTCGAATTATTTTTCCTACTGGAGTCTCTGTAAATCTGTAATTCTTTAAACTGACAAAATTGACACTGATTTGACAATTAAAAATTACGTGAAAGTTATTACATCCAAGAGGTTAATCACGTGAAGGAAGAACTCGTGCGCGTCTTGCTGCCGATTGGAGGAGAATCCTGGGTGACGTCGGCCAATTAGAGTTTTAAACATTCGGGGAGAAATACCGGGACAACTGTACTCCTTAGAATTTTCCGGTGGTGGTACGGAATATTTCCCAGATAATAAACCAACTCCCAACTTAGCCCTGGAGAAACAAACACATAAGTGTATGCTCACGAATAGAAATTTGTTTTAAATAAACATTTGAGTGAATACGTTGCTTTCGATTTAAATATTCGTTCTACTACTCTTTTGAGGAACTTACATTTGTGCATTGAAGTCGTCGGCAGCATTGTATACACATTTATTAATTATGTCGCTTGCATTGTCAACATACCTAGGACGTAAATATTAACATTAAAAAATTGCCCAACATAATTTCTGTAAAATCTCTACAAGAAATCAGACGTACCTTTTAATAAACTCTGGAATCGTGAAAATCATTTGCATTACGGAATTAAGGTAGCATGAATTTCCAAGATTTGTAAGTCCGGTGTAACCCGGTCCATATATAGGTGTAAGTTTACTTCCTGTCTCTTGAAGTGCGACCCATTCTCCAAATTTTTGATTTAAGTCCAATTCTAATTCTATCATAGATTTCTCAGTCTTTTCCATCTGAGCGATATTAATTCCCCAGTGCATCAAATGACGAGCTAGATAAGGATCTTCGACCATTTCATTTTCAGGATATGAAAATACGTCCGCCCTACCTTCCTTTGTAATTGTACCCAGTTTTACCGCTAAAGGATAGTCAGTGGTTTGGTAATGTTCAATGGCGTGACCATTTCCACCAGTTCCATCAAAGTATTTACGACCGCACAAGATAGATCCATCGGAAAGATTGAGCCACAAGTTATTAGTAATACCGCACCTCTCGCACTTCCAACCACTAGGCGGTATTTTTTTTCCATTATCTAATTGGACAAGAATTTCAGCATATCTAAAAAGAGAAAAAAAAAACATGTACACTTTTTATTAAAACGCGAATATAAAACCAATTGCATTAAATCAGTGCTGATATTCTTCATACGTACTTTGTAATAAATCTAGCCTCGCCATCCCATGTTTCAGCTAAAGCTTCTTTTTCTGCCAATCTGGATGCCGATTCTGCTTCTAATATAGACTTCACGGCGATATTTACCTATTAAAATATTTTATAAACGTAAATTTATATGTAAAAAAAATACATCAGTGAAATAAACCCACCTGTTCCGGTAAATCGCCATTAGGGTAAGTTAGCTCCACTGTAGTAGGTGGAAGAAAGACAATGATTGCATACTCCTCTTCGTAAGTATACTTTTTCTGATTAGGCATAAAACCGCCTGTAATCCCGATGGCCAATTTTGTGACTTTATTAGATTCATCTTGCTGGTCAGTAGGAATCTGTAAATGAATATATAAAGAAATTATCGGTAAACGTTACACAATTTAATCTTTGGTCGCTATCGTTGAGCCAACGTAATACTCACTTCCTTTTTCGTTTGCTTAATACGCAGGTATACAGGATCTTTGGTTTTATTGTAGTAAAGTTCGAGGTATTCTGCCCCGACCCCCAAGAACGTTTTCAAGCTGATAAACAGACCCAAAGGGGATTCCTAAAACAAAATATTTATTCCTCATACCATCATGAACAGCGATGCATCATGACGATGACCGACAAGAATATTAGGAAAACCGCCTACCGGCGTATCGAAACTAAAGATGCACTCGTCCTTGTAAACTTTGTCCCCAGCTTTAGGAACTTCCACTTTGTCCAAATGTTGTCGTAATATCTCCATATTGCACTAGTTCGACGGTAAAGGATAAGGCAAGCCAGAATTGTTTACCACATACTCCGAAAAAACGTAACCGTGATCAGTCGTGACAAGTTAAACCGCTGAATAGCGAACGAGACTAGAAATGCATTTCTCAAAGAAAAAGTGGAACCACTGATGTAGTTCAGTCCTCCACCTAAGATGGCGCCACCTTCCTTTACGCCCACTAGGAAGAACTCTTTGCACTTATAGAAACTTGCATCTACCGTTGCCACGCCCCTATATGCTCTCTCTCTCCCACTTACTAAAAGGTACAGGTAAGCATACAGTTCCGTTCTCTCTCGCTCTACCGACGAAAATCAAAGAGTACCAAGAGGTTACGCCCCATATGTCCGTTGCACTCATGTAGAATATGAATTGTCAGATAACCTGCGCACTCACCTGTAGACCCCTGATCTACGTGGGACATAGTTTCCCCTCATACCTTTCGTTCCCCCCCCCTCGTCCGAAAGAAATAAATGAGGAAATAATTTCCATGAGAGCCTATATATTAATTATTAAAATTCACGAACTTTGAATCAACTTTTTGCCTTGAATATTGGTACGGATATTTTTAATATCTTTAGTATACGGTAATAAAAGAGTCGTATATTTCAGGTAGGCTCGGAGAGTAATCTGCGCAATTGAGGGAGAAACGAGGTTGATTAAAATGTAAGTCACGACGTCTGTTCTCTTCCCTTTGGCCATTAAGAAATTATCGTGCCCTCGGTTCTTCAAGTACTTAGCGGGAAGTCTTCTCCCCCCTTATCCACTCTTTTTAACGTATTTGCAGGGGAGTTCTCGTTATCAGAGTATTCCATTATCGAAACGTCTCGTATACCGACGTTCTTAAGAAATAAACTACGCGTTATCGGGACAGTGGGGCATTCGGAAAATAGAAGCTCCGTCGTAACCCCTGTACCGATGCAATAATTGTTCGGTACACAAGGGACCCCTTGTTACCGCTAACCCGAGCTCCCGAAATTATTCCGAGAATGAAAAGTCTCAGCGCGCCCCCAGGCCGCCCAGTGCGACGCCGCTTCGCGGGCGTTCGGTAATCGGCGCAGAGGGTGCTGCGCGGTCGCGGGGTCGGCTCGATGGGCGGCTCGGAGAATGAGCGGCGGCCCCCTCTCCCCCCTCCCGTACGCCGCCCGGCGTAGTACGCGCGTACCGACTCGCGACCCGGCAGCGCGCAGGCGCGGGGGGCAGGCTCGGCTCGCAGCGGCGTCGGTCAGTACCTCGGAAGACGCCGCGGCGGCGGGCATCGGCGCGTTTCATGGGGTTGGTCCCGAGCGGCGGCGTAACCGTCCCGTGGGCTGACTCCAGGTCCCGGGGATGGCGAGGCCTCCCAGAGGGGGCCTCCTGTGCCTCGCCTGGGTCCTCTGGCTGGCGGCGGGGCCGGCAGGGGCCACCAACGAGAACTGTGAGTATGAAAATCGACGCCAATCTCTCTCCCTCTCTCTCTTTCACCCCGGAAAGAGGGGGAGGCCCCTCGTTCGAATTTCGGCCCCGACGCCAAGCCCCCGTGGTGCTCTCCGCGGAGTAATATTGATCGCCGCGGGCTTACATCGGCGCGCGAGACGGCGAGAGAGAGGGGGTGAGGGGAGGGACCGGGGGAGGGAGAGAGAGGGGCGATCGAGGGCCGTGGCCGCCGACGACGGAGTCCCCTGACTCTCTTCGTCCTCCTCCGAGGGCTGCGCGTCCTTCTGTGAGACAACGATCGGAGGATCGCCTACTTTCCTCTGTCGCGCGCATGCGCGACGCCCACTCGGCCGGCCCGAGGAGAGGTTAGGTCGGCCCTTCGCCCGACCGGAAGGGTGCCCGGCTCTTATCGCTCGACTCTGGTCTATATATGTATATATATATATTTTTTCTTTTTTCTCCCCTTACTTTTTTGTCAGCACCCCCTGGACGATGGGAACACCCCGGAATGTTCTGGGGGGTCTTTGGTCATTTTGCGACGGTAAATGACGCACGTGATCGGTCGCGGGGAGGGGATGAATATTTTCTAACAATTTTTTGGGGATTTCTTTGCTACATGGCTGGGTAGTGTTGGACGGTACCTACTTTTCTAGGAGATTTTGCTTGCTTGGATTGGACGATTTTTCTAACAATTTTTTTTTTTGCTGGGGGAATTCGAAATCTGGGACTTGGCTCAAAGAGAAAGCGGAGGGAAAGTGCGGGTTCCAGCGGAAATCCGAATTTCGTAGGTGGGAATGCGTTTTTAGGATTATTATTCACCAGGAGGATGAAATTTCTCATTCTTTTTTTTTTTTCTTTTTTTTTCTAGCGTTTGGGAATATTTTTAGTATTCATATCAGGGGCAGAGCGAGGACGAGGTTAACGGACGGTATGGATAATCGGGGAATACTTGACATGGGGAAAATAGTCGTTCCGAGGCTCGCGATAATGTCCCTCGTCGATTAACTAATTAGACCGGTTAACGAGATTACACGCGAAATCCTGCGTCGGGAATATTTCAGGATAACCCTGGTATATATCCCTCTCCCGCGATTAGATCCCTTATCGATAGTGATATTATAATCTGGGGCGAGAAAATTGAACGGGATTGGGGTAGCATTACAGGCGATTGCTCATGGATAATCCGCCATTGTGAAAATAGTAATTGGAGGATCGCGTGAAAATAAATTATTACCCCCTCCGCGTTTCTTTTCCGCTTAATTATAAAATAAGACTAGACTTGGCCTGTCCTGATCTCGCAGTATAATAATTGAGGTGTTCATTATGAAATTGGAGTTTGGGAAGTCGGTTAGGATATTTATTGGGAAATTTAATTGTTCGTTAAATTTGATACGTCCAGAGTGGACGACACGCTGTCCGTGTTAATATCGTTATTCCTTTTGCTTTTATTATTCCAGACCAGATGAGTAATATTTGCAAGAATCACTTCTTGCTAGACGTATACCGGAAAATATATGGAGCAGTCCTCACGTCGCAAAACGAGAGGAATCTCGACTGTGCCATCACGTTTCAGACGCACAGCATCCTTCAGCGCTTCATGCTCAGATTCGATCGACTTCAGCTCGACTGTAATGATCATCTCTACATATACGATGGAGCACATGCAGTCGGCAGTTACAAGGTATACCTGATTTACGGACTCACGTTTTTACGAGGGCCCTCCCCGTACTATTACCATTTTAATTACGGACGGAGGTGCAATCGAGAAGGAGATACGAAGTAGGTGAGAAATTTAACCGGAATCGTAATCTCTAGGTGTAGACGAATTGCATGCCCTGCAATTGACGAGGTGTGAACCTGGATTTATTTTTTAATAGAGAAGGGCCCGTTGAAAAACGGAGGGATTACTGCTCTCTAATCTTACTCTCGATGTATGACGATGTACGACGGTTGTACCGATTGATATTGATTTTTATTAGTTATTTAAAATACCGTGGACGAGAGGACGGAGGGAAGGACCTATTGTCTATTGATATTTTCAATGTTATAATATAATCATTTCAAATATATAGGTCTATTGATACTTTTTATCTTGTCAATTGGTGTGTCGGGTAATCGACGTTTTCAATTCGTGTACGTTTAATTGGAGAAAATGTGGACAAGGAGAGAGTGACTTTGCTGGTTACTTTTATATCTCACGGGTTGTTATTAATCCTGTTATTAAGGATCCTCTCTTTTATTTTCAGGCGGACCTCTCTTGCAGGAACACCAAACAGAGTGTCGGGGCTATTTACACGCGCACTAATTTCGTAACGTTAAAATATGTTACGGACGCCTGGGGCACGGACTCTAATGGTTTCCGCCTCGTGATAACCGCCATCAAGGATACGAGTAAATATAAATAAAATCTCTTTGTATGGGAATAAGTAGATTTAAAGTTTTTAGCCAATTTGCGGGGTACTCTGCCGGGAGTCCTTTTTGAGGCGAACTCGGAGTAGTACCAACTATGCTATGTACTCGCGTTTCATCTGCCTCTGAATGTTCTATTTATTAGTTTCATTTTATTATTTTATTATTAAACATGTATTTGGCCGATCTTCTCCCGGGTCTCATCATCCTAGGGGCTTATGTATTGTCGAAGAGCCGGCATCTAGTTACAGGAATGATTTCATTGTGAAATGTAGGTTTATCTTTAATTCCAGGACACTCCTGTAATGATTTTCGGTGCACCCTGAAGGAATTTTGCATAAACACTGCGCTAATTTGCGACGGCGTTAATCATTGCGGGGATGGCTCAGACGAGGCTGCATCCACGCTATGTGCAAGTGAGTACTTATGAGGATTTTTGCAACAATTTTTTTTATCGACTATTTTGAAGGGTCATATGAAATCAAAGGCAATCGGCAGAGAAAAAGAATGAAAACGCGTTCACTGATTTCAAAGTGAATTGGAGTCCCTTATGTGATTTTATTTCGATTGTTATTTGCAATTTCAGACACGGAGGCGTCGACGATTTTGGGGATGGACATGACATGGTTCGCGGTGGCTCTGGTCTTCCTGGTCCTCAGTTTGGCCGGTCTCGTAGCTGCTGGGATTTTGTGCTTCTGCAGACAACACGGGACAAGTCCCAGACATCTCCATAACACCCACGACCAGACTCATCCTCCTGTCAGCTATCCCTGTGAGTAACGACCCGAAGTCTTATCTATTTAATGCCAACAAAAGCCGACAAATTCATTTTTCATCCACGATAGGCAGGACTCGAGTTTCACTTGTGTACACGGACAATTGCAAATTCACCTTGACGATGAATTATTTTCGGGGGCCATTGTTCTCGCCGAGTTGCGAAAGTCAGACTATATTTTCATATTTTCTCGATGACTTTTAATGATCTTCGTCCTTGTTGGATGAGAATATGAAAGGGGAAAAAAACTGAGATTTCGATATTTTACAACCGTTTGCCGATTCCGCACTATTTTTTGACGTTTGTCCACGTAGATGAGGGAAAATGAAGAGGGAAAAAAAAAATGAGATGTTCATATTTTACAAACGTTTGCCGATTTTTCGAAGGGTAGGTTTGGTACTGGGCCAGTTTTGGGGAATCGACGACAATGAGGTCCAACCTCGATTTGGTTCAACATTCCTACACGAGCACGCGGAACATCGATACGTGCAATGAATCCATTGTTTCGGATACACTGTCATTGTCAGCTGGCATGAAGAGAAAGCCGAGCTCGCTCGTGACTTCCGTGTATTATCGTTGATTCACTGGGTGGACGTGTAACTTTTCCGTTTCGTCAAAACCCTACCCCGTTTAATATGTATCTTATCCGAGGACGTAACGAGATATTCGTTTATCCTGTCAATTGTAAATGCAAAATTTAATTGCGCCTCTCGTTAGCGGATAAAGTCGCGGCATTAGTTTTACCTTTTTCCTCGTGATCGAGCCAGGCGTTAATTAGGATTTTGTTCTCGATATTTAAGCGCAAAATGACATGGAAATTATAATCGATTTAATTAATCATTTATTTTCATTCGTACTGTTAAGATCTGATCATTTATTTCCTCCCGTGGATTTGTGTATCTGAATTTTTTTGTGGCTCTTCAAGCCTGTTCTTTCATTTCCATCGTGCCTTGGGATTACACTTTTCAATTACGAGTTAACGTAATGCCGGGTCGGAAGAGACGTCGCTTTCAGCAATCTTTACCTAGAATCCCCGTTTTCTCTTATTTCCTTTCCGTTTATTTTCGCGGTAAGTCACTTTATCATCGTGGCCAAACATTCGTCGAAGTTAAAGCTTAATAGGTTCCCCAGGCCCCTTCCCTTCTTCTCTCCGACCAATCGTTCTACGCAGAGGTAAACTCGGTCATATCGTTCCCATCTTCAAACCACATTTTGCTTTTAAAGTGCGCAGACCGCGGTCAGCATTGTTCTTGTCTCTCCTGGTGATCTCTACGTGTCGCTACAAAATACCGGGAGCGAAAAGCTAAAAGACGAATCAGTGATTGAATTAAAAATATTTATTATCGGACCGTCGGGGACGGTTTGAGCGATTATTAAGATTATTTTATTAGGGGGACCTTGACTGTGCATTTGTGCATCCGAGCCGCTGCATATTATCTCGGGCACGATAATACGATAAGCGAGTGTATTTACCGAGGACTGAATTGATGTCACTCGAGAAAGGATTTTGTTCGTCGACTCGATTGCGACGACAGTGTTGACCGATACGCGTCCGATGTTCGACGGAATTGACACTTTGTTGTGAAAAGTGAGGGTAATTTTCTTTCTCAAGGACAGTTTATCCTTTACGAAGCCCTGTCGACATACGGGCGAAATTCCTCTGACCGTGCGGGCAATATTGGACCAAACGCCGGGCGCTTTTAGTGGGTTAAGGTGCGCATGTTTAAAAATCTGCAATAAACGGGATTTTATAATCACGCCGGTGGCGATTATTCGTCACCTCGTGTTGATAAAGAAGAGGACCGTGGAGAGATTTCAGGATTATTTTCGGAAAAATTGCGAGGAGTAAGGAGGAGTGCGGAGTGAAGTGGTGGTCGTCACTTCGTGGGTACCGTGAAGGGATCTTAGTCTTTTTCACTTCCGCGGCTTAATTCGCTGTAAAGAAATCGAAGTGGTCCTTGAAGATTAGTGGTCCAGAAGATCAGAAGTCTTTTCAAGCCGTCGACGATGACGGGGATAGCCGTAGGACGTCGATTTCCTGCATGGATCGCCACCCTCTTCTTGATCAGCTGGACAGGATCCTCCGCCGAGATGATCGGCGGCAACCTGATCGTCGCCGGGAACGTGGGGTCCAACTCTACGAGGGATTTTTTCCTGGGGCCTTGCCTGGTGAACACGGAACGAGGGTGTCCAGACGAGGAGGTGACCTTCTTTCTGTTCACCAGAAGGAACCTGGACGAGTCCCAGCGGATCAACGTCACGGACTCCTGGTCCAACCTGAGGGAGACCAATTTCAACCCTTCACACCCGACTAAGATCATCATCCACGGGTACAATTCCGACATGTATCTTGACACTTTGGTCGACATCAGGAACGAGTACTTGAAGAATTCCGAGTTCAATGTAGTAGCCGTCGATTGGCATCGGCTGGCAACGGCTCCGTGCTATCCAACCGCGGTGCACAATGTTCCCCACGTGGGGCAGTGCGTGGCACAGCTGATAAACCGTATCAGGGACACCGGCGCCAAGGATATACACGCGATAGGGTTCAGTCTAGGTGCCCACGTGCCTGCCTTTTCGGCAAACGTCTTGCGGCCGTACAAACTCTTCAGGATCACCGGGTTGGACCCGGCCATGCCGCTCTTCGTCACCGTCAACAACGACGAGAAACTCGACGCAGGCGACGCCAGGTTCGTCGACGTCTTCCACACGAATGCCTTCATCCAGGGAAAGGTCGAACCTAGTGGACACATTGATTTCTACATGAATGGAGGCGTCAATCAGCCCGGATGCTGGGAACATAGGAACCCCTTCGGGTGTAATCACCATCGAGCTGCCGTTTATTTCGCGGAGTCCATCAACAGCGATCTTGGCTTTTGGGGATGGCCTTGTCCTGGCTTCTTGGCTTACCTTTTGGGCCTCTGTCCTCCAAGGTTCCCGGCTGTCCTGGCTGGAGATAGGGTCAATAGGAATTATAGAGGGTTTCATCTCGTCAAGACCAAGGGACACCCTCCGTATGCCGAGGGCATCTTTGATACCGATTTGATGGACCTGCCTCGTTGATTTGGATGTGTCTAGAGATGTTATCAATGGACTCGTTGATTTGGATGGGTCAAGAGAAGTCATCAATGGACTCGTTGATTTGGATGGGTCAAGAGAAGTCATCAATGGACTCGTTGATTTGGATGTATCAAGAGATGTTATCAATGGACTGCGTCTTGGCGAGATCATGCTTCAAGGGAATTCTTATCAATGACCTGGTGGACCTGCAGAAGTTGATCTTGATGATCGCTGGTTGACGACTGGGTTTTTCGATTTTTCGAATTCCTCAGGAGGAGGAAGGAAACATTCGGATGGAGGGATGATTTTTTTTCCGACGTGTCGCTGAGAAAATATCAGTTTTATAATTATTCGCCTACGGAAATGGTACCAATGACGGTACTTTTCATTCTTAATGGCTGGATACTTTCCTGGATATACTGTGAATAAATCGTATAAGGGCTAGGTCAGGGTTCGAGTGGCATTTAATGGCTGTTAATTAGTTCTAGGCCGCGGGTATGAACAATGGTCCCCTTGTTACAGACATTGCAGGAAATCCTGCATAGAGACAGTGAACGTGGAATGACTTGGCGACGAGTTCTTGTAATTGTTATCCAATTTATATTCTCATTGCACTATCATATGCTGTAGCATCAAGAAATTATATTATTAAATTCCTAATTTTCGTCCGCATTCAAGTCTTCACGTTAAATTTGTAACATCAGGGCAGCTCTGGACTTGAATTAAACAATGAATCGCAGGTGGTTGAAATTGGCGGAAATTGGCCTTGTCTTTTTTCTTTTTTTTTTTTGTGAACGACAATCCTTTCAGGGAATTATTAAGAATTGCGAGTGACGAAAAGGGGGACATCAATGAGTCGTTGCTTGAAAGGAAAGGGAAACTCTCCTTTCTCTCTCGAGTGGTTGCTTCGCATTCAATCGACTGTTCCCTTTTAGCATTCGTTCTACATATAACTTCCGGCCAATCGGATTTGTATGCTCCGCATTAATGGTCCGATTTCGCTTCGCTGATTTACCCGCAACAAGTAGTGAAATAAATATCCGGGAAATAAGTGCTCACCTTTCACGCCCGAAAATGGTATCAGAGCATTTCGGAGCATTTTATTGCGGGGTGGGTGCTCCAAGTTCTGCATCCGATTATCGAGTAATAATTAATAATAGCGCTAAATCTGTGTACACGGTCCTCGGATTCGAAATCCCGCCATTATTCACGCGTTTCTCGAGACAATCGTGATCTTCGTGATCCTCCTCGCGAAGTGGAACGCGCACTTCAGCTTCGACTTGGAGAACATCGCCGAGGGAGGTGCTTCCTCGGGCACCTCCACTAGGAACTGTTCATATCGACGAGATCCCTGCCCATTTTGCCGGATTCCTCGTCGACGTCGACGTCGACGCTGAAGACCCTCCTCCTCGAGGACGGTCTTTACCCCTTCCGGATCTCGCGATCAGATCCGAAGTCGTGGCTGGGTGCCGATGAAGGGTTGAATCCTCCTCTCCCTTTAAAAGAACCTTCTCGGGTACCTTCCTCGGAATATCTCCAACTAGCACGTTCCTAACTCCAACCTCGAAATGACAACGTTCTAACTTCAATACTCAAAGTTCAATATCCGAAGTTCAACATCCTAAACTACAGGGGCAGAAGTTCAACATCGGAACTCTCACCCCCGAAGTCCAACGTCCAAATTTCAACCTCCCAACCACGACATCGGAACTTCAACATCGGGGGACTCGATGCTTCATTTAGGGAGAAAATTCAAAGTAGCATTATAAATAAATATACGTGTATACAAATTGTAAATTAATATTTGGAGTTAATATTAGCTAATTCCGAGTGATATCAATATTTCTTTGCCTTGATAAAAGTGATCTGCCGGTCGATTTTCAAGGGTCATATTTGTTGGTCGATTTTCAAGGGTCATAATTGTTGGTCGATTTTCAAGCCCATAATTGTTGACCAATTTTCAAGCACATAATTGTTGACCAATTTTCAAGGTTTTTGTCCTTCGTCGAGGGGAGTGAAGTTTCAGGGTAGGGACTTATTATTTTTTTTTCCCTCTCACTTGGCCGCGTTTCAGTGCAACAAATGTACGGATCGAACGGAGCGAGCGCCGGGATGCCCCTGGGCATGACCAACCTGAAGACGAGCCTAGGGACCGGGACTTTGGGCCCCATGGGACCCACGGTGGGGGGCATCACGGGGGCCACAACCCTTCCTCGGCCGGGAAACTTGCTGCACCCTGCGGGCCTCAGGCACGGGCACAGCGTGGCACGGGTCCGCCTCTACTGCCAGGCAAAGTGAGGAGCCACGGCTCGGACAGGTTCGTCTCTCTTTCATCTTGAACATTTTCGCGAATCTCCATCCCCTGTCCAGACGGGAGGGTGAAGAGGGAAAATAAAGGAGAAAGGAAACGGGAGGAGAGGGCGGAACGAGCTGGGCTAAAGGGAGATTTAAAAATGGCTCGGCTTGAAATGACGTTGAAAATTGTTGGGATATTTAAAAATGGCTTGGCTTGAAATGACATTGAAAATGGTTGGATATTTAAAAATGGATCAGCTTGAAATGATTGGATATTTAAAAATGGCTGGGGTAAAGAGATGATATTTAAAGATAATTAAGCAACGAGGGTAAATTATCGAGGTGTGTTGCCAGGGTGAAACTGTCGGATTGCAAATGGGTGGGTGGAGGAGGAGATAATCGCAAATTCGCGTGCTCGAACAACATGAAGCGCGTTACCGGGAAAAATTGCACGTACTTCCAGAACACGTGGACGTGGGAATTGGCAACGAGGTTGCGCTATTTCGTACCGCAGGGTAAAGAAGTTCTTATCAGGAATTTTTTCACTTTCCTTGCAGTGACATCTCCTCCAGCCAGAAAGACGAGTGGTTCGTGTAGGTGAGTTATACCACGTGTCCCCCGAGATAGCGGAAAATTCCTGGCTTTAAGGGTAAACAATCAGGGTATTTATTTTTCCTCCTATCTCTAAGTGGGTATTTAAATTCAACTGCATTAAATTCGAGGGAATTTTCTCGAGGATCGGCGTCGATTATCGTGACCGATTAGGGGTGACTGATAAGTCCATGCTTTCAGAGGCAGGCCCGGACCAGAGCCCGCAGGGTGATAAGAAGGCGGTGGTGCCCTCACCGCTGAAATTCGGCGACACCGGGTTGCAGACCGTCTCGATGACCGTGTCGCCATTTTTCCAAAGGACCGTCGAGAGGAAGTTGGAAGCGACCGAGAGCGAGAGACGACCCGGACATATTGAAATCCCCCCAGCAGGGAGGCAGCGAGGAGGGAGCCCGGACTCCGACCCTGAAGTCGAACCACGAAGTGCCTCGAGCACGGGGAGCACCGAGGACGGGATATCCGGAATCTCGAAGGATCAGCGACGCCGTCGACTCGTCTCTCGAGTAATCAGTGCACGGATCGATAAGGTCTGCGGGAGATACTCGAGAAGGAGCGCCTTTCCCCCGTCCCCGTGCACCGGCTTCGAGATCGTCATCGCGGGGGGTCGGCGCGATTCGGGACGAGGATTTTCCAAGGCTCGACTTAAGGCGACCAGAAAGGCTCTACGCTCTACTTAAACGAAACCATCCTACAAACAGTACACCGAAAGCCTCCCACCTAAACCCAAAGGCCCCGTAGAAGGTCCCTACGCCCTTAAACTTCAATTTCCCACGGTATCAAGGAATATTTATAAACAAATTTATGGTGGAATTCAATTATCTTGGGTGGAGGAACCTTCTCTAGGGAGTTCCTAAACCGTGTGGTGGTGTTTCAAAGGATTCGAGTTAGGTCCTTCGGAGTAAAGTGTCGCTCAAGGGAGTAGGGTCGGCAGTTTCTAATCGCCTTAAGGCTCGTCCTTCGTCGACTTGTCGTCCTTGTCAGGGATCACCCACGGATGGACATATTACCGGGGATATCGAGGCGTCTTTCTCGACGTATCTCGTCCTGGAACGCGTTTATGTACTTGATTCGTTACGTAGATAGAGTTATGTAAGTCAGGTGTTGTACTTCGTATTAGAGAGACAGGTGGATTTACCTGTCGCGCGAGTTGGCGACTCCTGGAGACGACGGATCCTCGTGTGCGTATGCGTGGGTGTGCGTCTGGGTCTTTCGACCACGCGATTAACCTTTTAGGGGAGCGAATTCGCGAGCTGTTAATTATTGCAGGAACGATATTGCCACGTTCGCGTTTCTAAGCCGTCGGGATTCTTGGTCAGCGATTTTTAACCCCTCGACGCCTGTTACTTTTTCCCACGCCTCGTGTACTTGGCGCGAACCTCTACCGAGTTTCTTCCCTCCTGTCGATTTGTCAGATTTATTTTTCTAATCCATCGTCCCCCTAAATCCAATGCGACTTCTCTTTTTTACTAATCCATAATCCCGGAATACCCGAGAATGTCTCTCTTGCCGCGCACTTCGAATTTATTCAAATCTAGTCAAATCAATTCAAATCAAAAGGCGATACTAAGGTGAGGTTATGTCACCCTTTGGAGAGATAAAGGTGGTTCCTCTGGAAAGCTTTCTCGTGGTTTTGCTGGATTACTCTTTTTTTTTCTAGATTATTTCGTATTTCCACGACGTAGCCCTTGGGGAATAGTAGAGATCGATATATTTTATGCATCCCTAAACGCAGGCGTTGAGGGGACGAAAGTGGAGGTTATCCTCGTAGAGACGAAGAGTAGGTTGTTTAATATTTTTTTTTCCATTCCACTCCGTATATTTCATCCCCTTAAATTGAAGGGAACGGCAGAGGGAAGATGAATAATTAAATCCACGTCAATTAAGCAGCAATCCTTGCTGACAATTTTTTAAAAGGTATCTTTAATGGCGATCATTCCTGATCCCTTTTGTTAGACTTTTATATTATTTTCTACTAGATCGTTTCGGCTCGTCTTAAGTTGCTTGCAGTCAATATTTAATTTTCTTATCGTCAAAGAAGGAATATTGGGCCCTTGCCAAGGAGATTTGGCAAGGAAAGGCTCTTCAAGGTGCTGACCTCAGGAAGGGCCATTTTAATGTCTCGAACTTGAAGAAATCTTAAACGAGCCGAGCCTCTACTTGGCACGACAGGGTCGCAATAATAAATGCAGAGAAACGTGTAAAGATTATTCATATATTTTTTTTCTTCAGACTCTTTGCAGCTTTTATTAAATTCTCCGGGATAATTTTCGGAAATCTTCGGGGAGAAAGAGGAGGGAAACGGCGAAATCATGAAACGCGCGCGCGACAAATTCAGTATTTAGGTCTACTTGTAATATACTTGTATCTACCATTAGCCGTTCAGCTTTGTGCCGTCTTTATAGTTAATGAAAGCGAAAAAAAGTATTATATANAATATATGTAGAGTTATAATAGTGTTCGCGCATGGAAGAGAGCGATGTATCGAGTGAATGGGTTTTCATGAACAAGGGAGCCGATAATTACGGAAGGAGTAATTAATCAATAGAGGATAAGCTGATACGACTCGCCTTGACCGACTAATCGATTCGAAATGATATCTGATGGTTCTTCTTCGGTATATTAATTATACTAAGCGTTACCACTGCCGAGTTACGGTTTACAATTACCACCGCGACAATAGGATCGAAAGACTGGTCTTCGGGGTAGGTCTTCAGGAACGGAGTCCTATCATTTTGTTAATCAAGGTGTAAAAGAGTTTCGACAGTCGAGTCGGGTGAAACGAGAGATTTAAGATTTGGAGCTTAGCATGAATTATTAATTCCAATTTTTCTTTTATTTTTTTTTTTTTTTCTTATTCTTGATTATACTTGGAAAATTCATTTCCTTATCGGAGACCTGCGATGCGGTTTTTATTTCTCTTCGCTCGCGGTCCGGATGTTTTTGTTTATTTTTTTTTTATTTTTTTTCGGTTTCGTCGCTTATCGCTTATCAAGGAGAGGCGAGATTTATTGGTTGGTCTTGAGTCTTGAATGAGAGAATCCATGATAGGGTATGCAGAGTAGAGGAATGTGTATTGTCCAGTACGGTTTTACGTGTTGCTTATGACGGGGGTTGTAATTTGGAAAAAGAAGAAAAAAATGTACGTCGACGTCTTCGGACGACCGACTGTAGTAATTAGGACCTGTAAAGAAACAAGTGGTATAAAATGTTAACGAGGGAAATCCGATGTCTGTAAGTACATTCGGTCACAGAGAAGCTAGCTTTTAAACTGCCATGGGGAGGAAGAGGGCGACAGGGGATGTGGATGTTGCAATTACGCGGATAAGTAAGAATAGGGTTTTAGGAACTGATAATTATTCGTAACATTTATTCCGAGTCCACGTTCTAGTCACGTCTTGCTTTGACATGTATTGTAAAGGGAAAATTAACGGGAGGAGGGAGGACGAAATTCGGCGTAATTCTTGAGAACTCGTAGGACCGTAAGATTATTGCAAAATAAAATAATCGCGTGATTATTGCACGTTTTGTAAGACCGTATTTATACGAGAAAGCATGAGAATGGTACTTTGGATCGTTTATTTCGCTTTGTTTTAGGTAAACATTCTCGGTTTTTTTTTTTTGTAACGTAATATGTATTTTATTTTTGCCACGAAAAATTACATCGTCTTAATGCGAGCTAATGGGAATAGTGAAATCATTAAAATGTGGGATTACGTTTCGCAGGATTCATTGAGACGGTGATATGAATGATGAGAATCAATAAATGACGTGCGAAATGGCACGAATTAAAATTAGCGTAAATTGAAAATCTTGTACAGGTTCAATTTGTGCGCACGTGTGAGGGGGTTTAATTAAGATCACGGTTTGCGTTTCTTGTAATCATTGTTTTTCTGGGAGATTCAAATGAGTCGCGGTATGAATTGTCATTCGATTTTGGGTGATTTCGGGATCCCACTTTTATTTCGCTATCTCTAAAGATCAGATAATATCGTCAATTATTTAGCAATAATAGGGCAAGTTCGAGTCTCATTCAACGAGGATGCTTCTGATTAATTAATGTTTATAAATGCAAATGAATGGATAGGATAAGCGTAGAATTTGTATGGTGTTAATCATTTGAAGTGATTCTTCAATTTGTGTTATTATCGTAAACGCTGTTAGGTCGAATATTTTCGTGCGATATTACCGATCATATGTGCTAAAGGCAAATTTGTAAAGTATAATAAATCTCGCATTTAGTATTAACATTGCACGGCGGTGCGCAATTGGCGATTAACAGTCGAAGACTTTCCTCAAAATTGTCGTGCCTTATTTTCCAGTTATTGACGGTTCATTATTCTAAAATTGTTAATTCTGAGGCACTCTGTTTTTTTTTCATGTTTACTCTACCGAGCAATCTTTCGCTTTTTAATTACACTTCCCGTGTGGCGATTGTTTAAAAGATGTCCTTGTAGGGTTAATCGTAAAATCGGCAGCGAAATGACTCCGTACATTTTATTTTTCTCTCTCTCTCTCATGTGCTGCAACATTTCTCTCTCGAAATTCTTCCCATAGCGTAAATTTAAGAAACAATTGTCATCGAAAATCGAGGAATGCGTTAATCGGTGATCATCCGGGATTTTCGTTGCGCTCTCGTGAAGGTCTTATCGCAAGATATTTAACTGATAATCTATGATAATTGAGTCGAAAACCAAGTGCACAACTCAATGAAGCACAAGAGCAAGAATATTTAAGGCGAACGAGAGTATAACCGGAACAACAAAATTTTTGCCTTCTGGCCTTCTCCATCGAGTACTGTATGGATTTTTAATTTCTTCAGCCCAATACTTCTCGTATCCAATATTTTCATTAAATTAATATCGAGAAATATATTAAGAGTTCTGAGGTCTCTTGGACAAAGGGGGAAGATTTAAACATTTTTCACGAACCCCTTCGACGTAGTTCGGCGAAAAGTTGACGAACTTTTCTCTCATCACCGATGCAATTGACACGTGAGAAAAAACATCGACATATCCGAAAATCGCCAATTTTCCAGAATGCATATCGAGCCCGTACATGTCATTGCTGTTTCCTTTAGGTCGTAAGAATAGGAAAAATGAAAAATGGGAGAAAAGTCATAACAAGAGATATGACCCATTGTTAATTTAAGTCGCTCGTTCAGTGACCAAGCGTTCCCTTCAAACTGGATAAAAAGAAAAGAAAAGAAATCGAAATGCAACCCTGCGAATGCAAATGTCAAAAAGAGCAAAGAAGTATTTCGTTAATTCGAAGATGCATTACTTGATCGAAATGACCTGGAATAAATATTTAATTGAGTTGATAAATTTATTTGAGTTGATTCGAGTCACTTGAATTTACGGAATATTTCTTCGCTGATTTTTTAGGGAATCGTACCTTCGGTTAAATGAATCTCTTTTTTGCTTTTCTTGATGCGACGAAGACAGGAATTTTCCTTCGACATAGGTAGATTAATCGGCGTGTTAATGATTAGGTAGAAAAAAGAAGAAAAAAAATGAACAATGTCAGGATCATTGTCACTCGCTTTCGGCGATGATCAACTCGTCTCAAGACACTTCGTCGAGTCTAATGAGACTGTCATTAAGGACGTCATTTTCACTCCGGTCGCGAAATCGAAATCTGGGCCGATGGTCCACGCTTCCTAAGCTTATCATCAAGCAATATTGACGCGATACCTTGAAGACCTCATTTTCTGAGGTCATTGTAAACGTTTAACTACACTACGATATCGGTACTATTAAGTGGACGTTCTATGCTCGTTTCATCAGGTCTGTGTTAAGAGAAAGACGCGACGACTGGTTAATTAAATCGGGAGAAGGGACAACAAAGTAATTAGAAATTTTTCAAGTCAAGATCATTAGCGACATCTTGTCGCGATCACAATGAATGGATTACATTCCGATAATTGCTCGCTAAAAACCGAGTGAGATAAAAAATTGTCACTCTCGTGACTTTAGAGAGAAAGAAAATACGAAATTCTTATGTCTACCGACACATCGCCGCAGTTTTTCACCCAAAATTAATTTTTATCTGACATTCAATGTTGATTTCCGGCATCGTAAACTTTTCGGCGAGTAGGGTACTTTGAATGTAACAAATGGAAAAATAGATTGTCAACCCTTGATGGGGTGAAACTAGAGGAGGAAATTCTTGGCAAGGTTTCGGTATTTTTATTTTACAGTTTTATATTATTCAGGATATTAGCTTAGGCTTTGTTTTGTTATTTATTAACGCAGAGGGTGTAGACGTGAAACCTGGTTGAGGTGGAAATTGAATAAATCGCATTAACTTACGAAACTCGAGGTCAAACTTGATGAGCGGAGCATGGAGCACGACGTAACAATAAGAAATGGAAAACGATACAATAATTTTCATACTGTTTTTACTTTTATTACTACTGTTACATATGATTGTAATATCGACCCTACAGTGTGCTAGACATTGAGACGCATTAACACGTGAAATACGAATACCTAACATGCATGTGTACTCTTAGTTAACTAAAATTAGTCGTCGAGAAGTCTCTTCGAGGACGAAATACCTAAAAGTAGTGACGATAAAGAAGGACTCATCGAGCGAGGTTGCGAATTAGCGGGAATTTGCAGGCGCGGCGATCTCTCGTAGAAATAAAATAAAAAAAAAATAGAGAGAGGGGAAATAGAAACCGTGAAAAATTGCCACGGCTCCCTGAAAGGACAGGCTTTCAGGATTAATGAAATTCGGGCCTTTCCGGGGAACCTAGTCATCCCTAAAAATTCGAGCGAGGGTGCGACTTAGCGCGAATTCCCAGACGCGGCGATCCCTCGTAGAAATATAATTAAAAAATAGAGAAACGGGGGATAGAAACCGGGAAAAATTGCCACGGCTCCTTGAAAGGACAGGCTTTCAGGATTAATGAAATTCGGGCCTTTCCGGGGAACCTAGTCATCCCTAAAAATTCGAGCGAGGGTGCGACTTAGCGCGAATTCCCAGGCGCGGCGATCCCTCGTAGAAATGTAATAAAAAATAGAGAAAGGGGAGATAGAAACCGGGAAAAATTGCAACGGGTTCTTGAAAGGATAGGTTTTCAGGATTAATGAAATTCGGGCCTTTCCGGGGAACCTAGTCATCCCTAAAAATTCGAGAAAAATGTGCATCGGGGATCGACGGGCGTGCAATGGCGTCTTGGAGTGGGCGCGTATGACCAAACTATATTACTCGGTAAAGCGATATACATCCTGCGAAATTCGATAACTCGATTCGATCTCAACGAGGAGAGAGAGCTCGGTGTAAGGTAACGTCATCGTAGGTGATATCTCACTTAGCTTAAAATCAACTGATCCTTGCATTTCGGGGCCGAGTGCAAAGAGAACGATGCAAAAATGGCGCCCCTACAAAATATGCACATCCCCGATTATATCCTATATCACAACGATGGATCCTAATCAATTGTTACAATTCTCCACGCAATAACCAGTGGTCTAACTAAAAGTTAAAACAAAAGGTAAAATAATAAGAATTTATCCCTCATTTTTGTTGAATTTAAATAACAACAAAGTGGCGTTAGATTTTTTCAGACAAAAAGAAAAAAGTCACTTGGATTGTTGTTTTCACAAGTAAAGTTTCGGACAGTGCCTTTTGACTGGATAAGACACGGATTTATCGGTCATTCGTGTGTTTATTTGTTAATAATTAATTTCCTGACGTGTCTCGTGATTATTGCGGAATTTGGATTATGAAGCCGCCATTTTTCTTCCCATTTCGAGTTGCCCCGAATTTCCTGAAATTTAACGAGTGTCGGAAAATGTACGAGTGATTTTAATAAAGGCTTCAGGAGGGGAAATGACGTTTTATCGAGAAGGAACGACATTTTATCCTTGCATCGTTCTCATTGTTATTCGGAGCGCGTTGGAAGGATGATCTCCTGTGGTTCCTCCATGGAACCGGACAAGTTAACTTGTTTCATATTTGTACTTTATGTTTAGACGTGATAGACTAGGATCAACGAGAATCGGCGTGATTCGAAGTTGTAAACCGTGCTGTCATCCGGCATCTCGAATAGCGCTACAATTACGGCTGCACAATATAAAGAAATTTACGTTTCACGAGGTTGGTCCTTCTTTCAAGATATCCCCGACCTCTGGTTCTCAGATTTTATCTCCTCCCTCGTTTCAAATTAACTATCACAACTTTCTTAATCCTTTGGTCATTAAGAGCGCCTAAAGGCGGCCGACGTTTGGTCCAATGTCGCCTGCACGGTCATAGGAATTTCGCCCGTATGTCGAAATGGCTCCGCGTTCAAAGGGTTAATGAAGATAATATTTTCTCGATATCTGGGGTGGAAATTATCTGTACATTTTTTTCTCGATCGATGGTTTCAAGTGCGGTATATTATACATAGGTGTCTGCCCTGTCGAGTGATACGTTATCACGACCGGTAAAGGCGATCTCGGCTTTTTCATCCTCGGGATGATATATTCGTGATACTCTTCGGGCAAGTAGCGATACTCGTCTGCCATCTGCTGAAGAAATCGCGAAACTCGGGAAGATAAGGTTAAAAAGGTAAAGGTGAAGATTACGATTAGAGACTAATTCTTCGGATCGTATTAAGTGCAACATTGGGAATAAGAAATGAATACAAGCCCCATTAATACTTTCAACATCCGAGGATAACATTATCGGTGAGGTATAATTTTTCTTTTATTTTTATATTTCTAATTTCGGTTTTGAGACCCTTGAAATGAATTTCTCTCCTGCCGAGAAGCATTTAGATTGCCTCTCGACCAATCAGCTGATGCGCTTCGAATATCGGCATTACTTCACGTATATTCGTGGAAAAGCGGGTAATTGGTTAATTTAGACAATGATCTTATTTTTTGCTCGTAGAAGATGGCCAGGTGGGTTCGCGACTTCCTGGAAAACCGTATTTCTGGGGGGCAAATGAGTCGTCAGGTGGGACGAGGTAGGGTCAGGTAAGATGAAGAAGGATCTACCTGTCTCGCCAAGGGGTAGGTGGGACCAGGTCGTGGGGGTCCGAGTCGGGGTGGGAGTCGGTCGAGATCTCTCGGCCTCGACGCACTCGAGGCCGAGGACTGGATTTAGTTTGCTCGCGGCGTTTACATCGGGCGTTGGTGCCGGGCTTTCTACGACCGAGGCTTTCCGAGACCCGCCACGAGGGTTACCACCAAACGGGGCGACCTGGTCCCCTTTGATGGCGAATTCTTAGGGTGTTCTTCAAGGCGATCGCTCGCCTCCTGCGCACCAAACGGGGCGAATTGTTCTAAAAAAGGTGGCAGAAATCCTGGGGACTGATCGAGGCGTTTTTCAGGGTACTCTTCAAGGCTCCTGCGCACCAAACGGGGCGAATTGTTCCAAAAAAGGTGGCAGAAATCCTGGGGACTGATCGAGGCGTTTTTCAGGGTACTCTTCAAGGCTCCTACGTAACAAACGGGGCGAATCGTTGGAAAAAAAGGTGGCAGAAATCCTGGGGACTGATCGAGGTACACTTCAAGGCTCCTACGCAACAAATGGGGTGACTTGGTACACTTTGATGGCGAATTCTTCCAAGAAAGGCCGCAGAAATCCTGGGAACTGATCAAGCAACGCGTTCAAGCTCTTCTTCGAGGTCTTCCGCAGGATACTCTTCAGGATACTCTTCGAGGCAATCGCTCGCCACCTACGCACGCTGTCGAGGCCTCTGACATTTCCCGGTGACCACCAACCAAAGGACCTTTTGTTTCCCCGAGGAACTGGCTCGTAAATCGACTTCTTCGAGGGAAGCAAGCCCGATACGGAATGGACCCAACTGAAGCAGGCTAAGGTCATCGGCCAAGCTCTTCCACGAGTGAATCCGCAGAATGCGAGGCTCACTTCTGGAGAACGCCGCAAACTCTGCCAGAAGGAAGGAAGGACCTGCAGGAAGAGCCCTATTTTCCCCCATAGTCGTTCAAAATCAGTCGGGAAAAATCCCTATTTTTCTCCAAAACCACCGTGAAGATTGACCTATCCTGGAGATTTATCCCGATGGGATCCGCAGACTCTCCCAGTGGGTCCTGATGAGACCAAGGACTATTTACATCTCTCGTGGCGTGTCTCGCGATAAGTTATCCTCCTTTTTTCGCGAGTTTCATCTTCGGTCGGTCTCGCTCTAGTGATCAGTGGTGGATTTAGTGATCTTGAATTCGGTTTTCCGAGTCTGGGCTTGCGCCCGGACGGAGAGTCCTTCGTGGTTCGTCGGCATGGTGTAACGAATCGCTTGGATTTCGGTAAAAGAAGAGTGCTGAGAGTTCTTCGGGTCGCTATGGCGGACATCCCGGTTCTCGGCGTCTTCATTAAGCCAAGAGTGCAGCTGCGACTTCTCGCTCTGGCCCTTTTGCTTCTGCCGGATTCCGAGGTGGTCCGAGCGGCGCGCAGCTTCAAGCACGGTGAATACCCAGACCAATGTACCACCCCTAACATCGTTACCTAATACAGGATATTTTTGATAAAAATTCACCGCTTTCCTTATCAAACTTGGAGTCGAAAAGTCCCTCACGATTTTTTCTCTACCGTGCATAGTTTACCTGGAAAAAATTATCGAAAAGTACCTATTCAACGGCGTCGACTAGCTGAACGCGCGGTAGACTGTTTAGCGGTTTTTCGATTGTTACAGGTTAACTATGCATCCTAGGGGAAAATGGTACAGGACTTTTCGACTCCTCGTCGAAAATTGAGCGGAAAACTCTTATATGGTTTTTTTCTGCATTGCGTGGTTTGCCCGCAAAACAGGCTGCCGAGGTGAGCTTTCAGGCTCCGATGCTTCTGAGACTATAATGGCTAATTATGGGCACCGCAATGGTCTCAGAGTGCCTCGCCTTTTCCCCTTAACGATTATCCCATGGCTGTCATGGCAAATCGGCGAAATAGGTGCTACCTTATCTCCGGTTCCCAGTCGAGCAAATAGGTGCTTTCGCAATCGTAGATACAGGATTTTCCGTTTAAAGCATTTCTTGGTCTTTAATTTCCTGCAATCCGTTTTGGCAACCATCGGTCCCGGTTTATTCTTCGGATTTTTCTTTTCTTTTTTTTTTCCCCGGTGCAAGTCAATTAGGTACAATTTCTTCGCCGAGGTTTCGGTTCTTATTGGCTTGGCAGAATGTTCTTTGAAAAATGATTCGTCCCGAAAGGCTCATCTTCAAATCTTGGGGATGATGGACGACGGCGAAGAGTCGTGGTAAATCACTCCCGAGGCTTTATGAACCTGTTTCAGATTAACTGGATAAACCTTGTTTGGTTAAACGCCCCGTCAATGTGGGTGATTGATTTCGTCCAGTTCGCGAAATAACTTCATACCTCTGATGGGATTGGAAATGTGCCTTATCTGATATGGATCTGTTCAGCTCCGCTTGGACTCGAGTAGCTCGAGAGTCGAATGAAATTTCCTGACAGCGATTACAAATTAATATCCCGAAGAGAAATCCCGAAAAAATTAATCCGACTAAGTTGCCAGACCTTCGTAAAAGCATGCTCTTTAATTCTGTAAAACATTAACTCCATAGAAATTCCCTCGACAGAGTTATAAATATTTTAACAAGGGCAATCAAAGGTTTTCTCTCTCTCAAAAAAAAAAAAAAAAAAATTATATCAATACTCGTACACATGAGTTTCGGTAGGATGAATGAAAATTTCTCATTTATTTAACGCGGCGTGGCATTACTTATCAAGGTGTAAATGAATTCTGGAGAGGCGTATTTCACCGAACTCGTAAAAAAATCCTTTGTATCCCTCCCCTAATTGACGGGAATTTTAAGCCCCACGTGGACAGGTCCACGAATGAAATCATGAATGAATCAACAGGTGGAATCGGTAATCCCGGAAATATTAGCATAAAAGATAAATCATTGGCCGAGGGAGAATTTCGGTGTAAAAAAATCATGGGATTTACTCCACCGCTCGTAGACATCAAGAGTGCTTTTAAACGGTACAAGAAAACAGTCTTGCGCGATATTTATGCATATATTACCTCACCGGATACGGTCGGATCGATCTCGATTATTAATAACAATTAACCCGTTGCATCATCGATCCCCTAACACGTAATCGGGCCCTTTACCCCTGATCGTAGTTCGATCTGCTCTGCATTCGAAACCGATCGGTCGATGGCGTTTATCGATAACGCGGGAGGGGCGTCGATACGTCGATCTCGAAATTATCCGAGATAAGGATCGATACCCGATCATCGACCAGTTCTCGAAAGCGGTTCGATGACGATGGAAACTGCCTAGGACTAGTCATTACATCGATATCGGAGCTAATTGCACGCCTCTCGTATCCGCAATTTCAATCCGCCATGGACGTCCTTCCTGCTTACCTAGGAAGACATCTTTTTATCCTCCGACCCCATGATAATTCTATTTCAGAATAAATTAAAAATTAAATACACCATTTAAAGGTGATACTGTGCTGGACTATTTAAAGATGATTCTATTTTTTAATGAATTTACAAATTTAATACCATGGACGTCCTTCCTGCTTACCTAGGAAGACATCTTTTTATCCACCTACCCCATGATATTTCTATTTCAGAATAAATTTAAAATTGAATACACCGTTTAAAGGTCATACTACTCTGTACTATTTAAAGATGATTATATTTTTAAATGAATTTGGAAATTTAATACCATGGACGTCCTTCCTGCTTACCTAGGAAGACATCTTTTTACCCACCTACCCCATGATAATTCTATTTCAGAATAAATTTAAAATTGAATACACCGTTTAAAGGTCATACTTCTCTGTACTATTTAAAGATGATTCTATTTTTAAATGAATTTACAAATTTAATACTCCACTTTTCTGCGTGTCGCGGGTAATTATGGGAGTGGCGCCTATTTCGTAATTTTTCCCAGGGCGATGGGCACGCAAAGGGTTAAATTTGAAGCCTTCGGGGTGGCAAGGAGGCAGGGAGAAAGATGAAGAAAAAGTCGAGGAGGATAGGTGGGTTTAAGAAGTCGTGCGTGGTCTCGCTCGGTCCAGTATAAATAGCCGTGCACCGCCATGTTTGCCGGCGAAGCTTACTGCGACATCCCGCCGAGGGAGAAATACAGAAAGAGAGTCGGAGAAGAGGGACAGAGCCACTCGATCTCTCTCAAAGAGGTCTTTCTCTCTCTGTTAGCGAATAACATGTACCATGGATCCACCCCCGCGCGACCATGCGCGACATTTCTCCAGAGGGGTGGTTTTCATAACCTAGAAATGTCCAGTGGATCTTAATCCCCAAATTCAAGGAACAAGTGCAAGACTAGTATTTTTTATCAGGGGTGGATTTACCCGACCTAATGATTTCTAGTAGAAAATTTTAGGGGTAAGAAAAATGAAAAACCAAAATCAGGACCACCTTAGTCAAGACGATGATGAGATACCCTTCGTAAGGGGTAGTTTTCACGACTACCTCAGTCAAGACGACCGTAGACATTTTCCTTCGAGAGTGATTATCAATTCTTTCTCGAGTACGAACTTTTTCGGCAATAATTTCAATTTCTTCGCATTTCCCGAAAATGGCGAGGCGTAAAACGCGCATCTCGGACCCGGCGCGGGTGAATCGCATCCCTCGGGAGAGCCGACGTCGAAATGGCCGCTGGCGAGACAGCTGGTCGCTTAAATCCGGCATAAAAATAACGTAACATTATTTTAAGAGGCCGCTCCCAAGGAACCAGCCCGTAAATGCGAGGAGCCTCGCCAGAGTCTCCATCTTGAAAAGACACCTCTGGTCCCTACCCTCAAAATTCGGCCCCAATGAAAAAAGCAAAATTATCACAACCCTCGAATGTCCATATCTGAGATTCTATATTTTATCCCACCCCTCAGATGCATAAGGAAGTCCCTTGCAATTATTCTTCGGGATTTATCCCAGCATTAGGTTACGACATTTCCGGGGAATGAAATCTGCACCAAATCTATTCAATGAATAGATGCCCCTCGGCTTGAATCTCGGGCTTTCATTGATAAATTATTAGGCGTTTACACGCGGGATATAGCTCACAATTATGACTGGAAAGCGAGCTCGGCTTTATATCGCCATAAACGATTGACGTAAGATAGGGTTGGGCGAAACGAGAATTAATGCCAAGTTGCCAGAGCTCTTTCCATTGTGACCGGGGAATATCTGAAAGACCACAATTGACGTCCCCGCAATTGGCTCTTACGTCTTGTTCATCGAGATTTCAAGGGGAAATTATGGGAAAAGGACGCATCGGCTCGCACTTGTTCATTACCTGGCACAACAGATAACACGCTTTTCCCGCGAAAAGATCAAAACCACCGTAATGATAAGGTACGAACGTTTTCATTAAAATCCTCTAACGTTCCTCGGCAAGGATGTTGGTTTTTACTATGTCTGACTTGCCGGTATGCCGACTTCCGTTATGGTCAACATGCATCCACTTAACATTCCGAAGAGCAAGTACCAGCTAGAATGCAACTGCACCTTATCGTGCAGATTTCCTCCGATACGAAAAATCAACGAAATAATCAACAATTTTCCCCATTTCGCCAATCGTCCCTTGCACTGGAAAATCACCGCCAGACTATTCAAAATTCATGTTCGTTCATATTAAAAAAAAAAATCATGCTCCAATCTCGTCACATTTAAAATCCATGTTCCAATTTCCCTATTTCGCCAATCGTCCCTTGCACTGGAAAATCACCGCCAGACTATTTAAAATTCATGCTTGATCATATTTAAAAAAAAATCATGCTCCAATCTTTTCATATTTAAAATCCATGCTCCAATTTCGCCATGTTCGAAATTCATGCTCCAATTTGGTCATGTTTAAAATTCATGCTCCAGCTTAATTTTCAAAATTCATGTTCCGGCGTCATGTTTAAAATTCATGAAAGTCCGCGGAATAAGGATGAAAAAAATGGGGAATTAATGAAGCGTTTAATACGAATCGACTAGAAGCGAAGGAGGGGAGAATCGGTACCAAGGAAATCGCATTAAGCCCGTCTCTTGGAAGGGGGATAACACGAAAGAGAACAGGGCCGAGAGCATTGGCCGATCTCGATAACGCAGCATCCTCGCAAGAGGCAATCGTTCGGGCACGCCCACGCATGATCGATCGCCCCGAGAATTCCAAAGCTCCCTTTTATTTGCCGACATTGAAAGCACATGCCAACTAAGGAAGGAAAACACGAACGGCATCGCGTTATCAGCCCCGTGACAACGTTAAGGAGAAAATGCCGACACAGAGATAGCAACCCCCAAGAGCAACGACTACTCCATTAAGGATTTATTTATTTATTTACGCGCAATCTATGCAAAAGGAAAACAAGAAGAAACAGCTGTCTGAAATTTTCCATCACTCCTTGCAAAATGACAAATGCGATTTGATAATAATTTCTCACTATTTAGGTGATTTTTATAAATTTCCAGGATTAAAGTCCA